GCTCAATACTAACTACTAGCACCTTCTATTTTCGTACGGCCTCGATAACAACATCAACACCCTCAACGTCAGGAGTAGAATAGACTTTGGAATGACCCAAGGGACAAGAGTATCGGGAAGAAGGTACCGTACCATAGTCGACCAGTGCAGAGGTACCAGCCCACCCAGTACCTTACCTGAACCATACGTCTTTGTAGACTGGAACCGGGATGAACTCCCCGAACCAATAGAACCCGAAAGGCGGTCAGGTGGATGTGAAACATCAAACCTTGGGCTTTGAGGGAGGCGGGCATCTCATTTCTCTCCTCGCTTTGTCCGTTGCGTCACAATCCCACGCCGGCTCGACGGGAGCGACTCGGGCGCAAAAGTACCGACGAATCGTACCTCCAGACGGCCCTTTTGCCAGTCGGGGGACTTGGACTAGCCACCGTGGCTAAGGTACGGGGGACCTCGCAAGTCGCAATGAAGGCGAAGCGGGGCAAACTGCAAAGTGCAAAGCCATCCTTTGCTCCACCTCAATTCCAAGGGCCAAAGGAAGGTATACCCATCGGGTTTAGCTGGTCTGGACCTGCTTGAATTAGCGTCATACCTTGATTCAGCCGACGCTGGAACACGGGATGGAAATTGTTCTATCGTGATGGGAGACTGAAGGATCACTTTCAGCTGGGATGGATTATTGGGAGGCTGCCATGGTGCACCAGCACCACGACCGAACTATGGAGCCGACGGACCAAGTAAGGTTCATCTGCCTACCTACGGAGTAAGTATGTCTCGGTTCCTCAAGTCCAACTCATCTTACTCTCTGCTGACTGGCGGCACACGACGTGATGTCGGTAGGCCCGCTGCTCGAGTAGGCAAGTAGATGCCTGTACTACCTACAGAGCCGAAGCCGTTCCCCGTCACCCTTCCTCAGTGGCAAGATCGATGCCGGTGGTCGGCGCACAACTTAGTCAATAAAAGGAAGTTAAATCCAGGATCGAAAAGGAGGGAAGGACTTTGGTCTCCAACGGAATGGCGGATCCGGTGCCGCGGCGACGGATAACAATCGAGGACCATGGGTCTGATCTCCAATCACCCATCGGCTAGCCTCTTGACGCTCGCATGATTGATTGAGTCCGCCTCTATTCCCGCCTTTTGACTTTTTTCAGACGGGCGCACTATTTGCCTTCCGCCCCATTTTGGAACCATCATCGCCAGCCGGCTTCGATCATGTGAGCTGCAGGGGAATCCCATCCTCCCCCTTCCGGCGGTACCAGGAACCCGATCCCATTCGCCCAGATCCCTGCACTGCTAGGCTCCACTGCGGAGCCTCAGGCCAGGTTGAACGGCTGGATATCAAGGCCGCGATGGGCTAGTTCCTGTATGTGATAAGTAAAAGGTGACATGGGTGTGGGCGAACCTATCCCGCTCCCCTCCTCCAACGTGCGAGTCTCGCCTCCCCGGATACATCAAAACACATCCCTTGGCGCTATTCCGTAATATGCGACAGGGATGCGAACAATGGGCCACAACCTTAAAACGCACTATGACTGGTACTTTGTACTTGGCCGTGGGCGAGGTAACTAATTCGTCGATCGAAGCCGTGATTTGCAGACGACCCTAGTTCTTTGTGACAGCCGAACTACTGCATCCTTGTTCACAATCATAGGCCAATGGCATTGTCATGCAGGTGGTCTACTGTGAACCGGTCCCATCACAATCGTAGTCCCGAATTTAGATGGACCAGTGTCCGGTCTCAACTCATCGGCGAGCTGTCACTTCCTCAACCGGTGAGACGCACATGGGTCGAGGCCTGTCTAGCAGCAGATGAATGATCTGCCGTGTCTCGACCGAGCTCCTGCGATCCTGATTCTACTTGCAGATCGGTTGCTGTGGAATCACGATCCATCGAGTCCGAATGGCTGCTTAGTCTACGAGTTATGTAGGCATGGATATGCCATGTTTCATGTCGCCAGTTGGGAAGCGTATAGACATCGGTATGGGAGCACACTTGGAAGCCCCACTGTGCTACTCTTCGTACCAGGGTTATGGCCAGACATCAAGGCAACTGTCTTATGTCACACAAGATGTGCTGAATACGTGTACGCTGAGGACACCACCTGACCAAGTTCTCGTCGCGAGGGCCTGGCGCGACAGGCACCGACTTAGTCTGACAGAATCATCGCAGTGGGTATTGGCCTGCGGTACTTTGGACCTTTTGCCTATCAGGGAAATTATAGTCCGTTGCGCAGGTTGGCAGGTAACAGGTCGGTAGCCTTGCGCAAGTCAGATCGCGGATGATTGATTGATAGTAACGTGTGATCATCGGGCAGGTCGGATATTTGCCGGTTGGCAAAACCGCTGTCATTTTGCAGACCGCCGCGGAGGCAACTCTGGAAAAATCAACGTGAAGCTATTAGTGACTGGGTTTGCAACTATAGGCGGGAAAGAAAAAATCTCAAAAAAAGGAATTGACAGTTAAGCTCCGATAGGGGGAATCGAACCCCCGGCTGCCGTGTGAGAGACGGCGATGTTAGCCACTACACCATATCGGATTAATTGATATCAGTGTTTGAGTTTTATGATATATGTTTTACGGCCGTTGCTTGTCATCATCGACAATGTTCAAAACATCGCCGTTCTCCGTTGAACTTTGCCAGATGCTCGTATGCGTTATAGGCTGGCGTAGGCTGGCTGCCTTGTCTCGAGCCGAGCCGGGCAATCGTCCAACCTTGTTGTAGCGGTGACAGCAGCCAAAGCTTGGAAGAATGCGTTGTCCAAGTGTATCCGGTGCGGAATGTATCCAAGGCATATCTGGGCCGGGTGAGTGGCAGCTCGTGCAGGATCCGCATACTCCGTGCTTGTCAGGTTCCCAACCTTGACTCACCCACTTTATTCTAGACCCCGACGGCTGGACCTTGATTCGAGGGATAGATAGTGCCGTGCTGTGCCCAGTGTTTAAATTTTCCAGTGGCCAGACCAAACGCAGCTACGTCATGTGATGCTGTAAATATATTTTACGCACTTGGTACATTGCATCTGCATCCAAGATGAGGCGGCCGATAAGCTAGCGTAAGCTTCGACTGGATAGAACGACCAGTCGATCCTTCGGACAGGGGGGATACCCAAGCAAAAGTACGATCCTATCCTTTCTTTCCTTTTTTCCCACTCCCTTTTTTAATCACCCCAAAGTATAAAACAGGCAAGGTCAAACGCAAAAGGTGACATAGCCGGTCATCCGGATCCGATCCGGACACTAGCCGGACTCCCAACCAAGGGCGAAAAACTCTATTTCGGTTCTTTGATACATCCAGACGGGCCGGGAGGGCATCTCCGGCTTTTGCTATTGGAGACCCCTGAATGTATCCCTCTGACTTGATGGGGTTTCGGACGAGGGGTGATACATAGACCTGGACTTTAACTCCGTATTGGAATCGACTCCCCACCCTTTACCTCTGTTGATTTGATCAGGGCACAATCTACAGACCGGATACCCAGACATCTGTACCTATACAGTGCATGCATGAGTCTTATCTCCACCTCGATGGGATAAGTATAGATAGATAGATAGATAGATAAAATTAGCGCCGTGACGAGGATCCGAAAATTAAATTCCTACTTCGATACGGAATTGATAAGTAGTCCCCGAGTGGACCAAAAATGACACGTCCAGAACCCACCCACCCAGGTACCTACCTACATCCCTACCTAGCAGAAATTACCCTACTTGTCAGCGATCCACAATCTTATTAGGTACAAGGTACGGAGTGGCAAAGAACACCCTAGACGGTCCAGATCGCGGAAAAGTCGGCGAACGATGATGATGATGATGCAGCAGGGTCAATATACTCTGTTCCCACTACCAGGGATCCATCCATACTGCGTCTGCAGATTATATGTGGCTTGGGTGCTATGGTGCCATGCCATACCATGCCGTGCCGTCGGGTGTGGCGAGTCGTCGGCATTAGTCTGCGGTTGAAACTGCTATAATCACGATATTTTTACTTGGTGGTGGTGTCTGGCCCGGTTGGCAATTCGGCGGGTTGAGCGGTCTAGCTGGATTGCATCAGTTGTTCTCGTTTGGGATGTGGTGGGATGCATGGTGAGTGTAGTTGGTGTTGGTGTTGCCCGACTTTTTCTCTTGAACGACCTGTGTCTACAAGTGATGATGCGTGTTCGTACTCTACATTTAGGCGTGTGGAACTATACGGTTGCCTGGAGTGAAGTTTGGTATGTCTGGAGAATATAATCGCCTCGTTACGAGCTCTCTTTAGATACAGTAGGCCTTTCTGCCCAGCTATCTAACTTTCTAGGCTGAATTCAAGCCCAACTGCTCTCGGAAAGGTAGCTACCAGAGCTATATGGCATCAATGCCGACGTCACAGTATGAATCCGTTCCAGTAGTGCATACTCCGTACTCCAGTTAAGTTAACTTCTGTATCGTTGCAAACGCAAGCCTGGTACAACGCCGAGCAGTGTCCAGAACTTCTGCCCGAAGTCGTGCAAGTCGTGCCTTGCGACAGGCGCAGTTGGGTGTGGTCGTCGTTCCTGAGCAAAAGGAATTCCACAAAGCTTGACACAAGGCTGTCACGACTGACTGTGTGTATGGGCTGTTGAGCGGGCAGCTTGTGAAGTGAACGTATTAGGGTTGCACTTTCAGAGATGACTGGATAATGTGCTGCATTGTTCCAGGTTATGCTCGTAACGATGAGTCACTGGGCATGGATGAGTTTTGTGCAAGCCTTGCTATGAGCGAGTTCATTCTGTTTGTATGGATGTGATTAGCATGATGGCTTCTGTAGAGTGATTGGGACCTATTCAGAGATGTTCCACAATGCTATTCTCCTAGATGGGGATGGCTATCTTCAACATTGAGACCATAGCATGTAAACAAACAAAACCAGCAAGCGAAGCAAATGACGAAAGTAAGCTTATCATCAGGTGCCGATAACGTCACGTGTAACTCGGATTTGCTGGAATGCGGCATGCCATGACATCGACACTTTCCAACCTTCACTCTTCTTCTACCTTCGCAGCGGTCAATCCTCCTTGAAATACAGAAGGAAAATGAATTGTCGCTGATCAAGTTGCCTAACTCTCCAGTTCCCTACAATCCCAGCAATGAGCAATACCTAGCTCCAGACTCAACATGGCAGCTCAAAGAACATGGCTCCTCCGCTCGTTACCGCGCACTCTCCCTCAACATTCGGTCCGGTTACGGCCCATAACAAGGACACCAGCTGTCGCGCTTAGATTATGGTCTCAGCGGTACAGTACCGAAGCTGAGTACAAGCGTCCACAGACCCAATCGCCGATTCCCGATCGCGCCTCGGAACCGTCACATCTGAACCCATCCCCCGATGATTATTCTCGCTTCATATTTCAAGATAAATGTCGCTCGACGGTATATGCGGGCTCCGGCGGACATGGGTGTGTCTCGTTTCTCCGAGAGAAGTATGTCGAGGAGGGCCCGCCGAATGGCGGTGATGGAGGAAGTGGTGGGAGCATCTACATCCAGGCTGTGGAGGGCATGACCAGTCTACATAAGCTCGCTCGAAAGGGGATTATAAAAGCCGGTCGGGGAAAGAATGGGCAAGGGAAAAGCAAGGGTGGTAAGCGAGGTGACGATGTCTTGCTTCAGGTTCCGGTCGGCACCGTCGTTCGTGAAGTCGACCGATATGACCCAGTGACGGAGGAAATTCGGCGTCAAAAAAGAGAGCGCAGAGAAGCTGCGGCAGCGGCAGCGGCAGCTGCTGAAGAAGGTGCCGAGGGAACGGACGAGCTGGATGAGCTTGGTTTGACGTCTATTCGACATGACCGCTGGGTTCTTTACCCTGGTGCCAATCCGTCCGATTACCTGACGACAGTATTCCCGAAGAACCCGCCTCGAAGACAACATATCGCTGCGCTGGAACCGGAGTCGCCTATCTACCTGGACCTCGATCATCACATGGATAAGCCGATCTTGCTGGCTGCGGGAGGTGTCGGCGGCTTGGGTAACCCGCACTTTGTGTCTCGCTCCATGAATCGGCCGAAGTTTGCGTCCCGAGGCGAGGGTGGCATGCGTCTCGAGCTCGAATTTGAGCTGAAGCTCCTGGCGGATGTGGGACTGGTTGGCAAGCCCAATGCTGGAAAAAGCACTCTACTTCGGTCGTTGACCAACAGTCGCACCCGGGTCGGGAATTGGGAGTTCACGACGCTTTCTCCCAACATTGGTACGGTTGTCATCGACAACCACAAAGGGCGGCCGTTGGTGGAAATCGATGGGAAGCGTCCGCGGACGAACTTTACCATTGCCGATATTCCTGGTCTGATCGAGAATGCCCATCTTGACCGTGGCCTGGGTCTCGGGTTCTTGCGGCATATTGAGCGCGCCGGTATTCTTGCGTTCGTAGTCGATCTCAGCGCTGGCGACCCAGTGCAAAGCCTGAAGAATCTCTGGCACGAACTCGGTGAATACGAGGGCGTCCGTGAAGAGGAAGAGTTGATGAAGGCCGAGGAAGATGACCTGGAATGGACTCCACCAACCCACGGTCTCCCTGAACTCCAGTCCGAAAGTGATGCTAGATGGCAGCCTGAGCACCCATCTAGAACTCGGGAGCTCCCTTCTCTAAATCTTCCTCCCATCCACAGCAAACCATGGTTTGTTGTAGCCACCAAGGCCGATCTCCCGGAAACCCAAGAACAGTACAAAGCACTTCGTGACTATCTCGCCGCTGTTGAAAAGGGAGACGAGCCGCACCCGGGCGGACATGCCCGTGGATGGCGGAGAAAAGTCTGCGCGGTGCCTGTGAGTGCCATCAGGGGCGAGGGCGTTTCGGGCATTCCGAAGCTTGTCATGGAATTGCTGGATTGAACGACATCTCCAGTAGATAATACGATATGGTGTATATTGAAGGACTTGTAAAATAGCAGGAGTTGATGGACGGTGGCTTGTAATGAATGGATCATCTAAGACATAGTATTTTAAGCAATGAAAATATTTCATCTCTACTACTATCAATAAAGATAGCGTCGCAGTAGACATTATCTACATCGTGAGGCCAACCATGGCGCCATGACCAGACAATCTTATCGTCTCCGAATTTCCCCGCATGACGTCGTCACCACAAACAATAATTTTCGGCGAAAAAGTCGCGATAACAACCACCACCAACCAACCTCAGTTCAACACCAACCAATCCTCCACTCCCTCCACTTTTCTTTCTCTCTCATTACCTCAGTCTAATCCCTCATTCCACCTCCTCATCCCGAAAACCTCCCCAAAAGCAACAACCAAATGAAACAATGCCCACCCCCCACCACCCCCAATCCTCCCCTCCACGACCTAATCCCCCCAACCCTCCACACCATCCTGAGCCCCGACCCAACGGACCCCATCCACCGGTGCTTCAACACCAGCACCAACACCACCACCGAAATCCAACCCCTCCAATCCGCCCTCTGCAACCCCACCGCGACCCTCCCCCTCGCCGACTCGCATCTCCGCGTCTTCCCCTTCAAAGACGTGGATATCTGTTGGAGACGACTGTACACCGATGCGAGTATCGTGAAGGCTTGTTTGGGGATATGTGAGGGGTTAGGTTTTTCATGTGAGGGGGGGAAGGGGAGGAAGAGGAAGAGGGAAAGGGAGAGGGGGGGTGAGTGGGCGAGGGTTGAGGATGTGGTGGGGATTGTGGAGGGGATGAAGATGAGGGATTGGGATTGGGATGGTAAGGGGGTGGAGGTAGATGGGGATGGGGATGGAGGGTGGGTGACATCTGCGGTGGAGGTTCTGGACAAGGCGGTGATTATGACGGGGGCGCCGATGAGGGAGGGGGTTGTGGAGATGTTGTTGGGGGGGTTGCAGGGTATGATTGAACGATTGGAGAGGAGGAAGAAGAAGAAGATGGATGGGGATGCTGAAGAGGAGGATACAAGGGAAGGAAACACGACGCCGCTCTTCTCCTCCGACACTGCACCCACGCCCGAGATCAAATTCCCCATCCCGCGAATATCAGCGCCCTCGTTCGAGTTCTTCCAGCAGCATGTCCAGAAGTCCAAAACACCGATTGTGATTACCGATGCAGTGGACCATTGGCCGGCCATGTCGACGCGGCCGTGGTCGTCGAGAGAGTACTGGTTTGATCGCACGCTCGGAGGACGCAGACTGGTTCCTGTGGAGATTGGACGGGCGTATACCGATGAGGATTGGGGACAGCGGATTATGCCCTTTGGGGAGTTTGTGAGGACGTACCTGGAGCGTGGACGAGAGCAGGATGATGATGATGATGATGATGGTCCAACGGGGTATCTGGCGCAACATGATCTGCTCTCGCAGATTCCGGCCCTGCGGAGGGATATTTCCATCCCGGATTATTGTTTCGTGGATGTCCCTGGGCCGGAGTCGGGAACTCCTGTGTATATGAAGAAGAAGCGGGATGAGGAGGAGAGGAAGCGGAAGATGAAGATGAACGGACAAGAACAAGTCCAGAAGGAGAAGCAGGAGCAGAAACAAGACGATGATAGCAACTCCCAAACCTCCGACAACGAATCTGATTCCATGGACGACCCAGTCATCAACACTTGGATCGGACCCTCATGGACTATATCCCCTCTCCACCACGACCCCTACCACAACATCTTCGTCCAGGTAGTCGGCGCAAAATACCTCCGCCTCTACTCGCCGCATACCCCGGCCTCACAAATCCACCCCAAGGGCAAAGAATCCGTCCATCGAAGCCCCGATCGAGAAAACAATAACCAATCCCACCCCCCAAATACCCAAGAACAACCCCACCAAGGCACAGACACAAACACAAGCGCAGAACAAACCACTGACCCCCAACTCATCGACATGTCCAATACCTCCGAGGTCGATCTAACCGCCATCGAAATGTCCCCCGCCGAAGCCGAACAATGGGAAGACCTCTGGCCGGGGTTCCTGCAAGCCGAGTACGTGGAGACGGTGCTCAAGGAAGGCGAGTGTTTGTATATTCCGGTGGGATGGTGGCATTATGTGCGGAGTTTGCGGGGTGGGGTAAGTGTTAGTTTTTGGTGGGAGTAGATATCATCGGTTTTGTATATATGGCGGTAGATTATACTATCTAGTAGATGCGTGTTCGTGTACTCTGTAAGTCAGAGCTTTCAGTTGCATAGCCTCATTGTTGAGCAAAGTCAACCCACATGAAGAACTAATTTTGATCAGATAAGATGGGTCTAGATGGAGTATCAAGATAGCCATTCACCAGGAACAGTAAATCATCCATACTAAGATCCGGAGGTCAAACAATCGCGAAAATCCACTTTTATATACCAGCAAATTATGAACGAGGTTAGGGACGCGTCGACGTGTTTGATCTTATCCGATGGATGAGTGAATTGCATACTTGGATACGGTTTGTATGAAAGACATCTAAACTAGCTATGCTTAACCCCTGTTCTTGCAGCCATACTATATCTGCGTGGGGAACTGACGCAAAGAGCGCAGGGGGCATGGCATCACTTCTGCGTCCTCACCAGAACTAGAGGCTTGCCTGCCTCGATTGAATCCCCCGGTTGGGCTAGGATTTTCTCCACCGTCGAACCAGCAGCGAGGGACTCGGTGCGGACGGCAATTTCTAGTTTCATGGCTTCCAGTATAACCACTAGCTGGTCGGGGCCTAGCTTATCGCCTTCTTTGACTTCCACTTTCCAGATGTTGGCGTTTAGGGGGGCTTCGATGGGGGTGATATCAGGGTCTAGAATATAGAGAGATGGTGTTAGTATTGTAATTCGGGAAGACGAGGGAAAAGGAGGGGATAGGGGACTACCTTTTAGTAGGTTCTCGATTGTGTCCATCGGGATACCTCTTTCTGCTTTCTCTTTGGCCCACAGTTCAAGAAGCTCGGCCTCAAGCTTGTCCATCTCCGCTTGTGCCTGTCGCTGCTTGCTTCGGATGGCTGCGACTTCTTCTTTGGTATCGCGGAGGAGTCTGTTGTGTTCGGCCATGTCGAAGACGGTTTCTTCCCATTGGTATTCGTATCGTCCACTGTTGAACAGGGCGAGCTGCTTTTCGTACTCTTCGTCTGACACGCGGTAAAAGGTGATCTGATCAAAATCCTCGAAAAGCCAGGGGCGGTTGGCTTCGTAGCCTTTCTTGGAGCCGAGAATATCAACGCCGGGAATCGTCATGCCTGTCATTTGGTATCCGCCTGGGGAGTCCACGTTGTATAGTCTGCTTTGTGTTAGTGTGAGGGCCTTGACAGGAGGATGGGGTACATACGCCATGCAGCTACCGCCCCAGGACACGGAGCCGGCAGGAGTGTAGACTCTGCTGGGGTTCATTTTTGGGCAATTCATCCGATGGCGCGGGTCGACAGGAAGTGAGAGTGGCAGAGCAGTGAAGAATCCAACTGCAACGACCATTAAATTGGCAGTCAAGTAGATTCTTTCAAGCTCTCGTCTGCTAAAGGCATTGTTTTTGGCCACAAAGTCTATGTTGTCGGGCAGATAGGAGGCATAGGGGCGCTGCGTCTCCATGTATCGCGTAAGTGCATCTTTCTGTCTCTGGCTCTCGAACGAAAGCGGGAGTTTGAACAGCCGGCTGGGGAATTTCGCTTGACTGAGGTCACCAAGCTTTGTCTCGATATCACAGAGGTACGCTAAGAGTTTCCTCTGTGGGATCTTTGTTCCGTCATAGTAGAGCATCAAAGCTACCCAGTCAGTGGGTGACTTCAATTTTGTAGGGTATGGAGCTTACAATTCCCACATCCCAGCATTGATATCAGCCCAGTGGAAAAGGTGATGCTACCGGTGCCTTCGCTCAGGGCTTTCTTAAGAGCAGTCACTCTGCAACGGTGATTCAGATCAAAAGATCCAGTGCCGTAGTCAATGAGGATATAGTCATCAGCGGCCTAAATTACACGTCAGCTAACCATTGGCTGTTGGGGCCGAATTAGACTTACCTGGCGATATGAAACCAGAGGCTGGCTCTCACTCGCCTGGATCTGGTGGATGACACCACTCCCGCGATTCGCTGCCGTTAACTCAGGAGCCAATTTGTCACTAACAGGGGATATGCCACTGAAATCGCTCTTGTGGCAACCCTGGCCCACTTCGGCGATAAAACGCTCTACTTCCAAGCGAGAAGACAGTGCATCTTCCAAAGAAGTAGCCCGGTATCTCAAAGTATCTCCCGCTTTCACCTGTCCCAGCTTCCAGAGATCAGCTTTGCAAATCGTATGGCTACTAACGAACCCTCCCAGATCCGGTGCATCCACAGGAAATATCACCGGGTCATCACCAGTCCAGTTGAGAGAACCTATCGCATATCCATACTCGATCAGATTAGAAGGGTGCGCGCCACCTTCCCCACCGTCTGCGCGCGCCCAGGTAGGCTTTGGGCCTAAAAGACGGATGCCTCCTCGGGCAGCGTTGTGGGACACCTTCCAGTCCGTACTATAAAGCATATTGATGCTTTCCGGGACAAGGTATCCTTCGTCATACGGCCCTGGCATAGCCATGATCTCCCAGTGATCTGGATATTGAGGTATGAGGTGCTGCGGTAAACGGAGGTCACCGCTGATATCTGGCACCTGTGAAGTTATTGAAAGGAGGTCACCAGAAGCAAGCTGTCTGCCTTGATAGCCTCCTACCCCAACCCCTGGAGTGGTGGACTTGGATCCAAACCACTCTGCGACATTCAAGAAGCCTCCAAAGACACCCAGGTAAGCTCTACACCCGTTCCCGGTGGTTTTTCCAATCTTCAAACGCTGACCGGCCGAGACCTTTACCCTCGACCACATCGGTAGGGGTGTATCGTCTAGTTTGGCTTCAATAGGAGCACCACATAGTGAGATGAGGGCTGGTCCTAAGAATCCCAATTCTGGTCCGCTCAATGTAATCTCTAGTGCCTCCATCCCTATAGGGTTACCAACAAGTGCATTTGCAATGCGAAACGCCGTTGGATCCATAGGGCCAGAATGACAAAATCCCCTCCCCAAAGTTGGGCGGCCGGGCCAATCTTCGATAAGCGTATAGGCACCGCCAGAGACAACATCAATGGCAGACAGCTGGTACTTGAAATCATTCAAGAACCTCGTCAGGGTTTTCCCGGCAACGAATTTGTCATCCGCCAGGACTTCAGCCAAGAACTCCAGGTTTGTTGGAGGGCCACAGATTCGTGACTCTGTCAATATAGTTCTCATTCCCTCAATTGTTTGCTCTCTACTTGACGAGTGATACATGACTTTTGCAAGCAGTGGGTCTATAGCTTGTGTTAGAAGATATGACTGTGGTTGATTACTGACACTTACCGTAATTCGCCGACACTTTGACACCTCTATAAACCCATGTATCGATTCTAGACCCTTGCAATTCTTTCCACTCGACAGTCTGAAGTGTCCCCGGACAAGGCGCAAAGTCCTTGGCCGGGTTTTCGGCATAAACTCTTGCTTCAATGGCGAAACCAGACGGTGAGTGGACTGGGAGGTTAGCGAGATACGCCGCGTTGATACCTTTCTTTCCTGAAAGCTGGGCGTCTGCTTGTTTCAACATCAGTTCCACCAGATCAATTCCATAGCATAGCTCTGTTATTCCATGCTCAACTTGTAGGCGCGTATTCATCTCAAGGAAGAAAAATGCACCGGTCTCGTCATCCACAAGATACTCGATTGTTCCAGCGGATCCATAATCTATCGACTCCGCGAGACGGACAGCAGCATCACCCAGCCTTTCTCTTAAGCCGGGATTTGTGGTAACAAACGGGCTTGGACACTCTTCTATAACTTTCTGGTGTCTCCGCTGTATGGAACATTCACGTTCACCAATGTATATGGCTTTGCCGCCACCATTCCCAAACACCTGGACCTCGATATGGTGGCTCGATGGAAAATAGCGTTCAACAAAGATTCCGGCATTTTTGAACAGTGCCTCGCCTCTGGACTTGACTGTGAGAAAAGAATCTCTAACTTCTTTCTCTGTATTGCAGGTTAGTAGACCCATTCCACCGCCACCAGCTGTAGCTTTCAGCATGACCTAGATCAATGTCAATTCAACATCAAGCTTGAGGTTACCTAGGTCCAAATACCGGAAATCCTAGTTCCTTTGCAATTTGAACAGCTTCGTCCTCGCCTTTCACCAGTCCCTGTGAGCCAGGCACGATGGGAACACCAGCTTGTGTCGCAAGATCTCGTGCAGTATGCTTAAGCCCAAAAGCCTCGATGCTCTCCGGCGAAGGACCGACAAAAGCTATCCCAGAGCTAGCAACAGCTCTTGCAAAGTCCGCATTTTCAGACAGAAACCCATATCCCGGTATAATTGCGTCTGCATTGTATTGCTTCGCGATTTGGATGATCTGCTCTCTGTGGTTCCAGGTGAATGAAGTCAGCAATTGCTCGGTCGGGATAATATCAAGCACCCTCACCCATCGATGTACGCCTTGGATGGTGTGCCAGTCAGGAGGACGGCTTCGTCTGCCAGGTGAACATGGGTGGAAGCAGCATCCGGTTCAGTGTAAACCACTACTGTTCGAAGATTCAGCTTCCTGTGGAACATTAGACATCGGTTTTGTATGGCAGGAGATTCCATACCTAGCTGTCTTCAAGATTCTAACAGCAATCTCGCCACGGTTGGCGACTAACAGTGTCTTCAGTGATTCCATTGCAGATGGCTGTTGAAGGGTGAAGGGTGTTGGCGGGTCGGGTCCCTCTGGTTATATTAAAGAGCAGCTCCTGTCGTCAACTCTGCACGCCTACTCGTTGACTGTTACGATGAGCAGCTCGGGGTTCGATGATAAGAGGTATGATGTAGATCAACGGCCGTTGGAGAATTGGAGATGGGTGGGGTCAACCCCTCGTAGATCGCTGATAAGCCAGGTGCCCCTCTTCAGTCTGCAGAACGAAGACTCAGGTGCAGGTCATCCCGTTAAACTCCCTAGGTGCCTGCAAATGACGCGTAGGCTAAATATGCGCATTTTTCCAGCGATTGAGTAGGCGTTGTTGCCCAAGTGTCTTGGACGGATTCTCCGGGGTAACGGAGAAGTTCAGTAACTTCCCAAATTTTGAGAACGCGCCAAGTTCGGCACTCAGTGCTATTAGGTTTATGATTGCATTTATCTTGGTTATCGAATATGATTGACGCGATGGCCGCTGGTGGTTCGCTATCGAGGAAGCTTATCCAGGAATTGGAGGGTGGCGCCGTTACCCCGCCATTCAACTCCAGTCGACCAGGTGGTTCTTTCGCCCAATGGCCTCATTGCACACTAGAGTATTTTCAGCCAACCTTTGCATGGCTAACTCCCCAACTATTTGCATCATAACATGGCATAGCACTAGCATTCCATTGGGAAAGCCAATTCATGTGCCGGGAAGTGAGCTGGCTGTTCCTCGTATGTGGTAGGGACCTTGTACCAGGTTAATTGTGTCAGCCATGATGGTGTCCTCGGACTGTTGATACTTACGAGACTCATGTACTTTTGTGCAGTGCGATAATGGAATGTTGCTAGCATTGGGCTTGGTTCTCTTGGCCTGTCTTGGATAACAATGACTCCTCATCAGTACTATATCACTAGCCAAAGAGAAAGAACATTGATGAGACCAGACGCATTCAGGAACAGCCCAAGCCGTCAAGTTTGAAAATGAACTCGAACTCCAGAGTGATCAATGTGAGTGGCAGGAATACCTGAGCGAGACGATCATGAGCGATAAGCTGATAAAGAGCAGTTAGTAGGTTAGCCTTATTTAGCATAAACCGTAAGAGTATATCAACAAGATCCGATATGGTGTAGTGGCTAACATCGCCGTCTCTCACACGGCAGCCGGGGGTTCGATTCCCCCTATCGGAGCTCAAATTCTCTTTTTGCTTTTGGTCGTTCATTTTTTTCCTTACAGCTTGCTTATGGTTTTATTGCTAAACGTCTTTCGTTATCTTCTCCCAAGAATTGTTGTTCGTACCATAGGACTCCAAAGGGATATCCGTCCCTACAATTACCAAGCCCGAATTATATATCGTTGCAACCCTCCCAGTGAGGCTGAACGGAGGAACTCTTCTCATTTTCAATGTCATGGGTTCGTACTCTCCTCGTGTATCAGGATACGATTCAAGTCCTAGCTTTAAGTCTGATAAAATGCCTAAAATTCCAAGACAGAGTATTCAAATCCCCCAAGAGTCTCAAATATACCAAATTATGAGGATGCGGAGGGGGTAAATAGTTTGGATTTTCATGCATTGTTCTTTTTTCTTGGATATACGGCATGTTTCTTTACAAATAGCACTTCCACATCGCCATCCTGGTCTTGATATTAGTAGTATATGAACCCATGACTGGTCATAGAGCTGGGTCTTGCACTGGAATATTCTGATGCCTCGAGGCAAGATTGGTGACCCAGTTTGTAAGGATTGGGGCATGCTTAATTGCTGTTGAGAATCCATTGTAGACAGGCACATCATCCAACCCCTTTCCTCTGTTACCATTTTGTATCTACCAACCAACCCATCATCATACCGTCCTCGATTGGACCGCTTCCGCATGTCACGACAATTATTATCATCAGAGTTCGTCAAGCTACCGGGTCTCGAACATCGTAAACACCGACAAGGCATCCTCCAAGCAGAGGTCTCCCATGTTGGCTGACGGAGTGATGGATGCTATATGTTACAGCTATTGGAGGCCGCAATGATCCGTTGAGCGTACGTAGTTTGAGTATAAGTGGAGATGTAGTTTAATAGTTTAATCCAAGCGACTAAGGAACATGCAATGATATCGATATGGTCATTAGTATGACTCTTGTCCCCACCAGATACCCCCACGCCATGTGGCAGACCTTCATTATTGTCGGCCACTAAACCTTGGATGTAGATGAGATGATTACCCATGACTACAAGAGAGACCTTACCATATATCGGCTTCATGTGCACTTGTGAAAGCCTTACCGATGATTATTGTGCAAATATAGTCTTTAATGACGGTAGATGTTATGCCAGGAATCACATCTGGCCTACACTTTTGCATCTCAATGATTTGTAACTGCCTGAGCCATAATCCTCTCATTCTTGTGCATGGATGGTGGATTGATATAGTTTATATGCATCATGTTGGTTCCTCCGCCGCATAGCCTGTAAATTCCCGATAGATAGTAACCGTCTCTGCATCGGGTCATCTAGAATCCTCCCGTCAACTTCTATCCTCGAGATCAGATTCTGAGGCCATGATCCATGGGCAGTGGTGGGGCGGGTCCGATATCGTTGGCGCCGCGATGAATCATGCTTGCCGGAATCGGATAGGCGGCACGCCCAAAGCCCCGCGCCGCGTAACCGGAAGAGGGCAAGCGTTGTCAATGGAAGGGCGTGCAGGCGCGCGCAGAGATCCAGTTTTCTGGTCGAATGGTCGTCCGTCTCCTCGGACCACGCTGATTTCTCCGGACCATTCTCACGCCCAGCGCGCGCAGAATGGGTCAATCATGGGCCAAGCCGGTTGGACCGAATACGACTTCCATGCATCAGTCTCACACCCCCCTTTGGAACGCTGCTAGGCTGGGGGCTAGCAGTTGCCCCCAAAGGGTAGGTCCACGAATGATCCCACTCCCACCGCTGGACGAATGGAACCTGCTAGCAGGGGGTCCGTTCCGGCATGCTTTTGATACCCCAGACGAAAAACATAGTCTACCTTCGATGCTGGCCTCCGCTGCCCGCTTGCTCATTCCCTTTCTGACTTGATCTCCATCTCTTCGCCATCACTCTTCTGGTTTCTCCTCCGCGCCTCAACCTGGGATGAGACCATCTTCTCACATCCTGTAACCATAAACGAGACGTCCCTTAATCCCATAGATCGAAACCCTATCAAGTCAGCAAAGAATGGAGTATTTCGACTTCGATGAAGCCTCATATGACTCCCACGTGCGCGAAGATGATGTTGCTTCGGACAATATTGAGCTCGACGAGAACGAGGCTGTGGAGAACTTCAATGTCTTGTTTCAAGAACAAACCCTAGAGTTTCCCAACGACCTGCCGGAGCCCGATGCCGGCGCGCTGGATAATGGAGTCCAACCGATGAGCCGCGCCAAAGACCCATGCGACTTTTGCAGACATATGGGTCTGGATTGCTTCGTTGCAAAGAGTGGCGTCATGCGCCAAAGTGGTTGCACCTGTTGCATCTCGCTCTACCGAGAATGCAGCTTCACGCATGCTCCAGCGCCGGGCAAGTTCCTGGACACCTTACATCCAATCAACGAGAACGCCTACATTCACACTGGCGGGTTGACGGGCAAGAAAGCGCTCAAGTCTCTCTCCTACATCGCCGAAGATGATGGTCGAGCGAGGAAAAGCAATTCTCGACTGTCGCGTGAAGCGGTCCGCATCCTCAAGGCATGGCTGCAAGAGCATAGCGAGCACCCGTACCCAACGGAGCCCGAGAAGGACGAGCTACAGCAACGCACGGGATTGAAGAGAATCCAAATCTCCAACTGGCTTGCCAATGCTCGACGCCGCGGCAAAGTCCGCCCCGCTCCACCCAGCAATCCTTCGACGGGCGCAATTGACATTCCCGGGCAACAAGGCGTGGACGTCGCGTACATGACGCCCCTGGAGCGTTGGAAACACTCGCCCCCGGAAAACGAACCCGCTGCCACCTCTGATATTCTGCGAGCCTTGGTGAGCACCGACCTGAATCATGAGCGACAGCGCTCGTCCAGGCCGGGTCACGTGCGTTCCCTTTCTCGGAAGACTGGGTCTAGCAATGACTCAAGCCATGCCAACTCCAATCTGTTCCAAGCTCCCTCGGTTAGCAGTCAGGAGACTAGTCGGTCGGCCAGTCGCTCTTCCTTATCCGACCTCTCCTTTGCCTCTGCTTTCTCCCATCGATCCTCTCTCGGGTCCTTTGGTTCGATGGAGCGGAAGGAACGCCGTCGCCGTCGCAAGCCCTCACTTCCGGTGAATGCCTTCAACCAACAGAAGGCACGAAGTGCCCGGATCTATCAATGTACCTTTTGCACCGACTGTTTCCAGACCAAGTATGATTGGCAACGTCATGAGAAGTCACTGCATTTGGCTCTCGAGAAGTGGACTTGCTCGCCGCTCGGGGGTGTCGTCGCCATTGATGGTGCCAACCGCTGCGTATTCTGCATGGCCGTCAACCCCGATAACAATCACCTGGAATCGCACAATTACAGCACCTGTCAAGAGAAAACGCCCACGGAGAGAACCTTCTACCGGAAGGATCATCTCAACCAGCATCTAAGGCTGATGCACAACGTCAAGTTTGACTCATCCATGGACGCTTGGCGGAGTACTATGATCGAACTCAAGTCTCGATGCGGCTTCTGTGGGCTGGGACTCACAACCTGGAAAGATCGTGTCGACCATCTGGCCTCCCATTTCAAAAACGGCAGTACGATGGCCCAATGGCAAGGGGATTGGGGCTTTGAGCCGTTTGTCCAGAGCCTGGTGGAGAATGCCATGCCGCCATACCTCATTGGAGGCGAACAGAAGACTCTTAACCCTTTCAAACCGCCCACTGCTGAGCAATCTTCGGGTTTGGTCCAACCGGAGGACGAAAACTGTTATCGCCGCCTGCAGCGTGAACTCACTGCATTCATTCACAACCAAACGGCTATTGGTGTCATTCCCACGGATCGGATGATCCAAGACCACGGCCGGCAGATCATCTATGGAAGTGACGACCCCTGGAATCAGACATGTGCCGACAACCCTGTCTGGCTTAGCCTTCTGAAGCGGGATGCTGGTCTCGAGATCATGCCAGGCTCCGAGCATATTCAGTTCGCCGACCTGGAGATGCGACCACCGTTTGCTGCTGCTGAGGGCCTAAGGCAGCCGCCAGCTGAAAGCAGCCTATTAGCCAGGTCTTTTTACCCCCAGCAACGGACATTCAGCCCCATGACTCCCAGTTCTGGCCTCCAGAGCCCCGCGTTCGTAAACGGTCGGTCTTCCGCTGCGGCAAGTGCCCCTGGCAGCTCTACTGGCAGCTATGCGGAAAGTTCGAGCTTTCTTCCTTCCCGGCCGTATTCCAGGCTGTCTGCCGACTGGGGAAGCAGTCTGTCTGCTGGCGTGGCTTCCCTATCCACGCCCTTGAGTGGTTCTGTTGACCAGTTTGTGCAAATGGGATTTGACCCGGAATTCCTGAAACAGCTGAATGAGCGGTATGATGAGTTGCCGTTGGACGATCTGCAGGGCTTGAGTTTTGAGGACAGTCGACGCGAGGGTGAGCAACAACCTCCTGGGAAGCCTTTTCCAGTCTCCAACCCTGCTTCTGTCCCGATTGCTATCCCTAGCACACGGAGCCCGGATACATTCATGTCAGATACCCCCGACCAGGGCTATCCGGGGGTGCATGGGGCATGATCGGGCATGTCGAAGTTTGATGACGGGGGAAGGTTGATATGGCAAGTGTAGATAGTGACGACTGTTCCCCTTGTGTTTGAAGAGCCATTGTTCCGAGCGTGTTCTCGCAATTTCAACTGGAGACTTTCATTTGTGGCAGGAACTTAAAATATGTACTGGAGAGCGACAATTAATATACCCTATTCCGATGAAATCCGCGGGGTGCTCCTTGCATGCCCGCACTTCACGTAGAATTAGTGCTGTCACAGGGCGTAGACATAGGGCGTAGACCCAGGGCCCCTCCGATTGGCCACCACCCCTTGCTCATCCCCAGCCAATCCCGGGCCAGGGTCTAGATGTGGCCTTATCGGAGGGGCGTATCGGGCTGACATGTGAAAGCCGCCGGGACTCGTTCGGAACTTTCCACCTGCACAAGCACCTGCTTGTTTCACAAAGGCAAAACGCTCATCGAAATCCCGCAGCTGTTGTCATTCTCTGCGTCAGAAAAACGCAACCCCCACCATTTCATGGTTCACCCCTCATCGGCGCAGCCCACCTGCAACATGGACAAAATGGACGATCTCGCAGCAGTGAGCGATACAGTGGTATATCGGCAAGTGCTGACGGTTTTCTCTCCTGTGATCCCGGCATCTATTCGACGACAGCTTCCTCGTTTATATTCCACGATGTCTCGCACTGTGAAATCGGACAAGTCCAGTGTCAAATCCGGCGACTCCCGGAGTGGCTTTATGCGCTCGATGCGGTTGTCTTCTGACGATTCGGGGGCGGGATATGCGAACTCCTTGTCCGATCTTTCTTCAGGGCCTGATCTTCAGCGTCCCGGTACCGCCAGCAGTGCCTGGACTGGGCGAGATTCATATGCTTCGTCTGTTTGTGAGAAGCAGGACTATACGGAGGGCTCTAGCGTCGGGGGCAGTAGATCTGGTGATGTGCCCTCGGTGAATCCCAAGTATGAGATGGAATCTGGATTGCAGTGGAATCGAATCGTGCCTGGTCTGTATTCATCCACCTGTTGCTGCTCACTAAAGCAGACGAGAACATGTTTTATGAGGGCAGGCCTGGCTAACAAAACTTAGCCCTTAGTCTACTGCAAAACGCCTCCCACGAAGCTCAGCAGCGTAGATGCGACGCTCGTCTAGCACGCTTACTGTACATTAACGCTCTGGGTTATCTGCTCGACGGCCTCCCTGCAGACATGACCGATGACGAGATTAGAACGATCCGGCGCAATCTCCCTGCCGAGGTGAGAGAGACTTTGCCTGCGCGTGTCCAGGGTCCATTTGCGACAGGGCTCCAAAGGTTGCTCGCAGAGGATAGGTACCCGCCGTATCCCCCGGAGAGGTCATATATTCATCGTCTGTTGGCGCTCAGTATCGTTTATTTCTTCCTCCTTTTGCAATTTTTCATGCCGCATATCAAAGTCCTCGTGCGCTTTCTGTATCAATACGAGCGAACCCATCGGGTTACAGAACGGGCGATAACCACGGCCAAGGACGCGGTGGATACCCTGGGCAGACGGGGCGTGCATTTGGGGTCTGCGATCTTAAACTCCCAGGAAGGAAGGGTGGGTGCCAATGTGGCAGCTTGGTGGGTGGAGGGCATTGCCGGTGGGCTTTACGAGGGACTGGGAGAGGGCATGATCATCATGGGTCTCACCCGACCGCATGCTGAGATGGGGAGGGCTTCTATGCAGGCGCAGAGATGATGACCAAATTGGATGATGTTGTCCAACATAACATAGACTTTTTAATTTGATACGATGTATGATTGTTTCCTAAGAATCTAGACGGGCACGATAACGGAGATAGCGGACATAAGGCGCGCCGACTCTTCAATTCCTCTTCGCTCGCGCGCCCCCTGAACATTTCCAACCACCCATTTCCCCATCATGTCGACAACCCGGTTACCCAATATCCCCGCGCTTCGAAAACAGCAACTTCTCCTAGAATTGTGAGCCCGACATTCCCGTCCGACTGACCACCCGGTGTTGACTCTCGCAGCGCAAGTTTACAACATGCCGCTCCCCCGGGAACCTACATGAGCTTGAGCCCGGGCGATCCTACGCTCTGGCTGGGTGTGATTTTTGTTCGGTCGGGTATACCCTCCCTACCAATCTACCCACATACCATACCTAAGGTATAAAAGCTAAGAATTTGTGGTATAGGCCCCTACGCCTCCGCCGTCCTCCGCTTCCAAATCCGCTTCCCCACCTCCTATCCCGACATGCCTCCCCTCGTGAACTTCGCCACCGACGTCTTTCACCCCCTGATCGTGCCCCTCACCACATATACCTTCAGCACTGGTGCCTCGAGCGAGGATCCCGTCAGCGCGACCGACGATGAACGTCTGCCTCCGGGCGGGTTCAGTCTCCGACATGGCTTCCCGCATTGGTTCGGTCGGGCTAGACGAGGATTGACCACCTCGGTGTCGTCGCCCCGGGAGACGAGTGCCCGGAATTCAACTGCTAGTGAGGGTGTATCGGGGAGTTTGTGCAGGGAGGGTGTGGCGGAGAATACCGCTGAGATGCCGGAGGCGCAGGCTCAATCGGATGGCGAGAACGAGAACGAGAGTGAGGATGAGAATGGGGAAAGGGAAACGGTTGCGCCATCACCGGTCGAGAAGCCCGTGGAACCGAGACACACCGTCCCGGTAACAGAGCTATTGAATTACATCCGATCTACGTTTGACGACGAGACGGTGCTGGATTCCTTGCCGCTAGAGGCAGCGGGGAATCCAAGCGCATGGCATGCATGGAAGGCTCATCGGAGAGGAAGTAAGAGTTCTGCGACGCTGAGTGGATCGAAGAAGGGGAGTAGTCCGCAGGCGAGATCCCCCGGGGATTGGCACTGGGATGGGATTTGGGCGAGACGAGTACAGAATGAGATTGAGGCGAGTAGTTCGGATGCGATGTTATTTGGGAATGCGAATCGGGGGGGAGTTGAGGAGATGGTACGATTCCACTTGACAGTGTGGTGATGTTGTTTGTTGGTTGGTTGATGGCTAATGAGTACAGATTCGATTTAGTCGTCTTGATGCGACGACCCTGGCTTCGGTTAAGGAGATGATGATCCCGCGTGCGGAGGAGGTCCCTTGAATAATTCATTTACCCTATAGAATAATGTGACTCAGTTGATCTGACTACTCGATCTGACCTCATATCGAACGCATCTAGACCGCTGACCACGCATCGCGCCTGCCTACACTGCATGACCTCACCTCCTCGTCCTCTTCACTCTAAAACTCCATCTATATCCCCATACCATATCCTCCAAACCACCCATCTCATAACCCACATATATACCCAAATACCACCACCACCAACCATCTTAAGAATACCAAGTCAACATGTCAACCTGGTACACATCCTACAAAACCTCCATCACGGTCCTTCTCCTCGTGCTCGTCCCCATCGTCGTGATCTGCAGTATCCTGGCCGTCGCCCTCGCATGCTCGGAATTCTGGAGCTCATCCCGGAAATCAGTCACTTGGGTGTTTTGGATCAAGTCGCTGGATCGGACTAAGGGGAAACGGAGTCAGCGGGATTTGGAGCGGGGGGGTTCGGAGCAGCCGCATTTGGCACATACGGGGGTGCCTGGGTATCGGGAGTGAAGTTCACCTTTTTGGGGAGGTTGTATAGAGGGGAGTGGAGGGGGGGGGCACCAAGTTGGTTAGTTGATATTGGTCTTGGTGATGAGTGATCAGTTGGATGTCGAGCAGTCAGTCAGTCAGTTGGGATAATCGACGGGAAGTGAGCTAAGGAATAATTGAGCAGATGAGACTTCGATACATGCTCCAAAAGGATTGTGGATACGAGGTGACCACCATGTCTCGAGCTGCTGTCTTGTCATCAAATGCAAGACACGACGAGTTGTTGGATACTCTATTTGGAAATCGTCGACTCGGACTACTTTGACTCACAATACCAGACATCCTAATTGCTGGCTGACTATCTGGATCGGCTACGATCAAGCAAGACACTTTGCTGCGAGTGCACAAGATACGTTTTCTACATTGGTGGAGGATGCTACTGGATATGTGATTGTCATGGGTTAGATTGCATGCTAGATTACGGGGATGTCCGCTTTTGGGGAGTTGAGCCAAGTGTATGGACATGCCTGGTAGTGGGTTCTTTACCTGAAATGGAATTAGACGTGTTTTCTATACTGGTTTTACGTGTAGATCGTTGCTAGGGCTGCTTCATATGTATCAAGGCCAATTCGACAGAGGTCGTAACAGTATCAAAAGTCAACAGGGTATCACTCATAATCGATATATACATCACCCCAATCAATTACATCCCAACATCATCCTTGTCTCCGAATTCATCCTCTACGAAATTCCTCAACCTCGGACCCTCCTCATCCTCCACCTCCCGATCAACCCACACCGGCTCCCCATCCTCATCAAACTCAGCCCACTGAAAAAACTCACACCCCGTCTTCCCCGGCGCAAACCCCGCATAACACATCCACATATACCGTCCCCTCGTCTCCTGCTTCCTCTGCACACACCTTAAAATCGTAGGTTCCCCGCACCGACACCGCGGGGTATACTTCGGATGCAACGACTCCCGATACCACCGATACGTAATATTGATCCGTTTATTCCCGGCCACCGGATGCATCGTGATACTTTTCGCTGGGACGATGGCATGTTTCCATTCCTCTTGCATTTCGGCATGCATGATGAGGAGGGAGTTGTGGGGGAGGTGGATGGATATTTGTCCCTGTCCTTGTCCCTCCTCCTCGTTGGTATTATCGTTAGGGAGGATCTTGCGGAGTCGGAATTCGCGCTCCACGCCCAAACTCAAGCTTCCAATGACAGGACGGGGCCCGAGATAAGTAAGTTCATCAGAGTGATAGCCTACGCTTTCGGCGGGGCCGGCGTAGCAGTTCACGAAGGCGGCGTTGGGGGTCCATGGTTTCGGAGATTGGAAGGGGAGTTTTGGACGGAGACTGATGTGGTGGTTGACGGTGGTTTGGACGCGAGCGGAGACGGCGCGCATGTGGGGAGTGAGTTGACGGACGTTGGAGCGGTAGGTACCGCCGTAGGTGTATTCGGAGGTGTGTTGGTGGTGTTCTTCGGGGGTGGAGACGTAGATGCTGGAGGAGTGGGGGCTGGAGACGGTGCGGGAGAAGAGTTGGAATTGGGGACGGGAGAAGTGCGGGGATTCGGCGAGGAGTTCGGTGAGGAGGGCGGTTGCTTGCGAAGAGGGGAGGAAGTTGTGGATGAGGGTGCAGGGAGTGTGGGTTGCTATGTCGGTGGGAGAGTAGAGGTGGAGGGTGGTTCCTTTGGGTGGGAGGGTGGGGGTGGTGGTGGATGGGATGTGGGTGGTTAGGGAGGTTTGGATTGCTGGTGTCCCTGGGAGTGGCGTTCGTTTCTTGGTCGGGCGTGCCTGGGCCTGGATGATGGAGGAGGCTGTTTGTACACAGCCACTGCTGGAAATCAGGATTTCCATCAACGCGTCCAGGGCCATGTCGGGGAAGAGTGAGATCAGAAGGGCTAACTTCAGGTCGGTGGAATCCTCGTCGGGGATTGGAGCTGAAGGGCTCCGGGGCCTCTTCCTGGAGACGAAGCGATCCATGGAGAGGATCTTGCAGTCAAACGAGGAGCCATGAGTGGACTTGAAAGCTGGGTTGATGTCAAGAGAAGGTGAAGGTTTGGCCGAACCAGGAAACATCCTTATCGCCACGTGATTGCTATCGAAGTGGCCAATCAGATACGTCATGGATCCTACTACTGACGCTACCGAAAATGGATGATCGAATTCGGCGTCTGACAGATTAGGTACCTAATTACTGTGTAGGTCCCTATAAGAGGATCCAGGCCCACTAGAAACTCCCGTAGAGTTTCCAATCCGGCCGGTGGTTCTGAGACTCCATAATCCCGGAATACATTTCCGCAATGCACCCTCAAAAGCAACATGTGGAGGTGATCGTGGTGGGGGCAGGTATGCGCTTATTCTAACTGCTGTACTGCATGAAGTTTTGACAGAACTTCAGGACTGGGTGGTCTGGCAGCGGCCAAAACGTATCTCGAGCTGGCACCGCAAACGGATTTGCTAATTATTGAAGGGGTAAAACTGCCAACCGTCCACCGCGAGCGCAACTGATCACGGCGTTAGCGTTCGGCTGTAGGTGGCGTATGGGCGGAGAACAGTTATGACGGTCTCCAGACCAACAATCTTTATGGAACGTATGAGTTTTCGGATTTTCCGCTGGACCAGAACAAGTACGATGTCCGACCAGAAGCCCACATCCCTGGGTATGTCCTGAAGCAGTACTTTGGCGATTTCGCAGAGCATTTCGACCTTCAGCGCCGGATTCGCTTCAACACCCGTGTTCACAAGGTCGAGAAAGTCGACGGGTGTTGGAAGGTTCAGGCGCAAACGATCGGCGATGCGGAGACGCTGTACACGTGTACCAAGCTTATCATGTGCACCGGCCTTTCCTCGACACCGAATGACATATCCATCCCAGGACAAGAAAGCTTTGGAAGACCCATGATGAATCAGACTCGGCTCGGAAAAGAGGGTGTTTCACTGGCATGTGATCCCACGGTCAAGTCCGTGACCGTGATTGGCGCATCAAAGTATGGATACGACGCTGTGTATATGATGGCCTCGCACGGCAAGCAAGTGGACTGGATCAATCGCAAGTCAGGCGGGGGTGCTGTGTGGATGGCTTTGCCTTGGGTTTGGTTTGGACGTTGGCGGGTCAAGCTGGAGGGCCTAACCACCACGCGGTTTGTTAGCTGGTTCAGTCCATGCATCTGGGGGGAGTATGACGGCTTTGGATGGGTGAGAGGATTGCTCCATGGCACCGCCCTGGGAAGGTGGCTAGTGCGTTCATTCTGGCACAAGATGAGTGGGGATGTTGTCGAGGTTAATGGCTACCGGAAGGCAGATGCACTGAAGCATCTGGAGCCAGATGAAGGGTAAGAACGCCGTGATATCATGTCATGTACTCACGAATATAGGTTATTCTGGACAGGTCGCTTTGGGATTCTCAGCTATCCCAAGCATATCTATGATTTCGTCCGGTCAGGGCAAGTGACAGTAAGCAGGAAGGATATATCGCACTTGTCAGAAGGCAACGTCCATTTTACCGATGGGACATCCCTGCAAACCGACGCCCTTGTCGCCATCACCGGCTGGGATTTAGCCCCGACCATCACATACGAGCCCAAGGGCCTAGATATTAGCCTCGGGGTTCCAACCCGCGATCTATGCGACGAACAAATTTTCTGGGACCGGTTTGATCGGGCCGCCGATGAAGAGATACTGGCTCAATTTCCCGCTCTGCGTCACCAGCCGGCCGCGAAGATCCCATATAAACCAGGAGTGAGCTCCTTCAGGTTCTACCGTGGCATTGCACCCCCAAAATTGACCGCCGAAGGCGATCACTCCATCGCATTCATGAAGATGATCAATGGCCCAAGCAACGCCCTTTTGGCCGAGGCACAGGCTCTGTGGACATATGCGTACCTCAATGACAAGTTTCCAATTGACCGGTCGAATGTGTATCATCAGACGGCTCGGACCAGTCGATTCGGGAAACATCGGTATCCTTGTGGCTTCGGGTCCTGGTATCCTGAGACGGTCTTTGATGCGATGCCATATGTGGATATGCTTTTGATGGATCTGGGGATCAACCGATGGCGAAAGACAAGTGGGATTCGGGAGGTGTTTGAGGAGTATACCATCCACGATTACCGCGGCATTAATCGAGAGTGGAGAGATGCACAGCAGCGGCAGAAAGCAGCCCTGCCTTAGGGCCTGGTTGTTCAGGCCTGGATCCTTCCCGATTGAACGACAGGTACAAGCATTTGAAGTACTCCGTAGCTAGCCGTGCTATGCCAGCTGGGTTCGAATCCGAGTTGCAGAGGAAATAAGCTACCGGATAATCCCCTCGAACGAAGAAACATGCCTCCATCCACACCATACAGCACTCCCCCATACCTACCAACCCATCCCAACACATCTTACAGATCACATCATACCTCACATGCATCTCAATCCCACAAACAATCTATACATCATCTCCTTCCACACAAAACCCACCAACATACTCACATCTCTCAACACATCTATATCACACTACGAAATACGAAGTAGTCCCTGCGTAACTCACCGGAACCCACTCGCGGGATCCGTCCGAACCATCATCCGATCCGGGAAGGGTTCTTCCGTGAAAGTTCAATCTGGACTGGAGAAGGGTGTATGAAGATACCGAATTGGGAACCGGTGAGTAGGTAAATTCGGTGGTGAGGAATGGCAGGTGTGGTTTGCTGGGATATTTGGTGGTGGTGATAGCTTGGTGGGGAAAACTAAATACTCGGTAGTCGTTAGTATAGCATCGGACTGATTGATAAGAGATAGACATGGAAATGGTGTCGGTGATGTGCATGACAGCTGATTACCTTATTGCTGTCATTTTTTGATAGATATATATTTCTAGAAGGTCAATATATACTATGTAGTAGAAAACTAAACTAGGAAGACTACTATCACGGGCATAGATACTTTGTCCTATGGTATATATGGTTGACGTGAACGCGCCGATCACACGGAGCGTGACAACCAATCACCGAACCTCGGCACGTTGACTCCCCGCAATCCCTCCGTCGCAGTCGCGCTCCCACCATCACCACCATCACCACCACCCCAACCACACAAACCACAGCGCCATGATCTTCCTCCCTTGAACCTCAAGCCAAAACCTCACACATCACAATGCTCCACTTCCGCACCGAAGGTTTCAACGGATGCGCCGTCAAATACTCCCCCTTCTTCGACAACCGATTGGCAGTAGCCTCATCGGCCAATTTCGGTCTCGTCGGAAATGGCCGTCTATATATTCTTGAATTGACACCAAACGGAATTGTACCGTATAAATGGTACCCTCCCTCCCCCTTCCCCCTCACCTAAGAAAGAAAAAAAAAAAACTAACAAAGCAGGTTCACAACCCAAGACTCCCTCTACGACCTGTCCTGGTCCGAAATCCATGAAAACCAACTCCTCACAGCCTCTGGCGACGGCAGCATCAAGCTTTTCGACACCAGTGTGCCCGACTACCCAATCCAAAACTGGAAAGAACATAACCGCGAAGTCTTCAGCGTGCACTGGAATCTCGTCGCCAAGGACCGGTTCTGTAGTAGTAGTTGGGACGGGACGGTACGGGTGTGGTCGCCGCATCGACCGCATTCGTTGTTGACGCTGCCGACGCATAGTTGTACGTATGCGGCGGAGTTTTCGCCGCATTCGCCGGATATATTGTCGTGTGTGGCGTCGGATAGTTATCTACGGGTGTTTGATTTGAGGGTGCCGGCGTCGGCGAAGAATCATTTGGTGGTGCAGGTGCCGATTCATGCGGGGAACTCGACGGGAGCGGTAGGGGCAGGGGCAGCGGGGGTGGCACCGAGTGAGGCGTTGACGATGGATTGGAATAAATATCGACCGTCGATGGTGGCGACGGCGGGGGTGGATCGGACGATTCGCACGTTTGATATCAGGGCGCCTGGGCAGGGACCGCAGACGGTGATGGTGGGACATGAGTATGCGGTGCGGAAGGTGGCGTGGTCGCCGCATTTGTCGAATGTGTTGCTTAGTGCGAGTTATGATATGACGTGTCGGGCGTGGAATGATCAGTCGCCGCCGGGGGCGGTTGGGGATGTGGATGTGATGCGGACGGGGCCGGGGCCGAATATGGGGGTCGAGATGGGACGCATGGGACGGCATACGGAGTTTGTGACGGGGGTGGATTGGTGTTTGTTTGGGAGTGAGGGGTGGTGTGCGAGTGTGGGATGGGATGAGAGTCTGTATGTGTGGGATGTGAGGGCTGTAATGGGGTAATTCCTTCCTCCCTCCTTTCTTCCCTCCTGGTGGTTTATTGGATACTAGATTGCATGATACCATTGTTCGTGATCATTCTGCATTGCGGTGTCTATACTTAATATCACCTCATGGCTCTATACAGAGCGGGTATACCCATCCCAACCTATCCCCCAACCAAATAACCCCCCCAAAGAAAGAATCTCACCGAGTCAACCTCGCCTCCACCTTCCTCTTCTCCGCCTCCCTCACACTCGCAATCTCCTCCCGACTCGCATCAAACGCCACATGCACCTGATTAAACGGATTCTCCTCACTCTTCTCAAACTCCTTCTTACACAACTCAACCCTTTGATTCCTCCTAAGTCCCGGATTCTCCGCCTCAATCTCGGGTAACCTCCTCGCCTCAAACGCCGCATACGCCGCCTTGAATCTCCTCTCCGGGTGTCGATCAATCTTGCCACTATCCTTGCCCGTCAGTGACAATGCGTCCAACGCGTTATCGATACCCGAGGCATTAAGCGCAGAAGCCTTCTTGCTGCCTCCGTCTGAGGAATCGAGCTGCGAGAGGTCGAGGGTTCCGCGGCTCGGGGCGGCGGATGATTTCTTGGTAGCGGACTTGGTGTTCTTGGGTTTGCTGGGCTGGGAGGCTTCTTCGGCGGCGAGGAGAGCGTCGCGTTCGGCTTTTTTGCGCGCGGCTTCGGCTTTTTTGGCTTCGGCGTCGTCACTACATATCATCCTCGTTTAGTTATTTGGTTTGTTTGGTTTGGTTTGGGGTGGTTGAATTTGGTCTGGAGGGGAGAATGTAGAGAAGGGAGGGGGGAAATACCGCTTCGCACTACTCTTCGCACCCTTGGACCATTGCTTATCCTCCTCTGCGGCGCGTTTGGAATCCTCGACGGCCTTTTTCTGCGCCGCGGCTTCGGCTTTCTATCCCCATGAGTTTCTTGTTAGCTTGCGTGTATACCGTTATCGTGCAGACTTTTCGGAATGGGGTGGTGGTGGTGGTTGAGCGGGGGCGGGGTAAGAATAATTCTTGCGCGTAGCGTAGCTAATTACACCGCATGAGGGGTGAAAATTGGAGGAAGAACATACACGGGCGTTTCCTGCGGCCTTTTTGGAGTTTTCGCCGGCGGCTTTCTTGCCTCCCATGTTGGATGGTATTTGTTGGTGAAGGTGAAGTGAAGGAACGCTGTGGAAGTAGGGAAACGAAAAGAAGTATTGAAGTGGGATGGAGGGATGAGTGGATGGATGTCATCCTATGGCGGGAGATGCTGGGCCGGCGGTGGAGCTATGACTAAGGCGGTGCCGCATGGATGGAGACCTGGACATACTATGTGGTCCTTGTGGTAATTGATGAGGAATCAAGTGAGGTGATGAGTGAATGAGTGATGAATTTTTTGTTGGTTCACTGGTTTAGGCAGTATTAAATACAATTGTTGCTGTCGCTGCGCTGGGCGTGCGTGTGACATCTTCAACTCTATCCATCTTCTTTCTTTCTCAACACAGTATCGCTGCTTCGTGGGAGAACCGGGACAAGCACAGCTGGCCCGATCAGCTTGATCGGGGCAGCTACAGCTTCACCTCCCAAGTCCCCTTCTCCCACATCTTCACTCCCCGAATATCTTCAATGCGCAACAACGCCCGCGTGTTCCATTCGAATCCAAACAGAAACGCCGGATCCCCATCTTTATCCTCAACCGGGAATGAGGCATCAAGGGGGACATATGCACTCGTCTCGTGGGCCGGTTTAGTCTCACCGCGGGCCGCCTTGGCCAGATGCTTGATGCGGCTTTTGATCTGGATGGCGGCGTTGGCGATCGGCCCGTGCTGGTTGAAGCACAGGGCGACGTATTCGAGGCGAAGGTGGGGAAAGTGCAGGATGCTGTCGATCAGCGTGTACTGGACCTCGCGCAGCATGGTGGTGCACATGTCGGCGCGGTACCAGAAGATTTGCAGGGCCGTGAGGGAGGATAGGCCGCCGATTTGCTCGACGAGGTAGTGCTGGTAGGTTAGTATCAATCTGCAAGGGGAGTGTGGATGACTTACAATACTCCAGTTGTTGACACCGACGCCCAGCTCGAGTAGGTTGCGGCCGACCTGCGAGATGAGTCGGATGGTCCGCGCATCGGCCACCCAGCTGGATCCCTCGTCGTTGCGCAGAACTAGTCGCTCTAGGTGTTGCATGTGTTTGCTCAGGATGTCCTTGCGAATGGTGATCATGTCCACTGTGGTCTTTTCGGCCAACGACTCTACCTTGGCCTGGCTGCTGCGTTCGAATAGGAACAGCTCGGTCACCTTATCAAGGCTGCTGATCAAGGTGCACAAGGCAGTCGTGACGTTGTCCGTGTGGATGGAGGTCAGCTGGAGAGGACGCATCTGGTTGCATCGCTTCAGGAGAATCCAGAGCGGGCCTTGCGGGCCAACGTTGAGCAGGGACAGATGTTTGAGTGAAAACATGTTAATCGCCTGGCCGATCACAGTCGCACGCACCGGAATGAGATGAATCGACAGGCTTTCCAAGGGGATGCCATGGGCCTGTCGGACATAGCGGTCGAGGGCCTTGTCGGTGGGCTTCTCGGGCCCGGCCGGGGGGTTCCTGACGGGCTGCTTTCCTTTGCTTCGGGAGTCAGGTGTGCGGAGTCTAGGCGCTGGGTGGTGCGAGAAAGCTAGAACACTGGCCTCGGTGATCGAACGTTGCGTTTCTTCGAGGAACTCTTGATCCTCGCCCTCGTCCACCACATCGGGGTGCTCGATATCGATCTCGTCCGACGGACACGTCTGCTTCCGTATCTTGCTCTCCGAGGAAACGAATTTGCTACTGCTCGGCCGGGGAGATTCAGGAGTCGAGACCGTACCGGACGCAGTCGCAGTCGCAGTCACCTGGGAAGCGTCTTTACTCGACTGACCGTCCAGGTATTGAGTCGTGGCCTTGTCAATCCGATGAAGCGCCCCGATGATGCCAGTATGTTCCGAATTGAGGACCATCATGGTTGGCAGCATGCGGGAAAGCGAGCGCAAGGCGCGGACGAACCTTCGATCCTTGACCTCTTCCGAGAGGGGCGGGGATGTAGCGAGCGATCGATGATGCTCGTTCTGCAAAGCATCTTCCAACGCCTTAGTGCGCAGCGTCGGACCATTGAGTTTGAAGATGTACGCCAGCACCGACTCCTGGATGGCGCGTTCGCGACGGATCACCGGGTCCGAGGAGAGAAAAGAATCGGTCGAGGGTGGTGCCGCGGACTGGAACGTCGCCTGGTTGGCTGTCTGAGCATGCATCGGGTACATGTTGCTCGCCAGCAGAGTATCCCCTGGGGTGTTAGCCAGGGTTCTCTTGCGCGCTGACTTGGCGAGATCGTCCGAGAACGACAGCTTCAGCGACTTCAAGGTAGATTCGCACTGCGAGATACAATGCGTGAGCTGCGACACGATCCGTAGATCCTCGATATTCAGCACAGCCAGACTCTTCAAATCCGCCAGGAGAGAAAAGGTCGACGGCAGTTGGAGCTGCCCGAGTTCCTTGAGCAAGTGAACCTCAGGGCCAGCGGCTCCCCTCGACCCTCGAGTGGGCGGATTATCCACGGAAAAGTGAAAATGCGGTGTCTGCAGCATCTGTCCAAGCACCGGTTCGGTCGCGCCCCCCAGGGGACGTGTTGGCAGACGAACATGCAGGTCCCGCAGATCCGGGACACGACTGAGGGCCTGAAAGACCGACGGCGTGAGTTCGAGACGAATATCCCAGCTATCACATCAGCCAGACCTCCCCCCACCCCCCAAGCAAAACATCCACTTACTTAAACCCCATCAAATTCACCGTCCTAGGCACAGTAATAGCCAGCAGACTACTCAAATGCCTCCCCGCCTCATAGCTCAGCTCGGGCTTTCGAACAATAACCCCCTGTCGATTATCGGCCTCGTAGGGCGCGATATGCGTCACTGTAATGTCTTTCACCCACGCAGCGTAGTCATAGCTGCTGCTGCCGTTCACAGTCTCAACCATAGCCGTGAACCGATCCAAAGAAGTCTGCGAGAGGATAGGATCATCCGCGTGAATGGCATAGCAGATATTCCGATACAACACGGCCGCCGCAATGTCCCGGAACTGGTGGCAGACGCTGGCTAGATTCACGAGACCTTTCTCACCAGCCTAGATTGATGCCTCGTCATTAGCACGCGTTCATCCCAAACACGCCACTCCCCCGTCCCCCCTACTAGTAATGAGGGAGGGGCGTGAAAGTACCAGGAACAAAAAACATACCGATTCAAAAATCCCCGTGAGAATCTCCAAAGGAAGATGAGCCAAGCTCACGCGGGGCCCATCTCGGCGTGAGATTGGATTGGCCATGCTGGAGGAGGAGGAGGAGGAGGAGGAGGAGGAGGAGGAGGAGGTGTTCTCCGCTGTTCTGGACGAGTGGTTTGGTTGCACGATGGATTGTGGCGGAGGATGTTGTGTGGAACGCGGAGAGGGACCGGACCGGTGGAAGACTGGGTGAGTGATCATGGAGGGTAGAGGGATGGTAGGTAGTGCGGGAGTGGGAGGAGCGGGTGAGGAAGGGAAATGTAGAATGGAAGGGGAGAGGATATGTCCGTGGAGGTGTTACTTGGATAGTGGTCTGTGCAGGAGTGAATGGATGGCTGGTAACCTGGGTTATTCACGGAGTACTGATACTTGGTGTTGGCTCGTGGGTTCTACTGATGTAAAATAGAAATTGTAGGGAAAGAAATAGAAAGAATGAAGCCTTCAGATGATAGAGTGGACATCAAACGTATTCATACTATGAGATTAGATACTATGCAAAATCCCTATTTACAATACACCTACACAGGCATCACAGGCATGCGATACTCCTCCGGAATATCCATCGGCCACGCATCCACCCCATCCAGCAACGCCAGCGCCAATCCGCCCGTGTGGTGCATCTGCAGATGACAATGGAGGAGGAACGGTCCCGGATTCTCAACCAAGTAGCGGATGGCCAACCAGGACGGCGCCGTGTTCGAGGGCGGCGAGTAAAACGTGTCTCGGAACTGAGGGTTCTCGAGGTTGAAGTTCTGCGGAATGGATTCCATGGCCTCCGCTACCGAGGAGTAGGTGAACGGCTCCGACCCTTGCCCGATCACAAAGTACTTGTTGGAGTGCTTGTGGATGGGATGTTGTGGTTGGCCCATGGTGGTGATGTTGATGATGAGATCCACCCAGGTGTTGTTCAACGTGGTTATGGAATAGGCGGGCGAGATGGCGCTGAGGTTGAACAGGACGGGGGGAGACAGTTCTTCATTCGACATGGGGTAGCTGTTGCCCAGGGTCCAGATGTATGAGGCATTGATCGTGTTGACGTTGAGGATGTACGTCCGGTCTGCGTGCAGAGCAGGTGTTTCCACGGGAAAGGGCACCACACGGCTTTCGTTCAGGAAGACCGCGGTGGTGGTTGCATTGGCACCGGCCTCGTTCAGATACGGCTGGGAGGGATGGCTCTGGCCGGGGGTCGAGCGGCCGTAGGACAGGACGGCGGTGCCATTGATGAGCTGGGTGGCGTAGTTGTTGGCAACCCGGACTGTGTAGTCACCGGCCGGATCCGACTTCAGTTGTACCATCACCGAGTATCGCGATCCGATGGGAACCGTGACGGCATCGACCAGTAGGGGCTCCACATAACGTCCATCGATGGCGTACACATACATGGGATGCTCGTCGATGGAGAACACGAGGGAAGAGAGACCCGCCATGCTGATCAGGTCATAGCTGACGTATTGCGACGCAGCATCGACCTGGAACACCTCCGTGGGCCCCTCGCTCGGCGTACAGCCTTCGTAGAAGCCCTTGGGGACCTTGCTGAGATCGGCTGGGTAAGAGCCCACGATGGCTTGGGGTGGTAGACATGCCATGTCAGTCAAGGTGGCATTCCCCAGAATCTGCTTCTGCGCCTCCGTCGTAATGGCATTAATGTGCTCCTGTGACGGGCAATACACCGAGCCTTTGCCATTGATGAGAATCGAATTGGAACAGTAGTTCTCCACCCCCGAGGCGACTTGAATCTGGAGAATATCCTCGGAAGGAAACGGCCTCCAATCCGAAATGACAATCGGTTGCGTGTGCTTTTCCGCTTCCAACATCGCCGGCTCATCCGCCTGCGAAACCAACGCAAACGGCCTCTCCACCGAGTCCTCTGGCTCAATATAGATGGGCCCGTAGAGGCCATCTTCGATCTGAGCCCGCACGTGCGAGTGATACACATACGACCCGTAATCAGCGGCCTTCCATTTGTAGAGAAACTGGTCCCCGGGCTGGATTTCGTCCTGCGAGAGTCCGGGGACTCCGTCCGACCAGGGAGTGCCTTGTTGTTGGATACCTACATATCGTTAGTATGGACAATTGAACAAGTGGCATGTTTCGAATAGACGGGAAAAGCCAACTGACCATGAAAGTGAACCGTCGTCGCAAACGGCATCGAGTTATTAACCAAAAATTCCACATCATCGCCCTGCTTCAACCACAAGGCAGGCCCCGGGAGCTGACCATTGCTCAAGATGGCCTTTCGCAGGGCACCGGCCACGGGCACGTCCTCCCAGGTCAGATCGATCTGGAACTGCACCACACGGCAAGACACCCATTGTACCAAGCAAAGCGCCAACAGGGCCAGCCTGCTTTGAGATATCTTCATCGTGAACACAAAAGAAACAATAGAATAAATATACAAAGTCCAACAGAATATGTACAGTCGAACCGGCCGAGTCGAGAACTGGTTGTCGTTGCTTGGCTCCCATCACTGCGCTGGCATCGAGGTTCTTATAGTGTTGAGGTGTCGCGAAGAACGGTCGTCAAAAGCCGGTGAAGCCGAGTAGTCAGGCAAGGGATACAGGTCTAATTCGTATAGCAACCTTCATGGAGACTCATGGCTTGCGGTTCATAAGGCGTCCATATGGCAAACATAGTGGATCCGTCATATGCAACATTGGACCATGCCTCGCAGGGTGCATCAATTGACAAGCTCACCGCAGTCTTGGGGCATATTCAGGTCCGAGAATAGAAATTTATTGGCTTCATGCTGCAGGCAAGACGGGCCAACATGTCGCATGTCAAAGCCTACTAGCGAGAGAGCCGGCCGAGGAGATAGATTGCAGGGCAGCGAACCAATGGAGGGCACTACATGGTTGATGTCGCGCTGAGCCGCTGGCCGTCGGCAAGGAGCCAAACCAATTGACGATATGGTGTTGTTTATCGAATCTTATTGCCCCAAAGCGAATGGTCGCCATGACCTGTCACTCGACGCCATTCCGGGTGGCGCCCCCGGCCAAACCTAATCATGGATCGTCGCAACTCACTGAAGAATGTAATTGATGGCCGCTACATGGTGAGGATGGTAGATACATGGTCAAATCGAAGAATGCCACTGAAATCAATCAAAGAATGAGGAAAAGAACAGGGAAGAAATAACAAGTTAAGCAAAGTCGTCTCATGTCGGTCATCTCGGAGTCCTCACAGCATTATGGCTCATATAAATCGTTCATTCGTTCGCCTCCGGATCGACGGCTCCTTTCACCGCCGGACTCATCGGTTGAGTCAGGGCCAGAAGCTCTAACGAGAATCCCAGTGGCTCTGGATCTTTCATTTCCACCAAAGAAATCTCCGGTTCCGGATCGTAAACAGCAAGCGGGCCTTGTACGGAAGAGCTTGTCTCGGGTTCTGCTTGGGGTTTTGGGGAATCCTCGAGCACTGGCCTGAGAATGCCCTCAGAAGCCACAAGTGGAGAACTCACAGCAGCCACTGAGCTGGCAAGGATATCACTTGAGCTGGAAGGGAATGGGGGCATAGCACGCGGAGTCTCGACGCTCGGCAGTGCGCAGCTGGTAGGCTTGTCCCAGCTTGTCGTTGAAGAGTGCATCGCCGTCACAGCGAACGAGGAAATGGAAGCAGATTCCAGAATGTCCTGGGGAAATGGCCGGAGAGCTGATTGGTCCGCTTGAGGCGTAGCATGAATCGCAAAGAAGACGACCAGGAAGCTGAGGACGGCAATGGCGACATTGCGCCGGTCGCTTGCCAACACTCGTAGGTAATTCACCAGCAGTGTTTGTAGATCAATATCATCACTCGATCTCGGAACATAAGCATGCTCTGGCATTCGCTGCTCTTGGGCAGCCGCCTTTTCAGGAATCGGGGGCGGCCTTTCGGCTTCTTCAGGAACAAACGGAGTCTGCTCCTCAATCGCCCGGGGAGGTGTCTGAGGCGAATGTTGGCGCACCTCGGCCGTTCCATGCTCGAGCTCCTGTGATGGCACCTGCAGTCGATTCTCCAAGTGGTATATCTCCTCCTCCAGCAGTCGCCTCTCTAACTCCCTCCGAACCTCCGACGGAAGCCAAAGGCCGACTTCGACATCCACTTTCTCCATTTCCTTCCAAGCTGCAGCCCAGGCCCCAGCTCGCATCAGCCCATTAGCAGCGAAAACCTTGATCTCCCATTTTCGGCCCGCGTTATTGTGGCGAACCACACGTCCGCCACAGTCCGGACAGTCCTCTCCTTCTTCCTCGTCTGTAGCGCTCTCTTCTTTCACAGACTGGTCGTCCCTTTCGGAGTCATTTTCATCTCGTCCCAGAAAGTGGCCGTGGTCCAGTCTCGGACGTTGTAGCTCTAAGCTCTCCAGCAACCGCTCCTCGAGTAAGTCATACATATCTTCCGGATGAGAGATAAGGACACCGCGCTCACGGAGCACGCCAGATCCAACCTTTTCTTCCAGCAGCTTCCACCGTCTCCAGTATTCTGAAGGCAGAACCTCTCTCAGTATCTTCTGACTGTGATAGCCCATTGCAGGGACCGGAAGCGATGGGGGAAGCAAATTGCAGTGCAAAAGCACAAGTGGATATTCCTTCTTGACCTTCGGCTTGCCTGCCGATCCTGTGGGCGAATAAAACTGCGACTTCCTCAGCGGAGACGAGCCGGAAGATCGCATAGAGACGTCAGAGAAGCGCTGGCCTCTGCGCTTTGGTGGGGTCAAGAAATCATCTCCTTCATCCTCCGTGTGCATCTGCATCGCTTTCACCGAGCTTGGCTTCCGAAATGCAGTTTCCCGGTGCCTGATTGCAGGAATCGAGCGCACCGGCCCGTCCAATGTGCTATAAACCTTGCTGTCCTGATCCTCCCAGTGGTGAGGAAGAGTATTATCGGGTATGACCGCCTTCATTCCATCCCCCATCGTGAGCACCGAACCCGGTATGGAAGAGACAGAAGAGTGGCTGGAAGCTCTAGAGCTCATGCGATCGAGGTCGTCATCCAAATCACCGCCCATGATATCCCCAAATTGCCGCGTCGAGGACCCCGAGGAATTGTACCCGCCGTCGTAAACTAACATCTGTGTGTCTTCATGGGACTGGTCGATCTCGTCATAATGTCCGTATCGGTGCTGGTGTCCCGATTGCGAAAACGTGGGGGAAGTCGGTGGGCTCTCGTAGGCTGAGCCTCCGTAGATGCCGCCTGTACAGTCTGCAAATTCAGTCAACTGGACGTCATGAGAGTGGTCGTCCATTGGGGTTGGTCATAGAGAACAGTATAGACCGAAGAAAGTATAAGGAAATGGTTCCCCACTGCTATCCGTGCGTCAGTGCTTGAAGGCTGTCAGTGAGCCTGTGGACCTCAGAGGAATGTTGGCTTCGATCTGTCACGCTAGACGGGAGAACGATGGAGAACGATGGTATTCTGGGACACATTCCACCCACTTCTTGGAAAGATGCCGGGGATGTTGATCGCCGTGCCTGGCTGCTTTGTTGGGGGATGGCCTCACCGCCCGGTCGTGCTGGGCAACCGCCCCTCGCTGGCCCTTAGCTTCTCCGCAATCTCCGCCACGGCCTTGTGACTGGCTACCTCCCTCCCTCTGCCTTGATCAGACTGTCTCAGGTCAGGTGGGGATCTCCATCACAACGCACGCCCCAGAGGATTAAAGAAGACTGATTTGGAGGTACATACAAGTACAGACCTAGACAAGAATATACTGACACGCTCATACCAAAGAATAAGACTGCCTCCGCTCACACGCTCAACGGTCACGCCGACGCAAACATCAATCATACAACATTTCCACGAGATGAATCAAGTTAAATGCACCAAAGGCCGCGTATATGTCTTCCTCCCACAACATAGATAGCCCCCAGACGCCAAAATACCTTCAAATCATCATAACACAAATAGCCCGTACGCACAGTATACACTTAGTGAGGGCCTTGCGAAGCTTCGTCATGCGGGCTCAGCAGGGTTGAATAATTCTGATGTTCTCCGAAGTAATTGAGAACATCTTGCGGAAGGTATTCCAGCCAGGGCAGGATTTCACCACTAAAAGCGAACGGAAGCTGATCCTGTTGTTGGAGCGTAGCCATATCGATGTTTTGACTCTCGATAAACACGTCACCTGCATGGGGGCCCACACTAGGGTGGATACCTGGGGTCCGTGAGCTCATATGGCCGTCGCTAGGCTGCTGTTCGGTCGCAGCAGGTAAGCTGTAATTGAAACCTGGCACCTGAGTTTCGAGCCTGGAGGCCGAAGGATGGTTGTAAGCCGATCGAGAATTTGGAGGTCGGGTGGCGGAACCCGGAAAAGACGTGTTCAAGCCAAGGAGCAGATTCGCATCAGAGGCCGTGACCTGTCCAGGGGACGCGAGCGGAAATCGCTCGGAGCCGGCTGCCATGGATGTATTTGGTGTTGACTCCGCAGCCCTGGATGGTTCCAAAGTCTGCGAGTAAAAGTTCGAGCTTTGGCTGCCACCGGACTGGACTGGAAGGTTGGGGTAGCTGTGGCTATACTGAGATGAAAATGTGGGTTTATCCGACATGGACTCAGCCTGGGCGGGCATTTGGTATAGAAGGCTCAGGTTCGGTTGTGACGAGTTTGTTGCACCGGTCAACGCCCATCCAATAGCTTGAAGGATTAGTATCTGTGTATCGGGTGCGGTAGATAGATGAGGATCGGAGAACTCACCTTGACTCGGATCAATCTTAGGCGACCGTTTGCCATCCAAAGGTGTGTCCCCTGTTGAATCTTCCGCTTCGCCTGAAGTAGCCAAGGACGTCTGGGTATGTCTCCAATGTGGTGCAGTGAAAGGCGGAACGGAAGACACCTCCACCGCACTTTCCATCTCCTCTACAGTATAGAGCAACGGATCAACGATTCCTTTTGCCTTTTGATCCAAGACAGTGAGGATGTATTTGGTACCTTCCCAGTATGTCTCGAGCGCTTTCAAAGCTTTGTAACATCGTTGATAATTCTCCTTTGCAGCGGATGCGAGAAGTATATGCTTAGCAGTCGGCTTTCGATCGGAACCATTTGCGGGGTCCAAATTCGGCATCACAAAGCCACTGGTTTGGTTGGTGAGTAAGGGCTGAGCAGGAGGTGAGCCAGATCTTGAGGAGGGTGAAGAGTAGTAGGCACTCTCCATGAGGAAAGCACATGCGGCAATGTACATCGGCTGGGTTGTAAAGGGGTTGCCAATGAAACTCTTCCCGTCCACCAGTTCCGAGAAAGAGAGGATATCGGCAATGGTTTTGGCCGAGGACATCGATAGCTCCCTACTATTTGGATAGAGATGTTGGATGGTCCCACCGAACGAATTGAGCAGCGTGGGTTGATGAAGCAGGACGATCAAGGTGTGGAACCACTGCTTTACATTAGCGTTGAAGAAGAGCTGCTGACACACAAACTCACAAAATGAAGCAGGATGAAATTGGTGCCTTCCTTCGCCTTGACGTATGCCTGAAAGTTTGCTGCGTTGAAATGAAGCCTAGGCGACAGACGCTGATAGATGCCTAATTCGATCATGATTAGCCCTACAGAATCGCGAAAAGCTTCCGGGTCATACCTGTCAAGTCGCTCTCCATACCAGCCAGCATTTTTAAGGTATCCGATGTGACATGGTTGACGTCCTGAATTCCATTAATGAGATCCGTCACTCTGCCGTACAGGTGTATTATGCGGATGAGCGGGGGAAATGGTGCTGGCCATCCATTCGGCAATCGGGACTCTGCTTGAAGTGGAAAGCAAAGTTCTATGTCCTCGTCGCGTAAGGTCACTGGCCGCCCTGTTCCAGACGAAATCACTCGGTCGAGGAAGAATATACTCCAAAAGGTATCAACCCTTTCGCGTTCCCTCGCACGCCGGCCCTCGGTATCTTGCATATCCCGTACCGGGCCGGGGGAGGTCTGTGGCTCATCATATTGATCGTCTCTCAACTTCCCGGCCTGCCCAGTCAGGACTGCATTCGGAGTCACACCGCTCATGCCATAGTTGAACCCCAGCCCCCGCACCTTTTGCATTCCAAGGTCCTGAGCCATCCGTATGGATATACCTAGGTACATCCAGAGACCGCTGTCGTGGTTCGAGCCGAACTCTTCGTAGGCAAGCAGGAGGCACGCCTGTACGCCGGACAGAGTAGGGCACGAGAGAGAATCCACCAGGGTGCCCATTGCTCTGTGGGCGAACGGCTGCCCGCGGTTGGACTTTTTTATGTCGACTTGCGGCTCAGAACCATCAATGGTCGGAGCTTGGGGAGGGCAGAGTAGCGGATGAGGAGAAAACCTCGCGGACAATGCACATACGGCATCCACAAGCATGGTGTCCACCCTTTTGTCTTTCAAGTCACGGAGGAACCTGTCCCGCTGTAAGAACGGAAAGCTGCACCCAAGATGCACAAAGAATAAGTCACATAAGTGTGTCACTAGATTGCTGACAGGAAGGGTATCATCACGGTCATAGAACGGAATGGTGTTGTAGTCACGACTCTCGCGGGTGTCGGGTATTGTGCTGAGGTTGTTCAATCCAACATCTGCAAATTTTGGACTTCGGAGGGGAGATAATGACTCTGCACCTTTTGACAAATAGTCAGCCAGCCGTCATATAACGTCGCTAGCATTGCTAGACATACGGGTGAATGTAACCCGTTGCCTGCAGAGGCTAATGGAGAAAAGCGATATCAGAGATGCAGACCTGATGACAGTGATGGATTGCTCTTGCGCGAGCCTCGCACCTGAACGACCTGAAAGAAGTTAGAAGATGAGGTTTGTGGCAAGACTTGAGCAATATGCGAACCATCTGTTTGAAGCCAGGGACAATAGCTGTCGGCCCAAAATATCTAAAGTAGGGCACATGTGTACGCGCGCTGGAACTTAAAGAGGTGCGACCTAGACTATGATAAGTATGGGTGAGAATCAATTGATCGAGGACATACTGCTTTCTGGACTTTCCCCGCTAGTCTGCTGTTCAGGCTCTTTCGTTGCCCGCGAGGATGTGTCCCTCGGCAGAGACGCCTCTTTTGCCTCCAGCGTTGTGTATATCTCGGAGGGTTTATCAACGCCATCACTAACAGGCACTGTGGCTCTGCGGGGAGAAATTGGGGAGCGACTGGCGAGTTTATGAGTTGTGCGCGACGTCGCATCATTGGGTGCTGGTAAAGTAGCAATTGTAGGCGTTCGTATCGCGGTATCGGATTGCGATCGACCATGGGTAGAGGGTTCGCTGTACCCTTGGCAAATATGGTTGTAGTCGGAACACGTTTTACACACTGCCATCCAAGAAACATATGAGTAAGACTTCGGTCATGGTTACGTCAAACACGACTTCGTACCTGGTTGCTCTCCTGAGCAGCGGATTTTGCGCTTGCGACACGTCAGGCACCTATGTAGCCCACGGGGAGCATCGTGTTAGTTATCACAGGGCAGGAAGGCGAGAGACTGGGTATCAAGGGACTGACTCACGCCGCATTAACTCGTCGGCGCTTCGTTTGGGGCTGCCCGTCTGTTGAGACGAAGCGAATCTGTCTAGGAGGGGGAACATGTTTGCCGCCGTTCTTCTTAGGAGAAGGGTGGCTCATTGCGAGCAACTTGTCATCCGGGATCACGACACATTGGGCGAAAGCTTTACGGCGATCGATCGTTCCCTAGGATGAGACACAAGGGAATCGCAGGCGGAGAGTGAGGACGAGGAGAACAGCGGTATGAAAGACCCTTAGACAGAAGCACGCAGTGGAGAGACAAATCCATGGACGTGAGTTTGATCCCACGGAGTGTCCGGTGAAGACCGTTGCGGGATGGAGGCAAAGGAAGGATGTGGATGAGGGGAGGGTTGTTCAGTCTTTTTTTCCCTTTTCTTTTAATTTTAATTTCCCTTTCCTGATTCGTATTTTTGCCTCAATTCTTATTTGCTCGACCCGTAGGGCGTCAGCGTTAGCATCGATAGGGAAGCTAAGCAGCAAATCTTCGTGGAGGTACCTGGTCACGCCCGCTCGCAAGTAGTACCGGGGGAGGGAGTGTTGGGTCGAGAATCGGCCAACTAAGCCCTTGGCTCGTCCTGTCCTGCCTCCAGGTCGCGTCGGAAAAATAAGCCACCCCAAAGGAAAGGCCCAAGCAATGCTAGCCTGACCGCCTAGAAGGGATTGTTGATTCGACGGGGGGGTTCTCTGTTTCTACCAACCTGATCACGAGATGGATCGAATCTAGTCCAGACGGGAGGGATGACCGACTGTTCACTAGTGAGCCAACTAGAGCGGTTAGGCAGTTCTTGGTGCCTTTGGCTCGTATTATTAGGTAGAGATGGCAAGGAGATTAGGCAGATGAAACCAATCGACAACCCGTCTGAGGATCATTGGATCCGACACAGCGTGGCCTGTTACATACTGAAGGGAGCAGGACAAATCGAAAGATAAAGCGAACAGGCAAAGGCGGTTCCGCACTTCCACCTCCTCCGTCCTGGCGGGCCATGTGACTCTCCAGTATGTATTGTTGACGTTACCCACTCCTTACGGGCCACGCCAGCCACGACTGGTCTGCTGCCAGGGAGGGAACACGACCGATGAACGGACGCATCGATTTTGAATCGATCGAGAGGTCATTCCCCATCGGGAAGGCTGGGATGGGCGCTGCAACTCAGCCTCGAGCAGGTCCCCATTGCTGTTCCACGCCGCTGGAACCTGATCGCCTAGACCTACCTCAGAGGCTCAGACCCCAGGAGTCTGGACTCCAAGTCTGGGGATGAAAGTGGACTCGCTTCTCTGTTTTCTCCGCCCGGAGGCCCGGACTCACGCCTACCTTAAACGGTTACCCACTTTTCAATCTCCACGCTCAACCGAGTGAACTCACGGTCGGTCGGCTCAACTCCGACATAAGCCCGCTCTGTGCGCCCAGGCCAGAATTGGCTATTGCTCAATTTACGGCTATGTTGTCCGTTCCCACATTGCTGTTCATTTCTGTAATCTATCGTTGTTCAGTAGCTAACCAATTCTATCGTGTATTTGAGGTGATCTAGTGTATGATTAAACCGAGGCAGCACAACTCTCCACCCCAGTGTCTAAGATGCGCCATATCTTCTCCAGGTCTAGAACTGCGGCCTGGGGATTTCGATCGCGTCGGTAGTCCGACCGTACGAAATCCCTCCCAACCGACTGATAGGCTTCAAAACCTTCAGATCGACAATGCTCTTGTCCTCGTTGATCGCGTCGTCTCTTACCCAGAAGCGAACACCCTCGATGATTGCCAACACCCCTGATTTCTTGCCGGGGGTCGACCGACTTTCAAACTCCTTGGTCTCGACCAGCTTGCCTTCGATGGCCAGAATGGACTCTTTCACACGGGCCGCCTGGACCACGGAACAGGGCGCTTGGGTTAGCCCCGAGACCTCCCATTCGGAGACGCCGTATGGAGTGTTGATCGCCGTCGCGTTGGCGGCTTCAACGAAGTGCTCCGAGATGATATTGATCACACATTCCTCCGTGTCCGCCAGGTTCTTCAGTGTGTCTTTGGCCTTGTCCAGGGATCCCACGAATCCCACCGTGAAGAGCGGGGGGTCATGGTTGATGACCTGCGAATAACTGAACGGTGCCAAGTTCGTCGTCTTTCCATCCTTGGACTTGGTGCTGATGAGCGCAATGGGTCTCGGGACCATGCCGGAGATCAAAAGCTTATAGTTGGAGGCAACCGGTCGTCCCTCTTCGTAGGGGTCAATCTCCAGGTGGTTCTTTTTCAGACTCTCGCCCCCATCGTTGGCACCATCTCCCTGCTTCCAGTCGGGATTAGGTGGCTTCGAGAAAGTGACCGGCGCGTCGCGCTTGAACTCGGGACGAGCGGCTTGGATCTTTTCGAAATCGTCTCCGACTTTGAACATGGTGAACGTCTGGCTGAATGTTCGGCCCGGATGGAGGATGTTCACACGATGAAAGGGTGTTCTGCAGTTACTGTATGATTGTCAGTATGCAGACGGGGCATGGACATCAGAGGTTACAGGATCCGATGCTCCTTGAACCTTGCTGTCTGAAGAAAGGTACGCGAGACTTACTGAAAGTTGAAGGGTGGCCTGTGAGAAAACCAAGAGGCTGTTGACAAGATGGAGCGACGCATGAGGATAGCGACTTCACTTTTAGTCTTGACGTTGCGTTAGTTGGGCGACTGTCCAGTTCATCCGACCGGTTGGCCTATGGTTAATTCCACGGCCATGTTGCCAAGCTGGACTTGGATTCCACGCTCAGAGGGGCTGGCTGTGCATACAGAGTGCGTGGAAAGAGTGGTTACGGCTCGGCTAGACTCATTTTTGAGAGCCGATGATTCGAAACTGCTGATTAAGCAAAATACAGCCACGTGATTTTTTATGCTTCGTATCTAAATGATATAATATCTTATCTGGAAAAGTATTTTAATCAGATCAAGAGATTTTCCAATTTAAAGAAATGGCGTGTACTCCTTACAGATCTCAATGATATCAGGTCTCTATCAGGTTCTTGTTTACATATAGTAATAAGAGGGGGGTCAGCAACGACAGTACCACTATGGTTAATCCCGGGCCTAACCCCTCAACTCATCCGGAAAATTCATTCGCAAGGCTTCCGAGAGACCCATGACAATGCTGGTTGAGAGACTGCCATTGGCCGTGGTGGCAATTCCGCATCGGAACGGAGATTCGGCAAATTCGGTGTTGAACGGGTAGCGTTTACGGAGTAGAGCGTCTGGACTCCACTTGGGCCTATCAAACAGCATGCTTTCTGTTGTATTCCTGCTCGGTGGCAGAGAGGTTGTGAGGTGGCTCGGTTCCTATATGGCATACCAATATGCCGTTACATAACCTTTCAGGTAAAGTGGCTGCATAGAAGGCGTGAATCATCGACATCAATAGGGATAATGTCTGCAGAAAGCATCCAGACCCAAGTCAACAGGATGAGGAGATGGAGGAAACTCGGGCGGCAGAGCAGTAGTATTCTCCCCATGGCCCTGGCCCAGCTGATCTCTCTCCTTAACCGCTGTAGCTGCCAAATTGCTACAGACAGCAGCGCAAGAGAATGAAGCCATGGACACAGGACAGGTATGTATTCCAAATCCGGAACAACATTCGCAAACCCAAGCTGACCCGAGTTCCGTAATCAAGCTGAGCTGGCTCTGGATATTTATCGCCCGAATCACCGGAATGTCATTTCGCAAACAAATCTCTGACTGCTGGTGACGCCTCGAAGCATCACAGGAGTCTTTGGGAGTATGTCGTACCAAACATACAGTCTGGGCTTTTACTATTCTCTACGTGCCCTTATTCTCTCGGAGGCCACAGTCCAACTTCCTCTCCCCGATAGTGGCCGCATATGCCTGCCTTCTGAAAGAGTGTCGCTATTATCTTGAACCCAAGTCATTGACTACTGTTTTAAACCCCCCCCCCCCCCCCCCTTCTCTTATTATCTACCCAATAATCAATCTTTCATGGCCCGCTTAGGAATTCACGAACTGGACCCATTCATGCGTGTGTAATGGTGGGCATCGATGCACGCTTACCTTTTCCAGCGGTATAGAGCATATTAATATAGGACGTGTGGGATGATTCAACCTCACCTAGAATGGCCGGGAAGTTGGGAACAAATCCCCGAATAACCCGATCTAGGCCCGCGGAGTCGGGATATTGCCTCAGCCATGAAACAAGGATCATGAGCTGGAAATCTAGGGCATCCACAAATCTGGGAACTTAAGGTCGATTCGGTGGCAGTGCGAGTCGACATGTATAAGAGCGGTCAAGGTAGTACTGTACTTGTGGCAAACTTTGTCAGATCGAAAATCCCTGATGAACAAGTCTTCTTTGCAATATTTCTGAATGTACGGGATCTATAGCCTCAAAAGTGACATCGTAAAGGGTCTGCTCATCAATCTGATTGACCCCGAGTTATTCAGTATACATACGCGGCGGAGTGTGAAGCCGAACTGGGTCCTCTCGTTTGGCCATGTGCAACAAGCCCATCCCGTGGAAGAAGCCCTAGCAGCGCGCGACAAAATCCCGAGACCGGGAAATTACCGCGGGCTGGTTTCGCATTGCGCAGTAGATAGCTCCTGAGCGCCGGCGATATCATTTCCCATCCGCATCGAACTTGCGTCCTGAAAAACGTGCCCGTAATGTAAGGTCTTAGTCAAGCCGTGACAAGACCGGACAATTCATGTCTAGCAACGCTATACTGTCTGCCTTTGCAATGCTCTCTCTCTTTTTTGTTGTATTTATACCTTTCCTTTCTTTCCTTCCCCAACACACTCTCATGTCTCTCTCTGTCCCTCGTGAGAACTCTACATCTCATTCACCATGGCGGGTTCCATCCAAAGACATTTGATGTTGATGCAAAAGGGTGAGTCGTCTGTTGTACTTATGTTGTCGCCCGCTCCGTTATGCTCGATGCCGGCTGACACAGTCCCCAGCGTCGTCTATGTTCAGTCTACGCCGCGCCGCAGTAGCATCCTCGCCTATTACGCCTATCATGAGTCTGGCGTGGCAGCAACAAGTTCGGTATGTCATGCAAAAGATCTAGCATAGGATCTTGTTATGGCCGGGAACATAGGGATTGACGATCTCTCCCTCCAGGATGCAGACCACGAAGTCCGTCACGACACCACTGAGAGTGATCACGGCGAAATCCGCCCAGGAAGAACTCGCTCGCCAACGCCTGCGGCGGCCCGTGGCGCCCCATCTGTCCATCTATAAATGGCAAGTGCACTCGGTCAGCTCCGCCATGGAGCGAAACACGGGACTTCTCCTCGCCGGCGGCCTGTATCTCTTCGGCACCTCCTACCTGGTGGCCCCCTGGCTCGGCTGGGATCTGTCCTCGGCCGTCCTCGTCACGGCCTTTGGCTCTTTGCCTGTAGCCGCCAAGCTCGTCCTCAAGTTCTTCGTCGCTTGGCCCTTCACCTTCCATCTCTTCAATGGCATCCGGTATATTGTCGCCTCCACCGGATACACGTTGGACAGTAAGTCTCAGTTTATCAAGATCGCATGGGCTGTCGTCGGTTCATCGGCTTTGGCCGCCGTCGGCTTGGTGGCTTATGTTTAAGGAAGTGCCATCCATGAGAAAATTCATTCCCTAAATTCCTGTTTCAAAGCAGAGTAGTCAGTCTGTACATGTATTCAAAGGATTATAGAATTTCCAGAACGGTTCTATAGCAAGACCGAGACGACAATAAGTGGCTGAAATCTATCTTAGAAGTATTTCCCGGGCGCCTTGGAATGTCATGTCCGGGTTGAATATGAATTCTTATAGTCATCTCCCTACAAAGGCATGTGGTGCATGGCAGCCCGGGTACGTCCCTTGGACGTACCGCCGTGCATCAACCTCAGGGGGGAGCCATCATGATCTAGCTCACTCGCAACACAGATGAAGGACTGATATCGGTACCCTTCTCCATGCTGATTCTCTTATTGTGCCTGTCGTTGGCTTGGCAGTATTCGTGCCACTGATGCCGCATGTCCTTGCCCGCGCTAGTTTTCTAGTTAACAATGTCAGTGTCCACTTGCAGCGTTACTGACAGGTCCATCAGGTGCCGTCAAGTTCGATCCCCAGGCTGTTTCGCAGTACATTATGGGCACCACCACAGCCGACAGCATCGACTCCGGATTGTCCATTCAGTCCATGCGTGAGATTACTAAACCACAATACCGAACATACCTGGCGTGTTGTTGTCCTCCGACTCCTCCCCGCTACGGAGTACGGAGTCACGGACAATAGAGGATCCACAATATCCCGGCGCTAACCCCACCAGCCGCCGCGGATGTTGCCTTCCGCCTCAGCCCGACATTACAGTATCAAGGGCACCTCTTCACCAAATGTGTCATGGAGCAGAGAGAAATTTCTCTAGCCACGATCCGGAGAAAAGTGTCCGCATTTTAGCGTTGGGATGAAGCTTCAATTACCATTTCTTACAAGCATCGAGCAGATATCATCATCAGGACAATCAGGATGTCCTCCATCCATCTCACGGATTCGACCCGCCAGATCGAGGCTGTTACGTCTCTACAACAAACATCTAAGTGAATGAGGCAGACCAGTGCGTATCCTCCAGGTGCGATTAATTCCGGAGGAGACTGGGATCCCCTTTTGTATTCGTCTTGCGAACAATCTGCGGTATGCTTTCGTTTCCCCCCAGTAGCTGGAACAGCGGTAAAATACTTCCCACTTACGTGATTCTCTGCCACAGGGTTATTCCGCCATAGCATTACGATTGGGCATTGATATGAAGCCCTTAGCGCAGCATCCCGAGTCCTTCGGTGGAGGGGCAGTGACTCTCGCAGCTGGCGGAGACGAGCAAAGCCGATCCCCTTCTCGTATGTAAGTGATTAGCCCGTCTCTGTACTGGTAATAATGGAAGAGATCACAGACACCATCGCCATGGTTCTCAACTGAAAATAGCTCACATATACTTGGACATTCGTTCCGCCACCCCCGGGCGCTGGGGCATCGCCCATATTTACAGAATTACTATATTTAAATGGCATAACTCATGCCAGTCGTCCAGGACAAGTCTCAAGACGAGTTGCGGGCGGGATCGTGGTAGGAAGCTGATCTTCTTTCTATGACAAGAAAGAAGGAGAAAAAGTTCATAGCATGCTCTCCCACAAGTTCGAAGCCTCAAGACCATTCTCCAATGCTACCGGCAGACCTTGTGTCAATCCTAGAGAACCGACCGCGCTGACTTGAGCTTGGATCTTGAGTACTTCGCAGCAGAAGTTGAGGCTGTCTTTGGCAGGTTCAACGGTTTGTCGCTCGGGGGCCAGTCCGGCTTTCATCATCTTGGCTTGTGCCATGGCACAGGAGAACAGGACATAGATATCGACACTGGTCTCCCCGGCCTGAATGCGTCGCCGAAAGATAGCCATCGACTCTTCGATGGCATGGAAGAATAGGTCCTGCGAAAGGCTTTGCATGATTGGAAAGACATTTTCTTCCAACTCTGAGGTCAGTTCGACGATGAGGATGGCTGTGGCATGGCACAGCGTGTGCCGAATGATGTCCCCTCCACGCACCTTTAACCTAAGGAGCTCGTACGGCTGGTTTCCAGGTACGGAGCCCACGGAGAACGATGCCTGGGGGACCAACGGCAGAGGGGAGAGGCAAGTGAGTGCATTCTCGATGAGCACTTTGCGGCTAAAGTAGAAGGACTGGTTCGCTTTGGCTTCCACCGCGAATGGCGAATGTAACGCCAGCAGAAAACGACGTGTCAACATGTTCAACAGGTGGATCTGGAACTCCGTCGGCTTCGGCGTGTTGGGGTTTGAATTTCTCTGATACGACTGGAGCATCGCGGTATGGGAACGGCACATGGTATCCAGCTGCATGCCCAGTTTCAAGACCCACTGGTAATCCTGGCCCGGGGGCTTTTTGATGGCATTGCAATAACGGAGGATCTGCAGCCGCACCGGCATAGTCAGCATCAGCATTCGCTGAATGGTGCTTTGGGTAAAGCCATCTGCAATGTCCGCTGCAGTGGATGGATTGTTGGCATTGACATCATCGATGTTGGATGGCGGCTCGCTGTCGAAATCATCATTGGAGATGGACGGGGGCATGCCCGTGTCCAGACATGACTGGATCGACATCTCCAGAATGGTAGCCCACAGGCGCTTCCGCATCTCGCTCTCCAGGGGCGAAAACTCCGGGAAATGGATTCGCGGCTCCTTGTGGAGGCCGAGTCCGACAGCAATGCGCAGGGGAAAGTCTCCGGAAATCCAGACTAACTCGGAAGGATCAGGGAAGGTTTGGCGCGCCAACAGCAGCAAGGTGGAGACCTGCAGGACGGACAGATCAATGCTAAACTTTTCAAAGCTCTGGGTGAGCCAAAACTGCGCACCTGCGATCCACTGGGGTGCCAACAGCTGCGGCTCGTCCGGATCAGCCTCCGAGCTGAAGCAGGCCCCGATGGCCAGGACCAGAGCGAGGGTGGATGGGAAAGCCCGGCTGGCACCCTGTGGGTGGTTCCAGTACAGCTCATACTGCTGCATGAAGGTCGGAATATGCAGCACCCGAAAGACGGCCTCGAAGGTGTGCAGGTAGAGCATGACCAGGCGGTCACAGGTCGACTTGGACAGCAGATTGTTCGTGCTGTTCGGTGGGCCGAGCTGGGTGTAATACTTGCCGCATCGCTCTGACTTGATGATCCGGGCGTACTGGCTGCATTGCTCCCAGAGCGATTGGATCTCCGCATGATCCGACTGGTGCAGCAGAATGTTCAAATGCTCTGACTAGCATCTATGATCAGCAAAGCAACTTGCCCGGAGACTTGACCTAGGACGCGTTGGCTTACCTGTCCAAATGACGACTGGATGTAATGCTTACCACAACCCAGGTTCTTCGCGTGGGATACGGTGCGCCCGGGGAGGTCCACCGGCTCGTTCTCGGGCATTCCCATATCCCCGGGGAAGGTGTACCCTGATGGGAAGGGAAAGAGAGGTGGTACACCGGCATTATCGCTGCTGGAGGATGTGAGGTTGATCGGATTGCTAGAGACAGTTCCAGTCTGAATACCCTCCTCGGATGTAGTAGAGGTAGACGAATCGGCGGCGGTGGGGCCAGCGCGGAGATCGGTCGGGGTTAATCCATGATTGGGATCACGATAACCACACAGCAGGGAGGCATTGCCACATGGACCACAGGGCAATGCACGATCACATTTCACTTTGCGTCGCCGACACTCGATGCACGCAACGGCCGGTCGGCGGCGGCGATAGGGGGGAGCACTCATCATGTAGAGCCGGAGTTCATGGGAGACGTGTAGAAGAGCACTGAACACGTGGATGACCAGGAGAGTCTGGAAACATCAAAACATCATCGAGTAAGAAACCTTCTTGGAGTTGGGAGGGGCTCTTAATTCCTGTCTAGTGCGGAAAGTCGCAGACGAATTGGATGGCTGGCTTGGCATCCACCAACCGTCCAGAGCGCCATAGGGATCTTCCATAACCTTCTAGATAGAAGCTGGTCCATCTTGTGAAGATGCCTAATTATATCGATCAGTACCCTTCAGCTTCTAATCGTTGCTGTTCACAGACAACGCATGAATATGGATGACACGTGAGAGTAACGCCCGCTGGCGGTCGGAAGCCAGAGACTTCTTTTCTCCTTCCCGGTTAACCATAACAAGAAGCTCAGCGTACATGATTCCATTGATAACTTCTTTCTATTGAGCATCGGGACGAGCTTCTATAAGATCCCTTCATGGCACCCAATTATGGTGAAGATACCCTGCTCGATTCCACTTGTGCTGTGGATTCTTGAGGAAGGAAGCTTTGTATCGGAATAGATCATATCCGCTTCCACAATCCACACAGAGGGGATCGATCCAGCATTTAGCTAGATAAGTTAAGTTATAGTTTCCACCTATGTTCAGTCCGTGCGTTCTCCATGAATTTTAAACATACCTTACTCCATAAAGACACCAAAGTACCAACTAATTATAAGTGCGATGAACTTATATTATCTTTGTATATAGCTACGGCTACTTGCTAGTGGTTTGGAGACGGTTCAATCTTGTCATAGAACTCGAATTCATTACAGTTCCAGCCAATGAGCTGACTTGCCATTTGATCTCCACGAATATTTTTTGTTCTTCGAAATTTGCTCTCAGCAGACGTACTGCTGCATCGAAAGTCATGAGTTGCTGGGATTGGTTTTTAGGGTTCGTCTGGGGTACGGAGTAGAATATGATAGACAAAATTTCCTACTTAGTGGCATGCTACATCTGATAAGTTACTATGATCAAACAGAGTAAATCACTGATTGTCTTGATCAACTAATTGTGTTGATTGTTATGGGGTATTACTAATTATTCAAGCAAGTTTTGTTACAAAATATCCATATTATCCATCATTGATATCAGTATAGGATTCAGCCAGCTGAATTGGAGGATCATTTAACAATACAATAGTATGCGGTGACTAGATGACTGGTCAATGGGAAAGAAAGCTATCACGGAGGTACATGAACTATAGAAGCATAATGTATTTTTACTTCAATCCCAAATTTCATGCAGTGTACTATCAACATCATACATATCTTACACATCTACACTGCACTCCACACCAAACCACCCCCACTATTTCTGCAAAAACGCAATCGAATCCAACTGCTCCGCATCCCCCACACTCAGACTCAACTCCTCCATCTCCTCCAAATCCCTCCTCACCCCCTCCAACTCCATCAAAATCATGCCCCGAGCATCCGCCCCCAGCGGAACCCGAATCGGAATCCGTTGACCCCGACTCACCAGCCGATAAATGGCCGCCGCGATCTTGTCCGGCTTTGCCCACAACCGTCGATTCTCCTCGTTGCTCTTATATGCCAACAAGACACTCGTGGGATACGTGGGATCCGCATACGCCGGATGTCTCCCCTTGGCCATCATCTTCAGACTCGTCGTCGCGTAGTTGGTTTGGACGCCGCCGGGCTCGATGTTGCAGAGATGGACTATCATGATTCCCCCCGTCAGTATGCCGCCCTTCAAACACAAGCACACCCTCCAACTAAAGATACCCAGAAGAAAAAGTCAAACTTACTATTCCACTCCGCAGGTAACTCCTTCGCAACCGCCTCCGTCCACCCCTCCATAGCAAACTTACTCGCATGATAAAACGCACTCCCCGGAAACCCCACAAACCCGCCCAACGAACTCACATTCAGAATGACACCCCCGCTCCCACCCTCCCGCATACTCCCCAACACGCGCTTCGTCGTATCCACCATGCCCCAGAAATTCGTATCGAAGAGGGCCCGGGACTCGTCGTCTTCGGCGATTTCGGTGTCCCCCACCAAAGTGTAGCCGGCGTTGTTGACGAGGATGTCAATGCGGTGGAAGGTGGAGAGGGTGGTTTGGATGCTGGATTCGATGGAGGTGGGGGAGGTTACGTCGAGGGGGAGTTTGAGGATGTTGGGGTGGCTGGGGAGGGTGGATAGGGTGCTGGGGTTGCGGGCGGTTGCGATGAGGCGGTGCGTTGGGTGGTATGTTGCGATGTGGTGGGCGAGGGCGTGGCCGATGCCGGAGGAGCAGCCGGTTACTATTCATGAGGAAGGTGTTAGAGGGGGGATAAATTGGGCATTGGAGGAGAGGGAGTAGAGGGGGACTGACTGAACCAGACAGCGTCCGGGGGGAGATGGTAGGGTTTTGTGTTGGGAGCGGCCATTGCGATGTATCTGGTGCTTATGATTGACGAGGATGAAGAGGAGATCCAGATGAAATGTTGAAGAGATTGAGCTATTTATACGGTGGTCAAGCCATTGATGTAGATGGCTCCCATCGGGTCAGCCCTCGTATAGACTAAGTCCGGCGCGCGCTTAAATCCATTAATCCCGCTTGAAGCCGGAGTCAGCAATGACGATGGTTGTAGCAGATGCGGTGCTGACGATCGATGGATCGTAAAGGAAGCTTCTAGTCTGGTGACTAGCGTAGATTCCTGACTAGATCCATTTAGCGCTATTACTGTCACTGCAGGATGGAGGGGTGGTTGACAAGACTCACTGCTCGTCGATGAATCTATTCCTTGCTCCCTTCTTCTCATACTTGATGATCTTTCTTATTTCAACTCAATCGTCTGCTAGGGCAGATGAGAGGGCTTGACCGAACCGCGTCGAAAATGCAAAGGAGTGGAATGCAGAAAAGATTGTCTGATATGATAGACTTTTAATTATCGCATCAAAAATATCAAAGCCTGAATAAACTCTGCCAATCTCTTATAGATTGCAAGCAGAAACATCAAAGACAATAGACAGCGCTATTCGAAATTCTCCTTCAGCTGTATCAGGAAACTCTTCACGAACTCCCACTGAAAGCTGTACACATCTACAAAGTAAAGAACCAAGGTCCAATCTATGTTCATACCATCATACCCTGCTCTACCTCAGGTATAGCAGCAAAGAGCTACCAGTATAGGAAAGAATACAAATCTTCCCCAGGAATGACATCCCAACATATCAAAACGTACTTGGACAGTTTTATCAACGAAAAGTACTATCCACGCTATCCTAGACATTATCCGAACATGGGACTCACGAGACTACCGTGAGAGACAAGATGTTCCTTGTGATGAGGCTCTAGGCGATACCATACCAGGACTAATTTAGTCAATAATACCACCATAAGATATAAATCAAAAGATAGATACACCCAGCTACACAGTACTTAACCGCTTTCACTATACCGTACAGGAATCAATCTTACGCTGTGCTCGCGAGACGGAGAACCACATCGAAATAACCCATTCCGTGTGCCTTGTCCCAGTCATTAAACATCGATTTGGGGGACTTTGATAATGCAGCCCGGATGGACTGTGAACCTTACGAATTACTATGATGAAATATAGAGGAATTAAAAGTAATGGACCATGCAGTTGATTTCTACGTCACCAGAAGGAACTCACACGGATGTAGCCTCGATTGATTTTATTGTTGGAAGTAGTGTTCTAACCTCTGTTTGCCTAGGTCATATACGATACCGTCTACTACATATATAGTTGTGTGTGTTCATGATGGAGGTAGGAAACGGATGGTACCAGACAGCATTGGTCATGAGTTTGTAGCTTTGATTTGTTGGGATATAAATTCACTGTATTGGATTAATATATTGTCCGGCCGGACAAACAAGGAGATATGTTGCCGCCGGACACAATCTTCCGTGGATTACGCAGTATAGTAACATAAATGACAACATGATACAGATCTATCCATCATCAGGAATAGAAAAGCCAATCCACCCCATGATGGAAACAAACCTACCGAGACCACTATCAAGAGGCTATGAAAATAACCAAAACAAGAGGCAGTCAAATCTGACTCTGATTCATAGGCTGGATACCCTATCTGACCTTTCAAGTTGATGAGCTAGAACTTATTCGGATATGCATGGTGTTGGGTGCTTGGTGAGATAATCCTGAGCGGTATGGCGAGATATATCGGATGGGTGGGTGTTTGCTAATTATCTGTTCTGGCGCGCAACTAGGGGAAGACCTTGGGAGCGATGTATATGTAGATGGCAATCAATAAAATCGAGACTGGATTGATGAAGTTCACTGGAGCTAAAACAAGTTGCTATCCCCTGTTTTTGCATAAAGAGATAGTTACCGAGTACTATTAAGTCCCCTCAGACAATCAGAATCGTAGTAAACAAACCCCTGGGAAGGGTTCAAGTTAAGGTTCAGGCCCCGTCGATTGGCAGCTCCGGCTCCACTGCTATGGCGCTGATGAACAAAGAGGGGCAGATCCACCGATCATGAAGATCTCCATCAAAAGCATTCGTGGCGGTGGCAGGTTGGATCATGAGGCAGTGCACAGCCTTGTCATCGCGAGGCTAAACACTAGCATCCCATTATATACCAAACTGGTCGGAAGCACTGTGTCAAACACCACTGACCATGTATCCACCTGAAATATCAGAAGAACAAGGCCTCTGGCTGGCCTCCCAAATCCAAGATTGGCAGGTCAACCATGGCTCCATGCTGAAACGCATTCGGACCCAAACGGCTCACAGCGTTCTATGCTATCCCCGTTGCGGCCACCATCTTTCCCACGCTATTTCCCCGAGCGCTGTTTGATCGTGCGTGGGAGCTGCAGAGCATCTACAATGAACGGTATTGTGTCCTGGCTGCCTCTCTCGCAGAAGCTCACAAGATGTACGGGGCACCAAAAAGCAAGGCGATGGAGACAGCTGTCCTGTTCATTGTCCAGCCAGAGAATTTCAACGTAGCTGACGAGCGGCCAATTGAGTATGCGCTGTGGGACCAGGACATCCCGGCATATCGGGTGGAATGGGGCAACGAGATGCTCAAGTATACTTCTTTGAGCGATACGAAGGAACTCCTCTTTCACCCTCCGTGGCGGGGATCGCAAAAGCCAGTGGAGGTGTCCGTGGTCTATCTGCGCGCTGGACACGAGCCTCACGAGTATGACGAGCTGGGAAAAGAAGCGCGTCTACGACTGGAACGGTCCCGAGCAATCAAATGCCCTTCTCTGTTGGCACACATCTTGACCTTCAAGAAAGTGCAACAGACTCTCACAGCGCCAGGTGTCCTGGAGATATTCCTTGCGCCGGAGAAAGTCGCAGCAGTCCGAGCAACGTTCGTACCCATGTATCCGTTGGATGAGTCTGAAGCTGGTCAGCATGCCCGCAGTTTGGCAACAGATCCCGAACGTGCGGAGGATTACATTCTAAAGCCTTCTTTGGAAGGCGGAGGACACAATATCTATGGGGCTGACATCCCGCAATTTCTGTCTTCAATTCCACAATCCAGTTGGGGCGCGTACGTATTGATGGAGCGGATACCATCTCCATTGGTGGGCAATATTCTTATGTCCTCAGATGGGATTGACTCTGCGGCCGTGATATCGGAGCTCGGGATATTCGGAACGTGCCTGTGGCAAAAAGTAGGGGACCGCTGTGAGCTTCTGCGAAACTCGACGGCCGGGTGGTCATTGAAAACCAAATACGCGGACGTTGATGAGATGAGCGTGGTCAAAGGTTATGGGTGCTTTGATACACCACTGTTGTTTTGATACTGTCTAATGGAAGAGCAATGTGATCGCCCCTGCCGATAGCCGATCATCCATCCAATACCCCGACAACGCTGGTCCCCTCACACAGCTAGTATTTATATATATCTTCGTCGCTAATCGCTCGTGGTTAGCATGCTTCCAGAGAAAATTCTGGAATGAAAACTTACAAGTGATACTGGAGGCTATCCCTCCCTTCTGCCAAAGCATTTACCCATACACTCACACTCATTGCGCTCACTGGAAATTCTCCGTAACCTTTTTTATCAATCACAACGGTTTGGGAACACCACTGCAGAATGTCGGTCCATTGCTCCGCGGCATGCTGTCGACCGACGTACATTCGCTTTCTTGATGGACCTGCATTGCTCATGATGCATGCAAGACCAGACGGATGTCGACGATTGCCGTAGCGAACAAAACCTATCTTGTCAGCATATGCAGTGATTAGCCTGTTGTGCAAGATACGAGGCACTCACCGATACAGTTTGGTTTGTCAAAGTAGTCCCGTTGCAAGCCATAGGCATATAGCTTTCGGGCTTGTGTGAGGGTAGGCAGCTTTCCCTTGCAGGAGGGCGTCATCGGATCTTTGACGTCAGCTTGGAGACCATAAAGATCCCCATAAAATACACATGGCTGGCCCTTGTCGCGAAGCAAGATCAGAGCGTAGGCAAGAGGTTTGAATCGCGATGCAACTGGTGCCTGAGGTCCATTAGCATGTCACTCATATAGATGAGTTATTCATACCTCGAGGGACTGTCCTGGTTGCTTCAAAGACATTAGCACTATAAATACATTGCTGGAAATATTACTTACTGTGTCATGATTGGCAACAAAAGTCTCCTAGTAGTCAGTATCAACGGAATCCACATTTCTAGTAAACTTACCACAGCATATTCAGGCCGTAGCTGAACTAATGTGTTATTGAATATGTTGCGAAGGTCGGCTCCTTCCAATCGCGAAATGCTTGACAAGCGCGCAACCAAGGCCGAATCGAACAGGGATAGCTTGTAGTCCATCTGTTGTAAGTAATCAAGGAGCGGCTTGACTTCGCCTTTCCAGTATTCGCCGACTATGAAGTAGTCGGGTCCAACAGTCTCTCGAAGACGCCGGATGAACTCCTTCTGAAAACCAGCGGAATAATGCTTGACCGCATCCAGCCGCATACCACTGAGAGGCAGTTGGGAATTAATCCACTCACCCCAGTTCAGCACATCGTTGCGCACTTCTGCGTTGGAGTAGTCCAAGTTTGCGAACATGAGGTAGTCGTAATTCCCATTCTCACGGGCAACATCTTTCGCCCACTCGTGCCCTTCAATTTTATACACCCCGCTCCTTTGACGTGCTTGATCCCAGTCGACACCGCTGAAATGGTTCTTATTGTACTTCATGGAACTATACCGGTCACCACGTCCGGGGAAGTTGAAGCCCACCCAGCCCTCGATCTCCTCGGGAGAGGATATCTCCAGATTGCGCTCTATGATAGACTTAACAAGTATTTCCGGGAGTCAAGATGGGGGCATACCCTGTGGGTCAACTTTGACTGCTGGGAAGCGCTCTGTGTAATCTGCTCCGGCTTTGTGATTGAGGACGGCATCACAATAGATGCCTATACCGAGGTCTTGAGCCCGAGTCGCTAAAGACTGGAGTTCCTCCTTAGTACCCCACTTTGTAGCGCGGGAGCCTTTTTGTTCGAATTCTCCCAAGTCATAGAGATCATAAATATCATAGCCATTCCCACATGGCTCCATGGCTTTGCTCGCGGGTGGAATCCAGATATTATCGACCCCAATAGCTTTAAAGCTTGGTAAGACATGTCGAAGTCGACGCCAATGGCCTTGGTCGGCCGGCACGTGCCACTCAAAAGCTTGGAGCATCAACGAGTTGTCAGGGGCGTCCCATGATGGGTGTTGATCCAAGTGCTCAGCTTCCTCTGCATCGCGTACACAATAAGCCGAGATTCTCCCAAGGATTACAAGAACCAACCTTCAATCTCCTTCCATCGTCGCTTCTCCTTTCTCTTCCCAGGTTGGCACCAAGAAAGCAGCGATCGCATGGAGAGACAGTATGGCCTATGATTTGGAATATATCAAGGAGAAAGGGGAAAATATCTTCCCTGACGGCAGGGATTATGAGGGATTTTGTTAACAAGGAGAGACGCGTCCACTACCGTTTAGACGTGAGATGTGTCAATTTCTATGTTGTAAACGCGTCATGTTGCTGGAAGCTGTCTGTATAATTTAAGACATGGTGACCAAAGGGTCCGGATGGAGCCCCTGGCCCTAGTGCGTTTTGCACTTTATATAGAGAGCTTATCTGCAAGGCTGTAGCGCATGCCTAGTGGTTCTATTTTTATGGAGGGTATCCTGCAGACACGTTCAGGCAACTGTAGTCTGATATGTATGGGTTGTGTCGGTACGGAGTACTCTGATTTTTGTCAAGCAAGATGTTTATGCTCTCGATGACGATGCATTATTCCATGGCTCGCGCCCACTTCTGAACGGACCAGATCTCCGTCGGCTTACCGTTGACCGAAAGGAGAAATTGCACCAATCAGTGGCCACGGGACGGCTTGGCGGACATCACTGGTTTCAGAGGCCTGCCATTTGCTGAACCAGACATTCTATAACTCTGTCGCGATGATTCGGAAGGGGCGAAGAATTGATTTTTGCGGTTTCAGCAACAGCCTCGGACCCTGGCCGACCGACAGACCTTGCAGATTGCCAGATGGCGATTCATCGGGCGCATTCCAAGGAAATTCATGCCTGAGGCTGCCGTTGTCACCATACTTGGCACGGAAGGCCTCGGCAGTACGGAGATACCCATGTCTTGGTGAGGGGGATTGGTCTGTAGACTGTACTGTGTACATCATACATTGCAGATTGACTGTAAACTGACCCCGTAGACGATTTTATATTCTCATCGTGAGGGGTTGTGTTGGCTCAGAGAATCTGGATTCTCCCGGTCAAGTGGCTCCAACCAGCCTGCACGGAGGTGACGGAGGTAAATGGCGACACCGCAGATGACCGATCTTCATCCCCAATCCCAGCCACATCTCCAGTACGGAGTACTCCAGTAAAAAAAGACATCAATCGCTGGCCTGTCAATCCAATGGCACCGTGATGGTGCATCGTTCGTTGGTTGACCGGGCGATCGGAGTTAAAGCCGTGGCAAGGCGCGCATTGGCCGCGAAAAGTTTTCGGGTTCGGGTGTGCCGCTAGTGCCAAAAGCAGCGGCCGGCCATCCCTTTCAAATCCTCTTCCTTCCGGGACTCCATTTTCTTCCCTTCCCAAACTCTGCAAAGCTTCAATTGCGTCGCTTTCCCTCTCCCCTCCTCATCTCCACACTCCTCTCCTCCCTTTTCTTGTTCTTCATCCACACCCTCACACATCATGTCCGCCAACGCTAAGGTGGAGGCGCCTGCCGCCGCCGCTGCTCCCCAGCTCAGTGGTCTCCAGCTGTACTCCAGATTCGCCTTCGCTGGTGCTGTCTGCTGCTCCGTCACTCACGGAGCCCTCACTCCTGTCGATGTGTAAGTCGGACCATGTCGCCTTCCGTCGTTTCGACCGCGCCTTGTTCCGCCTGGGGTGCGCTCGAGGGTCGTTCTACACCAACCCTCCCAAGCCGTTGCTGACGCGCTCTCTTTTTCGTCTTGCAGCGTCAAGACCAGAATGCAGCTTGACCCCGTCACCTACAACCGTGGTATGATCGGTGGCTTCAAGCAGGTCATTGCCAACGAGGGTGCTGGCGCTCTCCTCACTGGTTTCGGTCCCACCGCCGCCGGTTACTTCCTCCAGGGTGCTTTCAAGTTCGGTGGTTACGAGTTCTTCAAGCAGCAGTGGATCAACCAGCTCGGTTACGAGACTGCTTCCAACAACAGAACCGCTGTCTACCTTGCTTCCTCCGCCACCGCCGAATTCTTCGCTGATATCGCTCTCTGCCCTCTTGAGGCCACCCGTATCCGTCTTGTCTCCCAGCCTACCTTTGCTTCCGGTCTTCTGAGCGGTTTCGGTAAGATCCTCAAGAACGAGGGTGTCGGTGCTTTCTACTCTGGTTTCGGTCCTATCCTCTTCAAGCAGTAAGTTGTTCAGATGGTATGATGTGAGAATTATACTAAACCATTCAGGGTTCCTTACACCATGGCCAAGTTCGTCGTCTTCGAGAAGGCTGCTGAGGCTATCTACGGTTTCGTCGACAAGAACGCTGCTAGCGACGGTACTAAGACTGCTATCAACCTTGGCTCTGGTCTCATTGCCGGTTTCGCTGCTGCCCTCGTCTCCCAGCCCGCCGACACCATGCTCTCCAAGATCAACAAGACCCCTGGTGCTCCTGGTGAGGGTACTGTCACCCGTCTTATTAAGATCGGTAAGGAGCTCGGCTTCAAGGGCTCTTACGCCGGTATCGGTGCTCGTCTCTTCATGGTTGGTACTCTGACCGCCGGTCAGTTCGCCATCTATGGTGACATCAAGCGTGTCCTCGGTGCCACCGGTGGTGTTGAGATCTCCAAATAGACGTGAATTTGTGACTGCTTTGGTGTATTATAATGCTCACTAGATTTGCGTTGCGTATACATTGTTTTTCAATAGATTTTTCTGTTAGAAGAAGAGTCTTGGCACCGTTGCAGTGAGGTAGATGAGAAATGATATCCTCGTTCACGATCTATCACCTTTACATCTGATTAAATCACGTCCGTTAAGTCACGAAGTTATACATGATGTAGTTCATTTGAGCCTCAAGCAGCCTGGGGCACCAAACATGACAAACAAATCCATCTGAAATCATTTACGTCATAATCCTACAACACCAACGAACCTCCATTTGTACGAAGAATATGGCAACAAGGGCAATAGCAAAAAAAAAAAAGTTTAATATACTATGTTCCTTTGTACTCTTGTTTGATGTCACCATGCTACCTCGTTGAATGGCCTCAGCCAGAGTTGTCTCAGAGTGCAGTAGAAAGAGGACTGACAACGACAGAAACAACCCGACCAAGTGCGACGAGGGTGGGGATTATACCTGGCAAGTCAGCCTTTCTCGAGATTTCCCTCAGCTTATGATTGAAGATTGTAATGGGGATAGTGGCCAGGTGGATGCTGTTGACAAACAAAAACCGATAGTCACAGCTACGGAGTATAGTACGCCCAGTTTATCCGAGGCACTGGAACCAAGCCGAGGGGATTACCTATCGCAAAGACCATGCTACGCAATTATAATTGGGAGGATAAGGCGCTGGTGATTAGGACGACAAGTACCATTAAATAGATGGAATGGCGATTTCAAGATCAAGAAATTACTCATCGACAGGCTGGTTACGATCGACACGATAACAGGGGACTGTAACCCGCCATGACCTGGCTCGATGAAATCGCGCACCGCATGAGAGGCCATCTTGGTGGCATAACATTGTCTCGCTGACGTCTCCTTGACAACAGACCGAAGCTATTCCACCATTGAAAAGGGTCGGCCATGCGACCAGCCGCTTGTCTCATGGCAGGGGTCTGTGCTTCTGGTCAGCCAGCAATCCGGCTTAAATGGCCCCCAAGCTTACTCCAGGCACCTGCCACACAATGTTTCACGTCCAATTCATGTACCTACGTGCGCTGGGCAAATCCCCGCACAGCTTCCACAGTTCAGCTCAGCTGGAGAACATTCCTCTTACCACCAGGGGCGGTCTACAGTCTCCGGTTCAGGCCATTCATCTGTGGCCATGGCTACCTACCCCGTCCTGTCCACTGGGTAATTTCTTCACCGATCTAATCAGCTAGTTGGTGGAGCCCAAGTCTCTGCTAAATGATAGTCATAGCGCCAAGTCAGTCTAGCCGATGTCATGGACAACCCGTGGACAAAATCTGCATTCCTGTGAAGCATGCTTGTGGGAAGAAAAGCAAGGTAGAAATAGACGTTATGGAAACAGAAAGATGGAGAATCTACAGGGCAGTAATGCTGTCTGCATGATATCTGTGGCTGAGCGAGAGATCGCCGCGCAAGAACTCCTCGTGCCAGGAAATGAAGCCGGACGCTACTAAACAAGCGCGGTGATCAACGGCCTCACGCCATTCGTCCAATTCCCCAGAGCTGCAGACCATCAGCCACCGGCGTGTGTTGAATGGTGATGGTGATGCGGGCTGCTGCATGATCACCCGTTCTATATTTGTCTCCTTTCCTGGCCGTCGAGACTCGTACCACACTTTCCACCTTGCTTATCACAAACGCTTTATATGAGGTCGCCTGCCCACATCCCCCAAATTTGCAGGTGCTGTCATTCGTTTCTTGCTGCGACTAGCTACGATTAGCTGCAGACGCCCGATAATAATAATCATCATCTCCATGTTCAAGCGTCTCTAGGATCTGTCGTGACTGCGACCATGGCGACGGCATATACTGTCGCCTCTACGACATCCTCGACCGCATATGGATGGGAATCTAATTCCACGCTCTCTCCTCAATATAATGGGTTCTACACAGTGTCGCAAGAGCAGCAGCAGGAGCAACAAGTCGACCAAGAAACCGCGAGCGCATTTTGGAAGTTCCTTGCGGCTTGTTCATCGTACCTGGTGCTTGTAGGGTGTGTACTGACACTCCCGATTATCACAAGCGACGCCGCTAACTATCCATAAGATTTCTTGTAATTCCACTAGCATTTGGAAATGAATCGCATGGCGACAAGACATCCATGATCATTGCCGCATTGGTCTTGGTTGCGATCGGATACACGACATCCCTCATGTTGGTCTGCTTCCAAGGACGTGAGCGGGCATACTTGCTACACTCGCTGTTTCTGTACGTTCTACGACATCCTCCGAGTCTATCAACTAACCATCCCAGATCATGCACCGCATCAAACCTCCTCGCCCTACTGAACGTCTTGCTCAACGTCCTCTGTCGCAAATTGCCCCTGGGCACCCTCGAGATCGCCAGCCTCAGTCTTCCAAGCGTATTCGCACTTCTTTACGGCGCGGGAGCCTTATGGAGCTATGCGGGAGATTTCATGGTGGTGACCCGAGTGAGGAAGCATGAGAGTCCACTGACCGAGGAAGAAATGCAGCGACAACAACTGCAACGCCTGTTAGATCATAATTCCAAGGCCCCAAGCCCGAAGGTTGTTCAGAAGACATTCCGAGTCAGCGCTCCGGAGCGCATTAACCCAGGGAAAGGTTGGGATACGTTTACACCTGCGCGAGATGATGGGTATGGGAATCGGTGGACACCTGCCTGATACTGCATTTACTAATCACTATTGTTGACGCTCATAATCTGCCTCATAACTCTGAGCTTAATGAACTAATGTGCTTGAACGAATGCATTTGGATCGTATTAATTCAGCACTGGCTGTTTAGACTAACCTGTCTATCTACAGAGATATGATTGTCATTCCAGTGACCCGACCAACATGCATCTGACACTTTCAACCTTTCTTCCTCCAACTCAATCCCAAACCGCTCTCAGCTCCTCCGCAGCACGTCCGCATCGTTCTTCCACCATGCCTTTTCTCAACGAAAAACAATGGAAACCTAAAGCAGACCAAATCCTTTCCCTCACCACATACCATACCAGCAAGCGACCATGCACCATTTCCACAATAAATCCAACCTCCACGGCTTCTTCAGGGCTATCAAGGATCTCCATCTCAAGCACTAATAATAACCCGATGGCCAAACGACTCCATTCCCACCTCCATCATAGATACCTAGTCTACTCCAGATCATACCCTTCTACCTACCCCGTCTACCTCCACCTGAAAGACGCCACATGGCATATGTCATGCCCTCGTTCAACTCCAGCACCCAGCCCAGCTAAAACACCACTCACAGGAAGCATAGGTGACCACCTTGGCGCCGACCACCTGGTATTCCGACCAGAAGTCGGGACCATCCCGATTCGGTTCAACTACCCCTTTGTAATCAAGATGGCCGACACACCCACCTACGAAACAGCCCCCCAGGCCCTTTCTCGGTCATGTTCGCACGTGGGATCTCATGTAATCCCCTCCCTCCCCACGTGCGTGGTATATTTGGAACGCTTATCCGCAGAACTAGAGAGTGGTTCCCGCATCCCGCATCCCGCATCCTTGGTATATATGGGACGTATCTTAAGATGGCGTGGGTAGTTTGGAACCTGGTCGATTATTATTACGATGTATCATGTATGTCTACACGATGTATATAGATCGTCATCTGTCTGTATTCATACCAATGATATGGTGTGGTATGGTATGGTATGGTATAATCCAACGAGGTAGAGCGTCATCCATCCAGGTACTGTAGACCGTGTATATCATGAAGATGTCTATTATCATCTTCCCAGGGATTACTAACCCCGGATTGAAGAAGAAGGTGGTTCCTTTCATGGTATAATCTGTTTCTTTATGGTTAAGATAGGTACGAGACTATGCTCTGTGTTTCGTTTTCATTATGGGATTGTCTAATTGCTGGAGAGGAAGGTGATGCTGATTTATCTTGATGATTGGTGGGTCTTGGGGATTATGTATGGGGTAGATGAGGGAGAGAGAGAGGGAAGAAGGCAGGCTTGATTTATTGTTTGGGGTGGGATTCACCATTGACTGTGTGACTTGGATTAAGGGGGGAATAGATGCAGTGAGGGAGGTATTTATGGAATGGTCAGTGAGTGGCTGATCTGGAGGTGGCACTACTACAAGTGAGATATTGCTGCAAAGGTATCGGCATGACCCGTAGGCCACAAACGTGTACATTCAACTAGACCTAACTGGCGGACACCAGAACCTAAGTCAAAGCACGACGATATGTACAGCTGCAGACCTTCTGCACAAATCTCATCCGGAGGAATCACCGCACTTACACCGGGCGGCCGCGCCGTTCTAACATACCTGGCAACAACACGCAAGGAATACGACAGGTAAGGGGAAAGAACGAAGAACAACGAAGATACGAGAACCAACCTTGTACGGCTGACCAGCTGCGAATATGGTCAGAGTCAGCTGGATTATTTGTTCAATCATTAATGTAGTCATCCAAATTGGTGGGAGTAATCGGATCAAACCCGGATTCTGCGGGCGTCTCTCGGACGGATGGGGGCCTGCCCCGGCGCGAGTGGTATCGGTTCGGCTGCAACACACGTTCAGGCGGGCATCGCGGTATTGGCCACTCCATTGGAAGTGACCTGGCGCTTCGCCGCCGGAAGAGAGGAGGAGTCCTGTACAAACAGTTGATATCAGTCATACCCACACATCTAGAAACGCTTGAGCACTAGGCGACAGGCGAGGTCGATTGCCGTATGGTGGCCGGTTCGCTGCTCGTAAGCTACTTTGGCTTCTTGCGTGCACTTACGTCCAAGGATTCGATACCGCGTTTCTGGCCGGTCTCGGCTTTCTTGATGATCTTCCTTTTGGGGCGTGTCGGACGAGTTTCTCCCGGTTGGAAAACATCGTCCGGCAGGTCGAAGCTACGAGCGTCAATGGACATCACGAGCAGGGTGTATGCCACTCACTTGCGGACATGGGTGATCGCCAGATCATTAACCCCCGGCTGGTATCCTGCCCACGAGGTACACGTCGACTTGAAAATCTGGGCGTCGGTCGAGATATCCAGCGACCGGGAGGCGCCTACAAAGTCAGTGGAATCAAATAGGAGGAGGGTTCCACATACCTGGCTCTAGGGGCTTGAGTTCCAGACCGATGTAGTAGGTCGTGGTGTACATGATATGAGTGTCATCGGCGGGCTTGTTCTCGGCTGCCGCCACGTCAGTGTTCTCGGCTCCGTTCAGCGCGGCAGCCTCATGGGCGGCATCCTTCGTCTCATCGGTCGTCTCCGTCTTGGTGCCTTTGTCTTGGTACTTAGTGGATCCAGACTTGACGGCTTCAATTTCAGACTCGGACGAGACCAGATGGACCCGCTCAAATCCTTTGGGAAAGGGGTGAGCGACCGCGATCGTTGCTTTCCGATCCAGCGCTCCAACCAGGTGTCGGATCTTAGACTCAACCAAGCCAGACCACACCGACTCGGCCTCCTTGGTTCTGCTGGACGCCGTGATGCTGAGGTAGTACTTGTAATCGCCGGTGAAGAAGGTATGTCGCGCAAATAGATCTTCCCAGCGCGCCTGTTTCAAAAAGATCTTGTCCACAAGATCTCCACCACGCTGAAGCTCACGGAGGATGACGGCCTTGGTGGACATGGAAACGTTATGTGTCGCGCACATGGAGGGGTAGGCCGGGGTGATGATGGGCATGAGGTGGAATCGATCGCCGTGATAAATCTATACGTATTAATGTGTGCTCATGTCGAGAGAACGATTCGCCTACCTTGGGATTCCAGACCTTCATCTGAAGAGGTCCATCTTCAATCGGCTTCAACAAGACCGGCTGAGGCCAGGCCCATTTGTTCATAATCCGAAAGAACTTGCCCACAATCACCGAGCCAGTTGCCTGGGGGTACAATTGACACACTCTGGCGACCAACATAGCCCAAGCCACACCACCCGGGAAACCCACAATGTTCGAGTAAATCGCTCGTCCTATTATTAAGCTTAGCACAGTCCGTTTCACCGAGGCGGAGGGCTTACGTTGGGCCCAAAGTTTGATCGCGCGCAAGGCCAGCCGAAATGTCTTCTGCTGGGGCACAAGTTCCAGAATCTCATCGGTCACACGAGTGCCGTTCAGCGATCGAACCTCCCTCTCATCCAGTCCCCGCAGATAATCGTTGTTCTTGAGATCGAGGTTAATTGGGATCGCCGGCACAATCAGACGAGCAAAGATTAAATCGATACTGATGCCGGACAACTCGAGTTTAATAATCGGAACGTACGCATCGGGAACCGGAGTCATCTTCTCGATAGCGCCCGGAGGGGCCATCTTCTCGAGCACGGGCGGGAAATCCGAAAAGAAATCGTCAATCACGACATGCTTAGGGCCGACGACCAGGGTATCGATATCCGATCCTGCAAACACAAATCAATCCCGACTCATCTAATAGAAGAAGCATCCCACTCACCCGGCCCATAAACACCCAGGCGATAACTGCCGTATGTGAAGATCTTCCCTCCGGCGGCCTCTACAGCTGCCGGAGAGAGACCTTTCTTCCGACTCACGGTCTTGACGAATTCGAGGGTGACACGCTGGATGAGCTGAAGGACTTGTTTCCTACAGCGCAATTGAACTTAGCGCCAGGTCCACCACACTCATCGAACTCTTACCTCCGGTCCGTCTCCGCAGGGCTTTCGAAATTATTTTGAACCTTCAACTCGGTGATCAGGTCGTCATTCGCAGCAAGCTCGTCCGAGGTCGGAAGAACGGTGGAGATGGGAGGAGTGACTCCCCACTGTCGAACTGGTGGTGCCGTCATCTTGTAAGTCAACTAGATAATGCTATGCTGAAGCATGCGGTTGCGCGGTTACCAAGCAGCGGCTGGCACAAGGGAGAGAAAAGAACGACTGGCAAAGGAGGGAAGATATGTGCAACAAAGGAGATATCTGACGGGTCAACTCAAAGCAAGAAGCAAATGGAAAGAGAAAGGAAGAAGGGCGAAGGGGAATGCAGAGCAGCTTGATCGATCGGGCGAAATGAGGAGGCGTCGCGAAAAGAGGAAAGGCGCGCGCTGATTCAGCAGTCACGTGCATGATAACACGATCCACACGATAGCCACAGTACAACTATGAACTGATTGATGTGGTGGGCCTAGAAGTACGCAGAACTTTGTAATACTATTAACACTAGCATCCTTTCTCGATTTCTTCATACATAGTATCATTACCCCCTTAATCAGCCATCAGATCTGCTTACAAATTACGGCAGACTGTCAGTCCTTGTCAAAGAACTCCGCCAGCCGCTCATCCAGCCATCTGACATCGTCCTTGCTCTGGCCCGGTCCACCCGCCCAATCTACCAACGTTAGACACGTTCAATAAATGTAGCACGACACTTACGGCCCCAGATAGAAGGAAAGACATCGAGAGTTCCGATTCCCGACTGCATACAGGCAACCTCGTATTCCGAATCTTCCGGCCTATCGAGAGTCAGCTTGGCCATTAGGAGTGGGCAGCACTTACGGGAAGTAAAGGTCCGTCTTGCCAGGCAACACCAGGGTCTTTGCCTTGATGGCGCCCAACGCTTTCTCAAAGTCCCCATTATACGGCTCCTGCAGGGATACATCGCCATTCTGCCATGTTTGCAGCATCGTCAACAGGTTTCCAGGATCTGTAGCCATCAGCACCCTACTCAGTCTTCACCAACGCAGCAACCAACCTTTCGAAAGCGCCCAACTTTCCCAGAAATTCTGCATAAAATGCTCCAAATCCTTATACCCCAAAGCCGTCTCATACAACTTCTCCCTATAAAAAGCCTGCGAGAATCCCCTACCCCACCACCATCACCACCGCATTAGCATCACCCAACCCAAGTATATCCCATCCCATCACATCATATCAAAGAAACCAATAAACTCACCACCCCGCATACCCCCTCCCAAAAGCCCTCAACCCAACCTCCCTCTCCCTTTCCCCCCAAACCCTCAACGTCTCCCCCTCCTCCTCCTTCAACACCGCCCCCTCCCCGGCCCCCCTCGACACCACCCCCTTCGCAGCCAACAACGCCGTCTTGACCCCCTCCAAAAACACCTTATTATGCAACGACGTCCTGGCCGACCCACAAAACGGCACCACCAGATCCATGAACCCCGGATACTGCGTCGCCCACTGATAACTCTGCCCCGCACCCATCGACCATCCCAGCACCGCTCTCGCATGAGTGATTCCCAGATGCTTGGTGACGAGCTCATGCTGCGCACGCACATTATCGTAAAACGAACATTTAGGAAATGAGCCCGGGGCAGTATAATTCGACGGCGACGTCGACTGGCCGTTGCCGAAGAGGGCCGGGAGGATGATGTAGTATTTCTCCGGGTTGAGGGTTTTATCGGTGCCGATTAGCCAGTAGTTGTCTGAGAGTACTACATTCATCACCTATGAGTCTCATACCATGAATCTCCCCAACAAGGAGAGGGGAAGGGGGCAAGGATAGAGTGGAAGATGGTATGGGATGTACATACACCCCGAAAACCAAGTCGGATAGATAATAGCGGGGAAGGTAGGATCCCCAAACGTTTTGTATGCGATGTGAGCGTTTAGGAGCTTTTCGCCGCTTTGGAGGGCCCAGTCGCCGAGGGGGTAGGTTGAGTAGTCGGGTTGGGACATTGTGGGGATACACTATATATATGATTGGGGATTGTTGAGGTAGTTTGTAGTGCTGTGAGAGGAGTAGAGACGGATGGGATGGGATGAGGGGTGGTGGTGCAGGTGGTGCAGGTGGATTTACATATGGCGGCTATTGTCGGTCGGAGGGCCGAATGTCGAGCACCCCGCGTTTGGCTATCTCTCGGGGATTAGGGACTACGGGCGTTGGATAGGGATAGCGGAGGGTTCTATTGGGATTAGATATGCTGGTTCTAGTAGTTTGGGGTGTTGGCTTATCGTGTTTGAGGTTAGTGGAGTGGAGTGGATTGGATGGGCTTATCGGGGTGGTGATAAGGCATGCTTCTAAGTGCTCTTCTATCGATCTCTGCGTATATACATCTACTGATATCTGTCGAAGTGATACACCCCTCCACGTTATACTTCAAGAAGTAGAATTCAACTCCACGCCGCAACAAGCTCACACAGCGTCTCCTCTCCACCCACATTTCCCGGGAATACAACAAACGGCACTCCGGCATGTCGTGACGTCGGCTCATCACATCGCCATAATGGCACTCCTGGTGCAGCTTGTCCGATGATCATGGCGCGCTTGATGTTCAGGCCTTTTGTTGCTGCGTCGGATGAGGTGATTCCGCCCTGTGGGAAGTAAGTCAGTCATGGAATCATCAGACTCAATTGTGTCTTCCTACAGGGAAAGAGGATAGAAGGAAAGGTTGAAAACCTACTTTGGCAATGATATACCGCGGACGAACTTCCACCCGCTTCAACACTTCCACCAACGCCTCCGCAACCTTGGATCCAATCGCCAAACTAGACAACTCATCCTGTCCGGTGATTAACCGCCGACTCGTCATGACGAGTGTGTCTGTTCCCGCGAGCAGATGAGACTCGACCTCCTTCACAACGCGGGCAATCACGGACTCGGACTGATCGGTGGAGGCGATCAGCTCTTCGACGCTCAATTCAATAATGGCGAGGGTGTTGGAACCGGAGGGGCCGCGGCGGTCAGTAAGAACTTTCAGCTGGGCAGTGGTCTTGGGGACGTAGGAGCCGGCGACTATGAGGGCGCCCGTTTGTCTGGGTTTTGGCAAGGAGAGGTCCTGCGCCGTGAGAGGTGGTTGGGAGCGGATGCCGAGAGTGGTGGACACAAAGGCAGCGCCAGTGCGGTAGAGGTAGTGTTTCGCTTTGCCTTCAAGCAGGGATTGGGATTTGGCTGTTGAGGGAGTTAGCGGGTAAGAGGAGGTTGGTTGGTGAAGCTTGCCTTGAAGAAGACCAGCGACAAAGACATGCATGTCTGATTCAGCAGCAGCATTGACAACCACCACGCCTCCTTTGGGAATGGCTAGGAGCTTCTCGCAGACAGCATTGGGTCCTCCCACTCGGATGTCTTCAATCGTGACGGAATGGATTTGCTCCGGCGTGAACCGTCCGGGAGCCTTCTCCATCACATAGTCGCGTAGGTTCGAGCTCTTGTATCCAAACGTTGCATCGCGGGCAAATTGAGTCGCACCAGCTGGGACGAGATTCTCGCCTTCGGCTACATAGTGCACGTTGTTGATGGTAAGTCGTCCGCCCTGAAAGAAAAAGGGCGCGAGCACAATGGCGTCTGCGAGACCAAAGACGGACTGCGCGACGTCGGCTTCGAGGGGAAAGTGACCGCGGAGAGTGCTGTCGCCGCGCAAAACGATATCGACCGTGGTTCCAGCAATCTTGGCAGCTTGTAGGACATTTTCGCAGATGGTCCGTATCAACCTTTCGGCCTCGATCGGGGGCAGAGCGCGCGAATTGGTCAGGATGAAGAAGCCCGGCGCTGAGCTTTGTTGCAATTCCTCGAGTAGAGTCGGAATGTCCCACACGGTGAGGACGGAGATATCATGGCAGGTCTGGGTGCCCGTTGGGTCATCGTCAAGCACAACGAGGCGACTAAGAGAGGCGCTGGAAAGGAGCTCGGAGATCTGGTCTTGCGCGTCAATGGGAGACTCTGGTGGTAGCTGAGCCAGTGTGCTCTGGCGTGGAACCACGGGATATTCACGAGAAATTGCCATTGTTGACCTGAATTGATCTGGGGAGGTGAAATGACCAGAAAGTATAAAGCATGAAGTATGAAGCTGAAGCATGAGCTGAAGCATGAGCGAAGGTGGAGGGGAAGCGGGGATCGGCCAGAAGTCCGAAGCTGGCCCCGCAGCAGCCAGGATTCATCATATCCAAAATGTCTGGGTCGATTATCATATGCAACTCATGTCTCGCATGCTATCGACAAAAATCTAAACTCAACAAACATGCACCCATGCAATACCCCAAGCGCCGTGACATGTGCAGAGATGCAAGCCGGTCATCGTGTGAGCCGTGACTGAACGCGGATATTCCAAGCAAGAACAAAAGGAAAATGAATGATCGCACAGATGGCTTCCAATCCGTCATTATACATGCCTCCCTTTTTCCATGATAAGCAAATCCCAGTGGTTTCCCGACACTCCCCAACCCTCATCCCGACGCGATCGATGAAAAGCAGAAACAAACCACCCTAAGCAGGACATAGGAGAGAGCATTAGCAGACACGTCGAGATCAACGTAGCATGTAGAGCATAACACAAAAGGGAAAGTTGAAAGACCGCAAGTCTTAGCCGACAACACTGCGGAAGCTGAGCGCTTCCAGGAAGCCTCCGAGGTCTTCCTTTTGCACTTCCACCACACAGTGCTCGAAGCTATCAATGCGCACCCGAGCGCTGGTTTCTTGCACCACTTCTTGGAACGCAATGCCAAATCGGTTCCGCAGGAGATGCTTGTTGGTTCGCAGATCCTGCTCGTCCTCGGACTCAGACTCGGATTCCGACGATGATTCCTCAGTATCCTCCTCGTCATCGTCGTCCCCATTCTCAGCGCGCTCTGCAGCGCGCTTGGCGCGACGTTCTTCGCGCTCCTTTCGCTTCTTCTCTTTGGCTTCTTTCTTTGCGCGTCGCTCTTCCCGGCGTTTCGCCAACGCGGCAAAGTCGACCACTCCGCCACCACCTCCGGTACCCACGACAACGTAGAGACCTCGATCCTCGTCCAGCCCGGCAAGAACAAGAGGAGTGCCCAGAGCCCGCCTACGGCCGACCTTGACAGTGTCTCCTCGTTCTCGTTCTTGCACTCGAATAGCCTCTGCGACCCACAATGCCAGCTTCGTCAATGCCCCGGGGTTCGTGAAGAGCTTCACGTCCGGGCCGTCTTTAACCACGGCAATGCGGAATGCTCGCAGGTGACGAATCTGGTGCTTTGCGAGTAGCGACGTACCGGTGCGAAGGATAGCCCGGTGGAGGTGCTGGGCTAGAGGGAGTGAAGATTGAAGGAGCGTGGGGGATTCCGAAGTCAGTGACAAGGCGTCATAGGCACTCCAGAACCGAGGAAGAAGACTGGCCAGATCGGACTCGGTAGACCCGTCGTCATTAGGCGTCGGAGCCGTTCGGGACGCGCGTTTGGCATCCCATATCCCGGGTGCTTCCTCGGGTCCGACCTCAAGAATTGCACCGATAATAACACCCACATCGGTGGCGGACAGACAGGCTTTCCACCCCCAGCAGCGGACAAACCCCCATCCCTCACGAGAAGCGGCATGTCCAGACGCCTCCGGCGGGACAAGTCCGTCCAAGCCGTACATCGGCGCATACTTCAATAGGCGTTGGCGCAATACCCGCTTCAGCTCCATGTCCATGTGGGTATAGCTTTGGTGGCTTTGGTTCAGACTAATGCCCATTTTGGCCAGCAGTTTGTGTAATCGTTTCTTTCCGTTTTCCGTCCAGACATGAAGCCTGGATGCTAGGTACGGGCTGTGCAGCATGCTGTCGTAGAGCGACCAATGTCGCACGAGGATGAACCGAGGTTCGGGGGACAGACGGATCGACTTGTCTGTCGGTGACCTGGCTGTAGTGGGAATGACACCGTTGATCTCCCCTCGGATGTCGCGGTCGCGCTCATAGGGGTCTGGAGGGTTCAATCGTAGAACTTCATCGCGCAGTATCTGCCGTATTCGTTCGCCTCTCTCTCCACCCCAGCCAGCCGAGCCTCCGTACTCCAACGCATTGGACACACCCACTCCAGACATTGTACGGCCACTCAACTCCAAGCTCGAGACACCCACAATGGCCAGCCACAGTAGATCGTTGTCTTCACGACCGAGCTCGGATGCAAGGGAATAGACAAGGGAGGATATCGGTTCCGAATACGACGTTCCTGACGAATAGTAACCCTGTAGCACCGCCTCGTGCTTCCTCTTCAGGCGCAACAATCGCCGCCGCAACGTGCGCGCAGATGGCGGCTTCGGCTGTACCGGCGATGGTGAATCTGACGTTGGCGTAACGGAGCGTGACGAATTTGACGAATCATGCCCCAACCTCCGCGGACGAGACGGCGACGAGATGAGGTAGGACCCCTACAGACACATTAGCACCAGCCCAAGGACCACCCCTACCATGACATCGAACGAAACCCACCGAATCACTCCTCCTTCGCTGACGCGGGGGCCCATCCTCATCATCCGACTCGTCATCATCATCCTGGCGCGACCACGATTTGCGCTTCTTCGAATCCGAACTCGAGGGGTGGTCCGTATCACGGTCACTCTCCGAATCGTCCGCATCCTCATCCTCTTCATCCACCTCCGGCATAGCCAACAACTCACAGTATGCCTCCCGCTCCTTACCTAGCTCCTCCTCAATATCCCCATCGTCATATACCACAATACCTCCATTCCCCGATGTATACCCCGTCGTAATACACCCCTTCTCCACGCCGCGCGATTTCCGTCTCGCATTGACATTCATCTCGCCCACCGCAGGCTGTCCCTCACCCCCGAACACATTCGCCAGATTCCACGGCCGCCGCGCGTCAAACACCCAGACCTCGACCCCTCCCATATCCCCCTCCTCCTCTTCCTCTTCGGGATTACTCAAGCAGAGGATCTCACTCAAATCCACCAGCCCGCCCACACCCAGACAGACGACAACACCACCACTCCCCCCATGTGTCGTCCGCATGGGCTTCACCAACTCCTCCCCGGCGCGAGCGAGATCGCCATACCCCGCCACCGGTTGGATCTTATGCGGGATGTAGTCGCGCTTCAAGAGAGCCGTGAGGATTCGGCAGGCACAGAGCGCATCGGGTTCGAGGGCCACGAGGATCAGCACGGGCGGGGAGAGCGGGTGATGGGAGCGAAGGAGCTGTTGGTAGAGATGGGAGATGAGTTGTCGAGGGAGATACATGGCGAGAGGGCGAGGAGGGAATGGAATTAGAGGGATTCTCTAACCCTCGAACCGACACGACGAAGCAATAACGGTGGACTAGTATTTAGTGGGTAGGACGCGGGTGGGTAGGCGTAGTGACGAGAGGGAGGCAGGCCGTGGAGGAAGGAAGACACAGAACGGCCTTGGTTGGAGGGAAGAACGGAGGAGATGAGAACGATAGATGGCTCAGAGGCACCAGAATCAAATCCACTCCATTGTGATTGATTTTATTGTTGTTGTTGTTGGTCGTGTTCTTCGTGGCGAGGAGGATTGTGTGCCGGGGAAACTGGGCGCTGTAATAATCGGACGGCGCGCGCATCTCCAGCCCGGCGACGCGTCTGGCACGTGCGGAGTTCGCCGCCAAGACCCTCCCCATTTACGGCCCTGCAGGATTTCGGCTGCTCGTCGGCATGTTGCAGATTCGCAGCCCCCGTTCTTCAGAATGTGGTACATAGGGCTTGGTTCGAGGGTTGGAATGGGTTGGCGTTTCTGGATCCCCGATCGAAGCATGGGTTATTCAGGCCTGGTCGGCCTTGGTGTTCGTCCATAGTCTCAATGCATATCGCCCGGGCTGGGTCGGTCGTCAAGAAACAGTGTATTCGCTATGTATACATGCCAGATTGATTAAAGAAGTAAAATGAAATGGGAACACCGGAAACGCCATCCCGCGCTGTCTTGTCAATACAGAGTCTTGATGCAGACGTGCTCTAGGTCGGCGATGGCATCCGGAACGGCGACCGATTGCGAAATAAGAGCAATACACAGTATAATCGCATTAGCGCAAGTCTATAGCGTCAGGTCAAGCTGGGGACCCGCCCAAGATTGACCCGGTCAGCCAGGCAGCAGCACATGCGCCCAGCACGGAAACCCCGATGAACCGCTTCTGCCACGTAGATTCCTCAGACATTTTCGCAGCCCCGACCTTTGTCCTGACCGTGTGATGCGGGGAAGACTGATGCGCACTCGCATCCTCCCGCACGAGGGACTCATTCTGCCTAGCAAGAGACTCTTGGTCGCGTGCGCGCCATTTCGCCACGAGCCGGGCAATCTCAATCAGATCCTCCCTCAACGAGCCGGGCTCGGTTGTATTGAGATTCTCAACTTCGACATTCTGCACATTCCCGAAGAAATCCGCCACGGTCCGTAGGCGCCCCTCCTGCTCGCCACCGGGGAACAGATCCCACCGCACGCCCGGCTGGGAATGGATCTTAGACTCGTCGTACGAATCGAACAAATCGCCCAGCGTGAGCTTGGAGTTGGCACTCGTCACCTGGGTCTCCAAAAACTCCAGCACATAGTATGTCCAGCGGTCAATCACCGCAACCCCCACATCGTTGTCCGCATGGTGAGAGTAGGAAGACTGGTCAAGCGCACTGGATCCGGTCGCGATGATGTTCGGCGAGTAGAAATGTGTGTACATGGTGTTCGCCTGGCATGTATCGATCATGAACAATAGCTCGTGGTAGCGCTTCTTCTCCCACATCTGACCAAAGGCGTCCGCTAGGTCCCATGCCCCGATTTCCTCCGAGTCTTGGAACTTCAGGAACTGGTCTCCTCCGTGGCCAGTCATGTAAACCAAAACGTTGCTTCCCGCATCGGAGCCCAAGCGTTTGCTGCGCGGCACATCTTCGTCCAGGCGATCGGTCAGGAGGCGGATGAAGTTCTCCACGGTGACCTCGTACCCCCGATAGTCCACCTCGATGTTGTCGCCGTAAAGATCGACTGCGCGGTCGGCGTTGCTGTATACAGTTCCTGGGAATGCATTGCGAGGGTTGCAGGCCATGTCATCGGGAAGCATCAGGATGATCTGCGAGTCGGGGATGCCCAACCGCTTGACGGTCCGGTAGAGGGAGAGGACATTGGCGAGATGGCGGTAGTTGAACCAGAATCGGGAGGTCGAAACGAGAACAGCCCAGTTGGAGGTGTGTTCGGAGGAGACTGCAACAGTGATGAGAAATAGAACGAGTGGAAGGACTCGGAGGAGTCCAGAGTAGAGCGTCGGCATGGCTAATGATGGGGAATTAACCATCAGACGCCTTCAACGGCGACTCGGCAGTGAGTGATGATGGATGATCAATCAACGCATTCCTGAGGCCGAAAGGCGGAGACGGGGGCGGAGATACGCTAACCGGTTGTGGTATGGCCCTGTCAGTGACGTAATCGGTCTCTTATCCAGATTGTCGTTGATGTTTATTTTCGTTCTATGTCTTCTATTGTCTTTCAGTAATCGCAGCTATGGTGCACAATACGGTAAACTACTCCGTGGATAGATAAGGTGAGCCTACGTCAAACATGCGAAAAATTAATTTACGCAACGTCAGAAGTTAGCAACTTGGTTGAGATAGCTAACCATGTTGGCTGAAGTAGGAAGTGGCCAACGAAGTTAAGCTCGGCAGAGAGAATTGCTGATACATACATACTCCTAGGGACCGCCAAGCATGACAGGAGGCATTGTAAGGCCAACTGGTACGGGTCCTGCTGGTCGACTTGGTCGTGGTGGACCAGGAAGTTGGTCCTACGGCTCTGGAGCAGCCAGGGGCGCAAGAACAGCAGAAGGCGACTTGGCTAGACGGGCATCTAGCTTGATGAGCGTTTTCCTGGCACTCTCCAAGCGCTTGGGTTATATATCACTAGCACAGGTCTTCCGAGAGCTCAGCCGAAGTCGATGTTGATGGGCATGCATCTGAGTGCTACCATCCGGGGCATACCCAATGAAAAACGGATCAAAACATCCTCGGTTAGCCTTGTCAACCTCCGAGTTATAGACCTGTTGTATGATGTTACTATCATACGAGGCATTGTCTTTGAGGGCCTTGAATTCCATGTCCCGTCTTCGATTTCTCCACCTCTCCATATCCCACGAGAACCTTCTCCACGTGCTCTGGACATCCTGTGCATACCTCTGCAGCAATTCCCGAACCACAACCAGAATTACGTCACGATCCATCGTGGATTCTTTTCCAAAGGGGGCACAAAAGTGCACGCATGTCGGCTTGATGCATGTGCCCAGGGGGTCTGTCAAGCAGAAGAAACTCCTGGAAAGTTCAAGGCGCGCATATGCCGCCTCGTAGTCGTAGTAGTAGGCCTTTCCATGGGTCCACCTGCCCTCAAGCGCCTTTGTTACCCCGACTTGAAACCTTGGGGTTGGGACACTGGGAAATGGGGGTGCTGGCTCCAAGAGGAGCTCTGGTAATGGACATGGCGTTTCGGACAGGCCTGGTAATAGTTGGATCCAGGATACACGAGGCGACAAGCCGGGGCCCGAAGTCGCTTCGACGGCTGTGGCATCCGGTATTTCGGCACTGAACACGTCGGACTCGACATCGGTATCCTGGAGACCCTCAATGGCATCTGGCATGGGCGACATCTGCCGGTTCAATGTCTGGGACATCTCCCAAGCTTTCTGTAGGTGCTGAATTGAGTTTTGATATTCCAGAAGGAGCTGGAGGAGATATAGGAGCGAGGGCCGGGGGGATCGAACTAGAGGGCACACATTCGGTGCCCTTCTTACGCTTCTTGGTGGGTACCAGTCTTGGGGAATCAGGAGATACCATCATGGCGGGCCGAGCTAGAAAGTATATCTGATGTACAACCAATATAAATGGTAAACGGCATGTGAAGCAAAGGGTATGAAAGAGGTGAAGGTTCTTATAGGAGCAAAGAGCTCTGCCATCCGTAGTCAGGGTAGACGGTTAGCGAATCATATCAGGAATTGGAGTAAATCACAAGGGACTCGCCTATGCAGTCACCTTATGGAGGAGAAAGCCAGCTTATAGTCTCGAAGCCCGTCTATGAAGGGGCAGTTGTGCGGTCCTTATAGAGATTACCAAAAGGAAGATGTCCTGGACATGAAGCTACATACCGAAGGACTTGAACACAGGAAAGGATTAGGTGATCCAATTTCACCAACCTTTTCATCCTCTGCATCGTCATGAGACACAGTGTGTATGAAAGCGTCTGAAATGGCTGAGCAGATGTCTCATTCAGGCTACCAGGACCCTATTCAAGTGCACATCCAATCCAAGACAACAATAAGTCACAGAGGTTAGACCCAGTATACGTACAACAATGTCCAAACAGAACCAATAGACATTCTGATTCCACAGCAAGTCCCTACACCGCATCGTGCTTGTCCAATTTACCAGCTGGACCTTGTCCCCCCTTCATGATCCGATCGGCATGGCGCCTGACCCTTGGATACACGTCTTGATAAGCCGTCGATCCCATCCAGGCGTCTAGATGCCCCTTGCCCGTGAAGACCTCCCGCTCGTACCACTCCCTCCCATGTACATTACAGAGAGTCGTGTACGAGACGTCCGTATTCTCGGCTGTAAACACCATGTTCCCAGTTCCTGATAAGAACAGAATCGGGATGCCTTTCAAGCGATCGAGGTTTTCCGGTGTGACGAGGTTGGTGTATGCTGGCCCGTTGGCTGTGACGGTCTCCAAACGGCCCGTTTCCATGAGCCACTGGAGAGAACGCATAGAGGTGCCGCCGAGGAAGCGTTCGAGCTGAGCATGGGTAGCATCATTGAGATTCTTGTGGGTCCAGAGACTATGATGCTGTTAGAAAGTTCTCGAGGCAGTACAGGTTGGCCTGTGGAGAACTCACCGGCCAAATACAAGCTCGCTTCGATGACAGACAACCGATCGACAGGACTCTCGGGCATCCCCTCCAGGGTAAAGACGCAACGCCTGGTTCAGGAATGACTGAATGTACGTGTCGTTGCGACTACTGGTGCAGTCCCAGTAGGGACTGACTAGTCGGGCATACAGCGAAGTCGGGAAGCCAGACAAAAGACTATTGACCTTTCCAAATTTAGGGTTCATGAAGACCATCGAGGCTGTAATACCTTGGATCCATTCACTGGGAATTGTGCCGTCTAGCAAACCGCAGGCGAGCGCTAGGGAGCCTGCGCAGTGGGCGACCACATATATCTTGGGCGGTTCGCTTGGACTCATTGTACTGGCAACCTTGCGAATGTGAGCCAAGGCAGCGTGGATATCGCGCCGTGCATCGTATGGTGTGTAGCCATCTCGAGCAATAGAAGTTCGACCAACTCGGTGGGTGATGCAGGAGGTACGGTATCCCGAGTCGCGGAAATATTCGACTGCGTTTCGTTCAATAGTGGGCAGGGCAAACATTTTGTGGTCAACTGCAGCACCTGGGATAAATAGGATGGTTGGTGCAGGACCAAGAATTTCTCTTCCGAAATAACAGGGGTTCCACATGACCATCCTGGTGGTGATCCCATCGGATGCTGTCAAGGGGATGGTCGAGGAGGTGCCTACTTCCTTAGAGGTGTAGTCTGGAGTTGTGCCTGGCCATTGGAGTTGGCCCAGTGTTGAAAGGAAAGGCACGGAGAGTTGTCTGGTAAAGTAAGAAAGGAAGCTTGCTGCAGATCTGGCTCTCGTCCATAGCGATGGCCCGCCGGTCGCAAAGCTCTGGAGCTCATAGCTGAAGTCATTGGGCTGGATGCGTAGCGTACCACGGCCTACAACCGCACTGTCTTGGTCGGTGATAGTGACATATAGAGTGCTGGTCTGTCTCCAGAGCTCGAGTGGGTTGAGGAAGGACGCGGTGTTCACGGTTTTGTAACCATTGAAGTGCAGTCTTCTTCCACTCGGCGAAGTCATGTCAAAGTTGTATGTCAGATTCGCTGTATCTGGTTGCCGGGAGTCGTGGTTGAATAGTTGGAAGGTGCCGCGGTGGACCATAAGATATCCTCCAAGAGCGTTGCAAGTGAATGTTCCGGTCAAGTTCGCCAGGTGTTGACTGCTGTTCACCACTTGGGACTGTCAGTCTGGCGGGCTTGGAGAGCAGCGGGTGCCATCAACTTACATTCCTCGGTGCTCCAGGATTTGACACTCAGGAAGAACCGTGCATTTTCACAGCGACCTCGAGCGAGCCTCGTTGCGACGTCAAAGTCTCTAACGTCGTGACCAGTATATATAAAACCAGTCATGATCTCGGAGAACGCGACACCGGCAGTCTGATGTTCGCTAGCAAGCCTGGCTGCAAGTTTCGTGGTGTCTGCATCTCGAGGAGAAGGAAATGCCGGGGCGTTGAACATATCCAACTGGCCTGGGATGCTATCAGCAACGCGATCAACATGTGGCCTCTGCTAACTTGCCATTCCTTGTGTCATAGTCAATGGAGATGCTTCGCTTATGCGCCATCATCTCCACCGACCGTTCAGCAAAGGCAGTAATGGTAGCAAACGGGTTAACACCAACGGCAGCTGGCAAGGCAGCGCTGTCGCACACTACCAGTCCCTCATAAGCCTCGCTTCCGTTTCCTTTCAGAATCTCACCCATGTGATTCACCACTCCATGGTTGCCGGAGTTGTCTTTGCTGATACGAGCACCGCCTCTGTGGTTGACATTAGAAACCTGAACTGGTGTCGGGGATTATCTCAGGGTAGACATACATGGGATGAACCGTGATCTCCTGCCTACCCAGTGTACTCCAAACTGGATTGGCTATAAAGTTTCCCCCGACAGCAGCAGTCATCTTCTCAAGGATATCGTGGATGCGAGATACCGACTTAGAGCGGCCCACCCCCGAATAAGTGAGCATTGGCTTGTCATCCTGGAGTATCAGCCTGCCTTGACTACCTGCGAAGTCATAAGCACTGTCTCCTGTGGATCAAGGATGTCCCTTACTATCATGAGACATGATCAAGTATACGGCGGTCTTCTGGACGCTGCCCTCTGAGAAATATGGTCCGAGAAGCTTGCCTTTCATTCGTGCAACAAGCTTCGTTATCGTCTCGACAGGATTGTACTTGGGGCGTCTCATATCCGGCAGATATTCCATCATGCCAAACATCAGCGGGGCAAGAGCGTAAGGCACCGCGCAGTCTTCGACCACGAATCCATCCAGAGGGTTTTTCTGATCCCGTAGGTCAAGGACTGAGGTTATGCATGGTCCTACTGGTCGATCCGGAGTAGGTTCTGGACGAGCGATACAGTTGGCTTGATGGTCGGTGTTATAGCTGTCACGACGTCTTAGATCAGGCCTGCGTTGAAGAACAACAAACAACTTGCCCGAAGCCCAGCATATCTCCATTCCCACTCATCTCAGTGCCGAGGTCATCGCTCAAGTCCAAGCCCATCTGTCTGCTTCGAAGCAAGATCTCGGTGGTTCCGATGCTCCCAGCTCCAAAGAAGACGAACTTCTTTGCGTGAACCCACATGAGGTCTTCGAAGAAGGTATTGAATCGATCTCGGCCGCAGGAGCGCCACGCGAAATAGACGATATATCCTTCCCGATCCGGAGCTTTGGTAACATATCTGACCTCACACTCGCAGAATATTTCGGCGCCCCAGTTCCACGCATCACTGAGGTAGTTTACGAGAGTTGTTGACTTGCTCCCGTCGTTGATGCCAGTTGCGTCCATGCCCGTCAGTTGCGACGCCTGCATGTAGACCCCCGTGCCGTTAGGACCGTCCTCGAATCGAGTGGTTTGCGGAACGCGGTAGAAGTTATCGCCCCAACTCATGAGTTCCGACTGTTTCTTGAGCAGGTCCGCTTTAAGAAGATTGGGGAAGGTCAACGGGTACTGAGCAGGCTCCAGGACACTCTTTGCGCGGTCATAGTCTAGCGGCATCAGAGCTGGCCTATTACTAGGGGTGTAGAAGGATTCTCACACTTCTTCCACGAATCATAACCTTTGAGTTCGTCTGGCCAGACTCCCATCTCCAAGACCTTTTTATGGGCCTCCAAGAACACGTTGGCATTCAAGAGACTGGTGCCACCCAGACCGTTGCCCATGTACACGTTCTGGCCTTCTCCTACCACGAAGTGATACAGACCATTCGGATTCCCCGTATCAATCATGGCCCCGGGAATGCTTCGTCTGTCTCCGGGGGCAAACTGGCCGCTGACATGGAGCTCCTTGACCGCGTCCTCCAGCTTCTCAGGGAACTCACCAGGCCATCTCTCCCTCCCTCGCTCCAGAACGCAGACGCTTTGTCCGCCTCTCGCCATCCGGCTAGCGGCGACTCCCCCTCCATATCCTGAGCCAATGGCTACCACATCATAAGAGTCTTGCATGAGCTCTACTGGTAGCGAGATCCGGGGGAATCGGCGTTGGGATTGGGGTCTCTCCTCGGCTCCGTTGGCAGAATATCCTCGAGGCTTATCGGACGGGGCCCTATCGTAAAATGGCCTTCCATTCTGACTGGCGTGAACTCCGTCAACACCGTTCATATTCCGGCCCGAATTCCGGACTCTGTCCTGCGCAGCAGTCGCATTCATTGAGACTGTGTTTGTTCAGATCAAGTCTCAGCCTATACACAACGATTCAAAATCAAGCTGACGTTCAAGCAGGGTCCCGCAACAAAAGTGTCCTTCGTGTTTTTGCGTCCTTGAATGGATTTGGTCCCAGATAAATCGGGGATCTGGAATGGAGCTGCATGCCTCCTTCCGACAGAAATCTACACCCAGTCCATCACATGTAACGAGGGATATAATCATGTTCATATGTAAAAGTTTCGGGCCCGGTGGAAACAACGCCAGCTTCGTATATGGCTGGTCGCCTGAGGGGAGTGGCTTCAGGCATACAACGTCATTCTAAACAAAGGAGGGTGGAATTGGCTTTATGGCTGATCGTAGACGAAAACGTCCGATGACATCAGTTATCTTGAGGCCGACAAGATTCTCGCTAGATCGACGCCGGAAGTTGAGGCCGGGACTATAGTTCGGCTCGACTCTGGATCGGCCTCTCTTCCCCCGTCTTGTCATCGTGAGGTAGTATTCACTGGCGCCACAAACATCGCTCATTTGTCAAACCACACAATTTTTCGCTTTGTCATGCCGAAAGGTAGAAGGCCTAGACTTTCACGAGATGAGTTGCAACAGCTGATTCTCACAGAGCGCCAAATCTACGGCTTAAAAGGGTTATCTCGAGTGACTGACACTGTCCATCAATCCTACTCAGTTCAATTCGACGGGCATCACACTATACGTGATTGTCAGCATGTCTTCTCAGCCTTGTCAAGTCTACGGCTCGGTATTTGGCGAAGAGCCCGACTGTTATCCCAAATATACGGGTTCGCCCTGGCTGTTGTTCTTTGCTGACCTGGGGCTCTTCCTCCGCAACATCTTCTACCTACCATGCATTTTCTCGCCGCTGGCCCCATGGCCATCTGGGCGTCTGGATGAGCTATACCCCACTCTAGCCAACATTTTCGACATTAGCCTTCACTGTGTTTTGTTCGTCCTCCAGCTGGCCTTTATCTTCTCACTTCCATTGTTGATATACCTGCCATTCTGCCTGTATGTTCTATACGTCGGAGCAACCCTGGCTTTGAACTCGTTCGTCTGCCGCATCCTAAATCGGGGGATTCCATCCGATGGCTTAAGGTCAACGGAAGATGACTTTTCGAGATTATGGGTGCGACATGAAGATGAGTACTGGATTTTCCTCAATGGGATTTGCGTTGGGTGAGTGTGCATGCGGTTCCAAAGTCATGACAGTGATTCTGACCAAACTAGGAGGAATTGGCTGCAGAGCAACATCGATCGGATTTCGCGGACATTTCACCGTCCAGTAGTTGGTGTCCACAACAGAACGTAGGCTTCCCCATTTCTGTTCTCCTTGACCCGCCGTCCGGTCCATTCGACTTTCTATGAGTTAATTCCTGACAGTGAAAAGGGCTGGTGTTTTATTTGACATCATTCAATGCCTGATCCAGCGTTCCATGCTGTTCGCAACAGAGGATGTTCGGGAATGCTACGCCTTGGTCAAGAAAGCACTGTACCGACCAGAAGTCAAGAAGGTGGTCTTGATCCTGCACTCCCAAGGTGGCATTGAAGGTGGCATGATCCTGGATTGGCTTCTCAACGAAGTCCCTCAGGAGCTCATCCGACAATTGGAGGTTTATACTTTCGGGTGTCTAGCAAATCATTTCAACAATCCGTACCGTGACATGGACTCCTGTAACGCAGGCACCCGTTATGCTCGCACGGGAGAAGTGACCGGAGATGTTCGCAACCGCTGCATCTTACACATTGAGCACTACGCCAACAGTAATGACTTTGCAAGTCGATTTGGAGTGCTGAATTTCGACCACAGCAAACCCCGGGATCGTCGGGAGAACCGATACATGGGCAAGGTGTTTGTGAACCCGGCATCTGGACACCAGCTCAACCAGCATTACCTTGACACCATGTTTCCTCTTGATCCGACCAGACGTTTTACGCGGGAGCCGCAGCAAGGTGACTTCATGAACAGGGATGTTGCAATAAGCCGGTATGACAAGCCCGAGGCGGAACGGCCTGTCACGATCCTCGACGCAGCGGGATTGTTGGACCCCGGTTCTGGGGAAGTCGATGGCGTTAGTCCGACCTCGATTCCCTCCGGCGCTGGGCAGAACATGAAAGTGGGAATCGACCTGAGGTTAAAGATGCATAAGGTGAGCCGATTGTGGCTGTACCGCAACGGGGGGCGTCCACTAGCATAAGACAGGCTCCGTTAAGCAGATGTCCTTTGAGCGTTTCGATTTTGATCTTCACATGGATGACGAACAACTTCGCCCGTCTGGTGTTGGGCCTCGCAATGATGCAGCCATCCTCGGCTGCACAGCATGAGGATCCAAGCATACCTGGATTACTCATCAATTCTCATGTGTTTGCTTTGCTTGATATCGAATCTGAAGAACCATGATTGCCCTAGAATGTCAGCTAATGCCGAGTTCATACTCTAGCATATAACCGTAGCTCCCGATGATACCGACTGAATGACGAGGACATGAGGAAAGGCGGATAGCGGCAAAAGTGCCGAAGAATTCTGGAACTCGAAAAAGCCTCGGCTATTGCCCGAAGCGGACAGCCCCGTGCGCCAGATCGGCGCGTGAAGACTGACGACTGAAGACTGAAGACGTCTCCTCCCCGCCAGCCTTTAAGTCTTTGCTACTCCGTATTCCGAACATATCCCTACTTTTCAACTCCTTCCCCAACTAAAAGTCGGCGCAACGCTAAATATGGCGAACTCGGCAACCCTCTTCCCACCCCCACCACTGGACTCCGCAAAGGCGCCCATAGAGAATGTGTTAGACCTGACACCGGTGGTTGACGTGGGGAAGGTATGTGCTCCCTTCTCCCTATTTCTTCGTCTTGGCTAGGATTCCAACGAATGATTTTTTTCCCAATAGGATGTATTTACCAATACACGACCTCTCTGGCATCCGCCCGGAGCGCGGGGCATCTACGGCGGTGCCGCAATCGCCCAGTCTCTCGCCGCTGCGATGCGGACCGTTCCCGCCGACTTTGCTGTGCATAGCATGCATTGTTACTTCCTCCTCGCCGGTGACTCGGAAATCCCTATACTATACCACGTGGAACGAGTGCGTGACGGAAGAAGCTTTATCGCACGAACAGTTCAGGCCAAGCAACGCGGTCGACCAATCTTCACCACAACCCTGAGTTTCAGCAAGGCCAACAGCGGTGGCAAGAAGAAGCTGGAACATGCTTCATCCATGCCACCGGTCACTTTGCCGCAGGATTCCGGATCGGGCTCAAATCAAAGAATCGAAAAGTCGGGCGGTGGTCCGTTTGAGTCGCAAAAAGCGGGGGTTGTCGACAGTCAGTATACCTGCTGTGCAGGCATATCCTCTGGGGCTTATGCTGACAGCCGCAGACAACTTACCTCCGCAGGAGAAGAGAACCAGACGATTTATGAGGTCACGAGGGAGAATATCCGACGCGGGTGGCCATCATGCCCATCTTTCCGCCCTTGCATATATGACCGACAGTTACTTCATTGGCACCGTGTCCAGGGTTCACAACATCCCACGATTCTCTTCGCCCGCTGAACTTCAGAAGGTTCTGAATGCGCTCAAAAATCCATCGGATCTAGATGACGAAGACATTGCGCGTGCCCTTAAGGAGCTGAAGGAGGAAGAAGCCGCGGATCTACGCCGTCGATTGGAAGGCGCTCTACACAGAGCCACCAACCAACCGCCCCAGGAACGCAAGGAAGTTGGCATGCTGGTCAGTCTTGATCATTCGATCCACTTCCACAACCCTTGGGCGTTCCGGGCAGACGAATGGATGCTTACAGAGATGGAGAGTCCCTGGGCTGGAGAGGGACGAGGCTTGGTGTTGCAAAAGATCTGGTCCAAGGATGGCATCTTGATCGCCACATGCACCCAAGAGGTATGTTTAATATACCCACCCGAACTTCCGTTGTGATTAATTATGTCTAATGCGAGGGTCTTACAGGGAGTCGTGCGACTCAAGCAAGATGAGCCACCTCGGTCGAAGATCTAATCCTCAGACCATGTGCTGTTGACCGGACTGAGTCGATATATACCCATTTTTCTTCTTGACAATATTCTCCTAGATAATTTAGATATTGATAAATGTATATAGAGTGGAGAGTGGCAGTTGAAGTCCGCCTTCGCCTTTTCTTTGTGGGTCTGGTTGGTCTGTTTCATCTATGACTCCAACTTTTACTGCCCATGGATCGAGCGTTCATATTTGGTTAAGAATCTACAGACTGTACAGATAGATGAGTTCCAAGGAAGAAGGACCTGAGTGCATTCTCGGCTAGTCTGAGGTCTTGCGAGTCAAAAGTGTCATTAATAAGGACATTGGATAGCGCAAAGAGTGTTGAACATAGACAATGAAGAAGAAAAGATAAACAATACAGAGGCAACGCTAAGACCGAAGACTTTTCAATCAGACAGCCGCCCATCCGTTTTGATGGCCCAATGCAAGACGCGATGCTGAACGGAACAAATGCTACAAAAAGCCTCCCATGCGATGGCGCCCTTCCGCCGCCTTTCCTCGTCGTTCCCTCCCCCGTCTTTCTTACACCTCCATCTTCTCGGGCTCTTGTTGGTACAACCGGCTTTTCTTTTCACAGTATTCCAAAGCTTTGGGTCCCCAGACTTCCCTCCCCTTGTACTCACCCACATACTCCGGCCAGCTCTTGATTTCTTTAGCGAGGTTTTGCAGCTCCTGCATCGGTAGCTCATCCAGTGTGGTTAGGATGGTCTTGACTCCAAACACAATGGCCCCCGTCCGAGGCAACCGCCGGAAGGTTTGCCGTTCGCGACGAATGACAATATCCTGCGGCGTTGGATCTGGGTTGTCTTCAGACAATGAGGTGGGACGGTAAAGCACCTCGAATAGGTCCTCGTCTGGCCGCTTCACTTCAACGAAGTAATTGGATCTCTCCATAGGAGATGCAGGTGTGAGTCGAGCCAAGAATCTAGAATTACAAGGTCAGTCTCTCTCCTTGCATCCACCTTTCGTCTCCACTACCACAAAGAACGATCAAAGAACTCACTTGCTGACCGAGTTGGCAACTTGCTGATGCCACAGAGGTACCGGATTGTGAAGCTTCGAGATGGTCCAGCCAATCCGATCCTGGACTGTCCAGCCGACGGGAAAGAGGCTTGCACTGGCGGCTCTGCAATAGCGGTTAGTCTGCTTATCTTGGAGGAGGTCTGAGTTTCTGAGACTAACAGATAATATTCATCATCCTCATTCTTCATCAAGATACTCAGGTCTTCCATAGTCAATCGGACGGCAATCTCAAGTGGATCGACATCCTTGTTGTCCCCTCCAAATGTGAATGTCTCCCCCGTCATCTTGTTGTGGACCACCGTCTCGTCACCGCACTTCTTCTGATCGAACACATTCGAGAACCGCTGGCAGAGGAACTCAACCACCTCTTCCAGTGCCTCCAAGCATGCGTCGTACGACTCTGGGAGGCATTGAAGGACCTTGCTCTTTTCTGTTTGCAACAGGTGGCTCCGGACTTCATGTTCATCCATGTAGTTCTTGTCAATGGTGAGCCAGTTCTCCACGTCCAGCTTCCGGATGTCCATCATGACCCGGTATCGTTCCCTTCCCTTGATGGGCTGGGCCGGGTAGGGAGCCATCCTCTTGAACTCATTGCAGCCCGGCTGTTGGGCCTTTTGTGACCGCCATGCCGATGGCAAGCTCTTTCGATATCTGGTGATGATCAAAGAAAGAAGGAGAATTGAGAGCACAATACATGATAGAGGATTCATTGCTTTGGATAGAAAAGTCCACACTGACAAAGGGAATTGAGGATACAGAAAAAGAAAAGAAGAGGGCTTTTGAAGAAGCTTTTATTCTTCACGCATTCAAGACTCCACGCCGCAATCCTGACCAGAGGGGCAATGGGAGAATTCAATATATTGAAACTCTCGGCCTTGGGTGAGGACAATGGCTCCAATTATAATCAGGACAGTAAGCCATAGTCCCAACGATCATCGTTAGAGTCAGACGATTAACTACAAGGGGACTTCTACATTCCGGATTCAAGGCGCTGGATTGGATTCTGATACGTTCTGCCTTTCCCCGCAAAAGCCGCAATTCGCCGCCCCGAAAAAAGAAATGGAACCTGACAGCATCCACATGATCCAACTGAATTCTCAGCTTTCGGTTCAATCGAGCTCCACTGGGTCTTAGTGGTAAACGCGGGGATGAGGATCCATCAGGAGGTTGAACTCTATGTGGATGAAAAGCCCAAACCATGCGCAGGTCCGTCTCCACCCTGGATCCGCAGCCCGGCCATGTACTAGCTGCTGGACGTCACTTCAATTCGCGACGGTACCAGTGCCTACTAGTCTCGCTTTGCCCGGACGGGCGTGGCACTAACTTAATGCGCTTACTCACATACGACGGAGTACTAAGACGGGCAAGGGCTGTGACAGGGACAATAATACCTCTTTTTACTCCTTCCTTCCTCCCTATGGAATCGTCAGGCGGAGCTCACGCGTATTTTGTCCGTGCGCGTCGAATGGAAGACCGCGTGAGCTGAACCCGATCGGATCGTAGGGGAAATGATTCCCCTGTCTAACAGGTTCCTGCGGTTCCGCTCCAGCGGTATTCGTCTTTTTTTACCCGGGGCAGACGCAGGGAAGTAGAAATGGGTACTTCCTACTCGATGGCATTACGAAATGAGAAAGAAATAGCGCACTCCGGTATGCTGGAACCGCCGTTGAGAACCAGTCAAGCGTGTCTCCCGACCGGCTTGCAGGAAGATCATACATCATCACCTGTGCAACTGAGGGCACGATGACCGAAGAAAGGCGCGTGGGATGCTGCGTGGGCCGACTACACCCTCTCGGCACCGGGAGGAGGGTCATCAGCTCCAGCGTAATAGCAAATAGTCATCTTTGGGCGGCTATAAAATTCTGAACTGGGAAGGAGAAGGCACCGCTGGGTCTCCATCGATTTCGAGTGACGTGCTGGCAGGCTAGTCCTTCCAGTTGCTACGACTGGTCAGTCAGGTTCGGCCTGCAAGGCCGCTATATTGGGGCTAGGTCGTGGAGAGAAGGCCTCGAGTCGGCACTGACGTACTGTGAGGTGTCCTTGCAGTCCTGTCCGGCCTCTACCGCAGACAAACTACGCTACTATGTGCCCGCTAGTGAAAAATATACTGTGTCCGGACGTGCATCCATCCAAAGTGGTAACCGGATGTTCGTGGAGCGAGGGAAAATTATCAATAAACCTGGGCGGGCGGTCCACTTCCGGCACGAGTCCAGATTCTGCCCTTTGCGTGCTCCACTCTTCCCAACAGAGACCCATCTGGGGTTTTGCGCTGCAACCGCCTCAGGTCGCGCAAAGCGCGCTTGCCGCAGGTCCAGTCCGGTGGGCAACTAATTAGTCCTGAACTATCTCGCCCGTTACGTTTGCTCCTCCCCATGTGCGACAGGCGGCGGTGTCTCAAGGAAGAATGCGTCTTTTTTGTGTTATTGGCAGCCGGCCATCTGTTGAGTCTTTTTTTTTGCCTTTTTCCCTTTTGGTCCATCGTTGCTTTTTTTGTATCTTGACTTTTTACTTTAATTCGTTTCCATTTTCATTTTCATATTATTATTTTTTTCGGGCTTTCCTCACTCGCCTCTGCCGATTCTGATTTTGCCCCTTCCATCATGGTTTGGCTGATCTCAGATCCCCCGCCAAATGATCAAGTTTATGCACCTGGTTCTCTTGTCTTTTCCTTTTTTTTCTTTTTTCTTTTTCTTGGCCTGATTTCGGCGATGCCCCCTTCTTTCTTCACTAACACATTCGCCCTAACCCGTCCACCGAGACAACCAAATCCTCCGAGCCACAGATCGGACCGAAAATGCCATTGCCCCAACTTGCTTTTTGTGCCAGCCTGTCAACAGCAGCAATGGGACGGCGGAGAACTCCTAGTGCATTGACTGACATCCTATTAAGTGGACTAGCCTACGGGCCAGAGGTCGTCTGCCTTCCGACCTTCCTATCCAGGGCCCATCTGGAATAGGGCCAAAACTCATGTCTAGACTTCAGAAAGGACACACCGGCGCACGGTGCGGTAATCCACCCTTCGTCAGTGATCGTCGAATGACTAAGGGAGGATTTGCAAGCCCGGCGGGCCATACGGCGCTACTCCGTAGCGTTGGATAGACCCAGCTCGGTCTTAGCCTGGGTCTTCGAGAGCCTAGAGGTCTCGTCTTTCAGCACCACGCCATCAGAGCGGACAAGGAGGAGAGGAGACTGCGATTCCGTGCTGTGGGACTCGATCAGGCTACGGTTGGACCCAAGAGGATCGACCCCGTGCACGGACGGTCGTGCCGGTCTTACCATTGTGGTTCTCCACGATTCTCCGCATGGCGATGGTACTAAGATTTAGGTCTACACCGGTCTAGGTAATCGATAAGCCACGGGCTGGCCTCCTCAAAGGGCGGCGTGTAAGGTAAGACACTCGTACTTGTGTCAAGGCGTCGGACTCAGCCTCTGGGCCAGCAGAAGTACAGCTTAGCACCATTCGGGAATAGACCGGGGCGTTATCTCGAAGCGAAGCTAGCCACGGAGTAGGGACGGAGTAGATAGTTCCAGGGTTACTATCTGCCTCCGTCAGTGGATGGGGCTCTAGTAAGACCTTGGATGGGCTGATGGAACACAAATGATGCCACGATGGCGCCCCGATAGGCAGACCGGCAGGATCTCCTCGCAGATGTCCTGCGTGATGCGTGGCCTTCCCGTTTGGGGCATTTGTTGGCAGCCATCATGTGATCGAGGGCGTGACTGACCCCTGCATCATGTGACAATCGTTTTGCAAGGAGGCTCGCTTCAACCTCCATCCAATGCACTCCGCGCTCTCCCCCTCCTCCTCCTCCTCCTCCTCCTCCTCCTTCGCCTCCCTTCTTCGCCGTCGTCACAGACACTCTCCCGCCAGCTGTGCTACCCCTCGTTTCACTCCTCATCGGGATCGATCTGGTCACCCCGAAGTGCAGTCATTGCTGGCTGACCATCGGGCTTCTCCACCATTAACTGGTCGTCTAGGCACATCGAGACAGAAGGGTTTCTGCACCACCATGAGCTGCACGCAAGCCCCTCCCCTACCAACCGATTTAGATGCCCCGCCAACCTTCCAGGGATGGTACACCTTCGACTCATCATCGGATTACTGCAAGCCAGTACAACCATCCTCCACCTCAACGCCCCGCGATGGGCGCACAACGCAGAGCTCCACCGACACCAAGTCTGAGCCCCATGCACTCACTCTTGTAACATGGAACGTAGATGCCTTCTCCAAGTTTCCCGACGACCGTATGGCTGGCATCATCTCCACCATACGCAATCAGACCCCCCCGCCTAACATACTTTTCTTTCAAGAAGTATCCCGGGCAGCCTTAGGATACCTGTTTGACAATGCCTGGATCCGCGAGAACTGGTACCTCAGTGAGGGAGACTTCAAGAACTGGGGCGGTTATGCATTTGCAACGGTGATGCTCTTATCCAAAGCCGACTTCAGCACGGAAGAGCAGGATACAGATAAGATATGCATTGGACCAGTCTGGCGAGTCAACTACCCAAGTAGGTTTGACCGGGATGCTCTCTGCTGTGATGTCTTCCTGCCACCGTCCGCTACGCGTGTTCGGTTGATCAATGTGCACCTGGACTCCCTCGCTCTCCAGCCTAGTCATCGTCCGCGGCAGCTCGCTATCGTTGCAGAGAGCCTCCACTTGGCTGGACATGGCTTTGTTGCCGGTGACTTTAACCCTATCCTCCCGGAGGATGACGGTCTGGTTGCAGCTAACAATCTGGTGGATATCTGGAATGAGACACACCCAGATGAGCCGGGCTTCACTTGGGGAATTGATGGTCGGGAACCGTTTCCCCCAGGCCGCTTAGACAAAGTTGCCGTTCATGGACTCAAGGGAGACCAAATCGAGATCCTACACCCTGGCGCGCTTGAGAGCGCCGGGCATGGACTGCTCCTACGCAAACTGGACACGCCATTGCCATGGAGTGACCACTCCGGCCTCAAGTGTCGTTTACATCTTGCTGAAGCACCCGTATGAGTAAAGGCCTCTATGCGTTCTGGACTTGCTTTCACCAGACTTTCCCCTTACAACCCCAACCTCACAAGAACCTCTCAGATATGACCTACACATCAGACATCAGGCTCCTTACCCACTCAGGACCGTAACGACCACCACTCACGACCTTGACACGACACCACCCTATCCCCAGTTCAAAAGTACCAACTCCCACATAGATGCATACCAAAGACAAGGAAGGCTACTTAGGCTCCCATCATTATCTCCTTCTAGGCAGACACCTCTCTATCTACCGCCGGGACCTCCGGAGCAAGTATCTCATAATTGGTTTCCATAATCGCGAAGGCCTTAATCGGAGAACTCAGATGCATGCATGCATGCATATTTCCCTTCTTCGTCGTTCTAAAAATATATAAAATTGACAATAATGCAAGCTGTCATGTCATCGGCAGTTACTGCCATTGTACGCGTATGATATACATGTCCAAGTTACTTATCAGTCTTACGGGGAAGAAGTTACGTGGCTCGTTGTTATTCATTGGCAGACGGGTCTGGCAGATGGGACCCCTGAAATGGGGATCCTCGGTTATGCAAAGGATAGGTAGATATGAATATCATAGGCGGAAATTGACTTGTTGAGATGTATGTAGCTGCTTATGATCGGGGTACCCAACTTCGTTTACTGATGGGGGTTGCTTCGATACATTGGAAAATGTAATAGCGGAAGTCCAAAAGGGAAAATCCAGGATTTGGAAAACCTCGTAGCCAACCGTCTCCTTTATTATTGGGAAGATGCAGTTCTGATGGTTACTGTTGACCTGTTCTAGCCCGTCTAGGGAGGATAGCCCAACACATCATCCGTCAACGTGTGGAAGGACTATCATGGATAGTTTGCCATTATGGGATTAAATAGGATTCGTCAAAGCTCATCGAAAGGTATCCAGGGGAATAAAAAAGCAAGCACAAATAAAACCCCCCATTTGTGGTGGGGGCTCGCAACAAGATGATGGAAATCTCCAAAATCGTCCGCACGGACGCAAGCTCAAGAATATTAAACGCCCTCCCAGTGCTGTGCTGATCATCATTGGTGTATCACAAAAGTCGGACTTCCGCCCTCAAAACCGTGTTGTTTTTTTCCGTTTCTTTTTCGAAGCTCTCTTGGAGGGGCGCGTTCGTCTGCCTTCCTGCCTGACACCCGTGCCCGACAAGGCGCGCCTACCTGAACTTGGCTCTGCATCGGCCCATCACCTCGCCCTGACAGACTAGTTCCGCGCTGAATTCGCTGCCGTCAAGCGTGAGGTAGATGTCAAAGTACACGCGGTAAAAAGTACCCTGCGGAGTGTCCATGCGTTCAAAATCCGTCTCAAGGTTCTTGCGCGACAGGTCCGACGTCAAAGTGACAACTTCCTTGATGCCTGCATCGTACGTCAGTACCATCATCATCACGACGACTAATCCGGAATGCAACTTACGTGGATCCTTGGTGTACTCCGGACACACATCCTCGTCACATGCGTACAGGATGTCCTCATACATGAGCGTCGCCCCCGGCGCAACCTGTCGGAAAAAGCTAACCTTGACTGGTTCGCCGATCTTCACTCGCTCGCCCTTTTGCATGAAAATTTGTCTTGTGTACTTGCATCGATCCCGGCCATCCAGACTAGGGACTCGGTATTGCTCTGGATGGTATCCTTCTTTGAAAGGCTGCAGAGTAGCCATCAGGTAATGGCGTCGCGCCACACGGTGCGTGATCACCCGCTCTGTGATTCCAGCAGTCACGGCACCTTTAACGATAGCAGCAACCGAGTCCATGGGTCTAACTACCTTGGACTGGTATTGGGGAGGGACGTGGAGCTTGATCTGTTGGAAAAGATACTCCGAGGCACCGAAGCCACCCACGACGAGGACGTTCTGGGTTACCTGTTAGTTTTCCAAAGTATTTGCACGCATGGGCATAGGGAAACCATACCTGAAGCGACCGGTTCTGCGCTTGAATCGCGATGATTTGGTTGCGCACCAGCTCAAGAATTCGATTGACGACAGGCTCGAAACATTGCAGAATCTCTTCGTTAGTGAATGTCATGTACCCTTCCTCGATGCCTGCGTCGGGGAAGTCGGCTTCAATACCGACATCCACCGCCCACTTCTGACCGTTGTTGCGGAAATCAGCCTTGATACGGTTTTCGAAATCCATAATACACTTTGCATACACCTTGCCCGCCGTTCTGGAACCATCAGGCAACTTCATCTTGCGAATCTTCGCACGGAGGATATTGCTGAAGTTTCGGTTGAGAGCGGTCGAACCGCATGAGTCTCCCGAACCAGCGGTGCATTCGGCCACACTGAACGGTTGCTCTTCTTCAACCTCATACGCAATCAGATCCACGGTACCTCCTCCACAGTCGACGATCAAGATTGCATCGCCAATCTTCAGATTCAGCAAACCAGTCTTGGCGCAGAAGAGCGCAGCCGCCTCCGGTTCGGAGACCAAGGTAAGGCGATTGTCATTCTCGTCCCGCAGGAACCCGGCCTGGAGGGCCGCCGCTCGGGTTGCTGCTTTCCCAGCATCGTTCCAAATTGCTGGAACGGTAATATAGTACCGAATGTTCCGCTCTTCACGAGTGAACACTTCACCCAGTGTCTTCTGTAGTTGGGCTCGCATCGCCTGTCGCAGCTTGAAAAGGTAGTCGGCCGCGACATCGATCTCCGACTTGCCCGGAGGCAAAGGCGGCAGGTTGATGGGATCAATGTATGTATTGCCGGAAAGCATCAGTTGAAGCTTGAACCACTCGACCTTCTGCACCCCTTGCTTTGGATATCCTGTGGGGGCCAGAGCATCGGCAATATCTGGGCCCCAGCCCACCACCTTCTGGTATTGATCGTAATATAGTACGGTTGGGATCTAAACGTGCCAAGCAACGACAGGGTCAGTAGCTGGTCACCTGCGGGATTGGGGGAATGCTCACCTTTTGTTTGGTGTGAGTCCCTGCGCCGGGCCACTCTGTGATGATGTCCTCTCTGGCCTCGTTGTTGGTTGCGAATGCAAAAGCGACGCCCGAGAACGTCGTGCCAAAATCAATGCCCACAATCAACTGGGCCTTGCTGCGGCCGGCGCCTTCGACCTCTACGGCGGGGTTCCGCATGCCATACTGAGGTTGGTGCAGACCGGAGCCCATACCGGGCGCGAGAGGCTGCTGCAATCCGTAACCTGGGGGAGCGCCCATGGGAGCCACCGAATTTTGAGGATAAGGTAGGTTGGTATTCAAGGGTGGAGGATGGTGAGCCATGGGCTGGCCCGGCGGGAGAGGGCTGGTGGGCCGCCCAGCGGTGTTGTAGGTGTAGCTTGGGGGACGACCCAAGGAGTTCTGATTATTCATGGGGAGACTGGTGGTGGAGGAACTATGACCGGAGGGCGGAGAGCTGGGGGAGGTGGTGGATGAGGGAGGGGCGATGAGGGTGTTGGTGGACGGGGCGTTGACTGCTGGGTGGTTGTGCTGAACAGGTGAATGGTTCTTGTTGCGCTTCCCGAAGGTGAACGATTTGAAGTTCAACCGTGAGCTCATCAGGTCGATATGGATGACCGATGATCCACGGAGGGGACAGATAAAGACAGGAAGGGCGAGAGGAGAGAAGGAGGAGGAGGGGAGGGGAGAAAGAGGAAGGGATCGAGCAAGGGAGAGAACGGAACAGTCAGATTAAAGGTCGTCGGAAAAACGAGGGTAAGAGGCCCCCAAGAAACAAGGGAAGGAGGTGGGCGAAGTCGAAAGAGGCGGTGCCGGAGCAGCGCTGCGATGGATCTGCTTTAGGCAGAGTGCGTAGTGTGAGAGAGAGGCTTTGGGCGGGGAGGAACACGAGGAAGACGTGATTGCGGGGGATGCAGCAGGAGAGATTGATTATTCGGCCTGGATGGAGGAAACTCAGGAGAGAGAATTCGACCGTCTGGCTGACAGGTCTCGATGAGACCGAGTAACCAGGAGATACTAGTCACTGACAGTCAACTAATCAGCCAGCACCAAGGATGATGGAATCCGTGCTGGAATGATCCAGGCGAGATAATCACCCGCCGTCGGGCGCTGAGAGATGTCACCCTGGATTCCCGTCGCACTGCACAATTCTCCGACGGTTGTGTCAGGCTGAAAGAGGAGCCTTGCCCGAGCACACTTAGTTGAAGAGCATCCCCATGCTGTCGCTACCTATACAATGAGAATTGATGGATGCAATGGATGATGGAGAGGGGGAGAATGTGAATGTGAGGCTGTCGCGGATGGACCCCGGCGGTACTATACGGTATGGTATGGTTTGAGACGAGGGGGCCACCATCGTTCCTTCCCCAGTTGGGCTCGGAGCACGCCAGCCGTTGGCTGCCACCTCCGAGCCATCGCTCAGACGCCCGATTCATCCCCTTCCTGGTCGCCTAACACCACCGCGACTCTTACTAAGGCTCTGGAAGTACTCCGTATGGAAGCAGGATAGCTCTCCCGAATGCGAAACAAGTAGTACTCCGTAGCCAGCGCGCGATCATCGCGATCATCTCTCCGCCCAGCCTCCTTGGGCTTAATCCCCTTCACTTCCGTTGATGACAAACGATTTACCCGCCGGCGCGCAGTGGATCTCCCAGCGGTCCTTTGTTTGGCCGTCCACTCCACTGTCGGCCGTGTAGGACCGAGAGTACCTGAGCGGGCCATGGCACGGTTTGGCACCAAGGAATGGCCCCAATGAACCGGCGGGTTCAGCCACGCCGCTAAGCCGCGACAGCCTTGTCGCTTTCTTTCTTTGTCGCTCTGCGGCTGAAAGTGGTATGTATCGCCGATCCCCCCGTCCCGTACCGTACGAACCGTGACCGTCCGCCACCAGCGACCCAGCATCCACCACAACACGCAAGAACTGCTACAAACTCATCTACAAAAGTCCCAAGAGTACGAACTTCATGCATTCTGCTTCCGTGCTATCCAATGGGACGGGCGATACAGAGGCAGCAGCATGCTGTCCGGGTCTTGAATATACCCACACAACGGCCGCTCGTGCGCGGGCTGACGCTTCTCGATCGCAAAGCCCATTCGCTCCACGAGGCAAAACACTTCTGCCTCCGTCAGCTCCACATTCCCGGGCTCGCCAATCCCTTGATCGTGTTCCTCGTTGTTTCCGCCGTGACTGCGGTTGCTCCCGTCCTCGAAATGCCACAATAACGGTCCGACGTTGATCCAGATGCCGTTGGGTTTGAGGCAGTGTCGGATGGCCTCGATATACCGGATGAGATTCGGCGCGGTGTCGATGAAGAAGACCGTCGCTACCGCGTCGAACACTCCCTCGTTACTCGGATTGCGGTAGAGCACCGTGAAGTCAGCAGCTGACATACTCATCCGCCCGAACGGCGTCGCGTTGGCTTGGGCCTCCATCATGGCTGTCCCCGGATGCGCGTCGGGGATCATGACTTTCTGCAGCTGTTGATCCCTGGATAAGAGATTGGAGAAATGCAGAGCATGTGGGTACAGCGCATGCTGCTGGGGACCGAGCGTGTGGTTCAGGATCCAGCTGCTGGCCAGCAACTGATGATAGGAGATCTCGTTCCCTTCGGCAGCAAAACCTGCCTTGCAGATTTCAAACACCAACCTACCCAAGCCAGCGCCAGGCACGAGCACCCGAACTTCTTCTTCCTCCGAGCCAGCCCGCTGGCCGAACTCGTCGCGCAAGTCACGAAGGACAGGGTCATAGCACACTTCTCGCTCGGCTTTGCCCTCAGCGCTCCAGTCTCGGTAGAACTGCCTCAGGGTCGAGTGCGCCTTGTTGACATCGGATGAGTTTGCCGTCCCGTGCCAGTTCTGGCGTGGATCCTCGGGGTCTGGGTTCGCAGCCAGGCCGAACGACGAGAGGCCTGTGGCCAGGATCGCATCTGCAATCTCGGCGTTCACATCGATGGCGTCGTCCACCCGGTTGAAGTTCTCCAGGATCGAAAAGGGCGGCTCGGCCAGCATCTGCCAGTGCGCGGAGGGAAGTGCGTAGAATGCCTGGCGTCGACGGTGCGTTGTATTCATGTGAGCCGTTCTCCGGTATTGCCTGTCAAGGTCAGCGGAGATTCTCGGTCGCTACATAACTAAACGCTCTTGCATCAGAGCGTAATCTGTATGGCCATAGACAAGACCCTTCATCGACGTAGCATCGTCTCACATACAAAACGCACGACCAGACCGAGTGGGCTATCTGCACTTCACACGCACCTGAAGGAGTCAAATGCAGCAAAGAGCACTCGCCGCTCGTCATTGTCGGCCAATGGATCAAAATCGCCGGACCAGCTGCGAATTTCCTCCGGCTCGTCGTGCTGCTCGGATGCCATCTTGGGACTGATCCTATGCAGTTAGTACTGAGACAGAGCCTCTTAGGATAAATACCGACCTCAACTCTATCCAAAGCCTGCGGTGGTGAGGCTGCGACTGTGCTTGAAGCCGCAGAAACTCGGCGTGCCGATGCAGAATGGAGGTGGTGTGCAGTGGGGTCCCGCCAAAGGGCAGTTTGGCGGGGAAGCATCCAGAAGCGGTGATGGACCTCGCATCCACGCGACACCCGCGGCCACCAGTCAGTATCAACATCCTCTTGCCAATCCCGTATACTACACCCCCATTTATCTCCAAACAATACCTACATATACAATCCATCATGGCAGAGCTAGCATCACCAGCCGCCCCGATTGAAATCTCTTTTCCCCTCCCCAAAGCCCTGCACACGACCGCACATATCCATCTCTCCTTCCTCGACACCTGCGCCATGGTCTTCCTGGCCACCTCCACGCCGGGTGATTCCGCAGGGAGTATCAAACCCATGGGCAGCTTTATCTACGCCATGCCGGATGTGAGTTCTCTGTTCTTCTGTCCTTTCCTTCTATACTTTCCCTTCCTCTCCCACTTCCCTTGTTTCCGCACCATATTCCATCGATTAAAATAAGTATATCTATATCCATAGTATACCCATCCACCAGTGGCAAAACCACTCTACATTGATCAACCCCCCATTATATCTTATCATCGCACCTCACCTTCCCTACCCCCATCGACTCAAGAACCACCTCCGCAATCCCACACCACCCTATACTTTTCTACTATCCCATCATCCCACTACTACCCCCCTCCCCCCTCTCCTCACAATAAACCCCAACCCATAAAACAATATACACTAACACTAACACAAACCCCCAGCGCACCAACCCCCCCTCCACCATCTCCACAACCATCTATTCCACCCCCTCCAGCGTGGAATACACCACCCGCATCGCCAAAATCCTCGCCCGGCGGATGAAAGTCCCCGTGTACGTGGGCTGTAGCATCGACCCCGTCGGGCTGGGTCTGCTTGTCGAGGAGGAAATGGAGGGTGTGCGAGGGATCGTGGATGTGGTGATGCGGAAGTGGGAGGATCGGAAGTAACCACCACCACCACTACTACTACTAACAACATCTAGTATTTGACTAATGAATACATCTCGGTGTTATTCTACCATTTACTTATATTCCTCCGGACTAAGACGGTTCGTCGTTTGGGAGAACGTTGTTGCTGTTGGGGTTTGTTGGGAGGGTTGGAGTTGAGGGGATTATATAAGGGAGGGGTTTATTCTGAATGACGAGAGAGAGGGAAGGGTTGGGAGAGGGATTGAACATAAGTATGCGATTGGATCATATTGGAGTTAACTATGTTTCATAGTTGGGTTGTTAATTTATTATTGTGATTCTGGGTTCTTTTCGGTGGTAAGTTTGGGAATGATTCGTGTTCGTGTTCTTGGTTGGGGGTCAGGCTTTTCGGTGATGGAGAGGGTTCTTGAGAGGAATGGTCACTTAATGGACGTTTATACGCAGATGTACGGAGTCTCATGTTATAGATGATTCATTGAAATTGGTCCTCTACATCCTGGGTACCATAGTAGTATAGTGATCAGGTGATACCGGCCATCGGAGATTCCGACAAGCCCCTCCGAACGGACGCCATGTGGGCACTGGCGCCCATGACAAGACTAATGAAAACACACGGAGTCACCCTCTCAGCCCATGACGAATGCTGGCTTCTGTGTGGCCAGTCAGCGGAATAGTCAGCTCCGGGCCCATCCTGGTAGCCGGGCACGTCCGCATCCTGCCGTTCCGGCCAGCACGCTCGCTCAGCCCTTTCGGAAGAGAGATGAAACACAACGGCCCTGCTCCGGACGGCTATCGGAATCAACTCCGAGCCCTTCGCTCGGGGCTAAGTTTTGGCGTGGTCCTGGCGCGCTGACTTACCTTTGTAGGACATGTAGACGTCCTTAGTCCCTCTGCGGTCTTTTTCGGTCGCCGTTAGCTTGGCTAATAGTATCTTGTCAGTGGGCAGCAGCAGTCAGCCGGATGACTGATAAGCATGTCTAAGCAACTCCTGTTCCTGCAACCACCCCGGTTCGTCCGTCAACGCCATCTCTAAAAAGAAGCACGACACCTCGTCCGCCAAAAGCGAGCAATTAGTTCTAGTCAAGTTGGGGACTCCTACAATCCGTTGGGACGCCCGAGTGGGTATGGTGTGCATATCTGATTTGCGCCAACTTGCTTGGGGCTCTGGACGGACGGACATATCCATTTGCATGACAGTCCATGCCAGATTAATCTAATGACATCTGTATAGAATTGTCGAGTGAGCCGAGCTTTCCGAATGATTTGCTGGACCTAAGAATTCCAGGAGAGAGCAATAAGACGCGACGGTATTCCTCACAAGCAACTTGCGTGCGGCTTTGCCTTCTTGCTTCCATCGGAGCTCTTGAGTCGCGTCTTTGTTTAATTGCGTCGGGCCCATCCACCTGGGACATACGAATCAAAAACGCCGCGCTCTCTTGAGCGATATGCTAAGGAACGACCGATTCTCGAAGCGTGCCTCGGAGAAGTCCTCCCAGCTAGCGCATTGCTCTAGATCGGGCATGAACAGACTCGCTTAGATAGGGGCTGGCGGCATGTCTAGATCCGAAACAGATGCAGCGCTCCCATACTGGTCGTTGATGCTGCCCGTGAACCAATATGCGCCGGAAATTGCATGAAAGCGTCGCGCTCAGGTGGCGCTGCTGGCTTCCGCGAAGGAGTCTGTCATTAAAGACCTCGTAAGCTTTTGTCCGGTGGTCTAAGGAGGAAACCCTCCCTCTGGAGGATACCTCTGATGAGTAGCTGCAGTATCACAGTTAAGAAGATCTAGAGCGTCTTGATTGCCGCAGCGCAAGAGTAATCAATCATCTACAGGTTGGCAGTAACCCCAGCCGTGCCCAGTGGGCTGTCTGCTACCGAAGCCCTCGCATGCGGCAGGAGATGGCTCTTGCACCTGGGCAGCGAGCACTGGCTGGAGTCTCAGTCCGGCTGGAGGACGGTATGACCTCACGAGTTGGGATGGTAGGAAAAATCTGCGGCGCTGGTACCATAGTAAATTACGACGACCGGGGATGATCCGACCATGAGGCCGGCCATTAAATATCGTCATGCATGGGAGGTCAATGCAGGGCCCACGTGGACCGTCAAGCTTGAGGCCATCCGTCATTGGGCCGACCGAGTTGGCGCCGAGGGCCGAAGAGGGGGACAGCACGGGAAGGGAGGCGATGAAACAGGCGGCCAACGGGACCCTTCCTCTGCTTAGTGTTGTTCGCCTTTTTTTCTTTTCTGGCCCTGTGGACTGGTGCACTGGCGGTGGGTGGGTGGGTAAGGCAGGAAAAGGTTAGTTGGTTCGTTCCGGTGACGGAACTCACCGAGTGGCGGGAGTGCCTTCGTCTAATGTCTCTAGAGTCTGGACGATTGGACGGGTGTCTCCGCCTGGGCTGACCGGGACGCGAACAAAACCCCCTCACGATTCACGAGGATGGCCAGCCTGGCCAGCCCGGCGAGCCAAGCCACTGGTCTTGGTGGTTGAGAGGTGAATGAATGGTGACGAGCGAAGACCGGATGGGGTGCAGCGGCCGAGTGTCACGGGAAGGGGCCACATGGGGCCGGACCCTGACTCTGACTAGTCGATAGTCGATAGTCGATAGTCGATAGTCGATAGATGGTTCCTCTCCAACGCCTCCAATAAGCACATCCACTCGGCCATACTCCAAGGGGACTCTTTCCCGCCCGGCTGCCGGAACACGGCCAAGGGCAAATGCAACCATGACTGCTAACTTTAGCTAGCAGCTGGCGACTGGCTGACAGGCCCGGAAGCAGGATGAGAGGGGACCCCCATGATGATTCTTGACCACTGGCCAAGAGGTCTTTCCGAAAGGATCCCAATCCTCCGGATGTCATACGTCGTAGTACGATCTCACGGGATTTTCCCCTCTCGTGACCCAAGGGAGTCTAATTTGCAATTTCACTCCTTTTCCTGTTCCACTTCCGGGTCATTCCCCCCCATGCCGGCCGGGGTCTAACCGTATCGTCGCATCGTTGAGATCTCGGTTAGAACATCCGGCCATGGTACGTTACATGGGATCGGAACATGCCCTAAAAGACATGCAGTCACTAGTCCTGCCAATTTCGATGAATCGCGTGCAGTTGAGATGAGGAATTTCCGGTGGAGATTCTTACTATGAGATACCTCCTCGGAAACGCACTCAACAGGCATCCGCATCCACGGGCGGACGATATCAGCACTGATCAGGCATCTGAGCACACGGCGGATGCGGGGACCCATTCCACCAGCATCATCTCGACACGAATTCTAGGTACTCCGTACTCCGTAGTTAGTACTAGGTAGATGCCCAGCTGGACTTGTCCAGGTTCCTGAGCCGGGCATCCCGCCAACCCAACGCACCATCATGCAACCAACCCGCAGGGGTCAAAAGACAAATCCTTTCGCGACGGCCGTGCCTCGCGACCTCTGACCTGCGACGTGAGTCCTACCGGGCTGTGCAGCTCGCCGTGCAGGAGAGATGGGTCATTGGGTCGTCCCGACTGGACGCCTACTTGGCCTAGGTCCGGAAGGCCAAAGAAGAAAAAAAAAATAAAATAAAATAAGAATGGATCACGAAAGAGGGGGGGGATGCGTAACCTGCGCCGAACGACGACACCGCCCACCCAACTAAGGCGTCCGGATGTTGTCCGTCTGTGCGATCTCCCCGATCAGATTGGTTGGGGATATCATTTCCGCTGTGGACAGGGCAGTTATTAGAAAGACCGGCATGCAGCAGGATCCATGATGCGGCTAGAGCTCGTGCCTCCGCCTGCCTTGCCTGCGCAGGCACGCGGCGGCCATAGTCGGCCCTCGGTCGAGGGGTCGTCGAGGGCTGGCCGTGGGATGAAGGAGGCCCTCGTGCGCCCGGTATGCAAGTACTAGGATGTAGGTACCAGGTAGATGCATTCTTATTCTCGTCGCCGGAACGAGGGAGCCGAACGTCAGTAGGTGCCTAACCCAACATCCGCATCAGCAAGCCACTCAGCAGCCTACGATACCATTCCGACAGCCTGCCTGCTGATAATCCGTGCGACAAGCAATGGACCCTGTTTCCACCCTTCCCCCTTCCCATAATTTTGGGATCGACACGGCTGTAAGCAGTCCAGCTTTGATGCCGCGCCGAGACGCAGACACTACTGGGATAGGGATAGGAATAGGGATAGGCAATAGGGATAGGGATGCCAAGGTCGACTACTCGAGGATAGTTTCTCGCCCGAGTCGACGGCTGTCTGCCGGGCAATAGAAACGGGGCCCAGATCATTGGCCCAGGGCCCGGCCGGGCTACCGTAGTCAGCTACTAGTCAGTGGAAGCTAACGGGCCAGTGGTCGACAGGCTGACGGGGTTGGGGGGTGGAAATGGACTTGATACGGTGGCCACACAAGCCTCAAAAGCAGCCAGAAACAAATTGCGTAGGAAAGGGCGCCAAGCGAAAATTCTGATGGCCACCGAGGATCCGACTAAGCCTCATTGAGCAGGAGTCCATCTGGCTGGCGAAGGCTCGAAGCCCGAGAAATGCCATCATCCATGATCCAGGCGACCCGATCTCGACCAGGGACGATAAAGATGGGCCGGAGATTTTTCGCCGGGCGGATTTCTCCGTGGTTTCCGTGTTTCGTCCGAAGCTGGGGCTGGCGTCACTCGTCCGACCTGCCTCGCCAACCAGTAGTAAGATGTCGAGACTCGAGAGATCATGGCCTCAGCCACAGTTGAACCAACCGCCTTATTATCATCATGGATGTGGTGGTGCTGTTATTATTCACCATCGCGTAATACGCAGGATTGGTGGTGGAACTGACCACGGTTGCTGCCTCGTGCGCCCATGTGGCTCGTCCAATGGGCTCAGTCCGGAGGCGGGATTCCGAGTTGATCGTCAGAACGATGCTGAAGATGTGGTGTCGCCCTTGCACATTCTTTCGCCGAGAGGCGCTCAAATATTTCCTGTGTCGCACGATGTCTTGCGCGAGGCGTGCAGTACGGTTTACTGTCCGACAGCCATGCATTCTATTGGGGGCCATCAGACTGTGCGGCTCGATGGCATGGCGCAGAGTATTCCCAAGCCATCGTCTTGCTCAGGGGAACCGCACAGACTCCATCCTTCAAATCGGTGAAGAGAATAAGAATAGCAATAGCGATCCTTCTCAGCCTCCAATGATCACGTAGCCCGGCGGCCCATCGTCCGGTGGTGAAGGTAAAGCGGTTTTGACTTTCCATGTTCCCGTCAACCGCCAGTCATCAAGCCGTCACTGCTGGGAACCCCCCAGCCCACTCCAAACCACTCGGCTTCGACCATCAACCCCCATCCATGGATGGGCAGTCCTGCTGCCGTACACCACAGGAGTTGCCGTGATGATCATCAGCGAACCACGGCTTCCCAGCTTGCACTTGGCTGAGCAGCCAAGCCCATCCGCCAGGCGTGCCAGACGACCTGATCCATGTACCATGTAGCGTCGCTTACTGGGAAGCCGGAACCCTCCTCAGCTGCAGGTCAGAATTTAAGCACGGAGTTGCTCTCCGTATGGGCGATGTCAGAACCATAGCTTGATTCCATCATGGCCGAGCCTAGGTACCCATCCGAGACCGTTCTCCGTCCCAACCTTGGACTCTGGAGCTCAGCCATTCCGCCCTTTCCCTTGGTGGGACCGTGGACCGTGGATTTTTTAAAAAAAAAATAATAGAAATAAAAATAATCAATAGAGGAAAAAGGATGACGGACACGTCGTGATCCCATGGAGTCATAGCCCGGTACAGGACACTGCCACTGCCGATCTCGGGATACTTCCAACCTAGCTAGAGGTCTGATCCTCTACTAAGAACTGCCAGTTCAACAGCCGATGGGCGATTGCAAAAGAAAGTCCAGGCTATCCAGGTGCAAATCCATTCAAGCGCGCGAAACGGCGAGCCCAACACGGGAGCTTGTACAGTAGTGCAGCAGAAGCGACGACGGGCCGTTACGACATCGGCTGGCCAGGCTGAAGATGGTGAATACTCCTGGGGGGGTCAAGGGACTAGGGAGATGTTCGTCAACCAACTGCGGTAGGATTCAACAATCCGCCTAGGCCAGGAAATCAATCAACAATTTAGAGTAGAAACGATCAAACAAAGAACCCGCCAGATGGAGCTGTCCGTAGGGCCCTGTTAATTTAACGGAAACATCGCATCGAGCATATTAATAGGAGAATCAACATTTTTAGCAGTGGTCCACTGGGGCAGGTCCCATCTTAATCGTCATCGTCATCCCGCTCGTGTTGCCCCTCTCCGACTGATTGGGAGAGGTCCGGTAGAACCAGAAAAAAAAAAAGAAAGAAAGAAAGAAAAAGGAAATAAAAAAAAAGAAATGTCAAAAGAACAGAAAATGGAAAAGAGGGGAGACGAGGGGGTAAGGGTAAAAATGAGCAAAACCGAGCAAGAAAAAGGAAAGTCAACCCACCAGTCAATCAACGGAACCGGGGGAAAGGCTGTCGGCAACAGATTCCTAAGGATAGACTTCTGCAGTAAGCTCAGTTGCTAATCTCCGCCCTTCTCGATCCGATTTGAGAAGGCAGCTGGCGTCGTTTCAGCCATGTTTTTCCTGCTCTGTAACCGGGGTCAGCCGAGAGACTTTCGGAGTCGATTCCTGGGCATGGGAGGACCCTGGCGAGATGGAGCTCTGGCACGCCATCCGAGTCTGGGTCGCATGCAAGTGTGGGCATTCCTTCATCGGTTTAAATACTTAATATACTCCATATTTGCGCCCGTTTCCCTTTCCCCCTGGATGGAACTGGCTGGGAGCATGTTTGTGCCTCGTAGTTGCTGTAGCTGTCTGTTTGTGTCTGAAGAGTTGGTGGTGGTGTTGGTGGTGGTAGTGATGGTGCTGAAGAGAAAATTCCCAGCGAAAGAGACATACAGTAGAGGGGCAATCAATACTGAATCATCAATCAGTTCCTCATTCTCTTGGAAAGGGAAACCCCCAATTAAGAGAGAAAAAAATAAATGAAATAATAATAATAAAATGGTAAAATAAATCAGAAACTAAAATTACATCGAATTAACTGCGAGAAACGAAACCAGAGGCTCCGAAGGGTTCGTCGATTATGCGTCCATCATCCATAGTATGACTGACTGGCTTATCATCCCTTCCATGACTGACTGCCTGCGATTTCTTCTATATTCACTTCACTCCCCGGTCTGTGTCTGGCTGGCTTGTTCTTTCTCTCTTCCCTCTTCCTGGCTCTGCTTTTCTCTCCCTCTCCATTTGCCAGTCAACTCAACTCATTAATTCCTAATTTTCTTTCCTGCAACCCTCCCCCTAGCTTTCCACCCCCCCCTTCTCTTTCCATACCATTCATCTGCCTCCATCAACCACTGTCTCCTTGCCCTGACTTGGGCTGACTGACTGGCTGGCTGGCTGTTGCCCACGTTCCTTGCAGCCCCTCTCCACCCACCTTGGTATTGATCCTCGATCTTGTATGGCTTCATCGGCGCCGACCACATCCATCTGTCCGCTCCAACTACCGCAACACTACCGCTTCTAGATGACCCCACGGTTCCCCATCGTCCCAACTTAACTTTCTGGTCTGGAACACCACAACCCTGTGGCTCGGGTTATTGGCGCGATCGCAAACACCATTTCGCCACTGCAGCAGCCCAGCGTCCCGATTGAATCCCATCCAATCCACTTTCCCCTCCCCGGCAGTGGGTTTGTTGGCGCTCGGGATTTCTGCCATCTATCGGGAATCCAAAAAATTTCCCTCCATCGGCATTGTCGCCGCGCAGCTATCCCTAACACTAGTGCTCCTTTGAGTTGGGACTCAATAGGAAGAAGCTTTCCCATCACTGCATCCGGTGGGATTCTGCTTCTTCCTCGCTTCACCTCCCTCGGACGAGCGGGCATCGTCTGGCCCGCCGCTTGCTCCCACCTGTTCCCCCCAGGTTTCCCCTTATGAGGTTGCATTACGGGTGTCGACATGCAGGCGCATTACTACCACTCCTCGACTAGCCCGAACCAACCGGGAGGGTCGTATGAGCTTCCTCCAGTACACGCGGTGACCTCGCCTCCGGCGCCCTTCCCATCGCATGGGCCCGCGGCTCCTCTTCTTTCCGCTCCGCCGAGTCGACCCGACAGCGGGTTGCGCATGGCTCATATACTCCAGCCGTTGGCACAGCATATGCCCAACCCCCCGCCGCCACAGGTCACGAACGCTCCCGCCTATTCGCGTTCGTACGAGTCTAGTGGCTCCCCTGCAGAGGGCACGTCCATGCTACCTGATGCGCCGCCGCTGAATGGCCCCGGGCTGCTTCAGCCCGTTGGCGGGGCTGGTGCGGCTGGTCCGCACGTTCATCACCAAGCCCAGCAGCCGTTGCAGCAGAAGAGAGCGTATCGACAGCGGAGGAAGGACCCCAGTTGCGATGCCTGTCGGGAACGCAAAGTCAAGGTACGTTACGCGGCATCTGATGTTACCCGGGTTGTCGCATTGACCCAGGTTGGCTCATTTCGATTAGTGTGACGCTTCCGAATCCTCCAGTTGCACAGAATGCACCAACCGCAAGGTGCGCTGCCAGTTTACCAAGGAGACCAACCGACGCATGTCTTCAATCAAGTTCGTGCCGTGGCCGTTCTATCCGTGAGAATCTTGCCATTCTAATGTGCCAACAGACAAGTCCAGGACCTTGAGAAGCAGCTGCTATCAACCAAGCAACAACTCCACCAACTTCGGTCAGGGATGCTCAGATCCGACAATCTGATGGATCTGGATATCGACGGGGCGGGCCAACCTCAGTTGAAGCTTCCGGACGTCGGGTACCGTCCCCCGCGCCGATCACAAGTGCAGGTGATGCAGGATCTCACCGAGGCTCGCGCCAACCTGCGAAAATATGGGAGAGGTATCTTGAGGGTGCCCCCTCCATACCGGCAGCAGGGTCCCAAGTCCTTGTTGTCCACCGACCCTCCCCCGCTTCCCCCGAAGGAGGTGGCCAATCGTTTGCTGGGCCAGTACTACGCCTGCATCCACTCGGTCCTGCCAGTGCTCCATTGGCCCACCTTTGTGGCTCAGTACGAGAGTGTCTACCAAGCCGGAACGCTGATGGGTGTTGCCCGGGAATGGGCAGCGGTACTGTTCGGAGTCTTGGCCTGTGGGTGTCTACACACTTTGGAGGCAAATCGGGAACAAGAAGGCAAGGAATTTGTCAAAGTCAGTTGCGGGGTGATCGATGTGTGGCAAGACAACTTCACCTTGGACCAGGCACGGGCGGCGCTGCTGGTCAGCATCTTCCTGTACGAAGTGAATTCGCAGTCGGCGAGCTGGGTCTGGATTGGATCCGCGATAAGAGTTGCGCAGGAGATTGGACTACACCTGGAGTCAGGGCCCTGGTCCCCGCTGGAAGGCGAGATGCGAAAGCGGTTATGGTGGGGAATGTACACGTGGGATAGGTATGAGTTGCTGAATGTGGCCGATCGCTGGACGTATAACTGATTAGACGTGGCAGGCTTCTTGCTCTGGAGATGGGAAAACCCGTCCTCATCAACGACCAAGACTGCGACGTCGACCTGCCCTGCCCCATCGATGAACAGTACCTTTCGGATGGCAGTGTTGTGCCAGAGAGCCCGCAAACCTCGCCACTACTCGCCACCATCCACGTTGTTCGATCAATCGGTCAGCTGTCGCGCACCTTGAGAAGTTCCATGATCAGCCCAGGAACCCTCGAGACGTTCGAGCGACACTTCAACACCTGCCTAGCAACCTTCCCTCCCCAGTACCACCCTAAAGCCGACCAGTATCTCGACCCCCGCACGCTAGCCCCGATCCTCTACCTCCAGAATGCACGACTTATCCTACATCGTCATAATATCTCTCCTTCCTGTCCACCCGAGGCTCGATCGTCAGCCTTGGACTATTGTGTCTCTACCGCCCATGATACGGCACGCCTACTCTCGCGCTGTATGCGGCCCCCGTCCAGTCCCGGGCATGGGTTTGCGACCACGGGCGGCGATGAGTGGAGGCCATTGCTGGCCTCCTCCGCAAGTACCATGTTGTGTTCACACCTCTGGCGCTGCATTTTGTTACTCCTCTTCCGCCAGGAGTACGCTGCGGCTCTCGTCTGTGTTCAGGCCAGTGCTGCCATTGGCGATTCGCGCGCCGTGAATTCTGCCTGCGGGCGCTACCTTGCATTCTTCCTCAAAGTGATGTTGGACCGGCTGCGGCGCAACGAGGTGACGGTGTTGGAGCGGGATGAAGAGTTGATGGCCTATGTATCAGGTGATATGCAAGGTAACGCTGAGGCTGGTTGGGTCTGGCAAGGTAGTGAGACCGGTGTTCAGTTGGAGGCGATGTCTCCCAAAATCAACAGTCCTGTCGCGCACTCCCATACTGAGAGTAATGACCGAGCCAACGGCGGGTCGGAAAGCTGGGACGGCTGGAAGTGGGTGGAGCAGACGGTGCAGTACCTCAGCGAAAGACACCAACAACCGCAAGACCTTCAGCACCGGTCGAAGCCCCTGGATTCGATGTATCTTGGACCGGAAGCAACCAACCCGAGCTCCGATGCGACGACGCCTCAGTCGAGCTCGTCTCACTCGCGCATGACCATCGCGAGCATCATCTAAAGATAATGCGATGAAGACCTTTCCTACCATGGCGGGTGCAGCACCCGCCTTTCTCTGATTGACACGGGGCGAAGCCGTCCCTGCCCGGGAAATCAGTTGTACTATTTCTACTTGTATTATCGTCGAGGCGATTCTGTGGCGCCCCTACAGGCATGTGAGATGAGATCATGGATTACGAATCAGCTGCGATGTTTTCAGTCACGTAGATAATGTTGGAATCTTGTATACAGTACACGCATGTATAGCCGCAAGCTAGAACTACCGCTTCCCACACCACGGATACAGTAGTATATACCATTAGATAGATGAACTCAAAGACTTAGGTCTCCAAGTTAATGCTCCGACCAAACCGAGCATACAACGCGACCTTCAACTGCTGCAATTCATCGCGCAAATCCCCCAACTTCTCCTCCAACGTCCCCACCTCAGCATCGACCTGCTCCGTCGCTGTTGACAGCAGCGACTGGGCTTCTTCCAGGGGGAGCTGGAAAAACGCATCCCCGATTTTGTACCTGGGGTTATTGTTAGCACACCTCTGTTCCTTACAGGATAAATGGACGGATAGATGCAGAGGAAGAGGAAGAGGAAGAAGAAGAAGAAAGAAAGAAAGAACATACGGAACCAACTCATCCTCATCCGCCAATTCCAGCTCCGTGGAAATTTCCTCCAGATCTTCTTTATCTTTCTGTTGGGGGTGATTAGCAAGCATTCACATAAACATCCACATCATCGTCTCCCTCCCCAAACAGTCCCAGCAATAATCACTTTACATAAAATAATCCCAAAAAGCACATGCATAAATAGAGGGAAAAAGGGAGGGGATAAACGTACCATCTTCAACTTCAACTGCTCCTCCAGCATCGTCTCACGCTGATGCAGGCGACTAAAGCGATTAATCTTTTCCTGATCCTCGCGACGGACTTCGTTGTCTTCGCTGCCCGTGAGGGCTTCGTCTTCTTTAGAGAGCTGGAGTTCGTTTGTTAGTTGGGGATGTATGGGGTTAATTGGGGGGAGGGAGATTGTACGGACCATGCGAGTTTGCATCATCTTGGCGGGGTTGTGGTGGTGGTGGATGTTGATGTTGATGTTGCTTGAGGGGCTCGCTCTGGCTTGTGATGAATGATTGATTATTGTTCGGTGGAGGGGTGCCGATAAGTGTGGTGCCTGAGGTTGGGGATTTCCGGATTGGGAGGGGAGGGTGGTCTGTGCGGTGGGTGCCTGAGGTGGGATATCTTGAGATGCACATGTGTACATACTACTACTATGTATAGTTATACTATGTAGTAGGTTGATTGCTGTATGGTCTGCCGTGTGGCACGATAGGTATGTATCTGTATTGACTAAGGATAAGGGTCCATTATCTAACTGGTCGCTCTGTGGTATAGAGGTGCCGATTGCTTCATCTGGGATACTTCCAAGCGTCTCAAGGACTACCGGTAGACTACCCCGTGGGTAGACTCATCTTCCTGTTCATGGATCCCTCCCTCCCTGGAGAATTACGCTGTCTACGCTGTCTCTCGCGGAATAGCGAGCTGGTCGTGTGACATCATCCCCGTCAGGTGCTCGCCGCATTGCCGATCGCGTTCAGCCGCTGCCACGAGAGACGTCTGATCGCCATTCCATTCTTCGTGCTCCGTCATCCTTTCCGGTCATCTGTGTCCGCTAAAGAAAGGGCGGTTTGAGTGGCATTGGGGTGGTGTTGATGACTTGATGCTCGCATCGGAGAAACCAAGAGCGCCGGCCACCGCATCGCCGACATCCGCTTCGGGACAGGTCCATCCTCACCTTGGCTTCTCCATCATCCTCTCGGGGCATCCTCGCGCCTCAGACTATAGACTAACGCTTGAAACACAGAGCAGTGGAATCTGCAACGCTCTCCTGGCTGATTGTTTTGCCCTCGCATCTACCACCCACTGTTGAGCTGAGCTCCGGTCATCCCCTCTGCTTCACCCGACCGTTTCGTCCCTCACCATCAACATCACACAGCTCAACCGCCACCATGCGAATACCCTCTAGCCTCTCGACCCTTCTCTTCTCCTCCGCTCTTCTCCCTAGCCTCGCCTCCGCCTCCGGGTTCGACTGCCAACACATTAACGTCGACAACTTCAAATATGACCTCAAGGCTCTCGGCGGCGTGCACACGCTCTACCACGTGGACGAGACGGAAGAATACATCGTCAACACGACTTACGTGCTCAACATTTGCAATATCCTCAAGGGTGCCGCTCACCGCGGACATCTGAAATGCCCAACCTCCAAGAACAGTACGTCTTCTCCCTCCCGCACCCTCACAACCAACCCCGTCACTAACACAAGCACCAATCCACCCAGTCTGCGGCTTCCAATACAAAACCGCTCTCGACAGCCACAAGGAAGAGAGCACAGTCTTCCCCATTGTCGGCCTAGACCACCTAGGCCACGGCTCCAAAGACCCGGAAATCACTCGGTTGAAGAAACTCGATTCCTCGCGGGAAGGTCTTCTCGTCAAACTCTCCGGCGGCGAGTACTACGATGAAGAGCAAAAGAAGAAAAAGGACGCCGGCGCCGTCATCGAGTTCCAGTGCGATCCCGACCGGTCGGGATTGGAGGGTCTGCAGACCACCGAGGACACGGAAACGGAGGAGCGCCGACGCCGTCGCGCCGACGAGAACAACGGTGACAATAACGAAGGCAATGGCACCATCCCGCTGGACGAGCGCAGTCTGCAATTTACGAGTTTTGGGCCCGCGGATGATGACTCCTACGTGCTCAAGTTGAATTGGAGGACGCGGTACGCGTGCGATAATTACAAGGATGAGCCGGATCGGCAGACGGGTGATGGGTCGAGTCACTGGGGGTTCTTTACGTGGTTGATCATTATGTATGTTCCCCTTCCCTCCTCTGTCAAGGTCTATCCTTTCCATCCCATGGAAATGCCCTTTTTCAAACACTCACTAACACACTACTCCTAACAGCCTCTTCCTCTGCATCGCCGCCTACCTCATCTTCGGCTCCTGGCTCAACTACAACCGCTACGGCGCCCGTGGATGGGATCTCCTGCCACACGGCGACACCATCCGCGACATTCCCTACATCTTCCAGGACTGGCTACGACGGGTCGTAAACACTCTTCAAGGAACGGGGACAAGAGGCGGCTACAGTGCTGTTTAGGTACGGGTTTAGTTTCAGAATGCTTCTTTCCCTTGCTGTGGTTTAAGCTCGAGATGGGTTGATTTGGGTTGGGCCGGGTTGTGGCTTTGAGTGTTGACGATTTGCCTCGAGAAGGCTAGTATGTATACCGTTCTATCAATAAGATTTCTGTCTTGGGTATGACTTTATTATCTCTTTGATGCAGATATCACTGTACGGTAGACCTTTCCAGTTTAGTTAGGCGTTAAACATAGAGGCGAATTTTACACTCCAAAGTAAAACAAATAATCCAATCCAATCGACCTAGAACCACCAGACAACTGCCCAATTTCTACGTAGAAGTGGATAAAGAAACAGCGAAAGCAGAAGCAGAAGCAAAAAATAGACCTAAACGCTCCACCCACTCACTCCCCCCCCCTAGCTTCCACATAGCAATCACTAAATACTTATCTACATAGTATCCATCCCCCATCCCCCATACAGGTAGGTTCCTATTCACCCATCTACCCATCTACCTAGAGACCACATCCTATCCCATCCCATCCCAATCATTCAACCCATCAAATATCATCGCAGAACTCGACAACAAGAGGAATACCTTCAATATAGACTCTACAGAAAACGACAAAAGCGTCGCATAGACCTCTAAGATACAGAAATAGAGTATACTAACGATATCGATTATTGACAAAGTACTACGGAGTACTCCGAAGGGATAACTTGCTGTTGGGGGTAGATATCCGTCAAGAACCCACGTAGACCAAAAAGGAATATAACCCTTCCAGCCCCGGGCGTAGAGGGTGGAATATAGTATAACTCAACAATAGCTAGCTAGATTTTCATGTCTGAGTTGATGGGTTGGTGGATGAAGGGTAGTAAAGTGATACTAAATAGGGGAATTGAATGATGATGATGATGATGATGATGATGATAACGTAAGGTAGGTGATAGGAGGATCTGCAAGATGGTATGGATTTTATTAGTATTTAGATTGGTAGAATTGATTTTTATTTTGGCTTATCTTAGAGAGATGGTAGATAGATAGATTGTGTTGGGGTTAATTGCATTATTCTTCTTGTGCGCATTATTTCGGGATTTTTAGGGACACGTAGTGCTGGGAGTTTTGTGCTAGTTATGCCGGATTGGTGGTGTGTATATCATCACCACCAAGTACGGAGTAGATAGGCTTCACTCAGCGAGTACGGAGTACACAGCACAAAGCTACAAGCACGGGCAGATAAGAAAATATTCTACTAGTAGTTGATTCAGTCTCCCTTCCTTAGGTAACGCAGGCTCGACAAAACGAATAAGAATCATAACGGAATCGATCATCATCACATCAAATGGCGTCATCAAAGCTAAGGATTCATCATGCCTAGCATTCGGCACCCAACATACCAGCCAAGTTAAAAGAGTGGATAGCCCCTCTTTTCTGCTCCTGCACAGTTACTTAAATTCATCGTCCTCCCTTGCCTCTTACCTCCCACCTTGTTCGCTTCTGGGTGGGTGGTTCGGCTACACACGCATGGCGAATTGCTTCATATACAAGTAATCCGCCATGTTGGCGTCGACGGCTTTACGGATCAGGGCGGCGCCCTCGGGTCCGTATTTCTTGAGCCACTCGGCGTCCCATTCTTCTTCGGTCTTGACGGGATGGGGCTGTGGTGCGTGTTAATCGATAACCAACGACGAGACTGACTCTGCAGGGGGGACTGATGACTTACGTGCTTTCTAGCAACCAGACCCTTCGATTCGATCGCATCGTTGTGAAATCCTCGCCACTTCTCGAACGCATCCCGAGCGTACTGGTGGTCTTCCGCGGTGTCCCAGTTCAGCATGTCCGGGGTGTACTCGAGTCCTACGCTGCGACAGAACGCCTCGATCATAGGCGCCGGCTTCTGGAGCATATCGTCGGCGTCGACCACACAGATCTCCGCCCCGGATTCGTGTCCGAGCCCGTTCGTCACCGGCCGGAGCCGGTCGTCAATGTCGTCGGCGTCCCGTTCTTGCGTCGCGATATGCGGACCGATCAAACGCACGCTACGCAGATAATCGAAGGTGCGACGCACCTCGTCATACCCGGCCTCGGAGAGGTCATAGTTGTGGAACCCCGTCACGTCACTGAGGGGTGGGATGGTACAGCGGTAATAGGAAGGGACACTGTGGTGCGGATCGCGGATCAGGAAGGCAAAATGGAACTGGGAGAGGATCTCCGTGGGCATCACGGTGGGATTGCCTGGCTCGGGCGCCGTGTCGTACGGGTACGGCTCCCGCTTGGAGGGTGTCACCTGTGCGAGGCTGTCCAGCGCAGCGTGGCCATGGAGGCCATTCGTGGCGCCGTTCAGCTGCTGGTGATGGTGGCCGTTGGCTTGGGCGCCGTTGCTGGTGCCGTTGGCGCCAACGGCCGGGAAGGGCGTCTCCCCAGTCGACTCGGTCCCCACGCCACGCTTGATCCTGTTCAACGATGGCGCGATGCTGGCCGGCTTGCCGTTTGGAGGGAGGAGGTAGTGCATGATGTCCTTCATGAAGATACGCTTGCCCTGCGGTTGGTAAGTATCGTGCTGGAACCTAGTAGAGTAAAAAGTACGGTGCTCGTAGGAAGAGGGTTGAGATCCGACGCCATCTGGCAGACGACAGCGAGGTACTACCTCGGGCAATCCGAGAAGGAGAATCGCAAACTTGATCGGAGAAAAGGGCATCTGGTTGCCTGCGCTTCCCGGACGTTCCTACGGTGCAGCAAGAACCATCCGGCCGGGCGCATTACGACAGACAGGGAGGAAACACAGTGTAAACCGGGGAAAAGGGAAAGGAAAAACGCGATCAAAAGAAGGGTCGGACCTCAGAAGCTTCGCGCTCGACTCGATCCAGAACCGTCTTGAACGTCGACTGGCTAAAGCCGCTGTCCAGACGGGCCTGTTCATCGTTGGCGAATCTGGCCGAGAGCCGTTCGGGCCCGTAGTAGAAGGCATCGCCGAAGGGCTCGTGGATGCACTGGATGGTGTCTCGACGAGTCATGAAGACCTGGGAAGAGTCAGCTGCTCTGCCTGACCCTCCGAATCCTCAGGAATGCGATCACGCGTACTCGTTCAAATGCTGTGGAGCATGCCCGGGGGTGGGTGGCCACGAAAATGGGTTTCTGCGACATGGTGGCAGAGGTGATGATGGGGTGAGGACCCGATCTGGCTGGTGACGTGAACTGAACCTTTTCGGATCCAAGTTCGACAAGATTCTCAGTGCACACTACTTATGACCAGGGAATTTCACCGCCGGCGTAGGGACTGATGGGACAGTTGCCCCGGTTCAAGGACCAAAGGGCAGAAGAGGGCTGCGGGAGGAGCGTCTAATCGATGCAGAGATCGGCAAGAACAAGCCAGTGCAGGCAGTCGTTGATCCAGAGACAGGATTGGATTGGGCGAGCAAATACAGAGAGACCCGTCGAGGAGGGAGCCGATGGAGGAGACTTTATAACCAGCCGGGCTGAAGGGCAGCAGAGGCGAAGTATCGGCGACCTCCACGGGCACAGCAGCCATCACGAATAGAAATGTCTGATCGAATCATGCCCTTGGCTTCATCCAGGACCAATGCCATGCCCGGCAAAACAAAACAGGGAAGGTTGACCCGTGGATGGACCCGATAAGCAAGTCCTACGAGGCATGAGGGACAGTAGTACGAGCGCATATCCACTACTGTCCAACGGACCTGGGCTAGTCGAGGGGTTTAAACGTAATTGCTTTTCGGGGGCCCCTCTGCTATCCACAATGGTGGCCAGAATGTTGAATTAATCCCGCACAGGGTGGTGGTGCTGCTTGGGGTCCAGAGCGATGTCGCATTTTTCACGGCATCAAAGCCGTTTGTGCTGTTCTGATGTGTCATGACGTGGGCTGCCCGAAAAGTTGACTTCGGGATGTCATCGGACCCCCTGCGACGAGTCCAATTACGATCTACGCCTCGCGCCCTTGATTAGATAGATCTTGGAGCAATCAGGTCGGGCCCGGCCCAGTAGGCTCGAGCGAGTGCCTTGACCATGGACCAGAGGCTCCGGAAATACGACCGTCGGTGGCTCAACAAGGCTGACCATCCCGGGTGGTGAGGGGGGTTTCCACTGCTTGACGTCACGCACGGGCCTGGAATGACCTGACCATGGACTGCACGCCGGCAATAACAGGAGGCCATTATCGAGGCGCAGATTGGATGGGGAAAGGAGGAGGAGGCGGCGGGGGGGAACAACAGGGGAGGAGAATTATCCGGAGCTGAGGGATGCACATGGGATGGATGCAGCCCGGCTGGCTTCGGGGCTCACGATCTCTCGTCAGGAGAAGACCTGAAAAAAAGCATCAGCAGAATGTTCTCAGCAGGGATAACACTCGCTGCTCGGGAATTTCATGGACCACCACCACCACCACCAGGAACTCTAATCCCGGCCAGACCAAGTGGTGGCTGCATGCCAATCAACGTGGGGGGTTTTCTTTATTCGCTGGAGGGAACTTGGCTGTGCTAGACTGGCTAGTGTCGGGGTGGGTTCCTGAATTCCAGGAGGACAGTGGGATGATCTGGTTGATGATCGTAGTGCTGTGTAGTGTGTAGAGAGTGGATGCTCCAAGGAACTGGACGTTTCGAGTTGAGTCAAAGTACGCAGGAGTAACTACGGAGGACTACAGAGTACACAGTACGATGTAGACGCCGATCCAAAGTGGCAACTGGCCAGTGTCCGGTCACCTGACCGGGCTGCCAGCCTGAGAGATCAGGTCATTAATCAGGCCAGAAGCACCGGGCCGCTGCACGTGACTTCCAGGCGCCGCACGATTCTTCTGGAAGGCGGTGGAAGTTGCCGCCGTGTCGTCATGGGAAGATCCCACGATGCCCGACTTGTTTGCTATATTAAGATAAGTAGCCATCCTCATGGCCCTCGAGGCCTCTCACCAGACACTTAACGAATAATCAGCAGACACACCCACATTCCTAGTCCTCCTCGCGCCTCATCTCCCAACTTTCATCTCTTCTTCCTCCTCATCCTCCCACCTACTCAACGCAATTGATTTCCTACTTACTGCACACACACATCGCGTTCCACCATGAACGGCGCTCAATTCACAGACCGAGCCAACAAGGCCCTGCTGGACTCCAGCAGCTTGGCTGAACAATACTCCCACTCGCAGATCCTTCCAATCCATCTCGCCGTCTCCCTGCTCAACCCCTCTCCAGATGAATCCAAAGATCAACAAGCTACCGCCCATCCATCCCACGAGACCTCCTCTGCCCCTCTTTTCCGCCAGGTCGTCGAACGCGCCCACGGCGACCCACAACTTCTCGAACGAGCTCTCATGAAATTGCTGGTCCGCCTTCCCTCTCAAGATCCTCCACCCGAGACCGTCAGCGTCTCTCCTGCCCTCGCCAAGGTCATCCGTTCTGCCTCCGACTTGTCCAAGACGCAAAAGGACAGCTATGTCGCCATCGATCACCTCATTCTGTCGGTCGCTCAGGACTCCCAGGTTCAGCGAGCACTGGCAGATGCCAGCATTCCCAATATCAAGTTGATCGACAATGCTGTGCAGCAAATCCGCGGGACGAGACGGGTCGACTCGAAAACCGCCGATGCCGAAAGCGAGAACGAGAACCTGAAGAAGTTTACCATCGACATGACTGCCCTGGCTAGAGAGGGCAAGATAGACCCCGTCATTGGCCGTGAAGAAGAAATCCGTCGGGTGATCCGGATCCTCAGTCGACGAACCAAAAACAACCCGGTGCTCATCGGTGAGCCCGGTGTCGGAAAGACCACCATCGTCGAAGGACTGGCTCGTCGGATCGTGAACGCAGATATTCCCGCCAATCTAGCGCAATGTCGACTACTCTCTCTCGATGTTGGCTCGCTAGTTGCAGGCAGCAAGTACCGGGGTGAGTTCGAAGAGCGGATGAAGGGCGTTCTGAAGGAGATCGAGGAATCGAAAGACACCATTGTTCTGTTCGTCGACGAAATCCATTTGCTCATGGGTGCCGGGTCCAGCGGTGAAGGTGGAATGGACGCTGCCAACCTGCTGAAGCCGATGCTGGCGCGTGGTCAGCTGCACTGCATTGGTGCCACTACATTGGGCGAATACCGCAAGTATATCGAGAAGGACCAGGCTTTCGAACGCCGTTTCCAGCAGGTCCTGGTCAAGGAGCCCTCGGTATCGGAGACCATTTCCATCCTACGTGGTCTCAAGGAGAAGTACGAGGTACACCACGGTGTCAACATTCTCGACGGCGCCATCGTCTCCGCTGCCGAGCTGGCTGCACGCTACCTGACAGCACGCCGGCTCCCTGACTCGGCCGTGGACCTGGTTGACGAAGCTGCGGCTGCCGTACGAGTGACCCGCGAATCTGAGCCCGAAGCGTTGGACAACCTGGAGAGAAGGCTCCGCCAACTGCAGATCGAAATCCATGCCCTCGAGCGGGAGAAGGACGATGCTTCCAAGGCCCGTCTCGCGGCGGCCAAGCAAGAAGCGGCCAATGTCGCCGAAGAGCTGCGGCCGATGCGCGAGAAGTATGAGAGCGAGAAGCAGCGCAGCAAAGCCATCCAAGATGCCAAGATCAAGCTCGAGTCCCTCAAGGTCAAGCGAGATGAAGCCGAACGCTCCGGCGACACCCAAACCGCTGCCGATCTCGAGTACTACGCCATTCCCGAGACCAATGCCCTCATTGAGCGACTCGAGACAGATCGTGCCCAGGCCGACGCAGAGCGGCGGACGCGCCAGGGCGAGGCGGGCGAGGCGTTGCTTGCAGATGCAGTCGGTCCCGACCAGATCAACGAGATCGTGGCCCGTTGGACCGGTATCCCTGTGACGCGGCTCAAGACCACCGAGAAGGACAAGCTCCTGAACATGGAGAGACACCTGGGCAAGATCGTGGTGGGCCAGAAGGAGGCTGTGACCTCGGTTTCGAATGCCATCCGACTCCAGCGATCCGGTCTCAGCAATCCCAACTCACCTCCCAGCTTCCTCTTCTGCGGTCCCTCTGGAACTGGTAAGACCTTGCTCACCAAGGCCCTGGCGGAGTTCCTCTTCGACGACCCCAAGGCCATGATTCGCTTCGATATGTCCGAATACCAGGAACGGCACTCACTTAGCCGCATGATCGGTGCTCCCCCGGGCTACGTCGGTCACGACGCAGGTGGCCAGCTCACCGAGAGCCTCCGTCGTCGTCCGTTCTCCATCCTCCTCTTCGACGAAGTCGAGAAGGCCGCCAAGGAAGTCCTGACCGTTCTCCTCCAGCTCATGGATGATGGACGTATCACCGATGGACAAGGCAGAGTCGTCGATGCTAAGAACTGCATCGTGGTCATGACCTCCAACCTGGGCGCCGAGTTCCTTGCTCGCCCGACCACAAAGCAGGGCCGCATCGATCCCCAGACGCGCGAGTTGGTCATGGGCGCCCTCCGTGACTACTTCCTTCCTGAGTTCCTAAACCGCATCTCCAGCACCGTCATCTTCAACCGCCTCACCAAGCGCGAAATCCGCAAGATCGTCGACCTCCGCCTGGACGAGGTCCAGAAACGATTGGAGCTGAACGGTCGCAATGTGATCATCGACTGCGACGATGAAGTCAAGGACTACCTGGGCGATTCCGGATACTCTCCCGCCTACGGTGCTCGTCCCTTGGGTCGGATCATCGAGCGCGAGGTTCTCAACCGTCTGGCCGTCCTCATCCTGCGCGGCAGCATTTGTGACGGCGAAGTCGCCCGCGTCGTTATGCGCGATGGTCGCATCGACGTGCTCCCCAATCATGATCTGTCAGTCGACCAAGACGAAGACATGGTGGACTCCGATTCGGACGCTCTTGCCGAGATGGAAGACGGCAGCGGTGACATGGACTTGTACGATGAGTAAAGCGACTTGGCTGATAAAAGTTGATTGCTTGCGCTGGATGAATGGCTGCAACTGTTCTCTTACGATTTCATGATGATATGATCGCTTGTCTTATTTCTCTTTCTATTTACATGTCTACTTCTCTTTCTCTTTACATTTTTTCTTTATCTGAACATGCATCTGCACTTCCATGCTGGAACTGATTGTACAGTCGACCTCGTTTGTATTTAGCTACCATGATGCATGCACTTGTCCATATACACTAATGATTCATCGGTTGAACCGAATACCATGCCACATATGTTGTGAAAAATACCAATAGCAAAGCATTTAGTAGTACTATGTAATTCTTCCATATCAATTTTTTGCTTCTATCTTGGCCTTTGCAGCCCCTAATCCCTTACCCATCAACATACACAATACAACATCATTTCAGAGACTTATTTTCCCGATCAATTCGTAAGCGTAAGCGTAATCGTAAGAGTAAGAGTAAGACGAGTAAGCACTTCTGCTGATTTCATCTTCAAAATGACCTCCGACACCTCACCAACACATCATATTCATAATCAACCTCTCCCCTCCTCCTTTAATCTCCCCCCTCAATCCTCCCTTCTCATCTCCCTCTCCCTCCACCACCGCACAATCTCCCCCGTCTGACAAAACTCCACCTCATCCCCCCACCCCTTCAACCACGTCAACAACCGTTCCAACATCCCAATCACATGCGCCATGCCACTCGTATCCGGATGCATCAAGACCGGGAAGATGGGTTCTTCCTCGTTCTCTCGAATCCACAGGAATCGGTCTTTCCAGAGGTTCTCGATGACCCGGACATCGGTGTATCCGTGGGAGTTGGGCGCATGAGGTAGGAATTGCATGGGGGTCATGTCTTCCATGTACCAATTGCAGGGGACGCAGACGAGAGGGCGTCGGTCGGTGGTGGTGGTTGGGATAGGGTGCATCCAGGTCGAGGCGGGGAGGGAGAAGTCGATGGGTTGGAGGGGGGGTCGGCGTGGGGCGAAGAAGGGGTGGCTGTCGTGGTCGGTTAGGGAGGCGTCTATTAGATGATTCGGTTAGTATTGTTGATGTATGTGTGAAGGGTCTTGGAGGAAGGGGGAAGGGGGAAAGTACCGTATTCGAAACCGAATTCTTCGAGGAGATCGAGGGTGGATTCGCGGAGTTGGTATAATGGGGCTCGGTAGCCGACGGGTTTCTTGCCCGTGAGCTTGGTGGCGATGTCAATGCATCTGGTGAGGACGTCGCGCTCTTGTTCTACGGTGAGTTGGTAGGCGCCTTCGTGGGCGTAGCCGTGCAACCCGATCTCGCAGCCCGAGTCGATCACTTGGCGCACTTCGTCTGGGAAGCTTTCGGCGGAGTGGCCGGGAATAAACCACGTGCAGCGGTCCGTGAGGTTGAGTTTCTTGAGCATGCGCAGGAGACGAGGGACGCCGACTTTCGCGGCGAAGAAGCCGGCTGAGTAGTCGGCCAGGATATTGTCTGGGTGGTGGCCGGTTCCGAGCCATCCGGAGACAGCGTCGAGGTCGATCGAGACCGCAACGCGGATTTTGTTGCGTTTGAGGTTGGATAGCGCGGGTGGGATGGTGGTGATGAGGCTACTTGTTGGGGGAGCCGGGGCGCTGTCGTTCAGGTTAAGACATTGGCCTGTGATATGTCCTGCTGCGCGGTGGGAAGCTAAGAACGCTATCGTACGAGATATCGCCTCTGGGGTGGCCGCTTGTCGAGGGGCCGTGCTAAGTGAGGTTAGTGAGGATGTTTATGAGGGGACGAGGAAGTCGTACGAAGTTTGTGTCCCCAGAGGGTTGCCTTCGATCGTGGCCGTATTATCTGAAGCAACGATATTGATTCTCGCCCGGCTGTTGAGGCGGACAATATCGTTCTTCACGCTCTGAACCAACTCATTTTGCAAGTCAGTCTTGCTAGATGACTCGGCCCCCGTCACCACGATAGCAAGATTGTCCAGCTCCCTGCCCAGAGTCTGCTGGGAGGTTTGAGCGGCTCGCAGGAAGTGCTTGATCGTGAGAAAGGTCCCCCGGACATTGACGCGGGAAGTCTGCTCCCAGGCTTCCAGCGGTAGCTCCCAGATGGGAAGGTTGTCCCTCTGGTTGATGGTGCTAGCATTGGTAACGAGTACATTGATCGGACCAAAACGCTTGCTAGCCTGTGAGATGCTGGATCGGATGGATTCCTCGTCTATAGCATCTCCTTTGAGGATGTGAAGTCTGGCGTATGCATCTCCTGCGGCTGTTTCGGGGGTCTCCACATGGTCGAGATCGAGTGCAGTCACGTTACATCCTTGTTCTGCCGAGTGCAGTCAGAATCAGATATTCTATGTCTAGAACTTGCATAGAGCAGGGAATGCATGGGGGCCGAGGGATCAGCTGTGACAAGGCTGAACCGCCATTCTGAAACCTTCCACAAGAAGTAACAAGGTCTATGACAGACGGCCGCCTATCACTATGCATCGCCGAATATAACATGGGGCTACAATAACCATGCACGGAGCGTGTGGAGCTGGCGAGACCGATAGCAGTGAAGGCTCGTAGGTAAGGTACGGTAGGCTCGTTGCTGTTGCGAAAGTAAAGGACCTACCTAGAAATTCCTGCACCACTTGCCTGCCAATACTACCTGCGGCACCTGTGATGAAGACATGGAGGCCTTCTAGGCCCAGGAAAGATGATGGAGCCATGGATTGACCGGGTACGCCCTCGATAGCCCTGGCTAGGATGGATGTGCCGAGATTCTGCGAGGCGATTCTTACAGCCAGCTGCCCGATCTTCAAGACACGCACTTAATCTAAAGCACGTGGTTTGTCTACAGACTGTCAGATCCAGCGATAAGGCAGCGACTAAGAGTACAAGTGCTTACTTCGGCTGTTGTGCAGAACGTGAATAGGGCCGCTTCCTTCGCTCCGACCGTCTTGATCCTGGCTCGAAGGGACTAAATACCGAGCTGCAAGGGACCAAGGCTGAAGATGACCGATAATCCCACTGGGATGGATGAAGCGCTGCGAGCCCATCCGGCCCCCGGTCACGTGTCCCTTCCCCGGTCGATTACGACACGGCATCACTAATGGGAACGTGTCGGGGTCGATAACATTCCTCCCCTTAATATCCGTGGCAAGATTCTAGACTGTCAGCCATAGATTGATTCCGCTAAGGCCGAGGACCGGCCGGCTCGTATCTACTCACTACCGTGTAGGCTGTACTAGACCTTCAGTTGGGTCTCGAAAGTCGAAGGATCCGAGACGGACTTGGGACTAGGGAGTAGATAGTCATCAGTATAGATTAAAGCAACCCACCCCAAGAAAACGGTGTCTTCCCATCTAGACTAAAAAAGGATTACGTACCGACCCAAGACCTCAAACCCACTTCCTGCGGTCGCTGTCGCCGATTCCTGACTGTAATAGACATCCTGCTTACGGAGTAGATACTGTCCAACTTCACGGTAGATATTCGGGGTGGGTTTCGGAAATGGTCCAATCCGTGACCAAAGTTCACCGGCGTCCCTCATGTCTCGGAGGAGGTATCCTCTAACCTGGAATGATTCATACCACAGGCTGATCGACCGACCCCAAACATTTAGCACTTCAAGCTAACAGAAGCATTCGTCATGGAAGACAAACAATAAGTCGGCGAGGAGCCTTAGGATCGCAGCCGTTCGCATCTGGGCGATCGCCATGCGTTAAACTAAGAACCACGTGGATCTACAGCCCACGCACAGTATCTCGGAGGGGCAGAACGCCGAAAACTGTAGGGCAGAGCTACTGGGCCTCACTCTTGAAAGGTGATATCCCAACAATCAAAGCAGAAGCCTTGGATACAGCGACCGCAAGATAGAATCCCCATGTTTACACAGTATGAGGCACCTGGTCCGTCCGACATCTGGAGCCCCGGACACAGATGCGGAAGTGGAGCCGTGGCATCTTCCTCAGGGAAGAGAAACTGTGACTGGATGATGGAGACTATGTTGATGGTGCTGCACGACTCGTCGCATGCACCAGACATGGGTATTGCGCCACTTTCAAGTGAACTTTCGGATGAGAGGAAACCAGATAATTAGTGGGAAAAGGAACCGGTGCTGGTAATGCAAGACTTTTTTTGCCCCTTAAAAGCTTGCCCTAAATCCTAGGTGGAAAGTTTGGTACTCCGAAAGTCTATGTGATGAGTGGGCAAGAATGACACCTGATCAACAATAGTCAAGCCTTGAGACATTCCATTAGTTTCAACGGCAGCCTGTGAAAGCCAAAAGCACGGGCTCTAGCGGTCCGCGTCCCGAATCTACAAGAGAGGGAGGCCCCAAGCCTTCTCTCAAGGATGCCATGTTGAGGTTTGGCACGAACCTGAGTGCAACCAGGTCCAGTCCTTCCCACGCCGCTTATTAAGCAACATGAAGGAGTTTCTTCCGAGTTACGATAAACCAGTATCGATTCTAGAACGATGATTGTTTAGTATAGTGGCAAATTCATCAACATTCGAATTTGCGATCGGGGTGGGCGTGTCGAGGTTTCCCAATGTGCTCATGATCCCTCCCCACTGTGGATGAGCCTGGAGACCCTGGCCAGTGTTGTGCGCGTGCCGATCATTGGGATGGCTGGGGCCAATGCCAGGCAACAGAACAGGTGCGTCGCTATACGGTACACAGTATGACACAGTGCAAGTCTCAATTCGTGAAGACTTTGGTTCGGCATTCTGCTTTGTCTGCACCTGAGCAGATTATATTTATCCGCCTTGAACTGATCCGTGGTCTGAGTGACGCAGTTCTGCGCAGGGCAATCCGAACATAGGATCACTTCCTAGAACGGTTGCTGCTGGGTGGGGGTTGGGAGGGATGGCCCATGGGACCATATGCCAAATAGTTGTGCAGGTAGATGCTGGATACAGCCAGTAGTTATTCCGTAGAGAATGACATACGACCAAGCAGCTTTCCAAGATCCATCGGAACATGGTCTGGTTGGATGGTTGCTGATTATGCTTTGGTGAATTCTTGAAACTCTCGAGTAAGGCTGTAGGTTCTTGGTTCCGCGTAAATTGCCAACGCGGCCTCGGCTAAACTTTAAGGTTGCTACCTCTTACTATGTATGTAGTAGAGTAGAGACAGGGTCAGCACGAAGTTAAATTCCCTCAATGCTTCGGACGGTACCTGCCCTAGGGAGTGGCTCTTGCTGCTAGAGCACAGGTTCCTGTCAGCCAGTGCTCTGTGTATTCTTGGCACGGAAACTCAATAGTAGTAGATAAAGTTAAGGGCTGTCGAAAAGAGAAGCGTAGACGAGGGTTCAACTCTTCCTGCATCTAGTATCGCCGAATTTGGATTGACGTAGTTCAATCACCCCCCTGAGTTGGCATCTGCGCCCAGGGGCACCTTTTGGAGAGACTAGAGCTGAATGAAGGTGGATAGACAGACCGAGAGAGAGGGGGAGGGAGGGAGAGGGGGAGCAACGAGGCTCGGATAAAGGCCGGCGCTCGGCAGGCCAGTGGTATTGTCCGGAGATTTCCAATGTTACAGCCAGGATGGCGGCGACAGGCGTACCAGATGGTACTCACAAGTAATGCTATCACGTGATTGCCTGTCACGAGGCGATCGGACCCGGATCGGGTCACGCTTCGGCAGAGCCGGAGGCTCTCCCTTGGAACTCAGGAAAAGACGACATTCTGGAAAACACTTGCCAAACTCCATGTACCGTGGCATCGAGACATGAAACCGGAGGTACGGATATTATGTCCAAATTTTTGTCTTTGCATTAGTGTATCACATAAGAAGTTTTGTCTATCCTTTTCGCTAGAAGCCGATATCACCATTCTCCAACCCATGGTCGTAATGGATACCCTTTCGGATCTTAGGTCCCCCACATGCGGATGATCAGTGGAAACATGGAGGCCGAGCGATGGGGTGCCGAGCAAGTTATATACAATAGCCAAGCAGGCATCGCTATCAGATCATCCCATAAACGAAAGTGCCGTGAAAAAAAGGGAAACTGGAGAGCGATCAAAAGAGTGTGGTCAGAAAGGGGGAAAGGAAAACCCAGATAATCCTATACAGGTATCAATAGATGATAGAAATGATCGAAATGTGAAAATAATGAAACGGTCGTGTCCTTCATGGTTCGGGGAGGCGATTTCCTGAAGTTTGAGACGTGCCAGTCTCCCAATACTGCGCTGGACACGCCTCACGCTCCACCGTAACCGTCACATCCTGGCGGATTCTGAGGGCCCGTTCGGAGCCATCCTCACTGGGCTCGCGATCGTCGCTCGGCTCCAGGCTGACATCCGAGATGGTTTTCGGTGGCGCAGTGACGGTACTTTGGTTGTAAGTCTGCATGCTGTATTCTCCAGAATGTAGCTGGCTATGAGGGCCGTACTTGCGGAGTGCAGATCCCTTACTCGTCCAGGGACCAGTCCGATACCGCTCGGTTGTTCCTCGTCGAGAACCGCCGGTCCAGCTTTTGAGCGCAGGAAACACATCACGAAGAAGCGACCAAACGAGAGGCAGGTTGGTGACCAGGATTGCTACCGTTGCTTCCCGGAAGTACCAGTTCATGTAAACATATGAAATGAGGGAGGGGACGAGACAATAAAGTTTGTTCAGGAGGGCTGCGACAATGACGAAGATCCCCATGCCAAATAGTATCAGGAGGATCAGCTTCTGCTTGAGAGGCACCCGTACTTGGACCATGAGTGGGAGTCCAATGAGGAGCATGAAGACATCGGCAGATATCGACAGGCAACCTTGAATAATTTCATAATATTGATAGGTTGAGCATTGTTCTATCTCCAAATTAGTAACCGACGTCTACGAAAGGGTTTCATCCGAATAGCAAGCAACTGACCATAGGGTGTCGGAACAGCCCAGTAATTTGATAACGGCCGGCAGATGAGAAATAGAGACATCTCATTGCCAATGAAGCCCAGACCGACATATACGGCGAGGTAAGTCACCCATTTCCGTTGGCGTAAACCCTCCCTATCAACCGAATTGTTAGATGGAGGCACAATGGCTGTAGAGGGGGAGACCGTACGTGATACGGGCATATATCACCAGCATGCATGCCTTCATCCCGTAGATCGCAAGAAGAAAGGAATGTTCTGATACAAAGACCCATTTGCTTCCCCGTATACGATCTGCTTTGACGGTTGGTGTTAAGTTCTCTATGTCCTTCTCACCCATCAAGTTTGAACCTCCTATGGAGGCGACTTCGTTAAGCGCGACACATAGAAGTGTATACCAGATAACAGAGAACAACATTAGGTAGTCATCTGATTGGAGGTTCTGGATACCCAAGCGGCGTATTCGTGCTGCGCTGTGCAGTTAGAAAAAAAGACATGGTCAGTAAACGACTGGTAGGTTCCGGATAACTTTATCCAGGATAACTCACAATCGTAGCACCGCACCCAGTACTCCAACGCCATAGAGGGTCCATGTCTCCCTCGCAAAGCTCTTCTGAAAGGCGGAGTCTAGGCTCGCCATGTCATCGGAGTGCAACCTAAAGGACCAGACAAAGATCGGTCAATCGGGATCACCTGAGGGGGGGGCATATGCAGGGGCCGAAAGGGAGATGAGCCGATAGATATACTAGAATGACAGCACTCACATCTTGCAAGGATAAGGTTCAAGGGCCGGCGCATTGGCCGAAGGATGATGCGTCCAGATCAATCAATGAGCGGTCCAGATTTAGGTGCGTCCTGTCCACATCGATAGCAAGTCGAGTCGGTAGATGAGAGAATCCAGGAACAATCCTTGACGATGCACATGGCTGTGGGCGGGCGAATGGGACGTAGTATCATTGCCCAACCGGAGCTAGTACCAAACAGTCAACACCCTTACTAGGTATTGGGAGGGACAAAGAACCTCGAGGGATTTTGGAACGGGCAGAGACCGGAGGTAAATCAGACAGGAGGATCCGTGGTGGCCCTGGTCGGCTGCGGGGCTCCCCATCCGGTGCTGTGGATTCACTGGGTTGAGATTGTGGATGGGATGCTCCACGGCGCCAACCCCAGCAGGGGTTACACAGTACCAGTAGATACCTCCTGTGTACTGTGTACCTTGGAAGCCCAAGTCTTCCATGGATAGTATCTACTGGACACTCCCCATTCGTCCGGTACCCGACTGTCCCGACATTACTAACCACCGCGTGCTGCTTCCGCTGGGAGAGAGTGCTACTACACAATATTGGTAGTTGCATGCAGGAAGTCGGTACACTGCAGGGGCGTGCGGAATGGGCTGCCTAACCGATCTCCCGGTAGTGGAGTGGCCAATATTATCTCAGCAGTTGCCTCCCCGTCGAGATCGCGCATACTGTGTACGGTGTAGATGCCGCCTGAATCATGGATCCAGGTTCGCAGGAACTGACGGAATGATCATCCTTCGATCCCCACTTCTGCGTCTGCATACGTATGCTACCGACTGTGTAAGGTGCACATACTTAGCATGTCCTATTCCTACATAGTATGTACTTGTTCGTGGACATAGCCCACTCAGTGTCGGACCTGATCAGTCCTAGTCCCGCGAAGCTAATGCGACCGAGGCCGGGGAATGTGCCATTAATTCATCTGGACAATACGCTTGTGTCACCCACACAAGTGTATTGGAATTCGATGGTGGACTCCCGCTAGTGGCAACTTAATTTGGATCAGAACCCCACTTGGCCGGAAACTTAAATCTGCCCCTGCTCCGCAGCAGCCAGTTAGCAGCCGACCCCGTCCTGCCGCCAGTTGCGTCGATATTGCGACCCGGCCACTCTTGTTCGACTACTTGCCCTTGGCTCTTTTCTTTTCCCGCACACTTTCAAGACGGGAACGCCGTTACATCGTTGGTGGAACTTAAGCTCAAACTCGCTGAAATCTAGAGCTGAACAAGAGTTCGCACAGTTCTTTTTAGCTCGTGGTTCGGAGTGCAATTTTTTCTGTGTTGTCTTGGTCGCGTGGCTGATTATTATACCCAGTACAGTAGTGTCAGCGTGCCCTAGGGTCGTAGCCCCGTTCCCCCCGGGAGTGGGGGATCGGTTATTCCAGTTCATAAATCTCAAACTACATTGTTGGGCTGGGCAAGAGTACTCTCGTTATTAATTTCATTAACCCGTATATTAATTTTGGCGGGGTTAGAGGTCTCCTACGTCAACGTTTGTACTACGTATGTACTTGCATCACGGCAAGATCGGGACGAACCAAGGAGCTAGATCCTACTATGCACTAGTAGTAGGCTACTTACTATCTCGTGGTGTGTTAGGCGAAGGTACGCAAGTAAGTCGGCGAGATCCGGCATAGGTACGGAGCAGTAGGTAGCTAGACAGGTACTACTCCAGCCAGGGGTCCATTGGTCTATTACTCCTTGGTCCCTCCAGACCTCGCTAAAATGATCCAGTGTGCTGGAATCGAAAGGCCAGCCTGTCGCATGGCATGATCTTGACGTAGTACTATAGTACATGTAATTAAACCCATCCGTCGATAGCCCGCCTGCAAGCCATCCTCAATAGAAAGTACCCCGCGCTGAGTGCTGCAAATTTGCACCGTTCCCCATTCAGAAGGATTCTACATAGAGTAATTATGAGCCATGGACCCCTCAAAGGCCGACTCCTAGCTCGGTGTGTGCAATTTCTTCGTCAATAACCAATAAATTTTAGAGAATAAGCTAGCATCTACCCCCTATCTGTTCGAAATTTGCCCGTGATGGTCTCCAAAAGCCTCCAACATCAGCTGCAGGGGTTCTCGGAAACCCCGAAGACACTAACCTAGTGCAAAACAAGCTGCTACCCCCGAGCCCTTTGGGCGGAATGAATGGATTCGGACAGGGCAGCGACCAGGTTGATGTCCCGATCGGTGAACCTAGACGAGATTTGACTAGCAGGGATGTGTTAGTATAATAAAGTTTGAGGGACGACCAGTCAGCATCTGCCCTGGCGATCGGGGCTCAAGATAATTTAATATCCAAAGCAAACAAAACCGGATTTCGTTTCATCCGCCCAACGTGGAAGTTGTGGTCCGTGTTCTGGAACGCCGGGATGGAAATGCCCTGCTGTACATAGTACACAGTACGGAATGTTGAAATCTGGACCTGGAAGGAACTGGGCTACAAGGTTTGGGGGGATGGACCTAATGAACTGTTCTCATATCTACTCCTTGCACTATCCTCCCATCAATGGGGCGTCAGGGTGACATACAGCCGGTGTTTCTCCGAAAATGAGTTTCTCTTACATGATCTCCTACATATAAATGAATCGATTCGAACGCTAGCAGTTCAGGTGAGACACATCATCAATGCCACTGCTGTCCCCAGCAGCTGCTCGATCTATATTGATGCGTACAATTCCCGCCACAAGGCGTGGTAAACATCTTTTGCCGTTAGCCAAGACGGGACGGAAATTCTTCGCTACTCATATGCTATAGTATAATTGGCCTGGGATTGTGGCGGAGGGCTGCCTAGACACTTCTGAATGCAACGCGAGCTGAAAGCCTAGCCTAGTGTCTATCTAGTGTTTGCATCTGACTCCCCTGACTACTAGAAAAAGCACCCACATAGTACATAGTAGTATTCCGGCCGAACCGAACCTTGGAGTGCGAGAGCCCCAGTGCTACGTAGTACGACCAGTAGTATCTACTAAAAACTACTTAAACCCGCTAAAACGTTCGTGGGCAATCCCCCGCGGCTATGGAAACACTGTCGACGGAACCCGGAAAAAGAATCATCTTTAAGGTATTATGTACAATCTTACAGCACTTGAATAATCATGCCTGGTAATACTTATTAGATAGGCGGGCTTTGGAAATGGTCCGATGCGTCGGAAATAAAGAGAACCACGGCCCACAGTTGGAAGGGCTCCGTGACTCTTTGTCATTGGCCGCAAATGAATTCCCCCACTCTCCAGTCTCCAGTGATCAAATGTCTTGGCGTAAGCAAGCCGTGGTTACACGAAGCCTGCCGTGGCAGTAAGCGGACTGCTACCCACTCTTTGGCACGGATCGGAAGGATGCAGGATCTGTCTGGTATCTTTAACATGTAGATAATAGACTTGCTATCTATTTACCAGTCAAGATATGTGGAAGCGGTCTTATCAAGAGTCAGATAATCTCAGTCACGGTATCATGTCTCAGTTACTATCTGCTTTTCTGAAATTCGTACGGAGAGGGTTTCCACCCTCTTATCATTCCCAAGAATCTTTTTGCTGCGTGATCGCAAACCCTTAAAATACCGATTACTGCTCAGATACGCTTGATTTCTTCGATCTCAATGCTTGATTTTCAAAGATCCAGTACCTTAAAAAGCACAGATGAAGCCTGTTACCCCGGTTGTGGGGAAAGGACATGTTCATCTGCCATGCGTACTCCAGTCCACCCAAATTGTTGAAACTATGACTGTACACTTAAATTCAACCTCAACTTCGAGGGGTTCCGTGGACTGCTGATGAAGGTATATCTGCTATAGCTCCCCCTTCGGGTAAGGTGCCTCTCCGCGTCCTCCTGCGTTAGTGGGCGGCGGGAGCCAGTCAGAATCGCTTCTCGACCCGCTCCCGTCGAGTTGGCCACCACCAGCGCGCCTGTTCGGGCCCTGATTGGATTTCATCCTCCTCGAGGGGTTCCAACTGCCCCACTGGTTGGAGGGCCACCGGACACACTGGTAGGTCTCATACTCCCAACTGTAGCAGTATACCTGCCTGTGTCCCCCGAGTCTATAAACTCCTGGGATCTCCCAGCACTGCTCACTCTCCCGGTCCTTGTACCTTCTTCGTCGACTCAAGGTTGTGGTGGAAGCCATGTCGATTCTTTCTTCCTAGGTTCTCATCTGGTTACCATCCTGAGCGAATCTTCAGTCATTCCTTCTTTGACCTTACTCCTTGCTTCTGTCACCAGCGCCTTGAGGAGACTGAAAGAACGACCTTCCATCATTTCGATCACTACTACTACCTCTTATCTGCACGACTCGAGCTATACCTGCATCTTGCCAACCTGTCTTTACGTCTCGAATTCCAGCTCCGATCTTGTGCTTATTCACCCCGATATTCAAAATGGCCGCCGAGAAGAAGATAGAGAAGTTGGGAGCAGTCGAAGCTGCGGATGATCAGTCTTCGATTGAAGTCGTCAATGCATCGGGTCACCGTCAGGAAGTCGAACGGAATTTCAGCTTGTTGAGCATTTGTGCCGTCGCCGTTACGACAGGAAATACATGGATTGCCCAGGGTGGCAGTGTGGTATGTATCCCAGATGAGACGATAAAAGAAGAATATGGCTGATGGCGTCTTTAATAGACAACTGCGTTGAGCAATGGAGGGCCATCAGGTGTGATCTACGAATTGTATGTCGCCACCCGACACTAGAGACATGTTCATGCCGTCGCTAATCGTGGATTTAGCATTGCGGTTTCTATTTGCTATTGGCTGGTTGCAGCATCGATTGCTGAATTGGCATCTGGAATGCCATCTTCCAGTGGAGGTATGTCATTCGAATATTGGCCGTCTAGCTATGTTGCTGATTACCCCATCAGTCTATCACTGGGCTTCGATCACTGCGGGAAAATACGGTCGTGTTTGCGGTTTCTTTGCCGGTTTTTGGAACAGCCTTGCTTGGATTCTGGGTGCTGCTTCTATGTCTGCTATCCTAGGACAGCAGACCGTCTCCATGTATGCTCTCATGCATCCTGGGTTCGTTCCTCAAGCATGGCACGTCTTCGTGAGCTTTATCATCTGCACCTGGCTTTGCTGCTGCATCGTCCTATTCATGAACCGGTTCCTCCCACACATCGGTAACCTCGGACTGTTCTTTATCCTCGCGGGTGTGTTTATCACCATCGTTATATGTGCGGTCATGCCCCATGTCAATGGTGCGACCTACGCCACAGACAAGTCTGTATGGAGCACTTGGGAAAATGACACCGGATACTCCAGCCAGGGGTTTGTCTTCGTTGCAGGCATGCTCAATGGAGCTTATAGCGTTGGCACACCCGATTGCTCATCACACCTTGCGGAGGAGATCCCTAGGTATGCTCACGTTCCAATTAAATCGTTGCTTGAGGTACTGACTATGAGCGCAGCCCGAGTCGAAACATTCCCAAAGCCGTCCTGGCTCAAATGGCCGTCGGCTTCATTACAGGTATTCTCTACATGATTGCTTTGTTCTATTCTATCTCCGATCTCGACGCAGTCATCAACAGCGTTTACGGATTCCCTCTCGCCGAGATTTACCGCCAAGCGACCGGATCGAAGGGTGGAGCCCTCGGATTGCTCATTGTCGCCTTTATACCTACAGTCATCACTTGTGCCGGTTGTTATATCACTGCCGGTCGGACCTTGTGGACCATTTCCCGTGATGGAGCGACTCCCTTCTCTCGTTGGCTCGGACACATGAACACGCGGATGCAGAACCCTTTCAATGCGACACTGGTATGCGGCGTGTTTGTCACCATCCTTGCTTGCATCTATGTTGGATCCACCACTGCCTTCAACGCTTTCGTGGGTTGCTTCGTGCAGCTCTCCAGCCTTTCTTACTTCGCCGCCATCTTTCCCCATATGCTCACTCGCCGGTCCTCGTTTGCACCGGGCCACTTCTGGCTGGGACGTGCCGGCTATGTCATCAACTGCCTTAGCTGTATCTACATCCTCGCTTTCGTTGTGATCTTCTGCTTTCCTTATGCTCTGCCCACCGATGCTGCTTCGATGAACTACGCCAGTCTGCTGACGGGAGGGTTGACCCTCTTCGTGGCCGCCTGGTGGCTCTTCCGGATGAGAACCTATGAGGGACCCAAGTCCATCCCTCTGACCGACAAGGTAATTGTGGCTGATGCCAACTGAGTGTTCATGGTATGGAAAATGAGCGCTCGGAGAAAGGCTTTGGTATATGAAACAAGGAATACCACGCCGAAGGCGATAATATCTTATTCTCTGGTGCCTTGCAGCATCTGATGAAAATACTTATTGATGTAATCTTATGATCTGTATATAACTCTGATACTGTATCGAAAATTTTGAGTAACTTTTGAACATAAAATGCATATAATGTCATCTGTCAATGGTTTGTTGGTGCGCTAACGGCTCAAGAATTTCACAGGGTGACTTAAACCCTCCTGCAAGCTGCTTTTGCCTACTCTTCAAGTTCTATATAAGTCTATAAAATCTAGACGACCCAAGATCTCTTCCTGACAAAAAAGGCAATAACCACTGTACCATCACGTGATAGCGCGACACCCGCGCGTCTCGTGCCTGTCGCGCGGGCCAAAAGACTCATCAACTCCAGGGTGCAAAGGCAGCGGCAGAAGTCATCGAAGGCCATCAGTCACGATGGTATTCAAACCATTCAAGCCTCCTTCGATGAGGAAACCCCTCCAGCCTACTGTTTCGAGACCTGCCCTGCCGGCTGAAGCCACCGAGACCGACGGTCCTCCGGCGAAGAAGCCGCGTCTACAGCCTGAAAACCCGGTGGATCTCGAAAATACTATCCCGTCGGCTGGACGACTGGTTAAACCTATACTTCAGACGAAGAAGCATGTGGAGACTTCAGCAGGCTCGGGGAGTCCTAGTGATGTAACTAGAGAAAGATATTTCAATGCTCTATGGTACTTCCTATCTCGTTCTATCACATGCGCTTCTCAGAGCAAAAGTACTTGAAGGCTAACGAGACACAAAGGCGCAAAGTTACCACGAAGAAGAACAAAACGTGGGATGGCGACGGCATCCTCACCATACGCGATGGCTATGCCTACTTGCAGGATGTTTCTGGAAAAGACATGGGGCGGGGGATGCATGGTTCTCGACTTGAACCTGGGGTTATGCTTTCCATCGGGGGCAAGGAAGTCGAAATTGACTCGGAAATGTCTAGGAAGGAGTATCTGTCCGGTCGGCAGTTCCTAAAGGCCAAGAACGAGCCGCTTCCGACAGCACTGCCCACGAAGGCGTTTGTTCCTGTTCGAAGTAGTACTTCTGCTTCGACGACATCTGCCAAGAGCCAACCTGCGAAGCCCAATACGGCGACACTAGCGAATCCTGCTTCGAAGAGAGGGACTGTCTCCAGCGCATTCAAGAAACCGCTCTTGGAAAGCACTGTTCTGCCCCAGACTCCATCGGAGAAGCCTGTTCCCCGCCATGACCCGAACCAGCCTGGAGCGCTGGTTATGAAACGGCCGGAGTCTGTGCCAAAGGGGAAACAAATTGTTGATGTTGTTGTTGATCCTTTCCTGGCTAAGCATCTGAGACCACATCAGCGTGAGGGCGTCAAGTTCTTATATGAATGTGTCATGGGAATGAGATCCTTCAACGGTGAAGGTGCTATTCTAGCAGACGATATGGGACTGGGGAAAACTCTACAAACTATCGCTCTTCTATGGACACTTCTGAAACAGAATCCAGTATATGAAAGTCCTCCGGTTGTTAAGAAGGCTCTCATTGTCTGTCCGGTCACGTTGATTAATAACTGGAGGAAAGAATTCCGCAAGTGGCTGGGAAACGAACGAATTGGCGTCTTCGTGTTTGATGACAAGAGAAAACGAATAACTGACTTTACCAGGGGCAAGGCTTATAGTATAATGATTGTGGGTTATGAGAAACTCAGGACTGTGCAAGAGGGGCTAGCCAGAGGCGACAGTGTCGACATCATTGTTGCGGATGAGGGTCACCGATTAAAGACGCTTCAAAACAAGAGCGGCCAAGCAATTCAGTCACTGAACGCTACGAAAAGGATCATTTTGTCTGGCACGCCGATTCAAAATGATTTGAAAGAGTTCTTTGCCGCGGTAGACCTCGTCAATCCCGGTGTCCTGGGGACTTTCAAATCATTCATCAGAGAGTTCGAAGGGCCCATTGTGAAAAGCAGACAGCCCGAGGCAACCAAGAAGGACATCGAGAAGGGAGAGGCCAGAAATGACGAGCTACGAGAGCTTACCTCCAAGTTTATGCTGCGCCGGACAGCAGATATTCTGGCCAAATATCTCCCTCCAAAGACAGAATATGTGCTATTCTGCAACCCGACACGCACGCAAGCCAACATTTACCAGAACGTCCTTGCCTCCCCAGTTTTCCAAAGCGCTCTTGGGAGTTCTGAAAATGCTCTCCAGCTTATAACCATTCTCAAGAAACTCTGCAACAGCCCATCATTGCTTTCTCCGAGAAATGTGAACGAAACACCAAGTGAGACTATCACCGCTCTGTTGTCTTCTTTACCGCCGAACCTCCTACGCCATTTCTCTCCATCATCTAGTGCCAAGATCCGTGTCCTGGATCAGTTACTAGATAATCTACGTACAAACACCTCGGAGAAGATAGTTTTGGTCTCCAACTACACCTCCACACTGAACTTACTAGCAACCCTGCTAACATCTCTTTCGCTACCCTTTCTCCGCTTGGACGGCTCAACCCCTGCTCAGAAACGACAGTCGCTGGTTGAGGACTTCAATCGCCTCCCACCGAACCTCTGCTTCGCATTTCTCTTGTCTGCAAAAGCCGGAGGCACTGGGCTAAACTTAATAGGCGCCAGCCGCCTGATTTTATTTGACGTGGACTGGAATCCAGCTACCGATATCCAGGCCATGGCCCGAATCCATCGTGACGGCCAGAAACACCACTGTCGAATATACCGCATTCTCCTCAAAGGCAGTCTTGAAGAGAAAATCTGGCAGCGTCAGGTGACCAAGATCGGGCTTGCAGATAGCGTCATGGAACACCGGGACAGCGTGGCCCAATTCTCGCGGGACGAGCTTAAGGACCTGTTCCGGCTGGACGAAGAAAGCAAATGCCAAACCCACGAACTCCTAGGCTGCAACTGCGGCGGCAATGGCATTCTACAACACGAACCCGACTCAAAGGACAAATCCGATGACGAACAATCAACCTCAAGCGACTCCGAGATAGAAGACTTCCCCGATCTCCCCACCCTCCTCAAAGCCTCCGAAGTGGACATGGAAAAACAAGAGCAACGGATCCGAGACTCGCGCGCAGCTCTTCGATTCGGGTCCAACCGTTCATCGAAATCCGGAAAGAGCGACAGTAACGGGACCACCAAGCAAAAGCACCGAATGCAGCAATCCCTCTCCCAATACTGCCATATCGACCCCGGTCATCTTATCTCCAACGAGACAAACACCCCTGAAGGAATCGACTCCGCACTCGACGATGACGTTCTTCTCTCTCTTCTCAAGGATGAGGATAACCGCATTGGCTTCATTTTCAAGAAGTCCTCCACGGCAGAGGCAGAAGCGAAGGGGGATACACCGTCACCGCCGGTGATTGTTCTGGACTGATTGAAAGAGTTGATTATATACATAGATAGATGCCTAGTTGCCTAGATTTCGGTTCCTTGTCTCGTCCAATCTCGTCTCGTATATCAAAATACCCTTTAGGTCTTCTTGTACTTGAAATTGGAAATGTACCAAGGTAGGTTTCGTTACAACAACGAGTGCAATATCAATGTATCTATATCTATGACGAACTAGTAACGATGAAATGATAGTAGTATAGCATTAGAATTAACAAACGTAAGTTAGATTGAGTTGAGGATCAAGATCAGAATTCATTAAAAATGGAGGGAAAAAAAATTCTAGATAAGCTGCATCACACATTGTTCATCTTCCGTTTCATATACATATCGGCATCTGAAAATCATGAATGAGGACAAGAAAGAGGTGAGAGGAGGGGAGCAGAGGGGATGGAGGGAAGAGAAGAGAAGAGAAGAGAAGAAGGAGGGGGCAAAGAAGGGAAAATAAGATGGGATATCAGCAAGAGGGGGTATGGATATGCACGTGCACAAAATAACACAAGGAGGTAAAGGGGATAAACAAATAGAGATAATCAGTAAGGAGGACATCGCTGAAAACAGGCAGAATGCAGGGACTGAGATGGAAAATAAAAGGAAGAAAAGAAGACAAGTCGGTCCTTCCGTCCAGTCCAGTCTAATACTTGGACTTTCCGACCAGGCCGAAAGTGTATGCTGCTTCGGCCTCACTCTTCATCTGGATCATGTAGATCTTGGAGGAGCCAACTGTGACACCGCCCTTTTTCGGCATGGCTCCGCCTTCGTTCTCCTCCCAGATGGAGACGGCAATACCGGTGCGAGCCACACGCTCAAAGGAGCTCTCGCCAAGACAGACGTCGAGGAGAACCTCGCCACGAGTCTTGCCTCGGATGACGATCCGCTTCTCTTGCTCTACTCCCCGACGGGGAGAGGCTGCCCCGGAGCCCGGCGAACCTCCTTCGACCCCTTCTGCTATGCTGCCGGAGTCGCCATGTCCGCTAGCTGTATCAGGACGACGAGAGTCTGGAGACGCAGGCATGATGGTCAGTCTGGCGGCGCCCATATCACGCCACTTCGATTGGGTTTCGCGCAAGTAAAGCCGAATCTTAGCATTGGACAGACCGATACCGTCGCCACCCTTCATGGCGGCTGCTATGCGACCGATGCCGGATGTGGGAGACGCATTCGATCCGGCAGAGCTCGAGTACAAGCTGTCCTCCTTCTGGCCGTCGCGAGAGGTGATTGAGGAGCGGGAAATGTTGAACATCTTGCTTCCTGCTCCGAACCGTTTCAGTGCGGAGAATGCGCTGCTCATAGTCCCTACGCTACTCTCAGAGTTGTCGGTGACCGACCGGGGAGAGCTAGATGCACGGTAGCTTCTCCTGCGTCGGGGCCAGCCGAACAACCCACCACCGCTTCGGTTTGGCGATTCCATGGGAGCTGGCTGCTCTGCGTAAGGACCTCGGGCGTTCTGGAGCGCTATGTAGGTGGGGTTGTTGATGCGTGCTTGATTGATTAGGCCGTATAAGATCTCGCATTCATCGGCATTCCGAGAGCGGAACATGATGTTGTTGCTCCAATTGATCTTTGACCGTTTGGTGGGAGGAGAACGGATACTGATGTCAATTGCTGTGCCGCGTCGAATAGGTACAAGCGGGGTAAGTTCAAGGGCAATCAGCGGACGTGCTTTGCTCTCCTCCTCAGTCCCGGACGGTGCATTTCCCATGTCATATGCTTCAATGAGCCCAGGGCTGACCATCACCTTACAGTCATCGGGGAATATGCTATCCCAGGAACCCTTATCTGACCAGGCAAATACTGACGCAATAACAGTCGACGACTTGCTTGGTTGTGAGGGAACCGACCTATATCCGCCTTGAGATGCGGAATTGGACAGTGACAGGGAGCTGCTAGTAGGGGCTTCTGAAGCCGGGGTCTTGGGCTTGGGAGGAGGCTTTGCCTCAATTGGCGGTAGCGACACGGGCTCATCTTCAGACTCATCCGAACTGTCTGTCTCCGAATAATCGGACCCTGAGTGCACCTCGTACCGGCGCACAGTTGATGTGTCAGAATCCGAGTAAGAGTCCGAAGCAGTAGATGGTTCATATTCATGTTTCAAAGGCGAAGAACCCCGACGTCTCGTACGCACGCCACTTGGGCTGAGAACAGGAGTATTTGAAAGACTAGATCCAGTCGAGCTCGGCGAGCGAGAATGCGGTGGCGGCGGCGGCGGCTCATCCTCGTTCGTCTGGTCCGATCCCGAGTGCTCGCGGGAATGGCCCTTGTTTTTGGTAGGAGTCTCCGGTAGACTGTCAACATCTAGGGCGGCGTACTCGTCGTCTGAGGTGGATGCCAACGATTCAGATATGTATGTCTGGCTGCTGCCCTTTCTGAGTTTGGGAATAACAGGGAGGTCCATTGACGGCACGGAAGACACCCGGGGGGAGCTTTGCTCAGGAGTACTCTTCGTGGGAGTCTTGGGATTCTGCGGTGCCTTGGCCTTTTTCTCCTCAGAGCGTTTAGGCTCCTCGTCTTTGGCCACGCTGTGGTCCGTTGGTGTGGTAGGGCTGGAAGGAATGATTTCACCATTTCGTGTGACCCTCTTTGCCTTGGACCGTTTGAGGCCCGGGGATGGTCTGTCGTCGGCCGTGAAGCTCTTCCGAGGCTCTCTGGCATGCAAAATAGATTGCGGAGGTGGAGACCTCCCTGATAACTCGTCCCCGATGGCATAGTCCGACTCCGCAGTTATTGCAGTCTGCAAAGACGTACGTGACTCGGAAATCCAAGATCCCACGGTACTTGGATCCGAAAGATGGTCTCTAGGGGTCAACGAACGCCGCAAGGTACGGGAAGTGGGCTTCTCTCCGATAGGGACGTTGATACTCGAAGGGCTTGGTGGATCCTTCTGTGCCTGCGAGGCCTCGTTCGCTGAAGAGATTGTCTTTGCTCGTTGCCGCTTTGCTCGGTCGATGAAGCTCTGGGTTCGATTAATGGCCGGTGGGACTGGGGTCAAGCCCAACATCTGGACCCATTCGTAGCCAATGTCCTCTTCGTCAATGCTGAGCACTAAGAGCTCTTGCCAGGGCTTTGTCTGCCCCGGGGCACTTCGTAGCATGACCACGATCTCACCCTTCGCGTCGCCGTTGCGAGCAGAGACACATCCAAGCTCGATCGGAGGGAATAGCAGCCAGCGGTCCGTATGGTCAATCTCACAGATGAGCAAGTCCCCGCCCGTTTTGTTTCCTGCAGTGCCATCTCTCAGAAGGAACTCGGCACGACAGTCAATAATCTGACCACTTGTATGGTACAACGACAGATTGAAGAAGTCACGGGCTCGGACTCTTCGACTTCGGTCCACGGTGACTCCAGTGAGTGCTCCCAGGGTCGCAGGGTCTCTGGCGCGGGTCGCGTCGACGCTCGCGGCAGATTCGTCCTCAAGCCTGGCTCTTTCTTCTCGTGCCCGGCGACGGGCTTCCGTGACAAGGCTCTGATATACCGCCGCCACATCCTCGGCCTTGGAGGAGGGTTGGATGGTTTTGATCCCTCTGAATGTCTTTGCAAGATACTTCAGGCGTACCAGCGGTCGCTTCAATAGGTATGCAACATCAACCTTCTCGCCATCGCTGTCCACCACATCGCCGTTTTCATCCCGTGCCATGCCCTCGTCCAAGCTCTTCGTATCGGTGTTGTCGCCCTCCTCGCCATCTTCAAGAGGCGCAAGGTTAACGATCACGTCTTTGAATCCTAATCTCCAGGCTTTGAGGTATTCACGATACACTCTCTGAGCCCCGTTCGCCCAGTTGAGTAAGGCGTCAACGTCATCTTGCGGGATTCGCTTGTGCAGAGTCTTCAATCGCTCAATGGCAACACCCATATCCACGATGGGCTTGCTGAAGTTTACCTCATCCTTGGGATCAGTAGATGGTCGGAAGAGCCCCGCTGCAATCGCTGAGTCGGATCGTGAAAGCACGCAGGTCAACAGAACAGGTATCACTCCACCGACCAAGGTCTTCAGCTCGCGCATGTATTTCGTCTCATCACCAGCCAGCTCCTTCAGCAGATCAGGGAGATTTTCGGTCATGACCCGACTCTTCGTTTTCAGACTTCTCGCAGAGCGAAGGCTTCTACTCCTGTTTGGGGCAGACAAGACCGATATCAGGTCGTCGTGGGTGGTGAGACGCCTCTTTAGCTGGGAGGAAATCGCCGGGAGCGAGTTAGGATCAAATTGGTCCCTTTTCTCCTCTTCGTCAAGCTTTTCCTGGGTGGAAGCTGCATCCTGCTTTTCTGGTGCAGGATCTTGTCCTGCAACTGGTGCATTGGTGCCGGTGCTCATCGATTCGACAGATGCGATTGTTGACAGTGAGTGAGCTCCGGTGGAGGGGAAGGGCTTGCGACGACCAAGCGGCACCGGTGCATTATTCCCGGATACCTCGGAGCCCTCTGAGAGCACCTGAGTGTCCGTCTCTGATGCCTTGTCCTTATCCTGGTCCTTGCCCTTGTCTTTGTCTTTGTCCTTATCCTTGTCGTCACGAAGTCGTTCACGAATGGGGAGCTTCTCAACGGTTGGCGAGGGCTGCTTATCCTCGTGTTGCGCAGGCTCCTTGTTCTTGATTGGAGCGGCGGTATCCTTTGTAGGCGCAGCTTTCTCCTCCGTCGGCTTCACACGTTCGCTTCCGGTCGAGCCTTCCTTCCTCGCTCGCCGCAGCGCCGCATCTTTCGTCGATCTGTCGCTGTCGGCGGGAGTATCGATATCGCTGGCGGCATTTTGGGATTCCCGTTGTTTTGTGGGGGTCTTTTTCTTGCTGGTCCTGGTATTCAATGGAGCGGGTATCTCGACATCGGACTCCATATCGTCAATAAATGGATCCGGGGTCTCGGAGAGCCATGCCTCTATCTTCGCGCCTCGGTTCGGAGTGGGCTTCGGAGGCTCCGGTTTGGCGAACATCTTTCGGGATTCATCGAGCATGTGGGAAAAGATGCCACCCTTAGGTGGTTTCACAGTGCCTCGCCCTCTAAGTCCAGGGCTTTTGGGTACAGGATGGTTTGGGCCTCGCGCACGTCGCCTGGAGAGTTCGGAGAAATCGGCTTCACCTGTCGCCCATTCCGAATCATAATCCAGCGCTCCGTCCCTTTTCTTTGCACTCTGCGACTGTTCCGACCGTACACTTGCGTTGGGTTTGTCCCCGGTGGCCTGTCGCGAAGTAGACTTCGACGATCCATTATGTGACCCATTCTCGCCTTCAGCCTTGTCCTCCGCTATTGTATCAACATCCCGAGACGCTCTCGATTTCCGTCGTTCTCTGGTCGCGAGATCGGATGCCACAGCCGCCCTGCCCCTATCTTTGTTACGAGATGGAGAGGGCAATACCTTGTCCTCACGCGCGCTCTCGCCCCCACTCGCATGTGGGGAAGTTATTGGATCGTTTGTTGTATATTCGGCGATACGTTTTGGGGCAGGGAGCTTAGAAGTGGGCGTCTGGGTGGGGGTTCGGTTTAGCTTCCAATGCTCATCACTGATCACTCGTTTTCGGGGGGTGCTTTTGCTTCGCATCCTCGTTGTGGGCGTTCTCGTTGTGGAGCCATTGGAGCTACTGGATGCCTTCTCGTCCACAGGCTTAGGTTTGGAATCGACGGTTGAATTCTCTTCATCGTCGTCGTAGCAGACCCCGTCATTGGCCGCGATTACCCCGCCTCCTTGCTGCTGCCACTTGCGAACCTTGGCTCGCACGGAATTTGTATCGTAGATACCTAGGGGTACTCCAATGTCGAGGGGTTTCTTCGTGGGTGATGTTCTGGGGCCTCCCCCACGGTTGGAGGGGCGCTGCGGGTTGGCAGGAGGCGGCATGGAAATCTGCGATCGGGGACAGCCATCAGCATTATGTTCGGGGTCGCGGCAGCTGATCCAAGTCTCAGGCTGGGTCTCCAATGCAATGCGATCCCCGAGTGGGTGTGTGTGGTGCTGTGGAAGGCCAGAAGAGTGGGAAAACCCACCCACCGACGTCACCCGTTGTTTGTTTATGGGACGGAGGGGAAACTCACTCTCAGTCGAGACGCCGACAGCACATACCCTGGCTTACAGCAACAGCAACAAGGTCGCGGTAATGCTGGGGGACAATTGGGCACCAAAGAAAGAAAACGGATAATCTAGAGGGGATACGAAATGCGAAACTGAAAAGAAGAAGCAGAGAAAAGCCAGGGAACAGGCGGTCAAGTGCAGATGGAGACTGGAGGCAGGCAGCGCAGCTCACTAGTAGTAAAGCGTCCCCAGTCAGTACTCGTCCAGGCTCGGAGGGGCAGAAAGGGAGATCGGCTGCTGAGCGAGTCTCCAAAGGACCTCATTCCTCTCCCCGACGAGACTCGTCTGCGAGGACACACACCCGGCCAGCTTGGAGGAACCACAACAAGAGTCGAAGGCTATACTTCTTCACACGAGCAACTTACACTTTGGCAGGGCTGCCCGGGAAACCAGCTCGAGTCAGCGCCACGCACCAGCCCAACCAACCCCATGGCCAGAATGTCCGGCCGTCAGATCTGGCGCCCAATCGAGCTCCCGCCAGCCAACAGCATTCCGCCCGAGATGATGATTTGCTGCTTGCTTTGCCGTCCAGGGCAAAATATTCATTCCGCGACCGGTGGTTTGTCCGTTGCCGCTCCAGGGAAAAACCAACAATCAGGTCCTCCGTACAGGCGATCAGCTAAGGCGGTCCCCTTTCTTTATCTACCCAGCATCCAGTATCCACCCCCTTCTCCAGCTTATCCTGCACGGTCATGGTCATAGCTGCTGGCTGATGAGATGCACATGGACCTCGTCCCTCGTCCCGCACCTGACTGCCTACATCCCACGCCTCGCACCAAGCCACACCCTTCTTCTCCGGCGCCATGTCCGTGCATTCTCTGACCTGAAGGGAACCCGTTCAAATTCAGGCTTGGACTCCGATAATGGAACATTCAATCGAACATTCATCGTATCGCAAAGTAGCAGTCGCGCAAGACGATCATTCCGATGTACTGTGTAGCTAACGTGGAACTCGGAGCTATTCTTCCTGTTTGCCGGGCTGGCGGAGGAGCAGGAATGCCTAAAGCGATCCACCGGGGCTACGCGTCACAAAGTGGGCCAGTAAAGGGAAGAGTGTTCTACCTGATTCATTATTGTTGCAGTGTGTTGTCATGCACTGGCCGTATATTGCTTTTCCCGGTCGGCCCCGTCGATTCGAGACTCGCCAAACGACTGCTGTCCCGGCCGAAGCGAAGATCCCTAAGATCATACGCATGCATGATCAGTAAAGACCAGCGGCCTTAGCCTGAGTTAGCAAGGCATATAGATAGTCTACCCCTCATCTGATGTCGCCCGGTTTGGGATGGGTGACATCATGTCTGGCCGTCCCTTCTCTTATCGATCCTTGCGCTGCACAGAAGCGTCTCCCAACGCCTTGAAGGCATCCGATATTGTCCGGACACTCTGGCAAAGATAGTCTGTGTCCATCGTAAGTCTGGAACGAATAAAAACCAAGCAAGGGGTCTGTGGGATTGGAACGTACAGAACGGAACCACAATCCAGATGAAATTCATTAGAAAGTAGTAGACCCAAAAATAGTAAGGCTCCGGGCGGCTGTATGGTCGGCCATGAACATAATGATCGAATAAGCTCGTTGCGTAGTAGAGAACATCACCATAAAGGTGGCTCATGCACACAATGATCTGCAACGGATGGCGCAGAGGATGCTGGGAGAGAATCAAATATGCGACCAGAAAACAGAGCGGGCCCCAGAGAAGCTATTTCAGACCTTTAGCCAACGGCGTCGCATGCTATTTAGGGGGTATAATAGGCAGGGATCCCTGCAGCTGCGGGTGCACCTACAACGGTGATGGTTTCCATGCACAAGACGACGGTATCGGAGGTCATGTATCGAGAATCGGACAAAGCATACTCTTTCCATAGCTGACCGAAGAAGTCTTGCGCAGACGCCATATGATCATGGTGAATCATAAAGTAACCCTCGAAAAAGCAGTGAAGTGAACCCGCTTGAGATTCATATGCTGTTAGCATGGAAACTGTTCCGGTCATGAAAGCAGTATGTGTACGAGTTCGGACCTACAGAGAACGAACCACAATATCGCGAGTCGATCTGCTTTCCTCAGACTTGGTCGAATCACGCTGATCAGAGTCAGAGTGGCACCCAGGAGCGCTGTCGCGCCGACGCTGGCGGTGGTGAGGATGGAGAGCAAAGAAGCCTCATTGGGAACATATCCATCGATTTGGGCATCAAGGGGATAGTAGGGATGAAGAGGTATCTTGGAGTCCATGGTAGTCAGATTGATACTAGACGATGAAGTTGACAGACAGTTCACTGTAGGGATTTCGGATGGGGATCTTTCGTTTATGCATAGTATCGGGCCGGAGTCTATAGTGGTGTTTGTCTTTCCACAATCGGTAAGGAGGCTCAACAGCCAGAACTGTTCAACCCACCGTATTAGGAGTCATCTGAGATGTTTGAGACACTTAAAGGGCACCACTTCATCGAAGTATATTCGATCCATTCTCGCCTTCAAGAATCGGTAGCACAAAGAAGCAGCGTTTTGCACAACTGACCGGCTGGACGATCAGCGCGGCACCTGCCCTAAATGGGTTAGATGGGGGAACACGGCGACGCTAGCCCGATGAGGCTAGGGTACCACTGTCCTCAGGCAACGACAGCTTCTCCGCAACTCCCCCAAAGGTCGGCTCGCTGCTGCTCGACGGCCTCCACCAGCTTGTATCCTTCATGCCGCCATCTCAGTGATTGCGCTCCCTTCGCTCATTCCATGGAGACTGTCGCCTCCGCCTCTTACGCGCTCTCCGGCAATGGCACCTGGTCCTTTTAGACGGAAGCCCCTGGGGCTTGACGTGCCCCGCCCCGCTGCTGTCATCGAGTCGCCGCCTGGCATTGCGGCCCTCTTCGTCATTCGCTTCGATATCAAAGCCGGGTGAGCAATTCCAAGTCTGTTCTGAAGACCGTCCGTTAAAAGAGGATCTCCCGGCTGACGGTTCCGCTCTTAATCTAGATATGTGATATCATGGAAACGCGCTGTTCCCGGTGGTAAGTAACATACTACTGCTCCAACGGTCTAACCGTGACGAAGTGACCTAACCCATCCGGTCGCATAGTTGAAGTTGAAGGAGCTGTGGAATATAAGTCGCTTCCATCCGGTCTACACAATGTCTCAGAAGATCTGGTGTATGTATGCCGTCGCTGCTCCAGACCGTCTATACCCACTGACAGCTCGTCCTTACTAGATACTTCGTCCACGAGCAGTACGCTGGCATCAGTGCGTTTGTCAATTGGCCCGCTGAAGAAGCGGAACGAAATGCAAAGATGTTCGCTATCGGAGTCCTCGTCCCATTGAGTTCCGGAAGGCTAGGGAAAAGTTGGAGGCATGCCCCCAAGCTCAAAGAATTGGCGGCGTAAGTCAGATCTGTTATGTGCTGTCCTTGCGGCCCGACCGTTGACATCCCGCGATCGCTTCCAGAAACTATGCCCAGGACATGTCCAATACGCAACCGTTATCAGACTACTGGGAGTTCCATGAAATTCGTGAGAGTGATGCTTCCGCTATGCCACCCGATTCCCCTCTGGAATCTCCCCTTAGTCTCCGGCTACGGGCCCATGGTGATTTAAGAGATGCCGTCCATCGAACCCGCGCTTTTAGTGATGCAATTGTGTTGGAAACGCCCAGGCCGGCCCTGACGCCTTTCCATCCAGCTTCCTCCCTTCCTGATTTCCTTGACTCCTTTGGACCCCTGCTATTTCCGTTGTACAGAGCAGCATTGCTGCGCAAAAGGGTTCTTTTCATGGCAGAGGCGCCAGTTCATACCCCTTGTAGCTATGGTATGGCAGCTACCCTATTTCCCGTAAGCCTTGCTGACAGTCAAATAGTATACGATCTCTCTTTATTGGCCTCCTTACCTAATTCGCTCCTTCCTCTGCTTCCTCAGAACGGATTGCCCTCTCCACGACCTCGCCCATTGTTCAATGTTGGTATCCATGATATCCCTTATCTCTCGTCTTTCGTGGGCTCTTCGGCCAATACGGACCATGACTCTGCCTGGATTGCTTGCAGCACGGACAGTGTCCTGACCATGAAGCCCGAACTTTTTGATGTCCTCGTCACATTGCCGCCTCCTCACTCCAAGAACGCCGTGGAGAAGGTATTCCCGACAATCTCCATCTTCCATACCCAACCGGCAAAGGGGAAGATGCCGCAATCTATCGAAGTGAAAGCGACTCAGCGTGATGCACGGCGTTACTCGACTCTCCGCAAGGGTCTCCGGCATGTTTCTCAGGAAGACGAAGCTGCTTCGGCCGAAAGCGATGATGACTCGGATGCGGCGTCGACGTACTCCTCCAGCCCCATCGTCGAACCTCTTTCATGGACGCGCCTAGCATATACCTCCTTCATCTGGTGGGCATCAGCAGGTGAAAAGCGCGACGGACTTTCCGAGGAAGAAGAAGAGGAGCACCAAATCGAACAGGACACGCGACTCCTAGCGAGTGTGGAGACGCTTCCTAGCCCACCGTCAGGGTCTCTTGGCCGCCGAAGCATCCAACTCCAAGAGTCAACTCAACAGCCTCCCGAGATCGCCCTAGTGGCGTATTTCCGTCGTCTCACGGCCCAAATCTTCATCACTTTGTCCGACGTAGTTGCCCGACACGATAGCCGTAACTCACCTGATCACGATGACGATGAGCAACCCGATGGGGATACTGCCTCTTATGAGGATGAGCCAGAAGACGACACTGAGCCTTCCATCGCCGTCGGCCGACAGTCCACCCAAGAAGACAACTCCAGATCCCCCTTACTGCAGCAGACAACTACCGAAACTGGTCCGCGCAACGCCAGAGCTTCCTACGATGATAGCGATCCAATCAAGATCACTTCCGAGGATCTGACCGAAATGGGCCTAGACATCTGGAGCACCGCCGACCGTGTCTTTGTCGAAGAGTTGGTCCGTCTCTGGTGGGGTCGTAAAGCACGTGTCGACAGCGCGCGCATCAGATGTTGTGGCATTTCGATCATCTAGATCTGACCGCGAAGTGGTGTGCTTATTTCCTTTCTTTCCATATCAACTGGCACAATGTACGCATGGAAGTATATACGGCGAGGTAGCATTTATAGACCATGTCTATTGTCTTGTAAGCAATGCCAGATCGGCCGTGCTTTTTAAATCAATACGGTGAAGATGACCGTACTTCGAGGATGTCATGTCGATATCATCAATTCTAAGTCTTCTTCCAAACAATGCGCCTAAAATATCCAAACCACGCAAGCCAAGCTAGCCTATTCACAATATGAGAGACAGAAAAGCAAAAGATAAATCGCCAGACAAAGGAAAGTGGGGAAAGATTTAAAGAGCGTCGAGGCTTATAAGCAGTGCTCATATGCCGTGGAGTTGGGAGGTCAAACTAGAAAGTAAGCAGATACATAGACAAACCCGCCATCCAAGCGCCACAATATCACCCTCTTCGAACATACAAGAGGAAATGATGATAGTCATAAGATTTGAGAGATAAGTAGCTTCATTGATGCCCGTCAAAGCAACATCCAAAAACGCCATTCCGCTCGGAGTACCGGGGTATCAAGAGAGAGAGTCGGGTCATTAACCAAGAATATCAGGAATAAGTAGTGGCCTTTGTCCGTTTGAACCAAAAGGGATAAAATACTGGTCCTATTGGTGGGACAACCGGATGGGGGCACTCATGTCCCTCCGATTCCTCGCAGGGCCGTTGCGTCTGGCATCTGAATTCTGAACCCCGGGCATCCGTCGAACGGCCCGAATTGGGGTGACACCCATGCCTCCAGAGCGGAGTACACTTTCGCTGGCACTGGCGGACCTCTTCATAGTGTTTGCTCTCTCCCTCCGAGCTTTGATCTGAGCTAGTGCCTCTTCCCGACTGATGGGAGTCCCTGGAACGTCAGAAAAGCGATTGGATCCCGAATCATCCGTCCGCAAGGGAACCTTCACCGGGTCAGGGTTCCCCTCGGGAGTCTCAGCGCGATGTCCCACGGGCATGACAGGGTCCCATGGAACATCAGCAATTGCCGGCGTGGGATGGGTTGAAACATACGCTTCAGTCTCCATTATGGAATCAAATGGCGTTTGGTGCCGGCGAGATGCATACTTCGGAGTGGGACTGCCAGTCATTACCTGGGCATCCTTTCCGTCTCCAGTGTGGGCTGCTAGTGATTGGTGTGCATTCGAGACGGCTTCGCTGAGCTTTCGGGGGGATCCTCGAACAGGGGAAGGGAAGGTGTGGAAGGTGCCAGTGGCAGGTGAGAATGTTATCAAAGGCTCCTCTGGAGGCTCATCATCATCGTCATCATCGATTGCTTGGACCTCCTCAACTTCTTCGATGACTTCATCAACATCATCTTGTTCGTCTTCTCCGTTCATGACTCTATTTCCAACAGCTTTTTCCCTGACTGCTTGCTTCTGTGCCGCGAATCCGGCAGGTTCGCCCTTGGGTGTATGCGAGGGACTTGGCTCCTTTGGCGCAATCAGAGTGTTGCTGTTGTTATGACGACCCCCTGAGGCATTCCCTTCCCCTTTTTCTGCTCTCTTTACAGTTTGCGATTCGTGTCCATGATCCATCTCATCCTCTTCTGCCAGACGGCAGGAGCAACGTTTGAAATGGCATTCCACTTTAAGGAATTCAATCATGTCTTCTGCCTGGGTCCTGAGGCGACGCTCTCGAGAGAGGATCCCCTCAAGCTCGTCAATACGGCTGTGATGCGCGTCCGATATAGTGGCCTCTTTGACCTCATTCCGAGGAGTAACATCTGATAATCTTTGCCTTTTAGGAGGAGTGTCCTGGGCAGGCGACGGCTTGACTGCATTGACTCGAGGCGAGTTGACCAAATCCTCGGCGGGGCGTTTGGGTCTTCTTGGTGTAGGGGTCAGCAAGAGGTTGAGATCGCCTTCAGCCAGCGACAATCGCCCAATATCGTTTTTCTGGATTTTCTGCCGTGCCTGCGCTTCGAGCTTGTTGGCGTGAATGGTAGCTTCCGCAGCTCGTAGGTTTTCCTTGAGAACCTGCATCTCCTCGGTAAGTCCGGCGATTGCATAAGCCCGCTCAAACGCTTCCTGCTTCGCTTGTTCCTTTGCTGCTCGTTCTGTCTGGGCGCTTTCTTTGAATCCTTTAGCTTCGTTTCTCGCATGCTTCAATTCCTCCTGTGTCTTGACCAAGACGGAACCAGCACGGAAGGCCTCCTTTCTCGCTTTCCTTATTTCCTTTTCGAATACCGTCCTTTCGTGGGCCTGACGTTCTTTTGTTGATTGTAGTTCTTCGAGTAGGGACTCAAGCCTTTCACTGATGCGACGCTCCCGTGACTGGGCTTCAGAGAGCTGAGCGGAGACATTTGCCAATGCAGACTCGGCCTCCTCGCGCCCAAGGATGGCCCGTTGAAGGGCAGCCGCGGATCCAGTGGATGACTGTGCAGCATGCGCGGGACTGTTTCCTCGTGATAGATTATTCAAAAACGCGACCTTGGCCTGCACATCAGTGAGGCCCCGAGGAGTCTTGCGCTGGAGGTTGAAGATGTCGGATGATCGCGAGGGTGAGTTGGGTCCGATCTGTTGGTTGATTCGCTCTGGAGACAGGGGATTGAGGGCTTTTGTTGGGCTCGACATCGCGCTTGATGGGGAATCCATCGCGAGGCACGATAGATATGCTGTATAGGCTGGGGTTAGTTAAGTGAAGCTATTGCCAGGTTAGGACATGACATGACAGTCGCGTCTCAAAGGGGTGTAAGCTAGGCGCCGCAGGAAGCCCCGTGGAAAATCCACTTGGTGTGGAGGTGGTGAGTTCTCGGTTGATCCCCTATCGGTGACGCACCCACAACAGTCAGTGACCGCCCAGCCCGCTTGTTGCTTGTTTGTTGCTCGCGCCGCGGTCCCGTGATGGTTGCCCAGGACAACGCCGCTTGCCAGTTTGGGAAGGCGGGGTTCACGTGCTGACCGTGCTCGCACTAGACCCAGATAGGCAGCCGCCATCGCTGGTGGTCCGTGCGTTTACGCGGTGATGCCATCAGATGCTCGTTCTGAATTATTGCTGCCAGGTTCTAGAACAGATGCAAAGTCGTAGCTTCTCACTGGATTTGACTTGAGACGCCCTGCGCTCGGCTGATTCAGAGGATTCACTAGATCGGCGTCCCTTGCAACCATACTAGCGGGACCCGTCAAATACCAGCTGCCAAGTCTGCATATATTTTAACTGTCAATGTGCGACATAGTCGGCATCCACCATGCATGAAGTTATCACCTTACAGCTGGGTCAGCGGGCCAATTACCTGGCCACCCACTTCTGGAATCTTCAGGTACGTGGTCAGATTCCCAGCTCGTATTGCTCTCTAATCCTCGACACTCTAGCTGACCGGGCCTATAGGAATCCTACTTCACGTACAACGAGGAAGAAGAATCCCCGGTTGATCATGACGTCCATTTCCGACCAGGCGTTGGGGCTGATGGGACTGAAACTTACACTCCACGTACCGTCATATATGACCTCAAGGGGGGATTCGGTACTCTCCGCAAGTACAATGCACTGTACGAGTTGACCGAAGACTCCAACCCCGGTCAGGGCCTGTGGTGAGTGATCGCTCCTCTACCCTGGCGTGCTTCAACGCCTTCAATGTTCTTATGGCGCAAACCTAACCTCAACTTAGGGATGGAAAGGAGGTAATACAACAGCAAGCTCTGATCCCCCAGAGTGAGTACCAGAAGAGCCTCGATGCAGGGCTGCCTGCTCCAACACTCTCTGCAGAAACAGTCAGGTATTGGTCCGACTATAACCGACTGTTCTACCATCCTCGCTCCATTGTCCAGCTGAACGATTACGAGCTGAACTCCAAAATCATGCCTTTCGAGGACTGGACTATTGGGGAAGAGCTGTTTAATGACCTTGACAAAGAGCATGACTTGCTCGATCGAGATGTCAGACCGTTCGCGGAGGAGTGCGATCAGTTGCGTGCGCTGCAATTGTTTACGGGGTCCGATGATGCGTGGGGTGGCTTTGCTGCCAAGTACGTTGATAGGATTAGAGACGAATATGGCAAGAAGGCCGTCTGGGTCTGGGCTATTGAGAATGGCAAGAAGGTCGATCGGGTGAGTTTTCCGATGCAAATCTTCCCTTTCCGAGTGAGGCTTACTTTGGATTCGACGGTAGCAAACCCAGTTCAAGAGGGATCTTAATAAAGCTCGGTCTGTCCACGCTATTTCCGCCCAAGCGTCATTGTATGCGCCCATAATGGACCCCCCGAGCCGAATCCCTAAATCCGTCTACCTCAATCCCCAATCGGAATGGTATACCACGGCCTTGATCAGTTCCGCCATGGAAACGGTGTCGCTTCCGACTCGACTGCGTCCCTATCACGACTTCGAGGCTTCCTTGGCAGGTGATGACAGTATCCATAAGATATTTGAGCTACAATCAACGATTGTGCAGGACGATGAAGACTCTGCAAAGCCACATACCAAGCCATCGAATGACGGGGATGAGATTGGCTCTGAGAGATCGCCGATCAAGACGGAGTTCGATCTGGACTTCACATATGACGGGCTGGACAGTCGAAAGTCCCACCACATCTTTAACCAGCTCCAAGTTTCACGTGGGGCTAGCAATCTCGAGGATGAGTCCTCTGGAGAGGATCTGGGTATCCTCCGCCGTAGACGGCACTATAATTCGGAACCGATGTTTCAGAGGTCAGAAAGAGCGCTGAACTTGTTCCCTGCAGTCCCATTGCCATTGCTAACCCAGACCCTCTAGGTTCCATACGACATTACCATTGCCCCTTTTGGACAGCTTCCCTCGTGATATGTTCCCTGGATTGAGATCGAAAGAGAAGATAAGTATCCTTTCCGCATTGACTGTCTCTTCGCGAACGGCGGAGAGATTAAAATCCTTGGAGACATTGGCGGGACGAGTGGCTGGGGTGGACGAGCGGGAGACTCTGGTCAACGGACTGGGCGAGATCCGCGAGACATACGAGACGGGATGGATGAGCGATTCCGAGTTTGACGATGACTAGCGGAAAATCGACCTGATCCTATTCCTACACCGTACGTGGTAGATAATTCGTACAGAGTAGTTCGTCGTTCGACTCTAGACCCTGAGCTGCCGATCGGCCCGTCGATCGACGGGGGCAAACAGAGCAAACAGGGTGCCGGTCGGCCAAACGTGGCCTCTCCATCTCGCCTTTCATTCATCACGATCCCAGTGCTACTTACTGCTGCTGCTCGCGCTTACTGCCAGGTGGCCAGTAATTCCGAGTGTGGTTGTCGCCTAGATGGCTCCCTTGTCTTAAAGCCCGCGTCCGTGGCGCCCTTTTCCCCACGCTCTTTTCTGCCACCAGCTAACCGGGTCATAGTTCACGACAGACGACAACGACTACGCAGCCCGCCTCCGGACCCTGATCTAATCCCAATTGATGTACAGATCGCTTTCTTCACCAATTACATTTTGAAGAATATCAAAGAATATCCTAGACAAGGAAGACAGTATTGTTAGAGATTCTATGGGCGAGATTTGTTTCTTGAACCCAACAAAGGTATGCGACTGTGTGCTGAGCATGACGGAACATGATTTCATTGACCCCCTCCGCAGTATTAGACCAACATAGACCATGGCTCCTAGCGGCCAACGCCGGACATATGGCTCGCTCACCTCCTCTCCTGTCCTCTCTTTCCTGATCCTACCCTTCCTCGTTTTCTTCCTGAGCTTCCCAGCCCCAGCGGCGGCTGCGGGTTCCGCAGTCCTCGGTATCGATGTCGGCACCGAATATCTGAAAGCTACGCTCGTCAAACCCGGTATCCCTCTCGAAATCGTCCTCACCAAAGATTCGAAGCGTAAGGAGTCCGCTGCCGTTGCGTTTAAGCCTACCCGCGAAGCCGATGCTCTGTTCCCCGAAAGATTTTACGGCGGCGACGCCCTGGCGCTGGCCGCACGGTATCCCGATGATGTATATTCGAACCTCAAGTCCTTGCTCGGGGTTCCTTTCGATGGGGACAATGAGATGATCAAAACCTTCCAGAACCGCTATCCCGCATTGCGGCTGGAAGAAGCTCCCGGAGATCGTGGCACGGTTGGACTGCGGAGCAACAGACTCGGAGAGGCCGAAAAGAAGGACGCTTTCCTGGTCGAAGAAATTCTGGCCATGCAGTTGAAGCAGATCAAAGCCAATGCCGATAGTCTGGCTGGAAAGGGATCCGACATTACGGATGCGGTGATCACCTACCCGTCATTCTACACTGCCGCGGAGAAGAGGAGTCTAGAACTGGCCGCGGAACTGGCAGGCTTGAACGTTGATGCCTTTATCAGCGATAACCTTGCCGTCGGATTGAACTACGCAACCAGCCGCACTTTCCCTAGTGTTTCGGACGGACAGAAGCCTGAGTACCACATCATCTACGATATGGGCGCCGGTTCTACTACTGCCAGTGTGATTCGCTTCCAAAGCCGTGCCGTGAAAGACGTGGGACGGTTTAACAAGACCGTCCAAGAGGTTCAGGTCTTGGGAACTGGCTGGGACAAGACCCTTGGAGGAGATGCGCTGAACGATTTGATCGTCCAGGATATGATCGCGACCCTGGTGGAGGACAAGAAGCTTAAGGATCGTGTCGGACCGGCTGATATTCAGGCCCACGGAAAGACTATGGCAAGACTTTGGAAGGATGCGGAGAAGGCGCGCCAAGTGCTCAGTGCCAACACTGAGACCGGCGCCGCGTTCGAGAGCCTTTACGAGGAAGACCTTACCTTCAAGTACCGTGTGACCCGTGCCAAATTCGAAGAACTTGCGGAGCAGCATATTGCCCGTGTCGGAAAGCCTTTGGAGCAAGCTTTGGAGGCTGCTGGATTGCAGCTGAGCGACATTGACTCCGTTATTCTCCACGGTGGCGCCATTCGCACGCCTTTCGTGCAGAAGGAGCTGGAGAGGGTATGCGGATCTGCGAACAAGATTCGGACCAGTGTCAATGCGGATGAAGCTGCAGTATTTGGCGCTGCTTTCAAAGGAGCCGCTCTCAGTCCCAGCTTCCGTGTCAAGGACATTCGCGCAAGCGATGCCTCTGGATATGCCGTCTTGCTGAAGTGGACCTCTGATTCTAAGGAGAGACAGCAGAAGCTTTTCACCCCGACTTCCCAAGTCGGTCCTGAGAAGCAGGTTACTGTCAAGAACCTGGATGACTTCGAGTTCAGCTTCTACCACCAAATTCCCGTCGACGGAGGTGTCGTCGAATCGCCGATTCTGGGGGTGAAGACGCAGAACCTCACTGCGTCTGTCGCCAAGCTCCAGGAAGACTTTGGTTGCTCAGCTGCCAACATCACCACCAAATTTGCCATCCGTCTGAGTCCCGTCGATGGTCTTCCCGAAGTTGCTAGCGGTTCCGTCAGCTGCGAAGTTGAGTCTGCCAAGAAGGGAAGTGTTGTCGAGGATGTCAAGGGATTTTTTGGCTTGGGCAAGAAGGACGAACAGGCGCCTCTCGGAGAGGAAGGCGAACCGAGCGAGTCCATCACTCTGGAGCCGGAGGAGCCTCAGGCTGCTACGACTTCTTCGGCGGATGATGCTTCCGCCACCGCATCTGCCAAGGAAAGCAAGAAGAACACCCCTCAGACCAAGCTGGAGTCGATTTCCATCAGCTTCACCTCATCTCCCTTGGGTATTCCTGCCCCTACCGCCGCTGAACTCGCCCGCATTCAGGACCGCCTGGCTGCCTTCGATGCCTCGGACTACGACCGTATTCTACGCGAGGAGGCCCTGAATGAATTGGAATCTTTCATCTACCGCAGCCGGGACCTGGTGGACGATGAGGAATTCGCCAAGGTGGTGAAGCCCGAGCAGCTGACCACGCTGCAGGAGAGAGCCTCTGCTGCCAGTGACTGGTTGTACGGCGACGGAGCTGACGCAAAGACCGCCGAGTTCCGGGAGAAGCTGAAGTCTCTGAAGGAAATCGTCAACCCCGCCCTCAAGAGGAAGAAGGAGAACGCGGAGCGCCCCGCCCACGTCGACCTGTTGCAGCGAGTGCTGAAGAACGCCGAGTCTGTCCTTGATGTCATGAAGCAGCAGATCCAGCAGGACGAGGATCTTTACTCCAGCATCGCGGCATCCAGCTCAACTTCCACCACCGAGCCCGAGACCTCGACTTCCTCTACCGAATCTCCCTCCGCCGATCCCTCCGTCGACCTAGACGAAGACCCCTACGCAACCTCCTCTACCACCACCCAGACCGCCTCCGCCACCACCACCCCCAAGCCCAGCGGACCGAAATACTCCATCTTCCAACCCCACGACCTGAGCAGCCTCTCCAAGACCTACGAATCCACCAACACCTGGTTCGAAACCCAGCTCGCCCTCCAAGAGCAGCTCACCGAAACTGACGACCCGGCCCTCACCGTCGCGGAGCTCGACACCCGCCTCAAGGAGCTCGAGCGCATCCTGAACCGCATCTACGACAAGATGGGCGCCGCGGCAGCCAAATCCGGAAAGGACCAGACCAAGAAGACCAAGGACAGCAAGTCGTCCAAGGAAACCAAGAAGGACAAGGAGAACGACAAGAAGACCAAGGAGAGCGACAAGAAGATTAAGGAAGAAGAAAAGAAAGCCAACGTCAAGGACGAGTTGTAATCACATCACATACATATCGGTCTTTCTTTCATGGAGCCTTAAAACAAAAAGAGAAAAGGTGGGGAGTTCGGATTGAGCGTTACCTGTTCCTTTATTTGTATTTTTTTTTTTTTTTTTGCCCCTCTTGTTTTTCTGTTTGACGAGATGTCCGTGGAGGGGGTGTGTGAGTGGCTACTCATGATTACTATGCAAGAGGGGTTGCCCTTTGGTTGGGAGAATAAATGGCTTGATGTAAACTATAGATAGAATTGATCTCTTTTTTGTTACTTCGGAGAGGGATACAGTGACTCAAGGCTTCACTCATCATTCAGTGAGTCGATATGATTGATGTATGCTGGCTGGTGTTAAAGAAACACAGCTCAGATCTAAACTAGAGCATCAGAGCAATTGGATATTATGTACAGGGTAGAATGCTCGACAACAGACGGATGCAGAGCAGACAGGATTGAGTAAGGATATGCAAAGAGAAAGAATGATGGACACAGCAGGTGAAAGAAACAGGACCAGTATGCATGCATGCATCATGATTCTTGCTTCAAGACACATAACAGCAGTCACAGAACCAGCCCATGACCCCCCCCCCCCCCAACAAGCAACCAAACAAAAAGACACGCGAAGATAGATAATATAGTACAACAAACCCAACTCAACCAACGCCGGCTAAAACAACACCACATGAACAAACAACGAACGAAGCCCAAAAGAAAAAACAATCCTCTTACTTCCTCCCCTCACATCTCCAACCTAAACCCCACCCATCTCAATCTCCCCACTCACACCCACCCCCCTCCCAGCAACATAATCCATATCGACCTCCTCCCTCCTCCTCAAAAACGTCGGTTCCTCAAAATCATCAACCTCCATACCCCCCGTCGTGGCATGTCTCTTGAGCGCCACGAACCGTCGCCGCTGCGAATTCAACTTCGGGGCGAGGATCGTCCGGCCCAGTATCGCACCGTTCTGCATAGTCGCCATCGTATCCTGTTCGCTCTCCTCCTCCTCCGCACTATCCTCGTCCATATCATCTAGCTCAAACGACCGTTTCTGTCCGCCGGCATGCGCGGTGGATTCCTGGCTGCTAGAAGGGAGGGAGAAGGCATCGCCTTCGTCGTTGGTGATGAGGTTGAGGTTGAGGTTGCGCACGCTGGGATCTAGCTTGGCGAGACTGAGATGGGTTTTGTAGCCTTCGGCGACGGATTTGCGGACGCGCATGCCGACGGAGAGGAGGGAGGCTTGGACTTTGGTTGGGACGATGGGGGTCGGGGAGCAGGTTGCTGTGGAGTAGTGGTTGTAGGAGAGGGGGTGGGAGCGGGTGGTGGCATTGTCTGTGGAGAGGGGGTTGGATGAGGAGGAGGATGTGGTGGTGAAGAAGTTGGTGATTGGGGGTTGGAAGCGTCGGCGTTTGGAGGTGAGGTCAAGGGTCGTTGCAGTAGTAGTGGTGGTGGTTTGGAGAGAGGGGGACATGGTGAATGTGGAATCGAACTGGATGCCACAGAGAGACAGAGAGAGAGAGATGGTGATTGGATGGGGAGTGGAGAGGTTTCTGGCCGTCCAGGCTAGTACTAGTCTAGATTCTATTGTCTTTGGGACCACTTGATTTGAAAAGACGAGTTCTGATTCGACGGGTGCACGATTCTAAAGAAAAAAAAAAAAAGAATGCGAGGACGAGGGGAAAGAGGGGAGAATGCAAAGGGAAGAAGAGGGACGGTTGGTTGGACTGGAAACGGGAAGAGGCTGGGGAAAGTGAAGAACCTGAGGCCCGGAACGCGACGCGCGACGCGCCCCGCACGTGTTCCGTGCCATTTATCCTTTTTCGGTTTGGTAGACGGCAGCCTGAGGATAATACAGCCGGACGCGAACCCTAGATAGACGACTCCGTATTTATGAAATTAGTATGAAGGCATTGGAAAGATATACGGAGCACCAGTGATAAAACTACAGTGCAAGAGCCTCAGGATACGAAGATATCAACCGAGTAATGCAATGAGCTCTATATACAGAAGCACGCTTTTAGAACATCATTTGAGAACATTCAGATGCTCGATTACACACAACAACCTGAAACAATAGATCTGCGATAGGGTATCATCGTATATACCTTAAGCAACGGCACCAACGTTTCCTCTGCGACCACCCCGCTTGGCCCGGTCCTGATGAGCCTTGAGCACCGCCCGAGTCTGCACCAAACTCCGCTTGTTCTTGCTCTTGGCCTTGCCCAGCGTCATCAAGAAGTTCTTCTTGCGCGCCTTCTCCTTGTTGGTGGTACTCTTGCCCTGATCCTCCTTGCGCTCCTTGCGCTTGGCCGTCACACTCTTGTGCTCCGACCGGTCAGTCTTGCCCTCCTTAGCATGGGCAATACGCTCCTCACGCGTGGCCTTGCCCGCCGAGAGGGCAGCCAGACCCTCAATCTCTTCAGCCGTCAGCGGATCGTCCCGATGCCGGGTGGCGCCCTTCGATCCAGGGACCAGTGCATTGACGGCTGCTTCGGTACGCAGCTCTTGTAGCTTAGCCAAGTCGGCCGGGGTAAGAATGCGGGTCGTGGCCAGCTTGGAGAACTTGGCCTCGGCCGTCTCTTCTTCAGGCTTCGTTTCCGCCTTGGTATCCTCGTTGGACTTGGCCTTCTTGGTAGGGGGCCCGTCCTTCTCGTCTTCGGAGTCGCTGAGCTCGATTTCAACGTCACTCTCCACCTGAATCCAATCGCCAGAGTCGTCACTATCCTCGTCATCTTCCACATTCCAGGCGGCCCAGTCTGCTTCTTCGTCATCCACATCCTCATCATCTTCACCATCAGAAGGCAGGCCCTTCTCGGCCCTCCTCTTTCTGCGCTCCTCCTCCTTCCATTTCTCCAAAAGCTCCAGACCCTCGATACCGCCAGCCTCCTGTTCAGCAAAGCGCTTCTCCTTCCTCTCCCCAGACCGGAGACCGATGGAAGCATCCTTGCCGCGGTCTCTCCTCTTGAGCATCTCGGGGTTGACCTCCCGGAACAGACTGAGCAATCCACGGCCCGCCATCATGACACCCTTATCCTTACTCTTCCGGTACATGACGAGATCCTGAAGCAGGGTCTCATTCATGGCAAGCGGCTGGCGCACGCAAATTTCTCGAATGGCATTGAGACCGGCCGAAGCCACCTCGGACGCTGATGCTTCCGAGACGAACTCGTTGGCGATCTTCTGAACCAAGGGCTCTAGATCATCTGGAGGAACCAAGTCGTGAGATGCTTGCGCAAGCGACGCCAGGAACGAAGTGACGGACGGCTGTCGGGGAGTGAGGTATTTCTGGAAGTAAGAGTAGAGGTGCATGATATGGAGTTTATGCAATCCAACCAGGCGGGTCACCAGCTGTAGCACCAGAAGCTTCTGGTCCAAGTTAAGCTTCGACTTGGTGTTTTGCAAGTGCTTCGAGAACAAGGACTCGGCATACCCTTGAGGGTCGTGGAGGAGATGCAAAGCGGAGAAGTTGAGAGGGTGCGGCTGGTTCTTCTTGCGCTCTCTCCTCTTCACGGTTGCCTTGGCCTTTTCCACAGCGCGAGACTTCTTTCTAGTCTTCTTGTTGATTCCGACCTGATGCTTGACCTTGCCCAAGTCAATGGCTTCCTCGTCGCTGCTTTCGTCTTCCATTTCCTCGCGCTCCTTGTCTCCACCCAAGAAGAAGCGAACACCACCAACAATGACCTTCTCATTATCCGCAAGACTGGCCTCCTTCATGACTTCAACCGCCTTTGCATCGGTCCAGATCTGGCGCTTCCACAGCTCGCGCGTAAGCTTGATAGCCCACAGGCCCTTAGAAGAGGTGCGGTCCGAAGTCACCAGGTTGTACAACACGGTCTGCATGGTGCGGTTGAGTTTGTGATTCGTAGTCTTCGCGTTCGACGAACGCAGATCCATGAGGATCTTCTGGAAAAGCAGAGCTCGTAGCGTTTTGCTGGGGGTGGAAATGAGGATAGGGAACAGGGTCTGAAGGAGTCTAAAGCGCCATGAAAGTGATTAGCAGCAAGCTCATTCGTAGTAGACAGTCCAGTAAGAACATACGTCGCCGAATCCATGAGTTCCTTCTTCCGCAAAAGCACCAAGCTACCAACAATCTTCTCGCGCAACTCCGGCTGCAAGATTAGATGGTGCTGCGTCAAGATATCGATGAGCTGCTGAGGGAAATCCTTCAAGATTTCCGGATAGCAGTCGGCAACGTGGGCAAGGAAATCGATCAATTCACGAAGAGAGATCAAGCCCGTCTCCGTGGTCGCCGCAGGCGCCGCCATGAAAATTTCCCGGTGACTCTCATACTGGTAATGCTGGGCGCGGAAGTCCTCAATGTATGATCTATAACACAAGAGACAATTAGAAGACTATCCTGAGCGCAGAGATGACCGATCGCATTGAGTAGCTGACTTACTTGGGATCTCTGCGAATCTTATGCTGCAAATTAGGCCTAGAAAGCAGTGTGTTAGCGACGAGCGAAATTCTTCATTCGGGGAGAACTGCAGGCTTGCAGCGACAGCGAGGGCACTTACAGATCAGCCTCGACCTTTTCCAAGGCTCCCAACTTTCTTTTCACCATCTTTGCGAATAATGGTGGTCAAAACGTGAGGGTTGGAGTGGTTGGTTGGGGGAAGAAGGCGGGCGACGGTCGCCAGGGCCGATAACAGAGCCCCGAACATTTTTTTTCTCTGCTACGGGGCGGGCCTATCGATAAGCCGCGCTGGCAGTGCGCATCGATGGAACGGTGTCCCTGCGCAAAGACCTGGCCATCATGGCCATGCCGTGAATTTAGTACAATAGTACGGAGTATGCTCCATAAAAATCTAGAACTCTCGCCGTTGGAGACTTTCTTACGCTACTCGTTTGATGTCAAGGGAACTACACGGTCGAGGTTGGTCGCAATATCAGCGGTGAAAGGAACAGGTTGAACAGGAAATCTTTTTCGTGTAAAAAATAGATAAAGGTATTGACTTCAAACAAGCCAGAGGTCTTCATGATCGCATCTCAACTACTGTAGAAGAAAGCCGTCCGATTCTCTCATTTTTAGGATCTCGCTCCCTCCCGTGACTGTTTTCAGGTATGTACAGTCGCGCAGATGCATGCAAATCGACTGAATCCTAATGAACCCCCCGTCCACTCCAGTACACGTAAAACCAGGACCAAACGGAGAATACGCCCAAAATTCCCACTTTACCGGTTGGACTTGGCAACACGCTCGAGCTCGTCCTTCTTCTTGATGGCGTAAGAGTTGGAAGAACCCTTGGCGGCGTTGATGAGCTCCTCAGCCAGGCACTCAGCAATGCTCTTGATGTTACGGAAAGAGGCCTCGCGAGCACCGATGGTCAGAAGGGCAATGGCCTGGTTGACACGGCGGAGGGGAGACACATCGACGGCCTGACGACGGACGGTACCAGCGGAACCGATACGGGTGCTGTCTTCACGGGGACCGCAGTTGACGATGGCATCAACGGCAACCTGGAGAGGGTTCTGGTCGGTCATGATGTGGATCTAAAAGAGAACCAGTCAGCTTCTTTATTCTTCTGCACCTCGCAGGCTCCAGCGGCCCAGGCGATGTTGCGTGCGGAGGCAACCAAACCGGGTGACGTACGATCTCGAAAGAGTGGGCAACGATGCGGACAGCCATGAGCTTCTTTCCGTTGTTGCGGCCGTTCATCATGAGGGAGTTGGTCAGGCGCTCGATGATGGGGCACTGAGCCTTGCGGAAACGCTTGGCGGCATAGCGACCGGCGGAGTGAGGAAGGTAGACAGGGGAGCGGATCTGGATGTAGTCGCTATGTACGAGAAGTCGAGTCAGCATATCTCGTCTCTGTGCTCATTCGCAAAATTTTTCCCATTGTGATTCCGTGCCATAATTCCCATCCGTGGTGTTTTTCCCTCCCTGATTTTCGAGTCGACCGTTTTCGAACACATACTGTCGTTCCATCGGCCGACCACCGTTTTCTCGTAGCACAAGGGATCGCGATGAATTGGGGATCACCTACGTCAAGGAGATATCCCTGATCTCAACATCCTCGTAGCTCCACTTGTTGAAGAGCTTCACGGATCCCATCTCCGCGATAGCATCCTTGGGCAGGACCTGGAAGGCCGCAGCGGGGTTTTCGACCTCGACTTCGCCGTGTTCAGACATTTTGGACGACGTATGCACCTGTTGCCGAGGGAGGGATACGTGAAGGTGGCGGACGGTGTCGTTGGGTGATCCTTCGTCGACGATTACGGGCGGCTGAAATGTGTCGCTGAGCGCAAGGAAATTCGAGGTGCGACTCGCTTAGCGGTCGGTGGGTTAGGGCAGAACTGGCCGCCAATAGCGCAGGCGGTGTCATGTGATGGTCACTCATGGTTTCTGGTGCGCTAATCCTGGGCGGGACTAGCGTGTGAAGACTGGTCAATAACCAGCTCCGCTTTCAACCCGCGATATCACGGACTTTTATCTACAACCCTGGATCTGTCATCTAGGAAGTATAGCTAGTCGGATGTCTATACATAGCTAACCTTTGCATTGCCCATTCCCTAGCTGCTGAGCTGCTTACCATACAGACTCCGCTCTCCAATCGCACGCTATCAATGCCACTATAGTCCATCTATCGTTAACCAAGAAGATCTTAGACCCTGGAACTGCAGCTAGGCCGGCTTGCCGATAAGGCTGTCTTTGTTGATATCAGGATACCCAATTACTTCTCGCTGGTACTATGTGCACCGCGTGCTTTTTTTTTTTTTTTGGTGATGCGAGTATACAGCACAAAATAGTCGAAGGCCTTTGAACTACATGTTTGATGTATGGTTAGCGTAAACATTGATTACAGCGTCAACAGTCACCCAAAATGTATCTGAAAGCGAGATACTGACTTCCATCCCACTGTATATCAGCGATCATAAACATGTATGCTTATAGAGCCATGCAACTCTCAGTGACGTTCGCATACGTCCGAGTAGACTGCCTGGTACTTGCACGGCTAGTACTAGTTTTATCCTGCAGGACCGCTACTTTAACGTACTTTGACCGCCCATTAAACCCTCATTGAGTGTCTAGAGACTCCGTAGTGAGCCAATGGTGCGTTCGAGAGCACTGCAGTAGGTTATTAAGGCTTTAACGCTCCTCGCTTCGGCGAGTTTCTTGTACGCACTGGGAGGAGAACCCATCAGGACCAACGACGTGTACTTCACAGAATGGTCAGCCAATTTTAAATATAGAGCCTAGTGCCGCGTAAGCATATGATAGAGAGAAGTCCGCAGTCAGTGTTGAGAAAAGGCCACCGGGGGGGGTTTGCGATGTGTAGCTTGAAATATGACAAGCTTGTAAGAGCGTCGTAAAAGATAACATGCCAAACTTGCCACCGATAAAGTAACAACCGGGGTTCCTTCGCTGAAGAATTGGTGCAGGCAAACCGCGAATTTACTTGATTAACAAAGGTCTGACTTTGTATAGCTCCTAAAATTTCTTAAGCAGAAAAGAATAAACATATAGGAATGACAACACAGAGAGCCTCATGGACTTTGGGAAACCGTTGCTTTCAGCCTGCGCCTGTTGCCTTCCTACTTGAATGAGCCGGACCGCCCTCTGCCCTGCCCAAGTAAGGGCGCAGCGATGAGAGCTACAAATAATTGCCTGGCAGATTAGAGCAAGCGCAACATAGGCGAGCAATCTCTGAGAGTTCTGATATGCAGCCCAGGTGCCTGATGGGAGCTTAAGGCTATTGTTGTTCACTCGGTGCTAAAGAAGGAGTATATCCGGGTCAGAGGGTGCCAACTTATATGCTTTGAGTCCCTCGATCGACTTTCCTGGTTGAGTAGATTCAGAGTTGATGCATTTACGATATCAAGGTCCCTGAAGGGGGGTCAGAAAGCCTAAGACACCGACACTATGCGGTGTCCGGGCATCGGTGTCCTGTCACCCAGCAACTGTCATAGCCGACAACAACACTGAGGTGAGTACCACAAAATTCGTTTGGGCTGTGGCATCCAAGCATGCGACTCCTGGCGTTCTGTGCTAACTATTTCATGCCCGTATGGTAGCTCTCGTTGCAAACATGTCGCAGGATACTCTTAGAGGGCTCTGGGGGAATTTAAAAGGCTCAGGAGGATTCTATCAGCCACAACATAACTCTCATCCTTTCATAGAGAGGTGGCTGGTCTAGATACACCGTTGACGGGACGTTATCCGGCTTTTTTGCACGAACAAATAGTTTAGCGGTTTAGCGAGCCTGTTTCTCATCCGAAATCCGTGACAGCTTTGCGTGTGTCATCAAACATATACCCTCAGCACTTTGATTTACAAAGAATGAGCGAGCGGATGAAATGGTCGAGCTGTATTGGCTAGACCTCATGATATTGAAAGAGAAACTCATCATAAGTAGAGTCTGATAGGAGGAGTATTCTCTTCGAAGCATCCATACCTAATATTCCGGCAGACAGCATTAACATCACACATGAGCGGTCCAGCTGGGTGGGCCTGTAGACGAATCATGATCAGCATGATGTGCGGCGCGTTGACATATGAAGTAAGCTTCTGTCAGCGCCTCCAGTTCGTCCCTTCTTCTCTCTGTGTACCTTCCCGCACTCACTCCATTGGGCCGTTATCATTCGCAGGAAGTGGGCTTTCGAGTCAAATACTCCATGGGTTGGCCTGCATAGTATCTGAGCAGAGGCAGCAGCTGTTGATTTCAGACAGATGAAAGGCAGGTGATTCTGAATTCGACAGGACTTCCCAATGCCAGCTCCGATGCCACCGATCCGCATGATCTTCTAGGAATTAGCGAAGATATGATTGATTGGGTTACCCTCACAAATTGGCCACATAGTAAATTCTGCAGCTGGGGTTCTCTTTCTTGCCCTAGATACGTACCCATTGATGTTAGAAGATGCTTGGCGCGGAGACCAAGGCCAGTAGGCGACCCCACCTGGAACTGGCAAGCCAATGATAGAACCGAGTCCCTGGCTTGCACCACTTCTGGCGTCGGATTTGAGTATACCGAGGATGAAATAGCGCCCTCGATGGAAGATTCGAAGATGCCTAGCAAGCACAGTGGATAAGGAACTAGGTATGCGGTTGCCTGTGTCTTCCTCATGGGCTGATTTTCACCATGAAGACCAATCGATGTCCATAGTGTCCGCAGCCGCTCGGCTTCTAAATTGCCGTTAAAGCGGCGGCAGCTGGACTAGCGGGTTTGCGGAAGATTTAAAATAGGTACAACGGGTTGTTCTACCGAGGGTGTAAGAATTCAGGTACAGCCCGGATGACCAAGGAAGCCAGGGGCACCCAAGCGTACACCTCCGTCAGGTTGGGAGAGGGAGAGACGGTCATATGTAGAGACGCTCCTCTTCCATGCGTAGAAACTCGACAGAAAGCCCATAGACACACTGCTGGTTGTACTCCGCTTTGGATCATCCTCGTGCCCTCCAGGCCGAGTTGCTTGCTACTCCTCCTGACGCGTGGCGGTGCACCACTACTGGGTCAGTGATTGGCCCTACATTGTGCGTGCCCGGCCCGCCTCACCGGCCCTAGCCGCGGCGGCAGGTGACGTTGTGGCTCACCAGGCGCGGAGAAAGCGACAGACAAACTCTCAGAATCACCATCCAACTACTGGGACATCGCAAGGGGCTGCACAACTCACGGAAGTCTCCTGCTCCCTTTCGGCGCTTTCCTACATCCCCTTCCCCAGGGACCCTGCGATGAGGGTACCGTTGATCCCTTCCGCTCAGCATCCCGCGCCTTCGAATGAAAGCCCCTCGATTTGTCCATCCCCAGCGCTTCAGTAATCATGGCGGACGATAATAACCCTGAGCTCCACGCCGCTTTGCGGGACCTCGATAAAGAATTGGAGGTATGAGGGGATTCCAGAATCCTACAGTCTTCTCGCGGAAACTCCAGATCTTGATAACAGATTCCACTAACTTTCTTGCTGCTTATCAGGAGGGTGATATTACGGAGAAGGGGTAAGCAATCTGTCTTTATCTGGGATCGGACAAACGATGGACAGGGATGCGAAAACGTCAAGCCTAGAACATCCCTTGATCATCTCTCATTGGACCGGCGAAATGTCTAGGGATATACTGGCAGGTGGTTGAACTAACCCGATTCAAGTTACCAGAAGCGGCGTACCGTTCTCCTCTCGCAGTTCTTTGGCCCTAATATGGCCCTGGATTTTGGCACTCCCACATCAGGACATGCACCTTCGTCGTCGGTGACAAGCTCGACCAATCCTCCGCAAGCCATCCTCAATGTCCGGCCACCAACGGCCGAGTCTACAAGCCAGGGCGGCCCCTCGCAGCCCTTCTCCAACGGGCGTGATAGTTACAACAACGGAAGCCTCGGTTATGAACGCAGGATTAGTGGAGATACACAGGGCTCCTATGAGAGAGATAGTATGCTGCTACCTGCCGACCGGGCCCCTTCGGCAGCATCCTACGATTCTCTCTTCCTGCCAAAGAACCAACCTGCACCTCCTGTGCAGGAGAACTCAAGAACAGCGACGCTTTTAAGCCAGAACTATGCGTTCAACCCCGGCTATCACCGCGAGAGTTATGAGGAGCCTGTCGGAGGCTATGAAGTGCCGCCCGGTGGGGTCACGCGACAGTCGACAATGCTCGATTCACAACAGGGATTTTTCTCTGATTTTGCTGGCCAACAGCAGGATGATTATCGGGATAGCTACGGTGGCGGGTTTCACCGCTACTCTCAGTCGGATACGTTCTCTCCTACGGCGAATATGGCACCGCCGCTGATTCCCGCCTCTGATCTCCATCATGGGCCGGCACTCGCTCACCTTCAACCACTGGAGCCTCGCGATATCCCATTTGCTGTACAGGACCCGCATGACAAGAATACGCCAATGTCGAATTTCGATAACATTCCCGCCGTTCTTCGACACCGTGCTCGAGTACATTCGAAACAGCCTGCGTATTGGGTATTGGACCAAAAGGGCAAGGAAATCGCATCCATCACATGGGATAAATTAGCCAGTCGCGCTGAAAAGGTGGCGCAAGTTATCCGTGATAAGAGCAATCTATATCGTGGGGATCGAGTGGCTTTAATATACCGGGATTCCGAGCTCATTGAATTCGCCGTTGCCCTGATGGGTTGTTTCATTGCCGGCGTGGTTGCTGTTCCCATCAATAGTCTTGAGGACTATCAGAGTCTTAACCTTGTTCTCACATCAACTCAGGCTCATCTTGCATTGACGACAGAGAACAACCTCAAAAGTTTTCAAAGAGACATTACAGCGCAGAAACTCAACTGGCCCCGGGGAGTAGAGTGGTGGAAGACCAATGAATTCGGGAGCTATCACCCGAAAAAGAAGGACGATACGCCACCGCTTGTGGTTCCCGATTTGGCTTATATCGAGTTTTCACGGGCACCTACAGGCGATCTTCGCGGTGTGGTCATGAGCCACCGGACGATCATGCATCAAATGGCTTGTCTCAGCGCGATTGTCTCCACCGTGCCTGTGTCTTCGAGCATGGCTAGGCCACGTAGTGAGACAATCATCAGCTATCTTGACCCGAGACAAGGCATTGGTATGATATTAGGCGTACTAATGGCCGTATATGGCGGCCATACCACCGTCTGGCTCGAGGACCGGGCAGTCGAAACACCGGGCCTTTATGCCCATCTTATTACAAAGTATAGGGCGACTATTATGGCTGCCGACTATCCGGGACTCAAGATTGCTGCTTACAACTACCAGCAAGACCCAATGGCGACCCGGCATTACAAGAAGAATTCCGAACCAAACTTCGGAAGCGTAAAGCTTTGCCTTATAGATACGCTCACAGTCGATCCAGAGTTTCATGAGATCCTTGCAGATCGGTGGCTAAGGCCCATGAGGAACCCGAGGGCTAGGGAGATTGTTGCGCCAATGCTATGTCTTCCTGAGCACGGCGGTATGGTCATCAGTGTGCGGGACTGGTTAGGCGGCGAGGAACGCATGGGCTGTCCCTTGACCCACGAGATGGACCCACCTGAGCGTGAGGACAGCAAGAAGGAGGAGAAGAAGTCGGGGAAGGATAACAACAGTGGGTTTGGCAGCAGCTTACTGGGCGGTGGTTCCCCTGCGCCAGCCCCGCAAGAGCAAGGAAAGACTGAGCTTGGGGAGGTTCTTTTAGACAAAGAGGCCCTCAAGAGCAACGAGATTGTTGTCTTGGCCATGGGTGAGGAGGCTAGGAAATTTGCACCAACCATGCCTCACGCTGTGCGTGTCGGTGCTTTTGGCTATCCCATCCCTGATGCCACACTCGCTGTCGTCGACCCTGAAACCAACTTGCTGTGCACTTCAAATGTGATTGGCGAGATTTGGGTGGATTCTCCATCTCTTTCTGGTGGCTTCTGGGCATTGCCGAAACACACAGAGGCTATCTTCCATGCACGCCCTTACAAATTTGAAGATGGAAACCCGACCCCAGTCCTGGTCGAGCCCGAATTTCTTCGGACGGGCCTTCTTGGCTGTGTCATCGAGGGCAAGATATTCGTGCTGGGTCTTTATGAAGACCGGCTTCGCCAGAAAGTTGAGTGGGTTGAACACGGGCAGGAGATCGTTGAACATCGTTATTTCTTCGTTCAGCATATGATTGTCAGCATTCTGAAGAATATCCCCAAAATCCATGACTGCACGGCCTTTGATGTTTTTGTCAACGAAGAACATCTTCCGATTGTTGTCTTAGAATCATATGCGGCATCAACTGCACCGACTACTTCGGGTGGTCCTCCACGGCAACTGGACTCTGTTCTTCTTGAATCACTGGCCGAAAGATGCATGGAAGTTCTCTACCAGGAACACCACTTGCGAGTTTACTGCGTGTTGCTCACAGCTCCCAATACCCTTCCACGTGTAACGAAGAACGGAAGACAGGAGATTGGTAACATGCTGTGCCGCAAGGAATTCGATGCCGGGTCACTACCATGCGTGCATGTCAAATTCGGTGTCGAGCGCTCGGTCCTCAACCTGCCAGTCGGGGTCGACCCGGTCGGTGGTATTTGGTCTCCGCTGGCCTTGATGTCACGGCAAGAAATGCTTGCCCTGCAAGAGAAACAATACTCGGGCGTTGACTACCGTGATGTAGTCATGGACGACCGTACCTCAACACCCCTTAACAACTTCTCGACTATCGTGGACCTTCTCCAATGGCGTGTTTCTCGACAGGCCGAAGAATTGGCTTATTGTTCCATCGACGGCCGTGGAAAGGAAGGCAAAGGCATCACTTGGAAGAAGTTCGATCTGAAGGTCTCTGCTGTCGCGATGTACCTGAAAAACAAGGTAAAGGTTCGGTCTGGAGATCATTTGATCCTGATGTACACCCACTCGGAAGAATACGTCTACGCTATTCACGCCTGCTTCTGCTTGGGTGTCGTTGCCATTCCCCTTGCTCCTATTGACCAAAACCGCCTCTCCGAAGACGCCCCGGCTTTCCTTCATGTCATCAACGACTTCCATGTCAAGGCCATCATTGTTAACAGTGATGTCGACCACGTTCTCAGACAGAAGCTTGTTTCTCAGCACATTAAGCAGTCCGCGCAAGTGCTCCGGATCGGGGTCCCGGCTATCTACAACACCACGAAACCTGCAAAGCAGTCACATGGCTGTAGAGACCTTGGATTTACCGTGAAGGACACATGGCTACGTAGCAACCAGGCAGCTCTAGTGTGGACCTACTGGACTCCGGACCAAAGAAGAATCTCGGTTCATATCGGTCACGATACTATCATGGGGATGTGCAAGGTGCAGAAGGAAACATGCCAGATGACTAGCTCCAGACCAGTTCTAGGTAGTGTGCGAAGCACCTTGGGTCTAGGATTCCTTCACACCTGTCTGATGGGTATCTATGTTGGTAAGTGGGCATGCGATATCATCGCCCGCGACGTTGGTGGGATTAACGAAGGTTCTAGGAGCGCCAACCTACCTTGTCTCACCTGTCGACTTTGCTCAGAATCCCATGACGCTCTTCGTTACCCTTTCGCGCTATAAGATCAAGGACACATACGCTACTAGCCAAATGTTGGACTACGCAATGAGCGCGATGGCTGGCAAGGGCTTCCAGATGCAGGAGCTGAAGAACTTGATGATATCTGCCGAGAGCCGGCCACGAGTCGATATTTGTGCGTTCTCCTCCCGTGCTGAATGTCTCGACACTAGAGCACTAACCTCATTACAGACCAGAAAGTGCGCCTCCACTTTGCTTCCGCCAGTCTGGACCGCACCGCCATCAACATTGTGTACTCTCACGTCCTCAACCCGATGGTTGTCACCAGATCCTACATGTGCATTGAACCTGTCGAGCTCTGGCTCGATATCCGGTCTCTACGCCGTGGACTGATCTGTCCCGTAGATCCGGATACCGATCCCACTGCTCTTGTCCTTCAAGACTCAGGTATGGTTCCGGTGAACACGCAAATCGCTATCGTGAACCCCGAGACATGTACTCTGTCCCATGTCGGTGAGTATGGTGAGATTTGGATCCAATCGGACGCTTGTGCCAAGTCGTTCTACGGCTCCAAACAGGAATTCGACATGGAGCGCTTTAATGGTCGAGTTGTGGATGGGGACCCTAATGTCGCCTATGTGCGCACTGGCGATCTGGGTTTCCTTCACACGGTCACAAGACCTATCGGCCCCGGTGGTCAGCCTGTCGAGATGCAAGTGCTTTTTGTCCTCGGAGGAATCGGGGAGACGTTTGAAGTCAATGGACTGAATCATTTCCCGATGGACATTGAGTATTCTGTGGAGCGGTGCCACCGCAATATCGTGTCTGGAGGATGGTAAGTACTAAGTCCACGTGCGGTCTCAAAGGACCCCTGCTAATCCATAATCCAGTGCTGTGTTCCAAGCAGGAGGTCTTATCGTGGTTGTCGTTGAGGTCACAAGAAAGGCTTATTTAGCATCTCTCGTCCCTGTGATCGTCGACGCCGTCCTCAACGAGCATCAAGTTATCGCCGATATTGTGGCATTCGTCTCCCACGGAGACTTCCCCAGATCCCGTCTCGGTGAGAAGCAACGTGGTAAGGTACTAGCGTCCTGGGTTACTCGAAAGCTGCGGACAATTGCTCAGTTCAGCATCCGTGACATGGAGGGGCCTGAGAACCCTTTTGCTGAGGCTCCTCAGCACCGTGTCAGCCGGGGCTCGAAGCCCGGAAGCACCATGGGTAACAGCACTCGACGATCCACCGTCGTGCCGGAAAGTGACTTTATGCCGCGGTCCCCTGCACCAGTCCTGGTCGAACAGTCCGAAGCATCAATCGGGTCATATTCCGCCATGGTAGAGCCCAGCCTCAACAGCCCTACTGGCACGATGCCCGAAGGTGGTGCGCCGGCCGTGCCGCACATCTCCGAACCGTCCCGGCCGACCAGTGCCTCGACGAACGGGGCTCCTGCTGTGCCACGGAAAGAGCTGCCCACAACAATCAGCAACCCGGACTTCGGCTTTGATTTTGGTGACTTTGCCAACTCAGCCTCGGCGGGCTCACTCACCGACCCAACCGTCGCCGGCCCTGTCGCCGAAAGTCTCCCGTACCGCAATCACGCGCCGCAGCGCGCCCCAAGCAACGGGGGCTTCCCCGTCCGATCGGATTCGTACAACCACAAACCCCTCGCAGACCCAATGGAGGGAAGCACCGGCGACTGGCCTCAAGAAGCTCTCATGTACCAGGCCAACCTGGGATACGATGACGGCCACGGAGTCAACCGCAACCACATCTAGTACATACCTGTCCCCAAAAAGCATATCAACTCCATCCAAACCCCCCGTGTTACCTTCTCCGGGAGTGAAGTACCTTGCTTCATGTTTCCCTATCCCAATTCCTTCTCTTCTTTTTGCATAGCCTGTCAAGAAATCACGTTTACACTTTGCATGATCCCCTCCCCTCCCTCCCCTACACCTTTTTCCCGTTTACAAATATAACCTGCCAGTTTCCTTCCCCCTCTTACACCATCCTCTGTCCTTGTTTGTCATTTGCTGCCCCTGCGCCCAATTACGAACAGGTAGAAAAGATCTGCTGCCCGCCCCCTCTGATTTCCTCCCATCTATGATGACCGACATGCAATGTTTTGTACATACATACCCTCCATTCCATTCTCATTATCATATAGGCATGTAGCTGTCTACAATGTCATCCTATAGATATTTATCCTATTGGTATGCCGGGACTGCTCGGCGGGTTTCTTTCTAGCTGAGGTTCTGTCGGTGTAGTGGTTGAGTAATGTGACAGAAAGATAGAGACCGGCTACCGAGTGGGATGGGAAATGGAAAGGATGGGATGAGGCTTTGAACATCTAAATTAATCTGTTGGTAACTATGTAACGTGTAAAGTCGTCGCTCACATGACTAGCTATCTGTTTTACGTTCTTTTCTATCTCCGAAAGAATTTCCACGGGCAATTAGAAAAAGATTGGAAAAAATATCCCCATTAAAATTATAGAATTCATGTCATGTCATTCCTAATCTGTACAAGCACTTTCTCCCAATGCCTTCTTTTTTGGTCTTCCTCGAAGCAAATGGTACTTTTTCAAAGATCTCCATGAAGAATGAAAAGGCCCGAGATGATGATAAAAAAAAAATAAATAGAATAAAGGATGCGAAATGGGATATATGTTGGTTGCAAGCGACGCTTACTGGCCATCGGCCTGCTTGGTTAGAGCCTCCAGGTCAACCTTGGGCTTGCTGGGGCCGTTCAGCATCTCGAGGGCTTGGAGGTCTTCGTCGGTGAGGGTGTTGGAGCGGATCGGGCGGAAGGGAGCGGGGGAGCCGGCGCGGCTGGTGAGGAACTAGGGTGGTTGTTAGCAAAGATGTTCGTTTCGCATTTAAATAGGGTCTCAGAGGAACTTACAGAGCTGGCAGCGCTCAGGAGGGCGATCAAACTGGCCTGGACCACATCCTGGTGGATACCAACACCCCAGACCTGTTCCTTGCTACCCGCCGCAGTACACTGGATATATGTGGCGGCCTTGACGTCACGACCGAGACCGATGGAGTGCTCCTTGTAGTCCACGACATCGAGGTCGATGCCAAGGGTGGCCAGGGCGTGGGCCAACGAGGAAATGGCACCGGCTCCGACACCAGTGATGGCGTGCTGGATGCCGTCGATTTCGATGACACCAGTGAAGCGACGCTTGAGGTTCTTGGTGTTGAGGGCTTTGCCGGGCTCCGGGGGCGCAGGCGACGTCGAGCGATCCGTGGTGATGTTGTAGTCGACCAGGTTGAAACGAGGGTTGGCCTTGAGGTGGTAGGCTTCTTGGAAGAGCTCCACGACTTCGCTGGGGCGCAGCTCCCGGCTGACCTCCTCGGTCTTCCTCTGCACAACCTTGCTGAACTCGACCTGCAGTGCACGCGGGAGATCCAGCTCCAGACTGCGCAAGATGACCCACGCGGCACCACCCTTGCCACTCTGGGAGTTGACACGGATGACGGCTTCGTAGTTTCGGCCAATGTCCTCGGGGTCCAAGGGGAGGTAGGGGATCTCCCATTGGTGCTCGTCGGTCGCTCCGGCCTCCTCGCGGAGCTTGAAGCCCTTCTTGATGGCATCCTGGTGACTGCCGCTGAATGCGCAGACAACCAGCTGGCCACCATAGGGCCATCTCTCGTTGACGGGAATCTTGTTGCTCTCCTCGACCACCTTGATGACCGCGTTGATGTCGGAGAAATCAACCTTGGGGGAGATTCCCTGAGTGTAGAGGTTGAGAGCCAGGGTGACCAAGTCCACATTTCCCGTCCGTTCACCGTTTCCGAACAAAGTTCCTTCTACTCGCTGGGCACCAGCCATCTGAGCAAGTTCGGCAGCGGCCACGGCACAGCCACGGTCGTTGTGGGGGTGGATGGATACGACATACTTCTCGCGCTCGGAGACATGACGGCAGAAGTACTCGACCTGGTCGGCGAAGACGTTGGGGGTCGACATCTCGACCGTGGCAGGCAGGTTGAAGATGATAGGGTCCTTCTCCGTGGGCTCCCAGGCAGCCTTGACGGCTTCACAGACCTGGGCGGCGAATTCGGGCTCGGTGTCAGAGAAGGTCTCGGGAGAGAACTCAAAGTGCCATTCGGTACCCGCTGTTGACGGGTCGTCCTTGGTGATCGAGCGAGCGTACTTGGTGCAGCGCACAGCCATCTCCAGACTCTTCTGCTTGTCCATGTTAAACACGATGCGACGGAAGCAAGGGCTGGTGGCCAGATAGATGTGCAGGATGGCCTTCTTGGCACCCTTCAGGGAGTCGACCGTACGACGGATGAGGTCTTCTCTGCAGGGGGAGAGAACCTGGAGCCAGACATCATCCGGGACCAGACCGGGCGTCTCGACCAGGCTCCGGGTGAAGTCGAAGTCCGTTTGCGAGGCAGAGGGGAAGGAGACTTCGATTTCCTTGTAGCCGATATCGCGGAGCATCTTGAAGAAGCGGAGTTTTTGCGCCCCATCCTGGAGGCATCGCAAGAAGGTTAGATTTTCCCCCAGAACTTGTAATGGTGCGCCAGGCACACCGAGTATCCCACTGAATACAGCTGCAAGGAAACTCACCATGGGGTCGGGCAGACTCTGATTGCCATCTCTCAGATCGGTGGCCAGCCACCGAGGCGGGTTCTCGATGGTCTTGTTAGGCCATTGGCGGTCAGGCAGGTGGAGGGGCTGGAAGCGCTTGTATTTTTTCGAGGGATCCTTGAGCCTTTGCAGAAGAGTCAGTGGGGATGAGTCAATTGCGTTGCGGGATGATCGGGAGCGACGGCAAAGAAACCGTCCAGCACGGCGGGAGGCGGAATGAGGGGGAGGGGCTCTGGAGACTGGAGAGAGAGACATACATGGGCATGATGGAGGTATTGCGGGAGGCTCCGCAGCGGGGAACGAGAGAGCGGGAGACAAAGACGGGGAAGAAGGGAGAAGGGAGAAGAGAAGAGAAGCTGAAGACGGATTCACCTCACGGAGAGGGCAGGCAGGGGAAAGGGTGGAAAGTTGAAGCTAGAAAGAAAAGGGCGTGACACGAGCTGAGGGCCGTGAGCTTTAAAGGCGGCGGCCAGGCGATTGTGAGCCACCAGCAATGAGTCAAATCCCATGACGCTCGCCGCCTTTTCCTCCATTTTTTTGCGCCGACAGCGGATGGCGGGGCGACTTCTGATTTGGTACCGCCAGCGTTGCCGCCCATCCATGATGCATCTGAACTTTCTCGCCAGGAGATGGGGTACCACGATCAATCATCAGGCAAGAATTAGCAATCGAATCCGAAATCCCTCTCCACCCCTGGCCGCTAAGCCGTCCGGCCTAGTTTCATCGGCCGGCTTGGGATCTTGCAAACGCGCCCAATGCAGCGGCCAGGAACTCCGCTCCTCCCTCGGCAGGCCGACACCGGAGCCGCCCGGTCTTCATGCCTGGGCGCGTTCCCGTCGATAGCCGTCGCCAGCCGGTCTCGGGCCCGTCATCATCCAGGGTCAGGTACAACACACAGCAGACAACTACCCTGATTGGCAATACGCGTGGGAAAAAAAAAGTAGGTAATAAGAAGTGAGTACGTACCTCACCGATCAATCCAGATGCTAATGCAGAAGGGGAAAAAAAAATACAATCAAAATCTATTCACAGAAATCCCTCATTTCCGGCCCTTCTTGTTGCCCTTGTTGCCCTTGGCTTTGGGCATCTGCCCATTCACCTGGCTTTCGCGCGCCACCTTGCCCTTCTTCCATCCCGCGCCGGCCTCCTGTCGCTGGCGCGAGTCGTCCAGACGCTTCTTATCCTTGTTGCTCAGCTTCTGCTTGTCCTTCTTGGACTTGACCGCGTCGGGGCCGTTGAGCTCCGTGGCGCCCAGCTTCCGCGCCGCCCGCTTGTCCCGTTCCGTCTCGAACCAGGTGCGCTTCGGCCGCGACTTGATCTCCGCCTCGTGCTTGAGCAGGTTCTCGCCCTTGGTCACTTGCATTTCCACCTGGGCCAGCTGCTTCTCCATCTTCTCCTCCGACAGCACCTCCTCGATCTCGTCCGCCAACTCCTCCGCCTTCGCGGCCCAGGAGTCCGCAACCGCCGGGTCGACCACGCGGCTGGCAATCTTGGCTCCTTGCGCTTTGCCGGCCTTGACGGCCGCCTTAACCACCTTACGGTCGGGCTCGGCAGCGATGGTGCAAGCCCGACCGGACCGGCCCGCACGCGCAGTACGACCGACACGATGCAGGTAGATCTCGTGGCTTTGCGGCGCCTCGTAGTTGATGACCGTCTCGACTCCCTTGATATCCAGACCACGGGACGCCAGATCGGTCGCCAGTAGGAAGGCGGCCTTGCCGTCACGGAAGTTCTCGACACTTTTAATACGCTGTAGCTTCAGTCAGTATCATTCTTCCATCGTGTACCGGGTATAGAGCAGCATACCTGTTCTTGGCTCATGCTACCGTGGAGCTCGGCAGCCTTCAACCCCATCAGTCCGAAAATGATGCGCACCCGATGGGCCTCACGCTTCTGACGGAAGAAGACAATCACCCGACCAGTGTAGATCTCCTTGCAGAGGTAGAGAAGGTAGCCCAGTCGTTTATCCTCACGGCCAGGGCGGAGACGCACGAACTCCTGGACGAGGTTCAAGGCGGTGTTCTTCTTGGAGTCCACTTGCAACCGCACGGGACGGTTGAGACCGACGCGGATGAGCTTGTCGACGGTGTCGGTCATCGTGGCGGAGAAAAGCATCGTCTGGCGCGACTTGGGGATGGTGGTGAGAATCTCGTTCAACTCGTCCGCGAAACCGTCCTCGAGCATGCGATCGGCCTCATCCAGAACCAAAATCTCCAGGGTATCAACGGTAAAGCTGGCCGAGTTGCGCATGTGATCGATGAAACGACCGGGAGTGGCGATGATCACATCAGGGCGCTTCTTCAAGATGTTCTCCTGCTCACGCAGACTGAAACCACCGACCAGCTGACAGAAGGTGATATCCGTGTAGGTCGCCAGCTTCGTAGCGACATTGTAACACTGGACCGCCAATTCACGAGTGGGCATAAGGATGGCAACACGACTCGTCGGGACCTTGCGCGGCCGGAACAGGAGACGTTCGAGGATGGGGACAACAAAGGCCGCCGTCTTTCCGGAACCGGTGACGGCACTACCAACGATATCCTTGCCCAGAAGCGCCACAGGGATCGTCTTCCGCTGAATGGGAGTCGGGTTCGAGAAGTTGACGCCGGCGAGACCACGAAGGATGGGACGAGAGAGGTTGAATTCCTGGAACGACCGCTTCGCATCGGCGGCAGCAGTCTCGGACGTCTTCTCTTCCTCCGGTGCAAAGAAAGCCTTGCGCTTCTCAGCCTCCTCCTCATCGACCTCACTCTCCACGTCCGACTCGGCGTCCGAGGCAACATCATCGGGGTGGCCGACGGGGGTCGCAACTGAGTCGTTATCGGAAGCAGCATCGTCGTCCTCCTCATCCTCATCCTCTTCCTCATCACTGCCCTCAGCTTCTTCCTCATCACCCTCCTCGGCATCGGACTTTTCGCTCTCCTCCTGCTCGCCATCAACGCCCATACCGAACCCATCCTCAGCCAGCAGCTCATCATCCTCAAAGTCGACCTCCATACCGCCATCCTCCTCATCCTCCTCATCCTCCTCATCCTCATCAAACCCACTAAACTCCTCCTCCTGCTTCTTCTGCTTCTTCTTCTCCTTCCGCGCCAACTCAGCTTCCTTCTTCGCCTGCCTCCTCTCAATAATATCATCAATATCCACGGCCTTCTTATCACCCCCCTTACTCTCCTCCTCCTGCGCACCACCAATACCCCAACCATCAAAATCCGTAACCTCATTCGCCGCACCGCCAACATCGAACTCGAAGTCCGAATTCAGCGCCCCATCATCCTCAGCCTGATCCTCCTCCTCTTCATCCTCCGCCTCCTCATCCTCATCCACCTCCTCCACAACAGGAACAGCCTTCCCCTTCTTCCCCTTCTTCTTATTCTGAATCGCCTGCTGTTGCTGCTGCTTCTTCAATTTCTTATTCTTCGTCTCGGCCTGCTGTTGCTCATCTCTCTTGCGCTTTTTCGTTCCCTTCAACTCATCCCCCCCTTCTTCCTCCTCAAATCTCGCTAACGTATCATTCTCATCATCCGACAATGTGAGCACGAAATCGTCGTCCGCGGCACTCCGCTTTTTCGAACCGGCCATTTTCGTTGCGTTTCGTTCGCCGTGTGTATTTTCCGTATGACGGTAGGGTTCTGCCTCTGTTTGTTTTTGCGGGAGTTCGTCTTTTAAAGGAAAGATATATGAGAAAGGGGTTTATAACAAAAATATCCCCTTCCAAAAGTCCAATTCGTATGGTATGGTATGGTTGTAGTTTCTTGTTCCTGGTTCGGGGAACTGAGAAGGAAAAAAGTTCAAATTTCGAAGGCGGTGGGGGCTGGTTTCGGTGGCAGAATTTTGCGGTCGGGGAGATGCCGATGCGACTGCTCGGTACTCCGTAGGTGGTTGGTTATTGGTGGGTGGTGGTGATGGTCTCCGCTACTACTAGATACCTCATCTAACCTACAGTACAGAGTATGGAGTAGATACTACCCTTCTATGATACGTGAAAGCAAGGCATTGATGGAAGGGTATTGGCTTTACAGATGTGGATTCAGTTTCAATTAGTTTGAAACCCTGGTTATACTATTTAAATACAATCTGATTATGACTGGTGATGTATTCTGGCTTTTCTTTTTGCATTGTTCTTGGTCTTTTTACACACGGTGGGCAGGCATGGACCGGGATGGAGTACAAGAACGAATTAAAAGATCCCGTGAAGTCATCGGTGTTAATACATGGTCAACAAGAGGAACAAAAGAGGTTGGAAAGGAAACTGTTACACCAATATCAAGGCAGCTGACGCCATCTCTCGATGGACAGCCTCTTGTGTTCCAGATGACAATGCTGTGGACTGACAGTTGGAAATCAGCCAATGATTCCAATGACTGGATGTGAAGGGACATAAGTCCAGGGTCAACGATAATTCAGGACAAAGGTAGTCTTCCGAACAAGGTAGAAAACATCGAGTCTAATACGGTCAGCAGCTTGATCTCACATCATACCATCACCTTGGGTACTACTTACAGTCTGTCGAATTTCGAGGCGGCGCCCTTGAGCTGACCCTGCACTTCGAATCCGTATTTCTCTAGCCATTTCCGGGTCCAGCTGTGCACCTCCACGTCTTCCGGTAGAATAGTCATGATGAAAAGAAGCCGAGCGAGTACACGCTCGCCTCCCAGGCTATACCCGCCGACGCCACGGTTATCGAAGGTGTAGCCTTCCTTGGAGCAGTACGCGGGGTCGCAGATTTGCAAAAGCTTATCCAGGAGGCAATATCCGATTCCTTTCTTCTGGTGCTCGGGAAGGACAAAGACTTCCAACTGCGCGGTGAATCTACCAGTGGTGTATTGGCCCGGAGAATACTCAGTGGCAGTGGCGTAGCCGAAAATGGCCTCTCGTTCGCGACGGCTACCGCGCTCCACGGCAACAAGAAAGGGCAATTGCGCGGATTTGGCGGCTTGGATGCGCCCCCGAACATAATCCGGCTTCAGGTCTTGGGTGTGGATGCTCAGACAAGACTCGCGGGCGTACCGGTTGTAGATGAGAAGAAGCTGCGGGACGTCTTTCATCTGGGCAGGTCGAAGATAAATGTTCGCCTTTGGCGTGTTGGGGTTCACCTCTCTGTTGGCCAAGAATGCCTCATTGGCTCGGCGTACCCTCATCAACCTTTGCGCCTCGTCTTTCTCTTCTTTTTTGATGTGCGAGACTAGGTTCTTGCAGTATCCTTCGGCTGTCTCACACCTGTGAAGACGCCCCTTCTCGTCGCTTGGGTCGAGGATGGTGGTATGGTCGGGCAAGTCGGGTATATAAAAGGAGGTCGAGCCATCTGGATGCGCTGTGCCGTCAAAATAACTCTTGTGATATTGGTCAATGTAGCAAGACATCACAATGCTATTGTCGAGCCAACGTCGAAGACTTCGCTTCCACTCATCGACATTGACGATATTAGGCGGGACGAACCACCAATTGCACAAGTGGGAGTCCAGTTGCCAATCCAAGTCTTCGGTATATGGTGGCAGTTTGTTCACGTCCTGAGAAGCATGTGGGTGGCAGGCGAACACTTTGAACTTCTTTTGCAATTCCCTCTGCGCTTCAGTCGGCTCGGTAGCCAGAGTCACTTGGCCATTGATCACCTTGGGATAGAGAACAAGATCATTTGCATAGGCATCCCACAGGTGACTCAGCTTCTCCGGCTCAAAAGACGCTTCGAGCTCTTCTAGATTGCTCAGGCTATCGTCCTCCAGTTTTTCCTCCTCCCCAGATGATTCTGGTCTAGAGGGAGGTTCGACATTCAAATCAGCTTCCTCCACGGGACGAACACGGCGACGCTTTGCGATTTCCGCATAGATTTCGGAATCGGGGTCAACACCTGGGCCATCCCGGCATTTTGCAAGTATGGCAGGGTCTGCCGTTTCAAGCGCTACTTCTTCTTGCCTTTTGGCGTAATCGACGAGCGCCTGCTTTTTTAGCCGGTCCAGCTCTGCGCGAACTTCCTCACGAGGAGGGCGTTTCTCTCTCTCCGCGGCAGACTCGCCTTTTACCTCGGGTACATTGCTCTCAAGAGAGGTATTCTTTGTGTGCGGCAAGGTTTCCTCAACGTTGCGTTGCTTGTCCTTGTTTCTGAAATCACGCAGAACGATCTCATCGGATCCGTTGGTAGACGACATGTTGCGTTTCGTGACCTGTTTGTCTTCTTTCCGCCTCTCAGTTACCATGCTCTGTATAAAAGAGACGGAGGGATATAGTATAGTGACTTACCAGGCGAAGCAGCTTGTTCCGGATTCTTGACAGCTGGCGAGCTAGACGCAGCGCGGTCTACCTTCTGGGTGACTGTTGACGGTCCTGCCTCGAAAGTCTCTTTGGACGCGTACGAAAAGAGAGGAGCGGAAAACGAATGTGCGACCTTTCGTTGATATTGGTATTCACTCCCCAGCGCCTTACCTCGTCTAGGGAGGAAACTCTGGTCTTGACTTTGACGCTGGCTGTTCCTCTGACGTGGAGGACGGTAAAGTGGCTGTGATGGTCTCGGAATCGCACGGCGAGGAGTATCATGTATTGTGGTCGAAGTCGTAGGAAGCTTAACCACAACTTGTGTCTCGCGGTCAGATGATGTGGGATCTTTGCTGTCGTGGATCTCAACACGACTGTTGGTAGCAACAGGAGTGGGTGAAGTTTCTAACATGGAGATCGCCGGGGTGATAAGGGCCATAGCCTCTGGTGTCGCCTTAGTGACTGTGACGCCTTTTGCCGACCTGGGACAGTCCTCTTTTTTGTTATTCGTCCCTGCCAGGTTCACTATGATGTGAGGTTTAGGTCGACGGCGGTGCTCGGCGGGCTGTCAGTTTACATAACGACCGTATTGGTTGAAGCAGCACGCTTTACATACCTGGAATTTCTCAGCTTGAATACTGATTTGGCTGCTATTTCGTGACATCTATGCAAGGTTAACATCACTCTTATATTCATTACAAACAAGCCCATCTCTACCAGATTCTGCTCGTCCGTACTGTCAACAAGTACCTCTTGGATGATGATCACAAACAAACCTTTCCCAGTGCCAAAGAAAAAGCTACTCTTTGATAGACACTCAAGCTTCTTCGCTGGTCCGGTACCAAAACAGATAAAAGTGAGGGTCTTCCTACCTTGATATGGATAGAAGCATGTGTAGGGGCATGCAACCCTGTTCCAGGGGATGAAAATACGTGTTTCCCAGATCACGTTTTCATGACCAGTGAATCTGAATAAAATCAATTTTAGGCAGTTCTCTAATATGTGTGTAGGTATCATAGTCCGTCACTGTCCCGCTAATATCCGCTCACAAGTCAACAGCTGCACCCACGTGTCGTGTGAAAAGTGAATCAATAGAAAGAGCGGACGAGAGCCATGACTATCACTATATCTAGGGCCATGTGGTAGGCTAATTAATCCTATCTGAGTATTGCCTTACATGAGAATTTTCCCTTGGTGAAGGGTATACTTCTCAGTTGAGGGATTTCTCCATATCTTTGGTCTGGCCCGCCCTTCCCTTTTTTCCCCTCACCACTACTGCAACGAAACGGTACAACGTAGGGAAGTACCAGTGAAGATGTTGTCCATTTTAAGGAAAGCTCGATTGAAGGATAAGGAGATGCGAATTTTAATGCTGTGAGTCTCCGCCTCTGATCTACTTCCTGGGCTAGTACACTGACGATTGCGATAGAGGTCTGGATAATGCAGGGAAAACCACTATCGTCAAGCAGATTATGAAGGAAGATGTCACCACTGTCAGTCCGACCTTGGGATTTATTATTAAGACTATAGACTTTCAGGGGTATTCTCCTATTTGCCTTTGTTTTCCCAAAGCTATTCACTGACTTTTGCGCAGGTATAGACTCAATATCTGTAAGAATATCGACCAGCGATGTCGCCCAGTCTCCACTAACCAATAGCCGGCAGGGGACGTCGGGGGCCAAAAAACGCTCCGATCGTATTGGAAAAACTACTTCGAGAAGACCGATACATTGGTCTGGGTTGTTGATGCGACCGACCGTCTCAGAGTGGATGATTGTCGAGCTGAGCTCGCTGGCCTTCTTTTGGAAGAGGTTCGTTGCTTCTCTCCCCGCACAGCTGCGCCCGTCTGTAAAAGTTCTGTCGGGTATGAACTCACCACCGCCCAGCGTTTGATGGGAGCAAGTCTCCTGATTTTCTTGAATAAAACCGATGTTGAAGGATGTATGGACGAGACTGAAGTTCGGGAAGTAAGTTTATGCTCAGTCTATGTTGGGTTTTGGTGCTCGGGTTTCCAGCGGATACTGATGTCCTGGTCTACAGCGGCTTTGCTTGGATTCTATCAAAACCCACAAGTGGACGATATTACCCTGCAGTGCGATGACAGGAAGGAACTTACAGGAAGGGCTCGATTGGGTGGTGCAAGACGCCAAGGACAGACTGTTCCTCTACTGACTGCCGTGGCATGACATTTTTAGCACTTTTTTATGATTTACAATGCTTCAACATTTGATTTTCCCCTTTTCATGTCCTGGTAATAGTCTTGCAGTGGTCGCTAGGCCACACGTTAAGTGGTTATGACATGCAAGACACGAATACGGGTAGTGGTGAACCTACAAGTACGCCAGCTCTAGTTCAATATATATTTAGTCTAATTTCTACGGAAAACTCGCTTCCGTGGCTGGGTCTAGTTGGCAATGAGCCAAACTTTCTCCGTACCATATTGCACAACTCCCTTCAAATTCCGGTAGCTTTTATGAGAATATGGGATGGTCTGTAGGTCCTACGAAACGCTCTTGGATAGTGATCCCAACTGCCTGCTAGCAGTGGCAAGTCACAGCCCCTGTCCTGAATCCTGGTTAGTGCCTGGTCGGGTTTCGGAACGGCGATCAGACAATCCCCCTTCAGGGTCCACGACACTACGATGGCCCTTGTCGAACACGGTAAAGACAAACTTGCTTAGGATCGAAGGTGTTCCCACCAGGGAGCGCTCGCCTGTTACTATGTAATTCACGTCAACCACGAGGCTCCAGCAAGGATTGCCATCCAGCAAGGATTGCCATCCAGTGTCTCAACGTTCACGATGCGACTGAGCCGGTGGAAGGGAATGTCATCAGACCTGAAACGGTGAATGGAGCTCCATCTGCCTCCAAGGCAACAGTGATCCGTGGATTCCACCCGGGTGACCAAGCTTTGTGTGCCGAGTTTGACCCAACCGAAGTCTCCAGCGGTAGAGAAGTCACAAGTCACAACGGACTGCAGCCAGAAATGATGATGATTGCGTATCCGATCGCGGGGCGGCAGAGAGTTGAGATTTGCTCCACCGCAAGAGCCGGGTCCCGGAAAGTAAACAGTTCTCCGTGTAGAGCAACTCCCAAACATGCCCATCCCGATGATACCTAATGGATGATGCGTGTTTGGCTCCGAGAACCCCTCTTACTTTCCGGCCGCGCGCAGATCGAGTGTCTGTCTCTTGTGACATCTCCTATCGCGGTGCTGGGGCGGAAGAAAGTAAGGGGATCAGCTCACAGCCGCAGTGCAAGATGCACAGTGTCAACCCGGTCGGGCGCCTCATCCTAATTTCCTCTGGGCTTCCGACAGTGGGGCGGCAGCTGATGGGCGTGCCTTCGCTGGGTCTAATTTGACGATGACGGCCATTACTAGGAGGAAAAAGACGCTGCCCGGCTCACAGCCATTACTACTCACTTATCGCCCAGGGTGAAAGGCGGAGACCCTCACCAGCAACAACGACAACAACAACATGAGCTGGAGGGACACGCCCGTTCGGATTCCTGAGGCTTAGATAGATCCCACACGAATTGCCGGCAAGAGCGAGAGAGTTTCCCTCCTCTCTACCACCACCATCGCCGCCACCATCACCACTACTAATTCTTCCTAATCACTACACCACCACCTGTTCACGAACCCCCCCTCCTCTCTCTGGTGTCTCTTGCCACTCACCCCACCGTTCCTGGGGGTCCTTGTCGGTGTTTGTTCCGTTTGAAACAACTTCATTTCTTTTTCGATTCCTCATTTCTCATCGGTTCCCTTTTCCCCCACCCCCCTTCTTCTCTCAACCCATTTTTGGGCCCATTGATCAAGTGTCAAGGTGGCCATGACTTCCACAACCGACACTGACGGCACGGAGGATGTCAACGACTTCCTACTGCGCATTCGGGAGCTAGGAGAGAAGCGCGACAAAGAAGACGAGGAACGCACAAAAAAGTTGGAGGAGGAAATTCTGCAGGGTCGAAAGGAAAGGCAGGCTCGACGAGCTGGTATTTGACTTCCCTTGCTTTTTCCCGCCCCCTTTCAAATCGAACGCCCCGTCGTCATGACTCACGCACGGCTGGAACCCCTTCCAAGACTGTCATTTCCTGGAATGCTGACTGTGTCTGGTTCCTGGACCCATTGTAGAGCGGGCACGGTCGATTTCCCCCACGAAAGACTCACCCATACTAGATCCCGCTCGGTTGAGCATGTCGTCTTTTAGCCTGCGATCGATTGACCCTCCGGAACACCTTGAACCCACCCCTCACATCCCGGGACATGACACCGGCAGCAGGGCGGATTCGATCCGGGATGACACATCAACAACCACGGATGGTGGCCGGAGAGGGTCTACCTTGATAGCCAACGATGGAGAAACGGCTTCTAGACCTTTCTCGCCCTTACGGAGCAGAGCCGGCACTCTCTCCTGGCAGCAGCGCCCTACGTCCCGAGATAGTAACAGGGCCTTCTTCTCCACATCTCCTTCCCGCGAGGGCCGCTTTCGAGGCATGTCAATAACCTCTAATGAAGACCACGGTGCGTCCCGGAGCCCGTTCGCGTCATCGCCTTCGTTCAAGGACGTGCCTTGGTCTCGTCACGCAGATGGAGGGTCCGCTTCTCCCACCCGCACAAAGCAGATGGAAGAAGACGACTCACAGCATCCTCTGCATTCTGAATCGATTACCAAGGAATCAGAACCAGACCAGGAAAGCACCACAGAACCGACAAAGGAAACAGAGCATCAAGAGATTGTAGAAGAGCGATCGCGCTCCCCGTCAAGAGCAAGTTCGACGTTTGCAGAAAGCAGCTTAGGCCACCGGTATTCAAGCATATCTTCTGTATCGACAGCCACCGGCCTTGGCTCTCCTTTGCCTTTGACTAGTGCGCAGAAGCTCGAGCCCCGGAAGGCTGAGGACGACGATGAAGACCACTTAACGTCTCCTCCTTCCCCTAGGCGTTTGTCTCCAGAGCGTTCTACGTCTCCCACCAAAGGCCTCGGTGGATTTGTTCAAAGCGCCATGATGAAGCGATCAGACAGTGTGTCCAAAAGGTGGAGCGCTCAACTCCCGTCGGGACTTAATCGAGGCAATCCTTTTGCTAGCAACCGCAACAGTTACGCTGCTCCTTCCGGTGGCGATGCATTCTCAACTACACCTTCGTACAGGTTGAGTAGAGAAGGCTCAAGCCTCTCACCCTCGCGGCCCAGTTCAAGCCATAGACCAGGTTCTAGCCACAGACCTAGTTCTAGCCATAGCGAAGCGACCGTTGTTCATCCCCCCAAGGACTACGAACGGCCGGCCACTCCTCCCGTTCCCGGCAGCAACATCACGCGATTGGATGAAGGAGCTCGCAGACCGTCTCTCAGCCTTCATACACGGTCTACTAGTACGATTGAAAGAAGCGCGGATTCTGGTTCATTGCCTCCGACGAGTCCGTCAGTTTCGAGGACCATGGACCCTAAGAGGTGGAGCCCGACCAAAGCCACCTGGCTAGAAAGTGCATTGAACCGTGATGAATCACCCAGACATAAACGGCAGCCCTCCCAACAGTCACCCTGGGCCAAAGATCGGCAATCAAGAGGCAGCGTTGACCTAGGTCGGACTGCGAGCTTCAAAGAAGTCACACCCGTGGGACTTATGCGCACTACCGCCCCTGGCACTCACTCCAAGACATCAAGTATTACCGGCATCCCGGACTTATTCTCCAGCCAAGATGCAGGAAAGGCGAAAGAAGGGGAACCCGAACCCATCCAAGAAAATGCCGATCCCAAGGATCTTGATTTACCACCAGCGGAGACGCCAGCAGAGAAATCAACAGAGGTCGTTCCTTCGAGAGAGAGTTCTCCTACTAAGACAGTGGTAGAACCGGAGAATAAAGAAGATGATGCTGCGAAGCCCAAACTTACACCATCTGCCTTGAGCCCGATCACCAAGACCACCAGCGATGCGCCCTTGGCATCTCCTCGCGATCCGCTATTGAATAGGCCCAAACCCCTGTCTCCCGTGATTGATTTCCGAGCAAATCTTCGGCGACGAGAAGTGGTCAAGGATGAAGCGCCAAAGGCGGAACCGGAGTTTAAGAATGTCTTTGGAAGGCTGAAGAAAGCAGAGTCCTCAAGCTATGTACCGCCGGACCAGCTGAGAGAAAACATACTCAAAGGCAAGGCCTCTCTCAGTGCATCAAGCGGCCCAAAGAAATCGCAGAAGGTGGACGAATTAAAAGATAGCATCTTGAAGCAAAAAGAAGCAATCAAAGCCGGCGGGGGCTCGTTGAGGCGCAATACTGCTGGAGAGAATGATGCCCCCATGAAATTCATTCCAGAAGCGATTGCAATGCGAAATAATTTGACTAAGTCCAGCAGTATCAAAAGCAATCTTTCAGCCGCTGATACGTCGTCGCCACGATCGCCACTCTCGCCTAGAGAGCCAGATACACCAAAAAGTGCACATGGTCCGCAGCTTTCTTCGCCTTTATTCTCTGCTGGCGATCGTATTGAGGAACCCCAGATTTCGCCGGCCATCGCAGAATCACAAAAGCCCGATGTTGATGAGAAGCAGACAGAGATCGCGGGGCCGGAGTTGACAAACGATGTGAAAGAAGATGAGCAGGAGATCACGGATGAGGGGAACGTGAACGCTGAAGAAGAATCGAAGGAGGAGGGCATCAATCCGGTGCGTTCTCTGCCACCGGGGGATTCCATGCAGGCTACGAGTGCGCCTGTCGTGACTGAGAGTCCTGCTGCTAAAAGTAAACTCGCAGGCCGATTAAATCCTGCCTTAGCGGGCCTTCTCTCCCGTGGTCCGCCCGCTGCAATGGACCTGTCGATGAGGGCTCCTTCTACCAACGGTGCCGTAGGAAGTAGCTTAGGGGTGGAGGAACCACAGGCTGCCGCACTCACTCATCTGACAAAAGGTCGCGCGAGAGGACCAAAGAGACGTCTCCCTCAGGGTACTACACCGGAAGGTACGAACTCACTCTTCGATGAAAACAATTTTGTACCAGAGTCTCCGCCAACACCTTTGGATGCACAGAGACCAGAACCAATGTACCTGGAGTCAGGGGAGGAAAGTGATGCTTCAGAGTTTTCAGCACCCCTGGACGCAGAAGAACCCGAAACCGTCGAATCGCAACGAGAGAAGGAAAAGGATGCTCCAGAGCCAACAGCGCCTGTGGATGAGGAAAAGCCCGAAGCTGCTATGCAAGTTATGAGCCGAGTTACGAGCCCAGTCTGCGAGGGAAACCCTGGTGCACCAGAGCTGTCAGCACATATGGATAAGGAGGAACCTGAATCTGAACCTGCTAGCCCAGTACGAAAAGATATTTATACTCCAGAGCCGTTAGCTCTTGTGGACGAAGAGAAGCCTGAAGCTAGGAGCCCAGCTCTAGAGGAGAATATCCATATCTTAGAGCCATCAGTATATGTGGATGAGGAGAGACTCGAAATTACAAGCCCAGCCTACGAGAGGAATACTGATGCACCAGAGCCGTTAGCACCTATGTACAAGGACGAGGAGGAGTCGGAACCTGCGAGCCCAGTCCATGAGGAGAATTTTGATTTTCCACAGCCATTATCATCGATGCATAAGAAGGGACCTGAAGTTACGAGCCCAGTTCGTGAGGACACCGCCGATATTCTACAACCGTCAATATATGTGGACGAGGATAGATTCGAAGCCTTGAATCCAGTCCGTGAGGAGATTGCTGACACCCTACAACCGTCGGTTTATGCGGAGGAAGGGCAATTCGAAGCTTCGAGCCCAGTCTATAAGGAGACTTTCGAGACACTAGAGCTGCCGGTACCTGTGCATGAGGAACTCGAGTCTGCGAGCCCAGCCCGGGCAGGGACTATCAATGCCACGGAGCCTTCAGATCTTGTGAACAAGAAGGAGCCTGAGGTTATGAGCTCCTTGCCAGAGATAAAGGACACGGTCCCGAGGTCACCATCAGTCTTTTCGGATGCACAGGGACCCGAATCCCTGAGCTCTGCTCTAGAAGAGGATGATGATGATGATGATGCTTTCGAGTCAACCCTAGATGCAAAGGAGGCCGAAGCCACAAGCCCAATCGCTGAGGTGCACGTCCCGGAGATGAAAGTCTCTGAAGCCTATGAAACGCCTCTAAAATCTCCGTCAATCCCAGATACACAGAGGCCAGAGTCTGTGCATTCCTCTTCAGAGGAGAGGAGTCGTGTTCCCGAGCCACTAGCGCTGGAGGCAGAAGCCACAAGCCTAATTCCTAAAGTGCAGACCCCTGAGATCAAGGAAACGGCTCCGAAGGCCTTATCTATCTCTTCTGATACACAGAGACCAGAATCCCTGTACTCTGCGTCAGAAGATAGTGATGTCCCAGTGTCTCCAGTGCTGGAGGCAGTTCAGGCCGAAGCCAGAAATTTAATTCCTGAAGCGCTGACATCCGAGGGGACGATTTCTGAGGTTAATAAAACAGCTCTGAAGTCCCCATCAGTCTACTCAGGTACACAGAGACCAGAATCCATGTATTCGTCTTCAGACGAGAGCGATGCTCCAGAGTCTCCAGTTCTAGGCGCAGAGAAAGATGAAGGCACAGGCTCGATTCCTGAGTTACAGGTTTCTGAGGTGAAGATCTCCAAGGTTGATAAAGTGCCCCCTAAACCTTTATCAATCTCGTCGGAGACACAAAGACCTGGGTCTATGTATTCTTCTTCAGAAGAGAGTGAGGCCCCAGAATCTCCAGTGCTGGGAGCTCAGGGGGCCGAGAAGCCTAGTACCGCGTACCCGTTTGCTAGAGTGCAGCTTTCCGAGGCAACGATTTCTCAGGTCGACGAAGCAGCCTTGCAACCTTTATCGACCTCTTCAAATGCAACAAGACCGGAGTCTATGTATTCTTCAGACGAGAGCGAGGCCCCAGAATCTCCAGTGCTGGGGGCTCAGGAGGCCGAGAAGCCTGGCACCACATACCCGATTCCTGAAGTGCAGCTTTCTGAGACAAGGATATCCACGGTCGACGAAACGGTCATTCGGCCTCTATCGATCACGTCGGAGGCAGAGAGGCCGGAGTTTATGTATTCTTCTTCAGAAGAGAGCGATGCTTTAGAATCTCCAGTGCTGGGGGCTCAGGGAGCTGAGAAGTTTGGCACCACATACCCGATTCCTGAAGCGCAGCTTCCTGAGGCAAAGATCTCCAAGGTCGATGAAACGGTCATTCAACCTCTATCGATCACGTCGGAGGCAGAGAGACCGGAGTCCGCGTATTCTTCTTCAGAAGAGAGCGATGCTCCAGAATCTCCAGTGCTAGGCGCTAAAAAAGGTGAAGTCAAAAGCTCTATCCCTGAGGTGAAGATCTCTGAGACGGATGATAAGTTCTCAGAGTTCAGATTATCTCTCCCAGATGTGCCGGCACCCACACACTCAGTCCCGGACGAGAACAATGACGCTGTGATTACTCCAGCACTGGATGCAAAAGAAAACGAGAACACAAGCTCAATCCCGGAGGTAATTGTTGCCGAAGTGGACGGCACAGTTCCAGAGTCTCCATCGGTCTTCTCAGATGTACAGAGGCCAGCATCGATACACTCGGTTTCGGAAGAACACGACGATAAGGCGGTGGAGTCTCTAGCACTGGAGGCAGAGAAAGTCAAGGCCACAAGTTCGCTCCCTGAGGTTACTACTCCCGAGGTGAATGGCGCAGTCCCAGAGTCCTCATCGCTCCCCCCGGCTACACAGGCGCCAGCACCCGCACACTTGGTTCCGGAAGAGAACAGCAATAAGGCGGTGGAGTCCTCAGAAACGGAAGCAGACAAAATCGAGGCCACAAGCTCAGTGTCTGAGATTACTGTTGCCGATATGAATCATACAACTCCAGGGCTCCCATCAGTCTTTTCAGATGTGCAGAGACCAGCATCGACACACTCTATTACGGACGAGAACGATAATGATACGCTGAGATCCCCTTCACTGGATACAGGGGATTCCAAAGCTTTGTTCTCCGTCTCAGAAGGAAACGGGGCAGGTCCGACATCCCCGGCATCGTCTTTATATGCGCGAAGACCAGCATCGACACACTCAGTTCCGGAGGGAAATGATGATGATACACTGAAGTCTCTATCGCTGGATGACAAGGAGCCCAAAGCTCTTTTCTCGGCTTCAGAAGCGAATGAAGCAGCTCCGAAATCTCCGGCATCTTCTTTGAATGCACGGAGACCTGTGTCGACACACTCGGTCTTGAATGAGAACGATAATGATTCTCAGAAGCCTCCATCGCTGGATGACGAGGAGCCCAAAGCTCTGTTCTCGGCTTCAGAAGCAAATGAGGCAGCTCCAAAGTCCCCAGCATCTTCTCTGAAAACACGGGGCCCAGTTTCACCCATCGGTAGCCCGGGTGGTGTTTCCAGCGGCTGGCCACTTCCCGACACCCAAATCAAACCGAATGTTGAACCGAAATCAAGCCCGAGCCAGCATGATTCGCCGGTGGCCAACAAGCCAACTGAATTTAAGAGAAGCGTTCATCGCTTGATTGAGAGAGAGGCCGTGCAGAAGCCCGATGATGTGAGCTCCAAACCATCAACAGCTTCGGCTAAGGCTGCTTCCCACAGTTCTTCCCCCAGTTGGGAGAACGCCAGTGCGTATTTCAAGAGCTTAAGAAGTTCATTCTCGGCTAAGCCTCCTTTGCCGCCAAAAACGGCACCACTGCCATCGACCCCTATGGCTAATCAGACACGGAGCTCCCCAATCCACTTCTCATCACCTTCTCCGTCGCCTCTAAGGGGAAGCTTCAAAGAGAATCAAAGCCATGCACCTCCAACGCAGCAAAGAAGTGCTTCTTCGCTTTTTTCCACTATCGGGTCACGAAGTTCGTCGCCCCGAGACAAAGCCTTGCCTTCTCCCCCTGTTCCCCCCAAGGGATCCAGGGCCTCTGTTGACCGGTTTTCCTCGAGATCCTCGACCTCGCTTGTACCTCAGGCCGATGAATCATGGGAAGCCATCTCTGATTTCTTCAAGACCTTCCCAAAGTCGAGCGACCGCGTAAACATCGACACTCAGTTGATGCTGGCAGACAGGAGCGATAACACAAAGATCCGGACCCTCAAGAGACAACTGTGGGAGATTACAGGCGATGGAAAAAAGCAAGACCTGCCTGTTAATCAGGAATATATCTTGTATGAAGGGAGCATGTACCTGTGCATGCATCTTTTCGAAGCTGATGGCACTGTGCGCTCTGAAGTGCACCTCTGGTGCGGTGACGACGTCCCCGATGCAGCGGTAGATGATGCCCAGCCCTTCTCTCGCAAGGTCGCCAAGGATAACGGGTCCAAGCTGGAGATCATCAAGCAAGGCAAGGAACCTGCTCGTTTCATCCAGGCCCTGGGGGGAATCCTCATCACTCGCCGCGGCTCGAGCTCCCGGTCCAGTTCCTCCGCCATTTTCATGCTCTGCGGGCGCAAGCATCTCGGCCAGATGGTGTTCGACGAAGTCAACTTCTCGCCCAGCAGCTTGTGCTCCGGTTACCCCTTCGTGATCTCTGCCATGTTCGGCAAACTCTTCCTCTGGAAGGGTAAGGGCAGCTCGGCAGAAGAGATCGGTGCGGCTCGCCTGATCGGTATGGACCTTGGCTTGACTGGCGAATTCGAGGAAGTGGCCGAGGGCGAGGAACCAGCGAGCTTCTTTGAGGACTTCATCCAGTACGAGCGGAAGACAAGCAACGACAGCATCAACTACTGGCAGCTGAAGCCCAATCTTGAACGTTACCGCTCGCGCCTTTTCCGCATTGACCATGAGCTGGGCCAGCGTTCAGGATTCTGGATGCGCTCACCTTCACCAGTCATCCGGCCAAATGACACCGTCCAAGAGGTGGAGCCCTTCTGCCAGAAAGACATTACTCCCAAGGGGATCTACGTCCTTGACACATTCTTCGAGATCTACGTGTACGTGCCTCCTCCATTCGTGGCCCCAACCCTCTACGCCACAGCCGTAAAACTAACATTTTCTGCTTAGAATCGTGGGCGAGCAAGCATCCAACCGCCCTGCCGAATTCGCATCCGCGGTAGTCCTAGCGCACGAGTATGGCATTCTAGCTGCATCGCTCCAAGATCGACCTTTCATCCCAAAGAGTTTCGTCTCCCTGGGTGGAGTTCCAGAGTCTTGCAGCAGTGCGTTCCGGAAATGGAACCCGAACTCTCCCTCTCAATGCCTGCCCCAGGTGTTCCCCCTCAACGCAGCTATTGAATCCATTCGGTCTCCCTAGTTTGCTTTCGGTTTCTTTCTTTTCGTTTCTTTTCTCTCCTTCTTGTCCTTCCTCGTCTGGTCTTTTAGCTGTGCATAGCGTTTTCGCGGGTTAGATTGTGCATATACTGGCTTGGCCTGGGCGATCTGTACAAAATTAGGGGACTTACTCGAGTGCGGTTAATTGATGGGAGGGTGCGGATGAGGCAATCCTTTTGTGCATAGGTGTGGATGAGGGATGGGAGTTGGGCGGATGTTGCGGTTCTTTTCTTCGTTGCTTTATTTCGCTGGAGATATTGGCATTCTTTGTGTATGATAATTCATTTCCGTCGCTGGGGTTCATAGACCACTTTGATCGGCACTGGCCGGGTAATTGTTCTCCTATTGGTAGTGGGTGGCATTCATCCATCCATCCATCTGGAAGGAGGGGAAAGTGATGAGATCACGGCGGAGACGGCCCCGATTCGGAAGGTGCCGACCCACTCGGGAAGGAACGGTCGCCATCCGCCGCCGGGCTTCCCTCATCCATTTCCGCCTTTTTTTCGACTCGATGGCTGGACTGCCTTCTCTTTTCAGTCCTGCTCGGTCTAATCCATCGCTGCTGCAGTCATTGGCCTTTCCTGACTTCAGATCTCTTCTCGGCTTCAGTATGCCGTGATTGATCGCACGCGATCATCCCTCATCGCCTACCACTCTAGATACGGAATTCTGCCCTTTGCCCGAATCCGACCTGTCATATCGTGTCGTGCAGATATCGTGCAGGACCACCATGGACCCCGCCGTGCTTCGCGAGCTCGCCCGAGTCGACCCCGCGGTTCCTTTCCGCGCAGCCACCGATCACCTCCATCATACCTGGGCGCAGACCTTCTACGCGCGGCCGGAACTATACGTACGCCCTCAGTCCCTCGAGGAAATTCGGAAACTGGTGAACTTGGCTCGCCAATGTCGTCGTCGCCTGGTCACCGTCGGTAGCGGCCACTCCCCCTCCGATCTCACCTGCACGTCCTCCTGGCTCGTGAACCTGGATGATTTCAGTCGGGTCTTGGAGGTTTCTCCTGAGACGGGCGTCGTCACGGTGGAGGCCGGTATCCGGTTGAGAGATCTGGGTGCGCAACTGGAAAAGCATGGCTTGACATTGTCCAACTTGGGGAGTATTGACAGTCAGTCTGTCGCGGGAGTGATCTCGACGGGTACCCATGGAAGCTCCCTTCAACATGGCCTGATCTCCGAGTGCATCTTATCGTTGACTCTCATGCTGGCTAATGGGCAACTGGTGCGGTGTAGTGCCACCAGTAACCCGTCTCTCTTTCGCGCAGCGCTTATCTCTCTAGGAGCGCTTGGTATCATCGTTGAGATCACTCTGCAAGCGGAGCCCACATTTAAGGTTGCCTGGCGTCAGACGCGGCGCAAGCTGTCCAGTGTCTTGTCTGAGTGGTCGTCCGGGTTATGGACATCGCATGAATTTGTTCGGGTGTGGTGGATGCCTTATGAGAAAAGTGCGGTCGTTTGGCACGCCGACAAAACTGACCTCCCGCTGCGTGCTCCTCCAAAGACATTCTATGGAGAGACAGTCGGATACCATGTCTACCACAATTTGCTGGCCCTGGCCAACTATTTCCCTCGGATCCTGCCGTGGGTAGAATGGCTTGTCTTCGGTTTGCAGTATGGTTTCAAGGAAAACGCAATAGTGACGGAAGCTGTCGAACCGGCCCGCGCTGGTCTTCTCATGAACTGTCTCTACTCCCAGTTCGTCAATGAATGGGCACTGCCACTGGAGAAGGGCCCGGAGGCCATCACTCGACTCTCCGCCTGGCTAAATGGTGATTCCGAAACGGCACGCATCCCTTTTCCCGTCGACGGCTTGTGGGTGCATTGTCCCATCGAGGTCAGAGTCGCCGACTCTACATACAACCAGGCGCCTCGTCCTTTCCTAGACCCTACCTCTTCCGAAGGACCGACGTTGTATCTTAATGCGACCCTCTATCGCCCGTACCATCGGGATCCCCCCTGCACGGACCGGTATTACGAGGCTTTTGAGTGGCTTATGCGAGAAATGGGCGCAAGGCCGCATTGGGCTAAGAATTTCCAGACGACGAGAAACGAGCTGAAAGATCTGTATGGCGAGGACATGGCTGAATGGTTGAAGGTGCGCCAGGATGTGGACCCTGACGGCATGTTCCTGGGTGAGTGGCACTACCGGAATCTTGCCTTGCCTGGTAGCGAAGGTGAATCGACCTCTACCGGACCGGCTGCCCTCCCGCTTCTCGAGCGCGAAAAAGCTCGTCGGAGGGCAGACGTCCGAGGATCTGGTGACGGCATGGAGTGGATCGGGGACAAACGCTGGGAAATGAAGGAGGACCGTCAGGCTGCGTTCGTGCCCGCGCTAGAGAACGAGAAATACCATGGCTTGCCAGACGGAACAAGTCTGAGTCCTCCCACCACAGCAACCAGCGAAGAGAGCTTTGATTTCCTGGCGGCGGGAGAGGCCAGCATTGTCCTTCCTGATCACCGCGCGTGAGGGACAGAATCACGACGGAAGGCTTGGGAAGTAGCAAACAAAACGGAGCGCGTTTTCTCCAAAGTGCGGGTGGTCGGCTGGAATGGCCAGATCTGGGATTCCTGTTGGCTGACGATCATCCAAGTGACTGTGTACTTTATTGCCTCACTGTTTCTTTTTCCTTCTTTTTTTATTTTTTTTTTTTTTATTACCTCTCCCGTCGTCTGTCTTACTGTACAGAAAGCAAATCATCGATTTCCATGCCCCATTCCTGACTCATCTATGTGATCCTTGGATTTTCACGAGAACCTTTCGTGATTAGCCGCGCCTGTTTGCTTCTTCCGGTTTTCAGCTGGGTTCTGACGAGTAGCGATTGACCCAAGACCACTCCGGTTTTCGCCCATTTACTCATTGGCTACAGACCTCGGAGTATTGGCACTCCGTATCGAACACCGGTCGATGTCCGAGGGCATGCCCTCCCCGTCTGCGGGTTTGGCATCTGGGAGATACGTGCCCTACACGGCACGGGAGAAGAATGCACATCCTCGGTTCTATTCCTCGACCTGTCACCGGTGCTTTGAGGAGCGCAGACTCAGCTCTCCCATGAGCCAGTCGGTCGGGGCACTACATAGATGGTATTGCCACGGATCTCAGTCGGGCTTAACCCAGGCCTTCGTGGCAGCCACGAGTGGGAGAATCCGTATGCACATACGCCCGCTGTCCCGTATACGTATACAGTTACCCGTGTTGTGTAGTCTGACAGTTCAGCATATGCGCGATGGTCGTCGGGGGCGAGCAGTTGCCTGTCCCGAACCGCAGCGTCCCAGCATCAGCACTACCGCTTCAGACCAACCAAGCATGCCGGGCCTCACTTACTCTGTGCCAGATGGAATGCTCGATCCCTGCTGCTCATCCAAGCAAAAGAAGCGCAAAGGATGCTTTCTCGCATGGTCCATTGGCTTGGCTGGTCTCTCAGGGCAAAATGGCAACCGATCATGCTAGTTTATGCCATGCAATGCAGGTGATACTAGGATGGCTGGGCTTGCGGCAGCGGTGGATGTATAGACTGCTCGCAACTCTTACCGTGGGCTCAGTCACTCGGTATTCGATGTTTGTCGGGGTGTCATGATGATGATGATGATGATGATGATGATGGTGGTGGTGGTGATGTTGATCAGAATCATGAGACCAGTGCTCTGTACACCCGAGAGGTTCACTTCGGATGGCGGAAGCTATAGCACGATGATTCCATGATCATAATAAGGACGAGGGATAATGATTGAAGGTTGACGAGGACAAACCGGAAGGAAGAGCGGACGAGTCGCTCTCGAGGCCCTTTCAGTTCCGTGGGGGGCCCCAACTTCCCAAGTGCCGGGCCTTGATTGGCCCCACCCATTGTCGTCGTCGCCTTCCAAGTTGATGCTTCATTCAGTTCCCTTCATCGCATTTCCCTTCCTCAAATCCCCCCGTTCCGTTTGCAATCCTCCGCTTCCAATCCCATGTCCGGCTGCCTTCGGTCCATTTGTATGACCTCTACCGCAATCCTTTCTGCCTAAACCCCACGATCGGCAGGATGCTCACAACTGACATTAGCTTTCAGCAGGGGTGGGCAGGAAAGGAGCATCTTGGATGCCCCGCGCCTTGCCTGCGCCACATCATTGCCAGCACGTTCCTGAGGAGACACGGCAATTAGATGTATAGATTTTCTATGACGGAACTTTAATTTACAGGAGGTTCAAGGTTAAGCAGACGAGGAGACACCACCAAACCCCCCCTCAGACCCAGCTTCTACCCCTCCGCTCTGGTCAAGGCCCTGCAGGTGGACGGGCCTTTCCCTGCAAGTCGCCCGTGCGGTTGACTTGCGTCCACGCAGGATCCTCGGACCCCCTCAATGAACGCGGGCGAGAGAGGGGAAGTCCCACGGCTAAGACTGGGGCGTGTTATCCGATCTTCGTGACCGGTTTGGCCTGCTATGCCATCAGATAACCATTGCCTGGACTTGTCGAGGTTCTGGAAAATTGTGGGCGTACCATCAACACTGAATGGGATGGCTTTGTACAGGTCCTAAAGCCGGACCACCGGGGAAATTGACAGGGCCCATGCAAGATGTCCATGCCATGCTTTTCTCGCCCTTCCGGCTGTGCCTTCGACACAGGTCATTATGCACGGATGCTTTCCCTGGCCGACTCGACTCGTGCAGAGATGCAATAAGCACACGTCGTGCAACCCCTCTGCGCCTTGCAAGTTAAACTGCAGCCTGCTGAGCTGACGCTTACTCACTGTTTCTTACACAATTGTCACCAACAATGCCATTGCGCATCCCCTACGATTGGCCTTGGCAGGGTATCCATTCATAGATTGGCATCACAATTTTCTATCAGGTGATCTCCCTGTGTCCCTATCATTTTCAACATGGCAGCAGCGCCGCATCGAGAACGTTGTGGCCGGCATAACGGGGGTGGGTTTAGCACTACCTCGACCCCATACCCTGTTTTAGACCGTCCATCATACTGCGCTTGCAAGGCCCCAGACGACTGGCTCTCCGGGAGACAAAAGCATTATGCGGCTTTTGTTGACTGGATGGAGCCACCCGACTTTGCCGCGGCCATTCCTCACGGGAGTTGGACATCCTCTGCTTGCTACTAAGCCTAGTCAAGCGGAACATGCCTGTGCAGGTGATTACCTTGGAATCTGCGGGTGGGAGAAAACAAAAATAATAAAAAAATAAGGAAACAAGAAAAGGAAAAGAAAAAGAAAAAGGAACAGGGAAAAAGGGCGAAAAGTGAAAATCCTAAATCGCAAGGTAAGTGACAGCCCACGGGATTGGGCCAACGACGACTCATCACCTTGGCGTAACGCTGAGCCCAGCGCAATGCACGCGCTCGTCGATTGCATGGCGGTAGTCAGAGTATTATGGAGCCGGTCATCCGTGTGCCAATGGCCGCGGTCGAATCTCCCGATAGGCGCCTAGGAGACACCAAGTGGTATTGAATTTTCCTCACCGGTTCCAAGCTTCGCCTGAGACTGGTTGCAGCTGCTGCCTTCTGTTCTATGGTCATGTCTCACCCAACCGTGCATGAGGAAAATAGAGCAGCGTAAGAAGAATACGGAATTCGGACAGCCAAACCCGTCGCAATTACGCGACGAGGCCAGTACCTGACTTGCCTGCGATGCCCCCTCCCCCAAAGGACCTTGCGCTTCCTCTGCGTTTCGCTGCCCAAATGACCAGGGTTGTGCCCGGTTAGTGCCGATGAGCGGTGCCATGGGCATTCTCTGGTTCTTGACGGCTCGGACCGTCGACAGGCATGACTGCTGGCGTGTCTGGCGCCAGCAAATTGAGAAGGTCACCTGTATCGACAGGCGTGATGGGCAGAAGGTCAAGCTACTCGACTCCGTACTATCTGTCCAGATATGCGGGGACCCCTGGTGTACCTGCTAGGCTGCCACAGCCACAACGGCCTGAAGGACGTCGAGCGACCGGCCCGGTTGATATCGTGACAGGCCGCTTTCCACGTCACCATCGCATTCTCAGGCGATATTCGTCGGAGTGGGGTAGCAGCGCCGAATGTATGTGCGGGGCATTCGACATGCAGGCCTTTTCCCGATGGACCAGAAAAAAAAAATGATATCAACATGTCCTCAGGCATGCGCTCTCAGCCTCTTTGCCCCTTAGCAATATCTCGCACCCCACCTGCTTGCTCCTCGCGAGCAATCTGACATCTACCCCTTCCCCTCCTTTGTCGCGACCTGCGATCGATTAGTCAGGGCCCATATCATATCAGGGCCCCTCGCCTGCTCTTCTCTCCCCGTCCGCGCCATTGCCTTTTTCATCTCTGTTCTTATTTTGACTGCGCCTGGATTTCCTGCAAGATGTCGCGGCAGCCGAAACTGCGACCCAAGTCGCATATCCCAGGCTTCCCAGACGCCATCTACAATCTTGCTGCAGTCTCCTCCTTATCGCAGCTTGAGTCTCGCGCAGGGCTGGGGGAGGAGAAGCATGACCAGCGCGTCTTTCGTGTCAAGCGCAAGCATGTGTTGAAGGCGTGCGATCGTTGTCGAGTCAAGAAGACCAAGGTTGGTGAAGTATTGGGTTCTTCTATGTCCTCTTTTGCATCTATCTGGGTCTCAGTGCAGTCTTCGGAGGCCAGCCATGCTCATTCATATTAGTGTGATGGGAAACAGCCATGCAACCGGTGTTCGGCCCACAACCATCCTTGTCTTTTCCGGGAAAGGAAGGCCACGCAGACCAAAGTGTACTCTCGAGGGTAAGACTATGATTTCTATCTTGCGCCCTTGGTAGATTCATGCCCTTGGGCTGTTGTGGCTGACTGGTGGCCGCACCTATGGGCAGATTCGTCGAAATGCTGGAATCCCACCATTCGCTGGTTGTGAAGGCACTCCAGAGGCTCTACAAATTATGTCTCGATAAAGAGGGGTTTCCTGGCGAGCCTCTGGTCGAGGTCTCGGATGGTCATCCTCTAACTCATGCGATCCTGGATCGTCTAGGGTTGATCAAGCAAGCTGAGGAGAATCCGGATGAGCCCGAGGAAGATTCGGAAGATCTTCGCTACTTGCGGTTTCTGTCCACCTCGACTGACTGCAGCGCTACAACGGATCCCTCGCCCGAACCGGCCACCCCTCCGGAACCTTCCCCCAGTAACTGCAGCCCTGTGACTCCTTCCTCCAAGGGGAATGAGCCCTGGAAGTGGGAGCTGCAGTCTGTCCAGCCCCTTAACTCCGGACAATATGGCTACCCTCATCCTGGATACCACCCGATGGCGATGCCACGGCCGAGCTTGGAGCCAGCTGCCCTTCCGGGTGAAACTAAAACCCCGGAGATCATCCCTTCCATGGCCGACCATGGCCATTCACTCTATTACTATATGGGTGCCAGCTGTGATGAAGGGCCTGCCAAGAACCGCCTGGAGGCTGAAGTGGTAGCCAGGCCGGGATCGCAGCAGCCTACCACGGCATCTGGATTCCCTGTCATCATGATGAGTGACTATAACTTACATGTACAAGACCATCAGTCCGTCTATCCATCTCTTCCTGCTGGCTGGGCGTATACGTGTGGATAGAGATGGTGAACACGCCACGGAGTCTCTATCCAGCGGCCCTGGTCCTTCCTTCTCTTATCTTTCCTACCACCTTCTTTTGCTTTTCTTTTTCGGATAGGCGTCCACTTGTCGTCCATCTCTCGTTCCTTGTACGTACACGTCATACAGGCTGACTGCCTCTCTTGTCCGCCTTTTGCACCTGCTAGCCCTGTATCTTGTTGCGTACAGCATCGTGCCTATCATGACCTTGGGTTGTTCCTGCGAGCTCTCGGCAATGTTTATCTTACATGCCCGGCATGGCGTTTCATTGGCGGTTGGATGATCGCCTCATCCAACCGAGACAGGATTCACTAACTTGTACAAACAAGGTCACAGGCGTTGAGGGGTTCCTTCACCGTCTTCGACTTATTCCTTCGTTAGACCTTGGCCTCGGCCTCTGCCTCTGGGCCTTAGGCATCGATTCCTAGTCTCATCTTGGGCTCGATCATATACACCGACTTCTACTCGCAGCTTTTCTTCTCTTCTGGTCATATGTCTTTCCTCCACTGTCCCACGACAAGAAATGATAAGCGAGAAGTTAACTATACTACACTACAAATCATCCATGCATCAATAGGAACAAACAAAGAAGAAAAGAAAAGAAAAGAAAAGATCCGAGATAAGACAACCCATACACACGTCCATCGACATGGATGACTAAACAAACTTAACTCCCTATCAATGCTCAACACTCTAACACAGGCAAACCCATACAGCAAATGAGGTCAAAAGCAACAGTCAAACCCATGATGAGGGAAATGGGTACATGTATCTGTAATGAAACGATGATGACAAAACAGCAAAGCAAGCAAGCACGCAAGCAAACATTCCAGGGCCGATTCATGCAAGCCACACCCGCGACGCAACCGCCCCACAAGTGAGGACCTGCGGTGTATTTCTCGAAGAGAAAAATCAAAATGAAAAAATGAGTGATAGGAAATACCAAATAGGGAGATGCGAAGATGCACACGAGGTCAAACATGCTTCATGCTAGATAGAAATGACACAAACAATTGATCAATCAATCATCAATCAACCAGTCAATCGAGATGTAAAGAAGGAAAAATGTACCAAGAGGGAAGGAACGATGGAAAGTATGATTTTGTTTTCGTTTGTTCTGTATGTATGTGTGTGTATGTAGTAGTATATCAATCATCCCAATTAAAATAATTTCCATGGACGTATAAGGTAGGACTCGTTTTCCCTTTTTGATATTCCGTTGCTTCTTTACTGGCAAGGGTTGCTGACTACTTGGCTTCTTGAAACTTAATCATCAATGTCGGTCTCCGTGTTCGTGTCGCTGGTGTCTCCTGCATCTCCGTCGGTATCACTCTCGTCGTCGGTGGATTCCTCGGAAGGCTTTCTGGCCTTCTTCTTGGGAGGTTGGCCGGTCTTCAGGGCCTGCATTTGACCGGCTATCGAGTCTGGAGGGGATTTCGTTAGTAGTGACGGGTTGGTGGGGGGGGGAGTCGGGTTAGCTTACCTTCATCGGGTTCACTGATGTCGTCTTCCTCGTCCAAAGCGGCTGCCTTGGCGGGGTCGTCAATGTGGAGAGTGACTTCCATCTTGGTGTCGAGACCCAGGTAGCTGTCACAGAGGAGGTTCAGGACGAAGTTGAAGTCTCCGACCTGGGGAGGAGCCTGGAATTGCATCTTGAGGGTCTGGACGTTGAAGGTAGGCTTGCCATCTGCGTCAAACACGGGCTTGTCGAAGGTGGTGAAGGTAAAGGGCGGGACGGCCATCTTGCCCTGTTTGGCATCAGCCAGGAAGATGTGCCACCGGGGAGAGTGGTCGCGAGCTAGGTAAGGGGCGTGGGCCAAGGGCGGCTGGATAGCCTCGACCTTCTCCTCGACCTTGACGCCGTTCACGAGCTTGGTGGTTCTGTTCTTGGCGGGTTTACGGCCCATGATAGCGTCGAGATCATCCTCATCCGGGTCAATGTCTTCCAGATCGGCTGGGTTGACTTCCGGGACGTTCGAGTAACCGGGGGGGACAAAGCGGGCCTTGACGACCAGTTGAACCAGACTGCTAGGCGTGATGACCTTCTCACCCATAACCTTGAAGAAGGCACGGGAGACTTCGAGAACGGGGAGCTGCTTGGCGACGGTGGTGGCTGCGGTGTACTGCTTCTCAGACAGGAGACCTGCGCCAACCGTGAGGCTGCGACGCTTCTCCTCGGGGAGGCTCATGAACTTCTGGACGGTGTAGTGCTCCTTGGCGTCAGCGCCCTGGACGGACTTGACAACCTCTTCGGTGAAGTGAGGCAATTGCAAAAGGGGCGAGGATCCTGGAGCAACAGCTTGAATAAGATGCTGAGAGGTGCGGAAAGAACCCAGGATTGGCCGAACGTTGCCGAACGCAAGTGCAATAGCGGTGAAGGCCTCATTCAGCGACAAAGCAATGGGGGCAGCTTCGTACTTTTCTGTAGACACATGATATTAGCAATCTGTCTTGAGCGTAGTAAGAGTCACGTACCTCCGTTGAGCGTAGTGTCGTCCAGGTCGATGCGACCAAGGTAAGCCCACAGCAACGCCAGGGCCTTGCGTCTGCTGGATTCATCCAGACTCTTGATAACTTCTCGGTCTTCGGGCGAAATGAATGACAAGTCCTCAGCGAGGACCTTCTTCTCGAGTTTGGCCAATCCAGCATCCGTCTTCGGTCCCTGCAGCATCTCCTTAAATTCAGCGCCAGTGGACAAGGCGTCGACAATACCGCCATCCGTGATGTCCTCTCTGTACTCCCGGAAGATATCTCCGGCACTTGCGACCAAAACCCGTTCCTTGGTGTAGCGCTGAGAGCCATACCACCATTTTCCGACGATGTAAGGAAGCAGCACGCCAAGCAGAGCACCATAGACCAGCAGAGTATACTTGGAGTTTCCCTCCGAAACAATGAACGTGGGCAGAGCGATACCGATGCTCATGCTTTGCTTGCCGTCAGGGTGACCATACTGGATGTAGTTGTTACGCACTTCCTCATCAGTGAGCGCCTTGTAAGCCTTGGTCAACTCGACGAAACGGTCGTTAAGCATCTCAATAGTCTCATTCTTGGCGGGGTCCGGGCGAATCTTGTCCGGATGGTAGATAAGTGAAAGGCGCTTGTAGTGCTTTGAGATGGCTCTCTCGTCGGCGCTCTGGAAAACAGGCCTCGATTAGTAAAACTGTGGTGATTGGAGGCGTCCAACACGACAGGTGGACTGGATACTCACCCTTGAAACACCCAGAATGTCATACGGGTCCCAAACTTTGGGAGTAACTCTCGCGGTAACGATGATCAAGTATACCATCCATGCCATAACAGCGTAACCGACGATGACGGTGACTATGCGCTTGATCCGGCGTTCCTTGCGCAGGCGTTTGCGCTTCTGCGCCTCAATAAGCTCTGCATGTTCCGGCTTGAACTCGGATTTTATCCGGGGAGCGGTGTTTTCGAGGCCTATCAGTGGTGGAACATGTTAGTATGCATCTCAGACGGTGAATCGCCCGAATAGAGGGCAAAATTTTTCAACGAACCCTTGCTCGGTCGGAGAAGGTTATATGTGAGAGGGAGTGTGACAAGACTGGTGAGGGTCAGGACAAAGAACGGGAAGAATTGTCCCTGTTTGAAGATTAGTTACTGTATCTTTTGTGCGTTAAATCCGACCAAGCACCGACCTTGTCATCGTAATTGTAGTCGGTAGACATGGTGAAGCAAATTCACAATGGACACGGTCGCCCGCAGCGGGCAAAACGGAACAAAGAGTGTCTCCTGGACACCAACTATGCTGCGCGGCAGATATGTCCAGCAGATCGAAGGGATATATTCACGATTCAGGTGGTAGATTGGAGGAGCATGATCCCTTCAGACGCAGCAAAAGAGTGTGGAAGATGGAGGGAGGAGAGGTGGTGCACGACGGAGTATCTCGAGATGGGATTATCGCATCGGCGCCGGGTGTACCTTGTGATCGACCGTGTCCTTTACGGGGCCGTAGGGGGCCACACCGCCTGCCCGGCTGGGTTTGGTGGCTCTTGGGCCCAATTATTCAGGAATTCAGGGTCATGCGCTTACTTTTGAGTTACTTTCGGGTCTCCCCTAACTACGGAATACTTCGTTTTCTTATGGTGAATCGTTGTTGTCACTATACGGACATCGTGTCATTTTGGTACATACTGTACAGCTCTCTGGTCTATCTACTAGCATTAAGGAACCCGTATTCCAGGCATACAAGCATTCACATCCAGGCTTCATTTCATCATAAAACTGGTATCCCTCTTTTTTTTGTCTCCCATAAATGGACAACAAATAACGCCGGCCCAAACTTTTGATCTTCGTTTCCTCATAACTTCGAGCATCAGAGCCAGCTCTGGATAATAGCGTGAGAACGGAGTCCCCTACACGCTATGCAGGCGGAAATGCGAAAAGAGCTCAGCATGATGCGGGCAACTTACCCGCTTCGTGGGGAATTCAAGCGTCGTCAATGACCGGAATCTGGGTCGGACACGAACTCCACCCACCAAGCGAACAAGGTCCTCGACATCGCAGAGCCTTTGATCTCGACGTCGCAAGCGTGCAGGTTTCCTCCATGCCAGAATTCACATGGCCAAGCCTTTCAAAAGACCAATCCGATCACCTTCTTTCTTCTCACAGAAAGCGGGATCTTCATTGCTGCAAGTCATGGACTTGGGTCCTCCATTGAAACTGGTTCTCGCGCCTTTGTCGGGAGCTGGTAAGCGTCTGGTTTCGCTGATGTCGGATTTTATCGTGGGGATGGGCCCGTTGGCGTTCGGCTGAGGTTGCGTGCCATTTGGGTATGCCTTCGGTCCCTTTTTTGATTTTTGAGAATTTTTTCCACCGCCTGGACGACAATTATGAAAATTGCTGCAAAAAGGCAAATGATATCGGCATGATATATCATCCAGGTAATGCGTTCAAGGATTGTGGACTAGAAGGCTGGTTAGAACGGTGTTCCTGATCTATTTTCCGGCAGGCGGAACTCACCAATCGATGTAGTCGAGTCCACCGAAGTACTCCAACATGCGATAACAGAGACCGACATCGTCACCGGGTACACCACCAAAAAGACGACACTGCTCTGCCTCCAGCGTAGAAGCCTCCATCCTCAGCGCACGGTCACGTTTCTGCCATATCAAATGCCCATAGTGCCAGGTCGGGGCGGGTATTTCAGGACAGTCGAGTGCGGAGGGAACAGCTGAAGTGCAAAGGTCGACAGGTCGTGGGAAGGGTGCGAACGGAAGACTGTTGACACTGCGGTTTCGAGATCGGGGTCGTGTGCGACGTCGGTTATGCCTCTGGCCCATTCTCCGTCCAGTTCGGTGCAGATGGATAGCTTGTTTCTTTTATGTGTGGTTTGGGTCGTCGTAATCAAAGCCGGTAGGTAGGTAGGTCAAGACAATAATCCCGAGGGAATATTGTCCGTATAGCTTTTTTATGAGACGAAAAGGAAGGGAGTGACCATCACCCCTGGGAAGGATGAGATGAGGTGAGAAGGGAATCAAAGTAAAGGGATCAGGAGATGCGTAGCGGAGCGCGGGAATATATACACCATGACCGAATGAGTTGGGAGCTGTGGTGTGACTCACTACATCCCAATAAGGTTACGGAGGCACAGAAAGCAGGACGAAAATCTTCACATCCGGCCCAGGGGATCCACCAGCATCCCCTACTTCGGGAGTGCCAACTCCACTCTGATGCAGTCTAGAAGCAGAAATACCTAACCCTGCTTGCCGATGGTGAAATTTGGTCTCATGGCGAACCTGGATTGCGTAGTGATTTAGCTCGCACCAAATCGCCTAGTGGCCCTACGGAGCACAGGGCCGACTCCGTAGTCTCACTTTAGGGTTCTCCTGAGTCACCTCACTAATGTACCTTGTTGGTTCTTAGTAGCCACCAAAAAAACCTATTCTTATCCATGCCTAAGGTTCCTTGCCTGATGGCTTGCATCGAGAACCAGTGAGAATCATCCGTTGCCTTCCACCATGAAAGAGAAGGAAAATTCTGATCTCAGCCCGGCTGCCTGACTCTTTCAAACGAACCAATTGAGTGATTGCCGGGCGTCACCAAAAAATGAATGGTGGCCCCGTCATCCACGGTGCGACGAACCCGGGATAAACGGAATTCGACATCAGGAGACGTTGAACAAAGGCGTAGCCACACCCAAAAAAATCACCAAAAACTGGAGTGGTCTGACGCCATGCAGAGAGTTCTCGGCCCCGAATCAAGAGCAAACAAGGACCTCTCGGTTACCGTACCAAACCGGCTCCGATGCCGCTTGGCCCCAGCTTGTGGTCATGTGACCTCGATCGGCAACGGGATCTCTGAGTCAATTATCTACAGCCACGCACTTTGGAATCCATATCCACCCAGTTTCCCGATAGCTATTACCTAAGAACAACCCCCAGGGTACTTACTGCCACGACCATTTCAGACTCGTTTCAGCCAGACCCGGTGGCGAGCTGTGGATGCCGTACGGGCCGAGCGGGTTCTATGACGCGGTTTTTGAGAGCCCAAAATTACCTTGCAGACAGGGCCAGGCCAGTCAGGAGATGACAACATCCTCCCACCACGGCTGCTTCGGCAGCATCGCGACTACGGGGGGAATCGGGGCATGTTGGCAACATGACAGGGATGATGGTTCCTATTTACTCCGCATCTAGATCCTAGCACGCTATGTATGCATTCAAAAATATACTAGTATGTAGTTATAGATTCTCCGTATCAAGCAGATACTTACTACAAGGGGACAAAAGTCGTGGGATGTTCCAACCCTAATATTGCACTTTCTTTTTCAATTTTCCTTTTTCTCCCCTTCCCCACGTCTCCACGCGCCATCTTGGTCGATCAATAACAGACAGGTACCGTACCAGAAGGGTACTACCCATCTAAGTAGCAATAATAATCTCGAATAATAATCCCTCATAAAGACCCGGAAACCATATCCCAGTATCCTACCTACGGTACTACTCCCTAATAGACAAATAATCGTCCAATCTACAAACACGCCCTTGACTAACAGGGTTATGTGTATCCCCACAAAAACCCACGGGAACACCAAAAACCCAAATCTCTGCAGATCTCGGCGCAAAAAGAGGAAAGAGAGATTTTTTCCCTCCTCCTCTTGCTGCGGCGGCGGGCTTTTGACGTGGCTCTAATCCGACCTTGACACATGTCGTATGTACTTACGGAGTACTAGGTAGAGTTTCACGGACAAACTATGTACCTACCTAAGTAGGTAGGTAGTTAATGATGTGTGTTTGGTTTGGCATCTACCTACATGCATGCCTAACTAGTGGATTGGATCCAATATGGGTTTTCGTTTGCCTTTCCAGCTAGGCTATCCATTCCCATCCGTTTACTTAAACCACGTAGGTGAACGTTGGCCACACACATACACCACACCCCCCCCAAACAAATCTCGAATCTGCAAATTGCAAACTACTACCGACGTGGGCACTTTCTCCCGTGTCGAGTGTCAACGACCGTCGAGACTCTCGCAGTCCCGTTTCGAGGCGTCCCCGCAAATGGAGAAGAAGAAACGATGCACGATGACTCCCCGGCCCCATCTTCCTTTCTTCCCCTTTTCGGCAATTGGGTTTTGGTGGGTGGGATGTGGATTGTGGATGTGTGTAACTGCCCTAACCTCCTGGGAGTAGGGCATAATGGTGGCCGATGGCCGGCGGCCCCTTTTTGTTCGTGTTGTTGTGAGTTGTGACGGTGGAGCTCCTATGGAAAGATCGTGGACCTTCTAGGTACGACGACGGTGAATCATTGCTGGAGGGCGGTTATTCGCGGTGTTGCTAATATTGGGGGTGGGGGTGGTTCTTTTTTCCTTTTTTGCCTTTTTTTTGGGGGGGGGAGTCTTTGTTTGGCTTTGGTTTGTTTGTTTGTTTGAGGTGTTTGGGATGTTGTGCTGGATTCTAATTATGGTGCCTGAGATGGTGGGTGCGCTTGTTTCATGCGCTTCTTTGTTGTTTGGCTTTCTTTGGTTGGGATAATGACCTTCGGATGTAAAGGACTGGTTGATGGGTTGGACTTCCTTGGGTATAGGATTGCCCGGTTATTGAAAGGGATGACGGAGTTCAAACACTACGGCATTACGCCCGGCAGAACCAGGTATGACCCCCTCTGATGGAATCGAGACTGCTGAGGGAATATGGAGTCCCTTTCAGCTACCAATCATACCATTGTGCAACTCGGATAATGCTACTGCTAGCAACGCTCCACACCATGCGAGGGTCTAGACTGGCTACATCATACATCATGATACTGCGGGAATTGTGAAACGAGCAGCTGTCCACCGCCAAGGATTAAATCGTCGACCTGACGGGTCGGCTAATTGTCGATCCCGCGCCGGATGATCTCCAACATTTCCTCGCCCTTCGGCGCCGTCGTCAAATTCTCATACCCGGTCCGGGTGACGAGGATGTCGTCTTCAATGCGCACGCCACCGATGGGAATGTATTTGTCGGCTTCGTCGAAGTTGATGTACCGCGCTAGCGGCTGCTTGCGAGCATTCGCTAGAGCAAGCTGGGAGAAATACAGACCGGGTTCAATGGTGACCACCATGCCCTCCTCGAGCAGGGGAACTGACTGGCTCATGGCCGGGATGAAGTCAGGCTTGCAACTTCTGCCAGACCACCCCAGACCAGTGATTGGCTTTTCGGACACGTCGTGGACTTCCAGTCCAACATGATGGCCCAACCCGTGGGGGAAGAAAATGGACGACGCCCCCGACACACGGATCTCCTCCAAGGTGCCCTTCTTGAGAACGCCTAGCTTCTGCAGACCTCCAATGGCGATCTCATGAGCAAGCACCTGCAAGTCGCGAAACCGCACACCTGGCTTGATGCGCCTAATACACTCCTCCTGCATCTCCTCTACAATGCGGTAGACGTCGCGGGCGTATGAACTGGGCCAATCGGCGGCCAGGGGGAATGTGCGGGTCACATCACTTGCGTAGCACTCCCACTCTGCACCTGCATCCAGACAGACCAGCTGTCTTCCCTTGAGGGGCTCGTTGTTCTTCATATAGTGGAGGACGGCTGCGTTAGGCCCAGACCCAGCAATAATCCCGTATGCTTGGTTCTTTGCTCCGTGTGACACGCATGTGTCCAGGAAGAGGCCTTCGATCTGGGCCTCGTTGGTCATCTTGTGGATCTTCTCGAGGACTTTTCGATGGGCCAGTCCTGAGACTCTGTTTGCATGGCGTATCATACGAAGCTCATAGTCATCCTTAATCACTCGGGCCGCATCCATTGCGGGTAGCAAAAGCTTATCATCTAGGTTAAGCTCGTTGGATGTGGTTTCGGGCTGCTGGGAGCTATGGAGGATGTAGATTGGGGCGGCATCATTGTACTTCTTTGCCCATGACTCGACATCGCTCTGGAGGGAAGAATAGTAGCGCACTCTGTCTACGTCAAATCGGCGTTCAGCCTCGTCTGTGGTCAACGTGGGTCCCATCCAGATTGCGCGGTGCAAGTCAAAGTCGGGAACATAAAGGACCAGCAAGTCGTTGTTGATGTCGTAGGTCAGAAAGCAATCCGGCTCGTCGACCCCACTGAGATAGTAGAAATACCGTCTCTGTCGAAAGGGTTGTTCTTGGTCCGAATCGCCCCAATTGACAGTCGGCTTTCCCGCGAGATAGATAAGGCCGCTGGAAACCCCCAGCTTCATCGCCGCTTTGCGCGCATGTTGTTTGGCTGCGCCGGACTCTGTCAGTCTCCAAGCATCCCAAAAGGGTGCAGAAAGAAGGAGGAGACAAGGGAGGGGTTGTTCAATGGGCAAATTCAGACACAGGACATACCTGGGTACTTATCGAAGCCAGCGCCACGCACCGTCACACGGATATCGCGGGTCTGGATGCCCGCGACAAGCTCTGGCGCAATTGAAACACGCATTCTGCTGCTCACGGATCTACAGATGGAGTGGAGATTTAGGCGCCTATATAGACAGGACCGTGACCAAGGGAAAGACCTGAACGAAGGCACACGAAGGGTTGTGAAACAAGAAGAGATAAGCCGGCGCCTAGATAGTCAGAGAGGAGAGGGACAAGTGACAATGACGGCCGATTAACCCGCGAAGGAAGGGACTAGAGATAGCCCGTCATCACTCATACAGCCTCGGAACAGCGCAATTACCCGGAATCGCGTGGGCTGGGCGGCCTGGCCAGGCGGCTCATACCGTATCTTACGGGCCGGAGATACCTCTGATTAGGGACTCCGATATTAAAGACCCTGATCAGGCATCGAGGGAGGGAGTGACGCTCATCCCTTTTCCTCGGGTTCCTTGGGGCCTTGCATGGACTGGCATTTCTGGATGCCAGTCGCGACAGCAGCCCTCTGTAGTAGTATATGTAGGATGTAGAGTTAAATCTAAGCTAAAACGTGGCCCGTCTATCGTCTTCAGGGACAGCAAGACGAACGAATGCCCAGGCGCTGTCATCCGAACGCATCGAGCGCATCGCCCGGAAGCGTCGCTGCCTTTTGCCCCCCCACATGCGCCTCGCTCGCTCTCGTCCTAGTTTCCGGTTGCTGGTTTCTGGGTCCGACTCCAACTCTCCTCGTTTGACTTCCTCATCATCGCCCTGTCTCCTCCTACCTCTCATCCTTCCCATCTCTCCGTCTATTCCCCTATCTGCTCCTTCCATCTCTTTCCCCATCCCCTACGGTTACTCCCTCTCTCTCGTTATTCAATATTCATTCGGCCGTCATCATCCCGCCACCAGCGAGTCCGTGTCGACGCGAGACCTCCAACCAGTCAATGAACGATGCGGGGATCTGAGGCATCGGGGCCCGGTGCTCTCTTTGATGCTCCCTCGACTCTTGCCACGTCCATCCGAGTCAATCCCACCGCCGCTTTGGCCTCTCCTCCGACCGATCCGAAATTGGTCGCCTCGAACATCGAGCATGTCTTGCAAGCAATGTCCCACGACAATGGCGGTCTGGTTAGCGTCAGTGGCAACTCATCGGGTTCTACCGGCAAGGGTATCCTGATAGGCGTTCTCTCGGCCTTTGGCTCAGCCGCCGTCGCAGTCCTTGTTCTCGCGATCTTCTTTTTCTTCAAGTATACTCAGCGGGGTAGAATCATACTCGATCGCATCGGCCGACCGGGTGAATTCGACGATGAGCAGGCGTTTGCGCGCGAGGAGGCGGAAGCCTTGGAGGTGATGGATGACCTGACGCGATCGGAATATTTAAGAGCAAAGGGTAAGTCATCCCTGGACTCAGTTGTGGTCCTGTTTTTTATGTTGTTCCTCTGGGGCTATCATCGACGATCGGATGTTGTACTCGACGAAGGACGTGCGTTTGTCGCTAACTCATTATGCAGCATTCATTGAAGCCAATCCACCCGAGTCAATGCAGACCGACATATCGTTATCGCAATTCCTTGCAATCCAAGAAAAAGGAGTGTCCGCATGGGAGTTCCAGCCAGAGCTGGAAATCGCCAACTGCTTTGTCGAAGGCCGGACCGAAATTGAGTTCTATGACTCGGAATGCAGTGTCCAAACCAACCTGCCTGTTCCGAAACAAAATGACGTCTATTACTGGGAGGCTAAGATCTATGACAAACCCGAGAATACCCTTATCAGTATCGGCATGGCTACGAAACCGTATCCCCTGTTCAAGTTACCAGGTGCGTCTATAGGTGTTGGTTGTTAGGCCTATGCTTCGGCTGCTAATTCCTTTTTATGATGTCAGGTTTCCACAAGACCTCGGTCGCATACCAGTCCACGGGCCATAGGAGACATAATCAGCCGTTCGCGCCCATGCCATATGGCCCTCAACTCTTGCAGGGCGATGTGATCGGCGTAGGGTACCGACCTCGTTCGGGCACGATCTTCTTCACTCGCAACGGCAAGAAGCTGGAAGACGTGGTCCACGGCCAAAAGACGCAGAATTTCTTCCCTACTGTCGGAGCCAACGGCCCTTGTGCTGTGCACGTAAACTTTGGTCAGATGGGATTCGTGTTCATTGAAGCCAATGTCAAGAAATGGGGTCTGGCCCCGATGACTGGCAGTCTGGCCCCTCCTCCACCTTACGGAAGCGAACAAGGCAGCATCCTACTCGAATCGGGCCGGGAGAGTGCGGCTCAGATCTCTCAGCGGGTTTACCAGGATGCCAATAACGCGCGCACAAGTTCGACTGTCCGTGTGGCACCCTCGGCTAGCCCTGGCCCAGTGCGGTCTCCAACCGACATCTCCCTAGCTCAGCTTGCCCATATTCCGTCGAATGAGGACGTCGGAGAAGGGTCGAGTCGGGCCACTGGCGATGGGGAGCAAGTTCCCTTGTTGCATACGGACGACCTCGACCAGATCCCGCCTCCCGAGTATTCCAGCCCGAACGGTAGTCTAAGAGGCAGCGAGGAGCTGCACCCGATACCCAGCTATGACGCTGCTGTTGGCAACCGTGACGGCCACGGCCCACCCACGGACGAGACCCGCTAAGGGCGCCCCCGTCTACTAGTTTCTATTGTTATTGTTCCTCATCAGTTCTTGGCGAAGCGTCTCTTCGATGTGTATACGGCATGTTTCAGCCACTGACTACGTGGGTATATTTCTACTGTTCCTTGATTTTAGCGGCCACGGTCGGCGTTCCACAGGCGGATTCTGCAGGTTAGGTTTCACGGTTACGCCGCTAGATGTGGCAATGATGAATTACGTATATAGGGTTTGGTCGTTCTGTCTTGATCGTTTGGATCGATTTGCTCGGTTGTGGGAACAACTGCCTGTGGCCCATCGACTGCTACTCTCTCAAGGCGTTTGCAGGTCGCTTAGACGGGCCATGTTGTTCCCATGATATCCTTGTTTCCTTCCGAATTCGTGTCAAAAATGGTTGTTATTGAATTGGGCGGATTTATTGCGGTGTTGTCCGGGGGTTATCTTCTCTTGATCGAACACATACAGTGGCTATTTATATCATTCCTTGCCTGGCGATTTTCTTCGTGTACGTGTAGCTGCCCGTTGGCAATCGGCCTATCACACTGTCTGGTGCTGGGCTCTGTATAACTTGCAATGGATGGTTTGTGAGTGACACTCACCACACGGGTTCATACTCTGTACTCCGTACTCTGGACTCTTATAGGGATTCCCTGTCTAGGGGAGTGCCTTCCGTCCCTGGAGGGCCTCGCCTTGCGCCTTCCGCATCCAGAGCGGCCGGCGCGTCATCACCAGCCAATCGCTCTCTTCTGCCCGCGATCAAGAAACCGCCTCGACCTCTCCCGCTGATCCTCTTCGTTCTTTGTCGTCCCTGTCTGCATCGAACGGGTTCGTTGGTCATCATCATAATCGGTCCCCCACGCCCTGATAGAGTTTCTGTCCCTTGTTCCTTGGTTGGTCTTCCTCTGGAGATGCTCATCCTCACTCCGCTCGATCGACCTTCGCCTCATCGATCACACCCCACTTCACCCTAGCAACTCAGCGAACTTGGCCACGATAACGGTTTCTCGAGCTTCTATCGCATTATACATGCTTATCGCATATTCTGCAAGCTCAATTCTCCCATCCCGTCTCCATTGGCTCTCGCACAAGCCACCACATTTTGCTTTTGTTGCCAACGCCGTTTCCCAATCATTCCTCCAGCCACCGAATCATCCGTTCACCAGCTCGGACATTAGCGTCCTGCAGGTGGCCAGTGGCGGGCGGGCGACTGCCAACAAGCTGAGCACAAGTTAATTCGCCAGGCGCGACGGATCTTTGCCCCAGATTTATGGGGAAGAACCCTCGCGGTAATCGGGAGCAGTCGATTGGAATCCCTACCACATCGGCCTGGCTGCCAGCCTGACCGCTATCTAACGTGAATAGCGTTGTACAGTTCTCCTCCAACGGGGTTCCTCTTCTTCATATTCCGGGAGTGACGCGTGTCTGAGCGAGGAGGTTCTCCGCCACCCACGGTCACACCCGCACAGCCAAGCGAGGGAGGAGGGCATTTAATATCTGCGCTCAGCCGCACTGGGTGGAGTAGTTACATCTGGCGCCGTTTGGTTCTACCCTTGCTCATTCTTTGGGCAAATACGCAGTAGATACGGCAGCGGCGATCGCGCCCAGCCTTATGCCGGGTGGAAACTGCATCTTAGCTTCCCTTGAATCCCCACACGGTCCGGGCACCACCCCAAGTGGTCGCTGAAAAAGAGGGCTAGAGCTCGTTCGAAAGGGCGATTTTCTCTGGAGGCCAAACCATCCCATTAATTCCTATTGCAGCTGGTGCCCTGGAGCTCTGTTGCTCTCTAAGTGAATCTTTCAAAAATGCAACAGGCCGAATTGCCATATGTTGGACCAAACCCTCCACAAGTTAATGGTCCAGAGGAAGCTCCAGGTTTACAGATCATCGTTTTGGTAGGTCTTGTCTCATATTCTGCGTCCATCTCCCCCATGTGGCTTTGACGTCTTTTCACATGTTTTCGATCGAAGAGCCTGCCTTCTGGCGAGCCCGATCACTGGCAGCCATGCGCCATGTCTCACGTTCTTCCCCGCTGTTGTCCCGTCCTAAGCTCCGTGCATTGCATCATTGCTCACTGGTTGTGAGTTTCTACCTCGGAAGTCGACCACTAACATTTGCCTGGAAAGGGTCCGACAGGGGGCCCCCGTGAGGATAGAGTCACAGGACTTTTGGTTCGATCTACGTCAACCAAGTGGTCATCGAACTCGGTGGTCGCTGTCGATGCAGGTACCCTTCTTTGTGGGATCATTGACACTCTAGAGCCATGTGATAACCACCAGGAGGTATCAGACCGGGGCCCGTTTGCTGGTTTGGAACTCCCACACAACAATGCTCCGGCAAATGCAGCGCACGTTTTCCGGCACATCATTGGGGCTGTCTGCATCACACATCCTCATCTAGATCATCTGTCGGCATTTGCCATAAATACGCCGGTTCTGGAGGCAGGATGTGGAGCAAAGACGTTGGCTGCCTTACCCTCCGTAGTCGCTGCGATCAAGACTCACGTGTTCAATGATGTGATCTGGCCTAATTTGTCCGATGAAGATGGCGGTGCTGGCCTTGTTACCTACCAGCGCTTAATGGAGGGCGGCAACCCTATGATGGGCCGTGGCGATGAGAGGGGCTATACACGAGTCTGCGAGGGCCTGTTGGCGAAATGCCTGGCCATCAGTCACGGGCGCTGCAGACAACGTTCCAACCCCGAGGTTGAGGTTCAACACCGGCTGAGCAGCGCCGCTTTTGGTTTCGATCCGCTAAGGCTTAATCCAAGGGCCTACTCGGTCTCCTTTGACGAACCAGAGACTGGCTACTTTTCTCCGTCACGTTCGCCTGGCTTTCGTGTGCCTGGGAAGGATGGCTGGGCGGCCGTCGAGTCCTCGGCTTTCTTTATCCGTGAACCTGCTACGAAGCGAGAAGTGATCATCTTCGGCGACGTGGAACCCGACACAGTCTCACTCAATCCGCGCAATCGACGCGTGTGGGAAGCAGCAGCGCCGAAAATCGTTGCCGCTCAACTGCGAGCGATCTTCATCGAATGCTCCTATAATGATGATGTTGATGACGCGTCCTTGTACGGTCATCTTTGCCCGCGCCACTTAATCGATGAATTGATTGTATTGGCGCAGAAGGTCACGGAGTTAAAACATCCAGAATCGTTCATGATGAAAAAGCGTAAGCGTGCGAGCGCCCCGGAGGTACCCGGAGATCCAGCCCTGAGCCCCAAATCAAAGAAGGCAGCCCTCGCAGGAGAGAAAAGCGGAAGCTCTCGTCGAGGGTCTGCCAGAACGACGCGCCGCCATACGCGTGCAAGAGTCACTCTGGAAGACCCTAATGACATGATGGAAGCCAGCCCATACGTTTCTCACGCACCTAGTGAGGTTGGGATAGATTTGTCATTGGCTGAGAGTTCGGACCCTCTAATGCCACTCCAGTGGCCTGAACCGCCTCTGGCTGGTCTCTTAGTCTACATCATACATATCAAAGACGACTTAAACGATGGTCCCCCTCCACATGAGCGCATCTTACAGGAACTCAAGGCTCAGGGGGAGACTGCCGGGTTAGGATGTGAATTCCGTGTACCCACACGTGGTGAGAGTGTCTTGATCTGATCGCCGATTGGTAATGGCCGCTGCAGGTTCATAGTTCATCCCCTTGCACTGTAGCAGTGCTCCATACTTCTTTTGATGATCGACGTATGCCAAGGAAATATAGCAACTCGCTACATATCTTGTTGTAGACATACGATGAATTTGGTTGTATGTTTTTGCTAGGGGACGTTGGAACCACACGCCCGGACCTTATCTTCATGCGATGGGCTTTATATCTTGCTTGTTATAATGTTTCTTTGGCGCGGCTGCTGTGACCAAAGTCATGCTTCTGATCATTTTTCCCTGCAACTTGTGCATTAAGCAGATACCACTTGTACATTCGAGCACATTGTCGATGAGGCAGGGCTATGAGGCATCCGGTACCCTTTTGCTGGAATGAATAGCAGACGCCATCTGTATCCCTACTATCTCGATTACTGCAGAGAAGGGAGAAAAAAGTAACCGAATTCCCGCATACCCTTATACATGATACCCAAGGATCAAGAACCGCACGCAATGATATAATCCACAACATAAATGCATCATGTTAACACTGCTCCGTACCCAAAGATAACCCTGACCCGAGAAAAAAGCATAAAGAATACAAGTCACATACATGCAGACCCAACCCCACTAAGAGCTAGTAGCAGCAGTAGTCCTTTCCAAAGCCTGGGAAATAACATCCTCCCACACCGCATTCTCACCCCGGGGAACCGTCAGTCCTGAGCTCTGCTCTTCCGCATCATCAGACCGAGCCCCGGGTAAATCCAGAATGGCCTCGCCGTCTCTTGCGAACGCAATCAAATCCTCCTCGCTACCCCATTCGCCCATCGCCATTAGTCCAATCGGGACTCGGGATCCATCCCGCGCGTGATACCCAGCGGGACAGTTGATTGCAGGACAGCCGGTGAAATTGGCTAGCCAGACGTATTCCATGTTCCGGACGGAGGATTTGCCGTCGGATACGCCGCGGGCGAGATCGGCTTCGCCGCCTTCGATCCTCCAGCCCGGGATTGGGGTGGTTGGGCTGAGGATTAAGAGGCCGGGATGTTGCTGGAAGAGGTAGGCGAGGTGGGTCATCAGGCAGTTGCGGAGGCGCTGGGAGGCCAGGAAGTCCTGGCCTGTGATTTGCCACATGCCCATGGATACGAGGACTTTGTTGGGGGCGGTGAGTTGGCTGATTTGGTCGGGGGTGAGCGCTGAGGCGATTTCGTTCATGATCGTGAGGACGTGCGCGCGTTGGCCTTCGGGGAGGTAGGGAATCTTGATGTCGATGCTGGTGTAGCCTTGTTCTTTGACGTAGTAGTCCAGGGCTGCATCGAAGACGACGCGGACGGCGGGTTCAGCCCGGTCGATCCAGTCTCGCACGATGCCGATGGTCTTGGGTCGTGGGGTCGTTCTGGATTCGGCCGCGGCGAGCTCGAGGAGAGGCGGCGGGAAGGCCGCTGAGAGAGGATCTTCCGCTGTTGGAGCGGGCGCGGCCATGATGCGGTAGGCAAGTGCCAGGTCGTCGATGCTAGCGGCGATAGGCCCGTAGACGCCCACGGTTGTGGCGAGTGAGACGGTGGGAGAACCGCTGACTCGGCTGTGAGAAGGCTTGAGACCCCAGACTCCGCAGAAGGAGGACGGGATACGGATTGAGCCGCCACCGTCGGCGCCCAGGGCGATGGGCACCAGGCCTGCACCGACGGCGTATGCGGATCCTCCTGAGGAGCCGCCACAGTAGTAGTTGGGGTTGTGGGGGTTTTTGGGGGTGCCGTAGTTCGGGTTATTGTTGGTGGTGTCTGGCGTTGAAGGTGACTGTTAGCTTTGGGTTGTCGTAGGCTCGCAGGACCGCGCACTCACCTAGGCCCAGCTCGTGCATCGTGGTCCTCCCAATTACGATGGCCCCGGCTTCCTCCCATTTCTTCACACACCAGGAGGTACCACCAAACTCCCCGGTGAAGTCAATCTTACTTCCCAGTGTCCGCCGATAGCCCTCCATGTGCACTTCGTCCTTGACCGCAACGGGGATGCCATCCATGGGGCCCAGCTGGCGGCCGTCTTTGTATCTCTGGGTAGAGGCTTCTGCTGCAGCGCGGATCCTCTCGGCTTTCGCATCTAGAAAGGCGACCGAGTGCTTGCCGGGCCGGTTGGCATCGCGGCGGATCAGGGGAAGCAAGGTCTCGACGACGGCGGTGGGAGTCAATTCCCCAGACTCGTAGCGAGCGACATAGTCGGCGGAGGTATAGTAGCCTGCGTTTCCCTTCCGCTTCTGGGTGGGAATGGGCAGGTTGGCAAGGGAGAGATCGGGGTTGGCGACGGGGATCACGGTAGGATCATATCGGGCGGAGTACTGATCGAGGGGGAGGTTACGGATGACGTCGAACCCGGCATTGCGCCAGAAGTAACTCTGAATGAGGCCAACATTCTGGATACTGAAGGAAAATTAGTAAGGGAGCGAATGGAAGCAGCAGCAGGAGCAGCAGGAGGAAGCTTACAGGGTAGCTCCGATGGCCAAGGGAGTGCCGCGGAAGACCGGAATCACCTGGTCCTCGTTCTTGTACGGCACTGCGGGTCCCGGCCGGACCTCCGGATAGTGGAAAAATTGCCCTTTCTCGCCCATGATGCGATCAACTAAGTGTCTGAAACACAAGAGGTTTGCGATCAGGTCCCGGGGGAAGAAGAACAGGGGAAGCTGGGCAGCTGCGGTGCTCCCCGCCAGAGCTCTCGTTCCAGCCGCGGTTCAGCTGGTGCCAAGCCCGCCGTCACAAGCCATCTCTCTATCTACTATCTATACTACGGAAGCTACACTCGCCAACGAAGAACAACAACGACAACGAAAAGTAGGCTGTCGGACTATTGGTACAATTGTTACTTTTGAGGGGGTCGTGCTTCACCCCATTCAAACCTCATAATGCCAACTTGATGTTCGCCCGGTCCAGTCCCAGCGCAATGCCCGTGAGAAGCGCGGCATATCCGATCAGGATGGCCATGGCCTGTGCAGTACTGACGTCAAGGGTCGGGACGCTCAAATTCACAGCCCCAGTGAGTAGATTGGCCACCAGGAAGATAGCCAGTCCGCCCTTGTTGAAGGCCTTGAGGACACGGCTCGTTGCAAACGAGACTCGCTCAGCCTCACCATCCTTCCCCGATGCCCGATGCACGGATGGGAAGAAGACCGTCTCTAGGAGACAAAACAGAAACAGCTGGGCGTTGTTAAAGGCAGATACCCAGAGTACATAGGGCATATTAGCGAGGCGGCGCGATACCGGAATGTTGGCGCCGTAACCCATCGCATAGGTGGAGTTCAGAAGGAACAGCGCGGTCCACGAGAGGGCTTGAATGCACAGGGTCACAAGCACGCGCTTCCTAGCCTGTTGAGGGGACCTCGAAGGGCCTGTGCCGCGAGGAATGATCCGAATTCCAGCGGCACGACCGGCCAGAAAAATCGCAAAGTATCCCAGGAAAGAGAAGACTCCTTCCCGGTTTTTGGATAGCAAGTCCGGTCCGCGAGGCGAAACGAGGATGTAGCCTTTCAAATCGGTCGATTCGAGAGCGACCTGATACAATACAGCCACACCCAAGGAAAGCACCTCATAGGATGGAATGATAGCAGCCAGGGCATCAAAAAGCTCCACAAAGGGAGGCAGCAGACCCAAGGTGAAGAAGAAGTTCCAGTGCACGCCATATTCCGTCACATGCTCCGCATAGTCAAGTCCCTTCACACTGTATAGCCTGATCAATCCCAATACCAGCAGCGGGACCGAGTGCCGCGTGGACCCTGTCAACCGTTGCCAAGTGGAAGTCTTCTTGGCCCCGTTCTTCCGACCCTTGAGCACTGAACGAGCAGACACTACCCCGCCAGAAAACACAAAAGAGCCAACCCCCAGGTCCATGAGTGACGTGCCCCAGTTTTCCACCTTAGCGAACCGTCGTGGGAATTCCGGGAAGTCCACCGCCAGGATGGCAATACAGGTAATGATCATCATGGCTGCACGATACGTTGTAAGGAACGGGTGGATGGGCAGAGACTCGGACATGTCCGATGTGTCCTTGTCGGTCGAGGTTGATCTCGGTGGGGGCTTGGCTTTCTGTTGGCTTCGGGGAGGTCTCGAATTCAGGAGGAGCAGGAGGGCAGGGGCGATCAAGAGGGCGTTGAGCGTCCATGGCGCAGAGGAGTACACGGTCGTGGCAAATAGGATGGCCAGGACATTGAGGAGAAAGTCGGTCACCAGCGCTGCTGAACTGTAAGGAGTAAAGAAGGAGAGACGTGATTGTAGCGCAGACCAGAGTAGGACAGTAGCCTAGAGCAAATCCCGAAGAGTCAGCGACATTGAGAGAAATGACGTATCTAGGTGATGCTTCTACTAGGCACATTATCCAGGGAAGGAGACTTACCGGTGCGACCAGCGTCACAGCATTGATTTCAAGGATGTCTCCTCCTGCCAGATTGGACACGAATGCCTCTTTTCGCGCCTTGTAGTCTGGGTCCATGCTGACACTTCCGAGCTCGGGTCCAATTGAGCGAGAGAGAAAGAAGGAGAGGGAGGAGGGGGAAGTGGGAAGAAGATGGGTACGACGTTGCAGATCGATTGAAGTTAATCTTGCATCAGTAAGTAAATAAGTAGGTAATTCTGCAGATGTTGCGACGTGGCCGGCGCAAGGAATTGGGCAGCAGCAGCAGCAACAGCAACAACAGCGATGACGCTGAAGGAGACAGCCAGCAAACAAACAGGTCCAACTGGCCGTTACGGGACGGCTCACACCTCAGGCTAGCTACCTCCCCGATCGGGCTAGCCTGGTGTGCCTGGATTACCCAGTATGGTAAACCGAATACATCCCCGCCTTTTTGCCATATCGATTCGGTGCCCCTCCCAAGGTTGAGGTGCAACTTTCCCACCTTTTCCATGGCCGACCTTCCGCTCAGCAAATCATCCGCTGCCGTTTTTCCTGCTTGGGAGCCAATTTCAACATCTCACTTGGGGGTGGCACTCGTCCAATGGATGGCAGCTAGTACCCCTGTGGTCACCCCTCTTTCATCGCTTTGTCTCACATCTGCCTCGATCGATTTTGGATCGATCTGTAAACAGACACATTTTCCCACTCTTCCACTCGACAACTTGAGAAGATCTTGAGTCTTATGGTCGTGGTGAGAATGCATGAGTAGACGATTGAGGTAGAGGTGGAATGAAAGGGGAAAGAAATTCCAAAAAGCAAACGGTCAGCTAAGATCTGCTGGGAAATATCGTGCTTACGTCGCTAGACTCGCAGCAGATCAATCTTGCCTGCACCGACCGAAGTGCTGACTCCCATTATTTACAACCCGCCAGGCTGCCATTGCTGGAACCTCCACATACTTTCCGATCTACATTCCCAAGAAGGCCAACCAGATTCTAGCATGACACGCACCAGAATTCACCCACTGAGATTGCGCATTACTATGGGGTACCATGCTACTACTACTGGGGCCGGGGTGCGAAGGTGAGCACAGAGGGGACGGAGTTTCTCCGTGTCCCCTAGTAGCACGGCTACGCACGAAGCTGCTTTAGCCCTGCGTCGTCGTTTCGGGCTAGAACAGGTTTGGGTCAGCCGAGATTTAGCTCACAAGACATCGCTCCGCTGGTCTTCGGTTGAGGTTAAAGAAGACCGATAAGAAAACTTCGTGTGATGCATCAACAAAAGCCGATCCATCGGGGAGGAAATGATCATCAGCGATTTCCAGTAAAGTACACGGCCGTTTCCCGTGCGGATGCAGCCTGGGACAATGATATGCAGCTATCAGGCCCACCGTACGGCTTTAGTACGGCTTACCTTAGGAGATTATTTTTTAGGGCCATTTTGGCCGATGACCGGTATGTATGTACTCCGTACTCCGGGGAACATTGATGCCATGGACCTGCCCTTGGAGGCCTTGGACATGGATTACACCATCACCTCGGCTTTCCCGGTGCCTGGAGAGAGTCAACAGTGGTTCCTGAAACTTTGTTGCTATGCCAATAGCACGTCATTGTCCAGTCCTCCACCCTTGCAAGCCCAGTCCGAACGGGGGCCCTGGCAAAGAGACAGAAAAAGCAAAAATAGGGCAGAAAAAGCGAGGGAGGGAAGAGGTGGGATCCAGACTCCATTTGAACCTTTCTGGTTAAAACCCACTAACCTGAGATGGCAGGCCCTGTGTGCGTCATGCATCAGCGTTCAGCCAGCCTTCCCTTCCGGCTCCAGAGCCTCGGCGATGCTGCAAATCCTCGCCTTTTCGTCGGCTTTTGCCGTCTAGTTCCGGGCACGTTGCCCACTACATTTCCACTCTGGGTGATTCTAATATGAAAAGTTTGGGTTCGATGTTCTACGGGGCTTCTTCGCCGGGCTTCTCGCCCGACACGAGAGTCCTATCCGGCAGTCGATTGGTTCCGATTACTCAGAAGGGCAGTCTGGGTCAACCTTCCGCTCGGCTCAGCAAATCGTAGTTGGCCCTGATGGAGGGCCAGGCAGTGGGCCCGATCTACTTCCCCTCGTGGCGAGCACCAGTCAAGCGCTACCATGGTTGCAACTGGCTCCAAAGGGGCTCGCTGCCCATTATTTATTCGCTTCCCAAGTTCCGACCTAAGTGTCACGGAGTCTTCCGAAGCCGGATAAAGGCAGCTTATTGGGGAAATTAGAGAAGATCTCTCTTGTCGTTGGCGCGAAAAGCGACGGCATGCGATTCGTTCAGCCGTGAGCACTGGACGAGAGGCTCTTGGGGGGGTCAGTAAAGATTGTCCGCATCTGATAGCCTGGCAGATCCTGGAATCTGAGATTCGGCTCCTGGAACCGCTGGGATCGTGCATACCCAATCCAAAACCCGCAGATCACTGGCCAAGGTGGTGTGGTCACTGGTCAGCCGCCGTCGTACTTTGGCAGTACAGCCAAAACCCACTCCTCGTGGTCCGATCCGCTTGGTCTCTCGACGTCCCAACCCCTAGGGACAAAGTACGTCGCGCTCGGTATTTCCCCGTCCCGCCTGCACAGTTTCTGTTTGTCGGTCAGTCGTTCTCTGATCAGCCTGAACTCTGCTTTGGCCCCAGCATGGTGCCAAGGAATTCTCCAGTGGTCGAACGAACGCTGTGCAGCTTCCGAACAAGTCCCAGGGCTTTCGTCGTCCTGGAATTATTTTTTTTTCTTTGCTGTCTTTCTCGTTTCGCTTAAACAGAATAATGTATCCGCTACTGAACCGGGTCTGCCATGTGGCCCGGAAGGACTAAGATCCACCGAGTGGTCTCTACTACCGTACGAAGGGATGCTCCTCCAGGCGCAAATTCCGAGCTGGACAACGCCCACGGACTAGGAGGGACAGCAACCACCTGCTCGGTTCCTCTGGCCGTCCTCGAGGTGTCCAACACCACCGTGTCGGTTACTTGACTGGTGTGCACTGCCGCCACGCAACTAAGCCAGCCCGTCTAGGGTGCTGAGGGCCCCCTTCGAATTGCGAATTAGAGCGTGCTTGTAGGTCGGGAGGGTCGGAAGGTGCTCATAGCGCAGCGCCGTCGACCCATAGAAGTAGCTTCTTGAAGAAAAGCACTGCACCACAACCGCCCCCCTTCCTCCAGGGGATTTTCCAGGCCGTGGGACCTGCTCATTGGCGCGTTCTCGGGCCCCAAAACAACGGGTGGTAACGAGGCGTAACAACTAAGAATAATGTTGGGGAGCCGGAGACTCCAGCGTCAAGCGTCCAAGCTGTCCGGGAGAAGACAGTGACGATCTGGAGACCAAGCCAGGACTAGATCCTCCCAGGCCATCTGTGCCTAATTTCTGCGCGAGTCTGACCTGGGAATGGGTCCTGGCAGCCATGCCCAAAACGGGCAGTTCCCTGATTATTCCCCTCCAAACGCTCAACAAAGATTCCACTCCCTACGGCCTGTCTTCCTACGTATCTACCCGCCCACCTTGTTCCTATCAGGCGGCCGCCGTCCGTCCCCTTGGGTATATATACCTAGTTTAGCGCGACCCACGCACTTGGAACCGCTATAGTCGCATCTTGAGAGGCGGCCTCGAGTCCTCTGCTGGCCCACGCACGACTGGGATGCCTCACTTTCCCTAGAACGCTCATCTCCATCCTCCGTGACTCCCCTCTTCCGTTCTCCTTCCACCACCGCCGAGCTGGGTCCCGAGTTGCAGCGAAGGATGAGCTCTACCCCAGAGCCCCCGGCGACCAAAAAACGCGAGTCCCGTGCTGGGGCGCGTAAAGTGACGTCGCTCTCTGCCGAACAACTGGAGAGGAAGCGTGCCAACGATCGGGAGGCTCAGAGGACCATTCGGCAACGGACCAAGGAGCATATCGAGCGGCTGGAGCACCAAGTGGCCGAGCTGAAGGCCAAGGGAGAACAATTCGACGATGTCGTCCGACGGAATGTCGCCTTGGAACATGAAATTCGCGCTCTGAAGCATCAGCTCGCTGTGGCGAGCAGGCAAGGATATCCGGGCATGGGTAGGTCACCGGTCTCCGTCGTCCGCAGAAGGCTATGGGATGGGTCTGGAATTGCTGACAATTGTCCCGGTGCAGCAGAAGGGTCGTATAGTAATGCCTCCGGATCCATGCTCCCTGCCTCGCAGTTCGCAGAGCCGATGGGGATCAATCCAGCTTCCAGAGCTCCCTCGGTCCTTTCTACGTCTAGCCGGGTGTCCATGGGGTCGGAGTGGCCACACTATGGTCCAACACGGTCCCCGTCAACATGCGAATCGAGCGAGACAAATTATGGCAGCCGAGCCGAGTCCTACCTTTTCGACAATCAACTCCAACCGTCTACGGCGATTTCCGTCGCGCCGCCGCAGGTTAGCTACAGCGCCCCGGTCTGTACTCAGCCTGAGACGGGGTTTCATTCGTATGCCCAAGCATATCACACCGGAAACGCCAGTCGCGGACCCGCGGAAGAACTTGCACAGCATCCCCCGCAACCACTCCCATGCGTACCCGGCCAGCGGCCTATGTCAGTGCCGGCGATGCCAATAGAGAGACCTGGAGGATATCCAGTCGTCCAAGCGCCGCAGCAATATCATCAACACACCCTTCCGCCTCAGACAAGGAACGAATACGGCTATGGCTGGCCTCCGCATCAGTCCTGAGTCTGCCTAGTCGATGGGGCTCTGGAAGAAACTTTCTAGCACGACCCAAGGCACTTGCGGCTATGGCCTGAAGGCTCAGCGAGCGATCAACCGTTTGCTTCGGCCAGCACTCTCGACCCAGAGAACAGCGAGTGCACCCTCTCTGGGAAGCGATATGCAAAGGCGTGGGTTGCTCGCGGACCTCCCACTACGGAGTGAGCCATTTCCTATCAGGCTTCCCCAATCGGACGCAAAGCCTATGATCGGGGGCCCATTTGGACCGATCTGTGCACGACTTTCATCGGCGTCCACAACAGTGAGAGGGTATCTCACCGGCTCTGGCGGTCACCATACCGTATGCTGGGACGGGGGGGCAGGTCTGTCCCGTTCGCAACTTGCCCGACCCGCAACAGAGCACATCCGTAATCCGCCCCGAGAAGAGTTTGCCTACCGAGACACACCTATCGGGCGTGCCGATGGAATTCCACGTTTTCACGATTCGCCAGCCATGTGGAGGAAGTACTGCATAATCAGATTGCGCGATAGACTAGATTTCGATTACCGAGATACCCCGAATCCACTTGGTTGGTTTCAGAAGAACCAAAACACACCTCCAACGTCATCCTCTCATCTCACCCAGTAAATTTTTCTTGTCCCATTCCCAGACTCAATCTCTGTTCCACTGAAACAAATCCATTCGGCCCGGCACCGGCTCTACCGGGTTTCCTATACTGCAAACAGACAAACCCCTCCACCAGCCAGACGCGGGACCGCGTATGGGATTCTGATTCGAGCTCGGCAGACAAATGCCGGAGGATCGGACCAGAGTAACTACCGATCCTCTTCCTCCGCCTTCCATCCGATCGGATCCCATCCCCATCTCTCCATCCCATCGTTCCAGTCCCCCAACTCCCAAGGGTCCCCCTCCTCCTCGCCTCTTGAATAATGCATCCAAGCCCCGTGACGAGTACCTGACACCAACAGCGGGTTCGCGTCTGTCTCCATCCCAACCGCTCGTCTGGGTAACCTTATGCCGGAATGATCGTCGCGGTCGTCGGTCCGGTCGGTCGGGGGGCCCACTGCAATATGTACGAACGGTATCTGATTCTAAGGCTCCAATGGTAGCGAACCGGAGGCATTTTCCGTCCGATCTTCTAAGCGAGAACCCTAAGTTGTGCGGGCTTATGGATATCGATGGGGAGTATGAATGAAGCAGTATGGAGTATGGAGAGAGGAAATACGGAAGTATGGAGGATATCTAGGCTATGGAACTTGAAACATGAGGTCTTCGTTCGTTTGGTTGGTAGTGGTTGTGTCGGTTGAAGCCGACGTATCACTACTGATGTTCCCCACATACATCAATCAGATACATACATGCAGGCAGGCAGGCATACGACGTCTACGACACGGACATTCTATGGCAAAGGGCGGTAGATGATGGAGAAGACAGTGGAGAAGGGAAAGAAAGACGGGAATGGGGTTTCAGGTTTAGCGAGTGTACTGCTTCTGGAGCAGCTTGGCGATGGTTTGCAGTTGGATGTTGCTGGTGCCTTCGTAGATGGCTCCGATCTTGCTATCCCGGAACATCTTCTCGGCGATGCCTTCACGCACGAAACCCATGCCTCCCATCCACTCCACTGCGGAACCGGACACGCGGCCGGCCACTTGCGATGCATACAGCTTCGCCATCGCGGCGTCTTGCACGAAGTCCTGTCCGGCTTCCTTCTTCCGCGCCGCGTTGTAGACCAGCGCGCGTGCGGCCGCGATCTCTGTGTACGCTTGCGCGATCTGGTGCTGCATGCCTTGGAAGTTGCCGATCAGTTGGCCGAATTGGCGCCGGTCGTTCCAGACGTACCTGTTGTGGTTAGCGGGGTGAAGTAAGATGAAGTGAGAGGGGGTGAGTTCTTACTGTGCGGCGTTCTCCCAGGCACCCAGAGCCAGACCGGTCATTTGAGCGGCAATACCGATGCGACCCTCGTTGAGCACGCTGATGGCGTACTTGTATCCCTGCCCTTCTTCACCGAGCAAGTTGCTCTTGGGAATCACCACGTCATCAAAGTTCAGCACACAGGTGCTGCTGGCCCGGATACCGAGCTTCTTCTCCTTCTTAGCGATGGAGAACCCGGGGGTATCCTTCTCAACAATGAAGGCCGTAATCCCACGGTACCCCTGACTAGGATCGAGGTTCGCAAAGACAATAAACACACCAGCCTCCATAGAGTTAGTGATCCACATCTTAGAGCCATTAATCTTGTATCCATCCGCCGTCTTCTCCGCCTTCGTCTGCAACGCAAACGCATCCGATCCGGAGGCCGGCTCCGACAAACAGAACGAGCCGACAGTCCCCGTCGCCAGCTTAGGCAGCCATGTGCGTCTAGCCTGCGCATCCCCGTACTTCATGATCGCAGTATTGACCAGAGTATTATGAACATCCACGAGAACACTAACGCTGGGATCCACCCGAGCCAGCTCCTCGATAGCGACAATCGCAGCCGTGAAGTTCATGCCCGCGCCACCGTATTCCTCGGGAATCTCGACGCTCATCAACCCTTGTTCGAAGAGTTGCTCGACCACGGCGGGGTCCATCGTCTCCGCTTCATCCATGTCGCGCACTTTGGGGGCGATTTGGTCCTGCGCGAATTTGGAGACGGATTCGGCCATTAGGGACTCGGTCTCGGAGAGGAAGGTGATCGGGGTGGGGGTCAGGCCGGATAGGTCGACATCCCGCCGGCGGGATGTGGTGGAGAAGGCATGGGTGCTATTCAGAGGTGTTAGCGGGAAATGAGGAGGTTATGGTGGTAAAATGCTCGAGTCTGTTGGTCTGTCTGGGGTGGGAAGTTGAAAGCTGAATCGTGGTCTCACCTCAAAGCTAGCCTGTACGGCTGTGGCGGTCTTGCGATAAGGCGGGCGGAGGTTGCAGTGCGCGACAGGGGCCGCAACGCACGGGTGATGGAGGCCATTATGAGGTTGCAATAAACAAAGGTATCTAAGTAGTGAGGATATGAAACGCACGACAGGACATAAGAGGGGAAGGGGGGAAGAGGAGGAGAGCAAGCTGGGGATGGACGGGGAGAAATCACGAGCGACAGACGGGCCTCGGCTAAACGCGGCCGAGGGCCGTCCGTCGATCAGCCGTCTCCGTCTCTCCGCACTTCACCTTGTGCACGTCTCCAGTCGCATCTATTTAGTGGCTACGGAAGAAGGCATGCGAGTCACCGATGCTATCCGCAGCATGATATTATCGCATTTGTTTCTAGTACGCCTATCTATGACCTCAGACAGGAAACTCCATCCCGTTCACATGCTTCCCCGTTCGATCAAACGCTAAACACCTTTTCTGGCTCGAATACCTTGGCCTGCGAGAAGTAATAACCTCGCTGGTTCGCCACAATGCGTTTCCCGGTTCGATTGTCCGTAAAGTCGCAGTTGTAATGTGTATGCCCGAATGCCCACAGCCGCACCTGGGGCTTTTCCCAGCACGGTTCACCGGCGAGATCCGTCGCGAACGCCGACGAGATGGGGCTCTTCGCATGGACGGGATCAACCGCTGATGGTGCAACCGTCGGGCTGTGATGGCTGAAGATTACGATCTTGTGGTGCGGGTCCGATCTGGCGATGTCAGAGACTTGGTCGTTGAGCCAGGCACGATCGGCTTCGTGCGCAGCGCAGTGATCCTCCACCGTCCAGTCTTTGATGTAGTAAAAGTCGTTGAGGCCGAAGCTGACCCGCTCTTCCTGCATCTCGCTGACCTTGGTGTGAAATGTGCATCCCAGGACGGTGATATCCGGGGTTAGGGCATATCGTGTTTGGTCGAGCAGGACGAACTCTCCTAGCTGGTGAGGTCCGCGTGGGTTGGTTTGGGCTCGTTTGCGGCTAATGTCGTCGGAGAACTGCCGCAGTTTCCTTCTCACCTCCGGCCAGCTGGAATGGAAAGGCTCGTGGTTCCCCGGCACGAAGAAGACGATCTCGAATTTGCGCAGCTGGTCTTCGATGAACAGGAGGAAGCCATCGTCCCTGACGTTGCCGATGTCGCCTAGGAGGGCTAGGTAGGGTGCTTTGGGCGATATCTCGAACAGATCGTATGCAACAGGGTTTTCTAGGTGCAGATCCGAGACGATCTGGAACCGTGCCATCTCTAGTGAGGGGCTGGACCTCCCTTGGTCCGCAATCAACAAGCTGTTAAGCGCCCTTGGCTCGGACAGGAGCCCTGCAACCGCTCTGGGGGATCACACGGCGCACTGACTAGCTCGATGAATGAGGGGAACGGAGGGCCCTCTCCACTCTGGTCCGTCCGTTCAGGGTCCTCCAGGGGATGACTGGAGCTGTTATTGCCGCCGACTGTGACTCGGTTCTATTCTTGTTCGGGCTCGACCACTCACACGCCGCCTTTGCGATGAGTGGCGGTGCAAGTGTGATGTGATGGAATGTGGCGCAGTCTGCCAAGAGCGGACGGCGCGATTATGTCACTCGCCCTCTGCCATTCATTCAGCGATGATCCCCCCCCAATCGTCTGCCTGCCGTGGTGCAGGCAGGTATTTATTGTCGGTCTGTGTGCTGGGGCCAAATCCTTCCTCTTCTCCTCTATTTTCCCTCCGTTGGCTTCTCTGGACTGCGGTCTATTGTGTTGTCTCTCACTTAATCAATAGCTAGGCAGCGGCTGCGCAGCGTTATCAGTTCCCCGCAAAGTCCCCCCACTCGGTACAGGGTCTTCGTGATTCTGCCTACGTCAGTTCCTGAGGGATTCGGCCATGGCTTCCACCATTCATGACCCCAGACTCCTCTACAGCATTAACAATATCCGTGCTTTTCACCTCCAAAATGGCGAAGAGACGGAACTTACCCCGTCTGGTCCCCAGACTCTCTCGCTCCTGATGGTCCCAACCAGAACTAGCTCACCTGGAAACTCCTTCTCGACGCCTCCCCCCGATACTTCTGCTGAGGAAGACTTCTACCTTCACTTGCACCTACCACCGGAGCTGGATCTGGCGCTCCCTGCCACCACCCAGATCTTCCACCAGCATCCCGACAGCTACTTGATTCCTCGCTGGGATCTGGGTCACGAGGCCGGTGCATTCATTCGCATCCAGTTTCCAGGAGTTGGCTCCGGCCCGGGTAGGGTGACACAGGATGACGTGGATACTTTTGAGACTATCCTGGCGCAATGCACTGCGTTCCTCGAACGCGCACCCCCGCCCAGTGACCACGCTCCGTATAACCCTGCGGCGTATGCGCCTAATGAAGGGTACATCTCTTCTCCTGGCCTTGACCAAGATGATTCACATGGCCGGATTGTTCTGGTAGATGAGGAAGATGGCAGCGTTGTGGGTGAGATGGAGGGATATGATGTGGTTGAGAAGCCTGGGGTCCAACCCGGCTCAAAGAGTGCGTACTGGCTGCTCCTGATTTGTGAGCTTTGCTAACAGGTGTCGCTGTGATAGGACCTGTGGAGGTTGAACTTCCTAACGAGGGTGAGGGCAATCAAGTCCGAGTCAGCAATGTCTCCGAGGAATACCTGCGGATGGCCCGTCACCCGGCCTACAAGGACTCCACGATCGTCCAAACATCAGCGACAGCCTCCCGCTTGATCGTTACCGGGTCTTCTTATCTTGCGAACGCCCTCACGAGTGGTGCGGAAAGTTTCACCAGGAAGACCAAACCCAACCCTAAGCCCATGACCTTCTCGGAGACCACACACTCGCGGATCAGAAGAGTCGGCACCTTCTCGCAGGGTGCTGCCGACCTCTCTGCCAAGACAGTTGGGCAAGTTGGTAAATACGCACAGAACATCGGTGCATCCCTGGCCCGCCGCAAGGAGAATGACAGACAGAGAGGGGTGGAGAGGTATGGAAATGACTACAAGCCGGGCATTCTGAACAAGTCGATGATTGCGTTCTCGACTTTGACGGATGGCATCGAACAAAGTGCCCGTAACGTACTGATCTCGGGCTCGACTGCTGCCAGTACCATGATCGGACATCGCTACGGCGAACAGGCGGGCTCCGTGGCCTCCAATCTGACTGGCGGGGTCAAGAATGTTGGTCTCGTGTACATTGATGCCGCGGGCGTGAGTCGCAAGGCGATGATAAAATCTGTTGCCAGGGGCATGGTTGTCGGGCGCATGCGAAATGGGGAACAGGTTGTCGTCGGCAGTGGTGACGGCGGGGATGTTCCCCCTGGAGCAGCAGGTCCAGCCCAAGGTCCACCCCAGCAACAGCCTTGGGCAGGCCGTCCTCCGGTGGTGAGACGTCCGTCCTCGAGTTCGACTCCTCCGCCTGCATACGGTGCTCCGGGCACTACTTCGCTGGGCGGTATATCTATGTCTGGGGGTCGGCGTTGATTCGGATCTGCTGTATCTGATGCGTGACTGTTTCCCGGGTTCTTTACTCTGATTACTGTATGATCTTATGATCTTATGATTGATGCTTGGGGTTGATTGTTCTTGTGGTTCTTCCCTGCTGTTCTTTATGTATCTATGATATGGTCTGCTGGGTAATGCAGTGTACAGCTTGACTACGACCTCATAGTTAGCATGTATATGGATTATTCGAACACCGACGTGTCTAGTCCTGTGTATTGTAGTATATATTGAGTGACGATAGTTGCCTGAACTGCATTCATCCTCCCGAAAGTCAATCGGCCCCATACTACTACGTCCTCCCGGTGCTGAGATGCCAATGTCATTAGATTCTATGGGTGCAAATACAGCATAGAGAGCTATCATCCCGGTGCCCTCGTTGGAAGTCCTCCAACTGAGTGACCCCATGACGTCCTCAAAGTTTGTTTCTATTTCCTGTATTTACATTCACTGTGCCTCTACTCTTTCATCTCCTTGATATTAGTATATGGTCTGAGTTACTCGGTCTCGTGAGCAATATACTGTTTGATCTGGCTCAAGACACATATTGATCAGTAATTATCATTCTGTTGCTCTACTATTCATATTCAAACGGCACCCAACCGTCCTGAATAACCCCCCTACGACCAGTTTCTCATCAAACAAGATATATAATGGTAAAGCAAACACAAACTTACAATGAAATAATATCTTAAACCCTGCATGGCTCTATAGCGCACAATTCAACACATATAAACTCGAAAATAATCACAACCCATCCCTCTATATCCACCATCCTTCCCAATTCGCTTATAATATACAATCAACTACCTCCACCTAGAGCTTCCTTCTGTGACGAGTTTGCTTTAGCCACATTATTTTAAAATATGAGCACCATTTCAAGAACAAGACAATATGGCCGAGCGGTCTAAGGCGATAGACTAGAAATCTATTCTCTTCGGAGGCGTCGGTTCAAATCCGACTGTTGTCGTTTCTTTTTTTCCATCCCACCACCTTGGTGGGCTTCCTTTTTTCTGCATGTGGATATTCATGTGGTGCTGTGGTGGTGCCGTGGTGGGTCTGTGCCGTGAGTGGAGATGTTATTATTCATTTTTTTTTGGCTCCACGGAGGATGCCGATTTGGTTTGAGTGGATTGGATTAATAGCATACCTAGGATAGGATAGGATTGGATGGGATAGAGTAAGTGGGTGGGGAGGATTGGTTGGTCCCTGGTTCTGGTTGTTAGTCTACTGTTGTATGGAGTAGTAGATGGTTCTATGTTGGATGGAAGGATTGGACATGTGAATACTAGATATCTAGGGTTTAATATACTGACTAGATTGTATGTCTCAGGTCGAATTAGCTGGCACCCATGTGACAACACCAGGTACTAGTACTCCGTCGACGAAAGCAGAAATAGGTTTACGCACTTATCCAAAAAATATGGTATCTCTCAGGGATACCATCCAACCATGCTGGCAACCACATGCAGACACGAGGACTTAGTCCTGCAGACCGCGCATAGCATAGCTAGCTAGCCTTCGCAAGTTGCATAAAGCACCATTCAAGAATTCCAATATCCAGATATCCAAGCTAGGACACTAGTCAAATTGTCAAATCAGACAAATCCCGATCATCGGAAGCGCCCTGCAATCCACGAGTCAGTGGATTCTCAATGATCGCCGGTTGAGTAACCAGCAAGATTGGATGTGCCTGAATGAACAGCGCCTCCGCGCCTAGCATGTATGCAGATTGCCGCTGGATATTATCAGGAGTGACAACTTGTGCGACGTATCGTGCTGGGATGGGTGATTGCGGAGAACAAGTGAATTATGTTATGCTTGTGGTTGTGAGTGCAGAAACTGGTGTCATCTAACCGGGAAAGGAAAAGAGTAGTAAGAGGGGCAGTGGGAGTGGACATGTGATGGTTCGTGACATCCATGTCGAGGGGATAACCTAGGCACAGAATGCACCACCCAGATCCGATGGGTTCGGAGGAAACCGCCAGAGGGGAGAGCCGATAAGGCTGTGGCTGTGAGATCTCCCCGACAACCAGACCGACGGGCAAGGGATCGAAACCGATGTACTTCATCCTGGCGCAATAGTCAGGAATAGGCAGTGTCAAACATACCCAGGACATACGTAATGGGTAAATCTCCGACAGTCGCGATGCTGGGGTAACGAACCGGTCATCCTGCGGCGGCGTGCGTAGCGTACCCAAACACGGAGAGTCACACTGCAACCTGCCCAGGCGGAGCGAATCAATAAGTCTCCTTGATTGAGCAGGGGCCTTCCTGGGAATATCCCTGTCGCGCGTTGCTATTTTGGAGGGGTTGGCTTGACGGCCCCCTCTCGGATCAGACTAGGCTGTCAGCTTTTAATTTAAGTAGCTGAGTGAGCTGCATCCTAGCTACAGGCTAAGGTAGCTAGCTGATCAAGTTCGGTTTCAGGTCGTGGGACGGCGGAGAGTCAGCATGGTCTTAGTTGGCAGTCGATGGTCAAGTAAGAATGGTGGGCAATGGAGGGAGGGTATGGGGTGAATAGGTCGTATCGCTCGATGGAGTAGAGTTGAGAAGACTGGAAGGTCTATCGAACATGTAGAATGAATTTAGAAGATCAGATATCTGGAAATATGATCCATAACCCAAGGGATAGGACAGCCTTCAGCGATGTTAACCTAAATAAGCTCGGCCCTGATAGGCAATCATTGGGTCGCGATCATGGATCACGCCAGTTGGACGAACCCTAGACGACTAGTATCGACCTAGTGGGATATCCCTACCGTGGAGAGAATACCCACGGGTCAGGACGGGGCGAGATACAATATTTACAGTGTATTCCGTCTAGTGTACAGAGGTTTCTGGAGAATCCATGGATGATCTCTCGAGTGGAACTGAGTGCTAATGCGATGACTACTGTAAGTGCTAAGCGCGGTCCCCTGCTAGGCGGTGGTACCTAAGGCAGGTACCGTGGACGGCGTGACCGGAGGTACCTCAGTACCTGAGGTGTCCAGGCCGGTAATCTTCCGGACCACCAATCAGCGGCCGGGCGCAGGCGATGACTGCCCGGTTAGTCGCTGTAATGACGATCGGCTGCCCCAGCGGCTCTACCAGCGACTTTCCGTGCCGGCTTGAAACAGTGGTTCGATGCCCCTGATGACTTGGCATCCTCTCATTCCTGCCTCTTTGTCGGCCTGGCTGCTGGCTGATATCATCCATCCATTCACGATTGGGAGCCCCGTGTGGTCTGCTGATCGGCTGGAGGTAGCGTACGGCAGACACCTCCAGCACATGTTCGTGATCTAGAAGTACAAAACTCAAAGTTCCAAGTTGTAGATAGATGGTCTAATCCAGGGAAAGCAGCAGACTAGCAGCGCACACGGTCATAACCCGAGTTCTGACCCGACTGGGAAACCCCCAACGGCCGGTCGAACCAGGCAAGGGACACCACCCACGTTCAGGCCCTTGTTTTAGTCTTTCCTTGGGATCGGGCGTCCATCGCCCTCTTCATTTTTTTTTTTTTTTTCTCCCTGGAGGCAGAATAAGTAAAAAGAAAGAAAAAGGAAAAAGGAAAACAAGAGCATTTCGTCACCTCGTGAGTTCTGCGACCATCATGTATACATTAGGTAGCTAGGTCAGTTGGTCTTCCCCACTAACGTTCTAGAGTCAGTTCCAGTCCACTCGTATCGCCCAGTGCCCAGTAGCATCCCTCACTCCTCCATTATTTCCGAGCCCAATGCAGCATCAGTACAGTATCCAGTACCCAGTGATGGGTGAAGTCAGAAATATCGGGCTGCCCTGATAATCTCTGGAGCTGGGATTTGTTTTGGGTAATTTTGACTAATAAAGTATTCTTTTTCGATGCCATGTCGCTTTACCGCTGGGTTTGCTGCTGATTTTAAATTGGGGCGGCGATGATTATTCCTGGCAAAGAGATCCGACCCGTTGACCCGCTTTTGCTTTCCCCAGCCAGCAAGTCCAGCACAGCAAAGCAAAGCCGCCAGTGACGGATGATTCGGTGGGCAGGTAAGGTCGAAATTCCGCGCCTGTAGGTTGGTAGTAAGGTACCCACGATGTATACAGTAAGTAGTAGTCACTACGTAGGTACTAAGCATGTATCTATGTTAGCAGGAAGCCATCATAATAATATCGGGTCTATATTAGTATTTTATTAGTAGCATGATGAGGACAATAATGATTAGTTTCTAGTCGAATTGCTTCACTACCGCCATCTCTCTTCTTCTTCCCATCACCATCTTCCTCCTCCTCTTCCTCCATCTTCTTTTTCCTCGTTTTTTTCCTTTTTTGTCCTTCCTGTTCCCCTTCTCTTCCCTTTGTGTTCTCTTCTTCTTCTCTTCTTCCTCCCTCGGGCACCTCATCCCCCCTGGGTTGGCTCGTCTCTCCCTGGGCCTTGATCGCGCCGGTCTTCCTTCTCCCCTCGCGCCGCCCCCCCCTGTCCGTGTCCGGTCCCTCCTCCACCAGCACCCCTCTTGTCCTCTTGTCGTGGCTACCGCTACTGCTGCTACTACTGCTGCTGCTGCTGCCGGTTGCTGCTGGTGGCTGCATCTCCAATCTTCCCTTCCCCCTCCCTCAATTTCCCTTTCCCGTCGATCATGCTCCTCAACGCAGTCTACACTCTGCCCTGTCAATTCCTCCAGAAGTGCTGAAATCGGTGCCGCGCCTGGGACGAGTCTACCAAGCTCTCCCGTCGAGTCCCGTCGAGTCCCGCCGTGCTAGCAACAAGTAGTGGCTCGTGGTGGTTAAATTCGCGTCTCCCGAGGCTGCTCCCTTCCCGCCCGCGTCGGTCTCGTCGCTCCGATCTCCAATTCCTCCCTCTTCGAGCCGCAGACTCTCCCCCCCAACGCATTACCCACCTGGGTAGCGATTACTCGTGGGCAGAGGCAAAGGACGAGAGTCAATTCTGCAGTGCAGATATTTCCCCTTTCCTGCTGTGACCGAAAACAGAAATTAGAGAGAAAAAAAAAGAGAAAAGAAAGAAAGAAAAATCGGAATTCGCAAGAACAACCAGCTTATGCGTTTCTTTGACAAACGCGATTATTGATTCCTCTGGTTCTTTATTTCGCCGACGTCTCGCTGCGTGAACCTTGGCTGGTTGCCTGACCTGGTGTCCTCCCTTTACCAACCACCGCTGCGTCGTTTGGGATTCAATACCTGTCAGTCGCTACCCTTGCCATCCCTTATCGGTGGTTCAGATGGAACCCCCGATGACTGAGACTAACTCGACACCACAGCTCAGCTGCCCGACCGGACCCTCCAGCTCCGGATCGATCGGTCACAGGTCCCTGAAAAAAGAAAGAAAAACCAAAATTTCTTCGTGATACCCTCTGGAGGGCTTGGACGTGTCGGACCTCCGTCGCCGATCGCAATTGCTCCAACAGAGCGAACCGAGGTGATCGCTCATCTGCCCGTCCCACGTCTGCCTGAAGAGGCTGTCTCGGACCGTACACGCAGCAGTCCTCATTCCAAGGCTCTGCTGCGTCTGCAATAATCGAAGGTATGTTATCTACTGCCATACACCGTCTCCGCACTGCAAAGATCGATCTACCCCTCCTCTACATCCCTGCCGCTCCAGCTCCGTCGTGGTGACTATGCGCCGCTGCACCGATCCTGATTTGAGTCGGCGCGACAGTCACGGCGAGAGAGCGCGGTTCGCACCGCGTGAGTGATGCAGCGCTAACGGTTCAGCAGCTAGCCTCCTTTTCGGTCCTGACAGCTTCTTCGGCTATGAACGACCCCCAATCGCAGTCCCTGCCGCTTCCCACCCATGCATCCCCAGCCTTGACCCCCGCCGCGCCCTCGTCCGAGCAGGACTACAATCGCTCCCCCATCTATCCTGATCTCCTGGGGGCTCCGCCTGTCCCCCCGCCGCGGACGTCGTCAACCCACCGGAGTCACCATGGTCCCGGAGAGAAGACTTCAAGCTCACGTCACGGGAAAAACAAAGCCGAGGACCGGAGCGCAAGGAGGGGGGACGATACTCAGTTTCACCCAGTGATATCGCCTGAGGAATTTTCACAGGGTACGAGCGCCCGTGCGCCGGCAGCACCGTCCTCTGCTAGCGCCCCGCACCCGGAGGAAAACATGGAGGCTTATTCCAGCCAGGCAGCCTTGATGAAGGAGTCGAGTACGGTTCTCAACCAGGTCCTAGTGAGTGATCCGTCGGTGGATATCGAGCGCGAGCAGGTACGGCAGGCAGGCTCATCGGTATCGCCCTCGACGGAGAGTGCTCCGGCGTCGGGGCTGGGCTTGGTGGGGAGCGATGGTGTGGACGATGGAGGTCGAGGTGGGCTGCGCAGTCGACACGACTACTCGGACCAGGCCGCCAAGCGCAAAGAGACGACGTTCGGCCAGTACATCCTCGGACAAACATTGGGAGAGGGCGAGTTCGGTAAGGTCAAACTGGGGTGGAAGCGCGACGGCACCATTCAGGTCGCCATCAAGCTCATCCGTCGGGAGTCGCTGGGGTCGAATCCCAGCCGGTTACCCAAGATCTATCGGGAGATTTCGATCTTGCGAGACCTGGCCCACCCGAACATCGTTCGGCTCCACGAGATGGTCGAGACGGACCGTCACATTGGTATCATCATGGAGTATGCCTCTGGCGGCGAGCTTTTCGACCACATCTTGAACAATCGGTATCTGAAGGACAATGCCGCCCGACGCCTGTTTGCGCAACTCATTTCGGGCGTGGGCTATCTCCACAAGAAGGGAATCGTTCACCGTGATCTGAAGCTGGAAAATTTGTTGCTGGACCGCAATCGTAATATTATCATCACGGATTTTGGTTTCGCCAATACCTTTGACCCGGTGGATGAGCTGGGCGAGGAGATTGAATACAACCTGACCAACAAGGAGTTCGTGAAGCGAATGCGCCTCGACCGACCCAACGCCAAGGGCTTGCGGCGGGGGGATTTGATGCAAACCAGCTGTGGAAGTCCTTGTTATGCCGCGCCGGAGCTTGTGGTCAGCGATTCGCTCTACACGGGACGCAAAGTCGACGTGTGGAGCTGTGGTGTCATTCTGGTGGGTAGCCCTCGGGCGGTCCACGATTCACAAAGCTAACGGTTCGATAGTATGCCATGCTCGCAGGCTATTTGCCTTTCGATGATGATCCGGCCAACCCGGACGGTGATAATATCAACCTGCTGTACAAGTACATTGTCACCACGCCCCTAACCTTCCCTGAATATGTGACCCCCCACGCTCGCGATCTTTTGCGACGAATCCTGGTGCCCGATCCGCGAAAGCGGGCCGACCTGTTCGAGGTTGCCCGGCACAGCTGGCTGAGCGAGTACTCGCATATCGTCTCTCACATCACCAGCAGCACTACCAAGGTTGCGGACATCGCCAACACGACGGTCTCTCAGGGTATGGACTCCCCGACGAACTCCGCCGGTGCAGTCGCTGATCGAGCAGAAGCGCACAAAGAAGCCCCGTCGCTGGCCCGCAGTGCATCCGTCCGCGAACCTCCCAAGACCTACCAGAACCCGGTTTCTTCGGTGGGTGGCCTGATCCACCATGCTGGCGATATCTCGCAGGAGCAAGCGGCCGAACGGTCCAAGACCCCTCGCGACACGAAACGACGGACGGTCCAGGTCGAGTACGTTGCTCCCCAGTCTCAGACGGTGAGAGGCGAAGCGCCTGGTGTGGAGTCGGGGATCGCCGAGACATCTGGGCCGTCGGAACCTCGACCGACGAGGGCCCGGTCTAACAGCCGAGGGGTGGCGCCGAATATGCCATCGGGCACCTTGGCTCAAGATAAGTCTGGCGCATCAAGCATGCGGACCGAACCCAAGGCAGCTGCTGGCCCGGCGCCGGCGCCTGCACCGGGGCATCTGCCTCGCTCCACCTCGGACAGCACTGCTCTCACCGGAACGGCCCCGGCTCCCTATGCGACACGCCCCACGACCGGTGGCTCCATGGCCTCGTTCAACGCTGGTCGTTTGCCATCACGAGGATCGTATGGACAGCCGGTGGCACCGACCGTGGCCGCCACGAACGCCGAGGGTCGACTCGCCCAGCCGAAGAGCAAGCAATATGTCATCTCCGCTCCTCTGCCGCAAGATTCGTCGCAGCAATCCATCGGGCAGCCCAGTACGCAGCAGCTCCCTGCCAAGTTCAATACGACCCCCCAACAAGAACCCCCCAAGGGCCACAAGAGGTCCAACACGGTATCCAGCATCGGCGAGAAGCTGTTTGGGCGGTCTGGCTCGATTTTTGGCGGACGGGGAGGGCAGGGTAACGGTCCTCGGCAGAGAAGTGGCAAGCGGTATCCTCCCACGAGCATGAAAGATCCCTACGGCGGAGACGACACTCGGATGTCTGTGGATTCACGACGGTCCGTCCAGTACGGGTATAACCGCAAGACCAGCGAGGCTGGCGTGGAGGGCAGGCCTCGAAGGTTCTCTTTCCTACCGCCCTCGTTCTCGCTGAAGGGGTTCTCTTCCAGCCGCTCACAAACCCCCGATGAAGAGTCGCAAACTGACCGCTCTACCGAAAACCGCGTGGAACCGCGCCCGTCGACCAGCGCCATGCAGGCACGGACGCGCGCTGCCAGCTATGGGACACAGGATGCGATCAACATGGCGCCCGAGGGTGCGCCGGGGGATGAGATCCTAACCCAGGAGGAGCCGGTCAACTACCAGGCGCGGATTGACCAACAATTTGCCGTTCTGCATTCGAACCAGTCGGGGCAGTCGGGCATCTACCAACCGACGTCTTACAGCGTGACCTCGGCCGAACAGGTGTATCCGAATGACAACGATCATTATTACCGGAACCAGTACGCCAACCACTCGGCGCCCAACTACTACGAGGATTACACTGGCCCGTTGGACAAGGCGCCGCGGCCGTCGATGCAGGGTGGCCGACCTGGGCGCGGGGGCGTGTTGCCCAAGAACCACCGCAAGTTCGCCGACGCCTACGAGTACGAGCGGGACCTGGCGCACCGTCCAGGCAGCTCGGGGGCGGCCCGGAAAGTGATGGATTTCTTCCGTCGACGCGCCAAGTCGAGAGCCGGCGACGACCGGTAGATTGGCTTCAGGTCTGTACTAGCATGTTAATTTCGACCTACTGGGCTCGACCGTTAGGCCTTGGCGGGGCCGGTTGGTTACTGCGGTAGAACCACCAAGAACGACAGGCAGTTCTAAACTAATAAACCTGCTTGCGATTCGGGCATGACGTCGATCTCCAAGGCTGCAGGCGCCACCCCTTTGAGGAGACCGGTTCGCCGTGTCGACTGGCCTCCGGTGGAGTGGCCGTCAGCGCTTGGATTCCGCAAGGAGAGCCGAACGGTTAATTGGATACCCCGTGATACCCACGCAGATTCCTTCCCAGTTGCAGCTCTCGATTTCGCATTGTACCAGCAACCGTTTGCGCATACATATCCCTACCTCGCATGTTTTGATTTCTTGTGCCCCATAAGCCATATTTCCTTTGTTCAAATTTTCGTTTTCTTCCCTGTCACTATAGTACTGATTGTAAATTGATTTGTTTCTCCCCTACCCTTCTCGACGTGGTGTTGGTGCTGCGGCTATTTATTCCTCTCAGGATTATTTGTGGTTAATTTAATAGTTATTGATGGTGTGAACAGTGAGCATTTCTTCTGCTGTTCATTGGTGGATGTTGCATGCCGTGGGCAATAGTATAGTGCGATGATCAACTGATTGAACTGAGGCGTACATCCTTGCAGCGTATTCTCAAGAACCATGTATCTAATACCTCTATCAATCTATCTATAGCATCAGCAGTACTGCCCGCTGCATCCGTAGTGAGTAGTCTGACATGGGGCTAAAACCAACCGGATAAAGCCTGAACCATAGTGGTTTCGGGCCGTGGCTGTGATGAATCCCTGTCCCCTCCCCTGTAGATCCAAAATCGATCCACCCTCGGTCAGCCTCATGCTTAGACTATGTGGGGTATCCTCACAGCCTCAACGGTCAGCTGGTCTGTGTTTGGGGAACTTAGCTGGATTGATGGGAGGTAGCTGAGGTGAAACCGCGGATGTGTTGGGCTGGCTGATTGCTTACCTGCATAGTATACTACATTGTATATCCTGAGGCTCAGCTGTTGGGGTCTAGGATTTATTTCGGGTAGATGTAGATGTCGATGTAGCTGTAGCTGTAGCTGTGGATATTGTTGGTAACTGGGTATCGATAGAGCAATAATTGCATGAAGTGATAATCTGTTGTTGGATATACCGATGGGCGGGTGTACTCTGTAGTAGTATGCGCGCTGTTGATTCCGGGACATCTAGATACGGAGTACATACTAAACAGCTAGGATACGATAGGATAGATAGATACCTCACATGTTATTTCAATCGATATCTTTCGTGCCCTCGATCTTCCAGAGCGCTGTGTATTCAATAGACTTCGGATATAGTGTAGAAGACGTAGTCAAGAATGTAGTCATCATCCTGGTAGGACAATAATGGTTTTTTATCCTATTGAACGCCGTTCTTTCTTTCTCAGTGAAGTTGAGAAATGTATCTGACATTCGTAGCCTTTTGTTTTTGGGAGGCGTTGGAGAAAGTAAATGGGGTAGGAGAAGTAGAGGAGAGTAGGAGGAAGATGGCTGACTTGTGTTTCCTGTCGGAGACTCCCCGGAGATTCGGCCCTTTCTCGTGTCACAATGGGCTCCCTCATTTATCCAGTCCCAGATCCCAAGAGACAAATTCTCTACTAAACACCACATTGGTCATACCAGAGTCTTCAAGCAAACGTATCATGATCGGTGCCCTCACGAATCTATAGTTTGGCTCTGTTTCGAAAATGATCACGCGGTTCATCAGTCGCGCCTTGCGCTCTTCATACACACACCAGCGGACCCGCTCCATGAGTGAGTTGATTGCATTCCATCATTAGAACTTTTGGTTACTGACATAAGGCTCTTGTCCAGGTGCCTTGACAAACCAGGTCCTATTCTCATATACCTCTGGCCGCTTTCTCTACAATGAGAATCTCCGACTCCGTGAGCGCTATACCCACTTCGACCTCCCCGCCCTGCTCCAAGAAGCCGAAAGACATCTTGGAACCAGCCACGGTCACGCGCGCTGTCTCACCAAGCTTGCTGAAGGAGGCTTCAATCGGGTATATCTTCTCACCATGGACGATGGGTTCCAGGCCATTATCAAAATCCCATACCCGATCACCGGGCCCAAACACTACGCGACCGCCAGTGAAGCTGCCACTCTGTACTACCTGCACGCCAAAGGCATCCCGGTGCCACGGGTGTATGGGTATGACTCTTCTGAGGATAATCCTGCCGGGGTAGAGTATCTCGTGATGGAAAAGGCTCCTGGTGTTGGTCTGGAGACGAAGTGGTCGAGCATGAGCAAACGCGAACGACATCAGCTCGCATCCACTTTTGTTGAGATTGAGAAAGTCTTCTTCAACATTCCTTTTGGGGCTACTGGGAGTATTTACTTCAAGAAAGATGTCCCTCCTGAGCTTCAAGCGGCATTATACATGCCTGAAACTGACAACGATGCCGAACACGAGACGCTTTGTATTGGCCCAACCGCGGACTATATGTTTTGGTATGGAAAACGGGCCGGCCTGGACCTGTATCGTGGACCATGTGGGTTCCCCCGATCAATATCCGTGGTGTGAATCTGACTATTATAGGGATCGATCCTAAGGAGTACCTCATGTCTATCGCGGAAAAAGAAATCCAGTGGACTCGGCTGTACGGGAAGGCCATGGAACTTGACTTTCCACACAATGGCGTGTTTCCAGGGGAGAAATCTCCCGAGCAGTACCTCTCTCTGCTGGACAAATATCTCGCCTTGGCTCCATATCTACTTCCAAGAGACACAACCAGTGCACCGAATCGACCCACTCTTCGTCATCCCGGTATGTTTCTTCTTTTTCTTCCCGAATATGACCTGACAAGTTCGAGACCTTAATCCAAATAACATCTTCATCTCGCCCGAGTCCGGCACCATTTCATGTATCGTCGACTGGCAGCATACGACGATTGCGCCTCGACTATTGGTGGCAGGTCACCCCCGCGCCTTCGAAAGCCCTGTGTCCGAAGAGACCTCCAATCTCCAAGAACCTTCGCTTCCCGTGGAGTACGAGACTCTGACAGGCCAGGAAAAGGCGGAAGCCGATGAACTGTACAACCGACGCCTTCTCTCGTATTACTATCGTATTTTGAATGGTCATTCCAACAAGCCACATCTTGCCGCTCTTCGTGATCCAATCCTCCTTCCACGTCAGCATCTCGTGGATCGGGCAGGAAGGCAATGGAGTGGGAATCTAATGACATTGAAGGGTGCTTTAGTTCGCATGGTCGACTACTGGCCTTATCTCCCGGAAACAGAAGGACTCTCGTGTCCGGTCCAATTTACCGAATCGGAAATCCATGGGTTTCACGAGGAGGAGGAGCTGTGGTTTAACTTGAATAAAGTCGTCAACCACTGGCGGGACCAACTTGGTGGTGTGAGCGAGGATGGCTGGATCAGCAATGAGCAGTATAGTGATGCTGTTCAAAAACTTGCGGAATTGAAAGCCTCGCTTATTGATACCGCGGAGGGAGACCAGGATGATATTCGTCTACTGGAGAGGGGGTGGTTGTTTAGAGATCGTGAAGAGATGAGTTGATTAAAAGCCCTCGTGGACAAATACAGATGTCGCTAGGGAGTAGGGACGTCCCATGGTCATAGATTCTGCAGATCCAAGGTTCTCTAGCTAGCTATGTATAGCAACAAAAGGTATCAAACAACCAACTTCACCCAATCAATGCATCAACGGTCATCGACTTCCTAAGTACGGAGTATATGGGGCAAGAATGGGAAACAAAAAAATCTGACAAGAGTGGGATTCGAACCCACGCCATCAAACGATGATCAGGAAGCTGTGAAGCTGAATATTAAGGTGGACCTTAACCTGACGCCTTGGACCAACTCGGCCATCTTGCCTTATTCATATATATGCCTTTGTTTTTATGTACTATTAGCGGGAGGGGGGGAGGATGAGTGGAGGATTAGTATTACCTTGTTTATCCGTCGGTGTGGATTTAGATAGAGCTACTGGACTATCTAGATGGAATAGGATTGGGTTGGATGGCGTGATTGTCATTAAGGACTGGGGAGGGCGCTAGTTCCAGGGCCGGGTCCACTTTAATTTACTTTTGGCGCTTACGGGATCGTAGTCTGCTGTCTGCTGTCTGCTGGTCGGGGGAAGGGAAGTCTCGCGACGGAGTAGGGAGTATAGTACGGAGTAGTAGGTATCTAGGTAGGTAGATGATGGGTGGAAGCGAAGTTAGGTTGGAGCTGTGGTGGTGGTGAATTATATATTCCGGTCAATGAAAACTCCCATTAGGCATTGTTATATAGAGTAGAGTAAATTGTTCATTATAGATAAATTCGCTGAATTACGATACTCACTCGCACGCCCCCTCAATTAATGTCCTCTGCGGAGTATGCGAAGCCCTCACTATCCTCCCATATTCAGAGTAATGTACACCCCAGCTAGCAACTGGCTTCTACAACATTAAATTCCATCAAAATAACATCCAAGGCAAGATGGCCGAGTTGGTCCAAGGCGTCAGGTTAAGGTCTACCTTAATACGCAGCTTCGCTTAAGCAAGCTTCCTGATCATCGTTTGATGGCGTGGGTTCGAATCCCACTCTTGTCATTTTTTGCCTCTTCCAAGTAATCATCTTTTTTAGGTGGAGGGGTAGTTACTGGTATCAAGATCTAGATGCTATACATACAGCTCATATTATCAGAGTAGTAGGAGATAAGCTAGGTAAATCTATCAACCGTCAGCGTCAGCGTAGGTAGGTAGGTAGGTAGGTAGGTAGGTAGGTAGGTAGGTAGGTAGGTAGGTAAGCGTAAGAGTAAGCATAATCCCCCCCCACCACACCATACCAAACCAGCCCCCCTCTACGCCCCCTCCACCATCATCAATCCAAGAAAAGAAACCAAGTCAGCAATCCTCTATCTACCAAACGAAGAACGAAATCGATCATCACCGACCGGAAATTCCCCAAACCAAATCCCATCAATCATCCATCCCTAACCACGTACCCCCGAGCCGAGACGGAACTATCTGCACTCGCGACACGGAATTCCGAAGACACGACACGACCAGACCAGACCAGTTTGGACCGAGGGAGTGAAGGAAAGATCATCAATTCTCCTAGGCGAAAAAAGCAACCGGACGAACGGACCAAGCAAATCAGCAAGATACGGCATAGAAAAGATAGGATAGGGTAGGATAGGATAGGATAGAATATACCCTCGCCATGGAGGTATGTATCATGGACCAGCCAAGTCCGGACCGGTGTGCAGGACAGGGTTGGGTGATTGCGTGCATGCATGTGCATGGATTCTGTGGGCTTGCTGGGGTTGTGATTGGAGATGATGGATTTGATGAGATAGGTCTTATGTAGGTAGCGTAGCTATCTAGGTAGCTGCTGTTCGGGGGACCGGGACCGGGGTCGGGGGTTCGGTTAGAGGGGGATATTGTAGGATTATTTCGGGGTTGATCTTATTGATTTTGTTGGAGGAGGGGTGAGGACCTTTGTGGTTGGGGTGATAAGATATTATTAGTTTGCTTATTGTTGTATATTATTATATCGGTGATTATTAGGATGATTAGGTTTGTTGGGTTGATTTGGGCATTGATGAATCTGTTGTTGTGATGGATTATCTTCCGGATAGGTCTATACGGAGTACTCCGTAGGGGGGGGTTGGCAGTGGGAGGCGGGCTGAACTGGCACGTTGCATAATGCATTACGTTAGACACCGGATGGATCTCATCATCAAGTGAGCATACTCCGTCACAATATTACGGATGACTGCATTGGGGCTGGCCAGATCTGAGATCCGCGAGAGTCACTAACATACTACGCCGTACATAGGGTGTAAACTCTTATCGGCCCCTTTTACTCCGGACTCCGTACTAAATTCAGCTTATTATCATGTCTTCACTAGGCAGCTACTTGGCAGCTCTATCCTGGCTTGGCTGTGGAACAGAACGCAGTCTATCTGATGGCACAAGGCTTGGCACATATCAACTGCCCTTGGCAAACATTCATCTGGTCTAGGCAGCGCAAGGAGAGCTATGGAGTATGGACAGTATGACTTGGCATGAAGCAAAAGCAACCGGAGAAATGAAAAGAAAAAGAAAAACACCCCGCACTGGTCCCTTCCAAGATCGCCATCCAATAACGTCAAATATTCATAAGAACTGTAGTGATCTGCCTGCACCGGCGGGGTCAGACTTTAGCCCCGGAGCGATGAGGTGAGAGCTAAGAAATCGTGGCCAGCGCGATTCGTCGGACTTCGTCGCCCTTTACAGGCTGGGCGTGGTGTTGCGAGTGTCAACCCCCAGGTAGAGGAAACCGCTGGGCAGACGGCTGAGACCCGGACGCTGTTGCTCGCTGCTGCTGGAGGACTGGCTGCTGGAGCGCTCACGACCCTGAGTGGCAGTGGCAGGGCCCGACTCGGTAGGGGCGAGCACGAGGAACTTGGAGGTGGCAGTGTAGGTGTACATGTTGATAGATGGTAGATAGTAGGAATAGAGGTAGAGAGAGATAGAGTATAGTAGAGTAGAGTAGAGTAGAGCAGAGTAGAGGTAGTCTTGAGGTTGGTTGAGAAGAGTTGAGTAGAGAGTGAAGACAAGGTCGTCGGCAGCCAGCTTTATAGCTGAGAGCTCAGCCAAGCCAGTATCAGGAAGAGGGGTTGACCGGGGATGTGTCGATCAGGCGAGCTACCGATTCTAGCCCAGCTGCAGAAGCAGTGGCTGCCATTGCCTCCTACCCGACGGTGGACCGACCAGCTGTAATTCACATGCCGGCGAAACCGACGCTCCCACCGGAAGGGCGGAGGACGTCATCCTGCAAATCCCCTTTCCTTTGCATCGCTTGGCTCTGGCAATAGTCATACCCGAGCAGCGTGCAGCCCGTCTCTGGTTGGACCAGCGGCGCCTGGGGGGTCCCGTACAAGCATCCAGCCTCGGATGATCAGCAACCAAGAGCGAGCCAAGGCACTATTGAATGAAACCGAACCATCCCGTGACGAGGGTTGAGGAACGTGTGGGAGGAGCGATCGCAGAGAGGAGGCGATAAAGCGGACACCGTCAGGAACGAGGCCCATTCTTGGGTTTGCCAAGTCGCCGCATTCTTCGTCGAGGGCCACATGACCCCGCGTTTCTTCTGCTGCTGCTTGCCTGCTTGACTGTGCAGCAGTTGCCCCCGGAGATTGCCTTCTAGAACCCTGTCCGGAGGCGAGATCCGTCTGAATAATGAGCAGGCCAGATCCTATCCCCAATGTCCCGACCCCTTGCTTCAAGCCAAGAACCCGCGCGAACCAGCATTGGTCGGGAGGAGAGGAGTGGAAGTCGGAAGCTTAAAGACATGTGCTGGATTTCCGACGGGCGGAGATCAACGGTAGAGGGATTCTTCCATGGTCGACCGGAGAGTGGTTCAGATTGACGGGAGACAATCTGAAGGACCAGCAGGCCTTGGACAGCAGACCACGAGCGAGAGCGAAGCGGGGAGAGAAAAGAGGGAGACGTCCTCAAGTCTTCCACGAGAACCACGCGGCTCAACAGTCACGTACGGCGGTTAATAGCGGCCATCCTGCAAATGCGTTGAAGTGCTTTCACCGCCTAGTCTACCGCATCCTTAAAAGGAACTAGAATGACACTGTACGTAGAATCCTAACTATATTCTTTTATCTATCATGCCTCCTTTCATTGACCTTGAGCCTTTCAAGGCTGAGATTATCAGCTTATTCCATCAGAATCATTCAGCTAGTGATATCGCTTCAATTATTCAGGAGAAACACCATATCAAAGTTCGTGAACGTACGATCTGGAGCCGATTGAGTAGTTGGGGTATCAGCAAGCGTGATCGTACAGCTACTACTAATTCTTCCTTACATGATCGTCTTGAGGAGCTGTTCTACCAACAATGTCTTTCAGATCTTGAGCTTCTACGTGCTCTACATGAAGAAGGCTACACAGTCTCCAAACGAACACTTTGATGGATATGTACAGAGCGAGGCCTTGTCCGACGAACAGATGATCCCGGTGTATGATAAATCCAGGAGGATGAAGCCACAAAGCATCTACTCAAAGTATATAATGAAGGGACAATCCAAGGCTATGGACGGGAGCTTTTATTTACTTATATGCGTGGTGAATATCTTTTTATTCCACGGTCTGTTTTTATATACTATCTCTAGCTTTAAAGACTCTGGCTAACTAAGCTTTATTATCTACAGGCAACGGTTATTTAATGTCTATCGTACGATCGCACCCCTTGCCGTACAACAACGGAAGAATGACATGCAGCGACAACGTGGCTCGTATATAGTTCCAGGACCAGATCATGTCTGGTCAGTGGATGGCTATATGAAACTAGAGCCATATGGTATCTAAATCTATGCAGCAATTGATGCATACTCACGATTTGTGATCTGGATCTATGTTGGTGTTGATACTCGTACATCAGTCAGTGTTGTACGACAATATCTTGATACTATACAACAACGGAAGATTATATGCAACAAGATCCGATCAGATCATGGATCAGAGACATCTATACTTGCTGAAGCCCATCACTATCTTCGGAAAATGTACGAGCCAGAGATCCAGCCAGAGCAGTGCTATATCTTTGGAACTAGTACTGCAAATCAGAGAATTGAGTCTTGGTGGTCACAGCTAAGTAGATCATTTCTTTTTCGATATCGCGTACGTATGTACGGACTATTAAATCAAAGATCTTGATACTAATCTATATCTAGAACTATTTTAGAGCTCTATTGGAAAAGGGTGATTTTTCTAAAGATCTCATTCCAGATCAGATTGCTTTATATGCTGTTTATATGCCTATTCTCCGATCTCAGATCCCATCCTACGTACAGAGCTGGAATCATCATAATATACGGAAACAGCCAGAGAGACCATATATTATCTCCGGTCGGCCGTACATGAATTACAATCATCCGGAGAACACAATCAACCATGGGCTTATTGTACATGAGGAGGCACTTCAGCAGCTACAGAACTCTGTACGAGACTGGGATATGGATGAATATCTTCCAGCTGAGACTCTCCAGTGGTGCCAGACCATACTTCGGGGTATGGGCTTTGACCCTGAAAAGCCACCACCAGTCCCTTCTAAGGAAGCAGAGGAAGCCCCTTTTCGTACGATCTATCTTGGGTTACGCCAGCAGGTGATAATGCATATGAAATCACACGCTAAACCATTTTTAGGTTTATCCAAGACACCAACTGGAGCCTTTGATTGGATTAGACAACAGGGATTAGGATAGTTATCTAAGAACCTTGTACATTCTTTGTTTGTTATTCTTCTTACTTCACCGCTATCTTAAAGACTTAAAGTCATGTATTTCTGGCTTCGTACGAGAGTAACCATCTTCTCTTCTCATTATCCAACTCATAATGGCCCTTCCATGGTCAAAGTTCTGTTCAGCTGATGGCCTGCGTCATTCCAATCGCCTCGTACGGTGTCCAACTTGTCATGCTATCAATCCTTTACCACAACCATCCAGTCAGATTGAAAGGCCTAGACAGGCACGTACGGAGATTGATCTTACTGTATCTCCTGAACTACAGCCTTCACAATCTGCTTTATTTATTCCATCCACCTCATCATCCAGTAGCTCTTCTCGTACGCCGCTATTTGGAGAAAATATTCGTCAAAATGCTTTATTACGGAAAAAGGCACAGGGTCCAGTCAAACTCAAAGCAATCATTTATTTCTATCTGTATCTCGTACAGAATAGAGAATCTGAAGATAATAATCTATCTCTATTAGGTATTCTTTAACTCTTATTAGACTTGTACAAAGCTAATATCTTTTCTTTTAGAACAGGTTCAGATTTGTCTAGACAACTCTATACTTGGAACACTACATGACTTTCTTCATCAAGAACTTCTTCCGAATATCGACGACGGCAAATACGTACGAGATATCAATGATGAATTCCGGCTATCAACAGGCATTGTACGGAAACGACCAGTCTTTATATCCTCAAAGGTACAAGGTTTTATGAGAACGCATGAGTTTCTGAAGGATTGGTTCAGTCACACCAATGGATCGTACCAGATCTATGTTATCATTCAGCGCCGTACGGTTGCAGATGAGATGAATCGGACAGACATGAAGATCAAAAGGGAAGTTTCTAAGAGTCCTGATATCAAGGAAAGACAGGCTGTGATTGAAGATGATTTAGAAGAGTCTGTTGTACAAGAGGATCTGGATGAAGAGGAGTGTTTAGATGCTTCTCTTAAACATGCTCTATCTTTATCTCCCTCTCCTCCTCATCGTACGAGGCGGAAGTATGTACTTCAGGAGGATGATAAGAATCGTGCAGCTGAGTACGGGCCTTTACCATTTAGGATTTGATTGTACGTTGGAGTGATATAGAAAATTTGATATGTTTGTTATATTTGTGCTATATGTCAATCTGATCTCTATTAACACGTACGCTTACCACTTCGTTGTTTATTATCTCCATCACCACTACCACCACCACCACCACCATCACCACCACCACCACCACCACCACCACAACCACCACCACCACAACCACCACCACCACCACCACCATGGCTGCGTACGTGTTGAATGATCAAAATCAGATAGCTGAGCTTCTTTCCTTTATCCTGATGATCTCAGCGTACGTGTATACTATATACACGTACGCAGGGAGCAAGGCAGAATGCAAAAACTAATGCTGTGTTATGATTTTGTATAGCCTCCCCCCTACCAACAATCGTGGCCGCGGCCCCCCTCCCCGCAATATGCAGGAATACTTCGTCCGTATGTACGAGCAGCTTCCACCTGGGCAGAATCCAGTGCTCCCTACAGGGACACCAGAACTATTGAGCCCGTACGTCCATAATCGTGTACAGAGAGCGGTGGCTGCCATGGATGGCCAAGATGTTGAGTTCCGTCGCGGCCGGATCCAAGCTCAACAACTTGAGACTCATCGGCCCTCGTACATAAATGCCTGCCTCATTCAATCCCGTGGAAGTCGTCTCCCTTCTCCGTGTACGAGGTGCCGCGACCGTCCGGATACGATGACTTTTCCCTCATGTCGCCACTTACCTGGCGCATGGGGGGGAGCATGTGCCAACTGTAAGTGGCCCGATAAGGGATCGGAATGCTCTGTACGGGATGAGGTATGGACGGACGTACAAGAGGATATCGGTGCTGCTGCTGCAAGCAGGGGACTGACAGGTGGAACTGCGCGTAATCCTATCCTCATAGATGAGGAAGAAGGACATAACAGAAATCAGCCAATCCTCATAGAGGAGGCTGGGGATGAGGATGATCCCATCATCCTATAGGTACGTACAATTTATCAATACTAGCACCAGCACCAGCACCAGCACTCCCAGTTGTACGGGCCCTGTGTACAACACCTGAGCAAGACTTGCACCTCTACGTGGTGTTCAGGACTAGTAGCCATTTAGATGGTGAAGCCAAGCAAGTCATATGTACAGCTTCATTAGGTAAGATTAACCGATCCAATAGACTTTATATTGATTCTGCCGGCAGTAAACACCAAAAAATTGCATTTGCAGGATGGCCGCTATTAACCGCCGTAGTCACGTGGCCAACCCTCACTGCGAGAATCCCGCTGGAATCCGCCGTGAATCCTCCAGAATCTCCAGAATCAACCACAGCAACTCGAAAACCGAGCCTCGTCAGGAACCGTCCGCAGCCAGGAACGGCGCCGTTCATGCCCGGGAGCCAACGGCGGCTAAAAGAAGGCCGTGCCCATGGCGTAAACCTGTCGACCGTCGCCGTTTTAGCGCCCCGGGGCTCTGCGCCGTATCGCCTGAGGGGCGCGGCCTTCCAGCGGCTGAAAGGCACAGTGAAACATGCAAATGTCTGTGCCGGCATCTGTCTCAGCCCGAGGTTTTCCATTCAGCCTACCTGAGGGCGGCATTTCCGGGCAATCGATAGGCGAAAACTGTCTGGCACTGCCGAACCACCGAGTTAGCCTTGACTCGAGCAAACGGGCTCAGTCTCTTCCCAACACCTATCCAGCGCTGTGGACGATGGCGGTCATACTTCTGGCCCCCGTGTGATCCCAACAACAGCAACGAGAAGCAAGTTAGGCTCCGTTCAGGCTATGCCATCACGGATATCACCAACTGCGTTTAAGCCCTGGTGTTCATACATTGGCTGCTGTCAAAGCACTGACCTAACGGTCTGTGACGGCGCAGCAGTTCTTGCAGGTTCATCGCTTTAGCTTCCGCAGGTCGGGCCCGGGCTCTGACACACCTTGTTGATCCCAGCGACCCGCAAGCCTGTTGCGGTTGACGTGGGACAGAAGCATGCTCCAGGACCTGCGGCGACCCCTGACAGGAGCAGGTGGCTCATCCATGAACTCATCCCGCGCTGTGCTCCCGGACCAACAGAGCCAGGTGCCGACGGTCAGACCAGCTGGTGGGGAGTTCCCCGAACTCTGATATCGGCGCGATCATATTGGACTGTGGGTGGCCCTGCCATCCTGGGCTCCCCACCATGTTCCACCTGATGGGGAGGGACCGTCCCCCGTCTCGGTCAGTTGAAGGGCGAACCGGGTCGTCTGCGACTCGCATTCGTCAGATGGACCGTCCAGGGCTCATTCTGGACGGCGGCATGACCTTCAGCGGAGGGCACACTGTTGGTCATGGGCGGGAACTGATTTGATAATTCGATTGTTGGGCGTGGGCCTGCATATGTGACGGGCCTTTCCCTGCGGCAGGAAGGCGTAGATGTGAAGATGATGTCAACTCTCCCATGATGCCGGCGCGGAAGTCTAATGCGACGCTCTCCCCAGACGAGGATGATATCGATTTCGGCCGATGCATGACTCTGCTAGTCCGGTACGCGTCCATTTACCGGTCTAGGAAAAGACGTCTTTCCAGGCTGACTGCGAGGGGATATTCGGCCCTCTGATTCGCATCACCATCAGTCCGCGGGGGGTGATGCAAACCAGATGTCGACTGAGTCATATGTTGGATATTATTTAGAATTTCGTGGAGGGTGATCTGAATGTGATGTAGATCGAATCACCAACTCTTCGACGGTGCAACGGTTCATATTGGTGCAGACGATGAAGGAGGGCTGCGCCAGAAAGTGGAAAAGAGAAGCGTAGTTAGTGGCCCGTTCCTTGTCGAACCTTCTTCTGACTGTCGTCCAATTCATTCTCATGTTGTTGCTGTTGTTGTTGCTGCTGCTGCCACCATCTCAATGTGACAATCAACACCACCACCACCATCACAATGAATATTATTTTTTTTGCCCCTCTTTAATTTCCTAAAAAACCTTTTTTTTTAAATTGGCATTGGCTGAGTTGAGTCACTCGCGAGCCTCGTCCTTTGAGATGAGCGTCTGGCGTAGACGGCGTTGTTGCGGCACAGTCAATCAACCGCAGTCAAAGTCACTTCACTTTATCACCACCACCACTTCGGTGCTGCTGCCAACGACACGAAAAGTTCCATTCGCAATTATTTAAGGCTGCGCAGTCCCCGTCGACATCAGAACAAAACCAGCACAGCTTCAGCAGCTTCAGTTCAATCCACTCCGCTTCCACTTCAAACCTCAAATCTCTCTTCCTCTCTCTTCCTCTCACTTCTCTGCCTCAAAGCACAGCTTCTCTTAACCTAACACAACTCACTTCGAGCAATTTCTTCTCATCTCCACATACACAAAACCCACACCTACATCCACATCTACCCACCATCCCCATCACCCACTATCCCGCAAGATGTGTTCCCAATACTTCTACAAGTACGACTGCGGCTGCACCGTCCCCGAAGGCGATGTCGTCTTCTGCGCCAAGCGAGGAACCTCCTCGTGCACCGGCGTCAGACAGCAGATCCGTCGCCGCGAGGGCTACAACTGCCCTAACCACGGTGGCTAGATCCGTTCATCGGGGCCTGATACGTTTGGAAGAAGGGGTGAGAGGGGGGCCATAGCTTGGTGAGTTCAGTTGCCGAAGATCCACAATCTATCTATCTACTATTATCTGTCTGAACCACATACCCCTCCACTCACCCACGCCCCCTCCCCCCAGATCGTGCCGTTTTGGGTATTGAGCTAACTGTTCTGGGAAGGATTGGTGGGATTTGGTTGCTGTCTGTCTGGCTGGCTGCTGGCTAGATGGGTGAGGAGCGAGCTATGGTGTTCGTGGCGGAGGAAGTGTTCGTCTGAGTTAGTCGTTGAAGACTCAGACAATGGGGATGGAAGAGGAGGATTTCCTTTGTTTGTTTGTTTGTTCGATGGGGAGGAAGATCAATCGGGGCAAAGAAAATCTCGAAAAAAAATTGTTGAATCGTAGGAGGATTTGTATTTCATAGGGAGGGAGGTAATATTGGTTTCGCACTTGGCTTTACTTGTCTGTTTGTTTGATTCGATTGTTTCTCATCATCACTATCATTGTTTGTGTTTGTATTTCTGTTTCTGTTGTTGTTGTTGTTCAGTTTATGTGATTCGATTTCGGCTCCCATACCTATGCATCGTTTGCGTTCCGTCCCGTCTCATCGCAGGATTGATTTCGGAGGCACATGTGGTATTCCTTTTTTTCATGCAATCATCATTTCGGTGGCATTTGTCTGTTGGTTCTCTTTCATTATTATTCGCTCTTTGTGATTTGCTTTGTGTGCTTGATTTGTACTAGGTACTTAGTTAGTTGACTTGTTGGCATATGCGACGCTCATTCTATTTACATTATTCCATTTTTTTGTTTTTGAGGTTTACATTAAAGACGTAGCGTCATGAAGAAGCGTCATTCATCAGATGATATTCAGCAGTAGTTCTTTATTGTGATGAGGATGGTAGTGGATACAGTTGGTGCCACATATCCTCTCTATCTACCCATCTATGGTGCAATCTATATGACAATCAGATGGTTTGATTACCCCCTCAGTTTGCGGCACGAAGCTCGGGAGAAAACTTCACATGAATCTACAGACCAAATCTCAAGCACAAAAGTCAAGGGGTGTCGGAGGGGCTAACAATTAGTCGCTCATGACAGACCCATCGGGATGATCGAACCATGGTTGACGGCGCTTAGGGTGTCACAAATCCACCACCAACCTGTCTTTGTCGCCCTACTTTCCTCGTGGCGCGAGTCAACAGGATGGAGAACCCCTCCACATTGATGGGGTCTTTACCGCGCTGGCTTCATCCTTTGGAGACTTGTCGGACTTTTTTCGGTTCTAATATGAGGGTTTCGAAAGAATGAAGATGGGAGATGCTGCTGGTGTCGTCTTCCTTCATCGTTTGCAATTTTTTTGTTTACAAATTCTTTCAGCAGAAGCTGGCACCTGTTTGTGCGTGGAAAAGGTCGGGTCAGGCAGGACCAACTAACCAATTCTCAGCCTGATTAGTCCCGTACATCATGGCTGCATTAGCACCGCATACGACTTTTATCACCTGATGCTGAACCGGCAAATCAGACACACAAGATGGGGCACAGACGCGAGGTGGCCGAGTGGCGAGCGATTTTGACTGGTGCCAACAACACTTGCAGACGGAGGGGGTGGTGCTGAGCCAGTCAGAGTAGGAGCCTCCGCGCGTATATCGGGGGTGAAAAGCCGGTCCTACTGGGGCCTGCCGGCCACTAGGTTGCTGCTGTGCCCACTGCCCGACCATCATGGGAGTCACTGAAAGGTAGCTGTGCCTCTTCGGCTTCACGGGTGTGGAAGAGGCAGCATAAAGGACAGCGTGTACAGGTGCGGCAGAAATCGGCCGACCATCCGAAGATGCAGCGTGGAGTGGTGTCCTCCGTCGCGCCCTGTGTTATCGCCTGCTCTCATTTTGAGGGACGCGGAATCCGGCGCGAGGATCGGCCTGGGGATAAACCGGTTGCTGAACCTGGTCACGCTCAGGCAGATACCGTTGGCAAAAGTTTAAAGGTTACAGGAGGGGTCGATTAGCAAGCCAGTTCATCTGGTTGTCCCTATGGAGGGGAGATCCTTAGTAGGCCAATAGTAGCTGGTGCTAGACTCGCAATGTTGGGTCCCAGATAGCCTAGCTCAGTCGTGATCGAATGGAGCCGATGAAGACCATCTGCTGGTCACGGTATTGTGATTTGTGGCACGGCAGGCTCAGGGAGACCCCTGAGCAACCAGTCCGGTGCAGCCAATGTTACACCGCTTGGGTAATGGTCAGAACAGCGCCGCAGAGCTGTGCCATCGCCCTTGGACCGGCCATGGGCGGGAGGGACTGGGGTACCAGAATGCTGGGACAGTAAACCCAAAGCGGTGTGAGCACCGACTGTGCCGGCAATTCCAACCAAGATTGGTACCGTGAGAAAGAACAAGTTTTCCTGAAGCCAAAATTTCACTCTGGTCACTGAAAGTCTTCCATTGTGACTGTTGATGCCGATGGAAGGCATTGTGGCCGTGTCGGATTGTCGTTGGGGATGCGGTCACGTTACCGCCGACTCACGTGATCCCCACACGCTGCGAGATCCGCTCAAGCGCGACAAAAACAAGCGCCATCTCCGACTCCGGCTTTCGACGTCACCGACCATGGTGGGAAGTTAATCGACCTCTAACTTGCTTTTCCGGAGTTCTAGACCATTTCTCGAATCTTTTCCTCTTCCCTGACATCTCCCCGGACAGCAGCCGTCTTGCACATGTAATGTCCATAGAAGTTGACTGGGGCGCCGCGACCTCCGGTCCGGATGGGGAGGCTCTGGCCGAGCGCATCCGTTCCTTTATCCATGACAAGTTCCAGCAGGTCGCTCTGCCACGCTTTATCCGCTCCGTACAAGTCCATTCGTTCGACTTTGGGACCATTCCGCCCGAGCTCGAAATCAAAGACCTTTGCGAGCCGTTCGCCGACTTCTATGAGGAGGATGAAGACGACGATGAAGCGTCCGACATATCCGAAGGGCTTGTCTCGGGACATGGGGCACAGTGGCATGGGTCTCATTCAGAGCTCAACGAGTCTCCTTTCCGCGACGAGAATGCGATGCATCAACCGCTGCGTGACCCTTTCACCGAAGGCTTCCAACCCTCGGCCTTGCGGTCTCCGATAGCTTTCGGCGACCATCTCAACCCGCACTTCCTTCCCCGCGCCGGCACCCCTGGTATACCCGGGGGTACATCAACCCTCGGATACCACCTGATGTCGCTTGGTGGGCTTTCTGGGACACAAACTCCTCTCGCTGCAGTTGCTGGCGGATCGCCGTTTGCAGGCGGGTGGAATGAGTCGGGGATGATGGGGCCTGGGAGTAGGGGACGCCCACCCCCTCCAATCTTCAATGCGCACCAATCGCGACCGGAAGCCGATATCGACAGCAGTAATCCGACCTCGCGCCCGTCAACATCTAGTACGCTACCTTCTCATCCTTCCGGGTCCAACAAGAACGCCGGTGATGGAGCAGACAGTGCCGACCATGGATCACACCCCGAGGAGCATGGGCATATGGGAGATCCTTCGGAGGAACCGCTGCGGTTTCCTCGGATGCGGGAGCGCAAGCCCGAGGATTTCCAGGTTCTATGTCATGCCAAATACGCGGGGGATGTGCGGTTGTCGTTGACGGCAGAAATTCTTCTGGACTATCCCATGCCTAGCTTCGTGGGGCTGCCCCTGAAACTGAACGTCACCGGGATCACGTTCGACGGCGTCGCAGTGGTTGCCTACATCCGCAAGCGGATCCACTTCTGCTTCCTGTCATCCGAGGACGCCGACGCGCTGATTGGATCCGACCAGCAGGATGTCGGGGGCCAAAGCGATTACTCACGACCTGGCGGAGATGCGACCGCCTCTGCGAAGCGACAAGGTGGTCTGCTGCAAGAAATCCGGGTCGAAAGTGAAATTGGCCGGAAAGAAGATGGAAAGCAGGTCCTCAAGAACGTCGGCAAGGTCGAACGTTTTGTTCTTGCACAGGTGCGACGGATCTTCGAGGAGGAGCTAGTCTATCCTAGTTTCTGGACATTCCTGGTCTAATTGTGCCGCGGAAAAATGTTGTCAACTCGCATTGATCTAAAGCCCGTGGAGGTTTAGGGTTTGATCGACCATTTGAATTCGCACCGTCTGCTCTAGACCGCCTCGAACTAAACGATTTGTCAGAATGGCACTAAGTCTGCAGTGTTTTATCAAGATTAGCGCCTGCATCTCCCCTCAAACAATGCCAAGTTCCTCCGGAAATCGTCCCTTTCGGGAAGCGTTCCTGTGTTCCCACGCTGCCGAGTCCCGACATGTTTGCTGTCAGACCCACGATCACAATACATACTATAATTGCCAAACTAAGATATCTCACTCCATCAATTAGCTCCCCCTTGTTCTTGTGACGTAGCGACCTAGTATCAATCAACGCTGTCAGCCAAGCAAGCCCAGACATCACCAGACCTTTACCAACCTCCAGGGAAACTTTCTGTCGCATCAAACACCCACACACTCTCACCACCGCACTCGCATCCCTATCGTGTAGACAATAGCCCTCCTCTCCGGTAATCATAGTAAACGTACTCCGTAATATATCTCAGGCTAGGAAGTAGTGCCGACTATCTAGTAAGCCGTCCCGGAACGGCCCCAGGCGGGAGGGAGGGAAGACGGGATCTAGTACTTGGTAGGAGAGTGGGGGCCTGTCAGCAGGTATCGTCTCATCTACCTTGAGTATTCAAGTCAGCTGTTACTTCTGATGATGACGATGACGATGAAAAAGAAAAGTAAGGGGTGAAGTAGCAATATACGCTTATCTCTTTTCTACTTAGCTGGTGAGGTTGCTGGGCGCTTGATATCGGTCGTGATGCTGAAGAACTAGTTGGAGGGAGGAGGGGAGATCTGTTCTGGAAATGCTGTTCTGGGATTGAGGGGTTGGTTCTTCTATAGGTTGAATGCATGTTGTATCTGGGGAGTGGGGTATAGAGGTTCTTGTGATGGAGAGCTGAGTAGGTGGAGGGACCATGGTATCGATGTTCCTGCGTGGGGTCTAGCCTGAGGCTCATACTGCTGTGGGCTATTGTATTTATAGAAGGCTCGTGATCTCCTCGTGAGACCGTATTTCTCTCAGGCTTACTGAATCTTACGACTCGACTTCAACATAATATGTTAGTGCCATTGAAAGTGATATCCCAGATAATCCTAAGTTTTGGACAACTTCCTCTTTTATAAATACTCCAGCACAATCACACCTTCAATGCACTCCAGGAGGTAAGATCGGGTTCATCCGATCACCAGGTGTTGATCTCAACAATCTACCTATCCAGACCCGAATTCGAAGAATAATCGAAATCAGAGAGCAGCCTGCAGGCGGCTTGCAAGGTAAACCACTCAGCCTTAAAAGTAAAGAATCCAGCCCCGGTTGACCAACAAGCCGCAGCCGTATTTCTTGTCGCAAACTCGAGAAAAGAATTACATGTCCTTCTTGGGACCGTTGTCCTTCTCACCAGAGACCTGGTCACCCAGCTTGTGGTATTCACGGGTAAGACCCTCGCACTGCTTCTTCAAGGTCTCAATGTCGCGGTCCTTGGCCTCAAGCTCCTGCTTGAGACGTCCGATCTCACCGGCATCACCAGCCTGCGCAAGACGGGCAGAGTCCTTGCCGCCAGCCTTCTTGTCGCCCTCGAGGAGTCTGACTCTGTCCTCAAGACGGAGGACGTCCAGGATCATGGTGTAAGTGCGGTTGAGGATAAGAGACAAGAAGAGAGTGAATCCGCAAAGGTACATGTTGCGCTGCGAGTAGAACTTCCGGGCTTGGACTTCCATGCGATCAGTTCCGAGGGCGGCCGCTCTGTATATGCGGGTACGTAAGTCTCATGCCAGGCAGCGATAAAAGGGATTAGTTTGTAAAAAAAGCATACCCCATGGTGCCTCCCTCCTTGCCAAAGGAGGCCAGCTCCAGCTGAACACGGTAAACGCGGTTGACGCTATCGATGAAGAGAATGAGGATGAAGATGAACGTGATCTAAGCTTGATAAGTAATCGTAAGCCATAGACGGTTTGTAGTACATACCTTCAATCCATATTGTAATTTTGCTACTATCGGACTCTCCGAGATGAAAGCGAAGAGCTTCCTCTTCACGGTGAACGGAAGGGGGATGATGAGGCCCATAAAGACCGCCATCTCGAACACCAAGAGGCAGAACACCTAAGCCATATGTAAGTATACTTCGACGTAGGTGCCTGTTTGCGGATGACTGCGGGCCAGGGGTTGCAGGCTGCAGGCTGCAACAATCCCGAACTCATGCCATTGCGAGGAGAATTGACAAAAATGGTGTCACGTACGAGACTGTAGTAGAGAGTCATTGTGCTTAAGCTAACAGATCAACTTCTGAGAAAGCTTTCAAATGTAGGTTGTGGCTTGGAATCAAGCTGTGTTGAGGGGTGGTTTGAAAAGGTCGCCAGGAGTCGACGGTGTCACGTAGGTCGGGTTGAAAAGTCAAAAGCTCGAACAACAGCAGAGCGAGCCGAATTGGTCGAATGAGCACCTCTAGCTGATATACTGGATAGACAGTACCAGGAGGAGCGAAAGGGTACAGCACGTTCAGGAGATGAGGTGGTCTTTTTGCAGTTTCTGGTGAGAGGAAGACGTCATCACCGCCTGGAGCTGAAACCCGCACGTGACTCCTCGGTCGCGGCTCGGCCTTTGTCATCTACGTCATAGCCCCAGGGTCTTTACAGGTATTTAGTATGTGCTTCGTAGTATCATGTGTGATAGCAGCTGCGTATGTACATCATCTATATGCGTCATTTCTAACTTAATCAGCGCGTCTTTTAGCGCATATTTAGCCCTCAGCCTCGTCGTACGAGTTCGATTTGTGCTTGGGCTCGAACTTGAAGTCCGGATGGGCAGGTCCGAGGAACATTTCCCTAGAAGCTGTTAGATGCGCTCACTGCAACTGAAATGATTAAACTTACGAGATCTTGAGCCAATCCTTATAGTTTGCACTGGCCAGCAGTGTCTCGAGCTCATTCCGGCCTCTGAAGGCTGGCGGCCGGTCATTGATGGACGGCGGAAGATGTTCGAGCAAGCCGATAGGGATGTAGCGCCGAGTAAAGCTCAGCCATTCCATCAAGAAGCGTCTGGTCGTACCAACACCGTGCTCATCCGATCCCCATGTCTCCAGACCATACTTGACAAACTTCTCGACCATCGCCAAGCGCTCCGTAGCGGACTTGTCAAGGTACTGACCCGCCTGAATCTCCTCGAAAAGCCAAGGCTTGATCAGGGCTCCACGTCCAATCATCACACTATCAACACCAGCATTGTTGATGTGTTGATCGTAGTCCACGTGGGAGTAGCAATCACCGTTGCCAAGGAAGAATACCTTTCCACCGTTAGGCTGCGTCCGCGCGTCGGGCTCTCGCACGGTATCCGTCACCGCATCGGTCTTCTCGCCCAACCGCTTGATCAGAGCGGCACATTCAGAGATGTATTCCCAGTCAGCTTGTCTGGTGTACCGCTGCTGTCTACTACGGCCGTGGAGAGTAATGGCTGCGGCACCCGCAGCTCCATCGTGGTGAAGCAAGCTTGTCTCGTAACCTCCAAGGAGCAAACGTTCGGTCAGTTTCAAGGCATTCGGGTTGTTGTCCTTTGTTCCCATACGAATCTTGACCGTGATAGGAATATGTTCCGAGACTGTGTTCATGCCACGAATGATCTTCTCAAGCTTGGCCGGATGCTCCAAGAGGGCAGAGCCAGCACCCTCCCGGAAGACAAGGTCGATAGGGCAACCGCAGTTCAAATCAATGACACGCAGGTTCGGAGTAAGCTTAGCCAGCGCCTCGGTAGCCTTGAATGCTTGCCAGGGCTTGTTCGCTGCGATTTGTGCACCGAACTTGAAATCCTTGGAGTTATCGTAACCCTGGACGATATTTGCCCCCGGCAAGAGCGTAGGAGGCAACATTTCAGACTCATGCGCCTTCATCAGGGCCCACTCCGACTTGTTTCCCTGCACCAGTGGCAAACTCATGGCCATCTCCGAGTAGGTGAATTGTGCGCCGAGTTCGACACAAAGTCTCCGGAAGGGCATATTGCCTTGGGTGGTCAAAGGCGCCAGAGCTGGGGTCTCGGGTCCAAAGTACAGGCGTCGCTTCTCCGATGGCAGGAATGGCGGCTCGACGTAGGTTGCTCGGTTGTCCTCCTTTTCCTCCTTCTCATCCTTGTTTTCTCCATCTTTGCTCTCTGCTGCTTCAACTCCGCCACGATTCCGCTTGTGAAGTTCCTTTTCCATAATCCGGGAAGTGTTCTCCAGCCAATCGCTATAAGGTCCAGCCCTGGGGAAGTCCATCTTTCTCCTTGCCAAAGCAACCTTGTCCTCCACAGCGGCAACATTCACGACACCGTCTGTGGCGAAGGGGACGAGCCGCTGTACCTTCTTCTTGCGCTCCTCATCTTCCACGAGAACCAACTCCTTCCTTCCATCTGCCGTCTCGCGCTCCTCCACGTGTGAACCAAGGAAGCGACATTTATAGCCCTCGGAGCATTTACCGTTGACATCGAAGACGGGGCAAAGACCGTTAAATGTTGTAAGATCCTCTCGCTTGTGCTCCTTCAAGTAGGTCCGCAGGTTATGCTCATAGCGGCACTTCTCACCGAAGGTGCACTCGGCGGGGGAGAACTCGGGCCGGAAGTTGACGCTCGAGCAGAGTCCCTTTGCGTCTTCGGATCGACCAAATTTGCGATTCGTATTCTGACCGGTCTTCTTCTTGTTCTTCTTTCCTTTCTGCTCATCGGCGCGACCATCATGGTGTGCAGCTTCCGCAGCGTCATCGGCATTCGCTTCTGGGGCGGGCTGGCCCCTCGAGGGTTGTTCGATGATGAATCTAGCACAAGTCAGTTAGACTGGGCTGCGCCAACAAATGTAATTGCCACATACTCAGCCTTGATCGGAGCGACACCCTTCACGCGCGGAGCTGGAGCAGCGGTCTGTCCATCGGTAGCGGCAGCATCATCAAGTCTGGCCCTCTTCGAGGGTGGCTCCTGGTCTGCAGCGGAATCGCCAGCCTGCGGATCACGCTTGGGCGCATTAGCCTCCAGATTCGTAGTTGTCGGCTCCATTGTAAGCAATCGTTTGCCTCTGGGAAAACAGCTCTCGATTCACAAAAAGAGCTGCACAACGCAAGGTCGGGCTCGAACTAGCGCTCTGATTCAGACCCTTCCGATTCAATGATGCTAGTTCAAGAAATCTCCGCATCGACTAATGCGGGCAAAAATTTCGGCCCTCACGCTCCTCCGGACTGTACTTTTGCACCGTTTGCACTGTCAGTGGCGTTTGCGGCAGTCCCAGTGTGGCGGGACGGAGGCGGGTGAAGGCGGTCAGCCCACTTGTGACGGTGCAACCTGGGGCAGGCAGCATTTGACAGCCAAATCCTGAGTCAGATGGGATTGTGCTGTTAGACTGTTACGATGGCGGTATACGCGGTAGAACGGAAGCGAATCTGCCGTCGCCTTGCCGGGCTCTCCCCCATTACCCAAGTCAAACAGGCTAGCGTAATCTTACATGGGTAGGCCCCACCAATGTTGGACTAATGCTCGCATTTTCTGGGTTTCTAGAAGAACTTAAACGACGGTCGATGGGGTCGATCAAAATGCTCGCCAAAGCCCAGCCTGTCGTTAGCGAAGCCGTCTCGCGTTCGGGCTCCAATCCATGTATGGTCCCCGTATACTCCACTCAGCGCGTAATTCGTTCCTCGGACCGTTGTCGATTGTTACGACGACTGTACTCCGTAGCATACATAGTATACTCCGTACCCGTCTGTGGCAATGATCATAGTTACTATCGGCACAACACGTTGCAGCCAAAGTAAAAAGGAAGAAGTCGGAGAAATAGTCCTATGAAAGTCAATAATCAGCGTCTCATCACGTTCGTTGCCCCCATAACCTACTCCTATTCACATACATAGTACAGTAGAAACTCAGAAGTCAATTGCAGTTTGGCTTGGCAGCCTGGTCACAAGACATCAGTAAGTATCGGCGGGTTGAGAAGATCTTCCTGCGCCTCTTATTTGGTACCTCTTGCTTAGCGCTTGTACCTGCTGATCTGATATGTCCACATGAGGATTCCTTCCCCATGCATGTTACATGTACATTAAGTTTTTACTGTCGTGCAAGCTACGCATAAAGTACGGGGAACTTTGCCTCCTGTGTATATGTATTACCAGCGATAGTTATAGATTGGAAATTTAAAATTGGTATGTATGTATGTTCTGTCTTCGGGGAGGCGATCTTTCAATACTACCATGTAGTATGTAGTATGTACGTACTCCATACTCTCCTTAGGCGGGCTGGGTGGATAGACTAGGGTGCAGTTACAGAATGCATAAGGCAGGTACGGAGTACAGTGGCTCACGGTAGGGCGGAGGGATCCACTCCAAGGGGACAAAAGCACATGTGGCATTCCAAGAACCGTGGACTTGGAAATGCAAGGGTGGCAATGTGCTTCTATAATTATGGATGATTCTTGTGATTCGTGGGTTGATTATTACTTTGTCATTCTTACACGATACTGTACTACTGTGGTGGTTTTGGGTTTCACGTACGATGTACGGAGTTTCTATAGATGTTCTGGACATGCGATGTTATAGTTCCTTCGTGGGCTGTGTGGATATGCTAGTATCCACAAACATGATTGATCATGTAGGAGATCTATCACTTGTGATGTAGATGTTCGAGATATAAGTACTGGGCTTTCCGGGTTATCTATCTACGAAGGTTAGAGTCCATGTCGAGTAGGCGTCTCGAATGTTGATTGATCGAGTGCGGCGAACAGTCATGCGGTATGTATCTAGCTAAGTGCACTGTCTTTCCAACATACGACTAGTTAGTCCGGGTTTATGCAAGTGGATACGGACGCCTCATTGACTCGAATTAGGTTCCGGGGAAAACGCAGCCGAGGGTTGAGAGTTGAGACGTCGATGAAACAAACGGATGGCGCCGACACGGGGTAGGCCACCTGAGTCAGTAGAACCGAGACATCGTCCCTGGTGGATGTAGAAGACACTACCCGGGTATCTCTGATCTGAAGAGTACTCTCATATTGCTCGATGTATCGATCCAGCAGACATTATTCTAGTGCAGTCGCATTGGTAAGCATGTCTTCCCGGACGGCAAAGTCACTCGACCGATAATGCGGTGAAAGACTCAAAGTTGCCGCTAGCCATTAGAAATGCTTCTGCAGTGCTTCTAGTGTTGGAGCCAAGACCCAAGATATGCTCTAGGCTGATTGCATGACTGAGAATGGGAGTTCATTCTCCCCGACTTTCGCGGCGATCGGCACCCGGAGAAAAAAGGGGCTTCATCCCATTCCTACCATCTCAACCAATACCAGGAGATCTGGTTCATCAGCAGATCATGTTGAACGGGAAACGGTGTGTTATGTGCTGCTAGACCGTCTTAGCGCTCAAGTAGTGTTTGCTCGCCTGTATGGAGTACAGCGTGGACCTATCGTTGGTACGGCGACGCTCATACAGACCGCCCATTTGTCTCGTGGTGTAAGAGCGAGGCTGCTATACTGTTGATGTCATCAAATATGGCCAATGCTGAACAGGAGCGATAAGAGGCCGTGCTCCATGCTTATCGCCATATCGGGGTTAATCCCGGGATACTATAGATCGATGCTTACGCCGTACGGGGGAAGGGGGTCGCGGAGCATACCCGGGCGGATGTCCTTGGAATGCCCGATGCGAATGATAAGAGGAAGCCAATATGACCAAGAAACCGTTGTAGCCCCTGATTCTTGGAGTCTGCAACGACTGCACCTGAACCGTCACTTTCCGCTCCACACCCACCCCCAAGTGCCTGAATATCCAGACCAACAGTTGTACACTGAATTTCGGGGTTTGTGGGGTTGGGTTGAGTTGGCTGGCGGCCTATCCAACGCTCCTGGTTTGGTATGGCATGACAAGCTTTGGACCCTTTCGACACCGCTAGAATCAATGAACCAGCTTCCAGGACGGAATAACCGGCTAACTTCAGCCTATGAGTATAGGCCAAGGCCGTGGAGGGATTTCAGCCAGGAATGAGTGCACATGCGAACCATGGGTAGGTAGCCTGCTTCCTTGGGGTAGGACGTGACCATCTAAGCTCCGAGGGGGGGGGGGGGGGGATGTTGCCCGTCAAGATGTCGTACATGTTGTCGGTATGTTGTTCTTGGGCGAGGGGGGGAGTTGAGTCATGCTGGTTCCGAAAAGCGGCTGTGTCCGAATTTTGGAGGATTGATACATCAACATGGCTGGAAACGTGGGATGGGATGGATTGGGATGAAGGTTGCAAGGCCAACGCAGGTGGGAGCAGGAGGTGAGCTGGTAGCACCCAAATTAGGACCGCCGGCGGTTATCCTTCCTCCATCGAGACCATCCAGCTCGGTAATATTACAGACGGCCGGGATCAGGAGCGGGGGCCACCCCTGCGTATTACCGCGCGATACCGGCGGATGATACAAGGGTGACGCCCCTCTGGATCTCCTGCAGCAGCAGCTTCCCACCAGTCCACCGCCGTCATCATCATCGACTTTTCGAAGAAGCGCTAGTGAGTCGACTAGACTGCAAGCGGTGTCAAGTTCAGTGCTGCGACTGGGCCCACCTGCTAAAAGCCGTAGGGAACCAGAAGCTGCGCTGACCACTGGGACCAGTGGGCGAAACTCCCATGGATCTCTCGACACCCTCATACGTAATAGTAAGTCGGCCGCGGATTCGTCGTTGGGCACTGGGCAGATGCTGGGCACCTCTGATTGCCCGGCACCGGGTCACGGGTGGCCCCAGCCATGCCTGACTAATGGGGCCCTCCTTGCCCGTTTCAGACAAGTACGGACATCGTCCGGGACGTACCGTAATCTACCTAGGGACGGGGGGGAAGTAATCTGGGTAATAAAACCGTAATGTTTGAGAGTCACTGAGAGTCATTGTCGTGGGTGTTGCCCCCCAAGGACCGGACAGGACCAGTCATTCTTCCTCCTTCTCGGGGCTGCTGCCGCCAGTTGCTCGGCTTCCTAACTTTGGCTGCTGCTCGCTGCTGTTGCTGCTGCTGTCGGTGAAACTGGGCTGTCTGTTGTCCTGCGTTCCTCTTCTACCTTTCTCCCCCATCCTCATCTTCACATCACCGCTCCATCATCATCATCATCTGTATCCATCATCATTGCGTTCCCTCCCTCTCATCGACCTAGTCGTGCCTGTGATTTAAGCGGCAGTATCGTTATTACGTGCCGCCACCTTTCCCGAATCCGTCACAGTTCCGCAGCCAAAGCGGGACAACATCCGAGGGTGGTGGACACTCCCTGTGTGATCCCGCCCAAAACCGCCGTCGTGGAATCGTTCCTTCATGCTCGGGTCCTCAGAAGCGACGCATAGTCCTCCTCCTCCCTCTCTTCATTACTCTCCCTCTGTCGGGGATCTCGATTGCGCCTCTACTCGGGACTCGACCCCCGTCACCACGCCCCTCGGGTTTGGCGTACCGTTGCGCAGACCGGATAGGGAAAAGCTCTCGGATTTCTCGTGGACTCGAAATTCACTCGACATCGGCGACACGCCCTCACCGTACTTTGACAGTCGGCATCTTCACCCTCATTTCGATCCAGACCACGACTTTCCTCTCTTTCCTTCCTCCCCCCTACAAACCAACACCATGACCGGTGCAGCCGCTCCGATTGACATTGCCACCCGCCAGAGTTCCGTCTCTCCCCCCGGACAGCAGGCGTCGAATTTGACGTCTGCTCTGCAACGAGCCGGTAATGGAGAGCGGACAGGCAGCTTATCCCACGCGAACGGTGTCGGACTCAGTGTTTTCAAGGCTCCCCCTCCTCGCAAGGACTCCATCGGTGCAGCGACTGCACAATGGGGCAACGGGACGAAACCCATCTCAATGTCGGGTTCCAACCGCGACAAACCCCGCCGCGAGTCTTTGGCAGGAAGCTTAGTGGGTGGAATGAGCTGGGGCGGTGTATCTGTTGGCAGCTGGATTCGTGATGAGTGAGTGTCCATGTTGAAAGGGGGGCAATCTCCTGTGCTCCCCTGATTGCGCAAGGTGTGTTTGGCCACCAGCAGCTAACCATGAATCATTCAGTATCATTATGACCGGCACTTCTCCGTTTACTTTCCAGTCCCCTTCGTTTCATTCTTCCTCGTACTTACCCAAGCTGGAAGCGAACTTCATGCGCGACTTCTCCTGCTGCGGGGTGACTCTCCCCACGCTTCACGATCTATTGCAGCATTATGAAGAAGCCCACGCCACCAAGTCCCCCCAGCAGGGGCACCGCCCTAGTCAAGGCGACAGTAGGGCAGCGATGGCTGCTGTAGCGATGGCACAACAGCAGGGTCAGCAAAATAACAACTCAGGCCGTGGATTGCAACCAGACAGGACTCTGGATATGCAACGAAAGTTGAACCAGACTCCCCACTCTCAGCAGCACTCGGACATGGACACTATTGATGACATGGAACTTGATGAGCCGATGGGTGATCACGACGCCGCCACTTCGCAGCTGTTCGCGCCTCAGCCGCGCGATGGAGGCCAGGGAGGTTTCGGTAACTCCAACCAAAGGGTTCCGCACCTGAATCTCTCCATGCTTCCAGGACATCAGGGATTCAAAAGTTCCCAGCCTGGAACACCGGTTGCTTCCGGGCGTCCGCTTTCGCTGCAAAACAACCCGACGGTTTCATCCGTTAACACGCCTACTCTGATGGCAAATCCCCTGCAGAACTCCCAGTTCCGGACTACACCCGATTCGTCTGCACCGGGGACCCCAGCGGAGATGGACGACAGCATGGTTGGAGGTTTTGGAGAGCTCCACATGCAAAATCCAATGATGCAGGGCCAGTCGCAGTTTGGCAGGTTCGCTGGAAACAACAACGACATGGTGGACTTGTGTATCGACGAACCAGCCAAGAGATTGTTTAGCCCCACTGGTGGAATCAACACCCCCAATGCTCACTTTAAGCTCAGTGGAGCGCAGTACGGACCCAACAGTGAAATTGCTCGACGAATCCGAGAGCAGCAGCTGCTGGCGGGTGTTCCTGACACCACTGCCCTTCTTCCCAACGAGGAGCCGAAGCCTTTCCGTTGTCCAGTCATTGGGTGCGAGAAAGCCTATAAGAACCAGAACGGTCTGAAGTATCACAAAGCTGTAAGTTGTCTCGATCGATCCACTCCATACATCGTCTGACCCTTTCCTAGCATGGCCACAACAACCAGCAGCTTCATGACAACGCCGATGGAACTTTTTCGATCGTCAACCCCGAGACCTCAACGCCGTATCCTGGAACGCTTGGTATGGAGAAGGAGAAGCCCTACCGCTGCGAGGTTTGTGGCAAGCGTTATAAGAACTTGAACGGCCTGAAATACCACAAATCGCACTCTCCACCGTGCAACCCTGATTTCCAGCTTGCTGCAGGTCGGAACTTGGCATTTGGCGGAGGAGTAATGCAAGGACAGAACATCAACGTTGCTGGGGCTGGCCTACCTGGCATCGGTGAAGAGGGTCTCCTATGAGGTCCCCTTATCACGAAGGACATGCAATTCATTTTTACGCATCATTATTCCCACACTAATTCGACTCGACGATATTGACGGCCTCGTCGTGCGGAATACGATTTAATGACAGGTTCGGTGGCTTGGAGTTAATGGTATGAACGTCATGTCAATCGCGGTTTGGGACGACCGTGTTTTGGTCTGGTAATAGATCAGTCCTTTCCAAGACTTTGAAGACCTCCCACGCCTCATCCGCCGATAAAACATCGGCTTGGATTTCCCGGTTTCTTTGCTTGCGCCTGGCATTTTGCTTGCTTTGACAGTCTTATGAGTTCGGGTCAAAACAGAAAGATGGGCTTCTTATTTGTTGTCTTCCATTGGTATGTCCCTACGCGATACATCACGCTAGGTTACCGTGCAGCCCAGAAGCCTGCCGACCAGGGACTTTGGAAGACCACATTGTTAGGGAATGATTGGGCAGTCCCGGATTAAAAACGAAAAGCAATTTTGCGCGAGAGTTTTTGCTGGATGTGCAGTCGGAGCAACGCAGTTGTCTTTTGAACCCTTTTGTCGATACATGATGTTCCACACGGAAGAAAGGGGAGACGAAAAATAATGGTGGCTCTGCGGCGTCAGTTCTGTAGATAGGTTTCAGACCGGCTTCTGGCTTTTTGCTTTGCGTTTGTCCTTTATCTTTTTCGTTCTTGCGTCACTTTGCTTTTTTTGCCTGTGGTGTTGTTGGAGAATTTGGGACTTTGACTTACCCGTGACTGTTGAATACTCGTTGCTGGGCTTTTGACTTCTTGCCGATAGAGTTTTCCCTCTCTTTTCTCCTTTGATGTTTGCTTTTGGGATTCCCGTGTCCTGAAGGTTGCCTGTTTCAAAAGAAAAGGTGTTTAAAAAAAGTCTGAACATGAACAATTTCACTCCATCCGTCTCGGTTATGCTTTCTTTGTTTTTCTTTTTTATTTTTTTTTAAAAAAAATATGTAGTTGGATGGTGATCGTGGTGGTAGGATGTGGGGGAAGTCCATTGTTCCCGACACAATAGGGACAAATAGGTCCAGTCTATTGAGGAACGATGGCACTTCACTATTTTCCTACCTCACTAGTGACTCTGGTGCATGCCAGTACCCACGTGCTTAATTCCAATACAATGATTTGAGAATGAAGATCTTAAACAGCATGTTCGTTATCTTGGGTAGTCTAGAATAGACTAGTTAAGTTAGTCTATGAGGAATAGGCAAGGACAAAGGCCATCTGTTTCATTCAATATGTTACTCTAGTACAGCTAACTGGGAGAAAACCGCCGTCCGCCTTCAATACGCGCCACATACATCCAATGTGGGGAAAAGTGAGTATGGAAAGTAATTGTTGAAAGAAACGAAAGACGGAAACAGGAATCCCGGTGTGGTGTTTTCTTAGTTCGTGAAAAATTGAATCATCGTTTGAGGCAAATTTCCGCTTGCACCGACCATCAAAATATGTGTAGGAACCGGATTTGGGGTTGAGTTTGGGTTTGGTTCATTGCTCATGACGTTCTGGGACAGATCTGGAGTTTTTACAGATGGGGATAGGAGAAAAGAAGGAAGATAAGAAAGGGAGAAGAAGCGGAAGGAAATACAAGGTTTGGAATCGTTCGGAGAAAGAGGTGGAGGCTTATCTACCACTCAAACTCTCCTTGACCTTTGTGGAAGACGTACCTAATATCTCGTTAGTGGGGACTCCAAGAGAGACGGATTGTTAAACTCACTCCTTGCCACCGGTGGTTAAGATACCATCCTTGAGCGTGCACTTCCACTTGTTCTTCACGCGTTGCACCTTGTCATAGGTACAAAGCATGACCTGACCTACAGCGTCTTCAGCGTCATGATCCTCCGCAACAAGGTCATCAGGATCATCCAGATCGGAATTGATAGCGTCCTCGTCATCCTCGTCCCTTTCATCATCGCCTCCCGGGCCATCAAACTGAGCACCCGGGATTCTGGGCGGTTGACCATGTGCCGCAAGCCCCATATCGTTGCCTGATTCTAGTTGGTTCGCCAGCACTTGGGATGGTTTGGATGAGGACTGATGCTCCTCTAGAGGCAGCATGAGACCGCCGCCCTCTAACTGAAGCATACGCTGCTTGAGATGTTCCCGAAGAATACGGTCACCTTCTCCCCCCTGGCGTTCAGCAGCTTCCCGTCTCCGTGCAACCTCAGCTTTCCAAACAGACAGGGCATCATCACCCGCACCATCTGTTTGAGCATTCCCGACAGGAGGCTGAGACACAGGCGGGTAACCCGGTTCTTGCTTGATTTGTGGGGCCTGGCCGTTTGGAACATGCTGAAGGTGAGGGGGACGGTGCTGGCCGGGCATGCCCATGGCTGCCTGTGCTTGTGATTGCGCTTGCATCTGGCTGACCGAGTTAGCGGCCGCAGCGCCATACCGCTGTCGAAGCATGTTGGCAGCACGTTCCTGTGCGGATTGGGGGTTCGGGGCGTTCGACATCATCATGTTGTTCATAGGGATCATTCCGGGCTGGCCATTGAGACCAGGTTCGGTTTTAATGTGCGGTGGCTGACCCATGGCGTGAGGAGGGGGCCCAACGGGAGCGGGAGCCTGCAGCGGGGGGACCGTACCAGGGACGGACTGCGGGAGGTGATGTTGAGGGGGCGGGGGAACATGGTGCTGTGGTTGAGGAGGTGGACCAGCCCGGGGAGCATTAGAGGGGACCGTCGCTGTAGGAGGAAGTATGTTTTGAGCCTGAGGAGGAGCGGGTTGCGGCGGCGGGGGATCCCAGGGGAAGTGAGCAACGCCCAACGAGGACAGCTTTTTCTGCCAGCTCTGGAGATAACCAGTACATTAGTATATGACGGTTTGATTTCTTAAATCGGCGAGGGTGGTAAAAGGGAGGAGTAAACAGGTAGAAAAACAAATGGGATGGAGAGGTGAAGGGGAAACGGGCAGCGAATGACGATGTTGAGGCGGCTTGGCAGAAGCCGACTAGGGCGGGTAAAAGCGGCGTGGTATAAAAAGAGACTCATAAGCAGGCGATGCCCCCAGCGGCCGCCGCCTCCCGCACCTCTCGGACCCCGCTTGGGGCTCCCCCTGGGGCGCCCCCCCGAAAGCACGACCTCGTCTGCTCATCACCAAGAAGAGAAAGATGGGAGGTTACTCACTCTGCGCAGGTCTAACAATGTTTGCTGATCCACTCCGCTTTCCTCAAAGTCCACCTGGGAGCCATCACAGACCTCCTGGATGACACGATCGAACACCGTGCCCTAGGGATACCTGGTATGAGCCAACGTCTTCATAAGGATGGGGTGGAGAAGAGGAGCTTCAAAGGCCAGTATAAAGCCCCAGCTTAGGCTCAGAGAAGCTCCCAACTCTAGTAAGGGAGGGCTGTTTAAGATAGCACTCACCACCTGCTGGTTTGACATGATCGCAGCTGGAACTGGGACAATACTCCAGAGAGGATGCTCGTCAAATCAGTTAAAGAGAAATTAATGTGAAGGCGGGACAAATGATTTGCTCTGTTGCTCTGTTCTCTAACGATGGGATAAAGCCAACCACGGAGACCTATTAACACGCGCGAGCACGACGTGGATGAGTTGCCGGGCTTATCACAGGTGAAGCCTAGCCGTCGCAGCGGTCGCTTGCCACGGGCGAATGCGACAGTTGAGTCTCTTCAACCCACTACTTCCGATCACCCTCAGACCTGCACAGCTTCTGTAGATGGTCTTCCTTACTGCAGAAATCCAATGTTGTGACCTTTTGGACGCGATGAGCCGTAGAATGCGGAAGAAATGCCGGACGGTAGAGACAAAGCAAGGCAAGCGTGCCGGAGGGATGTGGTTGAGGTGAAAGTCGCTCGTTCCGGGCGAAATCCGCCTTCCTCCCGCTGCTTAGTCACCACCACCGCTAGTCCCTAGTGGGATGTCCGGGGGATCTGCCCCGGCGTGACTACGACGGACTAGATCCTCTTCGATTCTCTTGCCACGGGCTTGTTCTTCCTCGGCCACAATGTGCCAGTCTTCAGATACTCTGCCTCTCTAACCCTCTGGCGAATCAATGACCTCACGCTGTGACCATTTCATGCAAACCTCATGCCAACACTCTCACCTTCACCCAGGCTGATAAAGACAAAGGAAGGTACGAATTTGATTCTCGATTCTCTCCGGATAGCTCTCTAGAATAGATTATTCTCGACTGGCCTGGCAGCTAACATGTCAAGAGGTAGTACTTAGGATGTTCCTTACCTACGATATCGAACTGTCCATGGGGGAGGGCACACCTTATCTACAACTATAAGCCTAGATCTTCCTAACGATCATGAGGAATGCCCCCGAAATGTACGCATCCTTGGACCGGGATGATACCATAGAAGCCCGGAACAAGCCAATGAGGGTGGTGGGTCCGTTACTAGTGTCTAGCACCACTTAATCTATCTCGAATTACTTGGGCAAACACCTCAAATGCTACTTGCTGGGTACGTGGAAGCCCGGGGGTCCAATAAATCATTAGTGAAACAGATGTTGAAGTTTCTCTCAATCTTTTTTCAACACAAGGTTGTTCAATTATACCTTGTATCGTAGCATCGAGCATGTTTAAGGATACCCAGGCACACGCTTTTCCTAAGTGCATTCCTGCTTCAAGACCGATGGGAAACTGAAGCTCTCGGATTGGGTGTAGCTTGTTGACTGAACCAGAAAGCTTGGATCGCAGCAACAATCAAAATCCTCATAGCAATAACATTGCACTCACCAATACTGTCCCGTTATTAATGGTTTTCTTGTGGGGCTCCTCACAGCAAACAAAACTACTGGCTTCCCCGCAAATGCAATGTTATTGTTCTGGAAGCTCAACGCATGACTTGGCCGAGAGGCTATAATATATCCTCCGATATATACTCTCCATAGATTATTGAAGGTTGGAGGAATTCATTCAAGTATGAAACGTAAATCTAGACCAGCCTGGCCACAGGCAATTAGTTAGGGTTCTCCTCGTGCACGGCGCTTACCGATCTCGGCAAGGCGTGGGTGGAGAGTCGCAGCCGAACCTTGACTTTTGACCGTCGTCTTCTCCACTTCCTGTTGTTCTCCATTCATCTAGATCACTATCGTGTTAACCTTGCGCTACCGTCGATAAGAAATGAAACGGAAACATGATACCGTCCCAGACACGATGATGCAGAGATGGTCTCGACCACCTCTCTCATGCCGCCTTTGTCGAACGAAAAAGCTGCGGTGTGATCGTACCCAGCCCTGTCCGAATTGTGCCTTGAGGAATGTACCTTGTGAGTACTCCGGTCCATCGGACTCTCCGGACGAACTGCGGGGAGGGCTTTTGCGTAGCAGTCAGCCCACTGCTGCCACAGTCTCCACATCACAAGAGTCTATGTCACAGCCAACGACAGCCATTCCATCCCATTGCCCGTTTACAACCTCGTTGTGAGTTGTTTCGCTCACTGTAATTCATTACTACGCGCCGCTGACACAATTGTAAAGGGATCCTACTGATATTCTAAGCCGGATTCAAAAGTTAGAAGAAGCTGTCTTCGAAAGATCCCAAGCTGCCGTGGGTGAGTTCTGTCCAGTATGTTTTGTTCGGTCCAACGCATCGTTGTTTGCCCGAGGCACTTTGTTAACGATCGACGTGTTCTCAGATCCACCTGCAACTTTTTCTGGACCCGGAGAAAGCAATTCCTCAACCCCGAGCTTGATCACAAGCCGCGTACGTGATATGGTTATACCTGTCTCGGGTGGATTCTCCCTCTACTCGAAAACTAAAGCAGTGTCCAGGTACAAGAATCGAGCAGTGAGTGTGGTACTCCGTTTTCAATCTTGTCACAGTCATCCCAAAGACGTCTGGCCGGCCTTGATGACTGTCTGCGAGACACGAAATTTGTGTCCAGATGTCTTCCCCCGTGGACTCAAGCTCGGCAACTACTGGATCAGTTTATCATGACCATCCAGCCGACATTTGGAGTCCTCCATGTTCCCTCTACCAGAACCCTGGTAGAAAAGACTTACAAAGACATGGCTGAGGGTGAGGAACCAAGTCCGGCAATTATGGTGCTGCTGTTTAGCATATTTGCTGGTGCTGCTTTGGTTGCGACGCCCGAAGTCCTACAAGTGTTCAACGCCACCAAAGCAGAGGCCAAGGGAGCTTTCACGACATACACGCGTCTAGCGATTGCTATCATTGATAATCCCATTAAACCCGTGCCTCCGTCAACGACGGCCCTTGAAGCCATTTGCACCTTAGCCCGTGTCCTCTCACATGAGGACTGGTATTCCCACAAAGTCCCAACACTCAGAGCCAGCGCAATCTGCATGGCTCGAGCGATGCAAATCCACCGTTTAGACACAGCTAAGAATCGCGAGGAGAGGGAACGCTCCGGCTATGATTTGGTCGAGCTCGAAGTCCAAAGACGAGTATGGTGGCACTTGGTATCGACTGACTGGTAACACATTCTCCTTTATTCATTTCACCCAAGGAACTAACAGCCACAGGATAACAGCGTTCTCGCAAAGCCCTCATGAAGGCTCGTACCTCATAAACCCAGAGCACTTCCAAGTAAACCACCCAAGCAACATCGACGACAGCTGGTTAGCAAGTGGTGGACGAGAGTTCAGCTTCCTCCCAAAAGTCCCAACCTCAATGTCCAGCTTTATCTTCCGAATCCACTACGCAGAACTATGCCGCGAAGTCGTCGACATACTAGGCCCCACTCTCCTCGAGTCCAAACAACCCAATTACAACACAGTCCTCGAAATAGACCAATGGTTCCACACCTTCATCGACTCCATCCCGGCCTTCTTCCGTATCGACCCCGAAAGCCTAAAAGAAAGCGAGGGAACTCTCGAAGAGTTACCCGCCCTCTCCTGGCAACGAACCCTGGGCCATCTAAGCTTCCACGTCCGCCTCTGTCGCCTTCATCGCCCCTTTCACCGCGAAGGCATAACGGACCCCAGATACGAATATTCGCGCACAACGTGCATTCGCTCCGCCAAAACCGTCCTCGACCTTCACCGCTCGCTAATAAAGGCCGGTAATTCCGCTGCCTCCAACCCCTTCGAATACGGCCTCGTCATGAATCACGTTTTCTTCGCCGCGATGATCCTAGCCACCGACGTGTCCATGTATCCGACTGCCTTTGGGGCTGATATCCGCAAGCAGGAGGTCTTGGATGTGATCCGCTTACTGGAGGAATCACAGCACGAGTCCCCCGCTCTCATGGAAGCCATTCAGAAAAACATGCAGACTTTGTTATCAATTCTCCATGGCTCACACCAACAACACTCAGGGACACCTTCAAGGGACGCTGCCGCTACCGGACCCTCCAGGATGTCAGCGAGTGCTCAGGTGCAGCCGCAGTCGTCCGATGTAGGAACTGGGGATGGGACCATAGTAGCCGACGGAAATGTTCCTCCCTTGGACCATATGAGTGGCTCTAATGAGGACGTCATGTGGAGCGAAGCTGGAAAAGAAAGTTGGGGCCAGCTGTGGTCTGATCTCTTTGATGTGGCACCGGAAATGAATGGACTGCAGTGGGATCTGCTGCTGAACGATTCTGATTTGCCCCTTCAAACAAACTTCTACTGAAGGAAGCGAACATAGAAGGCCCCATGACCTGGTCTGTTCCTGTGGCTGACAGCTTTGTGTTCATACCTTAACGCAGAACCCAGATTCGGGTTTGTAAGGCATGAAACGAGCAGTGATGATACAACGCGACTTTCTATACAAGAGTAGCTATTATACGGTTGAACCTAGATACAGACGCCGGTTACCGATGAACTCCACCCCATGACCCGAACCTTTCCCCAATGTACTGAACACCGATAGAACCAATGATATCTAGACAAACCCGGTCCACGATATCGAACCCAAAATATGGACATATATCATGACCATCGAAAAGAAAGAAACATAAGAAGAAGAGGACGAAGGCGACCGACCCATCTACCGAATGGTCATAGACTTGGTCATCTCAGCCTTGCTGCCAACACCACCCTCCCGAGAGGCGGAAGCGCTCGTTCCGGGCTTGCGCTCGAAGATCTTCCAGAACTTCAAGCTCTCGTCAGCGGCTGCGGTGGCCAGGAGCTGACCATCTGGGCTGAGGCAGCTGTGCAGGACACGAGTCTCATGGGCCGGAATCTCAACGTTTCGGACCAGAGTGGGGTAGCTCCAGATGCTCAGTGAGTTATCGGGGAAGCCACTTGAGCTGACAATCTCGCGGTAGTGGTTGCTCCATCTCAAGCTGGTGACCTGGGAGCCGGTGTCGATGCTGTTTGTACGAGCACCGGTAGTAGTGTTCCAGAAATGGATGTGACGGTCGTATGAACCTCCACCGGTAGCAAGCAGGTTCAGCTGCCAGGGACACCAACTGAGAGCCTTGACAGCGGCGCGGTGGTTGGTCTTGGTGAACTTGGGCGCGCTGAGGGACCGGGCATCCCAGATGTTAACCAGGTTGTCGTTACCGCCGGTCGCGAGCTGAGCACCGTCGGGCCTCCACTCTAGACCACAGACTTCAGACGTGTGCGAGACCAGCTCGGCAGTCTTGTGCTGTGCGATACGGACGTCGTGGTTGAAAACCAGACCGCTGCGGGCACCAGTGGACAAAGTGTGCTTGGACCAGCCCATGACACCCACCCGCGAGTCGTGACCAAACATACTGCGGAGCTTGGTTCCCTCCTCGACATCCCAGATTTGAACTTCACCGGTTCCCAGACCGACACCGACATACGCGCCATCACCACTCCACTTGACACTGCTCACGTACGTGTCAGGTGAGGTCTCCAACAAGCAGCTGACCGATCCCGACTCAGCCGACCATACGTAAACATTGCGCTCCAAACCAATGGCAACCTGGTTTCCAGAGCTCCAATCCAGCAGGTTGAGGTAGTAATCATCGAGAAGTCCTGGAGCATCCAGAACACGCTCCGGAGCCGTTTGAACTCTCCGGCGGAACTGAGCAGACTGAGACTTGGCGGACTTCAGGGGACGGTTGTACTGGGCACGCAGGTCAATTGGCTTGGACGACTCTGGGGGTGGTGGCTTGAAGGCTAGAATGCGAGTGTTTAGGTTGACACCACAAGCATCAGCCAACGAGGACTCATACGCCACAGCGTCCGGTGCTGGCTTGGTGTATGATGTCGTTGTCTCACTGTCCTCAAGTCCAAGACTTTCGAGAGCTGCAGTGATGTCTTCCTCGGTTCCGCGGCCGCCAATGTCAAAAGCACTGGCAGCACTTGCCAGGACAGAGGATCCATCATTGCTGCTGGTCTTTGGCCGCTGGCTCTCCTCTGGCTTGGCAGTGCCTGCTGTCACAAGGCCCTCGCTGGCAGTACGGTTCGGAATGAATCTGTCACCGGCGGTGTGTGGAATGCGAACGGTTGTCTTTCCCGACCTCGTAGTACGAGTGGTAATTTCTTTCCTGGGCGCCTCCTTCCTCGAGACCTCTTTCTTGGGAGCCTCTTTCCGGGTCACCTCCTTCCTGGGTACTTCTTTTCGGGTCACCTCTTTCTTAGTCACCTCCCTAGCCACCTCCTTCTTAACCACCTCTTTCCGTAGCCGCTCCTTAGATGGAGTCTGTGACGAAGGACCGGTACCCGTCAGGGCCCATTCGGATACGCCCAGTTCAAGATGTCTGGGTGACTTGCGGGTGCGAGCGCGGGCGATGTTGGACTTGGGGGATTCACGGTAGGTGCGGGTTGTCCTCGAGACGGGCTTGGCGAAATATGAAGAGAGATTACCACCGTAGACGGACTTGCCGTGCTCTTTGCCGGTTTCATGGGCACCACAGGGTGGTGTGAATGGAGACGAGTTGTTTGGCGTCACACTTCCTGCGTGGGTGCGCGGCGAAGGCGTGAGGGGCATGCGGCCTCCGGCCGTCTTAGTGGAGAAGATCCCATGATGGGTCTTGACGGGAGTCGACACAATAGGAGTAGCCATGCTGGTATATAATTATTTTTTGAGGAATAAGGGGGTATCAAGAGAACAAGGGCCTTCAAGGTCCAGTTGCGAGGCCAATGCCAGTCACGCACTGACTTGGACTCCGGACAACGAAGACCTAAATGCCACACTGGTATTGAATGCAGGTAGGAAATTGAATCCCACGCAATATGGTATGCAGCGAATAGTCGATAAACACCAAAAAAACGAGCAAGATGATGAGAGGAAAAGGAGGACGGCCGAGGGGCTGGAGGAGGGGAGCGAGTAAATAAAGGATATAGTTCTGCTTCTCCCATGGCAACGCGGTTACTGGAGGTACGGCTGCCCTAAGCCTCTTCCGGCTAGGCCGCCACCTGACATGCGGCTCTTCCCTTTTTGGTGGCGATCGGCTTGGCGGTGGCCGGTTTTTGCCTCAAATCATTTTCACTCGCTTGCCGCTGCAGACGAGGGGTCGGTGAGATCATTCATCATCGTGTGTGAGCCGGTGAGGCTGGGTGTTGCTGTCATCGACTTTGGATATCACATCTCCTCTGGACGACACCCTTTTGGATCCTCCGTCCCACTTCTTTTCCTGGGCCACCTCTCCTGTCGGGCCCTAATGGCGCGGCAACCATCCACTACCGCCCGGAATAGTAACGCTTCGTCGTCCTTTTCAATCTCGCCGTTCCACGCCGACCCACCGCTTTGGCCCGGGTCGTCCAGGACTTCGAATTCGATGCCCCCCCTTTCCTCCACTCCTCAGAAAACGCCGTCCGCATTCCTAATGCCCCCTAGTCCAAGTGGTCGCCGTGGCAGCGCGGGTTACCGCCCGAGCATCCGTAAGGCTCAAGGCCATGTGCCAGCCTGCCTCGTCAATGCCTCGGTGACGTATTGCAATAATGACCAGATCTACGCTTTTGGCGGTTTCGATCAGTATACTGATGAAGGTGCATCCCCCCTGCCACCCAGCCATTATATCCAAATGCTAATACGTTCCATACTGAAAAAATAGTATACAATCATGTTCTACGCTTGAATCTCAATACGCTTCGATGGGAGCTAGTCGATAACTATGGCGACATTCCCGGGGTGCGCATGGGTCAGTTTTACCCGCACCGATGGATACTCAAGAAGATGAAACCATGCTAATCGAGCCTTCATCTGTTAGGTCACACCGCGACCCTCTATCAAGGCGATAAATTGATTGTGTTCGGCGGGGAAAATGAACACCGCGAGTATCTATCCGACGTCGTCATTCTGGACATCGGCACCTCCACCTGGACTCAGCCGGAAATCCGTGGACCGATCCCACGAGGCAGGGCTCGTCATGCCGCTGTCATCTACGACGAAAAGCTTTTCATCATGGGAGGAATCACCGGAGAAAACAACATCATTCTTGATGAGTTGGCTTATCTGGACCTGAAAACCTGGACCTGGTCTCGGACGTGGAGGTTCACAGCCCGGTTCGATCACATCGCCTGGGTCTGGGGCGGTCGCCTCTGGATCTTTGGGGGCCTCGATCCCGATATGGAGCGTACAACCGACATTTGGTGGCTGGATCTTAAAGGCATCCCGTCTATGACAACTTCGCAAGGTACCGTGGATTCCCCAGAGACCATCAACAGGATGACTTATAGTCCAGACGCAATCTTTAGTCCACAGCAGCAGCTCCCAGGCCGGTCCGGTAGCTATGCAGCGAATTCTGGGAGTGTCCAAGTGCGCAACTCTAACCGCCGGAAGCCCATCGCCCCGGGCGCCATTTCTTGTCTTCGGTTCAAATCTGGTCCTCACGTTCCGGCATTGTTTTCTGGCACCCATTACCAGGCTTACGCATCTGGAGTGCTCCTGGACCTGATCACGCCGTCCGAGACTGTGCGCACCTATGAGTGCAACTTGTCGTCCTTGGATCTGGACTCATTGCGCTGGCAGCGGCTTGCTGACGGACAGGAAATCTTCAAACCCGGTTTTCGATGGCATTACTGCACCGTGAACGCCAGCGGGACCAAAGCATGGTTGCTTGGTTGCAGTCTTGACACTGGTACCACGCCCGGAACCAGTGATGAGAATTCCATGAGTGAAGTGCTGTGCATTGACCTTGAAAGATACGGTCTGCTGGGCAATGAAATGGCTTCCTTCTCACCTAGTCAAAGCAGGACGTCACTTTCCGAACAAGCCGGGATGCCGCCTCTCTCCGGCTTAGGAGCCGACCTTTCCTCCGCATTCGACCAGCCGCCCGAGGCCGGCAGCGGTGCGGACTTCATCATCACTGCTAACCCAGATGACCAGGTTGACACCGAGGATGAGGATGATGCAGTAGCCCCACAATCACAGCCAGCCTTTCTACCACCCAATGCAACCACTTCCCCTCCCATCCACGTGCACCGGATCATCCTGCAGCTGCGGTGGCCCCATTTCAAGCGGCTGTATTCCGCCCAGATGGCCGAATACCATTCGAAGAGGATGCACATTCCGGAGCCGTATTCGGTTGTCCGTGCGTTCATCTACTATCTGTATACGGACAGCATTGCGGGTCATCCGGAATACTGTTCCGACATCATTGACGTGGCAGGGATGCTTGTGATGGCGAACTTGTACGACATGCCGAAGCTGCGCCTGCTGTGTGTCAACCGGTTGAGCCGCGAGCTGGACGTGGAGAACGCAGCGATCATCTGGGAACGCGCAGGACGGACGAACGAAGAATGGTTGATGCGTCGTGCCGCCCAGTTCTGTCTGAGCAACTGGGGCCGGGTTGTCCGAACCGACGGCTTCAAGTCCCTCAGCCGGCAGAGTTTGATCGCACTGTGCGAGGTGGTCGACGCCGAGGGTCGCATCATTGCAGGGCCCGAGTTGGAGATGGTCGGAGCGCTTGGGGATGGGTTCGGATCGAGCAAAGATACCAAGCCTTCTCAAATGGCACTGAGTGGGAATGTGGCTGACAACATGGAAGACGTTGATGGTGAGGATATTGACGACATGGAGATTATTTGACATGCTTGTCAAAAGTCATATGCTTCGGGCTTATCGTTCTCTATCTTACATGACTTTCTATACAGCATTTATGTTTCGGCGTGAATTGGGGCGAAGTCTGGGTCAGGATGAGCATTATGAGACCGGAGTTTGCCGTCAGGCAGGAGTTCTACAGCAATTAGGGGATGGTTTAGCGCATGTTTTGATTGACTTTAATTGAGATTCCAATGACTGAAATGAAATGAAATCCCCAATGAAGGATGCACCGTCAGCCACGCTATTCCCAATCCACTTCGGGGCGCGGCCCGTCTAACCGGCGACCCCGCCATCTTCCAGCTTCTCTTTGCTCCTCTGCTGCTCTCGGCATCGCCATTCTTTCTGCCTTGTATGTGGCACAGCCTGTGGTTGGATCAGGCGATAACCAGATTTCGATTCATTGACTGCGGTGGCACCATCCCCGCTTTCCCCGCCGTTCGGGGACCCTACTTAGCGGGAGGGTAAAGTACTATATAACTCTCCACTGTCGCCGCTTAGCCAGCCTGCCTGATCTTCATACTTCATCTACCCAATTACACTCATAACATCCTTCCCAACAACATCCTCGAAGATATTTTCAACATGGGTTCGGCAACAGCTTCAACCCTGCCTCCGGACTTTCTCTGGGGGTTTGCGACTGCCAGGTATTCATCCTTCGTGGCCCGACGGTGTCACGGTGCTTGACTAACACGAGGGAATCTCACAGTTACCAGATTGAAGGTGCGGTTGACGAGGATGGCCGTGGCCTCTCTATCTGGGACACGTTCTGCAAGATTCCTGGCAAGATCGCAGGAGGAGCCAGCGGCGACGTTGCTTGCGACTCGTACCACCGGACCGCTGAAGATATTGCGTTGTTGAAAGAGTGCGGCGCCCAGGCATACCGGTTTTCAATCTCATGGTAGGCGATCACCTCAATTGGATAGGGATCCCACTAAGCCAAGGTCAGGTCGCGCGTGATCCCTTTCGGTGGTCGGAATGACCCTGTCAATGAAAAGGGTCTGCAACATTATGTCAAGTTTGTTGATGACCTACTGGCGGCAGGCATCACACCTCTCGTCACCCTCTTTCACTGGGATCTTCCGGATGCATTGGATAAGCGCTACGGTGGCCTCTTGAACAAGGACGAGTTTGTTGCGGATTACGCCAACTATGCTCGTATCATCTTCAAGGCTCTTGGTTCGAAGGTGAAGCACTGGATTACGTTCAATGAGCCGTGGTGCAGCAGTGTCCTTGGATACAACGTGGGTCAGTTTGCCCCGGGTCGCACGAGTGATCGCAGCAAGAGCGCGGAGGGCGACAGCTCGCGCGAGTGCTGGATTGTGGGTCACAATATTCTTGTGGCCCATGGAGCCGCGGTGAAAATCTATCGCGAAGAGTTCAAGGCCAAAGATGGCGGTGAAATTGGGATCACGCTCAATGGTAGGCACGCCCGGCGGATGTAGGACTGTCTCTTACTGTTTTGTCTAGGTGACTGGGCCGAGCCCTGGGATCCGGAGGACCCAGCCGATGTTGAGGCTTGCGACCGAAAGATTGAATTCGCCATCTCGTGGTTTGCAGACCCAATTTACCACGGGAAATACCCGGACAGCATGGTGAAGCAGCTGGGAGACCGACTCCCTCAGTGGACACCGGAGGACATTGCGCTCGTCCACGGAAGCAACGACTTTTACGGTATGAATCACTACTGTGGCAACTATATCAAAGCCAAGACGGGCGATGCGCACCCCAACGACACCGCTGGGAATCTGGAGATCCTGCAGCAGAACAAGGAGGGCGAATTCATCGGCCCCGAGACCCAGTCGGCCTGGCTGCGGCCGTACGCGATTGGATTCCGGAAGCTGTTGAAGTGGCTCAGTGACCGATACGACCAGCCCAAGATCTACGTGACTGAGAACGGGACAAGCTTGAAGGGTGAGAACGACTTGCCGCTGGAGCAGCTGCTCCAAGATGAATTCCGGACGCAGTATTTCCGCGATTATATTGCTGCCATGGCTGACGCATATACGCTGGATGGGGTGAATGTGAGGGGCTACATGGCCTGGAGTCTTATGGAGTAAGCATCCTGCGGTTTCTGCGTATTAACTTGCTAACATCGACAGTAACTTTGAATGGGCCGAGGGCTACGAGACCCGATTCGGGTCGACCTACGTGGACTATGAGAACGGACAGAAGAGAATTCCCAAGGACAGCGCGAAGCAGATCAGATCGATATTCAACCAATATATTGAGAAGTGAATAGGGGTGACTGGGGAGGAATGTATATCTTCAATCTATATATTCATCTCAATAGATTGGTGAATTACCGCCATCTCTATATAAGAGCTCTCCATCCTCCCCATTCTCCCAACCCATAAATATACATCCAGTCAATCAAAAGCCCTCACCAAATGACCTAGTGCATACCCATGAGGATCCCACACTCCCACCAATAGCCATCGAACTATCAATCGAAGGACATATCCCACCAACACAGAAATAACCATCTTCCTTTCAAAAAAAAGAGATGCCCACCTATAACCTACTACAAGAAACGAGGTATCCCATAAGATTCAACAATACCAATCCCCCAATCCCATAGACCCGTCTCCATGGCTGATGGAGAAGCTACGCAAGCTGGTGATGGGTGCCTTATGGCTGATTTGTTGTCTTCCACAGCTGGAGTGTTTGAAAAATTCGATCTATACGGAAGGGGTATATTTTGTTTTCAATGTCTTGATGTCTACTTCGGGTTGAACAAACTGTATAACGCAATCTAACCTCGCTTCGCACCGGGATAAGTGCCCTCTTGCGGTGGGAGAGATCAAGACTCCTTGGATTGTGGAATATGGTCTGACCCAAGCTTAGCAGGACAAAGATGTCGGGTTAGACATCCAAGAGGTACTTTCCCGTACTAGGTAAGTAAGCAGGCTAGCTAATTACGATACTAGATACTCAGCCATATATACAGGATTCAAGATGAAGTGTGGCTTTATTGACATACAATGAAGAAGACCTGGTTTTAGTGCTAAATGACAGAATAGACTTTGACTGAAGGATATTTTACCCTCCAGGATAATGGTGCATGATGATGAAGATCAGGGAAGTCAGTAACACTTCGACAATGTCCCGTTTCTTTCGATGTTTTTCGGTATACACACAGAATCGAAGAGAGGACCAGGTCATGTGCTTAGCTTCTGCACTAGCGATTCACTTCCATCGTGCAGACTGCTCGACATGCCGTGGATCCTACATCGAGGTTCTGCTGTCGTGGGCAAGGGTACCTTCATCTACCGTTGCAATTGCGTGACCGGGTATTTGTGAGTGGATGATCCCATAGTCTCCAGCAGAACGATACGCACATGATAGGATCGAAGTCAAGTCAAGCCAAGAACTGGGATCTGAGATCTACATACAGCCACCCGTCGCAGCTTGAGATTCGGCTGGCCTGGCCTGGCCTGGCCTGGCCTCCACGGAACTCCGTGACTGGCACCCCAAGTTTCTGCTCGTTCCGTATATACAGTTACAGCGGACCATACAGACCGGACGCATCACTGCATCTAACTCGTGGCCGGTGTCAGCGTCGTGACTGCCACATGATATCCTGACCTTCAATGCGGTGCAAGTCGTGCTTATTCAATAACATGGAGGCTATACACTACGAATGCTCTTCATATGTCTAACATACTCTAAACAGATTCTAACTACCAGTATGTTTCATAGCATGTACGGATACAAAGAGAGTATGGCCGGTATCAACCATGACCGACTTTCTGAGATGTTAGAAACAGTCACATGTATACTGCTGTCCGCATCATCTAGATTAGACAGCATCGCCTTTCTCGATTGTGGGCGTGTTGTTACTATGTGTGATGAATTGTTCTCATCATTGGACATCCTTGGTTTCTTTGCCAATCATAGTCGGATACAGATTATAAGATATCCGACTATCCTCATGGCCTTGATGGGAGAATCAAAGATGAGCAGATTGTCAACACCGCTGGGGTCTCGTTTCTTGGTGATTATGGTATCTGAGACGAGTCTGCATTGGATATTCAGGGTGTATGGGTCTATTGGCCTGAACGACTGAACGGGAAATTAATGCCTGAGGGAATATAGGTTACCTTCTATATTTTATGGAAATGAAGGGGCTGATGCTGAGTGGGAGCGTTGAGAAAGGGGATGGATTTAGATACGAATGCTGTCCTAATATCAATGGAATAATCTCACATAGAAGATGTAGAAATAATGGATACCATATGCTCCGCAGTCAGGGTATTAAACCCACTCCACCTCCATAATCCGTAACAACCCATACTTGTAGAAAACGGAAGATCATAATCCCCATATAACGTCTCCTTCCCTTACCCCCATCTCAACCACAGATCATCTCCCTCGACAGAGGCTTACACCCACCGCTGCCCCTCCCGATCAAACCCAATGACCTTGAGATCAATCCCCATCATCGTAAGCATCATCTCCATCGTGAATTCCTACATCCCATTAGCACTTCCCCTATCCCCTATCCCTCTCGGAAAAGAAGAGACACTAACCTCATCCTCATCCTCACGCACATCCTCCTCCTCCTCCTTCTCCCCTCCAGCCCCCTCATACCCTCCATCGCCATCCCCATCTCCCTCAACATCCCACCCCCAAGACCTTTCCCTCCTATTCAACCCCCTCACACCACCCATCCTACCCACCCTCTCCCTCGCACCCTCAAAAACCTCCTCCGCGACTTTCTGTCCCACCCCTCTCCACTTCACAATCAATCTCTCTAACTCAGTATCTCGTCCCGACGACTCGATCCGGTAGGCTTGTTGGATGGTGTCGAGGTCGGAGCGGAGGAGGGTGAGATGGGATTGTAAGTCTCTTTGTGTGTTTTGGAGGGTGAGGGATTCGGGGGTCGGTTTAGCTGCAGCTGGGGCTGAGGATTGGGTTGGGATTGTAGGTGGTGGTGGTGCTCTGCGGAGAGGCGATTTGAAGGGTTTGGTGAGGGTTGCGGTGGCGTCGTTGAGACGGCGGCGTTTGGCAGTTGGGGTTGGCATTGGGGTTGGGGTTGTGGAGGACATTGTGAGAATTGCTTTCTGAGGGGGAGTTTAATGGTAGATGGATGGGAGAAGAAGTATGGGAGAAGTATGAATGAGGGAGGAGGCTTATCAGCTGATAAGATAAGTGGTCGGTTACATCATGTGGATTGAAAAACTAGGAAGAACTGAATATATACCCATACAGACAATGCCAGCTCTAATGGCCTACCCCCCCAGCCACCCACTGCGCAAACTCCGGCTCCCCTGGACGAGGAAACAGACCCCGATCATTCGGGTTCCCCGCTGCGGCATTCGCCCCGTTGCCATCCTGGCGTTGGCGGTTCCGTTGCTGGCGCAGGTACACCAGAGCGAGCAGAGTCGCGGCCAGCCCGACAATGATCAGTCCCTCCAGCACGCTCTCGTCAATGTCCAGCTCCAGCTCGTCATAGTAGCCGTCCTCGTGGCGATCGTCTAACCGGTTGCTCGACATCAGATCGTCATCATCTTCCTCCCGTTTGTACAGCTGCGCGCGGTATGCGGCCTCCTCTTCCTCGTCATTCTCGATAAAGGCGGCGATCCACTCCTTCAAGGTGCGATGCGGCCTCACGTCTGCAGTATGTTAGTCTGCGTCGGATCTCTCAAGGAACATCATCTTACCCTCTTCCTCTTGAATAGGATTAATGTCCCCATTGGTGAGCCAGTTCCAGTACGCCCGCATCCGCAGCTTCAGCAGACTCAGCTTCACCGGCAGATACGCTTCCGTGCTGGTCTCCAGCGCGAGGTCGTAGTATCGCTTCGCCATGTGAAAGTCCTGGTCCACGGCAACTCCATTCTCATGCATCCATCCCAGATTCCAGTACGCTTGGGCGCTGTAGTGGACTTCTGCCGCCGTGTGGTAGCACGTCGACGCCTTCTCCGCATCCTCTGCAATGCCCATGCCAGTCAGGTAATAATCGCCCATCTTGAGCAAGGAATCAATGTTCGCCTGTTTGGCCGACCGTGTCCAGTAGATGAGAGCCAGAGCCGCATTCCGTAGCAACGCCGGTCGGCTCTTCTTGGTGCCAGGGACAATGGTGTCAAGTGCGAGCAACGAGCGCTGCTCATCGAGCAGGAACGCCACGTTTGACTGTGCATGTTCGTAGCCCTGCTCCGCAGCCATCATGGCCGGAATGAGAGCCCGTTCCTTGTCTCCATTCTCATACGCGGTGTTTGCCTCCCCAAAGGATGAGTGAATGACTTCCGCCCGCTCGGCGACCATCTTGTAGTAAGAGGCGGCCATGCCACAGTGTCGCTTCCGACCAACGCCGTTGTTGGACAGCTCCGCCAGGTAATAGAAGGCCTCCATCCATCCCCAGCGCGCCGCCAGCTCAAAATAGCGGGTGGCGGTCGGGACATCGCCTTGGTCCAGGAACAGAGCTCCCAGTCTCGTTTCAGACGCTGGGAAATCCTGCTCCGCCGCCGCTTTGAAGTAGGACGCGGCCCGGAATGCATCCTGCGTGACACCGTAGCCATGCAGGTACATCAACCCGAGTTCGTGTTGGCACAGCGCATCGCCGTTCGCCAGTCCACGTTTGAACCACATCTGCGCTGTCGCAAAGTTTTGCTCCACCCCCTCACCACGCAGGTACATCATCCCAATATGACCAGCCACCTTTGCAGCCAGTTTCTCAATCCCAATAGGGTGATTGGGGTTCACCGATCCGTCCTTATTCCAGTACTTCTTGGTGACCTGTCGGAAATAGTTCATGGACTTCCGGAAGTTCCTCGGCAGCCCGCGACCACCCTCGTAGTGCATCTTGCCCAGGCTAAAAGTAGCCTTCAATTCACCCTTCCTAGACATCAGATCCAGATACTCCAAGACGTCTTCCAAGCTGGCCTCCGTCGTGGAATGTGATCCATCGCGCACGGTATTCGTCGACACACTGGCACCTTCACCATAAACACCACCCTCCTCATCCGCCCAACGGTAGGACTCAGGAATCATGCTGTGGCCACCCGGCGGTCCAGATCGGAAGTACTCAATAGCCTTATCCGCCACCTTCTTATAGTAGTAAGTCGCCTGGTCACAATCTCTGGGAGCCCCGATTCCCGCATGATGGCGATACGCGAGAGTCATTTCTGACTTTGTATTCCCCGCCTCGGCAGCAAAAGTATGGTACAACAACGCCTTGGCCTGATCGCGCTCAACAGCACCACCAACACCCGTTGCATACATAAACCCAAGCATATACTGCGCGGTGCTATTCCCAGTCGACGCGAGGGCCTGGTACCAATGGAACGCCTGTTTGAAGTCTCGAGGGTGGGTGTAGTTGCCGTAGAAGTTCATCTCCGCTAAGAGGAAAATCGCATCCGGGTTCTGGTCCTTCTCCGCCGCATACTTGAGTTTATCCACGGCCTTTGCGACCGTAGGGTCGAGCTTTCGCTTCTCGGGTGCATCCGACGGGGGTCCGTTCATGAACAAGATTCGAAAGGCTTCCTGGGCGTAATGCAAGGTGTATCCCGCCAAGCCGGATGGTTTCTCGGGGGCAACAACGGCGACCTTGGATTCTCGGAGGATTCGTAGAGCATTCTCAACGTGTTCTGTCCGCGTCAATTCCCTGGCCGTCAGCATGGATCAGCGTCAGACTCGTAGATGGAGCATCTCACCGTGTCCGGGTCGAAGATGAGAGTCCTCGGGCCCGCTCGAGGACTCGGAATGTGCATAGGACCCGGGGGCAACATCGGTTGTTGGGATTTGTGATTCCACCGCAAGCGCCTGCAGCAGCACTAGATATCCAACCAAGGTCAGTGGCTATCGCGTGATGCGGCTCAGTCGAGAGACTCACGAAGCGCCAAGGGCAGGAAACGCCCTAGCCACCGGTTCTTCATGTTGTGCGCGACTGATGGGTAGAAGTGAACAGTGAGAGGCGCATGGCGACCCTGTGCTCGAGCTTCCGGAAATGAAGGAGAGGAGAGGAGAGAGCTGAAGGCGGCACTGAGCGATGGATGCTGGGGCTTACTCGGCCCCGAAGCGGAACGGGCCACCTGGCGTTGCGGACCTTCATTTCCCCGAGGTCCTTTCGACATTCCCACGATCTACAGAGTACAGTCCCTCGTACCATCTACTCATATCTTTTGAACCCATTTTTTATTATTATTGGATCCGTCTCGTCCAGCGCCTTCGTGTCCTCTGTGTACAGGCATAGGAATAATGATCGATCGCAGCAATACATGCAAATTCACGCAAAGTAACACCACTCCGGAGAGACCATCGTATTCTCATAGCCGAGTCATGGTCCACGGGCATCCTCAAGTCTAAACGCTTGGTAGTTCAATGTGCGAGGGGGAAGAAGGCGAAGACGAACATGAATCACCAACCCACAAAACCGTTCGCAATCTCAGCAGGCTGGCTCGGAAAAAAAAAAAAAAAAAACTAATACTGATAAAGGGGATGAACCTGCAGGCTGGAGCAAGAAGGAAAAACATACAGTGAAAAACGGATGGGTCAAAGGGAAAGGCTACAGGCGCCCCAAATTCTGCATGAAATAACCAACCAATTCCGCAACATACAATGCAAGATGTTTTTCTTTTCTTTTCTCCTCGAAGAGGTCGCGGGGAGGTAGGTGATAGTACAATACAGCGAAAGTCTTAACGAAGCAAAGCATCTATGAAGGACTTCACTGGCGGGGTGATCTACAGCGCAGGTTAGCAACGATAGACATCGCACCAGCATGCGTGGAGGACTTACGTAGGACTGAAAGCCGGCGACGTCGGGCTGTAGCCAGGGGACGTTGGTCCTCCAGGAGACGTCGGCGAGCCGGCAAAGTTGGGTGAGGTGGGAGAATACGTCTGGGGGCTCGTGGGTGACCATCCCGGCGACGTAGGGGTGTATTTCGGGGATGTTGGGGAGGTGGGGGATAGGTGTCGGCCGACGCCACCGACAGCAGGGCTGGTCGGACTGTAGCTCGGCGAGGTCGGGCTAAACGCCGGCGAAGCAGGGCTGAAACTGGGCGAAGTAGGGCTGTAGTTCGGCGAAGTTGGTGAGAACCCTGGTGAAGTGGGCGAATAAGAGGGTGACGTAGGAGACGCCTGGCCATATGCAGGAGATGTGGGCGAGTATGCCGGCGACGTGGGCGCAAAGGACGGGCTCGCAGGCGAGAATCCAGGGGACGTCATGAAACGAGGGCTGGTGATTCCCATGCCCGGTGATGTGGGAGAGTAACTTGAGGTCGGGGAATAACCAGGCGACGTCGGGTTCGCACTGAACGGACTGCTGGGAGAATAGCCAGCAGGGCTCGTAGCCGCTGGACTGAAGCCGCCTCCAAAGCCGCCAGTAGGCTGGTACTCCGTAAAGCCACCAGGGGTCTCGGCACCTCCTTGACGGATGGGAGAAAAGTTCGACTCGGGATCAGGCGAGCCGATGTAAGCGCTCTCCTGCATGGGCGAGCCCGTGTCATACTGAGTAGCGGCGCCATCCGAGATGATGGCATCCTTAGCACCGAGAGCTCCCATAACACCGAAGCGAGCGTTGTTCGAAACAACCGTGTTCATGAGGTTCTGGTCAAGGTAGATATCGAACTCTCCTGTACCCGCAGGGGCCATCTGTCCCAAGATCAAGTTCTCAGAAACACCGCGGCAGTCGTCCAACTCACCGAAAGCGGCAGCTTCAAGCAAGATCTCGACGGTCTCTTCGAAGGAACAACGCATGAGTGCACCATTGTCGGCACGGTTGATACCATGACGGGTGACAGGCGTCAGGTAACCGCGTACAGTCATGACATCGACCAGCAGCGCCAAGTGACGGTGGTTGACGTAAGAACCGTCGAAGGCAAGCACCTGAGTCAACTCGCGAAGAACCGCCGTCCGAGCAGCTTCGATACCAAAGACTTCAAACACCTCGATAAATTGGTTGGAATACGTCCGAGTAGCATCGACACCCGGAATGGCCAGAACTTCGCCCAGGGAAGAGCCGCTTGTTTCGAGAACCCACTCCTTGCAAAGTGGATCGGTCTTGCTCGCGAACAAGGAGCCGTCTTCCAAGACTCGGACCTTGCTCTTCTCGTTGATGAACGCCCGCTCGACGCCAGGAACACCACGGAGAGTGAGGGTGTCCAGGAGATGCTGCTCCAACTTCTTGAGCGTAACATCGTACTCGACATCATCGTCCTCCTCGTCTTCCTTGTAATCCTGAATCTGACGGATTCGGATAACCTGCTCATCAGCGTTGTTGTCACTGAAGATGACAGCAATGTCCTTGGGGTATGCCGCCTTGATCCTAGCCGCAACATCCTGCACCGTAAGACCCTTATCCAAAAGCTTCGGTCGACTGAGAATGATACGAAGCAGCCACTTGGACTGGCGAGACGAGTCATCCGTGACATCCTCGGGAATGATGAAGTAAGACTCAACCATATCCCGATCGTTTTCGATGACGGTCGTCTGAATGTCAGGATCATAGTAGATCTCAGTGGCCTCGGTGACGGAACGCAAGCTAGTATGCTCGACAGCGCTTCGCAATTGCTTAGCACCCTCCTTGTCGTGGGACCGGGCGGCTTCCTGGTAGACAGTCATAGACGGGGTCTTGATGTTGGTGGCAACGTTCAGAATTTCCTTAAGACGAGGAACACCAAGAGTGACGTTCTTGGACGAGACACCAGCAAAGTGGAACGTGTTCAGAGTCATCTGCGTGGCAGGCTCACCAATAGACTGGGCAGCAAGCACACCAACCATTTCACCAGGATTGGCGCCAGCCTTGGCAAATCTCATCTCGATGGCTCCGAGGACATGCTGGAAGGCAAGTTTGTTCATCGAGTACTCGGTAACTAATCTCCGGAACGCGAGACGGCTGCGAAGCTGTGCCTTGAAAAGCAGTGTCGCATTGTCCTGAGCTTCGCGCGAGATAATGTCATCTCCACGCACGACTAGCAGACGATCCAGCAAAGCGCGCACTTGAGGAATGACCTCCGCAGGATGGAGGTCGCTAATGGTGCCCTCCCGGATCCTGAAAGTGGTTCTGGCGGTTTCAAGAATACGCTGCACGTTAATCGGGAGCTGCATCATCTCCTCATCTTCCTTGGCGACGGTGCGCAAGAACGCACGATCCCGCAGCAGAGCCTCCCACTCCTCATCCAGGTGCCTCTGGACCTCGACATCACCCGCGATCTCGTTGGCCTGCTCGAGAACCTCCGGTCCCAATGTTCGCTCGGGGTCCATCAGGTCAACGCGGAAGCGTTCACGGAACTTATCATCCGAACACTTGATGATATCCACGCGCTGGTTCTCAATGTGAGCTCCGTCGAGACCATCTTCTCCGTAGATAAACTGGATAATATCACCCAACGAGTTCCGAACAGTGCCGTCGTACTTGACCATGACCTCCTCCAGCGCCTTGACCAACTTACGCTGGATGTAACCAGTTTCAGCAGTCTTGACGGCGGTATCAATCAAACCTTCTCTACCAGCCATGGCGTGGAAGAAGAACTCCGTAGGAGTCAAACCACGTAGATAGGAGTTCTCGACGAAACCACGCGATTCGGGCGAGTAGTCGTCCTTTGTGAAATGAGGCAATGTACGATACTTGAATCCGAAAGGAATACGCTTTCCCTCGACGGACTGTTGTCCGACCACAGCCGTCATCTGAGAAATGTTAATGGTTGAACCCTTGGATCCAGAACGGGCCATTTGAATGGCATTGTTCAAGTCCTTCAAACTCTTCTCGGTCTCGCTACCAGCCTCATCACGAGCATTGTTCAGAGCACGCGATACCTTACTCTCGAACGTCTCACGCACGTTCATACCAGGCAGAGGCTCGAGAGTGTTGTCAGTAGCACTGGCGGTGATAGACTCAACCTCCTTCTTCCGGTTACGCACACAGTTCTCGATCCGCTGGATTGTAAGCTCATCGGGGATAGTGTCACCGATACCGATACTGAAGCCGTTGTGTAGCAGCCAGTAGTTGACAATTCTCTGAGCACCGTTGAAGAAGGCCACAGCGGTCTCATGTCCGTACTCATTAAAGATGGTATGGATGACACCGCCACCGCTAGCACCCACAGTCTTCTTGGAGAACATTCCGTACATAAGTTGACCGCCATGGATGAGGAGACCACCGTCCGCCAGAGGAGAGAACTTCTCATGTAGCGGCGAGCTGTCCTTGTCAACACGCAAAAGATTGAGACCCGGAGGCAGTGCCATGCTGATCATCTGCTTTCCGGTCCACCGAGGTCTGGGCTTCAAGATGGCTGGTGGGGGAATCACCCCATCCCAGTCGGGAACCCACATCATAGTATTCATCACTTGATCTTTGGTCAAGAAGATATCACGCCGGCAAATCTTGTAGATACCACAGAGAGTATCCTGCACAATACCCATCAGTGGACCGTTTCGCTGAGGAGACACGATGTTCATCGGGACCAACGCGAGTTGACTCAATTCAGCGCGCGATTCCTCGCTCTGAGGAACGTGCAAGTTCATTTCGTCACCGTCGAAATCAGCGTTGTAAGGGGTCGTGACAGACAGATTCAATCTGAATGTGGAATAGGGCATGACGCGAACGCGGTGACCCATCATGGACTCTTTGTGAAGAGAGGGCTGACGATTGAACAGGATGACATCGCCATCCATGATGTGACGCTCCACCTTCCATCCATACAACAACTGTTGCCCACCAGCCCTCTTGGCATGCCGAAGATCAATGCGCTCGCCGTTGTCACGGACAATATACCTAGCACCCGGGTGCTCGTTCGGACCGTTCATAACGAGTTGCTGCAACTTTTCGATGTTATAGGGAGTCACAACCTCGGGGTACGTCAGGGTCCTTGCGATACTCTTCGGAACACCAACTTCCTCAAGGGACAGATTGGGGTCACCAGTGATGACAGTACGTGCGGAAAAGTCCACACGCTTGCCCATCAAGTTCTGTCGTAGACGACCTTCCTTACCCTTCAAACGGCTTCGAATGGCCTTGACGGGTCGGTTCGACTTCTGCATGGCCTTCGGCTGGCCAGCGATATCGTTGTCCATATAAGTCGCGACATGGTATTGCAAAAGGGACTCAAATTCGCGCACGACGTGCTCCGGAGCACCTTCCTGTTCACAGCGCTGGACGTTCTGGTTTGCTCGGACGATTTCAGCCAACTTGTATGTCAGATCGTCCTCACCGCGCTGGCCACTGGTGCTGCCGCCGACAAGCACACTGGGACGGACAGGAGGAGGAGGAACCGGCAAAACGGTCAGGATCATCCACTCCGGACGAGCATAATCATTACTCAGGCCCATGATGCGAACATCTTCGTAGGAGATGGTGCGGAAGACATTCAAAGCAACCTGCGGGCTGATAACCTTCTTCTCGGGCTGCTGCATGTCCATTTCATCCATCATCTTATTGGGCTTCCATGTTCCAACCAGAGTGATACCCTCCTTGCGAATTTGAGGCTGCGCATTACCGCATCCACCGTGCATCCTCAGGGGTTTGGAGCTCTCTTTCGAGAACGGCTCGTCGTCATCCGGGGGAGGGTCGGCTTCGCAAATAAGCACATCTTTAGACAGTCGCCAGATATGGTCGAATCGCCGCTTCGGGTCTCTCATGCGCAGAGCTTCTAAAAACTTGGGATCGGACTGGTTCTAGGTCAGCAAATTTGCCGTGATAGATTTGCCATCCCATAAGGGATGACTAACCGTATTGGCTTTGATCTTGCCACAGTTGTGGCAGACCGTCTCAAGGAGCTTCTTAATCTTCGTCAAGAAACCTAGCCCAAACGTTAGCAATGAAAAACTCGATGGAGAAAATCTACCGGGTCGAAACCTACCGATGTGGAAGACTGGCGTGGCAAGCTCGATGTGTCCGAAATGACCAGGACACTCCTTCTGGCCTTCTTCGCAAGTCTCACAGTTCCATTGCCGATCGATCGTTCCCAAGCGTGGATCGTTTAAACCCTTTGTCCGCGGCCGCTGCCGTTGATCGTCCTGTTTTGTTGTGTTGCCGCGTTAGCATTTTGCCACGGTCAGTCGGTCTGGGGGGCAGCCGAGGGAAAACAAACCATCGTCTCCGGGTATTCGACATGGACCACACTCATCCGCTTGATCTCTTCCGGGGAGAAGAGACCAAACTGAATCTCCTTGATGGTGCGCAAAGGCGCCTTGGAGTAGGGGAAGTAAACGTTCGCCATGATGGTGGCCTCTGGCAGCCCTTGCCACGAGGGCGCCTGCGACCTACTCCACCGACTGCGCGAAGCTCGAAAAGGGCGAAGAAAAGAGGGTCACGGTCGAAGTTGGCGATATCTCCAGCTCGGAAAGTGATATCGCGATGAGAAGCGCGATGGTCGGGGATGTTGGGCGATGGACAGGAGGCGTGTCGAGGTGATGAAAGGGAGACGGTTGGACGTCAGGTCAGTCGGCGATGGGGCAACGAGTTTTCTGAGCCGCAAGCTAGCGCGACCTTCCGGGGCCTCTATAAGTCAGCCACGCTAAACCCCGAATGGGGTCCTTGTGAAGTGGCAGTAAGCTTTCCACCAATCATGGTGCAGTCACTGCACTCCCGGTGGAGCGTTCCATGACAAATCTAAATGGCTTTTTCACCGCCCGCCAGCCGCTTTTCTTTCTCTTTCGGCTTTCATTCATCTAGCAGCTGTGTTGTTCCCCCCCCCTCGCCGGTGGATAGTTCCTGTGGCTGTCGACTACACTGGATGTTGGCTCTCGAGCGAATCTCCCGGCCTTTCTTGCAGGCTGGGAACCTTTCACTTTGTTTTTCGCTTGACTTCCTGGGTTTGACACGGCGCTTGCCGATGCCCTGGCGGAAACCACCATCATGAATTTGTCTCTGGTTGATCCCTTCGTCCTAGCGCAGGATTATCCCGACACCTTGACCGAGAAGCTGAGTATGTTGTCCACTGCCGTTAATACAAGGTTGTTGCTGACCATCCTAGGAAGTGGGCATGCGACGTGTCTACGGTTCAATCGCAAAGGAGACTATCTAGCGTCGGGACGGGTTGGTGTCCAACAAAGAGCCGAATTGCGTATAGGCCAAATCAATAACCGGGTCCTAGGTTGATGGAACAGTGGTCATTTTCGACGTGGAGACGAACGGGGTCGCGCGAAAGCTACGAGGCCATACCAGGCAGATTCAGTCACTAAGGTACACCACTCACTACGCGGAACCGCCCCACCACCAGATGCTAACTTGAGCGGTGTGCAGTTGGTCCAGAGACGGCCGATATCTCCTCAGCTCTTCCCAGGATTGGAAATGTATCCTATGGGACTTGAAAGATGGCTCTCGGGTCCGCACCGTCCGGTTCGAAGCGCCTGTATACATTGCGGAACTACATCCTTATAACCAGTCTGAAGCCCTCTGATTGTCTAGCCACGAGCGCATTGCTAATATCTTCCCCTGCAGTCTACTATTTGTAGCTTCCCTTTTTGAAGATCAACCGGTTCTTGTGGACGTCTCGTTGCCCAAGCCAGTCAAGCGCATTCTTCCCTCTGCTCCGTTCCGCCCGCCGCCACCAAAGAACGAGGAAATCGATCCCGCCGTTGCTGCAAAGCAAGCCGCCCAGGATGCGAAACACTCCACATGTGTTACGATCTTCACGGCTCTGGGAAATCACATCATAGCGGGTACATCTAAGGGTTGGATCAATATTATTGAAACACAAACCTGCACCACAATACATTCCACTCGCCTCTGCAATGGGGTGGTCATCCTACTTCGCCTAGCCAGTAACGGTCGGGACCTACTAGTCAACAGCTCCGATCGTGTTATACGCACAATTCTCATGCCGGATCTCTCGCAGTTGGGCATTGACCTGGAGCCTACCAACATCAAGCTCCAAGTGGAACATAAATTCCAGGATGTGGTTAACCGTTTAAGCTGGAATCATGTTGCATTCTCTTCCACCGGGGAGTTTGTTACTGCATCCACATTCATGAATCCCGACATCTATGTTTGGGAGCGGAGCCACGGCTCCCTGGTCAAGATCCTGGAAGGACCCCGTGAGGAGTTGGGAGTAGTCGAATGGCACCCTTGCCGTCCGATGGTGGTCGCATGTGGCTTGGAGTCCGGATGTATTTATACCTGGTCGATTGTGACCCCTCAAAAATGGTCGGCGCTGGCCCCTGATTTTGGTGAGGTCGAAGAGAATGTCGAGTATGTCGAACGGGAAGACGAATTCGATATTCATCCGGCAGAGGAAATCCATCAACGTCGTCTAGACCAGGAAGATGAAGTTCCTGACGTGCTGACGATCGAACCGCACAAAGACGGGGCAGAGGAAGACATTGTCACCTCATTCCGCATGCCTGTTCTCCTCGATATATCGGACAGTGAAAGTGAGGATGACATTGTCGCTGTTGGGCCTGGGACGATGCGGAGGCGCAGTCCGGGTGCCGGCCGGGACCGCGCGAATGCGAATGGAGATGGAGAGAAAGACAGTACCACGGGCGGTAGGAACGGCACCACGAGAGGTCAGAAAGGTCGGAGGCGTTGATTTGCATGCCCCGCTTTCACCTCTGCCCATTTCCTATTCTCTCTCTTGCGTCTTTCTCACTTTTCGGGTTATCTGTTAAATTCTATGTCAGTTAACCTGTCGTGGGTTGTTGGGCGTTTGGTAACCAGTTTCAAGGGGTATGGCATGCTCTTCGGTATACATACGGTGCATGGTTGGTGGGAGTCTCGGTGGGAAGACAAAAGCTCGGAACAATTCGTGTGCTTTCCGATGACTTCTGTTTTTTCTCTCTGCCTTTGCTTTTAGCCTTTCTTCAAATAGATAAGCATCATGAATGGAGCCGCTCTCGCCGCTCAAAAAGTGCAAGTGATGCTCAGAGGTTTCATTAGTCAATCAAGAATAGAACCCAGTAATCGACTACCGCAATCATGCCACTTAAGCGGCGCAGACGGGCAGACGGGCTGAATGCAGGCATTTTTAGCTATACCACCCGAGCTGGATAGCCTCCACTGACTCCTGGCAAGCCAATTGTTCAAGGTCAAGGTGTTAGTTGTTCAGTTGGGTCCTGCAAGCACTAGCATCTTGCCTTTCTCAAAGGCCCCTGGCATTGTCGCCGATCGAACGATGTGTCCAGGCGCAGCAAATTGTCTGTGTTCACTAAGTCCCCCACCTTGTCGAGATCTGTAGGTGCCGACTGGCTGGCTCTCTTATCTCCTGTGAGGCACCATGACAGGAAACCTGCGTTCGTGATCCCCTTTCATCCTTTTTTTCTTGTTCGCCGGATTCCCAGTGGGTGGTCGCTCTGGTGGGCCCTCGCTCATACGTCTCAAAGGGCGGTGTTGCATATATAAATGGTTGAACCTTACTACCTCTCGTGGGAGGCGTAAGGGGAATGCGGGGAGGGTCCATGATTTCGCCCGCAAACAATGCTGCACACAAGCACCTGACGTGAGACATAGATTGCACCGGGTCCCGCGTTGGTCCTCTCGACACTGTCAATGGTCATCCGGCCTTTTAGCTTGGTAGATATGTAGGATATTGTAGGCGTGTATTTCCTTGTTGAAAGCTTCCGATTTAACTTGTGCTGCGAGATCTCGGATTCTGTCCAGAGGCCAGTCATACACGCGACTGAAAGGGGCCAGGCTGAGCGACTCAATGCTCTCGGAGATTGCTAGGTTATACCAACGGGCAACCTTCGCCTCATGATCGTCCTTATGCCAGGGATTGAGCGGCAACCCCACCATTTGATGATCGATCTCGGTAAAGCCGGCTTCCTGAAGGTCTCTGACGGTGTCGCGCGCGTTGTGGGCTATGGGCCGCATGCAGTCCTGCGTCGCCTGCTTCAGGTATTCATACCAATAACGTATAGCCATGCCGCTCAAGGGGCGATCGTCGCAGCGCGGTTCGAAATCAATCTCCACCTGTTCAAACCAGCCTCCGGGCCGAAGGTGTGCGAAGATCCGTCTGTAGAGGTTCGGCCAACCGACGACGCTGCCGGCACCCATTTGCAGGTGAATGAGATCCCAGGAATCCTCTCCCAACGACCATGGGCTCTCAAAATCAAATGGCGCATAGAACTCGCAATTCCTGGGGTGATTAGGAGGCTGTATAGGTGCCAGATCCACCCCCGCAACAAAGGCGTCGGGGTACTTCTGAGCCACGTCAATGGACCAAATCCCAGTTCCGCACCCCAGGTCAAGGATTCGACCATTGGTGGGGTGCGGGGCGTAAATTAAGCTCCCAGACACCCTCGCTTCCGTGAACAGCTTATGGAATATGTCAAGTCGGTCTTGCTCCTGTTCGTCACAAGGGAGCATATACATTCCTTTGCGGAAACCATGATATATTCGTCCGTTTTCTTCATGGAAGGCAAATCTATCAATCGTCCTAAGAACGAACAACGGGAGAAAACGTTGCCAACATTAGTCGTCCAGTAGTAGTAGGAAACGATGAGTGGAGGAAAAGCACGTAGGGAAAGGGATGGGAAAATGGAAGGGGGGAAAGAAAATAGAGAGAGGTACTTGCTAGACGGACTACTGGAGCCTGGAGACTCATTGCGGTCCCAAGGCTCACTGCCGGCTGGCTCGTTTCCAGGGGGCTCTCGGTCCGTAATGACATAGATGTCCATGGCATCTGAGTTCTGTCTGGAGCGTCCTATCTCAGAAGATCCTGCGGAATGAGCGGCATAGTGGTTGCGAGGCGGAGAGGGCATGGTGAACGGCTGGTGCAAGACCCGTCCGTTGGCAAACATGGAGATCACGGGTCTGAGGACAGGACAAGCAAAAGCAGTCCGGTTGTAGCTAGTGAGAAGATAGTTGAGGGTGGCCCTTGTCAATCGTGATGACGACGGAGTGAAGAATGCTGATGTTATTGAACAGGATGTCTGCAGGCTGTAGATGAGGTCGAAGGGGCCAAAATCAAGCTGCACATAGAGTAGAATGAGGTCCAATTAGGCAAAAACAGCCCGGCAGTGTATAGATTGCAGAGCAAAGATGGGGTGGCCCCGCGCGATATCCTCTGCGGGATCAATAAGTGGCCGAGGGGGAGGGAAGGAGGGAGAGGGGTGGGAACTCGGAGTGAGAAGGAAAGGGGAAGTCAAGGATAGGAATGGCAAAAGTCCACAATTGGTGTGTTCTTGTGTTTGGCTTTCTTTTCCTCCCCTTGAAACCCACGGCGATGTGAAGATGCACGCACAACCGCACGCGGAACAAGGGAGTTGGTAAAAGTTCGCCCGAGACCCCGGGACCCGAGAGGATACGAGTGGATACTAAATAAGGAGGGAAAAAGAGAGAGCACTGCGCCCTCCCCGCGAAAAATGGAAAGCCGTCGGGGCAAAGCACACAAGGGAATGTAAAGTAGCGGTCACGGCCCCAGCATAGAGAGAAAAAAAAAAAAAGTCGATAACAGTAACTGGTGTTAGGTAGAACGTCGTCGAACTAATTAACAACCATGGATCGGGTGTGGACGATCGAGGGTCAGGTCAATTGGAGTCACGCATCGGAAGTGGAAGGGAAAATCCGATCCGGGGAGCTTAAAGGCCGTTCGACTTGGGGCCAGAGGGAGGGAGGGACAAGCCGACAGAGGAATGGATGGATTGGATAGAGCAACCCTGCCTTTAAGGTTGTTGCAGCCGCTGTCTTGACCCCGTTGGGCCCACGGGCGCGAAGGGCGGGGCGGTTGGAGCCTGGAAGTGCGAGCGTTGGACTGGGAAACTTCCAGTGAGACGGTGATGGAGAGTTTGGGGAAGAACCAAGGGGGTCCTTTCGTTCCACTGGCGGCTACATGATGGTTTTCAGTTTGGACTACTGTGGGAGTGAGCTGGGATCTAGAGGTAGTCGTACATCCGTCAATGCCATCTGCTGCGAGTCAGTTGTGCTCGACTACCGACATGGGTTCAGGTGGGAAATGCGCCTGGTATCGATCTGGCGCATCCGGGCATCATTGGCGCTGGCCACAAGTAGAGCCCCCTCTGCCATCCATGGTACATCGGTTCTCTAGCACCTCTAGGCAGCGACGCGGATCAATAAGGTCGTCCCGAAAGGGCCCTGATGTCTGGATCAAGAATCCGGTATCGATCTAGGTGAGGGCAGTCCTATCAATCTCTCCCAGTCCCAGCAGCAGAGGTTCGGTCGGTGCCTCCCCAAGGCGATACATCCAACGTCTGTGTGTCTGTCTGGTACCGAGAATATCCCAGGGTGGATGCACGATGGGCTAGGTTGGTACTATCATGTATGTACCATACAGCCTCCACGACATGATAGGACAGGCGCCCTAACTAATTGGCCTAAGTGGCTACCAGGTTGTGCACCCGGACCTACATCGTACATACATATCCACAGGCAATTCTGGGTACATCGTCCGTACCTCATACCGCAGGAATACATCCAGCCTGTATCCGGTATCCACCACGAGTTCTACTTCAGTCTTAAGCAGGTTGGGGGGGGAGCTTAGCGTTTAACCCCTCCCCCCTCCCGATTTAGGTTTTCTTTTTTTTTCCCTTTTTCCTTTTTTTTTTCATCTAGTATCTTATTTTTTTTTTTAATTCCCACCCTTTTTCCCTTTTCCTATATGCCATATATACTATACCTCTTTTGATATTCTCCATTTATTTATATTTTTTTCTCCTATCGCTTCTCTCTTGTTCCCGAACTCTTTCCCTACCTTTCCCAAGAGCAGCTACGCGCCTACCCAAACTCGGGTCGTCAAGTGTTTGGTACTAATTCTCAATTAGGACAATGAACCATGACACAAAAGAGGCTAGTGGAACATGAATCATGGTTGAACTTGAAGTCCAACACTTGGACATTGTTCACTCTGTGTACGAGGCTCTCGTCCTGCCCTGCCCCGGGGGCAGCAGAAGCATCAAACGCCGTGCTGCCTGAGGCTCCCTTCTGAGCCTCGGTTCTACTACCCTATGCGGCATGTATGTATCCGGCTTACAAGAAACGAGAGGGGAAGACAGATGGTGATCACAATAAGGAATCATCCGGATAGAAGAGAAAGATCAGAATGTGCAGCAGACGGGCCAAGTATCCAGCTAGGGCAGGATCAGTTTGCCCGACGCCAAAGCGGACGACGCGAGGAAAAAAAAAATGGCCCAAGAGAAACGAACCAGGATCGAGGGGGGCAAAGCAACCATGGATGGGTCCCCAATCAATTTAGCCAAGTGACTTCCGGGCGGGATGCGGACCGTCTCCCACACTTAGTTGAATGAAGGTAAGTTTCCTCGGGAGGGCCACTAACGCACAATATCTCCGTGGGCCTAGCGGTCGCTGCCAGCGTTCTCAGGCACGCGGGCGTCCGCGTCAGGCAGCGTTACCAACACTCTGGTTGAAGGATTTGAAGCCTCGGGCCTGCTCCCCTTTCAAGTTTCCAATCCTCGTCTGTAGCGCCCGCAACAGGCAAACCAGAGCCGGATCCAACCCTCCATCGCTCAGGGTCACTAACCACGGCATTGCGTGCAGCCGCTCCGGGGTGGATCAGTTGATGGTGGTTGGTTCCACTTGGACTCCGTCGCTGGCTCGCCCGCGGTCACTGGCGAGTCCTACCGCCACAAAGGATCATGATCGGAGATTATCATCCTACCGCTGTAGCTCGGGCATTGGCGATGTGCGTTCGTTGCAACGGAGGTGAAGAGTCAAAGGATAATTTCTGACAAGGAGGAATGGAGGGGACAGAGAAAGGATGGTTCTATTCCCGGACCTCTTCGGGGGGGCGAGGGTAGGTGGATGGCTGGCTGGGGCCCAGGTTACATCCACCTAGTATTCCTGGGCGGGCTGGCTGTACCAGAAAACTTAATATAGCAAACTGTCTCTGGATCAGCATAGGAGCTGAGCCTGTGACCCCCGAGCGGTTGGACAACGATGTTCGTTTGGTCGGGGGAGGGGTGAGGGCCAAATAAATCCAATAAACCCAAAAGCCGCCCCAAAAGCAACGAGAGATGGTGGATTGGAGGAAGACGGTCAGCGCCGTGCCGGGCACACTAGAGATGCATGTAGGATGCACTCCGTATGCAAGTCGTCGCTCCTGTACTCCGTAAATCGCACATGTGTCCTCGATGGAGTCATCGAGGTACGCCCAAGGTCATCCGCCCGCTTGGCGCCGACAGTTGCCTTGTGACTTAACTGTACGGAGGAAGCGCAGGCTGATCGTTTCACCGCTTCCCAGACTCTCGGGTCGATGGTGGTGATGATGTGATGCATGCATGCACCATCCTTCTATGCGCTGTACTTTGTGCCTGGTGAAACCGCCGCCGCCCATCATTTACCACACGCACAGACGACTGGCTCTCCTTTCCTGAACCACGCTTCCGCCAACTTCTCGAGACGATGGTCTGACTGATGTACTTCCCTATTTAGTAGAATTGTAGGTGTCCAATGCTTCTGCGCGCGACGAGTAGCTTCTTCGGGTAAAAACGTCCACCTACTATCAGTAGTAAGAGCCCCCAATCAATCCCTCATCATAGCGTCTCAGATATTGGCGGAAAGCACTCTGGTAATGCCACCGCAGCAACACATCCTAGTCTGGGAGACGAGATTGCCGGCTATCTACTAAGTGCCAACTAGCTGGCTAGTCCTCTTTCGATGACTAGCAGGATTTACCGAGGGAACATCCCGATTTAATTTATCACTTCCCCATGCAGTTCTGGGTCAATTATCCAACCAGAAAGCCCAACGTAAGCCCTCACCGCAGAGCTGCACGTCGCCATTATTTCTAATTTGATTTCTTTCCCATCCTCCTCCAGCTTGCACCGACCATCTATGATCCACTGCCGTCTATCACCGGCCCGGGTTTCAACGTCCCCGTCGGAAATATCAACCGGGCGAGTTGCTGCCCCATCATTTGTCCACCCGTCGACCTTCCTTTTGGAGCGGATGTTGGGCCCAGTTGTGGCCGACCTTGGTAATGCTGGTCCGTAAACTGGTCCACGGCCATCCAGGCTCTCGCAGCCACTCCTCCAGAGTTTGGTACCATATCACAATGCTCGGATAAGCGCCATTGTTCCCTACCCAAGGCAGCAGCCCCGTCCTGCTCCTCGAATCCGCCTTGCGGGAGCGAAAACTCCAGCCGGGAATGCCTTGCCAATCGTTACCCGTCCGTTGACAATCTACTATGGTTCCCGTCCGGTCCATGAGGCTTGACAGGCAGACACAACACAACCCCCATGTGATGGTTCACCACCAAGATACTACATTGAATCCACGTCTTAAATCAGGTCAACACGCAGGCAATGACAATTAGCCTGACTCGCAGCTAGCAGCTCCCTGCGTTTCGGGAAGGTAACTTGGTGTAGCTCACACCTACCACGTCCACCCATTCCAGCATTACTGGGCGACACCCACCGCGGTGACCGCGGAGTATACTGGACGGAGTGTCAAATGTGATCCAATTGCGGGCTTTGTGGGGATGCCGATCATTGCATGCTCATCCTCCTGGTCCTGGCTCTACTCCCGTGCAACTCCTCCTCGAGCAGGTACGGAGATGCTACCGCTTTAGTCCCACAAGGAGCACCAATCCGCCTCAGTGGCTTTGGATGGGATCTGGCGTAACTACTACCTACGTTGAAGATCAATTATTTAGACCGTCGGGCTCTGCGTGGACGCGGACTGGTTCGTGACTCCGTACCCTTGAGCCGGGGGGAGTCTAGTTCATTCTCATTCCTAGGCAGGCGTCTGTCTTCCGGGAACTCAAAACAGCCTCAAGGGCGTGACTACCGCTGTTATCGTCATGGCGGCAGGTGCACAGATATCTAGCTAATTCGGTGCCCTCGGTCTTGGGGCGACGAGACGACCCGGAAGGATTGTGTCAATTCGTCTCTGCTGCCCACTCCGGCTCCACAGAGCTATAATGCTGCGAGCGACTTTCCCGACCATTGACCAATCCCGTGCGCAAACCCGCTGGTGACTTAGATTGTTGTGGTGACCATGCCTTGCACAGGGCACTCCTCTGTCTTTTGACCTCTTTGTAATCCAATAACCCGACTTGATTCGACCTTGACATTTACCTCGCCAGCAGCGACGTTGCCCGCGTTATGCGCCTCCTGACCACGCCCAGCTTCTAGCGTCACCACTCTTCCACAAAGGTTACTTCTCGGTGAGTCAGGGGTAGCCAAGGACCTACGGGAGACGTACCAGGCGGCGGAATTACTTGCACCGCTTAGTGTGACTGTGCGAGATCAATCGAATCGCTTGAAGCAGTTCCCGTCACCCAATTCCACTAGGGCGCACAATCCTCACTGTCCGCGCACACACGCATACATGCACATCCATATTTCTGGATGGAGACAAGGCATGGATGTGTAGTGTCTTGCACGGTTGCATCGTCCGCGGCGCATCCCCTTCCAATTCTTCCATGGCCTCGAACGACGATCTGGTATGTGACAGAGTGGGGATTACTCAGGAATCATTTCCCTTGATGGAATTCTGCATAACTACCACACATCGCTGAATAATAGCAATGGAGACTAGTCTAGAGCCCCAGGGATTTTCCACCATGTATCTGGAGTACTCCGTATGAATTTCCCCTTCGGGCATTATACCATTCATAGGATCGCCATCCATCTTGTCATGCTCACCTCATCAATCTACCACTCCCATGGAAGTATTCCAAATGATTGTTTCTTTGCTAATGTAATTGGCCACCACGCTCCGGCTGGGTGAGGAGACGCCTGAGACCGTTGGGAGGATGTTGGGCCATGAATGAAAGGATGAAAGATGGAAGTTGGAAGTCCCGAACTCCCGTGAGTGTGGCGGCCCGGTGGCTAAGGCAGCCATGTCTCGCGTGCGAATTTTCCGGCGGGAAATCTTTCTTGGCTTCCCGCGCAGCACCGCCAGTCATACCAGTCACGCTAGCTTCTATCTATCTAATCGATTAATCTGATCCCTGGCTCGCTCCTCGTATATCCTGTCGTTTGCCTCTAGATTCCTATCAGATTGAGCCACGTCAGGTACCAAGGCAACGGAACTTGGCCGCCGACGTCGGTTGATACTGGATTCCGGCCAGCCACCAGGCCGCATTTCTCTCCAGACAGGAACAGAAGCAGAAACGACAAACATCAGGCGGATTGTCGTTATCAAATAGAAGCAGACGAGTCTTTCTTTGGAGTCTAGACAGGTGAACTGTCAACTAAGACGTGCTCTTATCGGGCAGTGGAACCCAGGGCGTCTATATCGGCGATCACTGTCACTATCTAAATCATGCATACGCTCAAAGCTACCGCATCCTCCTCCCTGTCACTGGCGGAGGGCCACTACATCTATTCCATCGCGCCGTCGTCCCCAGGGTCGTTTGCCGCGATCTCATCCGACGACTCCCTCCGTGTGTTTGACGCTAACGGGCTCAGCCATGCGTCCGTCGTTGCCGCGAGCGCCCATGAGGGCGTCACGTCCCTGAAATCGTATGACGCCGGCCAACAGGTGCTGGCGACGGCAGGAAGGGATGGCAAGGTGAAACTTTGGGATCTGCGCAGTGGCAGGAAGTCCGCGGCTGTGGAGATGGAGACCTGTAAGCCTTTCGTCGCCCCCCTTTCGCTTTGATTGTCCCTCTTTTCGGTGCTCGATCCGGTGGGCCTCATTCACGGCGTGGCCTCACTTGAGTCCAAAGGTTTCCCGCCGTCAGACTCTCCCAAAGTTTGTCGTGCATATGCACGACCCATCCGCAAATGGTCGCTCGCTAACCTTGTTCCGGCGACAGCGAAGCAGGCCCCCGTGCTGTCCATCGCATGCTGTCCGGAGACTAATGGAATTGTGGCTGGCACTGAGCTTGTTTCATTCCAGGCGATTGTCGCCTTCTGGTGAGTTGATTCGCAAATCCCCAGAGTCCTATGCCTTATCCGGAGGAGCTACCGGGGCTGGACGCCGTACCAGTTTCACGAGCTGCTAACTGACGCAACAGGGACACCAGATCACCCGGTCAAACGTCCCTCCAATACGTTGAGAGCCACAATGATGACGTGACCGAAGTACGTGTTACTCGAGACCCCAGACCCTCTCTTACTGACAGGTCGTCCGGGGGATATAGCTTCAATATCACCCCGTCCGTCGCAACCTTGTCCTGTCCGGCAGTACCGACGGGCTAGTCAACATTTACAACACGACCATCGCCGATGAGGACGACGCCCTCGTGCAAGTCATCAACCATGGCTCGGTGCATCATGCAGGGTTCCTTGGCGAGAGGACCATCTACGCTTTGAGCCACGACGAAGACTTCTCCATCCACCCGGCGACCGATCCAGACGAATCCACGCAGGAGCCTGAGCCTGTGCAGTTCGGCGACCTGAGACAGCCTCTGGGCTGCGAATACATCGCACAGCTGTGCGTCGGTAGTCAGGGACCATACATTGCCGCGGGCAACAAACAGTATGTGACTGGTCACACGCGGGCTGATTCGCATCCGGACTAACCGCTGCAGGGAAACCCGTCTGGACCTGATTCCACTGGTCTCGACGCCGTCTTGGCGATTTGACCAGGACAGTTTGTGGCGTCTGCCGGGTGCCCATGGCGAGGAGGTTGTACGTTCTGTTTATCTGGATGAGCAGGTATGTTGTTCCCCACAGAGTATGTAGAATTTAGCTGACAGAGACTAGACCCAATCTGTATTCACCTGCGGCGAAGACGGATTCGTTCGAGCCTGGAAGCCCGACAGCGAAGCCCAGGGAACAGCTCAGGCAGACACAAAGGTGCCGCGGAAGGATAAGAAAACCAAAGAGAGGGGGAGATACAAGCCTTACTGAGTCGCCATTGAGGACTGGGCATCAAAGAGGATGTATAGATAAAGTACTCCATGCGGTGTGTGGTATCTATTCTACAACACAAGAAGAAAACCGCCCATCTCAGTCACACCGGGGATATATATCGCCGGCTTCAAATTCCCGACCCGCACCAATTCTACATACATATATATCGAAGCGTTCTATGCCGAGGACCCTGCCCAGGACCCAGCGACTCAATCAACTATAAAAATCGAAAAGAAACCATGGGATCTGATTTCAGATGACATCCCCAAAGACCAGCTCCCCCATCCCAGAATCCTAGATATAGCCCTGATCACTACCGAAGTCGCCGATTCCCCGTAGGAAACCTAATTGATCTTACGGAGTACTAGAACATGAATAGTACGGACCCTTTCTGGCTTTTCCCCTACTCTACAGATAGGTTCTCTCCCTATTGCTCAGGCGAACAACAAAGCACTAGTACCAGTTAATCCCACCAGATGGATTCCAAGGTATTGATCTAGAGAGCGAGCGACACTGCAAATACAAGGAAACGATATGCAGTGCTTAGAGATCCATTCTAAGTGCAATTGTTTAGAATGAATTCCTAGTACTACTATATATATCATGTGCGTACTGTGTATGTAATTGGTCACCAAAAGCCAACCCTCTAGTACTAGTTCCTCAACAATAATCATTTCAATACAACATAAAAAAAAAAGAAAAATAAATAAAACCAGGTAGTAAGAAATAGAGGTCTCATATTGAACTCAATCTCCTCTTTCCTCTCCGAAGAAAAGACGGAGGTGGAGGAACAAAAATAGTCGCGCCCGGGATCGAACCGGGAACCTTCTCGGAACCTCCTCCATACCAAGTACTGAGGATTCTCTTGAGGGATAATAATCATGTGAACGAGAAATCATAACCATTAGACCACGCGACTCGTGGATAAAAAAAGTTTATTTGGTTTGCTTTCATCATCTAGTAGTTAGTCATTGTGGGTTTGCACCTGATGGCCATCTTATCGCGGCGGACGGAGAGAGTGAGGAGGTTCGGTGGATTCGATTTTTTTTTGGGACCCTCTCCCTTGACTGACTTACTCTTCTCACTTGCGTTCTTTGTTTTTTGTTGGTGGGTTGTTCGGGAATCAGGAGCTCTTTAATTCATCATCTGAAAAGAAATCGATTTTTTACTTCGTCTGGTCTTACCTGGATTCCTTGTCGGTTGAGGTTGATCAATTCTCGAGTTGGGAAACGAGAATTCCCGTCGCAAAACTTACTCCGACGTTTATACCCGCCCATCTACCCACTCACCACACCACATTATACCACATACCGTCATTCCAAACCCCCAAAGACCAGATACAAAGAAAGAAAGAAATGGACGCCCAAGCCTACCTCCTCCGCCACGGCTGGTCCGGACCCGGCAACCCACTCAACCCGAACCGTCGACCGGGCACACACGGCGGACTAGGTCTGACGAGACCGATTCTCGTTGCGCGCCGCCAAGGCAACCAAGGCGTGGGCAAGAAGACGACCAAGGACCATACGAATCAGTGGTGGCTGCGCGGATTCGAAGATGCGTTGAAGGGCGTGGGAGAGGAGAATAAGTCTGGTGGGGAGGCGAAACGGGCGCCGAATGCGTTGACGAGTGAGCTGTATCGCTTCTTTGTGCGCGGGGAGACGGTGCCGGGGACTTTGGGGGGAGTGGGGGGTACGGATAAGGATAAGGAGGAGGGGGGGAAGAGGAAGAGGGAGGATGAGGGGGAGGGTGATGGACAGCAGGAGAAGAGGAGGAAGAAAGAGATGAAGGAGGAGAGACGGGTGAGGAGGGAGGAGAAGAGGAAGAGGAAAGAGGAGAGGGCGAAGCGCAAGGAAGAGCGCAGGAAGAGGAGGGAGGCGAAGGAGGTGAGGAGGGCGGAGAGGAAGGAGAAGAAGGAGCAGAAGAGGTTGCTGAAGGAGGAGAAGAAGAAGAAGAAGAAGGAGGAGGAACGTCGTCCAGAGGAGGAGTATCCTACGCCGCCGGCGACGGAGCTGGAGCAGACTGAGTCGAGTGGTCGGGACGAGTCGGTTGTTCAGGAGGTGAAGGCGAAGAAGGACAAGAAGGAGAAAAAGGAGAGCAAGGGCAAGAAGCGAGAGGCGTCTACATCTGATGATGGGACGAAGAAGAAGTCGAAAAAGTCCAAGGATGAGAAGAAGTCGACGGATTAAGGTTGACCGGCTGGAGATGGAGTGTATAAATAGACCTAGACTTATAGATACCCATGGCTTGCTGCGTGGTTCTCGTTCACTCTCATGAAAACATGCATTCTTCGTTATGTCTCATCGCAAGCTCATCTATTTAGGCTCCACTGGCAGCTTTCCAGGCTTTCCAGAAAGAATCCAAGGCCGTCTCTCCCAGAACGCGTCTTTGATGATATCGACATGGTCAACCACCACCTGTGCCTTGTTCCGCAGTTTACGCATCTTGTCCTGTTGTGTCCTTGAAGGAGTAGCCTCCTGCAAGGGTGACGTTTCTTCCTGGATGCTCGAGTCTGATTTTGCTTTCACATCCTCCAGTTGATACTGTATCCTGGTTAGTATGCTCGCGCACCAACTGACGACACACATACCTGGCGGTAGATTACACTGCCCTTCTTATAAATCTCCTCCTCATTGTTGTAGTTGATGCCGAACCTCTTGAAGAGAATCTCGTTCTTGTCGGACGATATGGTGCCCTATTCACACTTAGCACTGCACCAGCGCCTCCTAACAAGGGAAACTAACCTTCAACTCCTGTTCAGCATCCCGATTGGCCATCCCACCTTGCTGAACCATAGCCCAGAAAGTCGTATTATAAAGGTTGTTAATGTGACCTGCTGTTATCAGCAACCCAGCCAGCCGGGGAGCCCCCTAGGACCGAGTAGAAACTTACAATCCACCTGCCGCCAGCTCATATAATCCCTAAAGATCCTGGAATTGGGATACATAACCGCTCTCCCATCAAACGAAGGCAGACCGGTCAGCTGCAACGGCGTGTCAGGGAAATACGTCCCCCATAGATAGATATAATACGCCGTAAAGGTGGACACAATGGTCGTCACCAGCTTGCTGCATCACACATTAGACCTATCCTGCAATAGCGATAGATGTGGAGAGATACTCACGCACTCCGCCGCTCGAATAATTGGCAGCTGGGGTGGAAAGCGAAACTAAGTCATGTCAGCACCCCGCAGGAGTCAGTTGGGGTGCAACATCACAGACCTGTACTCATCGCTGACACCGTAGGCAATACATAGATCAGGGAGATCTTTCATGACCGCTACTGCAGCGGCATTCATCAGGTCCAGGGCCCGACGGTCATTGGGCTTGATGAAGCCGTAGTTGGCGGAAAGTCTATCTGATGTCAGCGGTAAACGGGCCACCGGATGGATGAGCTGGATACAGCGACCGCAAAGCGCCCCCTGGAGGACGCAGCATTGCAGTGGAAGTTGGATACGAGGAGCACTGACTTGTGAAAGCCTTTGCCATCGATGCGGACGACAATCCATGTATTGGGGAGTAAAACGTCCGGCTGCTCGAATGACTTGACGTATTCGTATCTGGGAAGCGTCAGCTGCAGCTCAATCTAGTTTTGCTAGGTGGATAGAGTACTTGGAGTTCGCCATTTTGATTGAAACTGGCAGGTGTAGATAGTGGCTGACTGTTGCGCAGGCAAAAACCGACGGGCACAGTGATGAATATTCTGGTGGGGATGAGGGACGAACCGAACCGAGTCACGGCAACCCGGCCGCATCTCCCAGCATCGATGGATGTCAACTGAATGGTTGGTCTTACAAGGAAAAAGGTTCGCTGAGATACGCTAGGTAGATTACTCGTAGCCGTCGCCAGGTAATTAATATGGTAAGGTCAGAGAGGATTAAATCATAGATAAGAGGAGGAAGGCAGAATGCCAGAACAATGACTTCTATCGTCACTACCTAAGAAATTGTAGAGAATGCCTAAGCCTCAAGTACCACCTGATGACTGCTGAATCTAAGAAATGTGAAAGAATGGATGGATGCTAGACTGCTAGGATGCATGGACGTCCTCCGCTACTTCCTCCTCCTCTGCCTCGCTGACCAGTTCACTGGGGTGTTCACTCGTCTCGCTGGCCGCCCGGTCCGACTTCCTGGACATGCGGCTGAAGAATCCCAGGCTGCTTCGGGTCGATCGGTCTGCCGACGGGGCGCTGGACACAGTGCTGTCCACACTCTTGGCGAGCAGGGCCTCGCTATGTGCGTCTTCGTCGATGTCACCTTGCGAAGGGTCTCCCTTCTTGGAGAACAAACCCGACCGATCCTTCCAGGAACTGAACTTGCTGGAGCTGCCCTTGCGTGTGATTTTGCGGATAAACGACTCTTTCGAGCTTGCGTTATCCAGCGAACCCGCCGAGGGCATGCGCTCCAAAGACTCATACGAGTCGCCCGTGTACATGGACAGAGACCGAGAATCCCGGGAGGTCCGCGATTCGGACGGAGAGCCTTCTTCCATGTGGAAATCAAAAGGGGCGTCGAGCTCTCTATCCGCTGACATCTCCTTCTCTTTACTCTTGTCCGATCGTTTCCCGAAGATAGTCCGGAAGGTAGGCGCTGCAGGGTTCAACTTCGGAGTGACCGGCCGGTGAGACGAGGATGGCCGTGTACCGATAGGTGCTTGCAATGGCCGACCCTGCCGCTCAAATGAATCCTGGAGGAAGTCGGGCTCCCCAGTGAGACTCAAAGGCAAGTGACCAGAGGAGCCGTACTGCGTAGACGGCCGGCGCGACTGCACTCTTGACCACGTCGACGGCGAGGCCCAGTCAAACCCCAAGGGACTCCGGTGGCCTTGCTTTTCAGCTGACGGCCAACCAAAGTGGCGATTATCCGTGGAGGGATGTGGTAGCTGGTTCTCGAATGAGAAGGTCGATGAGGGCCGTGGGGACAGCGAATCCCGACGGACTGTACCCAAGATGGAGGAAGGGTCGATAGGATCGTGCCGAGGGCTGAATTGGTTGTATCCGGTGCTAAGATCCGAGCTCTCACTGGTCTTGAGCAAACTGCCCCCACTGCCAAAACCGAATCGGCTGGGCGAGAAGATGCTGGAAAATGCCGCGCGACGAGAGGGCAGATGGTCGGAGGAGCTATCCGTGGTAACACCTGTTGTGTTGCTCCTGGGGAACAAGGACATCGGGTTCGCCCAGTTGCCTGTATAGCTCAGCCGACGACGTCTAGCCCCGATGGGATCCATCTCATCTAGATTACGGGGGAACGACTGACTTTGGCCTGATTTCAGACTGCCCAGCAGAGGTGGCTCGTCGGCCAGCGTTTTACCGCGAGGGCGATGGAAGCTAAAGAGCCCAGACAGCCGGCGCGAGGCACTCTTCGGCGCCTCGCCCGCCTCGAGGTTCACCGGCTGAGACTCGAGGTCTTTCGCATGCGACTGATTCTCCGGGCTGGCGAAAAGGCTTTCCGGCCGGCTGCCCGTAGAATCCGGCGAGGGTGGTCCATGGGGGAACTCGAGCGGGGTGCTAGACTGCTCAAGGTTGGAGAAACGAGAACGGATGACCGGGCGAGGAAGTTCGGGCGACTCCTCGTCCCCAAGAAGGTCGGAGGGGAGCAATGCATCGGCGCGAGGGCTCATCTGCGGATTTCCAAGAGACAAATCCGAGTATCCTCTGGCGGTGTCCGACTGACTCGACAGGCTCGGGAGGGTCATTCCATTGGTGATATTGAAGAAGGCGGACGTCGGGCCGAAGGTGGGAGAGCTTGTGGCAGGAGGATTGTAAGTGAGACCGCCGGAGAATGATGGCTCCATGGCGGTAAAGTTCATGGGAGAGGAAACATTGCTGGTGAGTGAGCTGCGGTGTCGACGGGGTCGGATAGTCGCAGTGTTGGAGAGGTCCAGATCGAGAGCCGGGAGCGAGAAGGGTCCTGTGCTGCCAGTACGTTGGGTAGTTAGCCATTTCAGGCGCTCCTGCGCCTCCTGGTACTGCTGCTGGGCCTGTAGAGTGAGTTAGTATCTGCCCCAACCAGCAAGCCAAAGCAGAGGGACGTACCTGGGTGTGGAGGTTGACGAGGGTTGCATAGCGCGCATGGAGATTGCTCAATTTGATATCCCACTGTCGAGCTCGCTCGTTGTCAATCCGATCTAATTCCCTCCCATCCTCACTGTCCGCTTCCTGATGGTTCTGCCTCTCTTCCTCGAGCTTCTTGACACGGCCACCTTTGTCTTGGATTTCGTCATCGATGACCTTCATCTCCGCCTGCTCCCTGGCAATCTTCTCCCGGACCTCATCTGCACGCTGATTCCCCTCCTCTTCGAGTCGAGCCTTTTCCTCTTTCGACTCGACCGCTTCGCGATTCATATTTTCGATCCGCTCCTGCCACCGGACGATGTCGGACTTTCGCTTCTTGCGCTCGGATTCTTTCTGCTGCAAAAGTCTCTCACGCTTCGCTTTTTCACTCTGCACAGTACGGTTGACGCTCTCGAGCTTGTAAACGTGCTTCTTCAGATCCCCGCTCGCTTCGTCCTTCTCCTTGACTCGCTTCTTCAGATCGTCGCGCTGCTTCTCGAGCTCTTTCAAAAGTGCAATGTGCTCTTCTTCCTCGTCGGCAGTCTGCTTCTCTACGGTCTCATTCTCATGCTGCAAGGTTTTCAATCGGTCGGCGAGTTGCTCGAGTGTCTCATCGTGATCGTCGTTTGCCGCGCTCTTCTGAGACTCCTCCGCATGGCCATGAGAGATCTCCGTCCCGCTCGCTGCAGGAGACGGTTTCCGCCCGGCTGAGGATCGCTTCGCCTGGAGTTGTCCTCCGCTGTGCTCTCGAGACATCACAGGGGCTGATGGGGCAGCAAGACCGGCGGTAGACCGGGGAATGGAGGCCCGGATAGTAGGGTTGCCGACCGTGCCATTCTGCTGGGTCTGGGACCCAGGCAGCGATTTCGTGCGCACATGGATAATAGCACTCGGAGTCTGGAAGTTCGCCGCACTGACTGACAAGACGCAGATATGGTAGATGCTGCCAGGCACCAAGTTGAGGATTTCGACTGCGGTTTCGGCTCGTTTCGACTCGCCCACTGAGAATTCATTAGTATCAACAGATAGAGATCCGAAGGAGCCATTGCCGAGAGTACCCTTGATGCCGTTCAGCTGAATGATGTGTTTGTGGATGGAATTGTGGAACTCGGGCTGTTTCCAAGCGATTCGGATCTCACGGGCGGTGATCTCTTCGAGGGTGACTTCTGGTGGCGGAGGGATGTCCAAACCGAGCTTTTCCACCAGGACGTCGTTGGGCGTCTGACAGACCTGCCACGCACGGTACAGTAGCCTTCCAGGAAAGAGTAACCAGTCAGCGGAACCGCTCTGTAAGAGATCACAATGCGACATACCAGATCAGAGCCCAAAGAATGGTGACGGCGAGAAAGAGAGCCATGACGCCTCGGACCCTCACTCGGGGAACCACGCTGGGGTAGGCGTTGAAAGAGAGAAACAACGGCTCATACATCCCAGCGTCCGCAACCCATGGAGGAGAGAAAGAAAGAAAGGAGAGGGACTGACAACCTCGGGCGGGCAGTGAAGGGAAAGGAAGGGCAGCAGACGCTTCTCGATTCACTACTGCGAATCCGGTACAGTAGGAATTAATCCGATGCTCCGCGGAGGCTGCGAGAGTGGGACGGGTCACCTGACCGGGTTGGGATGCTGACGCAGCGCTGAGTCAGCCTGCAGATCATGGAGGAGTTTGGCCGGTCCCAAAAAAAGAGTCGGCCCCCGCCGGATGGGGGCTAGTGGCCGTTTCAAGCCGAGGAAGGCCAGCCAGCCAGGCAACAAGGACTCCAGGAGGCACATGACGGACCGCCCGCCGCCGCCGGGCCCGGTTCAGTTGCCGTTGGGCTGTTGAGCCCGCAGCACCGAGAGCGCCTCTCCCAACAACCAACAATAGCCACCCGGTTTCTCGAGGATCCTCGTTGTCATTGCTGTCTCACTTCGCTGTCGCTACGCCCTGCCTATACTGCAGGTTCCACTCGCTTGGTCTCGCTCGTGGTCAGATGCTTGCATGCCAGCTCATCCGCATAGCAAGTGACCGTCCTTCGTTTGTGATTCCCACTCCGGGGCATGTCTATCGGGCCTTGTCACATGGGCCGTATGTAGGCGGCAATTCCTGCTCCTCCGCCGTCTGACCTCCAACCCCCTCTCTTTGTCGTGTCTTTGTGTGCCGTGGTTCGCCTTTGTCTTTTGGGATTGTTCAACCTTCGTCCGGGACTTTCCCTGTCACCATTGCAGGATGCAGTACGTCCGAAGTATCAGCGGTTCGGTCTCCAAGACCTGGAACTCCATCAATCCAGCCACCTTGAGTGGGGCCATCGATGTGATCGTGATTGAACAAGAAGATGGTCCGCTGCTGCCACCTTTCATCGAAGAATCCGTACTGATTCTGGGATAGGAACTCTGGCCTGTTCGCCTTTCCATGTCCGGTTCGGCAAATTCTCATTGCTCCGCCCGTACGAGAAGAAGGTACCGTCTGCCCGCATCGATCCTTGTCCGCGTTCCCGCATAACTAAGACACTTCAAGGTGGAATTCTCCGTCAATGGGGTCAAACAAGACTACGCGATGAAGCTGGGTGAGGGTGGGGAAGCCTTCTTCGTCTTTGAGACAACGGATGAGATCCCCGCCTCGCTCCAGACGTCGCCTCTGGTGTCGCCAACGAGCAGCCCCAAGATGCGCAGCGAGGAAAACCTCCCCCCATCCTTACAGGAACCCGAATACCTAGATCTCGATCGAACCAATGGCAGTGCAGCCCTTCCCATGCTGTCGAGGAGTATGCGGGCAACAAGCGATTTGGGTAGGTTCCATCGTTGCGAACCCATCACCGAGTGCGGATGCTCATGACGCTGCAGGTACCATTACTCCTCTTTCACGGTCGCCGGATGACTCCAGCCTGGGCAGGTCCCGGCATGGGTCATTTGGTGACGAACCAAGCAAAATCGACCGGACGGCTACGGATCCGGTGCTGTTGACCAAGAGCCGCTCGAACAGTGTTAGCGTAGCGGACCAACTATACGCGGTGCAGTCCTCTGGCGCGAGCGCCTCGAGCGAGGAGGTCGGTCCCGATGGCCGCTCCCGAAGCCCTCCGTTAATATCACCGGAAGAGGCGATGTCTCGCGCCGTTTCGCTGTCGAAGAAACTCTCTGGGTCGAATATTCCGTCTCGCGTAACTGAAACGGGCGATCTCATGCTCGACATGACCGGCTATAAGAGCAATGAGGAGGATGCTCTCCGGGCGGAAGTCCTTGCACGGAAGATCCTTGCTGAGGAGCTCGAAGGAAACTATGATATCGGGGCTCTCATTGGGGCTGACGAGCATGGCAACCTGTGGATCTACAGCAGCGAGGAAGCAAAGGAGGCTGCCAACCGGCGTGCTACGTTCAATGCGATGCGGCCGGGCTCTGCCATGAGCGAGCACGCGATCTCCGACCCAGGATATCACAGTGATAGCGACCGGTCTATCCATGATAAGCCGATGCCCACCCGGCACCATCGCGCCCAGTCCGATGTCCAACCCGGTTTTCCTACTCCGCCGCAGTCCCCAACGCAAGAGTCTCTGCAGGAGCCCGCCCGAAACTATGCCAAGACTCTGCGTCTGACCAGTAACCAACTCAAGGCGCTGAAATTGAAGCCTGGTGCGAACAGCATGTCGTTCAACGTCAACCGGGCTATTTGCACGGCGACGATGTATCTGTGGAACGGCAACATTCCCATCGTCATTTCCGACATTGATGGAACCATCACCAAGTGAGTTCTCTGGTCTGGGTTGTCATAGTGTCGCTAATGAGCATAGATCGGATGCCCTGGGCCATGTGTTGAACATGATCGGCCGTGACTGGACGCATGCGGGCGTGGCCAAGTTGTATACTGACATCGTCAACAATGGGTACAACATCATGTACCTAACGAGTCGATCGGTCGGCCAAGCCGATCTCACGCGGGCCTATCTGTATGGGGTTAATCAGGACGGATACCGGTTGCCCAAGGGCCCGGTGATCATGAGCCCCGACCGAACCATGGCGGCTCTCCGCCGAGAGATTTACCTGCGGAAGCCGGAGGTGTTCAAGATGGCTTGTTTGCGGGATATCCTCAATCTGTTCAATGGCAAGGAAAATCCCTTCTACGCCGGGTTCGGCAACCGCCTGACGGACGCGCTGAGCTACCGGTCTGTGAACATTCCATCTACCCGGATCTTCACGATCAACTCGAATGCGGAGGTTGTCCTGGATCTCCTCAGTCTGAACAAATACAAGAGCAGCTATGTTTCGATGACGGAGTTGCTCGACCATTTCTTTCCGCCGGTGAGTCTGCTGGTACAGGCTGGCGGCGAAGAATATACCGATTTCACCTACTGGCGGGAGCCGCCGCCGGATCTAGAGGACTTTTCGTGTACAGACAGTGAAGCGGAAGAAGGCGACCCGGAAGAGGAAGATGAGGAAGAGGATGGCGACTACGACGGGGAGCTGAGTGAGGAGGATGGGAGTGATGTCGAAGAGGATGAGGTTGGAGAAGATCTCGGGGCCAGCTACATCTCGCAGGACTCGGTCGATGGGTTCGAGCTGGCCGACAGCCGCAGTCTTCGTGCTGCCGATGAAGGTATCGAGGACGAAGACGAGGTGTCGGACGAAGAGCCGGTGGTCTCTCGTCTGACCCGGTCAAACCCTGGGTCTCCCAAGCGGTGATAGATGGTCGTGATGCATCAACTGCAGAGCGACGCTACCAGCGATGTCGCTGTGCCTGGATGAACATTTATTGCATGGATGGGTGTTTGTTGATAGATTTGCATGAGGCGTTTGCACAGGTCGCATAGCCATAGTTCCTGCTTTATTCGGCAGCGCATAATGTATGATAGGAGGGGGGATTCTGTATAGAGTGCTAGTGGAATATTACCCTGTTGCCAGTGTTGTTCAATGCTATCCTGGATAATCATCATGATTCAACCCTGAGCTGGGCGGAATCTATCCCTGCCGAAGCGGGACTAGCGCGGATCCCGGCTGGCGAACAGAACGTCTTTCATCTCATCACCATCTGAGCTCCATCTCCCCAGCTTCTACCCCCAGCGACCTTTTCTGATCTCCGCGCATTTATCCACGACCGCGTTGGACGCATCCCAGCAACTCCCAAAGGCGATGCTAGCGCATCCCTATTGACCGCCTTGACCCACGCGCGTCAGCTACTACCACTACCACCTTTACCTACCTACGGACCTTGAAACCTCATCAATCCTCACCATCAGCAACACTCAAAATGGCCTCACCCACGCACGGCCAACCACCCACCACACAACCCATCACACCCCCCGCCGAACCCAGCAGCACCCAACCCACCGCCACACAAACCAGCAACACCACCACCACCGCCCCGAACCCCACAACCAGCACCAGCACCAGCACCAACCCCCCGAACACCAGCAATGCCGCCCCCATCGCCCAACCCACGCAAATCCCCTCCACTTCATTAAAAGACACCGGCAAATCGCGCCGTCCGCGCGACGTCCGCCTCATCCACATGCTCCTGTCCTCACTCGGCGTCACGGCCTACCAAGAGCGCGTCCCTCTCCAACTCCTCGACTTCGCCTACCGCTACACGTCCTCGGTGCTCCAAGACGCCGTGCACCTCGCGACAGAAGGCTACGCGGGCACCACGGACCCGGGCTCCTCGACTCGCGGCGCCTCCGAAGTCAACACCGTGTCGCTCCCCGCGCTCCGACTGGCCATTGCTTCCCGTCTGCATTACCAGTTCCAGGCGGGCCTGCCGAAGGAGTTTTTGATGGATGTGGCGGCGGAGCGGAATCGGGTTGCGTTGCCCGGGGCGAGTCGGGGGTTTGATAATTTGGGGGCGGTGAAGCAGGGACAGGCGAATCAGAGTGTGGTTATGGGGGGGATGAGGTTGCCGCCGGAGAGGTTCTGTTTGACGGGTCTTGGGTGGGGGATGAAGGGGGAGTGGGAGAGTGAGGGGGAGGAAGAGGAGGAGGAAGTGGAGGTTGGGGAGGGGGGTGTTGGGGGTGGTAGTGGTGCTGGGGGAAGGGAGAATGGGTTGGTGGGGGTTAAGGGGGAGGATGATGAGGGTGGGGAAGGGGATGAGGATGAGGATGGGAAGATGGAGGATGTGTTTGGGGAGGATACGGTTATGGGGGAGGGAGATGGAGCGGGGGGTGGTGATGGGGATGGGGATAAGGCTATGACGGATGTTTAGATGCATGTATCTGGTCAGGATGGGTTTACTGCATGGAGGCGTTTGGCGCATGTCCGGCTGGTGGACAGGAGATTTTAATCTATTCCTCTTTCTTCTTCGTCTTCCTTCCTTCCATCTATCGATATAACTTCATCACCATCACCGCTACTACTATACAATAGCCGTATGCATACACAAACACAAACACACAAAAACGAACGCCAAACCCACAAACACAAACCACAAAAACAAAGTATACAAAAACCCTATATACGCCCACCCCCCAACCCCAACTCTAAGCCTTCCCAGCAGCACCAGCAGCCGCCGCCTTCCTCCTCTCCTCATCCGCTCTCATCATCCGAATAACCTCCTCCCTCCGCCTCTCCACCCTCGCAACCTCCTCCTCCTTGGCCCTCCGTCTCTCCTCATGCGTCGCGAACCACTCCTCCCGCGCCCGATCCTCTTCCTCGGGCTTCGCATGCGCAACCATACACGAGTTCATGGCGAGTCGTTGTTCCCGACACACCCATGTTGCGGTGATGGTGCGGTTGACGGCGCATTCGGCGAATGCTGAACCTTTCGTTAGTATGGTTCCCAGTATGTGGAAGAGGGGAAGGGAGGGTTGAGGGGGAGGGGATAGGATACCTTTGATTTCAGGCGCACAGAGGGAGCGAACGCGCTTGTAGTAGAGTTGCTTCACTTCGGATTCTTGGGCCGCGGAGAGGGGGAGCGGGTTGCGGAGGTTGTAGGGTTTGCGGGGGGGTTGGGAGGATTGGGGGTCTGAGGACGACATTTTGGGGTTGCTTTTCTTTGTGGTTTCTGGTGGAGGGGTGTAGGTAGGTAGTTGGTCGGTAGGTAGAGAACTGGAGTATTGCTGGTGGTGATGGTGGTGGTGTGGTGTGGTGTGTCCAGTCGGATGAGATCTCGAGGTCGTGTTTTTCGTGAATAAAGATGGAAGACAGTAAAGAATCAATTCATCATCAAAATCTCCAACTCAATGCTCCAAGCTCCAAGCCAATACTCGTCACGAACAGCAATTGACAACTGAATCAGACAGACAGCAGCTGCTCCCACAGAATGCTGCCGCCGCCGAGCGGAGAGAAGAGTTGCTTGGGGCCTACTCGATCGGGTTTAGTGGCGCCGACTCCGACTTTTCAATTTACTTCCTCCTCATCCATCTTTCAGTACTATTGACATTATCGCTGCTCTTTTTCTTCCACGTACCCCAGAATAAACCGGGAAAGACGAGGAAATACATTCATCATGTCGACTCTACGCAACGCCGTCCAACGACGGAACCACCGTGAACGTGGCCAGCTTCAAGGCCGTGAGAAATGGGGTATTCTGGAGAAACATAAGGTATATCCCTCCCCTTCCTCCATTCCTGGTAAATCTCAAGATCAAGATGCTAATGCTAAACTGGATAGGACTACTCCCTCCGCGCCAAAGACTACAACACCAAAAAAGAGAAAATCAAGCGTCTGCAAGAAAAGGTCCGCGACCGGAACCCGGATGAATTCGCCTTCGGGATGATGTCGGGCACCTCCGCCCGACAGGGAAAACACGGATCCGGGGCGCGAGATTCCGCGGCTGCGCGTGGGCTCAGTCACGATGCGATCAAGCTGCTCAAGACGCAGGATGCGGGGTATCTTCGGACCGTGGGGGAGCGGATTAGACGGCAGATGGAGAAGTTGGAGGAGGAGGTGCGGTTGCAGGATGGGATGAAGGAGATATTGGATGGGGAGGGGGAGAAGAAGGGGGGGCAGGAGGGGGGGAGTGATGTGGAGGAGGATGATATGGATTTTGATTTTGATTTTGGGGACGAGGAGGAGAAGAAGGCGAAGAAGTTGGTGTTTGCGGATGATCGCAGGGAGCAGAGGACGTTGAAGAAGAAGAAGTTGCGGGAGGAGGACGAGAAGGAGGAGGAGGAGTCGGATGGGGAGGAGGATTCGTTTGGGAAGAGGCAGGCGCAGAAGAAGTCGCGCAAGCAGATCGAGGCGGAGAGACAGGCTCTTGTGGAGGCGCGTCGGGCGAGGAAGATGAAGAAGCGGGCTGCTGAGGCGCGCGCTAACAAGCTCAAGGCCCTGCAGAAGCAGTATAAGGATATCACGGCGGCGGAGCGTGAGCTGGATTGGCAGCGTGGACGCATGGATAATGTCGTCGGGGGCACGAATAAGAATGGGGTCAAGTGGAAGATCCGCGAGCGGAAGAGGTGATGCGGTGCGTCTTTATCTATGGGCTTTTTTACTTGTTTACTTCAATCACTGGCTATGATTGATGATTCCGTTTGTTGCATCAGGTGCGGTTGGGAAAAGTCAGTGTATTCTACTAGAGTGGCGTTCGAGATACCATTTAATGTACAGTGATCATCAAGACCCTTTTATTGCTATGCTCATATTATATACTGCGTTGAATCGTAACCGCTGATACTGAATCATGCCTGCTGCTTCATGTGCGCCACGCGGATGCTCACGGCCCGCTTGTGCGCATCCAGTCCTTCCACCGCTGCCAGCTGCTCCACCGTGCGAGACAGGCCCAGCAGTCCCTCCGCCGTAAGGTTCGAGCTGGTGATGTGCTTGAGGAACGAGCCCAGGTTCACACCCGAGTACTGCTTGGCGTATCCGTAGGTCGCTGTGATCGTTAGCATTATCGATTATCCGTAAGTCGAGCAAAAGGAACTTACGCAAAGAGTGGTTGACACCAGCCGAGTAATCGCCCACACTCTCCGGGGTCCACTCTCCGATGAACACACTACCGGCATTCTGCACCTGCGCAACTGCCGCCTCGGCATTCTGGATCTGCAGGATCAAGTGCTCCGGGGCGTAGTCGTTGCTGAGAGCCATGGCCTCCGCCAGGTCGCGCACGACGAAAGTAACCGAGTGCGCCAGAGAGCCCTTGACGATGTCCACACGGGGAAGAGCCTTGGCCTGGATGTCGACCTCCTTCTCGATGGCCTGAAGCTGCTGCTCGGTCAAGTCGATGGCGATGAGGATGACCTGGGAATCCACGCCGTGCTCGGCCTGACTGAGCAGATCGGAAGCCACAAACGCAGGGTTGGCGTCCTTGTCAGCGATCACCAGCACCTCACTGGGACCAGCCGGCATGTCGATGCTGACACCGGCGGAGGTGTCGTTGGAAACCAACATCTTGGCGGCCGTGACGAACTGGTTGCCAGGACCCAAGATCTTGTCCACCTTGCTGATGCTCTCAGTACCGTACGCCATCGCAGCAACCGCCTGCGCACCACCGGCCAGCACGATGCTTTCAGCGCCCACCTTGTGCGCAACGTAGACGATTTCAGGCGAGATGCTGCCGTCCGCGCGGGGAGGAGAGGCAAAGACGAGCTTCTTGCAGCCAGCCACCATGGCGGGAACACCCAGCATCATGGCGGTGGACGGCAGAACGGCGGTACCACCGGGGATGTACAGACCGACGCGCTCGATGGGACGCGAGAAACGAGAGCAGACCACACCCGGCATGGTCTCCACCTTCAGGCCATCGTTGCTGTCTTTCTGGGCGCTGTGGAACTTGGCAATGTTGGCGATACTGATATCGATAGCCTCCTGCGTCTCGGGGGACAGCTTCATCAGCTCAGGCGGGAACGGGGCGCGGATAACAGGAGAAGTCAAGGAGGTTGCCTTCTCGAACTTGTGGGTGTACTTGAGCACGCCGGCGTCACCGTGCTCGCGAACATCCTGGATGATGGGGCGGACGAGAGCGACGATCGCATCGTTGGACTTCTGGGAAGGACGCTTGAGGTAGTCTTGAACAACATCCACGGGCGTAGAAGCAGTGACAACGCGCGTCATCTGCATCGGCTCATCGGCCTTGGGAGCAGGCTGAGCGGGCTCAGCGGGCGCAGCGGCCGCGGGCTTCGATTCCGGAGCGGCCAGGCCAGCCTTCTCCGCCCAAGGACCCTTGGCATCGCCCTTTCTCCGCTTCACCTTCAGGCTCTTGAGATCCAGGTTTCTCTCCACATCCTCGAGACTGACACCGGCCGCAACGCAGCGAGTCAGGGCAAAGTAGAGAAGATCCGCGGCCTCAAAGGCAATCTCTTCCTTGGTGTTTGCACGGCACAGCTCGTCAGCCTCCTCCATAATCTTAGCCTGGGTGAGCTTGGGCTCGTTGAATAGACGGGCAGTGTAGGAGCCAGCGGGGGCATCGGCCTTGCGGGCTTGCAGGGTCTTCTGGAGACGGGCGAGGCCGTTGTAGGGTCCGAAGCAGCTGGCGGTTCCAAGGTGACAGAAGCCTGTGGGGTTAGCGAGACGGCGCTCCATGAGGGTTGTCATGACTTACCTCTGCCAATCTGGTTGACAACAAAAACCAAGCAATCACTGTCGCAGTCAAAGCCGACACGGATCAGCTCCTGCACGTCACCGCTGGACTGGCCCTTGTACCAAAGGCCGCGCTTCCGGCTCTGGTAGACACCGGTGCCAGTGCGGAGAGCCTCTGCGATGCTCTCATCGTTGCTCCACACGAGTCCCAAGCATGTTCCGCGCTCATCAACCACGGTAGTGGCGTAGAGCCCGTTGCTCTGGTCGGCGACAGCACGAGCGGCGATGAGGGAGGCGGCGACGATCTTGCCGTTGGGTTCCTTGTGTTCGAAGGTCAATGCGTCGGCAGACACAACGCTGACGCCACCCTGGCTCAAAGTGTCCTTCAGGGTGTCCTCCGAGGGGGTGCTCGTGTATGTGCGGTACAGGTTCTGGGCTTCCAGGTTCATGCCCAGCTTCTCAGCGAGGGCCTGGACGGCAGACGCGTCGGTCGACAAGCCTGCATCCTTGCGCTCGGCAGACTGGCCCACCCAAGTCTGGAAGGCATCCACTTGGTTCTCAGGTGTGTAGACAACGAGTCGCGACGAAGGCACAGACTGTTCCTCAGACAGAGCAGTCAGCTGATTGAGGGAGATGAAGATCTTGGCAGCGCCAGCATTGAGGATATCAACGAGGTCTCCGGACGAGGCAATGGCGGTAGCGTCGACGTAGACATCGAGGAGTCGGAAGTTGCGCTTGAGGAATTCCTCAGCCTGAGCAAGGCTAGAGACTTTGATGAGGACGCGACCGAAGTAGGCGATCTGCTTGAGGGAGAGGCCGGGGGAGGGGGAGGCGGGGTCGTAGGAGACGAGGAGAGGGGTAGCCATGGTGGGCAGAGGGGCGGGAGATCTGGTGGGAAATTAGGAAGAGAGAGTACAAAAGTCAATTCAAGATCCCCAGCAAGGGGAGGGGATATAAGTGACAAGGTCAGGCCGGTGAAAAGAAGGAGAATTGAGAAGATTCGTGAGTCAGTCCGGGGCGGACCGGGGAGATAAAGAAAGATTCCGCCAGCAATTTCTTCCAGCCCCGCCATCGGAGCCTCTGACCGCCTGCCGTGAATCAGCTGGGATTGATTGGATCAGAACCCCTCGTCCATGGATGACAGGCACTCTGAGTTGGCCTGGCCGTGTCCCTGGAGCTTGATCCTTCATTCCTCTGCCCGATCCTGTTTGCGGGGTGCCCCTCATCTCATCTCGACTGCTCCGGGCCACTCCTTTGCTCTCGCTGCCAGTGGATCATGAATTCTACACCGGTGTGGAATGACCTTACACGGTCATAGTCACAGTCATTGATGGACATGGTGCATTCTGAGTGGTCCAATATTCTCCGATGTGCTGTCACATCGACGGAATTGGTTGACGGTATTCATTGCATGCCGCATTCTACCATGCCGATCTTGTGTTATATCGGGCTGACGTGATAGTATAAACGCCGGCCTAGACTCCTACACTCCATTCAGTAGTGATCACGTTTGCTTCTACTCTTCTACGTCGATCCACCATGCTTAGCACATGATTCTTCATTTCCCATGATCCTTCAATATCGGTAGCTGGAGCAGACCTACAGGACTGATTGTGGAAAAGGCCGTCTAGGCATCCAAGAACAGCTCTCTGGGTGAGACAGGCGCGGTTGAGTATCGGGTTGGAGATGATAAATTTCACGCGTCGAATTGCCAGTGAGCACGCGGATCTCGCTCGTTTCTCCTCTGTCAGTGTCATGATGAGCGGGAGTTCCAAGTTTATGCCGTTATCGTGACTGGTCACCATCCTGAGGGAATGGTGGTGACAAGAATGTAGTGATGGTCGACACTACATTCAGAGAAGAGACCGCAGACAGATCTCTGTGTTGGAAGTGATATTCGAGCTTTTCGGTGTGTGTGTCCCCGAGGATCGCAGCTTCTGCCTGGAATTTATGGGAAGGTCATGATGGCTTTAGTTGTCCAGCCTCAGGAAGAGCCGACCTCTTTCATCGTCCTCACCACACAGTGAGAAAACCTGCTGATCGTCAAGAACAAAAAACGGAAACATGTTCCGAAATGATTACCGGCCGCTGTGTCTTTCATCAAATTGTGCCGGATCACTGCCGGATCACTTGCAAGCGTGAATCCATGGTTTTGGCTGCCCCGTAGAATAAGTCGCTACGGAATAAATAGAGACTGGATTTAGAGACCCTATGACAATACAGTCGAAGAAGATGCCAGAAGGTGGCCCTAACAAGTCCTCACATTGTCAGCTTCCGGCCAGCTCCATCACCTCCCGTTTGGGAGTCATAAGGAGCCAAATCGCGTGGATCGAAGGACCCGCGCTGGCTTCCGTCTAACTGGATCGGGAATCTCCAAGAATACTTCCAGTTCAGCCGATCACTTTTGCCTTTGATATGCCGAACCTTTTTACCCCTAGTGCCGAACATCGCTGAGTTGCTTTTCCTGGCCCGTTGATCCAAATTTCGGAAGCGAGATCATCTGCCCGCCCTCATCATCTGCCCTGCGGTCTGACCTGCCCGGATGATCTCGAGACGAAGGCCTACTTCGGAGCTCGTCCGCCGATGTGACGGTCGCACGACCCCAAGCCCTGGCCTAAATTAAGCGCCCACCCTGAAGTACCTGTCGGTATGCAGTGAGTCTGAAGTACCTCGCTGTTCGCCTGCAAGGTCCGCCAGGGACAGGTACCGACCCGTCACAAATACCAGCCGGGGACCGCAGAGGAATCCACCCTTGCAGGATCCTGCAGGGTCAACCTCCAATCGGAGCCCCAGATCGGCGGGGGTGGGCCTGAAGCAGCTAGCGGGCTCGGGCTTGGCTCCCCACCAGGAACCAGGGACTGCCTGTGCGTTACCCGATTAGGCAACCCCTGGGCCAGGTCGCGGCGGAGGGGCCTTCCCCTGTGCCGTCACTCCTGCTGATATACAGCCACTACAGCCAGGTTGACTACCAGTTGGGTAGCTGCTCGGGGGCCATGGCCCACCCCCTCCAGGATGCATAACTCCTCCTGAGCTCGTCCACGATCACTTCTCCGCATTCTTTTAGCCGGTCGATCGCCTTATTTATACCCGATCCGTCGCCTGTTTGCTGGCTCTCATTCTTTCGCTTTGTTTTCGTCATCGGTGCAAGGCCGGTTTTATCTCTGGTCTGCTCGCCCGGTTCCTGTGTCACTCTTTTCTCTGTATCATGCATTTTTCTTCGCTTTCCCTGTCCCTGACGGCCTTGGCCATCGTCAGCCCTTGTATAGCTCACCCTCAGCCGGTCTTGCGACAGGATGACTCCCAGACTCGTGCAGACACGATCAAGTCCGCCTTCTCGCACGCTTGGGATGGCTATCTTCAATATGCCTTCCCTCATGACGAGCTGCACCCCGTCTCGAACGGCTATGGCGACTCCAGGAACGGATGGGGTGCATCCGCTGTAGATGCGCTCTCCACGGCGGTGATCATGCGCAATGCAACCATTGTCAACAAGATTCTGGACCACGTGGCCACGATTGACTATTCCAAGACCGACAGCACCGTGAGCCTGTTCGAGACAACCATCCGCTACCTGGGTGGTATGCTGTCTGGCTATGACCTGTTGAAGGGTCCCGCCTCCGACCTGGTGTCGGACTCATCCAAAGTCGATGTCCTTTTGACCCAGTCGAAGAACCTTGGCGACGTTCTCAAATTCGCCTTCAACACCCCCTCCGGCGTTCCGTATAACAACCTCAACATCACCTCTGGGGGTAATGACGGAGCCACGACCAACGGTCTGGCTGTGACTGGCACACTGGCGCTGGAGTGGACGCGGCTATCCGATCTGACGGGAGATCCCACCTATGGAGACTTGAGCCAGAAGGCCGAGTCGTATCTCCTCAACCCGCAGCCCAAGTCCGCGGAGCCATTCCCGGGCCTGGTGGGAAGCAATATCAACATCGCCACTGGGCAGTTTGCGGATGCGCAGGTGAGCTGGAACGGCGGTGACGATTCCTACTATGAATACCTGATCAAGATGTACGTGTATGACCCGAAGCGGTTCGGTCTCTACAAGGACCGCTGGGTGGCGGCGGCGCAGTCGACTATGCAGCATCTGGCGTCGCACCCGTCGTCTCGCCCGGACCTGACCTTCCTGGCCTCGTACAATAACGGCACCTATGACCTGAGCTCGCAGCACCTGACTTGCTTCGATGGAGGGAGCTTCCTGCTGGGTGGAACCGTGCTGAATCGAACTGACTTCATTAACTTTGGCCTGGCCCTGGTGAATGGATGCCATGATACATACAACTCGACGTTGACCGGGATTGGGCCGGAGACGTTTAGCTGGGATACGAGCTCCATTCCAGCCAGCCAGCAGACGCTCTACGAGCAGGCCGGGTTTTACATCACCAGCGGGGCCTACATTCTGCGCCCGGAGGTCATCGAGAGCTTCTACTATGCCTGGAGAGTGACTGGGGACGAAACAGTAAGTTATACCCATCTGTTCCTAGAGGATGCATCTGACGAATGTAGTACCGCGAATGGATCTGGAGCGCGTTCAGCGCCATCAACGACTATTGCCGCACGGGCTCGGGATTTGCGGGTCTGACGGATGTCAACGCGGCCAACGGAGGCGGTCGGTACGACAACCAGGAGAGCTTCCTGTTCGCGGAGGTGATGAAGTACTCGTACCTGGCGTTCTCGGAGGAGGCGGAGTGGCAAGTACAGACCGGCGGCGGGAACAAGTTTGTGCTGAACACGGAGGCGCACCCGGTCCGGGTGAGTACATAGTATTTTTAGATACTAGAGCATATATTAGGGTATTGTTAAAGTATAATATAGTCGTCTACCACCAAGATTCATTCCTGTGGACCTCAAGTTCAACCTCATGCCAGTCCAGTGGTCATTCTCGGTTCACTCCACAATCAATAGACGACATAATCAACAATGAAAACACAAATAAACCCCCGCAAACCCCCTCATAGTCTTATTGACTCCTACCACCAGCCATACCAACAATACCCACATCAGCCCCACTTCCTCGTCCGTTCCCGGGCCCACTCGCCCTGGTTTGCGCAGATTTGAGCATCTTCCTCCGTCACCAACATGCCGGTACCTTGGGAGAGGCCACGATGTACCTTGGGGACAACTGATATCAAGCCGTAGAGAACAAAAAGAGAGGCTTGTCCTCGACTTGTATACTTCTACTTTACTTCTCATATACCCTGCAATAATCTTCCTAACCAAGCAACTACGAAGGAGACAGTACTCCGTACTATATCATATAAACACTACGAAAAGAAACAAGATAGTCAAAGACAGAGAGTGAAGAAAATGTGCGGTCCCTCACGACCCAGCTCAGGGAAACTGATTGCTGTTATTTTTCCTGATTCTTCTTCTACATCTTCTTCGTCTCCTTCTACATCTTCATCGTTACGAACATCATCTACATCATCACTTTCATCTTCTCTCTCCTCATCCTCGGAAGAATATATAAATGATGCACAAACATCCTACTCCCTCTCTTTCCAAGATTCCTCCCCCACAAGCACTACTGCAGATACCTCACCCAGCAACGAACCCAAAACAAAAGCGTCCTTTCGGATTACTTCCCCCGAGACTTTATCTCGCTTTAGGGAAAGTAAAGGGGTGAATGTACGGATTGAGTATGCCCCCCCACCTTTCTTCTTCCTTTTGTCCTTCTATTGTGTATGGGTTTGTTTAGTATGTAGGATGTTAATGTGTATTTAGGAAATACGGAGACCTTACGGTTCCTATTACGTGTCCGCCGTTGTATGACTTTACGGTACCGTTTTTGGGGGGGAAGATGGGAGGAAGGGAAGGGGAGGTGGAGGTGACTTTGCCGGAGAGGTTGGAGTTGGGGGTTTCGGAGAGGGGGATTGTGGGGAGGTTGGTGAGGGTTAGTCTTTTGGGCAATGGAGAAGGTAATATGGGTGTTGATATGGGGAGGGGGATTGTGGGGTATGATTAATTTGTGCATATTGTTAAGGAAGGTATGTGTATGCTTTGGAGTTTTGTTTAGATGAGGTTGATAATATGGTGATATTGGGAGGGAAGGGTGGGGATTGGTAGAATGGAATCAATGAGGTCAGTCGTATGTTGGTCAGTCTAGATACATGATATGGTGATGGGTAGATACTCAATTCGGTCCATGCATCATGGACAGATTCACGACGGCTACAGCTTTACACTGGCAATATCCTGCACGCCATGCACATACCGATGCTCTGCCTCTTCCCAGTTGATCACCTTCCAGATGTTCTGGGCGTAGCTGGCTTTGTTATTTTGATACTGTAATACCAAAGTCAGCACATCTCCGCTCATAAACAAAGAGGATACTCACCTGCAAATAATAAGCATGCTCCCACATATCCACGCCCAACACCGGGATTGACCCCATCACCGGATCCTGATCCTTCGTGGTCTCAATCTCCAAAAACCCTTTCTTCCCCTTACTCACCAGCCAGCCCCATCCGCTGCCCTGTATCCCTAGAAGCACGGCCTCAAACGCATCCGTGAACTTCTTGAGTGACCCCCACTGCTTCTCAATCGCGGCCAAGAGAGTTGGCGCCGACCGCTCCACCTTGGTAGCTGGGGAGTCATAGGGAGCCATGTTCTTCCAGAAGAGAGAGTGATTGATATGACCGCCCCCGTTGAACTTGAGCTTCTGTTGGATGCTGATGATCTGGGTGAGATCGTTGCTGTCGAGGGCGGAGGCTTCCGCGGTGAGAGCGGCGTTGAGGTTGTTCACGTAGGTCTGGTGGTGCTTTTTGTGGTGGAGTTCCATGATCTCTCTCGAGATGATGGGCTCAAGGGCCTGTTCGCTGTGAGATATGGACTGACTTGAGAGATGTGAGACTTACATCGTAGTCGTAGGGAAGAGGGGGAAGGGTGTGATTAGGGGCCATTTTGGTTTCTTAGTGAGTTGGGCTGAACTCGGTATCTGTGAACTGGTGATGATGGTGATGGTTGGAGAGGGATGAAGAGGACAAAATAAGAGCAGAAGAGGGGTAAAAGGCCCCTCGAGCATGACATTTCGAGGCACATCGTCCTACAAGGTACTCTGTCCCGCCAATCCCGATGGGTGATGATTGTGCGATGGGGACCTTGCGCACGATTGAGCAGGTTTCGATCCCGGTCATTGGTGGGTGTTCCACCAGCTGGTCGGTGGGGTCTTCAAGCGATGATCTCACAGATAGGTACTCAGAACACCGGTGATTCTCTAATCCAGAGGCATGTGTGACTGCACTGGAATGGAAGGAAAGCACTTCCACTATCTGGCGATCCTTGGATGGTGACAGAGGGTGCCGCCATGGCCAATCAGCAGCCCGGAGATCTCATACTTTCTCCGGCCGGGCTAGCCCCGACCAGCTAGAACGGAAACAGACGGTATTCGCAGTACCACCAAGCGTAAGGGTCATACATACCATGCGGGGTAGCATTCAGCCTCGGTCCATCCATGGACTGCAGCAAACGTAGTTACCAGTTACAATAGATAGAGATTGATCTCCGCACTCCTGCCATGCTCTCATTTCCGTCATATATCCATCATGTCTGTCTCCGAACAAGTCCAGCTGGACAACTTCCCCTCCATCTTCTCCCTGGAGGGTAAGGTCGCCCTCGTCACCGGTGGCTCCCGCGGTCTCGGACTACACGCCGCCAGTGGGTAGGACAGAATCCTCGCCCCAGTCAACCAGGATACGAAACATTGACACTCCTCATAATTTTAGGCTTCTCCAATCAGGCTGCTCCAAAGTCTACATTACTTCTCGCAAGTCGTCCGCCTGCGACGAAGCTGTTGCAGCCCTCAACGCCCTCCCCAACAAATCTCCCCACGCAACCGCCATCGCCATCCCGGCCGACAATTCAAACCTCGATGAGCTGGACCGTCTTGTTGCCGAGGTCTCCAAGACAACCTCACATCTCGATATACTATTCGCCAATGCTGGGGCCACCTGGGGCGAGAAATACGAATCCTACCCCGCCGACAAATTCAGCAAGGTCATGGACCTGAACGTGAAGAGCGTATTCTATACCATCCAGAAATTCACGCCCCTGCTGACTGCACGGGCTACACGTGATGACCCTGCACGAGTCATCGTGACAGGTTCGGTCGCAGGTATCACGCTGGGCAGTTTAGGTGCCAATGCTACCTTCAGTTACTCTGCCTCCAAGGCAGCTGTGATGCATCTGGTCCGAAACTTGGCGGTGGAGCTGGGCCCAAGGCATATCCTGTGCAACGCAATCGCACCAGGGATGTTTCCATCGAAGCTTGCAAATGGGTTGATCGAGATCCAGGGAGGCTTGAAGCACCTGGAAGGCAAGTCGCCCAATCGAAGGCTGGGGCGGCAGGAGGATCTAGCGGGCTTGGTGGTGTTTCTGGCCAGCCGGGCGGGCAGTCATTTGAACGGAGCCGTGATTCCCATCGACGGAGGGGCTCATCTGACAGGGCGACTGTAATTGGTAATTGGGCACAGCGTGGACTCTGGTTGGGATTGAACGTCCATATCTGGCACTCAGGGTCACACAAACCGTTCCAGCTTGGCCGCTGGCAGTAGGCCACGATGTTTTCTGTGCGTCTGGTTGGCCTCTCGTGAAATTTACCACCCGGTGACAGTCACAGCAAGAGACTCTCTCATCTTGGTCGCTGGTTCTCACCCCCAGGGTCCTCATCCTGCAGCTATAAGTACCCCCAATGTCCCCCGCTTTGAATCCAGCATCCGCTCTGTCTTCTCTCTTCTTCTGCTACCCTATATATAAATACTATATCAAGCACGGAAAGCTTCAGGAATGCTCCCCTATATATAGTATAACTAAGACCCGTCCAACGAAGTCTAGCAAGGTGTTCCCCATCCTGCAATACACCCTCAATCCAAACCATACATCTATCACCAAACAGACCTCCTCTTTCCCGGGATCTGCGAGTTCATGGTTGACACAGACTTCAAGACCTAAATGTCGCAATGTTCATCCCGAAACAGACACACTGTGATATTGAGAATGGCGTTCCATGATGGATGGCTGATCACCATGCACGGGACCCGTCTACGGCTTCTGCACGCCTCCCTCAGCAAAAGTTACATGCAAAATCCCGCAGCAATTATATACCATTCGAACAGTGTCTACTGGTTAAGCGGACTGGTCGATTCATTACAAGGTTTTCGTGAGCAGGTCAAGGCTTTGCAAGCCTTGATGAGCTTGCTATGGCTCTTGAACTCCGGGACGTACGGAAGCTGGAAAGAATGAGGACGCCTTGAGGCTCGTCGCCTCTTGAGTTTGTCCACATGGTAAGACTTTCCCGAGTCGTGTATATCTATGATCTTAGCTAATAAATTATGTACTCGCTAGAGAAGACAAGTGTTCATCTTATATAAAGTGATTGCGAGGAATCAAATATAATACGGCTATAGATCTATCATGGTACTCGCCCACGGGCTGGTCCTCATCTGTCTCATTTCTCGCCGCAGAATTGCGTTGACAACGGTACCAAATCGCAGGGCCCAACATGGTGGCGGCAGACGCAGATGAGAGGAACTCTCTCCTGAGCCGGCCTTAGGAGATGGTTTGGAGAACTACAATTCAGCATCATTTTCTCCTCGACAGGCCTCTGAATTGGACTCAAACGACCGCATTGTTGCCTACGGCCTATTGCCTGGAACATATTCAAAAAGAGAGTCCGGCACATTGACCATCAGAGTCGCCGCGGGCATGCAGATCCTTATCCTATATATTACCCACACATAGTGGTATTTTTCTTCCTTTCATGGTCCTGCACGCTGGTGGGGGCAGATCCACAGCCTCGCGTGGGGAAATACAAGGTATACTGGTGGAGGCTATGGCGAGGACACAATGTTGGACGGAATGAAACGATCTGGACATGCTATGGCTTACCGGTGGATCCAGTACGATACAGAGGATGGTGAGAGATTAAGTGCTATATATACTTCTACGAAGGCCATGGTTGCTCTTGTGGATGACACTCATCCTCCGAGTGTGTCAGCTTTCGCTCAGTCTTGAGCTCAACTCAGTCACGGTTCCATGTCGGACTACTAGGACCGACGACCACTGGCGTATGCTTGCCTATCACAAGGCTCTCAGCGCTCATCGGAGACAGCCGAAGAAGATTGTCACCAATCGCAGGCCCTGGCTATTCCATGGATTGGAGAGTGTTTGGCAGACAAGATCGAAGAGATTCTGTGTACAAACCGACTCCACCTGGAAACTCAACCACAACACGCGAAGACCGTATACTCCAAGTTTTCTTGGGTGTCTTGATGTTGGAGTAACACAGGCATCGAAATGGCTGGCCCAAGGGTACAGGTTGTTGACAGACTTAAGGACCAAAGCGCCCATTCTCCAACAACAGCGGGTCGGCGTGGACCACTACTACGGTTTCTCAGCGAAGCTCAGGCTGGTGGTCGGAAAACATGGGAAGAATACATGGAAGGCTATTCAATATGCGGATTCTGTGATGGATGCAGCAGATCTGTTTTTCTCAGAGGCGAAAGAAGCGCCACCTACAATTGGGCACCCGTCGATTGGATCACTGCCGATAAGGGCAACAATGCCCCCTCCCACAGGTTTCTTGTCCCTGGTTCCTCAACCGTCTCGATGACTTCATGGGAAAACAAGATCGCCATACTGAGAGGCTGCGGCTTGTTCGCAAAATCGAGTCTACCAGCTCGCCTCTCGCGACTCCTTGTGTTATTGCGCTCGGCTTGACAAGATATGCGTCATGTCCCCCGATGAAGGAACCAGGCAGTGCATGGGGTGCATTGTTACTCGGCGACGATGCGAACGACAGTTGACAACAAAAGAGAGTGGAACGAATGGATACGCAGAAGAAAAGAGGTAACTCTTACTCTCAGCGAGACTCATGATGAAACATCCGTCCTTGCTTAAAGATTGACTGTATTGCAAGAAAAGTAGCACGTCGGGGTGACACAATCAATAAAGATGAACGGAATCCCCTAACTGTTGAAGATCTGGAGGCAGAGACAAGATCACCTTGAGACTCAGAGCACGGGAAATGAGGATAGGGCTTGATAATGGTTGGCGATACATGCGATGAAGCTTCGATCCAGACGGGCATTCGCTGATGAATGGCATCACAGCGAGCGAGGACAGTAGCAGGTTTCCTATCTTCTAGATCTCGTTACATACCCAAGCCATTCTATTGCCTACACTCAAGCCTTTAAACCAGTATGGATATACTGGTGAGATATTTGTTATACCTTCTATACCAGTAGCTAGAAGGTATATGTCCTTTTTAGTCTATTTGATAATAACCTTGTCACATAACCACATATCCTGTGTGCCATTCAGCTTCATGTATCTTATAGAGGCTCCTAGATCTGAAGTGATTCTCTTTACCTAGGCGCATGTTTTATCTGAGACTTCTATTGATCTGCATAGTAGAACCCTCACGGGGGGAGTCAGTCGGTAACCTCGGTTGCGGCCGGAGCCCTTCTCCGCATTCCCCTTGATAAACCCCAACTCCCAACTCTCCTTTTACTCCCCTCCCCTCCATCTCGAATTCAAGAATCACCATGTCCGACTACCAATCCATCGCCGCCCGCAAACAACAGCACCTGGACTCGCTCATCCCCCCCGAATGGCGTCTGGACGCCTCGCAGATCCCTGCGGGGATGCTCTCCCGCGCTGACTCCATCACGCAGACCTCCTCCTACGAGAGCATCAATGTCACCGCCATCCCCCGAACCTGTGGCCTTCTCACGCCCCCCGAACTCCACATCACCGAAGACTACAACATCCGCGCCCTCCTCGCTGAAATTCACTCCCAACGTCTCACCGCGGAGGAAGTCACTCGCGCTTTCTGCAAGGTCTCTCCCCTCGTTCGCCCCTCTAGTTAACCAAATTACTAACTGCGATCCTTTTTATCCAGCGCGCCGCCATTGCCCACCAACTCACCCGTTGTCTCACCGAACCGCTCTTCACACAAGCGCTCGACCGCGCCCGCACCCTCGACACCCACCTCCAATCCACCTCCCGCCCCATCGGTCCCCTCCACGGCCTCCCCATCTCCATCAAAGACACCTTCCACATCACCAACGTCGACGCCACCAATGGCCTCACCGCCCTGGCCTTCCACCCGGCCACGCGCGATGCCGCCCTCGTGACCCTCCTCCAATCCCTCGGCGCCATCATCATCACCAAAACCAACGTCCCCCAAACAGTCGGCACTCTCGACACCTGCAACCACCTCGTCGGCCGCACCCTCAACCCCCTCAACCGCCGTCTCACCGTCGGCGGCAGCACCGGCGGCGAAGCCGCCCTCCTGGCCCTCTGCGGCTCTATGATCGGCTTCGGCACCGATATCGGTGGCAGCGTGCGCATTCCCCCAATGTGTACGGGCTTGTATGGCTTCAAGCCCAGTCAAGGTCGTCTGCCGTACGGCGGACAGCAGGACGCGGGACATATCCCCGCCAAAGGACGGATCGGGCTACAACCCGTGGCCGGGCCATTGGCGCGGTCAGTGGAGGATATAGGATTCGTGATGGGGGAGATCGTTCCCCGAGCGGAGCTGTTCGGGGAAGATTGTATCCCAGGGACTTGGGGACCAACATCACCCTTATCAAACCCCTCGAAACCGAAATTGAGAGTCGGGGTCCTCCGCTCAGATGGAATCGTGGAACCTCTTCCCCCCATCGCGAAGGTATTGGACGAAGTCGCGCGAATCCTGCGCCGCACGCCGGGCGTAGAAGTCGTGGAGGTTCCCGTTCCTCCAGCCCTGAGCAAATGCCAGGGTCTTGCGAACAAATTGATGGGGATTGACGGCGGCGGGCTCATGATGGATTTGCTTGAGAAAACGGGCGAGCCGCTTACACCCTGGTTGAAGGGCCGGATCGGACGGAGAAAGGAGATCACGGTGTCCGAGCTGGGCCAGCTGCAAATGCAGCGGGCGCAGCTGGAGAGGGCGATGATGCGCATGTGGACGCTAAATGCAGCCGATGAGACGCGACGGATCGATGCGATCATCCATCCCGTGGCACCACATCCGGTCCCTGAAATGGACCGCTACAATGCCATCGGGTATACCTCGTCGTGGGTGCTGTTGGATTATCCGGCGGGGGTGGTGCCCGTGCGGACGTTCCGGGAGGATGATCTCGAGCTGGGGCGGGAGATGACCATCCCTGTGGGAGGGCGCTGGGATGAGGCGAATCGGAAGCTGTGTATGTGTACTCACACCGGCTGAGATATCGAGCTGACTTGAACAATAGGGACCGAGACCACCGTCGACCGACGGGTGTATCTGGATTCGCCGCTGAGCGTGCAGGTCATCACGCCCAAGCAGCATGATTATGACCTCTACCGGGCGATGCAGATCATCGACCAGGCGATTCGATCCGAGTCCACTAAGGGAACAGAAACGGCCAAGCTATAGCCCCCCTTCTTCTCCCCAGGGATCTCTTATGTACATACATGACTATAGATTTGTATCTTCACGGAATAATCTATATACTACAACTCCACAAGCCCACCAAGGTTATCCCATAAGTAATCCACAAATTTGATTAATACCTCGAAACATCCCTCCCAAAAATCCGATTCAGCAACCACCTAAACCCAACCCTCAACTTATTCCTCCAACTAATACTCATAGTCAAATACGCCGAATTCCACACCACCCACGCCATCCTACCCGTCAATCCCTCAGGAAGATACCCCGCTCCCTTCCCGCCCTCCTGATGCGGAATCTGCAGTAACGCCTTCGCATCCCCGAGATACGCAAGTGTACCTAGATTTCGGAACGAGAATGGTGGTGCGGTGTTGATATCATAACTGTTCAGTCTCGCCGCGAGCCATTTCGCTTCTTGGAATGTAGCCTGTGCGGTTGCTGGTGGGGCCCCGGTTTCGGGCATTGCGTTGTCGCCGATGGCGAAGACGTCGTGGAGGGTTGCGGTGGTGGGGGAATCGGAATCAGTTTGGAGTTGAACGCGAAGGTGTCCGTCGACGAGAAGGGCACCGGTTTTAGGGTGCTTTTTGACGTGCCAGGTGGCATTGGAGGGCGGGGTTTGGTCTCCGGAGGAGTTGTTAATGAGCGCGGAATTCGTAGGGAAGGTATCAATGGTTGTAAGGGAGTCTCGGATGAATTTGTTCATGGCGTTTCCGGTGGCCCAGACGCACATTCCAACGCCGACTTCGCCTTCTTCCTTTGTGGAGAGGGTGAGGCAGCGTTTAGGGTCCATTTCGTAGGGCGGACTGGCGCCCGGTTCTCCCCATCGGAGGCTCTGGACGTGGTGGGAGGTTTTGATTTCGATGCCTTCTTTACGCATGGTGTCCATTGCGTATTTGGAGAGTTTTTCGTCGAACATAGAGAGGACTTTGGGGGCGATGTCGTAGAGACTGATTCGGGGGATGCCTTTTAGGGCTGGGTAGAGGGCGATGAGGTCCTTGGTGATGAAGTCTCGTAAGGAAGCAGCGAGTTCGGTTCCTGTTGGGCCGGCACCAACGATGGCGAAGTGGAGGAGGTGGCTTCGGAGTTCAGGGGAGGTAGTGGGTAAGACGGCGAGTTCGAAGCATTCTCTCACTCGACGGCGGACTTTGCGCGCGTCGCCCACGTCTTTGAAGAAGAGCGCATTCTCGCGAACGCCGGGCGTGTTGAAGGTTTTGGAGACCGTGCCGACGGCGATGATGAGCTTGCTATAGGGAATGGTGAAGGATTGGCCGGTTTCCCAGGGGCGTTGGGGAGTGCTGGACTGGGTGGAGTGGGACTGGAATTCTTCCTCTTCGCTGGATCGAGGCGTCTCGGTCACGCCGCTTTTCACGACTGTGGCTTCGCAGGTGATGGTTTTCTCGGTGAAGTTAACGGACCGCGCCGCGGCTTGGATGAAGTCGACTTTTGAGGAGCGGTCGCGGATGGGTTCGACAATGTGAGAGAAGTCGAGGGAGCCACCGGCGGCGTCGGTGAGGAGAGGAGTGAACACGAAGTATGAGCGCGGGGAGATGATGATCGAATTGTATTTGTCTGGGGAGAGTTGGCGGGATAGGTTGTAGCCACCCCAACCGGAGCCGAGGATCACGACGCGTTCTTTCTCATGGTCTTCGCGGAAGGCAGTTGAGTGGCTGATTTGGGTTGCGAGAGATCTGCTGGTGGTGATGAACTTCGTGATTGAAACGAGGAGGCAGGATGATGGGCGCTTGTGAGCAATGGTGTGAGCTGGAATGAGTCTCATTGTGCCATTGATGAGGTAAATCAGCGGGGATCAGTCTGCAGCTGGATCTGAGCTAGAGAGCGAAGGCGTACGGAGTAGATATGCGATGCGAAAGTCTCGGACTCAGGGCTGGTGCTGAGCACATGATGATATCATTTCTCGGCGACGATGGATGGCTCCGGAACGGGAAGTCTGAGAGATAAGGTTCCCCGATATAAAAGTGAAGATTCATTCCTCGGGAGATCTTCATTCTATTGACCTCCTCTCACCCGTCACATACCGTAGAATCATGAACCAAGATCCACATGCGCAGCATGGTGTTGAAGTGTCCGGTTCTGCCCGACCAGCACATGAAAGACACCTGATCGGAAGGATAGCGTTTGTTCGCTGAGGCAGCCACCCCAAGTCATTGTGGTTTCCTGGCTTTGTCTCAGCCCGGATCTCTGGCTGGTGAACTCATTTGCTCCGGGGTTATCCGGTAGCCGTATATGTCGTGTCCCCGAGGGAGACTATCGGGATCGATAAGGCACATGCCAGGCAATCGGATTGAGATGGATGAGACATGTGTGCGTGCATGTGGGATGGAAAGGGATGGGAGTTGGTGGTGGATGATGGAGAGAGGGGAGAGGGGAGAGGGGAGCTGTGAAGTGAGAGAGAGAGAGAGAGAGAGAGAGGAAGGAGAGGCATCGTCATGTGATTGATGTGAGGGATGGAGAGGGGGTCCTCAACTCACCAACCTCATCCTAGGGAGCAGGAGACTAATAGGATTAATATAGGAGCAAGACTGCTATCCAATTACGTCAACCACCCGTGTGGCATGATCAGACAACATCTATCTATCGTATACCTTACATGTCATAATCATCAGTCGTTTTGGTCATCATCAATAAAAATCATCTCGTCGGGACACCACCGTCCCTCGCGTCGACACAGGCAGCAGGCTGCCCGCAAAGTCCGTGTCCAAGCTCTTCCGAGATCGCCTGGTACTGAGAATCTTTTCGATCTCGAACGCCGTCGGCCTCGGACTCCCTTGCACGCCAGGGGAGTCTGCCGGCCTCTTCCGCGTCATCCACCGGCGTATCCGCCGCATGCCCTCCTGACATCCGTCTCCAATGTCATCGACAGACAAAGCAACCAAGATCAATGGAATAGAGATGGCAAAGCCGATGCCAAAAGTGTACTTGGCCACGTACGGCAGATGCAGCAGCTCAGACCCGTCTGACCCCTGAAACTCGGCCAGATTGATCGCAAAGACAGACGTGATGAAAGACAGCGGAAGGAAGACGATCGTGACGATGGTAAAGACCATCATGATCTTACCCTGGCGCGTCGTCCCGGCAGCTTGATCGCGGGCGAACCGCGCCTCAAACGCATTGGCGTGCTTCTGCTTGAGATCCAGCAGGTCGGTGATTGAAGAATAGATCCGTTCCGCTTGTTTATCCATCCGGTCGATATCCTTGAGGTGCATGTCGATCGTGCGCTGCTGCTCCTTGAACCGCTTCTTGACTTCGTACTGCGAGCGCTGTTGTCCGTAGTAAATCTCGCAGATGGCCTCCTGAAAATCTAGGAGGACATTCTGCTGATGCTGCAAGACGGTCCGGATCATGTTGAGTTCGTCGCGGATATCCTTCGCCTCGGAAAGGAGTTCGGTTTCTTGGCCAATATCGAGCAGGTTGTCCACGAAGAGGGGCTGCTCGTCCTCTTCCTCATCCTCCTTTAGAATCCGCTCAATGCTACTCTCTATTGTATTATCCTTAGTGGGCGGATTCTTGGCAAAGCGGCTAAGCTTGCGGCGGTTCTTGAGCCAGTCTGATGCCTGCGCGGATGCCCGGTTGAAGCGGTTGAAGAGCACGGTCTCACGGTCTGTAGCCACACCGATAGAGGCCTCAAACATGTCCAAAAACTGGTACTCCTCATCACCCATGCGGTGGCGGTCGAAGACACCGGAGCAGCGGGCGGTAATGATGATGGCCAGGTCGTAGACGGACCGCACCGGCTCTCTGGTCTTGGAATTGATATCTTCAATGATGCCATCTAGGACATTAAGAGGGTCGTTTTTCGGTTGGTCCCACCGTTGAGGAAACCCGGTGACGATCAGATTCGTCCCAATGATCCACATCCAGAGCTGATCGACCATGAAGATCTTGGGCTCAGCCCAGAAACGTTCACGACCTTGTCCCTGGGTCTGGTAGCGAAAGACGACCTGGTCCTGGTCTCGAGTCTGCGTATCAATGTTGGGGTAGAAAAACTGATCCAAGGTTCGTCGGATATGCAGCGAAGACATCGACGACGCGAGGTGCGCGCTAATAAGAAGCTCGTCTCTTGTGGCTGTTCGGGTGAGGCCTGGACGGCCCAGATTGCGCGTCTCGGCCCGTTTAATGGCTTCCTGCATCTGCTTCCGCCGTTCGTCAGTTTCGAAATGCAAGTAAGGCATGAACATGCACACGTTGCAGGTCGTGTTCGCCTGATCTTTGCCCAGGGAGAGCAATGGTCGATGCTTGTCCTGAGCGGGAAGTGAGTGGTTCCTGGACTCAGGCTTCGCCAATGCCCCAATCTTTCCACGCCTGGTGGTGCTCTTTGCCTTCTTCCCATGAGGGCCATTCATGCTATCATCATGCGAATGAGTATCTGGCCGATCGCCTTTGCTGCCCTGTGATTTCTGTTTCCGCCCCCTTTGGCTGCTTCCATCTCCTGGAGACTTTGGGGTTTCCAGAGATTGCCCGTTAAGAAGGATCTGGGGGGATACCATCTCCTTTTCCTCCGAACTATCCTCATGGATCCGTGCTGCACGAGGTGTGCTCTGGCACAACGGTCGCATAAAGTGCGAATGAGTCCTTTGCCCGCGATGCTGGTACCTAAATGATCTCTCGAGCCCTTTGAAGCTCTCCACATCGTGGGCCCCCTCCTCGATAAACGATTTGGTGAGCAAGGCTTCGACCCAGGTCAGGTTATTTGCAGGCAGATGAATCCAGCGAAAATCGGTCGCCCGACTATCGGCTGGCAAGGTGTTGAAGGCTTGCTTTCGCGGGTTTTCGGAATCGCGACCATACAGAAGGTTGTAGACGGATGTCTTCTTCACCCGGTTCTCGTTGTGGAAGTTTCCAAAGTCCACCACGGTAGCCTCGAACCCTTCGCACGCACCCTTTGCTTCCGGCGTGAGTGCATCCACGTTGTTAAATGGAGCGAGAAGAGAGACAATGTCCTTGCGCTTGAATTGGGCCGCTCGCAGGAACGGCGTGCTGCCGAAATTGTCGCGGATCCTCCGTTTCAGGTCTTTCTGCTCCATCAAGCATTCGACCACCTCCTTATGGCCCGCCTGCGCAGCCAGATGCAGCGGCGTCACTCCGTTCAACAGCTGGCTGTTGACCTGGGCCCCAGCCCGCAAGAGGATCCGCACGATCAACTCAGCTCCCTTGTCACACGCGTTGTGGAGCGGCGTCCAGCCTCCGTCACTCCTTGAGTTGACATCTGCCTTATGTCGGAGCAAGAGCTGAACGATATCATCGCGGCCATGGGCCACAGCCATATGGAGCGATGTCTTATTCCTGATGTCGACTGCGTTCACATCCACGATGGGTCCCTGCGGTCGAGCCAGAAGCAGCTCGGCGAAGCGTAATTTCCCCGTCGCACAGGCCCAATGCAAAGGGGTACGACCCAATTCATCCTGGCCAGACACACCGTCAAGCTTGCAGCTGGTGCGGAGCAAAAGCTCGATAACATCCTCGCCCCAGTCACACTGCTTATCCGCCGCCAGATTGTGCAACACATTCCTCTTCTTCTGGTCCTTCGCATTGACATCCGCACCACGCGCAATGAGCAGCTGGAGCACATGCCAGTGATTCTTCCATGCTGCCGTCATCAACGCCGTCCGACCTTTCTTATCCGCGATCTCTGGCGAAGCCCCATAATCCAGCAGGAGTTGCGCGATGCGAACGTGGTTGCGCTCCACGGCGCGTAGTAGCGGTGAGGGACGATTATTCGCAACATCGGTCTTTGCCCCTAGAGCCAGGAGAAATTGAGTCGCAGCGATCGATCCCCGCTCACAGCTGCGCATGAGGCCGACGCGCAGGAAATTCTCGCTGAATTGGCCATTCTCGCGCGCCAGTTCGATCACCTGCTGCAGAGCCTCAACATGGTCGCTTTCTGCTGCCCGCAGCAGCCGCGGCTCCAGGCGGTCGTGCCCGTCGCTCGCGATACTCGATCGTGACCTGGACATTGATAGAACGACAGGGCCTGAAGGCTTCCTGCTATCTACATTTCCTAACCCCCGAAGCTTGGGTTTGAGATGAGTGGGATGGAAAAGGCAAGAATTTTGCTGGGGCCCGAAATGGCCAGCCGCTAGTTAGTGGTACAAATCGTTGACGGGGTGTCAGACGGAATACGAGGCCGATCAAGTACGCCAGCCAATTTTAAGCGCCGTCTGGAGAAGCCTAAGCCTGGCCGGCTCCACCGCGGGCTGTCACCGGGTTCGGCGCTTCTCACTGGCTGTTTTCATTGCTCCCAGGTTATGCTCCACCCGTGAGGCTGGGAACCGGGATGTTAAGACAAGCAATGCTTCGTGCATGGCACGGCGGTAACATACAGTTGTCGGCGCTTCGTCTATCAGTCTGGTTGACTAGAAGGGGCTCGAGTATCGTTCACAGTCAGCGCTAAGATGACGCTAGTACCAGCATCAAACTTTCATACTTGGACCTGGATCAGAAAGGTAGGCGCTTGCCATTAGTGCAGGGTTCGGTGAGTTTCGAGTCGATTGCTTACTTTCACCAAGTTAAATCCAGGGTCGAAATCACTCATAGAGGTAAGAAAGTCAAGGAAAAGATCCTTGGGGAGGCTTTCTATCACCTGGAGCACAGCATATGTTGATGCGGGTTATTTCACCTACCAGCCCACGGGGTCGACTATCAACTGAAGCCAAACAATATCTATAGATGCACTAACGAAACTCTAGAACCACAAAAAAATCTACAACTGTACATGACCCCTCAAACACAAACAATCCCCGTAAATGCCCTCCCCTCCTCCTCATACAACCTCACCTTCTCCCTCCTATCCCGATTCCACCGATACACACACCCCCCCAAATCCGTCAAATAGAAATCCCCCGTTTCCCGATCACAACACACCCCAATCGCCTCCTTCAAATTCCTCACCAACACCTCCACTTTCGCACCCCGCACAGGCACCCCCTCCGCATCCAATTTCACCCGATTCAACGAATTCCCCAACGGCAATTCCCCCCGATCCGTCCAGTACAGCTCCCCTCTCGCCTCGTCGACCTCGAGATCAATCGGCTCGGGTAATCCATCCAGGATGCATTGGCCCCCTTCTTCGCCCTCAATAGGGTGTGCCGTGTCAAGACTCGCGCAGAAGATCCGTCCCTGGCCGCTCTTCGACGCGCCCTTTTGCGTCCAGTAGAATTTGTTCCAGCGCGGGGAGACGGCGATGCCGACGCACCAGTTCCGGGCGTTGGATGTTGGTGTCCCGTTTTCGGCTGTTTCTTTGGGATTGTGGCGAGAGACAAGACATGTCAGGTCCGTGCCGTCGAGGTTACAGCGGTACACGGCGCATCCTTCCCGGTCACAGAAGTAGAGCTTCTGGGTCGTGGGGTCGAGGGTGATTTGTTTCGGGGTGTTCAGGGTGCCTTTTGGGAGGAGGGAACGGATGTCTTTCCCATCCAGGGTGGAGGAGTAGATGGCGCCGTCGGGGTGGGCGGGGATGCCCATGCAGGTCCAGTAGATGCGGTTGGTGGTACGGGAGTAGGTGATGCCGTCGGGGAGGAGTTGGTTGGAGAGGATGGTTTGCAATTGGGTGTTGTTTGGGGTGAAGGTGGGGGTGGGGGTTAGGGAGAGGATGTGGCCGGCTGGGGTGGAGATGGAGGTAGCGGCGGTTGAGGATGCGAGGCCGATGTCGAGGATGAGGAGGCGCTTGTTGCTGTTGATGCTGGTGTTGTTGTTGGTAATGGCAGGGGGATAGAGGCCGCCGAGGGGGCATTTGGAGCCGAGTTTGCCGTGGTCGAGGTAGTTCGCTGTTAGATAGTCGACGGTTTTGTCGGCGGGGAGACCACGTTCGTGGATGTAGTGCTGTTCGATGAATGCGACGGTATCGAGGCCGACGTCTGATGGAGAGGGTGGTTAGAGGGAGGTGGATGGAAGTAGGTAGGTATGTGTGTACGTACTGTCCATCATCTCACAAGGCTTCACCCGACCAGTAATGAACATCTCTTCCCACATGGCATCAATCTCTTTCGGGACAGACACCCCCTCAGAGAGAATCGTCAAAACCTCGCGTTTGACTGCCGCCCAGAGCCGATTAAAGATGAAGCCCGTGGACTCCTTCCTCGCCACGTACGGCGAAGTCGCACCCTCACGACATCTCTCCACCAGGAACGGGAAGATATCCTCACAGGTGAACCCATCCGTCATCAACTCAACGAGCATGCACTGCGGAGGCATGTAGTAATGCATATTGAGGATGCGAGATTTGACGGTCTCGGGCACCCGCTCGAGCATTTCGGACGTCTTGTAGGACGAGGAGTTGGAGGCGAGGATGCTGTCCGTCGGGGCGAGAGTTGATAGTTCGGCGAAGGTGGTGATCTTGAGGGGGAGTTTCTCCGGGACCGCCTCGATGATCAGCCAGGCGGTTGAGACGGCCTCCTTCAGGTCCGTGAAGGAGTGGGCGGTGCCTGGAGACCGGCCGGTTTTGGTGGCGTAGGCGGCTACGTTTTCCTGGATGTAGGCGATGCCGGCGGAGAGTTGATCGGGGTTGGGATCGCGGAGGTGGACAGTGTATCCTGCTGAGGCCCAGATGCAGCCTACGATGGAAGAATTAGTCTTCGTCCCTCATACCGAGTAAGCTGGAGGAAGACTGAGAACAAACCTATGCGTCGTCCAAGCACTCCTGCGCCCAGAACCGCAACCGGACGGTTCTGGTAGTCGTGTGGTGGGGACCAGGTTGGACGCATTGTGAGTCTATAGAACACAGAAGAGTAGATGCAAGTCTAGATGCTGGTGATGTTGATATTGATCCTTTCTCAGTTGCAATAGACGAGACAACCTCGCCAGCAACAGCCAATATATACGGCCCTGACCCTGATCGCCCTTGCAGTGATCGCCTGAGCTTGTTGATCCATGGTTCGAAGTGTATTCTCCGAGTATCCGCGGCTCATCAAGACGTTGAAGTCCCTCGCTCTTCTATAAACAATCGATATCGGGATGCAGAAGCCGCGGGAGCGGGATAGACAGACCCACCGGGGCAATCAATCCCTCGGGATGTCTGGCATCGGGTCAGGCTGCCGCGTCAGCGTGTCTAGACTCTATCTATAGAGCTCGAGACTATAGAGTATGACGTCCAGTGGGCCTCGATGTGGTTGTCGTTATTAATAACGGTTTCATCAGGGGTGGCACTGATTCAGATACAGCCCCACTCGGCCAAAATCCCGGTCGGGTTATCGCCTTGCGTGTGAGGAACGTTGGATAGGGTAGCGAAGTCTCAGGGATTCTTGTTGAAATGTTCATAGGGATCGCTGCGTGAATGCGGTTGTCTAAGAAGGCCTGTGGATTGGGAGATCTCTACGATGTGTGGTTTAGCATTGAAGGTAGTCTGACTTTTTGTTCGTTAGCAGTCAAGTTGTATGCAAATTCGACCCGTGGCATTGACTGGAGACCGGAGTGGTATTTGTACAATACTATCGTAAAAAGAAAGCGAAAATGCACGTGCTCTTGATTTAATCTATTGCAAGTTCTTATGTACAAATCCAGTATCTGCCCAAGTCTATTTATCAATTTCATTGATCCTTCATACCATGCATAGACTGTAGTAACAGCTCTCGATTACACTCTATTTGACACCCCTCCGTTGCTCGTCTTGGCCGGCCACTTCACCCTTCGCTCAGCCCGCACATACAGGTTGTTGGGCCGGATCAGTTGGAACATCGGATCATACTCAATCGGCCCATTGCCTTCCCGGCTGAAGTGATAGCGGTAGATCAACTTCGGAAGAAAGACCTTGATCTCCTGCAGGGCAAAGTTGAATCCAATGCACATACGCGGGCCCATTGCAAAGGGGATATATGCTGCCTTATGCCGTGCCTTCACCTCGGGGGTGTCCCATCGGTCGGGGTTGAAGCGAGTAGGGTTATCCCAGAGGTTGGGATTGTTGTGGATGTGGTGGAGCGCGGGAATGATGACTGCATCCTTGGGGATTTTGTAACCTCCAGGAAGGACGAGATCGACTTTCGCGGTTCGACCCGGCTGGAATGAGGGGTTGTGTCGCCGTTGCATCTCCTTGATGTATTTATCTTGGAAGAGCAGCTTCTCGGTCAATTCAGCGGTGAGCTCGGTGTCTTCAGTGATGTCGTTGTCGACCAGTTCCTGGAGCAACCGCTCCTGCATCCCCGGGTAGGTGACGAGGCCGTAGATTAGCCAGGAAAGGAGAGAACTGGTCGTCGTGAATCCAGCCGCTGTTGCGACTACGAGAGCCCAAACGAGACTTGACTTGGGCAGTTTTTCACCCTTGTTGTCGGTGGCTCGAAGAGCGTAATCTAGATGCCAGGCATTTGATTAGTGATTGCTCTATGCATGAGATCAAAGGGCCATGACATGACCTTCAACTCACCGACCATGTTAGAAGACAGCAGCGCTGCATCTTGCAAAGGCAAATCGCTAATTCCAGCCCGTTCTGCGTTTTGAATGGATTCATCTACCATTTCCTCGATTCTTGCTTTCAGGTTCCTCAACCGCTGTGGATCCCCAAATGGTAACATGCCGTACCAGTCGCCTTTCGATGTGACTTTCTTGTTGAGGGAAAGCATTTCCGCAATGGAGTGGACCATCTCATGCACCGGCGCATCAGGTGAAGTAAAGTGCTTGAAATCAATCCCAAGCGTGAGCTCGCCCACTGCCTGTGAGCCTAGCTTCAGCATATACTGGTAGACGTTCCACGCCTCCTCTTGTTCATCTAAAGCGTCAAACACCCTGAACGAGTCCTCCACAGCTCTCTGCATAGTCGGGGCATAGTGGCGTACTGCCTTGGGACCCAAAGCAGGAGGCAAGAATTTGTGAGCCGCCTTCCACTCCGGGGTATCCGTGTCCCCGAGAAAGACACCTGCGGAAGGGGTTTTCAGCGCAGAGAGGGGGTGAGCGTCACTGATTATTTTCGAGAAGAAGTCCGACTCGGCAAATACGATGGCCGATATCTGCGGATCGTTTGTCTGGTATGTCGTACGGCCCAGATTTGTTGTTTTGAAGATCGGTCCATACTGGTCGAAGAGCCGCTGGTGATTGCCAAGATGATCGGGATACACCTCGAAATGGTTCCCTACAAAGGGTAGGCCTCTGGGGCCCCCGGGCTCCCGTACGGCATGTCCATCGATTGAAATTGCTACAGGTCCTTTCGCAGCAAGGACGTCAGAGACATCCGACAGACAGTCATTCTCGGTTTGGAACCCGATCCCTGCGCTGTGTCAGTGTGTTCCCAAACAAAGAAAGAGTTTAGGTATCTAACCGCTTGGATCGACAATGGCAAAGTAAGCTGCCACGAGTTGTTTGAGTTGGTCTAAATCTAGAGTCGCCTCGATGGTGATGTCCTTCGCGGACGCCACCGATTCACCTAGAAGATAGAATTGCTGGTTTGACATGATGTGCCCGTTCAATGTGTACTGTGAGGCCTTCGCAGAAACCTTACGGCACGAACCGCACATCCTTTATATTGCCTAATGGGTCTGTTAGCCTCCTGTTTCAATTAGTAGTGTTAAATTAATTGAGTGGGTAGAGATGCCGCGGATCAAACGGTTCCCGCGGAAGTGTCAGCCATAGCGGGCTTCCCGCGGCATGAAATGCTCCGAATCCACCTCAATCGGATCGTCCTAGCCGATGCAGTGACAGAAGGACAAATAACAATTTTTGGCGCGTTTCTCATTCGTGGTTGAGGATCGTGTATTCTAGCGCTGTATAAAGGGAGGCAACACGCATCATGTCCTTCCTTTTTCCAGTTTTCTAATTCAAGTAGGATTGAACGCATCTCACATCTGGTCCACTCTGTGCAGTCCTAGCAACAAGTGATTGTCCACGATGTCAGCCATACTTGAATACACAACAGAAGAGGTGGCTGCTCACAGTACCAGGGACGACTTGTGGGTTATAATCAATGGAAAAGGTATGCTGCCGATAGCCCTCAGCCTTTGTATGCTTAGCGTTCGAGCCCTGACACTTCTAAGTATATGATGTTACCAAATACGTTAGAGACCACCCGGGAGGACCTGATGTTCTGATTGACGTTGCTGGGGTCGATGCCACGGAAGGTTATGAGGATGTTGGGCATTCAGAGGTAGGCTTGAGAGTTCCATGACAGATCAGGCGGCTGACTGAAACCTGAAACATCCGCAGGATGCAGATGAGATCCTACAAGCATTCCTGATCGGGACGCTGAAAGATGCACGCGAGCGCACCCGCCCTAAGTCTGTCCAGTTGATTCAACCTACGACTCCTTCACCTCCTGTGGCTCCCGCAAGGACCAAAGGCTCTGCTCGATCTGCAGCACTCGCCACAGTCTCGATTGGCAGTGTGGCGCTCTCATTGTATTTCTCCTGCCGCAGCTATCCCTCCTTGCCTGCATCATGGCCAAGCTTCACTGGGGTTCAGGGCTCCTGGAGATCCCTCATTCGATCACCACAGACATCGTTCGCATTTGGTGGATTCTATACTGGGTTTGCTGCTGCCACTGCGATCTCCTCGGCCGTTGGGGTAATTGTTGGGTCCAAATTATCGCAGATGACGCAGATCCAGTCAGGATTCACGCAATACCCGCCTCATGTAAAGCGCCGCAAGGTCATCCGATGCAATCCGCATCTCGTCAAAGGGTTCCTCGATCCCAAGGAATATAAGAGCCTGCCACTTATTCGAAAGGACACCCTCTCCCCAAATGTGTTCAAATTCGTGTTCCAGCTTCCCAGCCCACAGGACGTGGTCGGGCTTCCAATCGGTCAGCATGTGGCAATCAAAGCCAATGTCAACGGAACGACAGTCTCTAGATCATACACACCCACATCAAACAATCTGGACAAGGGCGTTTTAGAGCTGGTCATCAAGTGCTATCCTGATGGGATGCTGACGGGCCAACATCTTGCAAATCTAAATCCTGGAGATACGATTCAGCTCCGTGGGCCTAAGGGTGCAATGAAGTACACCAAAGGACTCTGCAAGAAGATTGGCATGATTGCCGGAGGCACTGGGATCACGCCAATGTATCAGCTTATCAGAGCAATCTGCGAGGATGATACTGATCTCACAGAAATCAGCTTGATCTACGCCAATCGAACCGAGGAGGATATCCTTCTGCGACGTGAGCTCGACGCGTTCGCTCAAAGACATCCTCAGCTCAGAATCTGGTATATGCTGGATAGCCCGGCTCACGACTGGCCCTTTGGAAAGGGATACGTCACTTCAGACATCATGAGAGACAAGCTCCCTGGCCCGTCTTTTGATACAAAAATCATGCTTTGCGGACCTCCGGGGATGGTTAACGCTTCGAAGAAAGCCTTGGCGTCCATGGGATTTCAAGCACCCGGTGCCGTTGCAAAGATGTCTGATCAAGTTTTCTGCTTTTGAGCCAAGCTGTCATGTCATTAGTAATAGCTGGGCATGTAAAATAAATAGACAGAGCCGAGTCCTGTCAAATCATTCTTAGCGCCTCCTGTTCAGTCATTCAGTACCTCCAGAATCTTTCATATAGAAACAATCATTATTCTACCGGCGTTTACGAGGATCCAAAGTGTAAAAAGGACCATATCCTATCGTATATCGCCTGTTCAACAAATATCCAGTGGAGGATATTAGACCTATCTGCGTGACTGGCCAACCGGATTCTTAATCGTGGCATGAGAAAGGAGACTGGAATGGGAGTTGGTGAAGGACTCGTCCTCTCAATTGCGTCTCCTCCCTGAGTGATTAGTCATGCGCGCGTGAATTCCTCCTAGTTAACTAACTAGTTAACTCAGGCATTATTCAGGCACGCACTATTTACCGAGGTAGGCCCCCTCGCCACGGTCTTTCCGTCTCTTCCCCGCGGCATCCTTTATCAGTCTCCGGGCATCCCTGACACCGATCAGCAAAAAAAGCAAAGCGAATCAGATCAAAGCCAAACGATCCTTGGTGCTCGGCCAAGGATGTCGGCTCGCCGATATCGATCTACTGTGGCATGTCATTCCTGCCGCCAACGCAAGGTTCGGTGTAGCCTCAACGTCACCGGCGTGCCGTGTATCCGCTGTGCCCAGGACCATGCAGATTGCGTGGTAGATGCGCGAAATGAAAGGTGAGAAATGGTATCGAAGCCCTCTAACTATCGTTGCTAAATTGAGTCAGGGTCCGAAATTCTCGGCGTCATGTCCCGACAAGACAGCGCCCTAGTCCGTCCAATAGCCCGTCCAACCGTGTCGGCGTATATCCTGGAGGTGGTAACATAGTTCATCCATCGCCTCGAACTGAAACAAGTCCGAGGCCAGCGCTCCACCGCGAATCAGCTGAATTACCGGTAGTGACTGGATCCAGGAACTCGGAATCTGGCGAGCGATTTACCATCCAGGATGAGGAGCGCAATGGACTTGAAATCGCAGAAGCAGCTTTGGGGAATCCCGAACGAGCTGGACAGGTCCCCTTCTACACTGGTGAGTATTTCTCTTTTGTTTTCTGTACCTCCATGGCAATGTCTGGCTTGTATTGATGACATGTAATTTTTAGGGGATAAAACGGGGATCACATCGACCCTGACACTCTGCACTCCTGGGGAGTCTCTACCCCGGCATCTCCTAATTCCATCGCATGCCCCAACATCCCTGTTGGAAGAAGACCGAGCCTATCTCACAAGTAAAGGTGTCTTCAGCTTGCCGGGCGAAGAAGCCTGCAACAGCCTCCTTCAGGCTTACTTCTGTCATGTGCACCCAATCATGCCTGTCATTGAGGCTGACCACATCTTGCACTTCTTCCGCACCGGCCGCCTCCGCGAGTATAACCTACTACTAGTGTGGAGTGTTTTCTTTGTTGCGGTCAATGTAGGTTTTTGTGATGAACGGGAATGTGGATCTCAGCTAATCCCTTCAGTTTGTCCCATACAATATCTGTGAACTGGAAGGTTATGAATCCCGGAAGACGATGAAAGCAGCTATGTACTCCCGTGCGAAGGTGAGCTATCCCTCTTCACACCATAGGTGAATTGCTGCCATGAGTGGTAAGGACGCCATTTTATCATTTGGCCAAAGATCCACACTCATGAGCCATCAGAATCAGCATGACACTCATTAGGTAGTGTCAGATTCTAAGGGAGCCGACTGGGACATCTCTGGCCCATTGCCTATCTAGTCTTGTTCAATGAAGTCAGATGCAACATCTAACTACTATGAGCAGTGCATGTACGATAATGGCGGAGAACGCAATAAGATTGTTCTCCTTCAGGCCTCACTCCTGCTAGGCTTCTGGCACTCGGAGGTGGACGAGCATGGCCAGCCCTGGTATTGGACTGGCCTATCTGTTACCCTTTGCCAGATTCTCGGTCTACACCGTGATCCCGATGCAGCCCGCTACAATACCTCCATAAGTGACCGTCAGCGACACCTCTGGCGTCGTCTTTGGTGGACCTGCTTTTTCCGTGACCGCTGGCTGAGCCTCACTCTCGGACGACCTCTGCGCATTGACCTCGATGACTGCGATGTACCGATGCCGTCAGTGGCAGACATGCTCAGCGATTTACCAGATGTCTCGGAGCCTATAGTCGCCACGTTTATCCCTCATGATCTCCCTCTTCTAGCTGAGTATTGGGTCCGATTGATAGAGATGAGCAGGCTTCTCGGGGCGGTCCTGACTATGAACTACAAAACCATTCGTCCCAAATCCTCCATGGGTCGGGTGGAGGCACTTGAGGCCGACATTCTTCGCTGTGGTCCACCTGACCGGCACGACACTGGACTTAGTCGTCCGGCGCGGTTCTATCTCTATCATTTGCAATTACATTACCAGTCAGTCCGACAAGACATCAGCCCGCTATCTTGAACTGGACCCAAACTAATACCGCATAGGGCAATTCTCATCGTCTTCTACCGCCCTTTTACAACGGAAACACCGGACGATGTCTCTCCAGCCAGTCAAAAGCAATGGCAGCAGACAATTCGTCATAAAGTCGACTCTGCGGCCTCGCGTACAAACGACATACTTGATGTTCTCGCTGAGGAGAATCTACTTGAGTATGCCCTGCCAATGACGTGAGCAATCCCAACACCGAGCAAGCGTTTCATGAGCTAAGATTCCCTAGTCCCCCACTCCTTATCCCTGCCATGCAGATACACCTTCTAAACTGTCGATCCGGCAGTCCACTGGCGCGCCGTCTCCGGCTCAGCAAGCTCAATGTATGCATGATGGTCATGGAAGAATTCCAGAGAGTCTACACTGTGGCTTCAATATACCGTGTGATCTTTGCAAAAGGCATTCAGCAGATATGTCCCGAAGAGGCCGCCGAGACCACGAGTGCTTCAGCTTCCGTGGCTGTCCCTACGGCAGCACCCGCACCAGCTTTGCCCAACGTTGTAGCCCCTATGATGTCTCACGAGGCAGAATTGGGGATGGAAATGGACGGTATGGTCGATGCTCTCCTGGATGGATCGTCGGCCTTGAATTTCTGGGAGACCTGGGGTCAGTTGTGGGAGTAGGTAACCAACAATACGCACATAGAAATGTCTAAAACGTGGGTATTCTTCTAATAGCATACTATCTTAGTATATGGGTGGAAGCATTTGGCATCCCGTATAGTTCGATGGTGAATTCGTGCCCCTGTCGCACAAGTGACTGTTATTCGCCGTTGCCCCACTGGCAAATAGCAAGGAACATGTAAGCCTCTAGTCCTACAGCCACCGCCACAGCAGAGTGGAAGGGCAGAAACAACGATCGCCTGAATTCTGCGGCTCGACATGGAGAGAAGGCATGTGACCGCTGGGTTCCTTCAAGGGCGCCGGCCCGTCACAACCCGTCTAGAAGCCATCAATGCCCGGTCATTCTCAAACAGTGTCTTGGGGAAAGCAAACTTACACAATATGATAGCCATGCAGCCTTCGATTTCTCAAATCTCCCCTGACACCCACCAAGAACACCTCCGTCTCCTCGCGCCCCCACCCAAGCACCTCGACCAGCAAGCCCAGAGCATACGGGGAGAGAGCCTCCATATACTGAAAGTTCTGAAACCGGCCAATCTCCTTGAGCTCCGGGTCTTTCGGCCAGCTATTCATGGGTAATCGGAAGAGACGTTCTTCTATATCTACAAATCCGGCCGCCTCCATCCACCCTCTTACGTGCGCCGGGGCAGTCAAGGTTTGGCCGAGGCGTGCGCATGCTTGGATGCACTCGTTCTCCCAGATTCGAAGGCTAGAGGTCTCGGGGATGGTATCGTCATCGCAGGTGGCTGTGAAATCGGTATCCTTTACTTCAAGGTAGCCGCCTGGCGTCAGGTGGCTTGCAATTTGGTCAGTCGCTCATTGTGGTTTGTGCTGGTCGTTACGAGCACGTACTCATAGGCTTGTTTGAAGAGACGAGGCCAGTCGCGGATTGCTCCATTTAGGCCCTGCATGTGGATCAGGTCGAATTGGCTACTATAGCTCCACTCGAGTTCTGCGTCGTCGATGATGAAGCTTAGGTTTGGTGGTACCCTGAACGGTGGTCAGCCTATAAGAGCAAGTTCAAGGGTCCCCATCGTGGCTTTGGAAGATGGAACAAACCATGAGGGTTGATGAGCTGATATGTCCGTTCCTACGATCACGGATCGTTTAGCTCTTTCTCGGATCGGTTTTCGCAGGAGTCATCAATGCGTACCCGTGACATGTGCGCTCGGATACATCCTTCCGTTTCATCAGCCTGGCTGTCGTCCATCGGGGAGAACAAGTGGGAGACAACTTACGTTGCCACATCGATTGCCCAAGTGCCTGTTCCTGTCCCGACATCCAGAATCCGCTGTGGGGTAGGGATAGGCGCGAACACCAGCCGGCCCCCAAAGAGCATCCCGAAGATGTGTTGCAACAGGTCAATACGGTCACACTCAGACTGATGGTTTATATTAGATGTGACGATCATCAACAGGTGCACACTCACCTCGTCATTCGGCAACACATATCGGCCAGACCCATAAACGGCATAGCGACGACCATTTCGGTACTCATATGCAAGCACACTCGATGTCAACGATTGCAGGGAATCCCTGTGGCGGTTAACGGACTAGGAACCCCATGTCCCCGGGGAGGAAGGGTTCGGTTGCTACTATGCTTACGTGTCGGGGTCGCGCAGGTCGCTAATCCACAAAGCATCGTCGGAGTTCGGCTAGGCAGAGAACCGTCACTGATCGGCAGGAGTCAACAGGGCGTCGACGATGGAGTTTATCTTACATCAGGTTCGATGTGGATCGACTGAGCTGGGGTAGACGCCATATCCATTCAACCGGGGGGTCGGCAACACTTCAGGCATGAGCGACGGCAGGGGATTTATGCCGACACTGGACGGTTGGTCCATCGGCGCTAGTTGACGGTAAGCACTAGAACGGTGACGGTATCACGCCGTCGTCAACTAGCTGACCGTTTTTTCTCCATCCATGAATTACCGATTGGCTTGGAATTAGATAGGTCACAATGTATGCTGTCATCAAGAATATCAGGTCCTCTATCGTCTAGCCTGATCCATGCTTTGCTCCGTTAGCAGATGTTGCTATGAGACAACCGAGTTGATGCGTTGAGCAGGGTTTTTTCAAATGATACGTGCATTGGTATCATTCACCATTTTTCTCAATATTCTTCCATGACAAGCAAGCGCCCCATACCCCGATCGTTCAGGTATCTCCTCGCTGAAGGATTGACAAGCGTAGCCACGATGGTATTATACCTCGGCCAATTGCCCGATAGGGAAGGACTTCAACATCGGACTTCAATTCCGCGCTTCCTCATCTCTACACTACACCTTTGACTCGGGTACGCCAACATTCATGTACTGTGTACACTTGAACCAAGACGCGGCCAATCTCATCGAACAGATCCATATCTTCGATAAACAAACACCCACATGAAACAACTCATCACCAATGGGACCTACAGCATGCAATTAGCCCTATTTCCTCGGACCATCTCCGTAGAGAATGCATTACTTTTATCCCCGCCAAACAATGCACAAGCCTTTATTCACAATCCGGTACTATTTATCTGTCTATCTACATAGAAATTCTGTATCCGTACTACCTAGTACGTATCTAGTTGCTACGTACTCCATACTATCCCTAGATACATACATACCTCACCCCGTAATCAACAATAAACTAACCCCACCTAGCAACCACAACACCCTCCTCCACTTGCCCTATCTACTTACTACCTACTGCCTACACCGTAGATCTGTCACATTTTCATCCGTCTCCCAACCCGACCTTTTCACTTCTCTTTATTTCTTAGGACTCATCTACTTTTTCTGTTTTCTTTTTCTTTTTTTCGTGTTCAGGAACAAGTAACAGGCAACATTCATTCATTACCAAACTGTATGTAATCTATGTGAATCGATCGGAGCACATTTCTTTCTTCTTCTAGATTATGAGGACTTGGAGATTTACATAGATAATATACTATGTGTGTTTGTTGAAGATTGGTAGGTCTCGATGTCTTCATTATCTGTATACTATCTACATACTGAGTATAGATATCTATAGTATTAAACACTGCCACGATATGCGATAATGAACTGGAATACTGAACAGACATGAAGCAGAGGTAGTAGCGTACGCTTCTATTCCTTAAGGATACTACAGCATCATCCCCAAGAGGTATATTATATTAAGAGTCCCACATGGACCTATTATCTCTATCCCTTCTAATAGTAAATAACCACAAATCGGGCTGCCCTGCATGGTCGGACAGAGGGGGAAATTTAACGAAAATCGGCCAGAAGCACGAGGGAGTGAGCGAAGCCAGGCCATGCGATGGAAGGAGAGGCGGAGAGAGGAGGAGAGGGAACGAGAGAAATATTCAAAAAAAAGTCATGCTTCCAATGTCATCGGTCCAATGCATGCATTCCGCCGAGAATTAGACGTTCGGCCGTGTCTGGACTGTCGGTTCCGACCCGGAAAAGATTCAGATAGATGCTCATTTACGCCGTTCCAGCCTTTTGGTTCAAAGTCACTTGTGCGCGCCCATTACGAGTGGTAGGAAATTGCCAATAGAAACAAGAAAGGAAAGTGCAAGGACAGGACACAAAAGCTGAAACGACCATGGTTAGTAGTAATGCAGAGGATGGAAAAAAGGAAATGAAAAAAAGAGAAAGAAGATCTGAGAACAGCGGGAAAAAAAAAAAAATTCAAGGGGACCCATAATGCTCCGGTCCCCTTGCAGACATTATACACACTCTAACATGCAGCGCTCCATTTTATTTCTTCTTTTGCTGGTTCGGCACCTGCTTCAGGATGTCATCGAAACTCATGTTGGGGTTGAATCGGCTGATGGGCCGGGCCGGGGGATCCATCGGCGCTACGCCAGCGGGTAGCGGCAGGGCCTCAAGACCGGGGTAGATGGAGTGTCGATGCTCCGCTCTCCGATTCATCGCAGGCGAGTTGAGTCGGGGGATGGCAGGCGGCGGCGTGAGACCGCTTGGGGTCATGAGCGGAGTCCCCTGTCCCTGTTGCAGTTGCAGTTGCTGCTGCTCGGACGAATCCGCCGATGACTGTTGCGCCTGGTAGGGCGATGACAGCGATGACTCGTTGTCATAAGGATCATCAATCGTCGGAGGAGCCAGAATCGCATCCTTCTCCGCCCACTGCTCGGCCACCTGCCAGCAGTGACTGCGTCGGTAGATACCCTCTACACCGTTGATCACCACATCCGAGGGCAGGCTGACCACACCGGCTCCGCCTGCAACACCGAACCAACTGCGTGCAGTCTTGCTGTCGTTCTGGATCCAGGGTGCGCCACCACGAGGGGCGATGCAGAGGAAGTACTCCACGCCGTCAACATACTTGACGTCCTGGACATCGACAACGACGAGAGGCAAAGATTGGATGACACAGTAGAGGAAGATCCACTGACCACACCGGAAGTCAATCATGTCATTGACGTTCTTGCCGTGAGCGCATCGACGCTCAAACTGCATGAAGGCTTCAATAAACGGCGTGGGCTTCATGGCCTCCCGGGTGTAGGAGTCCATGAGGACCGCGTTGATGTCCGCATCCTTGAGTTTCTTGGCCTTCTTCTTGGCCTCCTTCTTAGCATCCATGGGCTTTCGCTCCAGGGCTTGCAGTGAGGGGTATTGCGGGATGTCGAAAGGAATCGGTGGCTGGACTGGAGGCGTGCTCCGATCATACTCGCTCATGATTTGTCGGAGGGCCCTAGTCATCATCTCATCCGGATCCGAGCTCGCGGACGTTTCGGCAGCCATGTCCACGGTCCGAGTGGTCAGAGACTCCCGATCGACCAGCATATCGTAGAGGCTGGCAAAATCGTTGTAAAGGTCATTGACCACCTGACGATTAAGACCGCTCTCTTCGAACTGATTCTTCTTCGACCGTGCTTTGGGCGGCCAAGAGCCGTACTTTTGCCGATAGTACTGCATAGTGAATCGTCGGAACTCCATGAATGCAATCCGCCAGTTCTTGAATCGCACAACCTTACTTTCGGCAGATGTGGCTGAGTTGGCAATACCGGAGAACACCGAGGGGAAGTCGAAGTCATCGAGCTTACTGTACAGGACGCGAAGACGAGTGTCGAGATCAATGAAGCCTCGCTCCAGCCGCTTCTGCGTGACCGGGCTAATCAGACCGTATTTCGGGCTTCTCAGCTGCTTCAGTTCGTCCAGCTTGCCGACGCCATGCACGAAACCTTCGAGGTAGAGTGGGAAGAAGCGTAGTCGTTCTCCAAGAACAATGGCCTCGATGGTCTTCTCGCGGCTCTTGCGCACATCAGCCAATCTCAACTCCTCGCAGTAGTTACCGAAACTGGTGGTCGCGGTCTCGCCGAAGTTGGTCCCATCGAAGTTGGAGAATTCAAATCGAGACAGTAGCGTTGCAACGTCCATGAAGATGGAAAAGAGCGAGGGCGACCGGGCTGTTGCGATCAGAGATTGTCCTAGCAAGAAGGCGAAAAGGTTGCGGAAAAGGAGGAGGGTTTCTGTGTCCTCCTGGGAGATTTGACTGCCGGCACTGGATACATCGCTGTTCAAGGGGATTGGAAGATAGAGGTGGAACTCCTGGAATTCGTCCTGGCCGTCATCCTCCATGTAGGCCATTCTCCTGCTACCGGAGCTGTCGTTGTCATTGTCGTTTTCGGCCAATGCATCCTGAGGCGTCAACGGAGGCGAAGCTGGACCAACCACCGGGCTGCTCAATGACATGGTACGCGTCTGTTGCTCGAGGGTGCTGAGGTTGCCGCCCATGGCCAAATCGCGTAGAGATGGCGACTCAACAAAGACTGTGCGATGGACTTTGAAGGAGGCAGCTCTGCCGGTGTTTTGAGGGAACAAGTACACATAGGTATCACCACTATCGTTCCAAAGTTCGGTGATCTATCTCCGTGAAAAGCGATATTTAGTAAGGGGCGCTCAATGTTGTTTCAAGCAGATGCAGTGCGTACCTGATCTCCTCGTGCCAAAGGCTCCAGATCGTAGAGAATCTTCTGTTCCAGCCCGGCAATCCAAGCAGCGGGCCCCGCCGCAGTGTTATTATTAGGTCGGGGATCTACGGAGCTTGCCCGCGCCCGCCCGGGCATCCAGCTTCGTCTCTTCGAGGAGGGAGTTCCCGGGCGCGAATCGGGGCCCGTACCGGGCACAAATAGGCCCGCGGAACTGGAGGGCCGACTCCCACTTCGTCCGCGACCTCTGCTCTGGGGTCTGCCATCTGGCGAATTGGAAGCGCTATTGGCCAAGTCCTGGTTCACAGCCAGCAGAGACGGAGGTGGCTGCAACGGTTCGTCCAAGTCGAATCCATCATTGGGAATGGGGGACACGGGCGTCCGAGCGTCGTTATAGTCGCTGTGAGTGTTCGAGACTGCCCGGATTGGTCGGGCGGCGCTTTGCGGGCGTGCATCCTGCGGCAGCTGGTCGGGCGAGGGCTTCGGAAGGTTCGGGGATGCAGGCGACGACGGAATCGAGCTATCCCGGTTGGAGCCCAGGGAAAAAAGCGACGAGATGCGCTTGGCGGACTTTACCGGAGCAGACAGCATCTTAAAGGCCGCTGTATAGTGGGGAAAGCAGAAACGGTCAGTCCCCGGGCGCAATGGAGTGGACGAAGCGGCAGGCAACGAAGAGAAAAGACGAGAGACGGGTCAAGAGGGAGTATGACGGAGAGGAAGCACCACCGGCGCGCGGGCAGGGTCGGCACCTACCTTAACAGGTGAAGACAGAAAGAATGTTGCCAACCATGCGAAAACTCTCCAGGCTCAGGACGGGGTTGGACCAAGAATCCGCGGCGGGCGACTAATGACGGTCGCTCGGCGTGGACTGAGGAATGGATCGGCAGGAGGGATCCAGAGAGGGAGGAGGAGGGAGGAATGGACGAAGGTTTTTCGGTGCTTTGGTGGTTCACTCCGCGGAAGCCGGACGAGGGAGTAGATAGAAAATATGGGGAAGAGAAAGGAAAGGCAGCTGAGGTTATCGCCAGAGAGAGTGATTGTGAATGTGAGGATGCTTTTGTGTCAGACGAGGAAGAATCGAAAACGAAACAGAAACCAGAAAAAAAAAAAATCCAAAAGTACCTCAAACGAAGGTCAAGAAAAATAAAAAACCGCAGAGGGGGACGGAGGAGAAGGAGGAGGTATTGAGGAGGTATTGAGGTTACCCAGAGGGGGAACCGGGCGGGCAGGATTATTGAAGGCAGCTGGTTATTATTCAGCCCTCCAATCGAGCAGGTATTTTTATCCCTCGGGTGGAGCCACGGCAGGAGAGAGAAACTGTCTTCGCATCAGATGCAAATAAATTCCATGGACGACCTCGCAGGGGAAGCAGGACAGGGAAGAAAAAAAGATTGAAAAGTAGCAGAAGGGTCTCGGGACCCCCGTCGAGATGATGGCGATAATTTATAGCGGCGAAGTCACTCCTCCAGCAGGCCTGAACTAGGACCCAAACTAGGCCGTTCCTCTTGATTCCTATTATTCACCTGTTCGTGTTGGATAATCTCTGGATCCTGAGGTTCTAGGGTCGTTAGGTGGTCTTCTGCTCGTTCTTTTGGCTTCCGGTGGGTTTCTGCCAGTGGGGAAAGGCGCGGTTAGTTTCCTTTATTGTACGGAGTAAATAGAACTAAGCTTGTGCGCTTGGTGCTATCGAACCATTTTATATGATCTCATTTCCTTTTCCCTGTCTTTTGGAGTTCCCTCACCCGTTCCGAGTGCCTGACCGAATGATCGATCCTCTTCTACTGTCGAGGATGTATGTACATTGGTTGGCGCAAGGTGGGCTGGCCAGAGGCAGTGCAGGGTTTCATGGTTCAGGAGGCTGATGCTCGCTGGGTCAGAACCAGTCAGGATGCGACGGACCCTCCTCCATGCAATCGTCGTGGGGTTCGGGATGAGGACTGCACGTCTGCCAGTTGTTCTATTCTATTTATTCTTCGTCTGTGCCAACTGGTAATCCTATTACCCTAGGTGAATAGGTATAGATAGATCGCAAGGCAGACACATTCTGTCCCGACTTTTTTTGGGTTCGCTGCCGTCAGCCTCTTTTCTTATTATAATTATAATTCGCCTCGCCCTCGCAGGGCGTGTTGCAATGCAGCCTCAGGAATTGCACGACGGCCTGATGATCGGATGACGGAATCTCGGCAGATATCCACCCCATTCATCAATCCATCCATCCATCCATTCATTATTCTGAGTATTTCATTCACCTTCCATTCATCCCCCCTCTTCGGTTCAGCCAACCACTGAGGAGTCCATTTTCTCGGTCAATCAACTGCCAATTAATATTAAAATATGCGTCTGGGTCCGTCTACACGGTCCTCCGTAGTGCACCCTCCCCTTTCTGGCCCAGTCGGAATCTGCGCAATTACTCCATCCCCTCTGTTGGAGACCTGCGACAAAAGGAGAGGCACCGAAGTCTTGACAGGTGGGTTGGCATCTCCGATCCAGGGGCTATCGGACTCCGTAATGCTTACCACACAACCACTCCGACTGTACATACTTGACCGGCTGCTGGCACGTCGCACTGGAATCCACTGACCCAAGCCAATCTGCCTGTCTCGGTGCCTTTTGCTGGACGCTGGAGCGGAAGAGCACGCTATCCTTACCAATCGATCGCTGGATCAATTCACCATGCCTCCGCTGTCCTCTCCCATTGGTCGGGTGAGGGATACACTGAGAAATAAGTAAATCCCACCATCTGCCAGCCAGAGGGAGGAGATTTCTTGGGAGAAGCAATTCACTAAGAGGGGGAAGAGCTAAGAATAGTAGCCACCACCACCCCAAGGTTCTTCGTAGGTCGTACGGAGTATCACTTCCTATGTACTCCGTAGTACCGACTTTTTTTTATTTCTTGCTTGCCTGCTTTAGCAGAGGCACTAAGCAGTGGCGCTACTGTACGGGGAAAAAGGTACTTGGACTCTAGCGCCGCGCCTGCTGTACCCGACGTGGAAATGGGAGCCACGCAGTCGGACCTACGTAAGGATGGTGTTTGCGTATGGTGCTGGACTCCGTAGTCGGGTTTCGATGGAACGGGGAGAACCATGGGCGTTTTAGTTTGGGGATGGACGTGTCATCCTAATTGATCTGGACCTCGGACATAGTAACCGCGACCGCTTAGGGTGGCTCCTCTGCTCTTCATAACCTCTAGGCAACCCCTTTCAAGTAAGTAGTACTCCGTCCTCCGTCCGGATAGTCATCTGCCCATCAACCGGTGTCGGAGACTCGGAGTACAGTACAGATCTTTTGGGGGGCTTCTGTTCGATTCCCTACTCCATTTCCGTACAAAGTCCGAAGTACTCCCTCCCAATTCCGAACTCTGTCTTCCTGGTGTGAAGGGATTGAAGGCACCCGCCGCCCGGATCCGATGCCAATCAGGATTTGCCCCGCACCAGGGGACCCCGTGACCTTGCCCCGTCGGCGGCGGAACTTCCATTGTTCCCCTGGTCGGCTTCCAGAACCATTTCGTGATCGGCTTACCTACGCGATATCGTTCTCCTGACTAACGTTGGTTAACTGGAAGGAGATAATTAACCGATCTACCAAATGATATCTGGCATCTGGTCAATCAACTAACCTTTCTAGGGACCACCAAGGGTCAACCTGAGAAAGTGCTTGTGGAGCCTGAGTTCTTAAGCAAACCAAGTTCTTTCACTCCCTCATATATATAACGAGGCGCGGATGGCGTTGGAATTGTTTGAAGGCACAATTCTGTGACACATCCATTACCTCTCAAGGCCCGCCAATTGGAGCCCCTGACAATTTCCAACCCGCGACCCCCTCACCAGCAGCAACTGTTGATCTGATTGTCGTTCGAGAGACGGAAACCAACAGCATGGATGTCGAGGAAGTTGATCTTTCCCGTGGTTGGCCCAACCCCGCCCTGCTGCCCACAGCCGCCTTGGCTGAGGCCTCGGCCACGGTCATGGCCACCCCGGCCATCTGGACGCCTGCCTTGATGTATGGGCCGGATGAAGGATATCAGCCATTACGGGAACACATCGCTCGTTGGCTAACGACGTTCTACCAGCCACGCGACCCCGTCACTCCGGAGCGCATCTGCATCACGGGTGGCGCCAGTCAAAATCTGGCATGTATCTTGCAGGTCTTTACTGATCCTATCTACACCCGCAATGTCTGGATGGTCGCCCCCACGTATCACCTGGCCTGTCGCATCTTTGACGATTCCGGTTTCGCTGGTCGTCTGAGAGCCATCCCTCAGCACGATGCGGGGTTGGACCTGGCCTATCTCCGACAGGAGTTGATTGCGGCCGAGGAGAGGGCGGGGAAGGAACACAACAGTGCACCGGTACGTATGCGCCTTGGCGATCAGCGTGAAGTCTAGTCTATAATTCTTTACCCTGTAGGTACTTATGGGACTGACTTGGCTAATATCACTGACTCTCAAAGAAATGCAAACCGTCTAGGCCATGGGGGAAAATCTACAAGCATGTCATCTACGCAACCCCCACCTTCTCCAACCCGTCTACTCTCACCATGTCATTGCGGGATAGGGAACAGCTGGTTCGGATCGCGCGAGAATTCGATGCCTTGATCATCACGGATGATGTCTATGACTTCCTTCAATGGTCACCGGACCCAGCTAAGACTCTTCCGCAGCCCGCCCAAGCGTCCCTACCTCGTCTTGTGGATGTGGACCGGTCTCTGGACGGGGGACCTCAGGATGAATGGGGTAATGTGGTGAGCAACGGAAGCTTTAGCAAGCTGATTGGGCCCGGCATCCGGACTGGCTGGGCGGAAGCTACCGAAAAGGTAGCATATGGCCTGTCGCAGACGTAGGTGACCCCGTGAGTTGGTGTTTCTCGCTGCTACCGCATGTCCCTTGCTTCTCCTGTCCGATAGACTAACCTCGGGTTGGATGCAGAGGCTCAAGTCGATCCGGAGGTGCTCCATCACAGCTGTCCGCTGCGGTGGTTGCGCAGCTGTTCCCCACGGGGATCATACAAGGCTTCATTGGTGAATCTCTGCAGCCGGCGTACGCGCGACGATACTATCGGATGATGTCTGCCATCCGTGAACATCTTGTTCCCTTGGGCGTAGGGCTCCCTCCGGCTCCTGAAGTCGCGGGCGGCTACTTCATCTGGCTTCGACTCCCCTTACCCTTGCGAGCGAGTGATCTTGCGTCCATCGCCCAACGGGATCAGAAACTGATTGTGGCGCCCGGTAATGTGTTCAGGGTGCAGAGAGATCCGGCGACCGGTAAGAACGAGTTTGATGATGGCATGCGCCTATGCTTTGCGTGGGAAGAGGAGAACAAGCTAGAGGAGGGAGTGCGTCGACTTGCCTCGGTCATCCGGGGAGCGCTGCAATAAACGCCATGGCCGTGTGCAAGTGGCGGCATCAGATGATGACTACCAAGGGTGAACAGGCGGAACGGACCGCTTGGGACCCTGGATCGGATGGGACTTGGGGATGAGTGTGGAACAAGACACGGTCACCGGGTACTCAGCGTCAAGACCGTAGAAGGGCAGCCATGCCCCCCAACATCGACTATATTGACTGTTGATAACACCCCGGGTTCCCTCCGATTCCACTGGGGTTGAGTGATGCGGGCAGAATGGCCAGTAAACGCCCGAGGCGGGGGAGGAAGGCAGCTGACCTGGGGACGCCTCTGCACGGCACCTGCAGGCCACTCGCATATATAGTCGCAGTAGCGCATTCGGGCTTATGAATATCTAACTAATAGTAAGAAGCGACGAGCCAACATGATCATCCCGACCGACCAGGCGGCGTGATGCGCTAAGGCAGCGTCCCGGTCGGGAGGAATGGACGCGTCAAATAACTCGTCCGCCAAGACATTCTTCCAGCGCATTGCCTGAAGAGACAGAGGGGCAGACACGCTCCGGGAAGGAAACATGGGCACAACAAATAACCCGAAGCCCTCTATTTAGATAATCTTCAAGATCAAGTGATAATTATCTGCGGAAGCCACTAGCGGGTTTCACGGACAGGCCATGGCCCAAGGTTACTAGCGGCCGATCCGTCGGGTGGTTAATTAAGGGAGAAGGCCGTCCCCTCTGCGGAAAGCTTGGTGCCGCGAGAACTACGTACGATGCCCCGTAAGTAGGATATTTTTATCGCAGCTAGTGAGGATGATACGGAGACTAATCCCATCCTCCTCCTATTGTCTCTAATTCTATCGACTCAACGAGTCATCGATGGACCAAGGCCGTAACTCATTTTTCACGGCATGAGGTTGGTTGGGATTCGGGCGGCGACCAAGGCACCGCCGGAGTATCTGCCGAGTCTCTTGGGTCTTGCCCCTGGATTTTCCCCCGGTGGGGCGCTTCAGCATCCATCCATCCATCCATCCATCAGCCATGCAGGACGAGCCGTCCGATCGCCGTCCTGCAGTGTCGGCGTGTTCAAAGCGCTCCGTACGAAGTACCTCCGGAGGGTCGAGGTAGAGACAGGGGAGGTTCCAATGCTCTGGATGGGGTCCCGGACCGCGACCTGCTCTCCCATTATCTGGCCAGCGGGCGAATCTTATCGGACGAGAATCCAACGACGGCCTTGTAGGACCAACATTGCTGCCCAGCCCTGCATCAGGTTGCGGATGAGCCACGAGGAATGTCTGGACCTGCTCAATCAGGCAGCCCCAGCGCCAATGAACCTGGCGCGCTTCGCTAGAGGGCGTCCCAATCGAAGCATGCTCTCATCCATACCAGAGCCTGGAACTAGTGCGTAGCGGAGGCCTCCCTTCGCGCTGTCAAACAATGAATTCCAGCCGCAAGCCATGCCACCAAGCCATGCCCGCTGATCGGGGCGCGCGATACCAGGACCGATTGAAATGTGAACTGGGTACGATCTGGCCAGCGCGAATATGTTGATCAGAACCCTGGACGAGTGTTGAGCTGGCCGGGAGGTAGTATATAGATAGCCCGCTGGGCCCGCCGATCTGCTGGGGCCTTTCGATCTTTCGGCTCCCCCTCGCTCTGGCGTCTCCTCTCCTATTTGGATACCCTGGACCAGGTTTCGTTCGTTTTCACGTAAGACTGCACCGGCAGGTCGCTTCTCTCGTTCCTTGGAGGTGTTCTTCGAACGCCACGGGTTCTCCGGCCATTCCTTGATTTTCCGGACCTGCACCTAATACGATTGCCAACCCATCGGGTCACTGGGCATCGACTACTAGTACTACGGCCATACCTGAGGTAGGTTCTCGACTGCAGACGCTCCCCACCAGCAGCGCCATTGCCATCACCAGGCTCCCGCAACATTGCCATCGCTCGCGACCGCGAGACGGCGTCCACCAATCCCGGAGGGCTAACCCCCGTCTAGTCCTTTCTCGATCGTTTCATCCCCTGACCCAGGCGTTTCAAGCAGCGGTCGGCAGACGGCCATCATCCACGCTAATTGGCCCGAGAGCATTGATCGCGCCGTGTGATTGGGTGTCGAGCGGCAGCAGCCTGACCTCCACCGTCAGCGTACGCGGTAATTTGATCCGGCGTGATCCAATCGCCCGGCCAGAAGACGGAGTTGGAGGAGTGGAGCCGGTAAGCTTCAACTTTCCCGGGCTCCAACTGGCGGTGCCTGGAATCAATCCATTGGGCCATCCCACCTAATTAAGCCTGCGACTAAAAAGTAATAACCTTCATTTCGCCATTCCCTTAAACCAGTCCGACTCGCCGGCCGTGCCTGGCAGCTTGTGCTTTCTTTTTTCCTCTCTTCCTCGTCAGTCCTGTCTTTGTCGTCGTCGTCCTCGTGAGTCGTTGGCAGACTGTCTCGAGTGTTGAGCTGTGTCGTGTGTTCTTCCATTCATTCATTCATTCATTCAGTCATTCCTTTCTTTCTGCCTATTCAGTCCTTTGCGACGGATTCATTCGCTCCGATTCATTCCTTATTCTTCCCCTCTTGCCTGTCATTCTTGTGCCTTCCTGAGTAGGTAGGTATTTATCCAGCCCGGCGTCTGACCCTGTCGTGTGACGGCCATCTTCTGGTTCTCAACCCATCGGCTGGCTGGACATCACCCGATCTGGATACCTTCAGTACTGGTTGCTGAAGTGTCGGTCGCTCGATTGCATTCCTCTTTCACATATAACTGCCCTTCCTCGCGCCTGGGTTCTCTGCCGGTTCAGTGAACATCGCGGTCTTGACGATGGCATCTCTTCACACCTCCATCATGTTGTTCGTGGCCCACGTCTTCCTGCTACTGGGGCTGGCCAATGCGGTCCCCATGCCCGGTTCCCTTGATGTGACCTCGCATGTCGTGGCGCGCTCCTCGGACTACTGGGTCGCCGATATCAAGCGTCAGGGGTCCGTGCCCTTCGGCAACAACACCAGCTATCAGATCTACCGGAACGTCAAGGACTTTGGTGCCACAGGTGAGTCTCTCCGTGTTACTGTTCGGATCCATGGCTGACCAGCATAGGTGACGGTTCTACCGACGACACTAATGCCATCAATGAGGCCATCTCCTCTGGTAACCGGTGCGGTCAGGGATGCGACTCGTCCACCACCACCCCGGCCCTGGTGTACTTCCCTCCGGGTACCTACGTGGTGTCTAAGCCCATTGTCCAGTACTACTACACGCAGATGGTTGGTGATGCCAATGATCTCCCTGTGCTCAAGGCCGCTGCTAGCTTCACCGGCATGGCCGTCATCGATGCCGATCCTTACACCAGTACCGGGGCCAATTGGTACACGAACCAGAACAACTTCTTCCGCGCGGTTCGCAACTTTGTCATCGACTTGACTGCTATGCCCTCGTCGTCCGGTGCTGGTATTCACTGGCAGGTCGGCCAGGCCACTAGCCTGCAGAACATCCGTTTCGAGATGATCAAGGGCGGTAGTAACAACAAACAGCAGGGTATCTTCATGGACAACGGCTCCGGTGGTTTTATGTCTGACCTCACTTTCAACGGCGGCAACTACGGTGCCTTCCTGGGCAACCAGCAGTTCACCACGCGTAACTTGACCTTCAACGACTGCAACACCGCCATCTACATGAACTGGAACTGGGCCTGGACCTTCAAGTCGGTCACCATCAACAACTGTAAGGTCGGCTTGAACATGTCCGCCGTGCCTTCCAACCAGACGGTCGGCTCCGTTCTCATGCTGGACAGCACCTTCACCAGCACCCCCACGGGTATCGTGACTGCCTTCAGCAGCGATAGCATTCCCACTGGTGGCGGTGCTCTGGTTCTGGACAATGTTGACTTCTCCGGTTCGACTGTGGCCATTGCCGGTGTCAACGGCAACACCATCCTGGCTGGCGGCTCGGTTGTCGACAACTACGTGCAGGGCAATGTGTACACCCCGTCCAGCACCGTCAACAAGCGTTCTCCGGCTGCCGATGTCCAGGTGGTCACTCAAACTGTCGTGGAGACCATCCTTGCTTGCCCTGCGGAGTACGGTACCGAATCCGCTGCTGGTGCGGCTTCCACGACCATCCAGGCCGGTGCCGAAAGCACTGGCACTACTGGTCGTGTCCTGCCCTTGCCCTCGATGTCCATCGAATACCCATCTGCTGGCAGCTACAGCTGGGCCGGTTTTGACAGCACAACCGCCGGTGGAAGCCAGGCTACCAACGCCGCCTCAATCCCCGCCGCCGGAACCTCCGCCGGAACTGGGGCCACTGGAGCTTCCGTTGTGGCCCAGGGATCTGGCTCTGCGTCCTATGGCGCGAGCGTGCAGGCTTCATCCAGCGCCTCGGCTTCTGGTACTTACTTTGGCACCGCCAGCAACACGACTGGCCAGTGCACGACCAAGACCGTGACCAAGACCCGCCTTGAAACCACCATTGCCTCCCAGGCCATGGCCAGCTCGCTGCTGACCAGCAGCGGTAGCCTCTTCGAGAAGTCCCGGCCTTTGTACGAGTCCTACTCGTCCTCGTCCTTCGTCAGCGTCAAGTCTGCCGGTGCCAAGGGTGACGGTAGCACTGACGACACGGCTGCCATCCAGAAGGTTCTGGACGACGCAACCACCGACCAGATCGTTTACTTTGACCATGGCGCTTACATCATCACCGACACCATCAAGGTGCCCAAGGACATTAAGATCACCGGTGAGGTGTGGCCCATGCTCATGGCATACGGCGACAAGTTTTCGGATGCGACGAACCCGATCCCCATGCTTCAGGTTGGTGAGGTGGGCGACACTGGCTCCGTCGAGATCAGCGACCTGATCCTCGAGACCAAGGGCCCCGCCCCCGGTGCCATTCTGATGCAGTGGAACGTCCAGGCCACCTCTCAAGGGTCTGCTGGTATGTGGGACACCCACGCCCGCATCGGCGGCTCCGCGGGTACCGAGCTGCAGAGCGACAAGTGTACCAAGACCCCCAAGCAGACCACTACCCCCAACACCGAGTGCATTGGCGCCTTCCTGCTCTTCCAGGCCACCGAGAAGGCTAGCGTCTACCTGGAGAACACGTGGTTCTGGACCGCTGATCACGATCTCGACATGTCGGACCACAACCAGATCAACATCTACAACGGCCGCGGTGTGCTGATCGAGAGTCAGGGCCCTGTCTGGCTGTATGGTACCGCCTCGGAGCACAACCAGCTCTACAACTACCAGGTGTCGAACGCCAAGGGCGTCTTCATGGGTCTGATCCAGACCGAGACGCCCTACTACCAGGCCAACCCCAACGCGCTCACTCCTTTCACCCCGCAGACCGCCTGGAACGACCCCGACTTCTCGTACTGTACGACTGACTCGTGCCGCAAGGCCTGGGGTCTCCGTGTCCTCAACAGCACCGAGACCTACGTCTACGGCGCTGGTCTGTACAGCTTCTTCGACAACTACTCGCAGACCTGCCTGGACACGGAATCGTGCCAGGAGAACATTGTCGAGGTGGACTGCTCGGACGTGCACATCTACGGTCTGAGCACGAAGGCCAGTACGAACATGATCACCTCGTCCAGCGGGGACTCGATCGTGCCGCAGGAGGGTAATGAGAGCTCGTACTGCTCGACGATTGCGCTGTTTGAGCAATCATCGTCTATTTGATTATTTTGGACGTGAGTAGAGATTCATCCTGTGACTACAGGATGAAGGTTGGCAATGCATGTGGATACCACTTTGTTACTTGATCATTCATCCATTCATTTATTCAATTTTGTTTTATACATACCCAGCTTCGTACAGAGCAGCCAAAAGTTCCTGCTTGAATCCTGCCCCTACACCCTGTAAGGCCGATATAGTATCCTACCGCGTGTTCCTAATTCTTACCAAACGATTGAACCATTTGAATTGAATCACTGTTGCCGTCACGATGATGCTGCGTCGTACGATATAAGTGTCAATATAGTGATGGATAGTGTGTCTCATTAATAGCGGGCCACATCCGATCTATCGATACCAACTCACCATTCGAATGACATGATTCTGCATCGTGAAGTGGGTCTATTGGAAGGTCCTCTTTCCTCTTCAGACTGAACTAGTTTATCTCATCATTTCATGGGAAGGAACATGATGGTTCATGGTTGAGTGGAACTATTTGACCGTCCGCTGTCACTTCGTACTCCACCGCTGGATAGTCGACCAGGGTAGTTTGGCGAGGGCTGTTCGAATTCCATCTTCGTCTATCTGGCGGATGTTCTTAGTACTGGCCGGTCGTAGACTCCTGGTTGTGATTGTTAATCCTCGTCTTGTAACTCCTTGAGGTTCAGGTAACGGATGGATGTGGTCATGTCCAAAGGAATCGCACAGGAAGAATAGCGGATGTAGTAAAGATAATATGATTTCCCCTTTCTTGAGGCATTCTCACACCATGGCTGACACACGATGATAGCCCGCCCGGAGGATGCTGCACCGGAATCAAAGAACGACACGCATGTTGCACTATTGCATCCATATCTGGGTTTGCCGACGGCAGCTCCAGCGTATGAGTAAGGTCAGTCGTCTGCGAGTCAATTCTCGTCCATGTTCCATCAGTGTCAGGCTAGCTGATCTGAAGAAAAAGGCGTGATAATACGTAGTCGCTGTGTTTCTAAAAATTGGTGATTCGTTTCTTTGTGCGAAGCTGGATCCCGTGACTGGTCAGGGCCTTCCCACACCGGACTATCCTTCAGTCGGGGCCCTTCTACCTCCCTCGCCGTCCTTCTCACCATCCTTCTCATCCTCTATCTATCTGACATCGTCATTCTGGTTAACGGCACCTCCACCTGGGCTCAACCAACAATTCATGGACCTCCCTCCCCTTACAGTAGGCCGAGCATAGTCTACAGACCGGACGATATCGATGCAACTCTCATAGAATATCTGCATGACAGAAGTCTCTAAAGCGAAAGGCAGGTCAAAGCCCCCGTGGAATATGCTGCCGATCCAGATCAAATTTGCTTACTTCTATTCTATAATTAGTTTCTACCGATATCTGGAATTACTTCAATTACATCTACGGCGAGCACAATCGGCTCACGGTAGAACACAAATCTCGCCGATCAAGCTCACACACGAAACGACAAAAGGACGACAGGTAGCTTGAGCCAACTTTCACACGATGACGTCCCCTCTGTTTCAACGAGAAGAGATACAAAGAGCTTTCAAAGTCAGATTTTCAGTCATATGAGATATTCAGCAGGATTATCATGTCTATCTGACCTGAAATTGCTGACTCTGCTAAGCAGCTAATGTGACTTGGATTCCCGCTCGGTTACCGACGCTGTACGGAGTATCCTATTCGCTAACTACCAGCCCTACCAAGGTGGAGCGAGGTAATAGATACGATTACGGACTGCCAGCCCTGCAAAAGAAAGGTGTAGTGAGCAATGGCATATTCTTCCTTTCCCCCAGAGACAAGCCCGCACCTCACCGTGATGCTGGGTCTATCAGCCGCATTGCACGGGAAATATGTGAAGCCAAGTCGGGCCTTGCAAAGCACGGATCGAGAGTTGACCAAGAGTATCAATCAGGTTGTCACCTCGCCTGCTGAACCTGTAAGGTCATGGGCGGTTTTCACGCACAAGCCCGAATTCGGTGTGCGCCAGTTAATACATCCATCCAACTTGGCAGCACCCCTCATATCGTTGACTTTGTTGTCCTCTAACCCCATATTCTCTGGTTTTTGATGAACAGGATTACTGATTGAATCGGCTGTATGGGTCCATCGATAACACCATTCACAGTATCATGGTAGGGCCTTGAGGGGCGCGGATATGTCGATGAAGGGCGGTCACGCAAATAATGAAGCAAATCGGCAGGGAGGTTCACATCTTGCTATCAGTGCTCTGGATTGAAGGTATCCTCCTAGTAAGTCTCTGTACTCAAAGAAAACATGCTAACCTTAGCTGTCAGTGTCTGCTCAATGTGGAGGTGATCATAGGGCCAAATGCAGCATGCTGTAGATGATGCTACCCTTCGTGGGAACAGAAATCATTCAAGGAATGATCTAGTTTTGGTTGAAAAAAATATAGTGGGCTGCTCAGCAGGCAAGCACACCTCCTTGCCCTCCTGGGTAACAGGATTGGCCGTGCTAACAGGGCAGAGTAAATGCAAGTCAACAGCTATCGAGACATGGCCGAGGCATGCAGGTACATCCTTCAAGCCCTGACAATTCCAGCATGACATAAACAAGTCAGGCAACACCGGTCATTGGCGACGTGGCGCAGGGCTATCAAGCCAGGGCTGATGCTTGTCGTGAGTAAATGAGCCCCAGCAGCCCCCATGGCTTGATTGGCGCCGTTCGCGATGGATCCCGAACCTTGGCCCGAGTCTAATTTGGAGCACGCGCCGTGAGGGTCGGGACTTTCCCGGGATGAGGGCATCGCCGGAATTGACGGGTCATCGGGGCACAGGAAATTCAGGAGCAGCTGGACCAGTGGGACGTGAGAGATAGAAATGGGCGTGCAGGAATGGTGGGTGAGGTGGTTGGCAGCCAAGGCGCGGACTTAATGAAGGTGAAACCCTGTCGGTGCCAAGCATCCCGGCCAATCCACCGGCTCTCCACCCACCGTTTCACGCCCATCAAAGTGAAACCACTTTCCACTCCCGGCGCTTGAGCCAGCCCATTCAGCCCATTCACCGCTGTCGACCTGTCAACCATCGCTCCATCGCCGGTGGAGAGGCTCCTGTCATTATTTTCCTCAAGGGTTTTGAGGGCCCTGGGTCGAAGCTAGAACCGTTTCACGATCGATCAGGATGGAGCTTCATCATGGCCAGAACCACCACCCTCCAGTATATAGACGGCCTCTCGTCACCGTCAGCCTCTATTCGATCTTTTCTCTCTTCCGCACACAGGCTTGTCTGATTCTTTCGCTTTCCCTTCTACATTCCCTTCCAACCATCCGGTCTGTGACCGTCACACTCTTTCCACCCTCTCATTCCTTAACCGTCTGGTATACTGGTATACCAGTCCTTTCGCTGTCTTTTCCTTCCAAAACTTTGACTTTTACCTCCAAACCGCCAACATGAAGCAAGCTGGATCCATCCTCGCCCTCGCTGGTCTCGTCTCCCTGGCTCAGGGTCACGGTTTCGTCACCAGCCCCCAGGCTCGTATGCCCGGTTCGGCCATGGAGGCTGCTTGCGGTACCCAGGTGTACAACAACCAGGAGGCCGACAACTACGGCAACGTCCAGGGTGAGCTCCAGATCGCCAGCGGTCAGAGCGACTACGACGCCTCGGCCTGTGACATCTGGCTCTGCAAGGGTTACAAGTACGCCGACAACAAGGACAACGTCTACTCGTACACGGCTGGCGAGACTGTCGACTTTGTCGTCGACATCCGCGCTCCCCACACCGGTACCGCCAACGTCTCCGTCGTTGAGACCTCCACCAACACCGTCATTGGCTCTCCCCTGATCTACTGGAGCGTCTACGCCTCCACCGCCACCGGTGTCACCAAGAACGAGACCAACTTCAGCGTCACCATCCCCGATGACCTCGGCGACAAGTGTACCGAGGGTGGTGCCTGTGTGCTCCAGTGGTGGTGGGACGCTGCCTCCATCGACCAGACCTACGAGTCTTGCATTGACTTCACCGTCGGCGGCTCCAGCTCTTCCTCTTCCTCATCTTCTTCTTCCTCTTCTTCGTCTTCTTCGGCCGCCGCCACCAGCACCGTCGCTGCCACCGAGTCTACCACCACCGCTGCTGCTGCTATCACCACCCCCGCCACGGCCAACAACGTCGCTCCCGTTTCCTCCAGCGTCCCCACCACCCTGGCCACCAGCGTGAAGGAGAGTGCCACCACCGTTGCCGCCGTTGCCTCCAGCAGCGCCGAGGCCTCGAGCGTGTCCATCCCCACCGACGGCACCGCCGAGGAGCAGCTCACCTGGGTTGCTAGCCTGCTCAAGGCTCTCCTCCAGTACGCCAACTAAGCGTGGTGTGTATCAGTTGTTGTTGTTGATTAGATAGAGGTGAATCAAACTGCCTGTGCATTAGAATTCTTTCCTGTAGGCTGAATGTGGTGTTGTTAGACCGTATGTTAGATATAATAAGGTGGCTTATGAGGTATTTTCCATAGGCCCAAGTGTTCAAGTCGACCCTCACCTGCCAAGGTACCTAGTCCACGGTCAGCCTACGCTAATCCCAACGCCAACGTGATATCTCGGTCTAGTTGCAGCGGGGATACCCTTTGCATGCTGAACAGGATATAACAATACCCGCCGGGTCCGATGCAGGCATTCTCCCTCAGGTTGCCAAGTCCTGGGACGTGCCCTGCAGCCGGAAACTCGAGGCCTTGCCAAAGCATTTAGCAAACCGGAATGACCGGGTTTGACAAAAGCGACGCTAATGCATCGACGGACACGTGAAGAGGATCCGTCGCCTCCATGTTTTTATCCGCCAGCTCCGCAGAATGCATCCACCGGCTGCGTCTATTTGATCTAGTGCTCGGGTTTCTCTCAGTTACTTATCTGCTCCGTCCATGTGCCTTCTAGGAGGGTTAGTGTGGCATGCTAACGCCGTGATGTCGGTCGGGGGGGATATTAATGAGGGGACGCAGCAGCGACGAGAAGGTAAAACGATTAAGTTGTCTCACTAGACTCGGAGGAACCGGTCAGGAGCAGACCAATCACCGCGCTCGGTTCCTGCAGCAACTTGATCGGAGCTGGGATCCGGATGCAGACCATGACGCGTCCCAGCGAGACACAAGCGTGGTGGTTGATGCATGTTTCTTGCTGTGTGCAGGTTCGCACGCACTATCTAGACAAGAACCAACTGCAACCTGCAGAAAGAGCGGAAGAAAGTGCAGAAACCACCGAAACTCTCCGCGGCGGCTCCACCCCCGGGGGTCTGTGCTGCTCCACGCATCCCGACAATCCCTCTCTATCTCTCTATCGACTACCATCCCTCCAACTGAACCACTCCAATGAATGGAATCCTCCCGCCTCCGACCAGAACTGCCCAATCCTGGTCACCCGGCCAAATTGGGATGTGCACTCGTCCGGAGTGGCCCACCTCGGGGCGGGTCTGCAGACAGACCCTCTCGGACGAAATAGCTGCAATGGGCGTAGCCGACCTTCCTTCAGCTCAATGGGCGGGGCTTCCATGTCCAGGGCTCTGATGCAGTTTGCTCGGACTGGAGCTGCACTCTGCAAGCTCTTCTTGCGGGGAGACGACACCTCCTCCACTGATAGTCCGGCTGATTATCTACGGGACCCCCATTTCTCCGGCGACAACATGCTGGCGGGAGGGATATAAAATCTGGCCAGGATCCGGGTCAGATGCCTCGATCATCACCAGCATCTCTTTCTTTCTCTGCAGGATATCTCTTCCGTCCTAGTCAATCAACATGTGGCCCCGTTCCTCTCCGTCCCTTGTGGCGGCTACCACCCTCCTAGCCTCCATGCCCTCAGTCCTGGCGACCTCGGCCTCCTGCAATTCCACCGCCCTCAACACCACCTTGGGCCTGTATCCGATCACGGTGGAAAACACCACGGTGTTCGATGTCGCCAAGGCCACTAACCGGGGGGTCTGCGACATCGGCCGTTACAACCTGATGGCCGATGTGACGATCATTCCCAACGTGGGCCAAACCTTGGTCATCCCGCCTGAGGTCTGCGATCCCGATAATGAGACCTGTCTGCTGCCCAACGTCACCCGCACCCAGACCTGCATCAACGGGGGGCCTCGTCTCTACTACACGGTGAACGGAGACACGCTGGACATTGTCGCCCGGCGACTGAACATCACGACCGCGTCCCTCATGAGTGACGACACCGCCTACACGGCCGACGAGGTGCTCGCGCCGGGCCAATTCCTCAAGGTGCCGTTGTGCTCCCCGAGCGAGTGCACGATCAAGCCGTTTACGTTAGAATTTGGCGTGTACAAGGACATTGCGGATGAGTACGATACCACGGTGGGACAGATCATGATGCTCAGTCCGACCTACAACTATAGTACGGCGCTCTTGGAGGGCAAGGGGCGCCCGTCGCTGGACCTTCCATTCAACTGTGCTGCGACGTCGACGAACATTACGGTGCTGTCGTGAGGGATTTAGCTGAGCTGGATGTGCTTGGAAATGCTTCGGGTTACTTGTGTATCAAAACTACATCTACAATGAGACACTAGAGATGACTGCATTAGGTACTATCAATTGACAATCTTTTCACATCCCTCTATTCAATCTTCAGTATCTGTAGGCCCTGTTCATGGCTTGAATCATGTAGAATGCTCTCTTGATTGGAGGGGACGCCTGACATAAGCGGTCCCTGGCGGTGTGCCTGGCTAACCCAAACGAGCATATCAATCGTATCTGATCTCCGCCCGGATCTTTTGCTTCTCTCCGGCTTCTCTCCCGGCCTCGTCTCTCCCCTTCGTCTCCTTCAGTCTCCCCTTTCATCCCTGCATCTCGTCCTCCATCGGAGTACTACTACCACCATGTCCGACCCCCCTCACACGGCCATCCCTCTCCATCACCTCCCAGCCTCCGTGTCCTACAATGCCGCCACCACCACCGCCCTCGAATCCCGTCTCAGCACCACCTCCGACGAGGAATCTCACCCTCCCCCGCGTTACACCCCGGAAAATGATCCCTTCCAATTGGCCTCGAAGCTGAAATCCGCCGAAGAAATCGCGCAGATGCAACCCCAGGCCAACATCTCCCGCAAACGCGACCGAGCTGGCTGTCTCCCACACACCGCCAACCCCCGCCACGCCCTGGCCTCCTCAATGGCTTCCAAGGAATTGCAATCCTTCTACGAGGCCCAGAATGAAAACATCCAACGCATGCTCAAACCCGTCGAAGAACACGTCCGGGACGCCCGCGAAACCAACAGCAGCAACCAACTGAAATACAAAATCGCCGTCTGGGGCTCTTTCGCCGCCAATGTCATCCTCTGCGTCCTCCAACTCTACGGCGCCATCTCCTCCAGCTCCCTCTCCCTGTACACCACCATGGCCGACGCTGTCTTCGACCCGCTCTCCAACATCACCCTCCTCCTCTCCAACAAGGCCGTCAACCGCGTCGACCCGCGCAAATTCCCCGCCGGCAAGGCCCGCATCGAAACCGCCGGCAACATCTGCTTCTGTTTCCTCATGACCGCCGTGTCCTTCATCCTGATCGCCTTCTCGGTCCGCGAACTCATCGAGGGATCCACCTCCGAGACGGGCTCCTTCCACCTCCCGTCCGTCGTCGCCGTCATCGTGGCCTTTTGCACCAAGTTCGCGCTCTTCGTGTACTGCTTCGCCTTGCGACACCAGTACTCCCAGGTGCTCATCCTCTGGGAAGATCACCGCAATGACCTCTTCATCAACGGATTCGGTATCCTCACCAGCGTCGGCGGCGGCAAGTTACGCTGGTGGATCGATCCCGCGGGGGCCATTGTGCTCTCCGTGCTCGTCAGTTGTCTGTGGTTGTTTAGCGCCTATCGCGAGTTTCAGTTGCTGATTGGCGTGACGGCTGATACCAAGATGCAGCAGCTGATCACCTACATCTGTATGCCCCTCCACCTCCTCCTCCTCCTCCTCCTCTACCTCATCACTCTCATTTTCTGCCAAAAACATACACTAATATATATTGAACCAGCAATGACCCACTCCCCCCTCATCACCGCCATCGACACCGTCCGCGCATACACCTCCGGCCCTCGGCTCCTCGTCGAAGTCGACATCGTCATGGACCCGAATGATTCCCTCCGAGCCACCCACGACGTCGCTGAGGAATTGCAGATGAAGTTGGAGTCGTTGCCGGATGTGGAGCGCGCGTATGTGCATGTGGATTATGAAACTACTCATAAGCCGGAACACTTTTTGAAGAAGGAGTTGTGATGCTCCCTACTCCGGACAAAGAAGTGAACATAAATGTCTATCTAGTTAGTTGAGTCGCTTGGGTAGTTGTGAGCAGGTGTCGTACATACATACATACATACATACACACATACACACATAGTAGATAGACATATAGCTAGATAGAGATATAGATAGACTACTTACCAACAACATATCTTCTCCCTGATCTAAGCAAGAACCTTCTCCACAAAACGACCCCACCATCCACCCATCATCCAGCATCTCTATCTAACATAACCAGACTCAGTAAGTAGATCGGGTATACTCAATTCCCAATTCCAGAACTCTTATCTACGAGATAGATACTGAACGTTGTCTCTCGCCGGTATTGTCTGTATTCTATCTAGAATCTATATGTTGGGGTCTGATACCTGTACTCATCTTTATTCGAGAACTTATTGATAAAAGTAGTCAAGAGAGAATGGGGTGGTCTTCTGGATATTCCTAGGCAAATGGAGGTAGATATGTGTCGCTCGATACCCAGGAATCATCCATCTGAGAATAAATAGTCTTTAAAGGGGATATCGTATGTGGGTCCAGTCTCCTATGGGCGTCGGAGTGTTAAGAGATTTTAGTAGGCAGGCTAGGGTTCTAGGTTAATTTCCGGCGATGCGGGGTGCGTGCGCGCAGAAACCAGTGAGTGGCCCGGAGGCTCTCGGAGGATATGTAGTAAGGCATGGTCGTCACAATTCTGATCCTTGAAGGTAGGCGCACCCATATCTACTCAATACGGAACACACATAGACATGTGGTATCATCACGAAAACTCCAATTAATACGCGTAGAGGTATCACAAAGGTATCGATACATCGAACAAGAATCATGAAACACGTCGGGTCTCTACAAGCCCAGACATCAGAAATGCTGCACCGGTCGCGGTTGCTGCTGCTGCTGGCCCTCCGGCCACCAGTCGGTAGATGAACCCTCCCCACGAGAATTCTCCCCATGCAGCAAAGGTGTTGCCGTCCCGCTGGTATCCGCAAATGGGTTCTGCACTTGGAAATCCTCCGAGCGGTACTCGTACCGGCCGGCTCCGTTGCTGTAGGTCCGCGGAACCGTCGGGGCCGTTGAGGAGCCCGAGGACAGAGGACTTTGTGTGTCTCGGGGCGGGACGGGCGGTGCTGGGGGCAGTGGTGGTGCTGGTTGCACGGAGCCGGAAGCCGAGACCTGGCTTGATGAGGCAGGCGACTGGCTGCCTGGTTGGCCTTGGGTTCGGCGCGCCTGGAGCAGCGCGTGCTGGTGCTTGGACAGGGCCACGGACAGCTCATCGTTCGTTTCGATCAACGTCACCAGGGTATCCTCGTCGGGGGTAGGGTTTGTGGAGTGGATGTAGTTCTGGACGGCGCGGGAGGCGGTGCGACATCGGTCGGAGAATTCTTTGATGAGCTCGTTCTCGAGCATCTCCGCCGGGGGTGTCGATTGGACGAACTGGATGAGTAGCTTGGCGGAGGTTTTGGCCTCGGAGATGCGCGCGGAGAGTTCCTCGGGCGATGGCAAGGAGCCGTTGTGGTTGGGGACATTGAAGTAGTTGGGCGTTTGCCGGTATGGCTGCACCAGCGGTTGTGTCAATCCGGGCTGCAAAAATTGGAGTTAGTCCTGCGGAGGTTTGGGGAAATGCCAGTTCACATACACTATGAGTCGTCCTGATACTCGTCTTGCCCTTCTCCTTACTCCACATCCCCAGAAGCAGCTTGAGGTCTTCATCCCAGGACCGCTGCATTTCCAGAGCATCTAAGGTTTCCCGCAAAAAATTGTGTACGTTCGCATCCTTCCCTTGCCGAAGCAGATCCTTCACCGTGGCCACGAACTTGGCGTCGAGGTTGCGCGAAAAGGTATGTCCCGGGTTGTCGATGAGGATGCGAATGAGCATGATCGCATTGTACTGCACATTGCTCGGGGTTCTGACCGGGTCGGACAGCAGCTTGCGAATGCGCAAGGCCGCCTCCCGGGCTGCGTTGGGGCTGGATTCGGCGCTTTCGACGATGCCGGGGAGGTGGACAAACTCGTTTCCGTTCTGGTATGCCATGGTAAGTATGGCCGCATATTGGAGAGATTCCAAGGGAGGCGATGGTGATGGGAAGAGGGAGACATACGGCGCTGTTCGGACCGCCCGATTCACAGAACGCAGTCTGTACACAACGAATATGGTCAGTCAGATTGTTCGAGAGACATGCTGAATCACACGGACCACTTCTCTCTGGACGATGCCTTCAGGTGAATCATCGGGGTACGAGGGACTGTCGCGCGACGGACCTGTTCCTGCGTGAGCGTTGATACAGTCGCAATGCCGATCATCTGCGGGGAGACTCACTGGAGCGCCTGCTCAAAGAATTGAAGATGCGTTTCATGATTGCTATGGCAGCTCGACCTCTGCGGTGAAAAAAAAAATCAAGCCCAAGCACCGACCGGAAAAAATGGGGTGGGGAGAAGAAGTTAAAAAAGAAAGGGGAGGATGAGACTAAGCTAAGATCTGGAATTAGGCGCCGCGGGGAGCAGAACCGTCAGAACTTCCACACGTCGCTCTCAGCCTACCCCGAAACCTTCTATGTTTGATGTCGACGCAGCCGATCCGGTGACAAGGCGCGACACGCAAGCATGTCCTCGGCGCTCTTGGGACGATCCAGACTTGATGCGGTCTATATAGGAACGGGAGTGGAGGAACAGCTAGGTTTCCACGCAACTGGATCCGCGCCGTGAATCTGGATGCCTGCCTGCTGCCTACCCAGACACACACGGTGATGCACATCCGCTCTGTCAGCGCGGCCAACCGAACGCAACTACGTATGCAGGTCGGCCTCGACTCAGGTTAAGCATACTTGCCCGTCGTCATGGGCATGCGAATGCGTCGTCTGGCAGGGTCGCATTGGAGGGGAACCAGCGCGGGAAGCTCCTCGGGTGGTCTGTTCGTCTGGCCCATTGGAGCCAGTCACCGTGACACAGCCACCCTTGGCTGGCCAGACATCCTCCCTCCACCTGCAACCTGCTGACGGTGGATGTTTGGGGATGGAGGTCTGTCCGTTCGCTGCAACCTGCAGATCAGAGAGTCGGGCTGTGGCGCAGTTACGGGAGCACAGCGTAGGGCCGATTACAGACCGATTACGAGCACGCTAAGCACTTCACTTCTACAATATGATTTTCATGGAAGAAAAATGATTTCCCGTATCCCATCATGAATTAACGCTCAAAGTGTCCTGAAGTATGAGAATGTCCGAAGTTGCCGTCCCGACGCACGCCATCCATCCACGATGAAGGAAACTCCCTGGACCCGTTGCCCCAGTCCAGGAACTGGACTGCCAAAAGGGATCGGTCTAGACGGACCATGTCTCCGGGGGAAACGAGAGCATGGTCGAGATACGCCTCGGGATATAGCATTGTAGGACCATCGTCATCCGTCTCGCCGGGTGGTTTCGAATTTTTTCCATTTGTCAAAAAAGTAATAATTTCTTTTGTATTCCTTCCGTGACCAGGTATTGGATCCGTACAACAGCAAACTCCGGCATTCCCATTCAGTTTCTGACCACTTCACTTCCCCCGACACCCACAGACCGCTTATGCCTCAATGAGGGCACGGCGGATCTGAGCACCACGCTGGCGGGAGCTGAGGCGAACCTCCTTGGTGGCGGGACCCTTCTGGACGACCTCCTCGGCCTCGGTGAGGATGAGCTCGATGTGGCAGGGGTTGGTCATGTAGGGGTTGATCTATCGACAATTAGTGGGCGGGCGGCAGGGATGCGATTCCGTCTCAACATACACGACCGTGGGCACGGTAGGTGCGTCTGCGGCCCTTGGGAGCCTGGTTGACCTGGATGTGCTTGACAACGAGGTTGCCGGTGTCGAGACCCTTGGTGTCGGCGTTGGCCTCAGCGTTCTTCAGGAGGTCGATGAGGAACTCGGCGGACTTGACGGGCCAGCGAGCCTTGCTGACACCCCACTGCTTGCCTAGAAAGAAGACGGTCAGTCTTCGTTGAACACACAATTTCCATATCTCCCAGAACTTTGTCCATCCAGTCCGTCCTCATCATTGCCGCAAATCCTCCCACGATCCAAATCCCTTCAAACCCTTCAATCCATTCCATCCAATCCATCGTGATCTCTCAAGGAAATATCGACTCACCCTGAGCGCAGCGACCGGTGCTGCCAGCGTACCGACGCATGGGGACGGCCTCAGCCTTCTCGGTGACGTTGGTGAGGAAAGTAAGGGCGCGCTGGAGCTTCATGCCGTTGATGGCCTGGGCGGTCTCACGGGTGTTCTTGAAGCTGACACGCAGGTAAGAGCCCCGGGCGCGGGCGCTCTTAGCGGCCGGAATGTCCTGAGCAGCGTAACGGACCTGATGACGAAAAAGAAAATCCCATCAGCAAGACCATTCAAACCAATTCCAGTGTATTTTTTCCAAGCACAATCCATAGCAGCAGCGGTGGTGGTCATGGCAGGGTCGAAAAGTTCGATATAGGCCCTAGGGGCACGCAGGATCGAAAGAATTCCGGGACAACGAAGGGTTGGGCATCTTGACAGCGTTTTTCTTCAGGATGTTCCTGGTCCTCCCATTTCACCGATAGCAGCAAACGCGAACATAGCACTCACCATCTTGATGTGGTTGCCGAGCGGGTGGTCCTCGATGTCGGGTGAGAAGATTTGTCGTTTTCTGTCGTCGGCCGCTGGAACTTGAGATCGCGAGGCTCGCTCGTTGTGGTGCGCTTTTTCGCTCTTGGCGCCCGCCTAGGGTACTGGAGCCCTAACACTAGGCGGCTTGGGGCAGGTGCGTGTCTCACCGCCCGGCAGTATCCGTCTTTAGCTTCGGTCCGGAGCAACATCAACGTCAAAGGTTGTCATTTAAAGAGACATCTTGGAGCAGCTATATCTTATATGGTGTCGCGATCATGTGCTCTAGATCTTGTAGAAGATATCGGTTCACCTTTCTTTGCAATTTGCCCTTCTCGTTGTTCTTTTTCCCGTCGCGTTCCCCAAGATATCCTGGCCTACTAAGGCCGACACTAACCCTTTTTGGATCATCCAGACCTGCCGGTCTGCGCCGATCTATCATTGATCAACTGGCTAATGCTATTGTGGATGGCGTGCGTCATAGTTGATAGACAGGTCTCATGAACAACAAGACGGCATCTTCGTCTTTTTCGTTCAGTCGACTAAACCTTGGTATCTGGCAGACAGCGCTCCGACGATTAACATCTCTTCCTATTCTTATACATCCCCACGGAGAGGCGATGCTGCTGCACCATGACATAATCTCTCCCAGTTCGCTGTCGGCTACTAACCCTCGGCTTCAAATCCCGATGCGGAGAATGCCCGTCTCCGCATGGCATAGATGGCTGATATATCAGCAATAGAACAAGTAGTTCATCGGAGACTGCTGCCTGAAAACTTAAGTACTACCATCGCCAATTCATTTGCCTGGCGATCATGCTGGCTCGCGCCATCCTTCTTAGAGAGATAGTTAGGCCGTCAATCGCAGCCAATTGATGTCTGAAACCTTGCAAAAAACAACTCTACCCAGTTGTGTAGCTGAGTGCTACAGACTTGCAAAGTTATCATCAGCCTGCTCAGGAGCCCTGTGAAATTGCCTAAGCATGAGATGCAATGCATTCGGGGCACCGGTCCCAAAACCGTGTACTTGGTGTGGGTGGAAAGGTCTCCATATATTCCTCCGTCGCAACCGGGTGGAGTGGGCGCAGTCAGCCACGCACTTGGTATTGCTGGGCCAGATTTCTGGGCTGATCAGCTAGAGCAATAGAGTAATGATCAAGGCTCTCACCTATCAAAAATGCAAACCTCTACAAGCGCATGGAGTGAGGTGTGGCCTCAGATCGGTGCCATTCCGACAACCCCCACAGCCCCGCACCCGCCGTGGGGAGAAAATGGGGGCAACACCAGCCGATTCCCTTATCGCTTGTATGGGCAAAGAATTCAAGTTACTCACTTATTCACGTCCACAGTTAGGAGTAGTCCAAGGTCCCCTTCCCCGAGCGACCGGCAGATTTTAGAAGAGAAGGTTACTGCTCATGTCCCCCGACCATGTGGGGACCTGCCATGTCTGGGCTCGGTCTTGCCCCGCTTGGAAAAGGTCCTGGTTCTGGAATGCATCCAAGGCAAGTGTATTTGCGCCGGAAATCTGATCCCCAGAAACGTAGTCTCCAACGGCTTCCAGATCGAGCCAGGAGAAATCGTTCGCAGGACTGAAGTGCATGTAGCTACTTTGGTCAGACATGTGGTGCGATAATGCATTGTTGTTCTGCATCAAGACATCGCTACTGTGGTGTGTGCCGGCGGGGGAAGTTGCGGGCATCAACTTCTGCTTCCAAAGAAGTTCGAGAAGCCGTGAGTAGCGCGATCCAATATCATCCGTTCCGGCGCTTGCTCGCCTCAGGACTTCGGTGGTCCGAGTGACAAGGTCGCGCACCTTCATTTCCTCTAAATGAGACATGACCCCAAACGAACGTGCCTGAAGTGTACGGTCAGCTTCTCAGAATGTAGGAACAGTGTAGATGGCAGAGCCTACCTTGTATAAAAACACAGCTGCATAGATGCCATACAGGTAGAACCGAAGCGGCATGAAATGAAGATGCTTCTCTGGATGAACCACGTCAACAAGGATGGTGAGGTAGGCCTTTGCCGCATCGATCGATTCATAGATAAAACGAGCATCCTGCATGGAGGCCACGTTGTTGAAGGTTGTTCGCAAATGGTCTCTCTGGGCTTGGTCGTCCTTCTTCATTCGGGACACCAGTGACTGAGATATTGCCGCCTGGAAGGCGAAGGCATTGGTGTATAATCTCAGGTATTCGTACGATAGCTGTAGGGTGGCCTTCATCGGCGTCGAGCCTGGTACTAGTCAATCATCTGGTACCAACCTCCATGGGAGCCGGAGCTTACATGGCAAAGATCCCCATAGAGACTTCCATCGCAGGATTGCAAGGCGAAAATCATCCACGTATTTAACGTAGTCACCCATGAGCATCATCTGATTACTCGTTCGCATCCCAGAGTAGAGGACATCGTGAACATTCCCGTAAAGTTGAGTAAGATCTAGAGTGGCCTGGAAGATCCTAGCATAATCCTCGTCGCCATCCTTGACTGGTTGTAGCGACGGAAAGTCTTGGCTGACCAGTCCAGTCATTGGACCCGGTCCGCGAGACCAGAAAGCACGTCCTATACGGACAGATATTAATCGATCCGATACGTAGCAGCTGGTCCAAGCCAGCCGCCTGCGGGCTTCCGTTTCCGCATCTCCAGAAGAGTCGCCTCGAAATGACGTCCTGTCTAGGCCAAGGAAATAGCCAGACCGCAGGGCGAGTCCGACATGCATCCACGCAGCTCGATCCTCCTCCCCACGACCCACGCGCTCAATACGCGGCCGAAGGCCTTGAGGTTCCCATTCAGCCAAGATAAGCAGAGCCTCCACAGCCTCTACATCGCAGTCAGCTCCAGCAGCAATCCCAGATATCAGTTCATGCATGTATTTGGAGCAATACTCGTGGATCTCCGGCCGTTCGATTAGATCTTTCGAAGCAATTGTGAGGACGGCGGTAAGCAGATGCTTCTCATTATTGGCAAACGAGTCCAGTGCGCTGCGGTCAAAGTACTTTCGTGGTACCAAAGGAAGGTACGGATGGAAGTGTTCAGCATAGCGAACCACTAGCTGCCACACTGTCCCCGGGTCTAATGACCGTGATTGCACTAGCCTGTACGCTCTAATGCCATTGTTCGGCTGGAATTCGGTTACAGAACTGGTTTGTAGCGCCGTGTACGAGGAAAAGCCGCTTGTTCTTGTACGCAGAGGTTCGACGCCAGTTTCAGGACTCGGACCTTCTGTGCCTCTCGTCGCAATGCCAGTCAGGCATTGCCAGGCATCAGAAGGGTTGCGGGGAACGTCGCCAATAGATTCTGCGTCTTCATCATCCACGGACATTGAAGTCGCGGTCGGTGGATCAGGAGGCAGAAAAACAACTGGTCCGGGATAGGAACTAGACGTCGTTTGACGATTTTCTGAATTGGATGGGCTTGGTGCCTCGAGGACAGAATCCCGCCGTACAGGAGGATTGCTGTCCGGCGTGAAATTTTTTATTTTATTCTTGCGAATCCGGCGTCCTCCGCGATTGGAGCTACCCAGGACACATTCACGGTTGTCCCTGATACACCGCTGACAGGGCGGAACTCCTGGGCTGCCGCTGCTATCCCTGTGTTACGTTGCGATTAGCCGCGGTAGGAAATGATGGCCGACAGAAGCAGCAAAAGCATAATCAAGAGGCTGGGACAAATGAGACGGTGCTCAGATGGCTAACAAACTTACAGGTCGCATTTGGATTTGCGCTGTCTGCAATGCAGGCATGCTCTGGACACGCGCTTCATCAAATGATCTGAGCGTGCCTTAGCTCTCGACCCCGGGGTTCCCTCGACGGGCGGAGATTGATCGTCTTGATCCATGCTGCGTAAAGCGCAATAGCCGCTTCGATCACAATTCAGGTGCCAGGCTGCTAGAGCGACATCTTCACCCAGCAACGCTGGCAGTCGGACTTTCAAGCAAAATCTGTGAGATCCCTTCAAGAAGCTCCGCTCCCTAATCTTGTAGGAATCAGTGAAAAGAGGTCAGTTGCCCCCGATGTCAGGAAATAAGATTGAATACCCTCGGTGTAGTGTGAAGGGAATATGGGGATGTTCCAGACAGCTTCCATTTAATCGTTGGGGTAATTCGAGCGTCGGAAGGGCGCTCGTGGCTTCCCCACACAACTGGCTTTTAAAGGCGCCAGCAAGGCCTGTCGCATGTCCAAACCGCACACTAAGTCCGCCTTTTACTCCAAATGCATCGACTCTGCAGTCGAAAAGGGCCAGACGCGGTGAGGAGGATTTGTAAAGCTGCAGACTCGTGAGCTTTGCGTGTTATGACCCACGGCCAAGGAGCGAGAAACCGTCTGGTATTACTCAGCCCATACATACGGGTATTCATCAGTTAAAACCCGGTCATGGTCGGTCGGCAAGTCAGGCTCCTATGATCAAGGCTGAGCAGCATTGATCATGATGAGGTATTTGAGTTATTTTCTTTTCTAGGTGTACTGCGTCCGTTAATTTTGATTTTCGGTATTGTTGGTGCTGGATGCTCAACTTGCTTTGAAAGTTCAGGTGTCTGGTTGACTTGTGTATATATACTCCGCCCTCTAAGCTAGCAATGAGCCAGGTTGAATATCCCTCCTCCTGCCCCCTTCACCATTGAAATTAAAGCCAACATGCGGCCTATAGAGCCTTTGCCGGCCAGCCAGCTTATCAGGTTTTTGATAGCTATCAGCACGGTATATCAGAAGTGCTGCTCTGACCCCTATTGGATGTGATGATGCAATCTAACGATGCTTGCACGCCTATCTGGAAGGATTGTATATCGCCCATGGGGGACAATCACGTAACCCCGATGCAAAGCAGGCTACAGTGCCCCGGAATGATGCATTAGTAGAGATGATCTTCCGAACTCTTCCGTGACTCTATGCCAGAGCATCTCTCATCTCCAAGCACCTCTTCTCCACGGTATGTGATTTGTACGGGTTACCGTACGAAACGCAGGTCGGACCACCGCCGAGGAAGGTTCAATAGCCGAGTGCGGGGCGTCGGCGTTTGACACGTCTTGTCGGCAAAGTAACGTTCCTAAAAGGGAAATAGCCTCTATTGCCCCGCGCGAGGAGGAACAGCGTCTGGTATTTATTATTGGCAGGGTGCCAGGATGAGTCGTCATGATCGATTTGGTGGCAAGAACCTGAAGGAAACCCCTCACCGGCGTGCACAGCAAGACATCTCTTATTAAAATCCGGATAAAAGGGCGATTGACAGCCAGCGATTCGAAACCAACTAACTACGAAACAGCCACAATGTCGGCAACGGTTGCCTCGCTCTTCTCCCTCGGCGGCAAGACCGCCATCGTGACAGGAGGAACCAGGGGCATTGGGCAGGCCATGGCCTTTGCCCTTGCAGAAGCTGGTGCCGATATTATCTTGATTCAGGTACGCACGGTTACAACCTCCAATTGGTGCCAGAGAAATGAGAGGGGAGTCCCGACGAAACATGGGGGTGGAACTAACGTCTGGCGAACAGAGGGATGACTCGAACACCTCAACTCGCGATGAGATCGTCAATCGCATTGGCAGAAAAGCTTGGATCCACGTGGCAGAGCTGTCAAATCGGGAATCGATCAAGAGTGTCATCCCAGCCCTGACCAGCCAAGGTCTGAAGCCAGAGATCCTGCTCAACTGCGCCGGAATCCAGCGGAGACACCCAAGCGAGAAGTTCCCGGATGAAGATTGGGACGAGGTATGTGTGAACATATTCTCTTGTTTTAGTCACCCTTTGCCTCTGTCTATTTTTGTATCTCTGCTTCTCCTTAAGTGGGACTGAAGGCTAAAATCCCCGACTATTGATTTATGTAGGTCATCCAAGTTAACCTGACGTCCGTCTTTACGTTATGTCGAGAGTTTGGCGCCTATCTGTTGGCGCGAGATGAATCAGAATTCCCAACGGGTCGTCGGGGATCTATCATCAATGTCGCCTCTCTCCTCACCTTCCAAGGAGGCATCACGGTGCCTGCATATGCAGCATCTAAGGGAGGTGTTGGGCAACTGACTAAGGCTCTCTCGAATGAATGGGTGGCGAAGGGTATCAATGTCAACGCCATTGCCCCTGGGTACATCGCCACAGACATGAACACTGCTCTGATTAACGATGCCAACCGCAATGCTGGTATCATGGCTAGAATCCCCGCTGGCAGATGGGGCAAACCAGAGGACTTCAAGGGCGTGATAGTGTTCTTGGCAAGCCAAGCGAGTAGCTATGTCTCAGGGGAAGTCATCTGTGTTGATGGTGGTTGGATGGGACGGTAAAAAGTATTACGTCGATGATTGTTCGTGTTTTCTTTTCATTCTTCTTCCACGAATTTTCTTTATTTGTATGCCATTTGCCGTGTTTAGAGCCCTATTGCAAGTCATAGATGGAATGTACAGTGATGATTCTGAGACAGCTACTTCACACCACCACACAACACTATCATTAGCATTTCCCTGTCAATATCTGAAGGATGCTATTATCAGGTCACTCTTGCCTTAGCCTGTCATACCATTTTGACAGCTGCACTGAATTTATTAAGTGAATCCTGTTCGTCGCCAAGGACTGGTGCTCTCTTGATTAGTCTTCTCTGCTAAGCGCCAGGGAGCACAGAGCCGTGATTTAGTTGAAACTTTAGATGAAATGGATGGATCCGAAAGGGACCACGGCGCTCTGGAAAGGTCGTCCAGGCTGGAAATAGTCACATCCGCTGTCAAACCCCACCTGAAAGTAATAACCTTGAGGAAAACTATTCCGGAAATGAAAGCACTGGTCCGGAAAACCACAGCGCCGGACCCAGTATGCAGCGAGGAGGTGGGCAGTGGGAGAAAAAGTCGAGTAATAGGCTGATACCGAAATAGATTAACAGGGACAGGCTAGCGATCCGGCGAGGGACCAGACCCGTGACCGCCATGTGACTCCGCCGGCAATTTCCTGGCGTCAACTCCAACTCCACCGTCGCGCTGGGCCACTGCCACTCTGTTCTGCTACCACTCTGCTCTCCTACCCGCCGCCCAACGCAGGTTCATGGGTGGCCTTGTTTCACCATGTCTTGCCGGGAATGATGACAGGAACACCCTTCTTATCGGTTACACCTCTGCAGATTCATCGTGGCTAACCCTCCAGCAGGGCAGCGGTGTCAGTGGGTTTCCTGGTGGGCCGTGGACGCTGCTTAGCATGCCAGTCATGGCCAATACGGCTCGGTCGTTTCAGTCGGGATTGCACAACCTGAAACATGCAAAGTCTAGCCGACAGCCAGTACAGCTCTCTCAGGGCGGCTATCATTTTGAAGTGGCACAACTGGCTGGTGATGAGAGCGGCCTGGGCTGAATGGAAAGGTGGTGAGGTCTGCGTTGACGCCCTCGGTCGGCCGTAAGCGGCCTTGTTCCTGCAAGCTACCGTTTCCGCGGTTGCTCGATGGAGCCAAGAGCGCCAAACACTCGGCCAAGCCCCAAGGCCTGTCCGTCTTTATCGGAAACGACGATGCCTTCTTCAGGGCGCTCTAAAGCCCGCTCAATGGGTTCGGGACCGAGCGCAGACGCCTGGCTTGGCGCTTCTAGGGATCCCCCCTCCAGGACCACGCCATTATTGCCTGTTTACAGGTTTTATGGGCCTGGTCATTGGTCCCTTTTTGTCTACAGTATGATCGCAGCTCTGATCCGCGGTGGACTTTCCTTTTCGCTTAAAGTTTCTTGCTGCGCCGTGGATCTCCTTTGGGTGACAGGGAATCTTTCTTCAACTTTTACTCTTGAGAGTGTGCTTCGTTCCTTATTTCGCTTTTTCCCTTTCTGGCAGCAACATTCACTTCTTTTAGCCAGCTGGCTGGTAGCCGTTCTTTCATTGTGTGCCAGTCCATTAATACATTGTCTATTGTTTCAAGACATTGACATTGGTGTTCTTGGGTAAAGGCTGTCTTTGATCTTTGTTTGGATACCGCCGATCACCGGTTACATTCGCTACCATCTAAACGTCATTCATCGTGGGTGTGGACAATTTACTTTCTTTGCTACCACACTAGACGTCAACTTCTTCAGGACCCTTTTTTTTGCCCCTTCTCTTCCCAACTATCCAATTATTTTTACGACGCTGTGCGTCCCCTGTCCCCTTGCTGGAATCCTTTTTTCATATCATGCATGTAGGGAAGTGGAGGTAAGTGATATTCGAAGGCTGGCTCACCACACTCATGACGCTGGTAATGACTTAATGTTGGAGGACTTGCAAGATTCAGCTCGTCAGATTCGCTACCTTGTACCGTATTTCCAACATTCTTCGGCTTTGCTAGTTGCAACTTCCCGTGACAGCGCCTTGGTCATTTGCGCATACCGGCTTGCCAACATCATCATCTCCATCGCCTGATCAGAACGGCTTCCACCAGGACGTATTTGAAGAGAGGTCATCTCAAGCCGTTCTTGTTACGAGGAAATTCTCAAAGCTTCGGGGTTGATTGCGCCACCGTTGCCGTGGTCTTTGCCGTCCGAGATCCCTTGAACATAGCGTGCCTCTCCCCACATTCTTGTTGTTCCCCAGCCATTGATTCCCTGCGTCATACCGGATATTGGCCGGGTTAAATTTGGAAACTGTGGCTTTCAGGAATTTGCTGACATTACCGACCCGCACGACGCTGTTGACAACTTGACATCTCCGTCTTGTTTCACCATCACCTTAAACGACTGCGTGCTACGCTGGGCCGTAGGCCTCGATATCAATGGATGACCTTCACCAGCGCATCACCCCACGCGGTTATGGGACCAATTACACCTATGTCTACGAATATTCAAGAGGTCTGAATGGCGTCGACGTACCGCGGGATGTTCTATTTTCACGAATCATCTTCTCGTCGATGATATTCGTCGCCCTGGTCGTCTTTTGTGGTCGTATCGCGCAGATCAGCCATGCCTATCTTCGTCAAATTACTTCTTTGATGGCAAGTAGGAGAGAGCAAACCTTCTGGAGCGTTGAAGTATCTTCCCTCTGGGCAAACGTCAAGAAGCATCTGTTGTATGCGCCTTTAGGCAGCAAGCGGCATAATCGAGAGATCCAGCTCTCATCCGCCATCAACGTGGGCACGCTGCCTTCCAGATTCCAGGTCATCTTGATCGGGCTGTACTTTGCGAGTCAAGTGGCATATTGTGTCCTATTGGATTACAATGCGAACGTCAAGGCAGCCCTGGTCGCTGAACTTCGCGGACGATCAGGAACGTTGGCCGTGTTGAATATGGTTCCCCTCTTTCTTCTCGCCGGCCGCAACAATCCATTGATTCCCCTGTTACACGTGAGTTTCGACACTTACAATCTTCTTCATCGGTGGCTGGGTCGCATTGTTGTGCTTGAAAGTGTCGTGCACACAGCCGCCTGGGCAGTGAACGCATGCGATGAGGTTAGCTTCTCCAACATGCTTGAGCGCTTACGCACCACCCCATTTTTTACCTGGGGATTACTGGGAACATGCTCGATGATCACACTCGGTCTCCACTCGCCATCTCCGATCCGACATGCTTTTTATGAGACCTTTCTGCACCTGCACCAACTCGCTGCCTTTTTGGCTTATCTTGGGGTCCTGATGCACTTGGACTTGGACAATCTGCCTCAGAAACCGTGGATCATTGCACTTGGTCTGCTGTGGGTCTTGGAGAGAACAGCTCGCCTCTGCCGACTGTTGCACTTAAATATCTCCCCCCGGAAAGGATCTACGCGGCTTGTTGTTGAGGCTCTTCCTGGTGAGGCCTGCAGGGTGACTTTCCACTTGCCCAGGCGCGTGAACATCAGCCCCGGCAGCCATGTATTCGCCTACATCCCGAGTGTCTCCTACTGGATGTCCCATCCGTTCTCTGTCGCCTGGGTAGAGCCAAGCAATGCCGTGACTCCCCCTGCCACAGCAGAGAAAGACCTGGACCCATCGCTTCTCGAGAAGCAGCCCATGTCAGGTCTGGATGATTATATGCGAAACATCCAAGAGCCGACGTCCGTTTCCCTCATCGTCGGTGCTCAAAAAGGCATGACGCGAAAGTTATACAACAAAGCGTTGGCCTCTCCCGGACAAACACTCTACACAACAGGGCTTATTGAAGGGCCGTATGCGTCCCACGCGTGCAACATGGGCAGCTACGGTACGGCGGTGCTCTTCTCAGCTGGTGCCGGCATTACGCATCATATGCTATTCGTCCGCGATTTGCTCATCCGCTCGTCGGAAGGTCGCGTAGCCACGCAGAAGATCTATCTCATTTGGTCCGTACGCAGTACGGAACATCTGGCCTGGGTGCGAGAGTGGATGGACCAGATCCTCCGGCTCCCATCACGGCGTGAGATTCTCACCATCAAACTCTTCGTGTCGAAGCCAAAAAGCAGTCGTGAGATCGTATCGCCTAGCGCTACGGTGCAGATGTTCCCGGGTCGGTGTCGTCCTGACGTGGTTCTCAACGAAGTCATTCCCCGGCGTGTCGGTGCCACCATCGTCTCCGTCTGTGGGCCGGGCGCATTTGCAGATGAGGTACGTGCAGCAGCACGTAATAACATCGGCAAGGGCGCCGTTGTCGATTTTGCCGAAGAAGCCTTTACCTGGTAGTGCCATAATTTTCCACCCCTTGGAACCTATCTTGCCCTCCCTTTTCCCTTCTTGTTTAAAATTTCTCTTCTTACTTTCGTTTATTTCCATTCCAAATGTACATCTAGTTTTCCCTCTATTAGTCTAACCTCCCATGGCAACCGTTCCCTGTTGGTATGTTTGCACGATGGTACGAGTCATTTCCAGTCCAGCATCTGTTTGAATTCGGGTCCGCACAGTTTCAGCATTCCCACTGCATATGAGCCCATTCCATCAAGCATCAGCGCACAAACCTCATGCACTTTGGCCAATGCATATTGCAAAGCAAGAGCAAGAGCAAGAGCTATATAGCAAGCACCTACCCACCATACAAATAGACACTCCATACACAACCCCAGGATTTTTGAATAGACATTTACCATAATGACTTCCAACCCAGACCACAATCTGTAGCTGAAGACACCAAAGAAGACTGGATCGAAACCCTGACTACCTATACTTACTAGATCAATTCCCTCCCTTGCACTTCCTCACCAGGGTGTTTACCAACCACACTACGTAAAATCGGATAGTTATGCGTGCATAGTACAGTCATGCACATATCAACTAACTCATCTCCGACCCCCTTCCTCCTATGCATCTACATCTACATCTACATCTACATCTCCATCTGCATATCCATGAATATCCTTAATCACTACCTGAGGGATTAACCCCCCTTTCCTTCTTTCCTGCCTTTCCTCAGCGACCGGCGGCTATTCTATCCTATTAATTGATGGTCAGCCAGCCAGCCAGCCAGACAAACAGACGACATTCCGGTTTAGACTGTGCAGTAGTATGTACTCTGTAGGGGTCTATTTTGAATCGGCCTAAACAGATGGGTGGGAAACGATTGGTTGGTGGGAAGTGAGATGGGCGCTTAACGAATACCCTGCAGGTTATTACATACATGTTTGGGATTTATCATGACAAATAGAACGGGACTGGGGGGAGGGCTGGGTGGGGTTAATGCATGCCGTGTATGTATTGTCTGGTTTAGTGTGGGCGGTTATTTCGGGGTGTATTTGGTGTGGTGCGGTGTTTGGTGATCGGCTAGTTGATAATTGCTATTAAGGTGGCGGGGGAGGCGATTACTTTTATCTCGGATGATGATGAGAGAGAAAGGAGAAAGTCATGAGCTGTTGAAGTCTGAGTGAGTTTGTCCTATCTATGGTCTAACGATCTTGGATATACATGGATGCTATATGCGAGCAGTAGGTCTTGAAAGGACGAAACTCCAGGAGATCAGTTGAACAGGGAGTTGGCAGGTATGAAGGGAAGATTTTAGCAGACGCTCTAAGCAAAAGATGATAGTATCCATCCGGTACAGGATCTAACAGGCATGTTCGATATATGTGTATAAGCCAGGTGAGAAGAGTATGTTCAAAATGTGGGAATGAGAAGAAGAGGAAGGGAAAAAGGTAGGGACGGATTAAGCGTCCTTGGTGCGGGAGCCCTTAGGCACACGAGCGAGCCAGTAGATGAAGACGGCAGCGCAGATGTTGAAGATGATGTAGACCCACATCAGGCCGAAGTTGCGCCAGGCGTCGCTGAAGTGGCTGCTCACTTGGGCCAGGTAGGCGTCGGTACTGGAGATCGTGCAGAAGGAGCAGTTGCTGGTCGCGCTGGGGTCCTCGAGGTATCCGCCGTAGGTGCTGATGTAGGAAGACATGTAGGTGGAGCAGGTTTCGCCGGCGGGAGGGCTGAAGTGAAGGTATTCCGAGGTTTCGCAGACCGCAGTGGTGCCGGAGACACCGGTGGATAACATGCCGGAGACGAGGTATGTGAATGGTGAAACGCGGTACATGAAGATCCAGAAGCCGGGGAGTTGGGCGGGAGTGGCGAGGACTCCACAGAAGATCAGGCACAGGGAGAAGAGCAGGTTGGCGATGTTACCACCGGTCTCGGCGAGCTCGATACCAGCGATGATCATGTGCGCAAAGGTGGAGGTGAAAAGGAGGAAGGAGAGGATCAGGAGGAACATCAAGGCACCACGCTCGTGGACAGCGTCGGTCGGCTCAGCGTTCTTGTACAGGCCGATGGGGTAGTACCAGCAGACGAAGATGATGACACTCATGAGCGCGTTCCAGGGGAGCTCGACGATGATGTTGGCGGTCATGAAAGCCTGCCAGGAGTAGGTCTTGGAGGGTCGTTCGCGCGCTTCGTACAACGAACGCTGGGTACAGAAGTTGGGCAGGATTTGCTGGACGAGGTTACCGAAGATGGTCATCAGCATGAAGATACTGAACATCTGGTTCTGGAGACCCTGGGCGCTGTTCTTGGCCTTGAAGAAGGAGAAACCGATGTAGAGCGAGGTGAGGATGCAAAGCGCCGCCTTGGAGTAAATGTACACGGGCGTTCTCCAGTACTGCGAGAAAACACGGACGAGGCACTCCCACAATTGCACAGTGAAAGGGGCGGCGAATTCCTTGAGCTCACCGGGATCCGATTTCGAGGTTTCAACCGGCTTCTGCGAAAGGGTGGACTTCAGCTCAGCGAGGTGATCAAGCACGCCCTTACGCTCGGCGCTCTCACGCCAAACCGCGGGCCAGTCGATGTCACTATGCGATCCAGGAGCAGCACCAATGACCTCAAGCATCCATTCAGCGGGATTGGCGTCAGCAGGCAGTTTCGGGGCACCGTTGCGTTCGAAGTAACTAGCAAGGGTCGAAGACCTGTCACCAATTTCGCCAAAGTACACGGTCTTGCCGCCCCTGGCAAGGAACAACAGGCGATCGAACCGTTGGAACAGCATAGCGGAGGGTTGATGGATCGTGCAAAGGATGGCCTGGCCGTGCTTGGTCAAGGTGTCAATGAGATCGAGAATAGACCAGGAGGTTTGACTGTCGAGACCCGAGGTGGGCTCATCAAGGAACAAAAGTAGCTGGGGCTTGGCTGCCAATTCGACTCCAATCGTAAGACGCTTGCGCTGTTCGACATTGAGACCTATGGTGCATTAGCTCTGCAACATGCAAGTGAGTGTATACGCATGGCTTACCTTCACCAGGAACACCAACAACGGCGTCGGCATATGCTTCCATGCCAAGCAATTTGATGACCTCCTCCACGTAATCGAGCTTTTCCTGGCGGCTGACATGGGCGGGCTGACGAAGAATGGCGCTGAAGCGCAGGGCTTCTCGCACGGTAGTAGTGTGAAGATGAAGATCCTGTTGCTGCACGTAACCAGTCTTGCGCTGGAAGGACTGATCGCGAGGGCGACCGTCAACCAACATTTCACCAGTAACCACACCCATTGTCACACGAGTAGCAAGAACGTCCAGAAGGGTGGTTTTACCAGCACCAGAGACACCCTGTGAGATCGATTAGCACACACACACACACACACACACACACACTGTCAGCCGAGAGGCTTGGATTGCTTACCATAAGCGCAGTGCAGGTTCCGGGCTTGACCCAACCATCGACATGGTCGAGAATGCGTCGGGGCTCACCCTTGATCTTGATATCGTAACACACGTCTTGCCAGTGGAAGATGGCCTCTTGTCTTTGGATAGCAGCGTTCTCATGACCACTGGACCGGTCGCTCTTCTCGCCGGCGGCGACTTGCTGGGCCGTTTCAACATCTTCGAGACTAGCGGGGGTTTGACCACGGCGGAAAAGCAAGACTTCACCCTTAGACTTGGCCTCCGAGATGTACTCGGTAGCGAGCAAGTAGGTGCACATGAGGAAGATCATGAAGCCGAACATGATACCCAGGTTGCGCCACTTGTGGCTGTCATAGTACTGGAAACTCTGGTGGAGGTAATCATCGCCCTCGACGTAGGTAGATCCAGCAACCGCACCAACAGTGGAACAGATTTGATTGGCAATGGACGCGTTGGCATAGTTGGGAACAAGCTCAGACTCGGAGCAGGCGAATCTCCGGTGGTGGAACTCATTGACCATCAAACTCTCAAAACCGTACGCAATGGGATTGATGTAGTTCATCCATCTGGACCAGCCAAGCATGTATCGGGTAGGGATGGTAAATCCAGTGTAGATGACCAGACCCAAGATAAGAATGGCGGCAGGCACCAGAGCCTGGGAAAGCGTGCGGGAAGAGGCGGCGATGGTACGGAAAAGCATGGACATGGTCAGGGTCGTGACGAAGGAGAACAGGAGGAAGACGAAGAAAGCTCCTGGGGTACGGCGAAGATTGGTCATGAAATAGAGCGTGATGTTGAAGATGATGGCATTTCCAATCTTATACGGCATATCACAGAGCATGGATGCGATGGCTTCGGCGAACGGGTGGTACATGGCGTAGCGAGATTGTTTCTCGACAATCGGACGTTGAGCGTATAGGGTCAGAATCTGGTGCCATTGTTAGTCCATGGTCCCAGGCACAGATAGGTCTAACTTACCTCAAGAGCACTGGAGAATGCGTTGAGCAACACGGCAAAGAAAAGCAGGGCACCACGAGAATAGAAACTAGACGTATCCGGCTGCAGATTGTAGAAGACACTTCCAATGATCAAAGCCATGATAAAGTTACCCACTAGCTGGGAGATGGTCAAACTAGCATCACCCTGGAGTCGTTGGAAACCTCGGATTAAGCAGAGCTTGACCTGTTCGTAGAGGGAGATGGTGTACGGGGACTTGACGCGCTGGTTCTTCGATTGCATAGCCTTGCGAGACTCAATGAACTTGCCAAGGGACTCGCCACCGATAGCATACTCTTGGTTGTACTCGGCAATTTCTCTCAGCAACTTCGCATGCGCCTCACTGTTCTTCCAAGCGGCGGCGAACTCGTCGGGCGTTTGCGGAACCCTGCCTTCGTAGCCCGGCTTCACAATGCGTTCCGAGGGGCTAGTCAGGGAGGTGAGGAAATCGGCAGTGGTCTGACGCTCGGGGCAATCGAATCCCATGTTGGTGAAGAACTCCCGGGCCTCATCGGTAGGGCCAAAGTAGATCTGTCGGCCCTCGTACAGAACAGTCACCTTGTCGAAGACATCATAAGCACTCTGGGAAGCTTGATAGATGGCCACAGCAACTGTGGCACCGGCATATTTTGTCATCAGATTCAGGGTCTTGCAGAACTCCAGCGCGTTTGCACTATCCAAACCACGAGTACTGTTATCCCAGCATTGCAGAGGACTTCCACAAAGAGTGGCTTCAGCGATACTGACACGCTTCCGCTCACCACCACTCACACCGCGGACGAAATCGTTACCGACGCGCGTGTTGATGGTATGAGACAGACCCAGCATGGCCATGACAGCATCGCGCATGTGGGTGGCATACTGTTCCTTCGAGACGCCAGGGAAACGATTGCGCGGGCAACGAGAAAGGGCGGCGAATTTCAGGGTGTCGCCAACAGTCAGTTGAGGGAAGTGGACATCAGTCTCGGCAGTGTAGATGGCTTCGCCTTTGAACTGCTTCCGCATCTGCTTAGCCGAGATACCCTGGTAGTTGAGTTCCGAGGATTTATCCATGTAGATGCCGTTCATTTCACCGGCGAGGGTTTTCAAAAAGGTCGAACATCCACTTCCAGGGCGACCGAGGACCACCAGCATTTCACCGCTCTTGACGAGGCCATCGAAGTCGCGCAGAATCTGGATCTTCTGTTTTCCAGTACCCGTGAGCTTGCGGACAAGGGCACCGACTTGCAGCACCGAGTTGGCAACATCTTTCTGATAATCCGTTGGACTACCGAACCCATGAACACTGAGGTTCTGGAACGAAACACCGGCCTCGCGCTTAGGATACCGTTCGGGGTCACGCGACGAAAGAGCCAACAAGTTCTTCATCCAATGCTTGGCCTTGAAATTCTCGCTATGCGGGTTCAGGGTAGAATCTTCCTTGACCTCAAGGAAGGGATTCTCTGCATTATGACTAACAGAGAACCTCGTCGATTGGCGCGTCAATTGCTGCGCCAGACGAGTGACTTCCTCCTCAGCGGCCTTTTCATCCTCGGCAGCCTCCTCACTGCTGTCATCGCGCTTGTCCATGGCGGTTTCGGCGCTGCTCAGGGTGCTCTCGTCCCTCTGGTCAGCTCTGCCATATCCGGGCGTGAGACTGTCGTAATGCTCTTCATGATGGGTCGTATACACGGTGTGTTCCTCGCGGATCAAGTCCTCAGCTCCTTCGTTCACGGCGGCAGCTCTTTCGGCGGCCTCGCCTTCGTTCTCGTTTTCGTGGGCGCCTTGGGATTCCACTGCGCGGCCCGGATTAAAATTAGGGTTTATGGTGCCTAGAAGCGACATGGTGATTAGGTAGGAGGGAGACACGCAGTCTCAGACTGAACGGGGTCAACGTGGAGAAGCCACGAGCATAGGAAGGATTAAGGACGAGAATGGAGGGGGGCGAATAGTAAGAAAAAAGAAGAATTAAGAAGATTAAGAGATATAAGGACCCGAAGGGGGAGAGATATAGTGGAGGTGTAAAGAATGACAGGTGGATTGGAGGAGGGGAAAGAGGAGGAGAAATAAGTGAGCAGACGCTAATCATAAAAGTACCTGAACTAGGTAGACAACAGCGATACGTTTGCCCCGTAATCTGAACCCTCTCGCGGTGCAAGTAATCTACGAAAAATCTAGCTAAGGCGCCCCAAGTCTGGGCCCCCGTTTTTAGTATCAAGTCGGGTCCCCATCGCCAGGATCGAATGGCGAATGGCGAATGCCAGAAAGTTCGGCGAGAGATTGTGGACGAATCGGGATCAGGCACCAGAGCCTATCCGGCCGTGATCCACTCGGCTCTGCGACTTCTCCGTGCGTACCATCCCCGTATGCCCGTATTCTCCCTGCTCCAATACGCAGCGTACGAGGCTAAACGCAGTCCAGAGCATCGGAGATATATGATCGTTGCTTCGTAAGTCCGACCATATATAGGATCGGGAGGGACATCCACTGCTTGATTCTCATGCTTGAAGCCTTGAACAGTGACTTTTCCATGATCGTGGACCGAGATAACAGGAAAGGAGATCATCACCACCAGCTGTTTTTATGAGGCCGTCAAGGTTCTAGGGGCATTCCACGCCATGGAGACCGTTGTCTGGTACAAATCTGAGGTAAGCCTCAGCATGTCCATACTCCATAATACTCGATATGCAGACGATAACACACGTCACAATCACTCACGATGGCTCACTCATATCACCAATCACAATCCCCAGCACCAATTACTCCATACGGCACCAAACACCAACACTACCCAATTGACATTTACAATCAACCAAGCAAGATTATAAATCCACCGAAACCACTCCTAATTGCAGGAGAACGAATCACACCAAAATCCAGAATTCTGTGTGCGGCCTGGAAAACGTGGCGAAGGAGGTTCGGCGCTGAGCGGCCTTTGACCGAAACAGGCATGGCAGCTGCCCCGGTGGGGCCCGGGTGGGGCGGGACTCCAGCCATCCGAGGCCCGGCCATTTTCTCTCCTCGCTGCCCCTTTACGGTACCGTATCGGAGGAGTGGCTATCCGAGATTGCGGTACAGAGCTTAATGCGAGGTGGGTGGTGCGGGTGTGTCAGCTATACTTGGCATAAGCTGGGGTTGATCCGATCTATTGAATGTAGGTGTAGATATGATATGTTTTGGGCCCTAGTAGAATCAAATCTATATAACAGTAGGATCTCGCTTGAAGACTGGAATGTGAGATCTTTGGTCTGACCCTACCATGCAAGGAGAGGACAGCATGTTTCCCCTGCTGTGCACCCATCTGTGACACTGTGACTGGCGACTATCCCAAGCCAATCAACCAACCCATGACGGAACAAGATCGCAGCCTGAAGCTAACCTTCACTTCAGCACGCTCCAGGATTCCCAATCAGTAATCAACACGGATTGTTTTCGTAATGCTTTCAGCCTAATCATCCTAAGCATCATTAAGGTTCATCATCGGGATATGCTAAGTTCCGGGTCTGTTACGATACGGTGGTATCGATATGATGTTGCGATGCATACACCTCTCCGTTACGTGACTATGTCCCGTGCTAAAGCTTACATCCAACCTAGATAGTAGACACTCATTCTACTACTCTTCTGAGTTCTGCGTGACTCAGACGACTCGTCATGACTCGGTTACCTAGCAGGCCCGCAGCCGCTTCGGATGGTGCAGATTCCGGGCGGCTCTCTTATCAAGATCCTTCCGGACACCTGCACATGACACTGCTAGTCTGCTGGAGCTGGCCAGGGTCGGTGATTTTCCTAGCTCCTAAACACAGAACACACAGAGGCTCTTCTCCAGTCATCGGTCGGTTCATTATCGTAAGCTTGTTATTACATGGTACAGCCTGAGAACCCTGCAAACCATGTCGGGCAGCTCCATTCTGTGCCATCCATGATGCAAAGATACAGATACATACATTCGGCCTATTCCTCATCCTCCTCGTCGCTGTCGTCATCAATCGGCTCGACCAGAAGGTTCCCTCCGCGGCCGATCTGGTCCCGCACGGATCCTCCAGCATTCACCTCGTAGACCACCCGCGGCATGGGCGAAACCAATCGGAAGCCATACTGGTGTTCGAACCCCTCCGGTTTCAGGACCTCGCCGGCTTTCTCCGTGGGCTCCTTCAAGATATCGTAACACTCGACGAACGCGTAGAGCTCATCGAGAGGAGCTTCAGGCGCAAACTTGCGGATGACGCGCTCGCCCGAAGGCAGTCGAATACTAATACGAACAGCATCCTTGACGTCCGGTCCGGGTTCCTCCGGGATGGATTGTGCCCGCCATTGTTTCCATTGCGCAAGATCGTGAATCCGCTTCTCTTCCGCCGCTTGACGTTCGGCTGCCTCTTGTTCTTCTCTTTGACGGGCCGCCTCCTCTTCTCGCCTCTGTCGCGCCCGTTCTCGGTCGATGGCCAGTGAACGTTCGTAGGCGGAGTCCTGCTGCTCGCGGAGACTGCGCGATGCCTGTTGCTCTGCCCGTGTAGCCCGAATGCGCTCGAGGGGTTCTTTGTGCTGCGCAATAGCCGACCGGAGTTTCTCCACGAACTCTGCCGGGGACGTCGTTCCAGAGATCCTCGAAACCACGGACATTGCCGTCGAAGAAACATTAGGAGTGTGGACGATCGCCGCTGCAAAGGGGAATTTGGTGCACCGGAGGGAATTCGACACCTGATACGCCTCGGAGTCTTGAACGTTTCCTCCCCAGACAAGGATACTGTTCTGTTGGTCATTGACAAAATCGGTTACCTCCCGGGAAAGGAGAGTGTCGCGAACCCAACTATTCGTATCATCGTGCTCCGGGGCTAGCAGCACAACCAGAAGGAACTTGAGGTCCCGATGGGCCTTCTCCAACGCCATGTTATATCCATTCTCGAGGAACTCGATCGAGTTGGTGCCATATTCCTCCTCAAATTCCCGAATAAACCGGGCGGCCGTGTCCTTGGGCCCCAGCGCCCGGCGTCCATTGGTGTTCCTCCGGGAACCCTGAAGAGCAGGGCTTGCGGTCGTATTAAAGAACCGTGGGAGAAAGGGAAAGAGGGCCCCAAATAGGCGGAAGGAGCTGTAGAGTAATCGGTATAGGAGATTGAGCGGCGTAAACAGAATGGCTAATAGGAACGGCGGGCGATAGACCGACTGGTCTTCCGGTTGGGTCGTTATCCGGGGAGCCGGCTCAGCGGCACGAGTGTTGGGGGCGAATTGCGCAGCAATATCATCGCTCATAAGATTCTGGGTCTGCCGGCTGGGTCGCGGAGGAGGGGTATTGAGAGCAGCACGGGCTTCTTCGACGGGATCCGGCCCTTCCCCGTCAAAGAACTTGGAGATGGCGATCTAGGACCAGCAGCACGTCAGTTCCCTGGCCTTTGAGACTCGTCGGCTGTGATGCTTACCTGCACGTTCCATTGTGAGCGGCGCAACAAAGGAATAGCCTCTGAGTGCTCCTGACCAGTGACGGCAATGTAGGTTTCAAGGGCCGACCTCTCGCTGTCGGAGAGCTCCGAGATATCAAGCCCGGAGGATGACATGGTCAATTGACGGTCTCACCCATGAACGACGGGTCTGAGGGGGTAGGGAGGCCAGTGAAGCTGGCTTCAGTGATGCGGTATAGACCAGACTCGGGGGTTGTGTCCGGAGATCGTAACCGAGCGCCAGGTAGAGGCAATGTCAATGACGGATACAGCAATGACTTTGCAGTGAGAAGAAGAGGGATCAGATCCGTGCTGATTCCAGGACAGGGCCGAGTCGTAGCTGGAAGATGGGTGGGAGAGGAAGCTCGGGAGGCGGGCTCAGAAGGACAGCTCCGTCATGGCCGTTTCCAGTTAGCCTTAAACGCGCGCTTGACGCATGGGGTGGCCCGTGCACGGGACGGAGTTCGACGCCTTGCCGTCGAGTTCCCCTCTCCCCTCCCTCCCCCCGCGCGCCCTTGGTTCGGATGTTGCCTTGCGGTCTCTGCTTTGCTACCTTGTCTTCATCCATGGCATGAAATTTCCGTCCGATATTGTCTCCGGACGACTTGCCATCGATTGATTCGGTTGTTTCCATCGCTCACCCGGTCGAAAGGGGCGCCAATCTCACCAGCCCAGCCCGTCCTTGGCCGTTGCGGAACATTTCCCCTGCCATCAGCCACCATCAGCGACTATCTCCTCGACAAGTCTACCAAAGCGTCTGGGGTTGTCGGACTAGTCTGCGGGTCTTCTCCACCGGGGAATGTGGTATCCTCTAGATAGATTAGGTCGACCGGTTTTTCTTGACTCAATGGATATACCTCTCCGTTAATCCGCGCCCAACTGTGGATATACGAAGTACCATGGCTACCACGGGGAAGTCAGTTACGCTGGATGACGCCCGCCGTGGGACGGGGTCTCCAAAAATGAAGGCACGAGGTTAGTTTGCTAAGACCATGTCGCATGGGACGCCGCTCGGGGGAATCAACCGTCACTGAAGCTCCCATCGGCTCGTGCTCTTTGGACCGTCCAGCTAACTTTGCGACATCCTGACCTTCTAGAGAATGCGAAAGACACGCTTTGTCGCAACGTGACCATCTATGGTCGATGCCGGTACGAAGATAAAGGTGCGGCTTTTCCATTGTTCCACCTGACATGCTCGCTGGATCCGTCTAACCGTCCATGGTTTGTGAAGGGTGCGCGTTTAATCATGACCCGCATAAAGTGAATGCGTCATATCAGAGTGACAGGTTGGTCATCCGGAATAGCAGCGCTGAAGTTAAAGTGAACGGTGACTCACGATTTGGCAGCAATAAAAAACGGCTCAACGTCGACTCTCCTAGTTTCACCCCATCCATCTTATCATCCAACGGCTCGTCTCCCACTTCTTCAGCAGCAAGTATGAAGAAAATTACAACGATATCGCCCAAGGCTGCGAGCGCAGCTCCCTTCCAACCCAGGAGTATATCCTCAAGTACGTTATTTGGGCTTGGAATGCGACGGTTGTCTGACCATATCAGGATCGAACTCGAGCACTCCTACTACACGACCGGGCACAATGACCCCCGATTGGTCTGTGGCAGAGGTACAGGAATTTGTACCTCAGGGCTTTGATACTTCGCATATGGTAAGCTGCCAGTGGGTTGGGTTTGTTGCCGGGTTGGTGCTGTCTCGCAGAACTAACCATGTTACAGGGCAATGGCAGCGCTGGTGTTCCCAGCACGAGCGCCTTTGATCCTTTTGTGACGGCCCCGAATCCGCTTTCCGCAGCCAGCGCTGTCGGCCCAGTGCAGGCCAATCCCTTTTCTCATGACACTGCGGCGGCGTTGAACGGGGCATTCTTTGCGAATCAGTCCGGATTTCAGCAGCCAGTGAGTCATTCAACCTCCCTGATACAGAACATGTTACTCATTTGTCAGGTTCAATATCACCTGTATGCGCCGATCGGACCTCATAGTCAGAACACCCTGGGCTATCAGCGAAATGTGCATGACCTTTTTCTCCCGAATGACCTCCGTGAAGAAATGCAGAAGAAGTCGGCCGCCACTCTCCAGACCCTGCCTAGTACGTTGTGTTCTTCGTGCACGCATGTATTCGACGCTGACTTGAATAGATACCCAACTCCCGGCTCAGGTTGATTACTTCCACTCCCTCGTTCCACTGGATCTCAACCATCAGAAAAACGCAACCATTTTTGGATTTCCCAGCTGGGTTTACAAAGCTCAGTCCAGTAAGGATGGGAACTTTTATGCTCTGCGGAGGCTTGAGGGTATGGTTTCTTCGATTACAAGTTTCTCTGTGGTACTAACGGTCTGCAGGCTTCCGATTGACGAATGAAAAGGCTATTCGCTCCGTGCAAGCCTGGAAGCGGGTATGCAACGGCAGTGTCGTGACGGTCCACGATGCGTTCACCAGCCGAAGCTTCCAGGACAGCTCGTTGATCTTTGTCACCGACTACCATCCCCTGTCGAAGACGCTTGCGGAGCAGCACCTCGGGGCAGGAAATCGATTCCAGGGCCGCCATAATACGCATATCCCGGAACAGGTCATCTGGGGTTATATGACTCAGATTGCCAACGCTCTCAAGGCGATCCACAGCAACGGGCTCGCTGCCAGGATTATTGATGCCAGCAAGATTTTGCTGACTGGACGGAACCGCATTCGGCTGAATGCCTGCGCCATCATGGACGTTGTGCAGTTCGACACGCAACGGTCGCTGGCCGAACTGCAGCGGCAGGATCTCGTCAATTTTGGGCAGTTGATTGTCACCTTGGGCGCGAATCAGCCCACCGTGATGCACAACCCTACGAAGGCGATGGATCATTTCACGCGGGCGTACAGTCCCCAACTGAAGAATTCGGTCTTCTGGCTGCTCAACGGACTCCAGAAGGATCAAGACCGCAACATTGATCTCTTTATCACGGGCATCTCGTCGCAACTGATGTCGACTTTCGATTCGGCTCTTCACCTGGACGACCAACTGACGTCGGACCTGAGCCGCGAGCTTGAGAACGGGCGCCTTGTACGGTTGATGACCAAACTGAACTTTGTGAACGAACGACCGGAGTACGAGCATGATCGGCAGTGGTCCGAGAACGGGGAGCGATACTTCCTGAAGATCTTCCGCGATTACGTCTTCCACCAGGTGGATGCGCAGGGTGACCCGGCGGTGGATCTGGGGCATGTGCTGATGTGTCTGAACAAGTTGGATGCAGGGTCGGACGAGAAGATCACGTTGGTGAGCCGGGACGAGCAGAGTTGTTTTGTGGTCAGCTACAAGGAACTGAAGAAGGCGCTGGAATCGTCGTTCCAGGCGCTGTTGAAGCCGGCAGGACGACGGCTTCATTAGGCATCTATCTTCTACGGAAGGTGATATATATGATGGATAGTAGGGTTACGCGACACGACCGAGGAATGGCTCGTGGATGTTTTATGCCTGGCTCAATCTAGGACAGTCTGGATGTACGCTGTGGGCTCGGCGGGCATATACTGAAGATAAGATGTTGGTTAGATAGGTCGTTGCTTTTATGCTTACAGAATATCACATCACACATTCAATTTACAGTTCAGTCCAATGGCCGTAGTCCTCATCCTGTAGCCACTCCCCTGCCTCCTCCTCACCATCTCCATCAAAATGAACAAACCCCTCCAACCTCCGCTTCACCTCCTCAATCCCCATCCCCATCCCCATCTCCTCTGCACCCTCCTCAAGAATCTCTCCCCCCACCCGTCTCGGCGGAATCAACACCCGTCCCAGCACATGCACATTCCCCTCCTCCGCCAAAAGATCCGCCACCCGAACACGCTGGAACCCATTAACCCGCAGCGACGCATACGGCCCGAACCGTCCCACATCAATAATAACTTCCTCTTTTTCATCCCCCTCCCCTTCTCCCTCCCCATCATCCCCACCCCCTCCACCTTCTCCATGATGATGGCACTTAGACAGTAGGGTCTGCACCTCCAACCTGACCGAATCCCTCATCCCGAACTCGACAATCTTCCCCTCTTTCGTATACAATGTATCCGAGTAGACGGTTTCCGAAGGGACGATGTGATATTCTAGGAGGGCTTTGAGGTGGTGGATGCCACGGGGGGAGTTGAAGAGCCATGCGAGGGTTTGGGGGGAGAATGTGGTTTTGAAGGCTGTGTTGGTGGGGATGAGCAATGTCAATCCCCCCTTTTGGTTCTTGGTGTTGGTGGGGGGGTTGGTGGGGTTGTTTTGGGGTGTAAGGAATAGGGAGGAGGTGGTGGTGGTGGAGGGGGTGGAGAGGTTCAACCACTCATCCAGGCCAGTTTTGTAGAGTGCTAAGACGAAAGTGCTGAATTCGGACGGGACGAGGTTAAGGAGTGTCAGGGAGGGTGGGGGTGGGAGGAGGATGGAATTCAGGTGGTAGAGGTTGCCGTTGGAGGCGCGGTGGTCGAGGGAGGTGATGCGGGCGTAGAAGTTGAGGGTGAGGCCTTTCCAGGTGGAGCGGATGGTGAGGCGTTGGGGGAGGGGGGTGTGGGAGGAGGAAGAGGGGGTGAGAGCGGCGGAGGTTAGGGTTGTGGGGAGGGTGTGGGTGTGGAAGAGTTTGGCGGGGGAGTAAGTGCCGTTGATGGTGTGGTAGTGGAGGATGGAGCGGATGAAGGATTTGGGAGGGTTGCGGGTGTGGTCGTGGTTGTGGTCGTTGTCGGGGTCTTTGTTTTCTTTGTTGTTGTTGTTAATGGTATTGTCATTGTTGCTGGCATTGTCGTCTTTGTCGTGGTGCCGGTGGTGGTGCCGGTAGTGTCGGTGGATTCGGCGAATGGCGTCGTCCGTGGGAGCGAAAAAGGTCAGATTGGCAGCAGTGGCATTCAGCAGATCGGTGAGGTGTTGGTCGTGGCTGATGAATTTGGCGAGGATGGTGGTGTCTGGGTCTGAGAGGATCAGATCGTAGAGACTCTTGTTGGAGGGCGGGTGGCGGTGGAAGGGCGGCGGGGACGGATGGCGGAATGGCGGGGGCAGCTGGGACAATTCCTGAGGCAGGTTCTCCGGGTTGTCGTCGCGTGTGAGAAGGTCGTCGAGGTAGGTGGCCCAGGTGTCGGTCGTGGAGCTGTGCAGGGCACCGGCCAGCGAGGTGGTTAGACTGTCGATGTCGAGGAGGTCCAGCTCCAGATCGACATCGACGTCGGTGACATCTTGCAGAGGTGTTTGGGGGAGATGGAAGGCGGAGGAGAGAGGGAGGGCCACGAGGGGCCAGAGTGGGAGCTTCATGTTGACGTGCCACTATACAAATTATGTGCAGATATGGACATGTACTGGATACTGATCGGGGTGAGTGATGGCTGTGTTGATATGGATGATATATTTAGACGGCCGATCATGATGATGCGACTATCTAAACACGATCGAGACTAGCTCCAGCCTGCCGACGGGCCCAGACCCGAATCTGATCCATCGCGTCGTCAGCCGAACTGCCAGTTGGTGCTCTCTCCCAAGGTTCATGACGACATCCACTGATGTCATGGCCAGTCATGACCGAGAGACCATCATTCTACGCAGATAGATGCCATGCCAGATCTACCATTGTCTTCCAATTGATTATTTTGTTCGGTGTCCGCGCATCCCAATGCAGGTACAATATCAACGCTCAAGGCGCACATAATACATTATCATCGGCCTCGTAGAGGTAATCACCGCCCAGGGCGGACTCATCAACAAACACACGCAGACTCGACATCGTCTGGATCGTGAGCCATCGTCGTCATTCATCACGCGACGGTGCCACGGCTGGTTCAGAGCCTAACAGGCCATCTAGCTGGTGCATGCGTCTCGAACATGCTTACTCTTCGGGCTGCACAAAAGGATTGGCGATTTCCTCGCTGCCGTCGGCGGGCGAGATCAAGACAATCAGAGTGCCACGGGCCACAATCAGACCGAGCGAGCGAGTGTTCTCATTGCCCTCATCATCTAGTTCCGTTAGCAACAGTAAAGCAGCAAGGAGGGAGATACCTACCGCGCATGCCTTCCTTGACATCATCTAGGACCAGGTTCATGAGCTGGTCGTACCCCTTCAGCAGACCCGTAACTAGAATCAGTGAGCAAGCGGTGCAACAAAGCCAAAGCCAAAGCAAAGTAGCTTACCCTCGCGGCCACCGTTGAACTTGACGCGCACCTCCTTGTCCATGTACTTGTTGAGGTCGAGGATGTTCTCCTTCTTGGGCTTCTCCTGCTGCTGCTGGGCACCGCCACCCGCACCGCCACTCTTATGGGCGCCACGACCAGCGCGGTCGTAACCTCCGCCGCGGCCGCGGGCACCTCCACGGAACGAACCTCTTTCGGACATGCTTGGCTGGCTGGGTTAAGACGGTAGTGGAAGTATGTACGTGGGTTGGGTTGGGCCCAATTAAAGTGGTGTGGATTAGATAATGCGGTGTCGGGCAAGAAATGAGGGGAAGGAGGGGAAGAACGGGGATGAGAAGTGACACAGGTGGTGGTGCTGGGATCAGGAATGGCACCGGTGTGTGGACGAAAACCAGATTGGGCCCGACGGGGATTCACGGGGGCGGAAAGGACAGCGAGAGTGATGGAGAGGAGGGGGGGGGAATGTATGAGGGATTTTCTGCGGTAGAGCAGTAAAGCAGCAAAGCAGCAGAGCAACAATCGGACTCGATCACCTCAACCAGACAACCGCAGCTGCAACTCAAGACGTGCTCAGGTCACGGGGTCGACGCCGGGAGGAAAACTCTTTACGGGTGACACGGTACGAAACAGGCCTGTCACGGACGGACGCTGACGGTACCTGACCACCGGGCCGGCCTAGCGTGTATCGTTCATCCATCGTCGGGGGGAAGTGGCTGGAACACGGCCTGTCCCTCCTGTTGCTATTTGCGACGCGCTTTTCTATGAGCGGTTTTCACTTTTTAGGCAGCCGTCTTCACCGACCGGACCTTGCACAAGGGGACGTCCCCTGTCATTTATATCCCCGTTCGACTAGCGGTCCAAAATAACCGCATAGGTCGGTGTCACGGAAGGACGGAGCTCATCGATCATCTGGCTTCGGCTCACCACGGGCGGAGCGCGACCCCCGTCCGAAGGATGAGCTGGCCCAGGCCGGCTTCCGAGCGGCTCCCTGTGCAAACTCTTCCTTCACATTGGGGTTTGCTATCACGCCAGCCTGACAGACCTATTGGACCACTCCCGCAGGGTCATCGCCATCCCCAACCAAAAAGATGAAAGGACAACGTGTCGCTACTCGAGATTGGACAGTGGTCGTGGTGCTGGTCGGGTGGTCCGTCCGCAAGGGGGAACCCCAGACGCATGCGCTTGGGGTCGGAGCAATGCTGATAAGGGAGGATTGTCGGAGATGCAGCTCGGGGATGCTCTGCTTTGGTGCTTCTGTCGATTGCTTGTGATTACGGAATCGATCAGTGCCATCTACTCACAACATGAGAGCCTTCGATGACCGCCCTAGGCGTCTACAGGAGTTAAATGTAGGAGGGAGTATTAGGAGTAGGTAGGAGGGTAGGACAGGCCTGGTCTGGCCCCCGGGCTGATAATGACAGTATGGTCATGACGGGTCACGCTCACCGAGTGGCCAGCGGAAGAGCCCGGCGGGACTCCGCCCTACCTTAGGTAAGCCGCATCGCGAGCCAGATTCAGTCCTCAAGTCAAAACGGAGTCGTTCGATCCCCGCCTCCTTCTCATGGCAACTGGGATATGGGGAGGGTCGCCAGGTGCACGGAGGACAGACAGCAGCTCTCTAGAACCCAACCAGACCTAGTAAACATTGACGGGGACCATCCCTATCGTCGCAGCGTGATCAGGCTACCATTTGTTTTGCGGAAGATCGCCATCGCCCACTTGCAGGCCTTAGCTCGGTCCACTACAATCCCAATCATCCCCCATCCTTCCATCCTCTCGCCCGTTCCGCCATCCGCAGCGTCACCAGCACCCGGATGGCCCTATCATTGGCCACCGCTTCCACCGTGCCGTCCCTGCATTCTATCGTTCGAGTTGCTAAGGACGGTACGACTTATCTAGTATCTAGCAGGAGCAATTCTTCTTATCCTGTGCGCGTCTCTACGAACCAGAAGGAGCACCAGAAGCAGCACCAGAACCCTCCGACCCCAACGGGGAACCGACTCCGTGCTAACCCGCCTAACGGCTCCTCGTCCCTCGTCCACCCGGCCTGGTTTGTCCTGCTAATCTTTCCAGGTTGCCTCCCCCGTCTCCTCCTCCTCCTCTGCTGTCTCCTCACTCTTTCTCCTCTCCGTCCTGTCCTCTCCTCCCTCCCCCATTTCCCCCCCATCTCTCTTCTTCCCTCTCCCTCCCTCTTCCCACTCCCACCCCTTCCCTCTACCCAATCTCAGGGCCGTCTCTCAATCTCTTTCCCCCCCCCCCCCCCCACGTTTTCTAATCTCCCGTCCACTGGATTCCCCCCCTCATTTTCCAAAGATTTCGTTGGGGGTCGCGATTACCTAACTCGAAAGCAGCACGCGCAGCCCAGTGGCTGAACCTGAACCCGCACTCTGGAGCCTGATGCTCCGCCATCGGCAGCCCGTCTTTCGCCAGTGTTCCCATTACTCATTCCCTCTATAAACCCTTTTTCTCCTCTTCCCATTTTTCCCTTCCCCGCCCCGTCTTTTCTCCTCGCGACTTCTCGCATTGTTGCAATCTCCCTTTCTTTGGTCGCCTCTTTCACCTGGCACCGCCGCCATGGAGTCCCGAACCGCGACGGCTGAGCCGCCCAGTAAACGGCCTCGCTCACCCTCCGGCGATTTCCCTCCTATCGCGTCCAAAGTGCCCAAGACGCATTCTAATCACCTGCAAATCAATTATCTGGCCCGGCAATATCCGGACAACCTTCCCCTCGTCTCCGTCGATGATACCATGCCCGCCATCATCCATCTCATTGGCGAATATGACGGAGTTTTACATCGGCACGAAAGCATCGCCGGCAACTTGGGCGCGTGCCCCTTGGGCCCCATCCTGATTAAGCGCTTCGAGCGCCTGTTCGACGGGCCGCCCCGCGTGCTCAAGTCGCATGGCAAGGACTCGCCCAACGTGACCTGGCTCGATGTCGTCGAGTTTGCCAAGAACAAGCCCGAGCAGTTCAACCTGGAGAAGTCCCGCAACGGGGTGCGGGTCTGCCAGTTCTACACCAAGCAGTGTCGCGTCGAGATCAGCGAGGAGGACTTTGTGTTGATCGCATCGGGAATGCCGCAGAAGATGATTCCTCCGCAGCCAATCATCGAGGACGAGGAGAAGGAATTGGGCGCATTGGAGATTTTGGAGAAGAACCTCCAGCAGATCATCCAAGTGGCCGACCAGGGTACGCACGTCGTCTAATCCTACTAAGTCAAAGTCTAATTCAGCTCGCTAGTGTCGGCCCGCGCCCGCCAACTTAACCACCGCCTGAAGAACCGCCGTACGGCGATTGTCACGCGTCGGGAGAACGACACGTCTCTCCATTCCCAGCGGCAGCAGCAACATCGCTCCATCAGCCCGGCGTGGCGCGAGGCCAATGGCCACGGCCAGAACCCACTGAACGGCAGCACTCCGGCTAGCGCCCAATCTCCCTCCACCGGCTTTGTCGCCGTGAATGCCGGCCGGCCCGGCGCGGGCGAGGCCACAGTAGAGGAGAATGCGCTGTCGTCGCAGTTCATGTTCTCGCACTCCAACACGGATAACGTTACCATCATTAATGGCACCTCCATTAAGGGCGCCTCGCCGACGACGCGCGCCGAGCTGATGAAAAAATTCTTTACGACGCAGGACCGCCAGGCACGCGGCTACGAAGAGGGGCCCGAGTCTAGCAGCCGACAATCCTCCCGGCCCCGGCCGCGGGCGTCGGATGCAGCCGATTACAATCTGTACACGCCGGCGCCGGCTACAGTGGCTATTCCCAACACGCCATCCTCGCTGCTGCCCCCGCCCAAGTCCCACCACCACGAGAAGGATGACGGGGGCCCGCACAAGATGGAGATGGTGGCCCGCATGGAGGAGCTGCAGCGGGGCGAGCGCATCCTGCCGCCCTGCGATCGGTGTCGCCGGCTGCACATGGATTGCCTGAAGAATCTGACGGCGTGCATGGGCTGCACCAAGAAGCACGCCAAGTGTTCATGGAAGGATGTCAAGGAGGATGAGCTGCGCGAGACCCGCGTGGACCGCACGTCCCGGGAGCGGGCGGAGGACCCGCCGTCGAAGGAGGTGCCGTCGCCCAACCCCTTGCCGACCCCGTTGCCCGCGCCATCGTCCGCGGCCCCGACACCGGTCAGTGGACCAACGTTGCTGGAAGCGGAACGACATCGGGAAGCGGCGCGCCACCGGGAGGCCGAGCGACATCGCGAGCGCGAGCGGGAGCACCACCGGGAACATGAACGGGAGCACCATCGGGAGCACGAGCGCGAGGGGCCTTCGGAGTTCAGCGTGCGCCGCGAATCCGCGCCGACGGCAGGCCCGGTGGCGGGGATCACGCTGGCAAAGGAGGTGTCGCCGCGGCGGGCGATGAGCGAGATGCACGGGAGCAGCATGGTGGGCCATGATCGCCGGATCAGCCTGCACCGGCACGCGGAGGCCGAGGACGACGACCCGGATGCGAACCAGCGGTTGATGCAGGCGATTTTGGATACGGTGGACCACCACTCGCGGGTGGCGGCGGCGGTCAAGGAGGGCCATGAGGTGAGCAACGAGCGGGAGCGCGAGCGCGAGCAGGAGCGCGAACGGGAGCGGAAGCTAGTGCGGGCATAGTGGTTGGTGTATATTGGGAGGAGTTGTATCTAGGATTTTGATTGAGCGAGTTAGCGGATATCCCGGTTTGAATTATGATTGCATGCCTCTGCCACTCTGTATGCTATCTCTCTTGGGTCTCGTTGGAATAGCTTGTATGTCGGAGTTAATCATTGCCGCAGGGGCGCGAACTGCCGATGGACGATCCGCACCCCGCGGACTCTTTGCCTGGAGCCCGGCTACCTGCTACATGAATTCCCGATCAAGGCGGCCACTCTCGAGTCGGACCTTGGTCATCATTCCCCGTCTCCGAGGTGGATAGGGGCAACGGACTCGGGAATGGGCCAGTGGGCATAGCCGAGCGCGCTGAGTGATGCTTACGTAGTCCCCCATCCGGGAGGATCCAGCCAGTCAGCGGGCGTCACCCACACGGCTAGTTGAGCATCAATGTGGGGAACCGCCCACCTGCGGGGTGGGCGTGCCTTCCGACTTTGGTATACTTCTATATCTTCCGTCGCTCTTGCCTCCCCACAACAACTGATGCCCCTCCCCATCGACCCTCTTTCTTCCTCTCTTCGTCCTTTTGCTCCTATCTTTCTCTTTCACGTCTTCTCACCCATCTAATTGACCCGGAAAATCATCCCCCGTATACCCCCCAGAAACACCCAGTAAGGGAGAACCCGAAAATGGACCCCAGCGACGTCACCATTCCCCCCATGAAAGACCTCACGGTCGACAACATCACCGAGAACGTCATCCGGATCAACTCCCTCTGCCAAGACGAACGCATGAAATATGTCCTCGAGCGCCTGGTCACCCACCTCCATGACTTTGCGCGTGAGACGCGTCTCAGCACCGACGAGTGGATGACGGGATTACGCTTCCTTACGGAAGTGGGGAAGATTTGTTCGGATGTGAGGCAGGTAAGAAAACCCCCCTCCCTTTCCTCGCCCCATATACAACCCGCCCCAGGATCAATGACATGGACTGAGATGAGATAAAAATAGGAATTCATTCTCCTCTCCGACATCCTGGGTCTCTCCATCCTCGTCGACTCCATCGACCACCCCAAACCCCCCAACAGCACCGAAGGCACCGTCCTCGGCCCCTTCCACACACACGATGCCGAGCCCCTCGCTCCTGGCGCCTCCATCTCGCACGATCCCGCTGGCGAGCCTCTCCTTGTCGTCTGCACCGTCCACGACACCCACGGCAACCCCATCCCCAACGTGAAGATCGATATCTGGGAGACGGATTCGACGGGCCACTATGACGTGCAGTATCCGGGTCGGGAGGGGCCGGATGGCCGTTGTGTGATGACGAGTGATAAGGAGGGAGTGTTTTGGTTCAATGCGATCACGCCAGTTCCGTATCCCATTCCGCACGATGGGCCGGTGGGGAGACTGTTGAAGAAACTGGGCAGGCATCCGTATAGGCCTTCGCACATGCATTTCATGTTTGAGGGGGAGGGATATGATCACTTGATTACGTGGGTATCCCTTGTTCTTTGGGAGTGGGGTTTGGAAATCAGACCTGGGTGGATAATAGTGATCGTAGAAGCTAACTGATGGCATATGTGTAGGGCACTTTACCTCCGCAACGACCCCTATGAGACCTCTGATGCCGTCTTCGGCGTCAAAGACTCCCTCGTTGTCGATATCGGTCGTGCTGGTCCCGAGTACGCGGCCAAATACGGCGTCGCTGAGGATCACGCTCTGCTCACGTACGACTTTGTTTTGGTGTCCGATGAAGAGACGAGCGAGCTGCGCGCCAGGAACTCCAAGGAGGCGCTGGATAAACTGGGCCGCAAAGTGCGCATTGTCAATGGGTTGCCGGTGCCGGATCTGGATTAATCTAGGCCATCTTGATCTTCTTGGTATCATTCGTCCATTAGAATGCGGTGGTTGTATATACATCATTCATAATCCACATCAGGGGGCAGCATCCGCTCCCACCATGTCTCCAAAGTCACTCCCCAGGTCTTTCCCTTCCTCTGCCTGGACAGCACCGTCCTTCAGTCGGCGTAACCCTCCTTCGTCCTCCACCCACCCCCCAGCCTTCTCCACCCCGGCAATATACTCCGTCCCGATCCGCAGGTTCAGCCCGGCACTGAGCGCCCGCTCGATGCGCACCTCGCGACCCTCCGAGATCAGCACCCGGAAGACATGCTCGAGGAACCCACTCAGGATATCCACACTCCAGTCATCCGGCACGACGCGCAACACCTCGCCCACATCGAACCACGCCCCGAACCGACCCAGCAGGTCGCTTGTCCGCTCGATCCGCTCGGACGGATCCTGGATGTGCAAGAACTCGTCGAGCAGGTAGCGAAACAGCTCCGACTGCAGTGTCCGGTCCGCGAACTCGGCCAACGCCCCCGTCGAGCTGGTGCTGCGCGGTCCGCCGAAGAGGCAGTACCGCACTGCCGAGTCGTAATCGCCCAGCCCGTGCGTCAGCAGGTGGAGCGCCTCGCGGTGACGACCCTGCAGGCCGTCGAGGATCACGGACTCGGATACGAGCTCGTTTTGAAATGGCTCGATGCGCGCGAGCACCGCTGGGATGGAGTAGGTCAGGTTGCGGGATGGGAGGGATGAGAAGTGGCCGCCGCTGCCGCCGCCGAGGAGCTGGAGGAGTCGGAGTCGGGATTGCCACCATGGCTCGGCTGGGGTGTTCTCGGTGATGAAGTTCATGTAGGTCGGTTTCGGGGGTTGTAGGGCGCGATAGGTCGAGTAGGATTCGGCGAGTGAGGCACGGGCCTCCGGGGAGGACTCGAGGACGGAGAGCACGGTGTCGAGGTAGTAGGAGAGTAGGTCGTCCGCGTATTGAGTGTACTGGGGTTGTTAGTATGGGTTGATGGATAAGGGGGGAGGGGATTTACGTTTCGGACAAAGACGAGGTGTTCCAAGTACACCTGCACGGCGTTGGGCGCGTGTTCTTTGAGCAAGCGGACAACGTCCGGGGTCTCCAGCTTGACTCGGCTCGTGCCGTCGGAGAACACCTGTATACCCAGGGAGGGATTGCGCTGGGCCAGCCATGCTCCGTATTCCTCGACTAGCTGCACGTCCTTGATCTTGACGAGGTACCGGCGCATCTGCGCCTCCGTTCCACCGGTGGTAACCTCGCCGCCGCGGTCTTCCTCGCCTTCGATGATGCGTCGCCAGGTCTTGAGGACGTTTCGAGACATCTTCTGGCTCTGGTACAGTCGACTGAGCACGAAAAGGCGTCGGTAGCTTTCTAGCAGCGCCACTGCTCGGTCAAAGTTGCCCTTCCAGTTGTCCACTAGGCGGTTCAGTTCCGCGCGGACTGGCGAGTGCGAGCGCTGTTCAGCTGACATCTGTGCGTCTTGCTCCAGAATCAGGTGCAGGAGAGCTGCATCAACGCTGTCAAACACATACGTTTCATCCGTGATACTGCCATATCCCCTCTTTTGCTGCCAGGAGAAAAGGAATCGCTTGAGCATGTCCAACACTGTGCTGTCAGAAGTCCCACTCTTTGTCGTCTTCTCGAGCTGCTGCACGTAGGTCTCTGTGATCGCAGCCAGACCGGCATGGACCCAGATTCCCTGCGGGCCCTGGAGAACCTCGCGTCGCAGGAGAGGGACTAGCAGCAAGGCAATCCGGGGGTCCAGGTTTCCAACGATGAGCGCTCGTTCCGTGTCGTCGATAATCGTAGGCTTTCGCGCAGCCGGGTCCATGAAGACGAGGTCGGCAAAAAGAAGTAGACTAGCTTTCTGCTTCACATAGTTCAGTCCCAGGAATTCCGACTCGGACTTGGGCTCAGTAGTCTGCACGAGCTGGATGACATCGGCAATCGCATTCCTGTTGTAGACCCTTGAGTCGCCAGTGCCGGCCTCTTGAGCACCTTGCAGAGCATCGTTGAGCTGCGTGGTGAGTGGGTTTCTCACCACCCGCCATATCTGGTTGCCGTTCCACATCACCATGCTGCTCTGCGTCTTGCCCAGTTCACGCGCAAATCTTGCTTCTTCGGCGTTTCGCTCCGCCTCCCAACCGTGCTCGCCTTTCTTCGAGCCTTCGAAATCGGTCACCTCCTGGGCCTCGAATAGTTCCTTTTCCTTCTGTAGGTGTTCGATAGAGGCTTGCGTTCTCGGGTCATGCGTAGGCACATGGGGCGACAATGACGGAGTTTTCAGACGAACCATGCGCAGTAGATTCCCTAGCTCGGATATTTCGAGCTTGCTCGGGCTGAGTGTATGACATAGGCCAACCGGGGTGGGCTGGGCGCACGGTATTTCTACCCAGGTTTTGTGGTCCTCTGCCTCCGCGGGATCAACATCCCAGAGCTGTACTTCTAAGAACTTGCGTGGCTGGCCATCTGTTTCGGACTGGATGACAGCAAGAAGAAGCTCCTCTTGCGTGTTCTCCGGTGATGGTATCATGTGGTTTTCGTCGCCCTTGTCAATCACAATCGACTCCGGATACTTGTGGAAAGTTATCGTGCCGCGAACCACATCGCCGTCGACGTTGACAAACATCCCAACCCCGGGCTCGGTCGCATCGGTCCCCCTAACGAGCAGGAACTCTGACGGGGTTGGTGACAGGATGTAAGGCTTCAACTGTGTAGGCGGCTGCTTTGGTATGGCAGGAAGCGGTTTTCGATCATCTGGACTAGGCTGCGAGTCGCGGGCCGGGTGTGCGGGAGACATTCTTGGGGAAGCGCTGCCTGCTCGGTCTTTCGAGATTGACCGTCTCGGCGTCCCTGAAACAGGAGACAGCTCCGGGGTGACCGAGCTTGATCTATCGTGCGGGTGGGGTTGGGTTTTCGGCTGCAACATTCCAGCGAGCATGTTGGGACCGGTGGTTCTGTCATGCGTGTGGCTCTCTGCCACCGGCGAACTTGCAAACGGTGATGACGGGGATCTCGCTTCCATCTGACCCGACTCGAATGTCTCGCTAGAGAATGAGACGGGGAACAATTGAATCTTCTGCTGGTTTTCCACATCCAGTAGCGAATAGGTATGCGTATCAGCAGCGCAGGCGATTGGGCCTCGTCGCGACGCCACCAGGCACCCGGGAAACTCGATGTTCCTTATACGTCGAGCGTCATCGCCAATTCTCACCAGCATAATTCGGTTCGAGGCCGCAATCATAACTACCGGGTTCTCGAACTCCTCCGCTGCGTTCAAATCCAGCCCCCCAATCCAGCGACAACTGCTAACCTTGGTGTTCCCGAAGGCCGGGCTGAGTTCCGGCAACAGGTAGAAGGTTGCTGTTCCATTGCATAGGACACAGGCCTTGTTCACCGTCGGAAGTAGCACAATCTGCTGTATCCCGGGTAGCTTCGCTGACGGGGTTTGAGAGAAAGGTATTGGGAGTCTCGATGCGAGGATAAATGAGGGCTCGTTCGACTGGTCCGAGGGGTCCGGCGGGAGGCAGACGAAATGCAGGATCTCGGCGGCAGAGGTACCGATATAGAGGTTGTCATCTGGAAGAACCTAATTAGCAGTGCTTTCCCGGAAGCCATCGCAGTACCCACTCCAATACTCAACACAGGTAATATGGACATCATCGTCGTCATTGTCGGCATTCAAGGGTACTTGGTCGAAGAGGGTTCGAAACACGTAAGGCGCTGCTTTGGGAGGGCCAATCTTCCGGCGTTTGCGCGGGCTGACGCCCTCCTCTTCTGACACCATGGTGAGGCCAGCTCGGTGTCGTGTGAGATGTGGTGCCTGACAGGATTCGGGGAGTGAGGGGAAGGAAGATCAGGAACTGGGAGGAGCTTCAGTGCTTCAGGCGGGCGATGCTGGTCGGGTCGGGGTGGATCCGCCCGGGGTTAGCTGCTGACTCAGGTGGGCCCCCTGCCATCGCGATCGGCCAGGCATCTACAGGAAGTATACGGAGTATCCATGGTGCTCATGCTGTACGGAATCGAGTGTACGAAGATCACTGTGTCTGTGCTTGTGCTGGACTGCTTCTCTCTGTCGAAATAGGTTCGAATAATGGGTGTAATGGCTGTGGCAGGGTAGAGATCAAGTTGTGCCATCTCAATGGCCGGCTGTCTTCATCGCACCCGAGTTGAAGGAGCAGACTTTAGGTTGCAGCGTAGCACAATAGCACATATGATGCATCGCAAGCCACCGCCTGGCCGGGATCTCTGGGCCTATCTTTGCCTAAAAAGGTCCCATCTGAGACGAACGTGGCAGCGTTGCTATTAATAACGGGGCTGAACCACGATGGGTCTGGGACCTGCCGGCATGGTGTCCAGGAGAACTCATCTTGCACCGATCAGTGAGTGCTACTGCTATCATTGCTGAAGAGCCAAAGTCCATTCATTTGCCTGTTGCATCCGCTCACGGTTGTTGTTGTCGTCACGCGGTCGGAAGATCATCGGGCCGGTCGGCGTGTCAGGGCCTCCGCATCGCTGTAGTTAACTGGCTTCATTTACTTGTCACTCCGGATAGTGGTTGCCGGTCTGGTCTCGGATGGGGGTGTTGCGCTGACTTTCGACTTTCTGAGGCGGTTTGATATCAGAAATCTCCAACATGGACGCCTTCGCCATCACGGAAGGCATCGTCCCTGAGAACAACCAGGATGCCCACAACTCCGAAGCGGCCGCCGCCAAGTTGCCGGAAGGAGCTAACAAGTTCCAGCGTGCCATTGCGGCCTGGAGAGGTCCGTTGCTCTGCCCACGCATCCCCGGATCCAATCGGCCGGCTACTGACCCATCTGCTCAATGTAGGTATTGATCTGTCCAACACCATCGCAAAGCTAGACAGTACAGCCTCCGACATCGTCGCTGAGCAACGCGATGCGCTCGTTCAGCGAAAGGACCTCGCGCAGAAGACGAAAGACTTCCGGAAGCTAGACGATGCATCGAAGCTGACAGAGTATAAGGGTCTCCTGAAAGGTCTGTTGTCCGTCCACTGCAACCGCCAGGGCCGGCGCTAACAGCCAACAGCCTACCAGGGGTTTATCGATCTCCTCACGAACCAGGGAAAGGCCTCCTCGTCTGCGTTCTTGCAGCTATACTCGTCCTTGTCTGAGGCGCCCGATCCGTACCCTCTCCTCGAAGCATCCATCGATTCCCTCGTCCACTCCGAAGAAACCGTCCCCAAATTGACCTCGGAGCGTGATCGGCTGCAAGGCTCCGTCGACCGTCTTACCTCGCAGTTGGAGGATACCGAGAAGCGTCTGCAGGAAGAACGAGCGGCGAGGAAGAAGCTAGAGGAGAACCAGGAGTCGAAGATTAAGGAAGTCGAGGAGTCGTGGTCGGCAGTGCTGTCGGAGAAAACGAACAATTGGACGGCCAAGGAGAAGAGCTTGGAAGAGAAAGTGGAGAACCAGGAGCGCTTGGTGAAGGAATTGAAGGCAAGCTATGAGGTGTCACAACGCTTGGGCCAGGAAGACGAGGGTGGCGACGGCGCCCATGGAGCTAGCGCTGCGGAGCTGGAATTGGTGTCCGCCGAGTTGGAGAAGACCGGCTTGAGATTGGCGGAAGTCGAAGCAAGGAATGAGCAACTGACGCTCGAGCTGGCTCAAGCCGTTTCGCACTCGCAGTCGGGCCACGCGGCGTCCGTCGAAGACGATCCTGCTTATCTGCGTCTTCAGTCGGAGAACTCTTCCCTCTTGCGCAAGCTTGATGCTGCCCGGTTCGATAAGGAGTCCGAGCGACACTCATGGGAGTCCAAATACTCGCAGGCTGAGAGGCAGATCACCAACATTACTGCGGAGAAGGAAGAGCTGCGCTCGAAGTTGGAGAAGGTAGCCGACTACGAAGACATTCGTCGTGAACTGGAGATGATCAAGGTGGGTATTGCGATGACCTCGAAGCTCGACTGGCTAACTAACGTTGTGTAGTCTATTGAGTTCTCTCCCGGTGATGACGACGATGCTGCCGATCTTACGGACACTGCAAACACTAACGGCGCAGCTGCCAAGGCTCAGGATGGTTCCAAGAATAAGAATAGCCTGGAGCAGCTTTTGATGGCTCGGAATAAGAAGCTGACAGATGAGCTCACTATTTTGCGAGTATCTCATCGCGATCTGCAAGGTCAGCTTGAGGCGCTTCGCGATGATCTCTCAATCACGAAAGAGGAGCTGGAGAAGTCTCAGAAGCTGTCCACCACGCTTGAAAATGATCTTCTCCGTGTACAAGAGGAGGCTGCCAACGCATTCCCGTCATCAGCCATGTCTGTAGCAGGCACCTACACCTCCAAATACCCGCACTCATCCCGCCGGGGGGCTGTATCTCCCACCTCCTCCATCATCTCGGGCTTTGACCAGTCCGCCGCTTCCGCCAACGCCATGGATTCCATCCGTGCCGGAGAGCCGGTCGGAGGTGGCTCCGGTCTTTTGCCTATGATTCAAGCCCAGCGAGATCGCTTCAAGAAGAAGAATGCTGAGCTGGAGGAAGAACTGTCAAAGCTGTACGGTACGGTGAAGTCGCTGAGACAGGAAGTGGCCTCACTCCAGAAGGACAACCTCAGCCTGTATGAGAAGACGCGATATGTCTCAACATACAGTCGTGGTCCAGGCGCATCATCATCGGCATCTGCCTATGCAAACAAGCCCAACACTTCCTCCATTCACTCGTCCGCGGATACGCCGTCGGGGCTCTCCCTCGATCGGTATCAATCCGCATACGAGGCCCAAATCTCACCGTTCGCCGCTTTCCGTGGCCGCGAGTCTGCGCGTGCATACAAGCGCATGAGCCTGCCCGAGCGGATCGTATTTTCTCTCACCCGAATCATTCTCGCCAACCGAACCAGCCGGAACCTTTTCGCGGGTTATTGCTTTGCTCTACACATTCTCCTCTTTGTCGTGCTGTATATGATGAGTAGCATGGAGATCGAGAAGCACAGTAGCGCAAGCCTGGGTGCAGCTGCTGCGGCAGCCATGGCCGGTGGTGGTGTCGGCGGCGGTGGCGGCGGCGGCTATGGAAGCCAGCAGCTTCATGGAGACGACTGGCAGCAGGAAGGCTTTAACCACGCAAGTTAATCTTATGACTTATTGTATTCATAGCCCGTTGGGAGCGACGAATCATTCAGGGGCGTTTGTTGGTGGGCGGTTACGATCTGGTGCTGACTTTTCTATGTGAATATCCTATGTTCTTCTACAATGCAAATACTTCTATGTGTTGCTGATGCTCGAGTAATATGATACTCGGTGGTAATGATAGCCGATACGGTCACATTGTCAATCCTAGGCCATGTCCCTGCTCTACTGTAGAAGGCTGGTCACCCGGCCCTTTTCCAATATTGTTCTACCGATCCGCCGAGCTATCTGAATCATCTACAACGCCTTTCAGTGAAACATCCAGCCACGTCAGCCCCACCCCCCATACCATGCACTTCAGGGGTGGTGATGCTATGGGACTTATCTATTGGATGGTATCCAGTGAGCACGGACGGCCTAATGCAAGGCTGGCCTTGAGCGCTACATCAACATGCCTCGATACCCCTCATCACCTTCCAGCAAGGCTCCCACAATCCTATATAAGCTATGCTACGATCTACCACACTTCCCGAGCGAGTCGATCTTGTCTTCCGGTCAAACCGTTCCCAGATCTGCGCTGTTCGCCAAACCCAACTGGCTGTTAGCTATTCGCTCCTCATCAGCGCTTAACGTTACTGCAGATTGCTTGCGTCCCAGAAATTACGACGGACAATAATACTTATTACTATCGCCCAATATGCTCCGAGTACACAAGATGAGACAACATCCTAAATCTTTCGGCTCAGCGGGTCCTAGTTCTAGAGGTCCATCAGGGAAGAATCCGCATCCGCGCTGCTTCGCTTTATCAGACGATGGAGCAGAATGTGATCGCGAGACAAATGGGCCAGAATTCTGCCCCTCTCATCACCAAGAGCGCAAACGGCTTTATGAAGAATACAAGCAGGCAGAAAGCGACTATAATAGCTTGGTGCTACCTAAGGATGACTTCCCAGTCGAGCTGGTCAAGCAGAAGATCGGGCTTGGGAGGAAAACCCTCGATTTGAGAAACAAAGTCAATCGGCGCTTCTTCAGTCAGTCGGGACAGAATCGAGGGCATATACGCTGGATCTTAAAGTTGGATGCTGAAGTCAATGCTTTGGAGGAGAGGGTTAGGTTGAAGGAGGGACAAGGAGAAGGGGCGGAAGTTTCTTCCCAGGGCATAGGGCGGGACGATGAGAAAGTAATGCAACAGGGGACATTCGTCTATCGGTCACTTCTTTCCCCGGAAGTGCCGCTCTCCGAGCTTAACCATTTGACGGGAAACAATCCGGTGAAAATTATCAAAGAATGTATACAAGCGGTTACCGATGCATTGGTGGAGCGACTATACGGGATTGTACCGGTCCTCGATGACTCGGGTCCGATGATCAAAAATGCTGGAGGGGAGGAAGAACGGAGGCCTGATGATGGAGATCAGGTCATGCGCTTTATCTTTCGGAGGTTCCTACTCTGGAAGGCGGATGCCGATGTTTTAGCTCGAGCAACCAGAGCAGAAAGCATTGATTGCTTTCTTCGCAGAAGCCTCCCGGGTGAAGTGAAAGAGTATATCGAGTTCTTCACGGAAGTATTTCCTCGGGAAGGCACATTACATCTCCTTCGTGATGCTGTGTGTGACTATGTCTCTCCGCCTGTTATTTCATCGATAAGTCTAGCAGGCGGCTTGGTCGCTACTGATAACGAGCATCGTCAGATGAACCTTCGGGCTTGGGACATCTTGTACATGTATTTCTCGGACATCGTTGAGGCGTGGAATGTCGAGTTTCTGTGTTTCGGCTTCGCAGATGTCCTTCTTATCAAAAGGCTCATCGCGCTGAAGCGGTATTGCAACAAGGACGAGACCTCCGGATGGCTGCCTGACAATGATGCTGTGTCTCTCGGAAACCTCGTTGCGGTGCTCCATGGCTTCGTGGCTGCGACAAAGGGTTACTGCGATCCTCCAATCCCACGAATATCTGAGAAAGATGGGACCATCACGGCAAAGGAGTCCCGTTGTTATCTCGCAGGGAGAATGGCCACGTCCAACCCGTTGACAGTGAGGTTTATTCAAGACATCGTCAAACGCGTTGGCCGTTACATTGTCGTTGTACATGACTTCGAAGGGAACAACTCCGGCTCACCGAAATTATTCTCTCGCACAGTTGAGGGGGAAGAGAATCCCTGGGTTACGCGCACGAAATCCGTCAGCGTCGGGGAGCAATTGGACGATGTCGCCTGGAATGTCGAATGGTCTTTCCAAAACATATATCGCGATCTACAGCTTATTCGGACATTGCGAGAAAGGCATCTAGACAAAGACTATACGGAATTCATTATCATTGACAGGCATCCAGGACGCGAGTTCCAACTCTTATACCAGGTGTCAGATGCTTTGATGATGTTGGCGGGTGACCCTTCTCCGAACGATGTTCTTCGAGATTTTATCCGCGCCACGGTTCCACTAGATAAACAGGAGAAGTGGTTGGAAGGGATCACCATTGACGACCCCTCATCTGATGGCTTGAGTTCTGATGGCATATGCTACGAAGGAAATCGAGTGCGAGCATGGGATGTCATGGAAAAAAATGCCGACGTCGTGCGCAGCTTCACCATGAAGCGGAAATCGATAAGAGAACGACGACTTATATGCAAGATCGTACAGGAAATCGAGGCCAAGGGCCTTATTATCCCGCTGGAAAAGGCTGGAGCAGCTCATTGCTCCCCCATGTTACTGAGAGGTACCGATGGGCATGAGGACATCTATTTCAATTACAATTTCGGGCCCATTGACGAGACACGGGCATCCCAGAGCCGTTTCAATCCAATGCGGATTTCCACCTCCGCTGGCGCTTTGTCTGAATTTGTGCGTAAGATTCAAGCAGTGCATCCGGGATCAGTCTTCGCTAAAGGACGAATAAACGTTCATTACTGCGCATGGCCAATGCCAGCAGTCAGGCCTGGTTGGCTGGGATACCCGACATTCTGCACTGCCGAAGGCTATCTTTACCGTTGGAGCGTTTTGCCTTTTGACTTCCCCCTGGCCGCACGCATGTGGCAATACTATGTTCACAATGAGATGAACCTGAAGTTTCCGTTTGTCTACTTTGTCGGCACAACCTTCATTGTGTCGGCTGACAGTCTAAACGATGCAGAGAGCAACAGGCGCGCACTACTTGAGGCTGCTGATAAACACGGTTGGACACTGTCTGTGCCGTACCCGTCGGAATGGACGGGGGATGTTGATGTTTTGGATATATCGACATTGTGGGAAGGGATCTATCCTGCAGTGTCGAGGAGGAAGAAGATTGATCAGAAGACTGGGTAGGTGGCATGTAATTGGTAGTAGGGTTGCATCATATTTGTCCACGACTAGGCAATATGTTAGATGACAAGGACATGAGGGTGAATATATACAAGGTATAGATAGAAACACAATGATGATCGATCTTTTCAAGTACACCATCATCAGCCAGCCATGCATGCATTAATATGATTGATTAGCAAGGATTGAAAGAAGAACATTTTCCTGGGTAAAGGAAAAGAAGATTAGAAAAAAAAGAAAAGATAAACGGCCCGAGCCGCGGATCGAACGCGGGACCTCTCGCAGATATGCTTGGGTTTGTAAGGCGAGATGCCATCCCTAAGCGAGAATCATACCACTAGACCACCCGGGCGTTTCTTGTTGAAGACTACTTTTTTGTTTTTGCTTAATAAAGCTAAAGATATGTATGTCCGTTGTTTACCTTGGGCCCCTACACCAAGTCGACTCCAGCTATTGATCCTATCAACCCATGCACGTTCTAGGACTAAGCAAGTAACTACATACGCGTGTACTACCCATCCACCTCTATACCATATACCAAGACGAGTTTCTTACTAGAAACTGGATCATACCAAAATCAGCAGCTTCGACCTCTTTTGTCAGTGGTAAGCCGCCGGGTGTAAATATATATTGCTTGGCTGCATTTTCATTTCTTCTGAGATCTTTCCCCCTGAACTTCATTTCAAAACTTGTCAATCAGGTGACCGTATGCGCTCCTTTGTGTGGATTTGAATGTCAGCTCGACGACAGCGACGATTGCCCCTTCACCCACCGGTAGCATACTACCCTAATGCGCTTTTCTCAATCTAGGTCACCAGTCGCCTGATCAGTTACTCGTGATTAGGAGTCGAAACTGTTTTCCTTCATTTAGTTGCCTCTGCTGAACATAGCAGGAATACTGTCTCAGATTGTGGATCTAGGCAAGGAAACTTCACTACAACGGAGCATACATCATGGAATTGTCCGGCGAGGACTTGATGAACCCAGTGCTACGAGCATTGGAACGCTTCTCAGACGGAAGGTGCATGAACTCCAAGCTGACCTCTATTCCCAGTTCTAGGTACAACTTCAGACGGTGTATCACTGCTGCCGAATCTTGCCCATCATATCCCAATAGCCGCCCGCACCATGGGCCCTCCCAATACCACACTGCGGCTGGATAAAGTCCTCCCGAGAGCCAGAAGGCCAAATTGGAAGCTGACAAATTTCATCCAGCTCGCAACAAGTGCACTTCCTGAATATCGCCCAGTCCAGATAGCGCTTCAGATCCTCGATAATTGCGATGCCCTGGTCATACGTCTCTGCACCGGCGCCTGCAACTAGACTTGAGCATAATCTTTCGGAGACATGAGATACTGCTTGAGCTGGGACGCTAGTCATGTTGGCTCCGGCGACCCAGAATTGATTGGCGCAGCGTTCGATCTCTGCGGTTGAGTTGCGGGCATGCGCGTTGATGAACGGTTCAATAGCGAGGTGGAGCTCACGTCGGAGCTCATGATGGGTTGAAATAGCGGAAGACAGCATGAGATTAATGCGGTAGTGATATCTAGTGATGATCATGTCGACGACATTCTGCCAGTTAAAGGTGTCTTTGGTCTGGTCAGGCTGCTTCACTAGCCGGTCAATATGTGCGCGGACCGGCTCCAACCTCGCAGAGTCGTTGATTACCCGGGGAAGACCGTTACCGTCGAAGTACATTGCATCAGGGTATGCGAACATTGTGACGAAGTCGTCGTAGTTGATGGATACCCTGTCGCCGCCGATCCCATCGAACCGGGTAGCAAGTGCCCGTGCATAGCTGAGGCCGGATCCCCCATCTTCTTTGCGCGCTGGATAGGTGCTCAGGATGCTTACCACGTTGAGATCCTTGGCGAATGAACAGAGGATGATTTCGAAGCCGCCGACCATTCGAAGGAATCCGTCCACGCGGTTGTCCCACTGGTCGCGAGCCAAGGCACAGAGGTCATCGGCACGCAGGTTGTCGCCTTCCGCTGGGCTCCCGTCAAAGTGGGATGCGTTTCGCAGGACAATGTCCTGCATATCGAGGGTGCCTTTCAGTGATTTTGCGGCCGATTGTCCATCAAAGTAAATGAGACGCAGTTCACGTTTGGTCCGGTAGGTGTGGAAATATCCGGTTTGCTCCTCTGCGGGGTGTTCATCGACGCCGAGTGGGGATTGATTACTGGCTTCTGACTGCCTCTGGGAGCCAGTTCCTTTGTGGTGGTCGTGGTGAGTTCTTTGAAGAGCCTGAGGGTCGAGTCCTTTCACCTTTTGTATCCTGTGGGAATCCCCGTGCTCGAAGACGAAGTACTGAAGCAGGGAGCGCAGTCGACTCCATTGAAGATTGAAGAGACCATGATGGAATGGCTTCGGATCTTCGGCGCCCATGTCCATTTTATTGTTCTTATGCTTGCGGTGGCGGCGAGACTCGGCATGAGGTTGACTCTCATGCTCCCAGTGGGCATGGTCACGCATCCACCAACCCGTTTCGATTTCCGAGCCACCACTCTGCTCAAACGGCCCCATCTCATGATTAAGGGGGCCATTCTGTGTATTGCTTCGCTTGTTTTCGTCATGTGGCTGATTGACAGCCTCTGATGACCCTGAGCGACGGATTCGGCGAGGATGGGCAAAGGCCATGGCATGTTCCGGTTCGAAGGCGAGCCATTCAGTGCCGTTAATGCGGTAAGGGCTTGAGGTGCCGTGGTAGAACTCGGTTCCCTGAGGCACCGTCGCAATGAAGATGGACATCCCATTGTGCTGCAAAACACTGCCAAGCATCTTCATGGAGTTATGCAGCGCATTGAAGATGTGGTTGGCATGGATAGAGCCGTCCGGCATAGCCGGCCGTTCCTCGACCGGAAATGGGCTCGACGCCGCTGTCCATGGCAGTAAAGCCAAAGTCAACCTCTTGAGTTTAAGTTTCATCGCGGTTAACTGTCAGCGCCTGGATATTTGGAGAGAGCACCCAGGAGAAGATGATTCCTGTGGGTGTAGGAAGATGCCGAACAGGCTTCTTATCAAGCAGCGCGGTAGTTTGCACCGCCAGGGGCCGCGAACCCGAGATGACGCGGTCTCCCAGACCTCATAGCGGTGGCTTGAAGTCGCCGAAGTGAAGGGGCAGTCCCTTCGGCTGCTTCGAGACTAGAGTGGCATGAACAGCACCACCCCTGTTGCTTGATTCCGCCACACCCGGGCATGGGAAATGAGCAGACATCGGTTGCGGATGGAGTAACGGGATGTGATCCGTCGGCCTGTTCGCGGTCCCATCTGACGATCAGCCAGTCAGGATCGGGCTTCGGAGATAACGATGCCAAGAACAGAATGCATCGGAGGTCAACCTCAGCGGCAAGAACGCACTCGAATCAAGTGTCCTTGCACCTATGTGGGACCGGACAAGGCTGTGGACTGAAGTCGGAATGACCGGAAGCATCTCTGGGGAAGTGGCTCCGTAGGGAGAGCACTGATGCAGAGCGTGCATCGGGGCCGATGTCCCGACAACGTTAAGCTGCTGGTTTATCTTATCAGATCATACTATGTTTTGGCTTGCCAGTCCCACCCAACCCTGGCCATCGGACCCTGACTCAATCAGGACCACAATATACAGAGCTGCTGTAACCAAGACCAAGCTCTTGGCTTCTTTCTCGATTGGGCATCCCCACAGGCTCAGACCACCGACAATGACATCCCACGCCTGTCAGCTTCGCGCGGTAGTGACGGATGCCCAGAATTTGTTCCCTCGACCCGACATGTCTTGGATGCGACATGGGTGCAATACCTACTCATTGGATGCCAGCGATGAGGAGTGCAGGGCAAGGTTCTACGAAGTCCTCGTCTTCGGATCTTGCACTTTCCGAGCCAAACACTATAAATCCGCCATTCAACTCCATTGAACTGGATGCCAGAGCATTCTACATTGGAACGACGCTTTCAGTTCCTAGGTTGCTTCTCATTCTCTCGTTGTTCCCTGCTAGCTCATATAAAACCTCGTCATTATTATGAAGTTGGCGATTCCTCTGGTCTTCCTCGGGGCTGTCTCGGCGGTGAACGCGTAAGAATCAGCTCCATCCCAAGAAGCGCTGTGCTCTATGCTAATAGGTTTCTAGCCTGAGTGAGTGTATACTTAACTGCCAGGCCGAGGCTGCAGCCAGTGACTGCAGTACAAGTAACTAGTATGCCGATGTCCCCTTGCCTCCTCCTCGACAGTCCTGCTCACTATCAGATAACAGCAACCAAACCAGCTGCTACTGCAACAACGGAAACTTTGCCATTGATGTGCAATCCTGCCTGGAAAAGTACCGAGCCGGAAAATCTTAGTGTGACTTGACGCATATGCTGACACGGAAACAAGGAGCTGCTCGGATGATGTCGGAGATTTCCACACCTATCGTGGCTCACAATGTGGAGGTTCTACTGCCACTACCACCGCAACCGCTGCTACTTCGACCTCGACCATCACGTTATCCAGCTGCATCCTGGACTGCCAGTCCACCGCTGCTGATACAGTCGGCGGTGTTTGTTCTTCCAGCTCCTAGTAAGTCCCTCCCCCCTCCCCCCTCCCCCCTCCACCCCTATGATCACCCCTAAACTAACCCAGACCCAGCAACGACACAGCCTGCTACTGTGACTCCGACACCTTCGCCACCAAAACCCAAGACTGCATTTTCTCGTCTGCCCCCTCCCCTCCCCTCCTCCTCTTCCCAAAAACAAACCGCCTCTAACAAAACACCAGAGACTGTGCCTCCGATGCCGGAACTTTCCACCAGTGGCGTGGATCCATCTGCTCCTCTTCATCCTCATCCTCCTCATCCTCATCCTCCACCACAACAACATCCACCAGCACATCAACTAGCACCTCCTCCTCCGGTAGCTCCAACCTCAGTAAAGGCGCCATCGCAGGCATTAGCATCGGGTCCGCAGTAGCCGGTCTCGCCATCATCGCCGTACTTGTATTTACTATTCTCCGTCGTCGGTGGAAAGCCGCGCATACTTACAAGGGCAATAGTGATCTTCATCATTATCCGTTGAATAAGTTGGGTTCGATGTCGCGTGATGCGTGAGCATAGGATTTTAGTGGGATGTGTGTAGTGTGTACTGGTTGGGATAGGATGAGTTGGAAGTATAGGGTTGTTGGATGTATGGAAATGGTATTTGGGGATACTATCTCGGCCGCTGAAAACGGGTCTCTTGAATACCTTATCATACAGTACTTACTACCTGGACAATAATCAAAGTACCCATGTAAATAACTTCTACCTCGGTGTGAGTCACGTAACGACTAGTCAGAACTCGGCAGTTCCTTTCCATGTATCTGGTTCTTTCTGCATTATGGGATCATGTGCCTTCTATAGCACGTATAGTGGACAGCAAATGAGTATAGCATACACCTCACGGAGAATCAACACCCAAATCTCCCCTCAGCAAATTACATTGTTCTTACAGTAAAGAGTATGATACTATCTATCCTTACTGAACTACTTGTACTTGAGGATTGATCAATCGATTAGAGTACGCTGACTAAGACAATACATCCTCGCAAACTACCACCCGATACGGAAATTAATGCCGGGAACTAGTCTCATGTGGCCGGAAGGGCATGCGTTTAGTGCGTGCATGTGAATGGGATTATGCGAAGTATAAAGATAATATGAGGGTATTGTAGTAATGGATTGGACTCATTGATATAATGACGGGACTTTTGATGTAATTGCCAAGTTGTGGGTTGGAACCAAGGGTAAGGAGATGGTGATATTAATTTAAGAAGAATATATAATTTAGATCCTGTGAATGAACAAGTTGTGACAGGGGAATATTAGGTAGTGATGAGCCAGATGGCTAAGAGAGTATGTTGGGTAAGTGGTGCTTGGGAGGAATGCCAGGTGGATATAGAGAACAAGCCAAGGGGAGACAGCGAAAAGGTGACCCGACTACTTCCAGTGTATGAGATCGAGAAATGCAAATGACATCGACCCTATCTCCTTTTCCTTTTGGGGAAAATACTAGGGCATTCGTCAAGCAAGTGGAACATTTGCACTGGTATGATTCTGGATGATAACGCACACACTCCAAGACCTCAGATTCCAGCCATCAATGGCCGAGTCTAAAAGGGGCTGGGCAACGTCTATCGCCCATGAATCTTCACCCAGATTATGGATAGCGCAGCAAGCCGATGCGGTTGATATATTCTGAATCCTTCTTCTATCCGGTTCCCATGAATCGCAATCCTTTTGATGTTAAAAATTCTAGAAGTCTACGGGCTCCACTGCATTTTGGATCTGTATCCTCATTCAAGAAGAGTACTTGCGGCCTCGCTGTTTCATGATGGACCCTCACATGAATGGAACTGAAGGGTCGTCGATCTGATGCGGACTCGGCGAGAGATGGTGACAAAGAGATATCGCCGTCGAACAGACCGGGACAAGGTAGTGCCTCGTCGGGGTGTATACAGCGAGGTCTCTTTTGCGGATTGGCTTGCACCATAAGGGGTTCGGGAAGCTTTCTCTTTAGTTGAGCATTCCCTTGGTTGTCAATAAAGCATGTTTCCGCTGCCTCGCTGTCGTATGGGCTAGGTTGCAACGGTAACACGCCGTCAACCCACTGCTCAATTGCATGCCTCTCATCGCCGTCCATTGGCGGGTCTAATCAGATGCTTATCGGTCGAGATATTTGGTCGCTAGATACCGTAGAAGTAACAATAGACTTGATGACGGGGCGCTAAGGGATGAGAACGACTGGATAGAAATCAAACGACAGATTAGAAATGCTGTGGGGCGGGTTCGTCTCTAATGGAGATAAATCTCCCGTTAGGGAGAAGTTGAGCCACGAGGGATTGTACGATAAAGATTAAAAAGACGGTCACTAGAGATAAGATGAATTAGCAAGACCTCCCCCAAGACGAGCTAACAACCAACCGTGCAATAATGATGCCTTGTCCACGTATATGAGAGGTAAGCAGCCCTCTTCCGTAACCTTTCAGAGTGCCTTTCTTAGATTCCTCGCGAAGGTATTTTAATGCTTCGTCTTCTTGCATTTGTCGCTGGACTGGATCGTCTGTCCGTCGAACCAAACCCAGCTGGGTACGGATTCGCCGTAGGGTGCGAGAAGAGATCTGAAATCCTTCCGATTGTAAGACTTGGAGTAATTCTCTCTCCTCAAGACCTTGATTAAGGAACAACTCGGAAATTCTAGTGTGAAGTTGAGGATTGGAGGTCGCCGTGCGATTGCGCTTGGAGACACCCCAGGAACGCAGTCGTGCCTTGATTGTTCGTTCACGGACCTGAAGGCGATGGGATCGTTGAAGATGCGACGCGATATCCGCAGAAGTGGTATTATTTTGAAAGAGGGAGATGATTTCAGCCTTGTACGGCTCCAGGTCAATGGACCGTGGCATTTTAACACGAAAAGACAGGGCGACCGCAGACGCGTACCTAAGATGATGAAATGGGCGCGAATGGCGATTAGGGACGGCGCTAAAACCCCAAATTGATCGGCTGATGGCCGCTATCGTCCCCCGTAGCTCCACCCGTGACCTGCCATCCACCACAGGGGTCTCGACTTAGGACCAACTTAATCCACATCGGTAGATGTAGCAATGGATCTGGTAGCCTCCAGATTTTTCTGGAGCTCTCCAATTTTAGACTCCAATGCAACTACACAATCCGTCCCTAGGGGCATCCGGAGATAGTCATATCCTCTAGTGATAACTTGGATAATAGCCTGCGCCGCTTTATCCGGATCCCCGTTCGCAAATTCCGAGATGGAGGTGATCCGTCGAAACCAGGAGACCATCTGCTCAACCGCAGTACCCTTGTAGCCCTCACTGAAGCCATTTTTATAAAGGGCGGGAGTGAGGATGCGAGTCGAAAACGGCGTTCGAAATGCACCAGGCTCCACGATAAGAACTTTGACACCCAGATTTCTGACTTCATGCGAAAGTGATTCGTGGATGGCTTCGATAGCAAATTTACTGGCTGAATAAGTGCCTCGTCCAGGACGGGCCATGAAACTAATGTCGAGGAGTGTCCTGTCAGGCAAAAGGCTGGAGAGAAACATGGACTGGAAAGTAGGATTGACATACCCAGCACCACTGCTAATAAGCACAATGTGACCAGACCCTTTTGCTCGCATGACGGGGAGGCAGGCTCGGACGGTGCGGAGAGGCCCATAGAAGTTGACTTCCATTTGATCGCGAACTTCGGTCTCACTGCATACAGAGTATCGACATGTGAGCAACCACCTGCTAGCATAGTAGAATCGTCACGGAGCCATCAACTAACCTGGTATCTTCAACGCCGCCGATGAAAGCATAGCCTGCATTGTTGACTAAGACATCCACGTCGTATTCCTGAGCGCACTTGGCAAATTGATCTTGGGCATCCTTCTGGGCAGGATCTGCTTCTATCCAGATGCCACCTTTGTCTGAGAACTCAGGGCAGGCCGTTTTAGCCTTGCTAATGTTGCGGGAGGTTCCAATCACCCTGTGTCCAGCCTTGAGAGCTTCCAAAGCAAGCGACTTGCCCAGACCTGACGAGGCACCAGTGATCAACCACGTGGAACTAGTTGCTGCCATTTTGATTGCTATAAGCTTGCTTGCAGTATGGTGTTTATTCTCGCGGAATGGCGAAGACAGGAGCAAGGGAAATGGCTGATTTATGCTGGGGTGGATGAGTGAGTTCTCGGAGTTAAGGACTTAACCCCTGGCGCTACTCGTCAGATGAGTGTAATTAAGTCGCGATGAAGTCTCACGGGTCTTCCTAACCTCCCTTAGTCTTATAGAAAGTGGCGTTGGAGGATACCGGCCAGACATCTTGTTAGTTGATGCGAAGTCATTCAGTCTGTAGACATGGTTCTGGTGCGATCGGCACGGTTGCTATCATATGCTGTATCATTAAGCACGGCGAACTATATGGACTCTTCAAGTTCGGACTTTATGCCGGATTTTGCATAACACCGCTAATCCTGCTCACCGGAAGAAGACACACTGACACGCACCGAGAGCTCCATAATCTACCGTCAAGAGAGAAAATACGCCAAACAAAAGATCTCTTGCTACATGATAGAATGGAACAATATAGTAGGTTCTCACATATACTATGGCCGTTGGCATTAAGAATTAGGCACCAATGCAACAGCAGCAGTTGCATAGATCAGGTAAGAGCTCTTTATGCAGGTGGATCCTCAGTAGGTAATGGTACTCTTGGAAGATACCGGTTTTGGGACTTGGCTGTTGGCAGTCACCGGTGTGAAAGACTGGCAGACCTGGCCATATAGGTGATGTGCATTTACTTTACCCAATCCCTGAGTTTGTGGACAATGGAAATTCACCCCTAGTAGTACTGACACCTAGTGTAGAACCATCATAATAGCGAATATTAGGTGGCTGAGCAAGTTAGAAGGCATCACAAATGTTTCAAGTGACGGAAATTAGCGGAGTATGTCACTGTATTGACTCAATGAATGATGCTCGTGGTTGAAATGTCCAGGCACCAGTGTTGTTCGCAACGGGATATTCCTACAGGCAGCAGAAATGAGGGAGGACCGCACCGGTTTGGCAGGAACCATGAGTAGCCCAACAGTCACTGATGCCTACATTCACATTTGATTTTTTGCTCATTCCACTCCAACTTCTTCCACCTTTACAATCACTCCATATTCATTTCATCCAAAAGCTACTCTCGCTTACTGTTGGTCTCCACAGAAGTTGACTATTTGAACACTCATTTCGTCTATTCTCCGCACCAGACGGTGTCATTATCCTGATACATACGGAGTACATTATGATGGTCTACATCAAGTCAGAGATAAAGACGGAGGAAGATGTCTGGCACTGCGACGTCTGTGACAAGACTATGCTAGAAAGCCAAGCCTCCGCTCATCTTGACAATAAGACTCATATACGAATGCTCCAATTGCAACCCCAGCTGAAAGCTGCACCCAGGACGCATGCGAGCCAGGACAATCACCTCCGGTACAATCATCGCCGACTCGGTCATCCCCGATTCGACTATCCACAATCTGGTCACCACCGAAGAAGGCCGCATGATGCGTGGGGGTCACCCAGAAAGCCAGGCCAAAAGTTTTGGACCTGCCCGAAATGTCGCGAAACCATGACGATCAATCGAAAAAGCGCGCATATCTACTGCAAGCGTGAGGATGGTACTTTCGGCAGACCCGAGAGGTGGTCATGCGATGACTGTGGGATTGAGATTGCCACTACTCTCCGAGAGGACCACTTACGAGCAGCAGAACATGCTGTCAATGCTGCTATGTACATTCGCCCTCATCCAAACGGCAAGCGTTATATTAAGATCAGGGATGTCCGCCGGGTTTATGCCCATATCAAGCCTATTCCGATTGGATGCTATAGACCAGCGGGGGCGTACAAGGGGAAATGGAAAGGAGCGGTAACTTTTGTCACGGCCGAAGATGTTGAAAAGGCGATGAAGCCGTTCAATGGAACGAAAAACCGGACTAAGAAGTTCAGTGGAGATGTCAAGGACGAGTATGATTACAAGGATGAGTATCACTACAAGGACATGTATCTTTGAATGAAGGTTGCCTCTACACACTCGGCATCTCGTTATTGGCTTTGGAATCAAAGCCGGTCTATGACACTCATGGAGTGACCTTATACAGAAGGAAACCTGGAATGTGACTAGTCGCACTACCTAGCCTGGATGGGTCTCCAGCTCCTATTTTTACTGCATTAGAGAAGGAGAGAAAACCCTGCGTCCTGTATTTGCTACCATGTGAGTGGTGGGTACCAAGCACACCGGAGATTTCCCTTCCTTGTGTCTTCACGTGGAGGTTTACTTATCGTGCAGGCTTTAGGGCATGTCTTCGTCTTGGCTTGAGAGTGATGAGAATAGGATTCGTATCAGTTGGTCATTTCTAGCTCAATTGGCAATTGCAACCTTGTGATAACCGTCGACCTGGCTCCTATCCTACTGATACGACTGGTCCGCCACTCAGACTGTACTATAGTAGATGCAGGATGCAGGATGCCTATCCCTCTCTGACACGGGGATAACGAGAGGGGGTGTAGAGCTAGTGAAGTAAAAATAGGAACTGGCAACGCTACTATACAGGCTAGGTCGAGTGGCTAGCCAGGAACTATCTCAAGGGTTCTCGGGAGGTATCACAAGACGTTTTCACCGAGTCATGAAGCTATTGCTAAACTAGATACCGTCTTGATACAAGTGATGTTATCCACCGATGACGACATTGCAATTGTGAGACATTTTCTACATGAAGTTCTGTTGAATGCAGGTACTAGTCTATCTTGGCCCAATAGCGATGACAACACAGGGTGCATTCCGTACCAGCTAGCTCTCTTCCGGTCTCAATTGACAATCATTGTCTGATGATGTCAAGATGCATACTTCCTACAACATCTTAATTGATCCGATGACTGAGGGGTATGTCTTCTGCCCTGCTGGGTACTGCTTCAACAGATGATAACAGCCGTTGGTGGGTATGGCGCTAGTAGAACCATAGTCGAGGGTCGAGCACTGGCCGCTTTAATAATCCATAATCTTAAGTCTTCCAAAAATAACCAGCCACTACTGCGATCGGCGATGGCCAATTCATTCCATCTGCAGTAGTTATCACAGGCCCCCCCCTCGTTGTCGACACTCAACAGTGCTGGGGGCGGGAAGGCGGGAATCTGCAGGCTAACCGGCATTGGCAAGCTTCTAGTATGCTAAGCGCCGACCCCTCACCGTCAGATATTAGACCCATCTATTAATAGCCGGTGAAGGAAGTCGGGAATTTTCCCAACAGCCGGCGCCAATGACACCCCGTCACTCGACAGGGACATACCCCGGGCAAGGAAAGGCTTCGATCGTTCGATATGCCAATCATCGTCCACAACGGCCCTATCTTCTGCAGGGCAGACGCCAGGGAAGACCACGGTATTTCGCGTGGCCCACCTCGTATACTTTTTTCCTTTCAGGCATCCTAAGCACCGAAAGGATTTCTGCCTGGCGCATTCTTACACCAATGAGAGAATCGCATCCCTTGTGCTTCCTGCGGGCGGCTTGAGGATGGCTCTGACTCGAGGCTGTTTATAGACACAACGCTTCGGGTTTCAAGTGCCGGTGCGGTACTGCGTTTGATTGCACATGCAACCTTCTGCCACGCTCGGCCGTGAGGAAAATGGTTATATAGCCCTCCTCCAACGGGCATATCCCCCTTCTCTTCCAAGCTCTCAGCAGTTTCTTTCTGAGTATAGCCAGGTGGTGGCAGAGTTTCTCTCTTCTTGCTCGCTCCTTCGACGGTCCTTGATTATTCCCTTGAGATACCCTCTAGCACTGAGATTGGCACCTGTCCTACCTTATTATTTGAGTCTCATTCCCTCATATTCTTTCTGATACTAGCATACAGTGTGTGCTGGTCTTTCTTCTCAAGACCCCCATAGAAATTGTGCTTGTATCAAGCATCCGGAATGCGTGCAAGCTTCTTCCTCCTGGGCTGCTTGGCAGCCAGCTCTGTGGCAGCACCGACGCTCCTAGACGATGTATACGACTACTCGGAGGATCTGGCCACCTTCCTCGGAAAGGTGAGCACGTACATCGAGGATGCTGAGGATCTCTTCACGAACTCCAACTCGTGCGACACATCCAAGATCTCCCTGCCATCCTACGCGTCGGGCTTGCCTTCACCTTCCGGCGAGAAACCGATTTATGTTGCAGTGGGCCGCGGCACCCAGGTGAGCAAATCCACCTACCGTCACACAATCATGCAGGGGGAACCCCCCAAGCTGACAAACTCCTAGAATTATACCTGTGCGACCTCCACCTCAGGCTCAACCCCCCAAGCCATAGGTGCCGTGGCGCGTCTTTACAATGCTACCTGCATCGCGGCCAATTATCCGGACTTGTTGGAATTACTCCCGGGGATCGTGTACAAGGAACAGTTGCCCAGTAACGAGGAGGAACCTCTTCCCCCGGCGAACCTGGAGCTCCTGGGTCATCATTTCTTCAGAGACACGACAACCCCGGTTTTCAACCTCGACACAACAGATTCCCGGCAGTATGGGATTGCGATCACCAAGAAACAGTCGTCGCTAGATGCCCCATCCACTGCCATTCAGGGTAGCAATGGCGCTGTGCAGTGGCTCTACCTCACCACCATCAATGGTACTGTTGGCGACTATGAGGCGGTCTACCGGGTAGACACCGTTGCTGGCTCGGCCCCGAAGACCTGTCAGGGCATGCAGTCGGTGTTCACCGTTCAGTATGCTGCCAACTACTATTTCTATGGTGCATGATGGCGTCTGCGGGGAAACAGAGGGGGTTGGGTACAGAGCACTTGCACTGTAAATAGATGGAATCCAAGAGCGGACTGAATGCAAGGTACATGAAATAAGAACCGTATCCTGGCCCGTAGCTGTCAAACGCCCGACAGATTTGTTTGTGTAAGCGCCGGCATGTCGTAGCAAATGGCGACGCGACTTCCGATTGGCAGGGCTGGCCAGCGTCAGGTGACCTCGCTATCCAAGAAGGTCACGTGAACCAAGTGCCCACAGCAGCAAGTGGCACTAGTCCGGAGGCAGCCTAGCGCAGTCTGATTTTCGAAAGATTCCCAAGGCTCCGTCTGAAAAATCTCGACCGCAACAACGACGAGCAGCAGGCCTCGACCGAACACTGAACGCCAGAGCGGGTGCAAGTTTTTTGCGAAAGCTTCATTTTCAAGTCCTCGAGACCCGCGATCTCCGATTTTTTTCCCTTCCGAACAGGCCTTTTTGCCTTGATCCGCAACCGAGCACGAAGCATCAGCCGATATTTTTTTGGCTGACAGCATTTGATCGTATCCCTTCGTCGAACCTTTCAGATTCAATCACATAACACAATGGCTTTCGGTGGTCCTCGTGGTGGTGGCCGTGGCGGTCCTCGCGGTGGTGGTGGTCGCGGTGCGCCCCGTGGTGGTGGTGCCCGTGGTGGTAGAGGTTTGTTCACCATCGATTTCCCTTGGGATCAGTCAGGCAGGCCTGTGAATGCTCGCATGGTTGTCGACTTTATTGGCCCTTGATTCGGCGACGGAGAATCTTTTCCCGCAGCGTCAGGTTCATACGGTTGACCATTGCTGGACCTGAAATGTCCCCGAGGAGAACGTGTCGCTAATTTGATCTTTTCACGTTCTATAGGCGGACTTGGTGCTCGCGGTGGAGGCCGTGGTGGCCGTGGTGGTCCCCGTGGTGGTGGTGGTCGTGGTGCCCCCCGTGGCCGTGGTGGCCGTGGTGGTGGCCGCGGTGGTGCTGGTGCTAAGGGTGGTGCTAAGGTCATCATTGTAGGTGTTCCTGTTTTCTGTCAGGTGGGATGGGAACTAATCCAGTTTGCTTAGGAACCCCACCGTCACGCCGGTGTCTTCGTTGCCCGCGGTGGCAAGGAAGATTTGCTCGTCACCAAGAACCTTACCCCCGGAGAGGCCGTGTACGGTGAGAAGCGCATTGCTGTCGAGGGCCCTGCCGGTGAGGATGGAGCTGTGACCAAGACCGAGTACCGTGTCTGGAACCCCTTCCGTTCCAAGCTGGCTGCCGGTATCCTGGGTGGTCTGGATGACATCTACATGCGCCCTGGCTCCAAGGTCCTGTATCTCGGATCCGCCAGCGGTACCTCCGTCAGTCACGTTGCTGATATCGTCGGACCTACCGGAAACGTCTACGCCGTTGAGTTCTCCCACCGTTCTGGCCGTGACTTGATCGGCATGGCTACCCACCGCACCAACGTTATCCCCATTGTCGAGGACGCCAGACACCCTCTCCGCTACCGTATGCTCATCCCCATGGTGGATGTCATCTTCGCCGATGTTGCCCAGCCCGACCAGGCCCGTATCGTCGGTCTCAACGCCCACATGTTCCTCAAGGAGGGCGGTGGTGTCATTGTTTCCGTCAAGGCCAACTGTATCGACAGTACCGCCAAGCCGGAGGTTGTGTTCGCTCGTGAAGTCCAGAAGATGAGAGAGGAGAGGATCAAGCCCCGGGAACAGCTGACCCTGGAGCCCTTCGAACGTGACCACTGTATAGTGTCTGGTATCTACAAGCGCTCCGCATGAATTTAAGAAACAAAAAGAATCAGGTGGTTTTGCTCTCTCTCTCATGTCTTAATTATTTATGCTCTTTTACGGCGTCGAGTGTTCCGTGATCTGTTGCCATGTTTCTTTATTTTCCTTCGTGTCCATGTCCAGGTTTCTTAGATGTATTTCTTGAGTCAGAAAATTTCCAGGTTTACGGTTTCTGCCCTACAAGAATTGGCTGGACTATACTTTATATCAGTATACCTCATCTTTCTAAGCAGAACGGTAGAAACCACGGAGTAGAAAACATCCAATGCACCGAGTCTGACCACCGGCCTACCCACAACTTGACTTCGGACTTTCCCCGGCCATCCGCTTCTACCAGTGTTCGGGCAATCGGACCGTTGGCCGGTAGGCTTCGAATCGGACTTGCTGCGTGGAACTAAGTAATCGGAACCCACTAACCGTGAATAATGTCGTGGTGATTGATGGAATTAGAGATGGGTCGTTTTATGGGTGTGGCACAGTCTCCGCTCAACCCCGCAGCTGACGGTCTGAGGTATATAAGGCTGTAGCATACGATCATATCAGTGCCACCGACTTGTATATGCGTGACTACTACAACTCAGGCCAGTCTCTATTGTAACCTACCTTTCAAACTACAATCTACAATCTACACCCACCATGTCATTCATCATCACCGGAGCCAGCGGCTACGTGGGACAAGAACTCGCCGCCGCTCTACTCACCTCCCACCCCGAAGCCACCGTAACGCTCACAGACGTGGTCCTCCCCATAGTCCCCCCATCCGCAACGCAGCACTCCTCCCGCACGAAATGCATCGCAGCCGATCTCACCTCCCCCGCCGTGGTGGATGACCTCTTCACCGACTCCCACCGCTTCGATACCGTCTACCTCCTGCACGGGATCATGTCCAGCGGCTCGGAAGCCAACTTCGAACTAGGCATGCGCGTCAACCTCGACGCAAGCCGATACATCCTCGACCGACTGCGCCAGGTCATGCCGGGCGTGAAAGTCGTCTTCACATCCAGTCTGGCCGTCTACGGTCTCGCGCCACCAGGCTTCGTGATCGATGAGACGAATTTTCCCGCTATCCCGTCATCTTCGTACGGATCGCAGAAACTCATCGTGGAGACCCTGTTGAATGATTACTCTCGTCGTGGGTTCCTGGACGGTCGCGCGGTCCGACTCCCCACTGTGACGGTTCGAGCTGGGAAACCGACTCAAGCGGCGAGTAGCTTCGCTAGTGATATTATTCGCGAGCCGTTTAATGGGAGGAAGGCGGTGTTGCCGGTGAGTCAGGATACGGAGATGTGGATTTGTTCGCCGGCGACGGTGGTGGAAAATTTGATTCGGGCGAGGGAGATTCCGAAGGAGAAGTTTGGGGACTCGAGAGCGGTCAATTTGCCTGGGTTGAAGGTTAGTATTCGGGAGATGTTGGAGGCGTTGGAGGAGATTGGGGGGCCGGAGAAACGGGCGTTGGTCGAGGAGAGGTATGATCCGGATATTGATCGGATTGTGCAGACGTGGACGCCGAATTTTGATCCGAAGAGGGCGTTGGAGATGGGGTTTGTGGGGGATGTGTCGATGAGGGAGAATATTCGGCAGTATGTGGAGGGGTTGTAGTAGGTAGATGTGGTGGTTGTGGTGTGAGAATAATCAACTGGTTGTATGTATCTGGGAGCACGGGGTTGTCGTACAGTAAGCTAGGAAACACTCGGGATCGAATGCGGTGGTTTGGAAAAGCGGGTCATGTGATTGGCTGGCGGATGGGCGAACAATTTGACTCCCGAACTTCAACCTCGCATCTCCAGGGCTGACCGTCTTGTTGCACCCTTCCTCATTCCCTCCCCCTTCTCCCCCCAACCCACCTCCATCTTCACACAATGGCTTCCCGGCGCCTAGCGTTCAACCTTAACCAGGCTCTGCGGAGCAAGGCCGCCCTCAAGGCCGTCCAGCCCGTCAAGCGTGGCTTCGCTTCCCCGGTCACCTTGCCTTCCACCACCCAGTCCACCACCCTCTCCAACGGTTTCACGGTACGCTGAAGGGATATCTCAATGGCTCGAGGGACTCGCTAACGTGATTCAGATCGCTACTGAGTACTCCCCATGGGCTCAGACCTCCACCGTTGGCGTCTGGATCGATGCCGGTAGCCGGGCAGAGACTGACAAGACCAACGGAACCGCGCACTTCCTGGAGCACCTTGCTTTCAAGGTACGGGTTGATTGGAAGCTCGAAGCTGGGAATCCGATTGCTGACATCTACTAGGGCACCAACAAGCGTTCCCAGCACCAATTGGAGCTCGAGATCGAGAACATGGGCGCTCACCTGAACGCCTACACATCGGTACGGCCCGGAAACATGGAAGAAGCCTTGGTCGCAACTAACGAAACGCATCACAGCGCGAGAACACCGTCTACTACGCCAAGTCCTTCAACAACGATGTCCCCAAGGCCGTCGACATCCTCGCCGATATCCTTCAGAACTCCAAGCTGGAGCCCGCTGCCATTGAGCGCGAGCGCGACGTCATCCTCCGTGAGCAGGAGGAGGTCGACAAGCAGCTCGAGGAGGTTGTGTTCGACCACCTCCACGCCACTGCCTTCCAGAACCAGCCCCTCGGCCGCACCATCCTCGGCCCCAAGGAGAACATCCAGACCATCTCCCGGGACAACCTGACCGACTACATCAAGACCAACTACACTGCTGACCGTATGGTCCTCGTTGGTGCCGGTGGTATCCCCCACGAGCAGCTCGTGAGACTCGCTGAAGAGCACTTCGGTGGCCTCCCCAGCAAGCCCCCGACCTCTGCTGCCCTGGCTCTCACCGCTGAGCAGAAGCGTACCCCCGAGTTCATCGGTTCCGAGGTCAGAATCCGTGACGACACTCTCCCCACTGCTCACATCGCCCTTGCCGTTGAGGGTGTCAGCTGGAAGGACGACGACTACTTCACCGCTCTCGTCACCCAGGCCATCGTCGGTAACTGGGACCGTGCCATGGGTAACTCCTCCTACCTTGGCAGCAAGCTCAGCTCCTTCGTTGAGTACCACGGCCTTGCCAACAGCTTCATGAGCTTCTCCACCAGCTACAGCGACACTGGGTATGTTTGTTCTCGTTGCATGTTGGCCGTTCTTCGCTAATGTTGACAGTCTCTGGGGTATCTACCTGACCTCCGAGAACACCAACCGTCTCGAGGACCTCATCCACTTCACTCTCCGTGAGTGGTCCCGCCTGAGCTACAACGTCACCTCCGCCGAGGTTGAGCGCGCCAAGGCCCAGCTGAAGGCCTCGATCCTCCTCTCCCTGGATGGCACCACTGCCGTCGCCGAAGACATTGGTCGCCAGATCATCACCACCGGTCGCCGCCTCAGCCCCGAGGACATTGAGCGCACGATCGGCCAGATCACCGAGAAGGACGTGATGGACTTTGCCTCCCGCAAGCTGTGGGATCAGGACATTGCCATGAGCGCCGTCGGCAGCATTGAGTCGGTGCTGGACTACAACCGTATCCGTGCGGACATGAGCCGGAACTCTCTGTAAGGGAGGAAGGACGAGCGTCTCAGATTTATGGCCGTGATTGTTGTTTTGGTGATTTAATAGATAGAAGCGGTGGTCGTGCCGAGGAGCGTGTCTTGTACAGTACACAACTGTCGCTATATCAAAATGTATTTGTTCAGTTATTCTAACAGATGCAGCAAACATCATCCAACCGTCCATTAAAGCAAGCTTAATAACAAACACCCAACACCAGCTCTAAACAACCAACCAACCCAATCCCCCACAAACCCAGACTAACCATTAAATGAATTAATAAAATTACCTCCCATAGTCCATTCCCCCAGGCGCTTTATACCCTTCATTCCCGGCCAAAAAGCCCGCCCGACTCTCCAATTCCTTCTCATGCTGCATCAACGTACAGCACGGACAGCAACACGCCCGCATACAATCCCCACATCCTGATCCCTCGAGGCCGAATTTCGCCCGGATTTGGCCTCGCTTGTTCATTAATGGGATGAAGTGGAGGCCGCAGTAGCTGAGGAGGAAGTAGAGGCAGCACTGGTCGTATATATTATTAGTATGTTGGGGGAGGGGGGAAGGGGAAAGGGTAGGGGAGGGGAGGAACGTACACCACCATTCCACATGCCATCATCTTTCAATGTGGGATCCTTGAGGCGGGAACTGGTTCGGCCGTGGAGACAGCAGGGGCAGCAGCAGCCGAGGAAGCCTGGTTTTCATGGTTGGTTAGTTGTTTGGGGGAGAGGGATGGGGAGGGAGGGAGGAGGGATGGCATACATGTGCCGCAGGGGGAACAGCAGTCCCAGAAACCAGAGGACCAGGGTTGACCGTTGCCCATTGTGGATGTTTTGTGTATTGTGTGGGTGGAATTGATTGAGGAGGTGAGGATGAGGATGAAGATGAGGATTATAGAAGCAATTGCGGGTTTTGTGCAACTGTGCTCCTTGGGTATGAATTGAATCAATCCAATTCAATTATGGACAATTAGATAGATAGGTAGACGGAATGATGATTGTTTGAAATATGAGATGAAGAAAGACCCATCCTGTCAGCAGAGAGGATTTATAACCCCTTCCTCTGTCCCTCCCATGCTAGTTAGTTACTACAAGCCTCCATGATTACTTACCCTGGCAGCCAGCCCAGCCCAGCCCATCCCATGGGGGCGATGCAATTCCACTGCATTAGAAAATTAGGATAGACACAGTCACAGACACATGGTTCCTCAAACAAAGGAAACAAAAATCAGCCCCCGGGTCCACCCTTCAACTCAGCCTTGCATTAGAGGACTGTCGTTGATCGCTAGACTCTTCCAGGAGAAGGGCACTGCAATGCTGATTGGTATGCCTCGTTTAGAAGAAATGGGGCCTTGGGATTAGCGGGGTTTGATTCTTTGGGGGCCAACAATACCCTAGGACTAGGAGGAGTCGACTAGGGAGGTTTAGGGAGGGATTGGGTAGAGTAAGCAGTAAGATGGTGGTGTTCTTGGCATTGGCTGATGCTAAGGGTCTCATTTTTGTTTTTGGGTGTTTATTGCAGTTGTGGTGAGGTGGTTTAAATTAAGATGCGCGGTGGTAGTTTCTGAACTTGTTGGAAGTTCGTATTAAAAGGTTCTAGGGGATGAGGGTCGTGTTTGGGGTACTAGGCGGACGGGAATACGGGTTGGATCGGGGGCCTGTTTGGGTCTTGCTGACCGCGTTTTACTTGTGTTTCCTCCCATGGGGTCGGTTTGGCTACTAAACTGCCCGGCAATCTAAGCTTTTGCTAGAGCCCGTCACATTTCAGCCACTGCCACTGCCTCAAGCACAGTATGCACTGGTTAATTACAGTCCTGCCCTCAGCAGTCCAGCTTGCCCTCCCTCGTGCTGCATGGCTGAGACAAGCCGATGCTCGTGGTATCTAATTTTGTGCTTCCATTGCATGATCTATCTAACGGCGTGGACTAGATTGCGGCTGACCGATCCTCCATCCTTTGGCGGATTCTGACCAAGAACTCGACCACACCGCGATGGAGGCTCAACAGGGATATCCAGGCCGCTTAATTCGTGGAGCTGAACCAGACAAGGAAGGATCCTACACTAGTCGGTGGAGCGATGCGTTGGTCTGCTCGCACGATGTCACCTAGACGGATGATTTCGTGTCGGTGCTATGGCTTCTCCAGCTGTCAACAAAAGCAAGCGATAAAAAAGAAGCCGACGCTCACATACTCTACATTAGAGGCTTCCAAATCCCATGTTCATCACGCTTGTCAGCGCATCAGTGCTACTTCAGCCCTGCTAAGCCACACTAGCCAGGGAATCGGAATGGCTGTGACTGGATAAGCTCTTCTCCGAGGGAACGACCCTGGTCAGAACCTGGTCTTTAACGACCAACCCCTGCAAATCCCTCGAGCCACGGCAAATGCGGCTGCGGCCGAAAGATACAACACCCCCGCAAAGATAATGAGTCCGCCATACTCCCCATGATCGCGTTGCTGGATCGCTCCGGCAATCGGAATCCCTGTGAGCACCCCGATGCTGGCAATGGTGTACGTCGTGCCGGTTCGCGTTCCATAGTCTTCTGTCGCGCAGATCTGGGAAATGCAGACCGGGGACAGGCTCATGGCAGTCCCGCTCCAGAATCCGAATAGCACAGCATAACAGACAATTGCGCCCAAGCTGCTGCCAGATTTGTACCACAATGCGAGAGTCAATATTGCGCATACCAGGGAGGTGAGGACCATCATGTTGAACCGTCCTAATCGGTCTGCAGCTAGGCCGGGCAGCAGGCGTCCCGGGATTAGCCCGATGTTCAGGAACACTATCAGCAGGTACGATACTGTGTTGCTTAAACCGACGTGCACTGCATATGCCGAGAGATATGTGGTGGGCACAAACACAGCAAACTCAACCAGGAAGATTGCGATCGTTGTGGCGGCGTATTTGGGGTCTCTTAATGCCTTGAAATCTGCCAGTGCACTGCCCCCGGCTTCCTTACCGAGTGGAAGCCGGGTCTTGATTAAGAAACATGCAATGACACACAACACAGCGCTCAAAAGTGCGATGATCCGGATAGTCCAGCCAAACCCGATTTTAGGCGCCGTGAAATATATGATCGCAGGAAATATCACACCTCCCAGTCCGCCTGCCGTGCAAGCAAGACCAGTGACAAACGCTCGGCGGACATTGAACCAATGACCGATGGCCGCAATTGCTGGGGTGAACAGAGCACTGGCTGATAATCCGCCCAAGACACTAAAGGAGAGAAATATCTGATAGTATTCTACCTGTGGTCAGCGACGGCCTCTCTGCTTTCAACGTCTGGGATTTACCATTGCTGACACTGAAGCACACCAATGCCACAACCATTCCAACGGATCCGGCAATGATAATGTATGTTGGTCCCCACGTGTCCAAGATCGGCCCTAGATCACTCAACGGCTATTAGCACTGATCGCTCAGAGCCTGGTCAGATATGGGACGCACCACTCTGCGCTCCTGCAAAGTAGAGGAAGAACCCATATGCTCCGTATATCCAGCCATTGCTTGACTCTGGGTAGTCTTTGAGCTGATGGGTACTGGTCCAGATATGGAGGGTTCCAATGGTGTTCATCATGCCCAAGGCTGGGACCATAGCACACCATGCCCCGAAAACGACCAGCCATGCCTCGAGGCCTCCTTCAGGATAATCTATGGTATCCTCTTGCTCGGTGGTCTCCTCAGAAGTTGACGAATAGCTGGATAATTCGGCTTCCATATTTGATTCGACTCGTAGCGCACTACCGTGTTGGTAGCACATTTGTCTTGAATGTGAGTCAGGTCCGACATACCTCGAGGATGGCTCCAGAGGAGGTCGTTTTAAGATTTATGACTGCTCAAGAAGCATGCGTCATGAGGCGGTGATTGCTGTGCTGGCATAGGAGAATTGACCCCAATCAATGCAAGGGCTCATGCATCCGGGCGACAACAAAGCTAAAAGATCTTCCACATAAAGCCAGCTTGGCTGGTCTAGCTGGTGTTTAATGCTACTCCTCCTGTTGCCTTCATTTGCCTACTTGCATGGTCGCGTGATCCCTAGGATACACGACTGCACCGGCACAGGCAGCCTTCTAGATGGCCTTCCATATATGCGTATTCTCTTCAGATCGGTGGCATTGGTACAATGCATGCCCTCATATTAGTGAGTTTTAACTCTCTTCCCATTATCAAATTGACTTTAGCAAGCAGCTTACTAGCGATATGTGAGCCTGCTCGTCTCGTCATATCTAATTTGTCAAGCGTCCCCTTGGGAAAAGACCAACTGGTGAGTACATCTGTACTAACCGCAACCAGCTAGAGACCCGGCCCGAAATTGTTCCATGGCGGGACGGCTTAGGTAATGCAGGCCGGATTGACGGCGCGATTGGCGATTTTTGGATTTCTGCAGCGGAGAAATTGCGGAAGCTTGCCTGTTCCTCAGCATCCCAATTAATCTTGTACATCATGGGTGGTAAGCGCGGAAAGAAGGTATGTGTGTCATTCAACTCCCCCGCTCTTGATTTTTGGTTGTTTTCGCTTTGCTCCCCTCCTTGACTTGGACTGACCTCCGCAGGGTGGCAGAGGCGGCGGCGGCGGACGCGAACGCCAAAACTGGCAGCAAGTCCCCAGGGAGAATGCCAAGTTCGAAAACTACTACAATGAGCAAGGATTTATCCCGGAGGAGGAGAGGGAGGCTTTCTGGGAGGCTATCAGGAGAGATTTGCCCAACAGCTTCCGTTTTACCGGATCCAGAGGGTACGTCATTGGTTGCGCAGCACTCGGACGGTGCGCTTTGCGATATCGTTCAATACAACTGACATGCTTCAAGTCACGCTCTGGCCGTTCAGGAAAAGCTCAAGAACTTTTACGTCCCCGAAATCACCTCGATCAAATATGAGGGCAACTTCGTCGAGCCTCCCCGCCCGGTCCCCTGGTACCCCGACCAACTCGCCTGGTCTATGACCACTCCCAAGCAGGTCGTCCGGCGATTCGCCCCGTTCGCTTCTTTTCAAAAGTTCCTTGTCGCCGAGACCGAGGTTGGAAACATCAGCAGACAGGAGGTGGTCAGCATGATCCCCCCTCTTTTGCTTGATGTCAAGCCGGGCATGACTGTTCTGGATATGTGCGCTGCTCCCGGTAGCAAGTCCGCACAGCTTATGGAGATGATCCACGCTGGAGAAGAGGAGTCTATGGCACAGGTTTCCGAGAAGGTGGCGAATGGAACTGCTTCCGCCGAACCCATGGGCCCTGAGGGTCTTAGTGACGATGGCAGAACCACGGGCTTGCTGATCGCCAACGACGCCGATTACAAGCGCGCACACATGCTGATTCACCAGATGAAGCGCCTTAGCTCTCCCAACTTGATTGTCACGAACCACGACGCTACCATGTTCCCCTCGATCAAGTTGCCTTCGGAGCCATCCACCAACGGAAAGCCCCCCAAGAACCGATACCTTAAGTTTGACCGTATCCTGGCCGATGTGCCTTGCACCGGCGACGGAACTGCCAGAAAGAACTGGGGTGTCTGGAAGGATTGGAACGCCAACAACGCTCTGGGATTGTACGCTACACAGGTCCGGATCCTTGTCCGTGCTCTGCAGATGTTGAAGGTCGGCGGTCGTGTCGTCTATTCCACCTGCAGTATGAACCCCATTGAAAACGAGGCCGTTATCGCCAGTGCCCTGGAGCGTTGTGGCTCCGCCAATGTCAAGATTCTTGACTGCAGCAACGAGCTTCCGGGACTGAAGAGAGCCTCTGGCTTGCGCACATGGAAGGTCATGGATCGTGAGGGTCGCATGTACAACACCTGGAAGGAGGTGGAGGAGCGGAAAGAGCGCGAGGGCATCAATGGCCTCGGCCGCGTCGCCGAGGGCATGTTCCCGCCTTCGGAGGATCTGCCTCTGGAGAGATGTATCCGGATCTACCCTCACATGCAAGACACCGGAGGTTTCTTCATCACCGTCCTTGAGAAGCTGTCCGAAATCCGTGCCAAGCCCGAGGATTCCTCCAAGGTGATCCCCAAGGCTTCCATTGCTGCCCTTACGGAAGAGCTCGACTTCAAGCAGAAGACTGGAGACGGCCAGCCCTTGGAGAAGATTGACGCCTTGGACGACTTGGTTGCTCCTGATCAGAACGCTCAGGTGGAAGCCGAGAAGAACGCATCCGTTGCGCAGGCTACCCACCAACTCCCTTACTCCGCCACCGACCAAATTTCCCCTGCCAAGAGAGATGCAGAGAGCTTGGAGGACGAGCTGCCGGCCAAGCGGACGAAACTTGAAGATGGCTCCGAAGTTGTTCTGGGAGACCGTCCGGTTCATGCTCCTGCACCCGTGGTCGAGTCCGATGTCGCCGAGACGACCGACGCGACCCCTGCGCCTACCGAGTCCGCGCCCGCAGAGGCTCAGGCGCAGCCCCCGCAGAAGCGGAAAAATGGCCAGCCGATTGAAGAGCCCTTCAAGTACTTGGATGTCAATCAGGAAGAGCTCGACCCTATCTACGAGTTCTACGAGATCTCTAAGCGCTTCCCTCGGGACCGCTTCATGGTGCGCAACGCGGAGGCGATTCCTGCTCGCACCATCTACTACACCAGCTCTCTGGCCCGCGACATTCTGAGCGCGAACGAGAAGCAGGGCATGAAGTTTGTGCACTGCGGTGTCAAGATGTTCGTGCGCCAGGATGTGCAGCGTCCTGATGTCTGCCGTTGGCGCATCCAGACTGATGGGCTGAGAATCCTGCAGCCCTGGCTGGGCCCTGCCAGAGCCATCACTCTGACTAGGAAGGAGACCCTGCGTAGGCTTCTCGTGGAGATGTTCCCTAAGGTCGATGGTAACAGCTGGACGGAACTTGGAGAGATCGGAGAGCGGGTCCGGGATATCCCGATGGGCTGCAGTATCTTGCACATTAGACCGGAAGCCGGCGACGAGACCTTCCAGTAAGTAACAGGACTGTCATTGCTGCATCAATGCTAACGATATTCTAGCGAGCGTATCACCCTTCCCCTTTGGCGGTCCCTGCACTCCGTCAACCTCATGCTTCCCAAGGAAGACCGTCGCGCCATGCTTCAGCGTCTGTTCAACGACGATACTCCCTTGGTTAACACCACGCAAAAGCGTCAGGCAGAGTCCGCGACGCCGGTGACCCCAGCAACCGATGCAGTCAACGAAGAGACTCCTGTTGAGACGGAGGAAGACGCGATCAAGCGTGAGAATCTGGTGTTGGGCGAGGACGAGCAGGAGCAGATGGACACACGCGAGACGTACACCAAGGCCGGTGACGAGGAGGATCGGTTCAACACGACTGTATAATTAGGAGTTCTTGAACATATACGGCAGTTACTTGAATGAAAAGTATGTTACTGACTTATTGCCTTGAATCTTCTTCCTGAACATGAAATTTGCAAAATACATTGTTACGAGTTGTACTTCTGAAGACTGCATCGGAATGCTGTCACGGTAATTGCCCTCGTCATCCTCCCGATCAGGCTGAATCCGTTAGCCATGACATGAACTGAGAATCGAGAATCACTCACATGCGACCTGAAGGACAACACGACCAGCCAGCTGGCCATTGGCCATCTTCTCGACCCACGAGTCCAGGTCCTCCAACTTGCCCTTGGTCAAGACCGGCTGTCCAGATTAGCCCAACCGAACTTCCAACGATGCCGCAGAGCACTCACATGCACAATGCCTCTCGCAGTGAAATCCAGAGCCTCCTCCACATCCTTAAGACTCCCGACAATAGATCCCACCACATTCAATTTCTTCAACGCCATCAAAATCGGGGGTGCACCCGCCAGAATGCTAGCATCCTTGGGCAATCCCACGGCCACCAACGTGCCATTCGGCCGAAGATATCTGGGCGCCGCCGCATAGACAGCCTTGGTGGCCGCGGTCACAATAATCCCATGCGCACCATACTTGGTGATCTTGATGATCTCGGCCCCAACATCCGGCGTCTGTTGGAAATCAATAAATACCTCCGCTCCCAGCCGCTGACACAGTTCTCTTTTCTCCTCTCCTGTGTCGATGGCAATCACCCGCATGCCCATGGCGCGCGCAAATTGAATCGCCAGATGGCCCAGTCCACCACCCGCCCCGGGAAGCACAATCCACTGCCCGGCCTTGACATTCGACCTAGAACACAACCTTCTCAGCACCCACCAGCAGCCCCAGAAGCAAGGGAATCTCACCTCTTACAAGCCACATAAACCGTAACCCCCCCACACATCATCGGGCCCGCCTCCTCATCCGCCACCCCATCCGGAATCCTGGACGCATACCGCCCATCTGCAAGACAATACTCCTGAAACGTCCCGGGGGCCGAAAACCCACTATTCACCTGATTGACACAATTGACCTCATCCGTCCCCGTCAAACAGAACTCACACTCTCCACACGTACTCGCAATCCACTTCACCCCCGCACGCTCCCCGATCTTCCACCGATTCTCCATCCCCGGGCCAATGGCTACGACCGTGCCGACGCCTTCGTGGCCCGCGATGCCTTGGGCTTTGGGTGTCATGGTGAGTCCGAAGTCGGTCCATTCGTCCCGGAGGAGGGATTTGTCGGATCCGCAGAGCCCAGTCCAGGTTATTTTGAGCAGGATTTGGCCTGGGCCCGGGGGGTGGACGGGGATGGTTTCGATGGTTGTGGTGGATGTGGTGCCGGTGCCGTGGCGGATGGCGGCGCGTTGGTGGCTGGGGATGTTGGGGTGGGGGATGGTCATGGTGTTGGTTGATGTGATGTGAGTAGGATGTGTGTTGGTTAGATAGAAGATGTTGGATTAAGCAAGAAGAAGAGGAGGGGGTGCTTTTATCCCCCTCTAATATTCCCCCCCTCTTCTCCGCACGTACACGTGATGGTTCAGTCTATCCCATCCTTGTAGATATAGGTATAGTGGTTGCTGCTAATGGTTGATATTTTTTTCCAAACCATATAGAGTTCGACTGATGAGTTCGGGTGGGCTAGATTGCTGCGTCTAGTCTAGGAGTAATGCATTGGGTGTTCGGTTGATCTATCTGTTGTGTTTGAATGATCAAGATGACGCGGTATGGTATCTATCAGATTGGTTTATGTGTGATTGTGGATGGTTAGGATGGGGTTCTCTCATCTTGTGCAACATGGTAGGGTTCAGAGGATGATTACTCGTTTCTTCCTAGCTCTGAATGCTCGTGTTACCATCCTTTGGGTTTTCTCAACTCTTTCATTTGACTGTATCGGTTCAGCTCAGCCCAGATCACCATCCTTAATCCCTGTCATACACTCTCTGACCCCGCTTCTTCTTGGGATATCTTACCCCGCCATCGACGACCATCTAGCAATACCAGATCCACAGCCCAATAGAATAGATCTCTTAAAATCCGAAGATCCCTCGATACAACATCGTTAGAAAGGAACTTGCATTCTCAATCTGCGATCAAGTTACTCCTTCCCCTCAGGGGGCCGAATAAACACGCAAGAAATATCTCGTCCCTCTAAAGGCAAAACAACAGACAAAGAAATGGATACGATCGGGTTAGCACTCGTACTAACGCGTAGCCCCGCAACCTAAGATCTAGCGTGCATGAAAACACGCAGCAATCATATCACTAGGTTGGTCTCCTTGTGAAGGAAAGGTTGTTTCTGATTGAGTGATTGATTGATTGAACCTCGGGTCTGGTCTTATCACCCCTCATTTAGGTGGCCAGTGAGGGATTCTGGGGAGGAGATCGACGGCTGAGCTGGAGCTGAGCTGTGGGGTATAGTAGTTACATAGTAGGATGCAAAGGTGGACAGCTGGACAGCTGGACAGCTCGGGGTTGGGTTGCTGGGTTGCAGGGCTGTGCATTGGTCGCCTTCGGAGCCGAAGTTTTGCCGGATGGGTGAATTTGAGCTGGTCGGGAATTGCTTGATACCTCGGTAACGAGGTTGTGCTTTAGACTTTTATGCCCCAAGGTATCGTCCAGGGCTACTTTTGGTGCTTGTGCTGTGCTATTCATGTGAGGTGGCAGGTGTCAGTTCCGGAGTGTTTCTGGCTTCTATCTGCGTTTGGATCCTTGATTCACCCATTCATTTGTTGTATGTTAGGGGATTAGATTGACTGAAAGACGAACCATGACTATAAACTGGGATATGGCGCTTCTAAGATAAGCTTAAAGGTAAACCGTTAATAGAGGAAGCTAAGAGTGGAGAAGAGAGGCTGAACCGACCAAGGCCTGGAACTATAGAAGTAGAAGGTTCTCAGAGGACCTTGCTGGCTTGTTTGTGGTAAATCCTACTTGCTGATGGCCTTCATTATATGGCTTCTAATTTCGCGGCATGAGGGCGGGGGTAAACGTGTGAAAAAGGGATCGAAGTATTGAAATTCAGAGAAATTCAGGAAGAAATTATATCATGCATTAGAGACTTGATTGGCAATCAATGAATTGATCGGTTGACAGATCGCTCAGGCTGGATTCACTGCTCAATGTCATAGTAGTCACGAGACGGGCTCTCGTTCTTTGTTCACACCTGTGTGGTGCTTTTCTATCATAAAGGATACCATTTGACAGAACCCTATTGGATTGAAAAGGTTTTAGACATCATGACTTTGGTATATGAGCTCTTAAAGTGAGTGGCACGGTGATTGTTCTATCTGCCATATTCTTTGTGCTAGATGAGAAACTACTATGAGGAGCTCGGATGGCTGCTTGGGGTGAGCGTTGCGATAATATCTGCTTTGATCTCACTATGTTCAACTCGCTTTGAGACTCAAGCTAGACTGAATGGTTTGTAAGACGGCATACTTGTAGGAAGACATCGTGACTGATTATTCAAGAATACGGTGCTTCAATGGCTGATATTGTGATGATCCAAGTGGACTGCATAGGAGGGCTCTATTGGACAGGAAGAGGTGACTGCATTGGCCTGTTCGGCGGCCAAAATTGCATTAGGGCTCAACTGGCAGTATCTGATTGCGAAAATTGCACTCTAATCGGTTCCTTTCCCACTTAGTTTCTCCTTCAGCTTTCTTCCGAAGTTTTCGGGATAGAGTCGCAAAGTACGGAGTACATCATGTGGCTATAGTCGTTGAGGACCAGGTCTTACTCGGACCGGCTGTCCCGGAACAGGTCATTAAGCAAACCATCCGGTAGGTCACAGGGACCGATGCATCTCACAGAGGTTGAATATAAAGCCAAGCCATGCATACCTGTCAGGCCTTCGTTGTCAAGCCTCGGGGTAATTGTCGGAGAAATGAGGGCATCCACGCAGAGACATGCATCGCTAGTTTGGCCTAGACCTTCGGATAAATGAGGTCAACCGGCTACGCCGAGAATTTCAAATCGATACAAGAGACCAGCCTCGTTTGCTTAAATCTGCGCTCGGTTGTTGATTATGCTTTGTCCTCGTCCTCGGACGCGGTGCATACAAGTTGTTCCTCCAGTCACATCGAGTGGCATGATTCCGGTTGGCTGAGGGCGACGGATTTCGTCATCTAGTCAACTCGGTTTCTATAGTATGAAGACGGTTAGTGGTAAACCAATATCCACCACGGACAAGAAATCAAGATTTCTCCGGTGGCACCCCGCAGGTCAGCCATCCCGAAGCTTAGGCTGATTGGGTTCGGATCAGGGTCCGCAAGTGATCACAACACAAGACAGCATACACCGTTTGGAAAGCAGACAACAGCTGATCGTCAGGAGTAACGGGCCAGCCCCAAGGTTCCTGCATATAGATAGGCAGTATCTCTGGGGATATCGAGGAATGATGGGCGAGGTGCAGACGAGAGGACAGAAGAATAGCCGGGCGGCAGAAGCGATGCGGAGAAACCGGAGAGCACGGGGCACGCTAACCGGATGAGGCGCCGTCCCTGTGGAGGATCTTCAGTTGGGTTGCCTTGTACTTTCTCTCCTCTCAACATCATGCCAGCACCTTGAGTCCACCTCACTTCTGCAGGGTCCCACTTCCCCTCATTGCACGATGATGTCGACGCTGCGACGGTCAGACTCATGGCTCGGCTAGAATGTCAATATGCCCGGTCATTATTCAGCATTGAGGCATCGAGGGGGTGGAATGAGGGAAATAAAAGGGTTCATTTCCCCCCGCGCTCCTGGCGGGATTCTCCCGTCACCGGGTGCTATCAATCCATTGGTGTTGCACCATGAAGTTCTTGTCCGCTTGTGGTGTGGCCTTGCTGGCTGCGCAGGCATCCGGAGCAGCCATCAAGCATCGCCTCGATGGCTTTACCCTGACCGAGCATCCAGACCCGGCCAAGCGGGAGCTGTTGCAGAAATACGTATGACTTCCGCCGGTGGCTGCGTTGCGATCAACTGACGGTATGCGTTAGGTCACTTGGGATGATAAATCTCTCTTTATCAATGGCGAGAGAATTATGATCTTTAGCGGCGAATTCCACCCATTCCGGTAATACTCCTTCCCTATGATGTTTCCTATTGCACCGGTACTGACCCTAAGAGACTACCTGTGACATCGCTCCAGCTTGACGTTTTCCAGAAGGTCAAAGCTCTAGGATTCAACTGCGTCTCGTTCTATGTCGATTGGGCCCTCGTCGAAGGAAAACCGGGAGAGTACCGGGCTGACGGCATCTTCGACTTGGAACCGTTCTTCGAAGCAGCTTCGGAAGCAGGTATCTATCTGTTGGCCCGCCCAGGCCCCTATATTAATGCGGAAAGTTCCGGTGGTGGATTCCCGGGCTGGCTGCAGAGGGTCAATGGCACTCTTCGCACAAGTGCCAAGGCGTACTTGGATGCTACTGATAAGTAAGGCGCAATCACATACGAGGTACTCAGTCTGATAACTTCTCATAGCTATGCTGCCCATATTGGTGCAACAATTGCCAAGTATCAGATCACCAATGGCGGTCCAATCATCCTGTATCAGCCTGAGAATGAGTACACTGGTGCCTGCTGCGGTGTTGAGTTCCCCGACCCAGCGTATATGCAATACGTGGAAGACCAGGCTCGTAATGCCGGTGTTGTGATTCCATTGATCAACAACGATGCCTCGGCTTCGGGACATAATGCTCCTGGGACGGGGGAAGGCGCGGTAAATATATATGGCCATGATAGTTACCCGTGAGTCACTCGCCCTGAGTTGCCAAACTGTGACTGACAAATTTAGGCTTGGGTTCGACTGCGTATGTCTGCTACTGACCGATAGTGTTCTTGTAGCTAATATAAACAGGCAAATCCCACGGTATGGCCCGAAGGCGACTTGCCCACGAACTTCCGCACCCTTCATCTTGAACAGAGCCCGACGACACCGTACTCCATAGTTGAGGTTGGTAAAGCATTCCTGAAAATGATACCAAACTAACATGTCACAGTTTCAAGGTGGCTCATACGACCCATGGGGAGGTCCTGGATTTGCTAAATGCGCCGAACTTCTAAACAACGAGTTTGAAAGGGTGTTTTACAAGAACAACTTCGGCTTCCAAATCGCCATCATGAATCTCTACATGGTATGTGAGCTTGCAACTTGCCAGTACAAAGCTAATTTGGACAGATCTTCGGTGGCACCAACTGGGGTAACCTTGGTTATCCTAATGGATACACCTCCTACGACTACGGTTCGGCTCTGACGGAATCCCGCAACATCACCCGTGCGAAATACAGCGAACTGAAGCTCATTGGCAATTTCGCCAAAGTGTCTCCAGCTTACTTGACAGCTAGCCCTGGTAGTCTGACCACATCGGGGTATGCCGATACTACGGACCTGTCCGTGACCCCGCTGCTTGGAAATGGCACTGGTTCGTTCTTCGTGATTCGGCATTCGGACTACAGTAGCGAAGCCTCCACCTCTTACAAACTCAGTCTCCCCACCAGTGCTGGTAATCTGACAATTCCTCAGCTTGGTGGTACACTGACCCTCAATGGACGCGATTCGAAGATACATGTGGCCGACTACAACGTTTCGGGAACCAACATTATCTACTCCACGGCTGAGGTTTTTACCTGGAAGAAGTTTGCTGACGGCAAGGTTCTCGTCCTCTACGGCGGTGCTGGTGAGCACCACGAATTTGCCATCTCGACTAGATCGAATGTCACACTCGTCGAAGGATCCTACTCGGGATTCTCTTCCAAGCAGACCGCCACCTCGGTGGTGGTAGGCTGGGATGTGTCGACCACTCGTCGCATCGTCAAGGTTGGCGACTTGAAGGTACTTCTCATTGGTAAGCTTAACTCGCTGGATTGGTTTGCAGCGAGCTAACCGGTAACAGACAGAGATTCTGCTTACAATTACTGGGTGCCCCAACTTGCTACAGACGGCACTTCGCCTGGCTTCAGCACGCCGGAAACGGTCGCCTCGTCCATCATTGTCAACGCCGGCTACCTCGTCCGGACTGCTTACCTGAAGGGTACTAGTCTTTACCTCACCGCAGACTTCAACGCCACCACTTCGGTCGAGGTCATTGGCGCGCCAACTACGGCTAAGGATCTGTATATCAATGGAGATAAGACGGCACATACCGTTGACAGCAATGGCATCTGGTCAACCAAGGTCGAGTATAATGCCCCTGAGATCTCACTTCCCAGCCTGAAGGACTTGGATTGGAAGTACTTGGACACACTCCCTGAGATTCAGTCTTCGTACGACGATTCTCTCTGGCCCGCTGCGGACCTCGCCGAGACTAAGAATACCCTCCGTCCGCTGGATACTCCTACCTCTCTGTACTCGTCCGACTATGGATTCCACACCGGTTACCTGCTCTACCGCGGACACTTTGTGGCCACGGGCAACGAGAGTACCTTTTTCGTTGACCCGCAAGGCGGGTCGGCATTCGGAAGCTCTGTCTGGCTGAATGGGACATATCTCGGATCGTGGACCGGTCTTTATGAGAACTCCGACTACAATGCCACCTTCACGCTGCCTGAACTTCAAGCTGGCAAAACCTACGTGATCACCGTTCTCATTGACAACATGGGCCTCGAGGAGAACTGGACTGTCGGCGAAGATCTGATGAAGACCCCTCGTGGAATCTTGAACTACAAGCTTGCCGGACGGCCGCTCAGTGCAATCAGCTGGAGGTTAACCGGCAACCTTGGTGGGGAAGACTATGAGGACAAGGTGCGAGGCCCTCTGAATGAGGGGGGTCTCTACGCCGAACGCCAAGGTTTCCACCAGCCCGAGCCTCCTAGCCAGGACTGGAAGTCGTCTAGTCCTCTGGACGGTCTCTCCGAGGCAGGTGTAGGCTTCTACAGCGCCAAGTTCGACCTTGACCTGCCGAAGGGATGGGATGTGCCGCTATTTATCAACCTGGGCAACAGCACTACGCCGTCACCGTACCGCGTGCAGGTGTATGTCAACGGATACCAGTACGCCAAGTACGTGAGCAACATCGGACCTCAGACCAGCTTCCCCGTCCCCGAGGGTATCTTGAATTACCGTGGAACGAACTGGCTGGCGGTGACCCTGTGGACTCTCGATTCAGCGGGAGGCAAATTGGAGAGCTTCGAGCTGAGCTACACGACTCCGGTGCTGACCGCCTTGGGAGAGGTGAAGTCGGTCGACCAGCCCGAGTGGAAGGTTCGAAAGGGGGCATACTAGTTATTCCTTGGCTAGTTTCAATGCATAGTTAACCTCCTTTCATTATTATTCTTCAAGCAAAGAATCTCAACAAGTCGTCTCGATGGTGTAGTTGGTTATCACGTGGGTCTCATACTCCAGTATGACGTGGGAGAACAACTTCCATGCGATCCCAAGGCCGGGAGTTCGAACCTCCCTCGGGACATTTTTTGCCTCTTCAGGTCTCTCCCTTGAGATTGCATGTATCTATCCAGATACCCGAGGGAATTTTTGAGCTGGAGAATGAAACTTTTTATTTAGTATATAGGTCAGAAGGCTCCGTCAACCCCCCATTCTTTCTCCCACACCTTAACAAAACATCATCTACATCTACATCCTCATTATCATCATACTAGTAGTAGACTACCCAGAGACTATTAATTACCAGACACCCCCTCATCCTCCCCATCATCCCCATCCTCAACCATACAGCGCCTACCCAATTGCCAATAAGAGACGTCATCATTCTCCGGACACCATAGCAAAACGGAATAGGAGGTGTCAAGCGCCAAGAGCATCTTGGTCTTGTCAATCGCAGATCCTACTATTGACATCAAATGAGACCGCTGTGAGAGTTACTTGCCGAGCATAAACCAGGTCAAGCTCCCTTACACCTTTGGCGTAGGCAGCGTTCCTGGTGGGAGGACTGTATGATCACGGAATGCAGAAGGGCATAAATTGATCAGTTGTCAGCCATCCGGAACGACAAAGTATAAAACCGTAAATCTAGGACCTCTTTATTGGCTGAGTGATGGATTTACTAGTACAATTCAGCCAAGTCGGAAATATATTCCAGTCGGAATGGAAATTCACCATCGCATACTGAAAGAGTGGAAGATCAATAATATCTTAGGTTCTTCTTTGGGTTATTCTCCGACGGCAAGGAGGTAAAAGAATAGAGGGTAGAGTAACTACACGCCAGTGAAGGCAATTCTTATACTGGTGGGGTGCAACCTACATGTCTATTGAACAAACAATCAAATCAATACGATTGGAAATCCGTAGTGATTGGGGATCGAGACATCTCAAAGACAGAACCCCAAGATAAGAAGAACCAAAAAAGAAAAAGAAGAGTGCATCATCCGTGAATCGAACACGGGCCTCATCGATGGCAACGATGAATTCTACCACTAGACCAATGATGCTATTGCATATAAATACCATCGAAGTTTTGCAATATAAGCTAAAGCTCAAACTTTCATGCAGAAAACTTCTCATAGGTTTCACGCACCTCTTTGGATTATTGGTGAATAGAGGGGTACCTGTACGAGGCCATGTAGGGACGGGCCAAAGGTACGATTTATTATCTCGGTTGTGTATGGTATAGCGCGGGATAAATTTTGTTGTATCACGTTATGTCTTCAGTCAAACTCGATATATAATTAGAATCAGAAGCATCATGATACTGGGATAGTAGTGGGATCGGAAATGTAGGCTTGTGCATGCTAGTTGCTTATGATTTCCTCAGCCCAGGCTGGTCGACGAAGGGAAAGAGAAATTGATATAATAGAAATGAAAGTAAATGAAGTCTTAGACCAGAAAACGCAGGAAAGGAGATCACAATACAAATTGATGCCTTCAATGGTAGGTTGATTATACAAATAAAATGGCGGTAAAAGCCCAATATCCTCTAGCAGGCCATTGGGTTATACCATGTCGTTGCAGTCAAGTCGATGTCAGCTGGGACCTATTTACACGATAGATCTAATACGGGATTGTTCAATTGGGCCGCTATGTTAAGTCTCAGCTCCAACGAGCGACACAGTAGAGAGATGAAAACAAGGTAGTACCACCCAGAATAACAACTCAGTCGGCCTGGAAGATAAACGACCAAAATACGCCAGTCTTCATATAATGTAAAACAAGAAAGTTTGTATTTTTGGGTAGTTGAGGCGACAGTGGAGGCCATGGTTTGGACGAAGAATGTCGGACCAAGAAGCTTAGAGGAAGGCTTTGCTAGGGTTTCGCTATCGCCACCCTCATATTCAACCGAACTTCACCCTTATCTCACGTCCGAACAGCGGATCAGTCTATCGAGTCGACGCGACCGACATAATTGAAGGTCCCAGATGATCTCGAACAAGCGGATGAGAAAAGGGACACGCAGTTACACCGCTGTGAGTGTTTCGGCTTTCTCCGAGGGCCGTGGCGCCCCTGCCCTGACGGCATGTAGGTCGGCGTCGGAAAGTTCGCTGCATATTCCCCTCGGACGAATCCGACGTGTGCCCCACTGTACGAGGCGAAAATCTGCATGCATCCCCAAGGTGTGTCACCGAACTAGATCCTAGGAATGGTGTAACTCTTCAACGTTGCCAAGCGGGGCCGCGATCTTCCATGTCTCAAATCTCAACCAGTTTGTGGCGCAAGCCACACCCGTGCGGGAGACCCCAAATGGTTCGGCCCGTATTAGGGATGCCCTGAAGCATTTACGGCAAAAGATAGCGACATCACCTGATTTGCGACGAGACGATGTCTCTACTTGAGGCATCGCCGGTACAGCTTGCGGGCCAGACTTCATGTAGAGTGAGTGCACCGATCATGAAGCTGTTGAAGATAGTAGCATCCCCGTCCTGCCGGCTTTGTGCGACGATATATTCCTTTCCTATTCCGGTCCCTGGGCAGTGCTTGATCAGAACCATGGCTAATGAATTCAGCACGGCCTTCGGTTGGATGATGGGTACCGATTATGATAGATTTCAGTGAGGACTCACTGCCAGTTGTAATGAAGAGGCATGAAAACTTTTTAATCTAGCCAAAATCTATATTATATAATAAATAGGGATATATGTTCAAGTAGGCGGATCAAATCATTGGAGGATTCTCTTCGATCCCAGCAACAGACACCCCCCCAGGCCCCGAGGGCTTCGGGGCGGTGCTAGGCCTTCTGGCCCGCACCTTGGTGACCGAGAAACTTCTTCCAAGACTGGTGGCTTTGCTCTCGGGTTTGGGGGCATTTGCGGTAGTTTCTTCCAGGCGCAGTACGACTTCGACAGCTTTATCGTCCTCAATGACCTTGGGGTGTCTGGTGGCAAAGTATCGGGCGTATTTGAAGAGAGACCAGTAACAGCTGACGACGTTGATCACAAAGAGGACGATTTTGTATGGCATGTAATAGAAGAGCAGGCATATCCAGCTGACGGATTCCTTCTTCAAGCGGAGATGGACCAGGTTGAAGATAATGACGTTCAAAAAGTACAGGCCATTGGTGATAGCGAGCATGATGCCACAGAACTCCGGCCGAACCACAAACGAGATGGGTAGCATGAACGGGGCGAGGAGGTATAGTAGAGTTTCGTAAACCTAGTCAAATGTAAGCATTGGACGCATTGAGAGCCAGGTGCTCGGCAGAACTCACCTCCTGAAAAACGAACAGCTTCGCGCCCAATTCCCAGAATCCAAGATTCCAACTGCATAAGATATACTTCATGTTGTACCACATGCCATTGACGAAGAAGAAATTCCAGCGCATGAAGCGCTGTTTGAAGATGGTCATCTCGCCGAATCCTCCACGCGAACCGCCTGAACTATAGAAGACCGCGGCCGGGGTCTCCGTCTCCACAAAGACGGCCGAGCACATGGTGATACGTCCGCCTAGCCGGCGGCAGCTGTCGCCAAAGAACCAATCTTCTGACACTGAGAACCCCGGATGATCATGGAACGTTTGTTTGAGAAAGTCTGTCCGCCAGAGGGAGATGGCCCCGTGCGGAAAGGTCGCACTGCCCAAGTAGCCAGCAAACGCACGCTGAAGACCCGAGATTTTATACTCAAGGTCCTGGGCCTGCTGACACAGGGTTCCGCGCGAGGACCCTGGTCCAACACTCTTGATAGTATAGCCGATACTCTGGATCCGACCCTTTAGCCGGTCACTCACGACGGGGAAGTTTGGGGGCAGCGCGCAGTCATCGTCAATCAGCAGAACATGGGGGAAGTCCTTGGCTGCATAGCAGCCGACAAACTGCGCAATAATTTTGCTCCCAACGGGACACCAAAGATGATTGACACCATACGGCCGGCAGACCTCTTCGGTATTATCCAGTGGCTCGGGAGCGTTTCCATTCGCGATGACGAAGATATTCTCCGGGGGAAAGATGCGCAACGCCGCGTCAAGAGTTGGTCCGATAATGCCAGCGGATTTATAGCATGGAATTAGAAGGGCCGTAGTCTTGGCCGAGTTTCTATTGCGCTCCAGGTCCTCATCAGCCGTATTGCTGTCCACTGGCGGTGGGTTCTTTTCAAAGAGAACCAGTAAGGGTGTAAACGCGTAGCTATCAAATGACAGTAAGCCTCGGTCTCCTTCATTGCAAGATGATGAGAGTGTACTTACAGAACGGAAAGGCCAATTGTGATCCCCCAGCCTCCTGGGATGACGAACTTGGTTCGAACCACATAGTAAAGCCACCAAACGGCACCACGCCAGAGAGGCATCCCAATGAGGACGAAATAGATGAAGGCTGCAAGTACGACATACACTGTATATTCGAAGAGGACTTGCACCCAATACTTCCTTTGTAAGGCGACCCGCCTCTCCTTGGCTTTTTCGTAAACATCGTAAATGCTGTGTCGTGCCCGGTTCCCACTCGCCTGAGGTGCTTCTGTCGGTTCAATGCGGGATATCCGGCAGCTTTTAGGCCGGGGTGGAAGAGGCCACGCGTCTCCCCTCGCCGTCGGAATGGAGTCACCGGCCGGCAACTCCCCGTTCCCAGATTGTTCGTTTTGGACTCTGATGTCGGTCTGACCAAAACTCAGGGCCGGTGTGCGCTGCCCTTGAATATCACGGGCCTCCTTGTTGAAGTAATCTATGGGTTCGAACTCTGCGATTGTAGATGTCTCAGCCACGCTCAAAGGTGCGCTCAGGCGTCGGAGGTGAAGATCCCTGGGCTTTTCCGGTTGAGAGCTATTCACACTAGCTGAGCGGCGGAGGCGGCCATAATGCCTTTCCAAGGCCTCTGTACGGATGGCCTGCTGAACCGGACCAGGCTCAGACAGAGATGGCTCGTCCCTTTGGGTTGTCCAGGGACCAGTTGCCTGAGTGGTGGCAGCCAGTAGATGGGCCGGAATGACCACATCTTCCACCACAGATCTGCGAGCATGCTGGCGTGACATTTCCTCCTGCGGTAGTTGATTTGTCTGGCCACCGAGGATTGCGGTTGGGGTCGCATTTTAAACGTTTGAGCGCGGTGGTACAGCGTCCTGGGACAGATGCCCGGTGTCCACCTAGATGTGCGCTAGATCTCATAACGGATCATTGGCAGGCGGCCAACGACCCGGACCCAGTAATCATTCGCCGGAGCTGTGGTCATCTCCCAGAAATTTTCGTCGGGTGTGCGGATCACCAACCCAGGACTACCAATGGGCCATGATGATCTGGGGCCAATAGTGCTATACTTGGACGTGGAGCATGTTTAGGCTTACTCGGTAGCACCGGGCAGGAGTCGCCACCATCTCAGAACATATAGGAAGTTTGCGGATCGGTGAAGCCCTAGTTCGGTTCTGGTAAACGCATAGACTCCGGTTTTCGCGCCATCTCCGTCCACCATAGAAGCTAGCTTGGGAGGGTATAGTATGGCTCGTGTGTTCTCCTTGCGGTCCAAAGCGAGACGCCAGTTGGTCCGTTCGCCGAGGCAAGACTGCGTCTCGCTGAAGAGGCTACTCGAAGCCATGGTGGACAAAATGAACTCAGCCACGGCCGTATAGCAGTCAGGAAAAAGGAATATGGGAAGGCAAACGAAGGAGGCCGCATTGAGAATTTACGTAACGGGCGGAGATGATGGCTTGGTAGTATCTCTAGCGGGAGGCGTCGCAATTCCAAGGATCGTGATGAGATCGTGGCCCAGCCCCAACTGCTGGCACTTCAATGGGTGCGTTCCTGAAACACCTGCCAGCTCCTGTCTATTTTTGTGCGATTAAGTTTGCGCCTCAGGGGAACCCATCAGGCTTAGGGCTGGTTTCTGAGCGTCATCCACGAGTCTCCACTCAGCGGGCCGACAGCATTCCTCGGTTCCTGAATCAGAAGAGTAATGATCAGCATGGTTTCGAAATTTCACCTCGGATTAGGAAAGACTACTCGGTATCGTCCCGATCGCTCTTTAAGTGCTGGTACGCACAAAATTCGACTCTCTCCTAGTGGTATCTGCTGAACAGTAGTGAAGATGGCTCATTCGACTGGCAATAGTGGGAGGGAAAAGGATCCCGGTGGAGTTGGAAGCTGTGTTCCGTATGATGGAAGAATACTAGATCCAACTGGCGATCATAGCACACAGCATGTCAGCAATAGCACGAACTAAGGTGTGAAGGTGGAATCCCGGCAGAGGATGAAACAGAGTGGCACGAGAGGAGGAAGTGACAGGCAGGGTCTTCCAGCCGAGACAAACACCCCCAACTCGTTCACCTGACTGCAGCCTGAGGTCGAACCCTTGGGGTGTCCCCCACTTTCTCCCATGTCCATCCTCTCCGGTACCTGAGATCTCCAACTTGCCATGCCGACTAGCCGACCTCAATGGCTGGAAATTTTGACCCTGTCAGCTTCGTCTGCGACTGGATCCACCCCTCTGATGGTAAGATGGCCTGGATGGTGTTAGGCACTTGATTTAGGCAAGTGTATAGCCTCAGCCACAAGAGGGCGATACGAACGGCCGTCTGGAAAAAGAAAAAGATGCTGCATATGTCCAACGCTAACAACAATCTCCGAGGACCCCGTGCAGGGAGGGCGATCGCCCTTTGGTTGAACAAAAACGTGCCCAACGATTATATGCTTTTTCTGCCCTTTCCTTTTCTTCCCCTGAAACGTTCAAGTTTTTTTCTTTTCCCTGAGATATCAAGCGTTGAACGAAGTGTTGTCACTTCATAATAACCTCATAGTAACTTCATGGACACTGAAAAGGTGCCCCCGTGCTAACCCAACACGCTAGCGCGGGATGGAACAAGGCAAACCTGCGTCCAGAAACCAGGAACCCTGGACTACTACTTCAAATCACCCTCATCGAACTGACAATGATATCTCTATCAGCGTCTGAGCATATGAAACCGAACATGGAGTAAGAGAGTCTCTAGTAAGAGCAATGTTGGAGGGTCCGGCAAATCCTCCTTGATAAGAATAGCAACCTCGTATTATTCAGAATATTCAGCCGGAGACCTATGACGATATGCATTTGACGTTGGATTTGACTGAACACCAACTCGGCGAAAGATGATCTACGCTTCTGTTCGGAGTTCCAGGGATGCGGTTCACGCCATTCATGAACCATTATACGTCTGCGAACAACGTATATGGTCAGCACGATGCTGTCTCACACCCCACTAGATGATCCTAATTTGCGTGATTGCTGAAAGGGCTAGGTACAGAACAATATGGAAAGCAAGGCTTTGGGGGCCCAAAGCAAAGGGTCCACTGGTTATATTTATCAACATGAAGTCCAATTACAAGAGGGGTCCTGCAGGCCCCTCATGGAGCTGAATCGGCTCTACAACGATAGACCTTTGACTAACAGAACAGGTGGGGAAGCGAGCTCGATCAAGGCCAGATGCAATTAAAGGTTGTCTCCGCATAAGGCCCGACTTCCTATTGCGGTGTCCGAAGCGAACTCGCACTAATAAGTGGCGCCATGAAAGCTAGCTATTATGGGAATAAGATATAATGCTACCTATAGTTGCCCTAACGCTTGAATTCGTACGCATTTGTCAGGCGTCGACGTGGCAGAGTTCCACTTGACCTACTTGGCTGCCTAGATACAGTGTTCGACGTGCTTGACTTCATCCTTAGATGCTTGTCGATTTGACCGTTGCGCCAAGATCTCTAGCATTTACTTGGTAGTAACCAAAGCATGGGTGATCGTGAGGATCACTGTGTCACAATAGACATTCTGTGTCGGGATCTAGTTGATCGGACGGGACACGGATCTCAGATGTTCCTCGTGGATAGGCAGAACTTGGAGACGGGACGAGCCGTGTCTGGAACATGGAAGCACAATGCATACGTGGGCGAGATTCGCCTACGTAAGGTGTCTCGTCATGGAGTGACTCAATCGGAATTTGGTTTAATTTAGACACTTGAAAGTGTCTGTCGGTTGTCCGCTGAAGATTGAAAAGGTATTCACTATCTTCTGAAGCTGAGCCAGTCCAATACTTGATCGATATGAAGAAGGTAGTATACTCAGCTTGCGCTGATACCATAATCAAACCTACAACATCAGAGCAGAGAGCGACAAAGCAAGACAGAATGTGGGGAAAACCCAGCAGAGGAATGATGACCGGCGGAGCGGCAGCAATGCTAGCTAAGCATTCTCTGCATATCGATCCACCAAGACAATCAATACTCTACTGTGCTATCAATGACATAGACTCTGTGTAACCAAAGGAAGTTCACAAAACAATGCATTTGAATTGTTTCTTGATCAGGTACTACCAAATGTCTTAGGTTCCCCCCGCTGATTCGCGAATCCGACTTCGTGAGCCTTGCTGTCGATCATCCAAATCATCCCGATCGCAAGCCATCCCAGCCACCGAATAAACAGCGCACCATCCAAGCGTTCCGCCCCATCATCTCATCTTTTCATTCATTTCATTCTATTCTCACTTCTTATCTTCTAGCATTTCTCTACGGAGTGCAGTAACACAAGTTATCATTAAATTTTCATCGTCCATGTCTATACCACTCACCCCTCAATGAACCACCACCTCCGCACTCTACAACCACCACAACAAACACCACGAACCCTCCCCGCCTCCACCGCCACCTCACCACCATGACCCCAATCCCCATCCCGCTCTCAACACGAATACGCAACAACATCAACCACCTCCTCCAACCTCCTCCTCACCACCAGCCCCTTCCTCCCACCGACAACAAACCCACCCACCTCACCAAACGCACCATCTTCATCCCAGCAACCTACAACTCAAACGGCCTCTCCCCCGGCGCCGTAGCGGGGGTAATAATCGGCAGCGTCCTGGGCTTCATCTTCCTCCTGTACCTGATCTTCCTTGCTCTCGGCGCCGGGCGCAGATTCTCCAGCGAACCTAGCACCAGCGAAGCCGGCACGGCAACGATGTCTGAGATCGTCGTTGAGGAGGAAGAGGAGCATCCGCGACGATCGTCGCGACGGAGACGACATGAGGTGGTCGAGGAGGTGATTGAGAGTGGAGGGAGTAGACGGGATCGGAGGTCGAGACGCGGTGGGGGTGGAGGTGGAAGGGGGGAGCGGATTGTGGTGGAGGAGTCGGTGACGTCGCCGGATCGGTCGGATGTGGTGGAGGTGTTGGAGGAGCATTCGAGTGTGGAGGGGCCGGAGAGAAGGAGGAGAAGTCGACCGGGGCATTATCGGGCCGTGGATCCGTTGGCGTATGGGGGGGTTACGGAGGATGAGAGTTTGGCGTCGTGATTCGGGGGAAGGGGGGGGGTTTTTTGGGTTGAGGAGGTGGAATGAGTGATTGAGTGATTGGTGATTGGTATTGTTGGTTGGTTTGATTGGTTTGATGATTTGATACCCTGCTGTCTGTTTCTATGATTAGGATGATAATGAGGATGATGATAATGATACTGCGCTTTAATTTGCGGATCACAGATACTCCGTACAAGGTTCCGATATAATACTAGAGACGATAATGTTAATCAATAGCCTGGCAATGATTGGATTAGAACGAAAGTACCAAGGAAAGAAGAGGCACCGTCATGCGCCGTTAAGCGCCGACACCAGTCGAATGAACCTGACTGACTGAGCCAAATATAGAACAGACCGCGAACCGTGCTCCCAAATCTTTGCGCCAACCAGAAAACCAATACAGTATCCATCGCACCCACCCAATTCAGGCTAGAAACGAAGGCAGCATAAAAGTCAAAAGCGTTCTAAAACAAGATATCCAAGCAGCAACAGCAAGCCAACGCAGCCATTATACCCGCGCAGATTCCACCGCCCGATGATCCGCCCCGGTCTTGTCCGGCGTAATAACCTTGTTGTTGCTGCGGGGGAGGATAGTACATCGGTTGGCCTTGGGGTGGGGGAGATCCGTAGTATCCTTGTTGCGGCGGAGGGCCGTAGTTCTGAGGCGGATAGCCTTGGTTGTAGCCCTGATTGTAGCCTTGGTTGTAGTAGTCTTGCGACGCGCCGGGGTGGTAGGGACCGCCGTCATGGGTCGGAGGGGGGTACGAGGGAGGAGGATTTTCCTGCGCAGTTATCAGTTAGTGATGCGATGCGAGATATATGATATGGTGGGGGGTGGACCGGACATACGGGTTTGTAAGACATTTTAAGGAGAAAGAGGCAGCAGCCTTTGCGATGAGTGGATAATTATGCGTTCTTCGTCAGAAATAAAATATACCGGGTAGCTTCACCTTCGGGTGGGAGCGAGAGTCGTTGTAAATCGCGGAAGGAAAGAGGTGTGGAGAGGAGGAGATAGTGAGGAGAAGAAGTTCGAAGAGAGACGAAGAGACGCCGAGACACGGACTGGATGGCAGCTTGGCGGATGGTCCGGATTAGGCAACCGGCAATGTCGGTCTACGCGGGCGGGTTTGCGATGCTGGGATGACGATGTCGATCGACTGGCCGGATAGATGCCTTGCAGCAGCTACTGAATCTAGCGCTCGACGGTACCTGAAATAATAGGCCCCCTTGGTCACACAAAGGCTTTTTTTGTAAGTTGAGTCTGGATTGTACGCTCTATGAACGACATGGACCATGAGTTTGCACAGTTTGTGTGTCGGCGAAAGAGGGGAAGGCATGACGAATATCCATCTTGGCGCGGCAGCTGACACTGGATAGATTGCCCAAGGGAGTCTAGTCTCTCGGTTTAGGCGGGCCAACTCTATGCTGTCCAACACATCGGAACTTGCGTTCCTGGCACGAACAGTGGAGGTTTTGATACCTCATGTAATCCACACAGGACGTGATTAGTAGCCAATCGCGCTGATGAGATGTGAGACAAGAAAATCTGTTGTCGACATAGACAAGGCACCTGCTGTAGACATGACTGAGTTCGGACAATGCTTGGCGGCGATAAAGGCAAGAACTGAGAGTACTGTACTCCGTAGTAGTATGCCAAATTGGCTTTGCACCTGCTAGTCCTGTTCTCATTGACGAGTCCAGCGAGCCCTTGGAGACACGCGGTGTAGAATGTCCATCGAGAGATGGTTTAGGCGCTCTATTTCTCCGAACCCTTGAGTATCGTGCTCATGTCGGGATCCTCGTGTTGTTGAGCAGCCATGAAGGTGCATTCGTCGATGGGTTTGAATCGGAGAAACGGTTTGGTGTGTCTGAGCCTGCAAATCATGGACGCTGATCAGAACAATCTTCTAACTAGGTTCGAATGTTCCAGACGGGCCAGTTGATTTGAGGACTTGACGCACCTAAGGAGATGAAGCTCAGCGACCATTGGATCAAAATTTCCTAACAACCGTGTATCAGTAGTTCGAACGAAAGTGAGCTAACCTCACGTGTGAGCAGCAGGAAATTGTCACCCAGGGTTTCGAATGGGTTGGTACCTATGCTAAGAAACTAAGCGATTGCTTGACCCCGAGCAGTTGGCCGAAGTGAAGCTTTGGTTTTAAGACGGGCTGGGGGCAAATGAGAGCTTGAGATAAAGAGGTTCGGTCTCACATTGTGTCAGCTTCCAATCTCTCCTAGATGCTTCAGCGTCGCGTAGCAGCTCTGTCTCCGCCGTCCGTAGGAATGGTCGATTCACTGGCATGAGGCTGCTTCCTGGATTGCGAGTGGCCGCCGTGCCGCGCTAATCCGGTTCCAGTTCTGTCTCCTCGGCTTCGACTTCGGCTTCAGCTTCAAAACTAGCCGATTGTCGATTCTTGTGCTTTCGTATCCGTATGATATTATTAATTTGCCTTTCCCTAGTCGTCGGATTCGAATGGCCTCCGAGAGTCCGAGGATTAAACAGCATCAAGCACTGATAATTGGCGGTGCTATGGCCCTTCCATGCATAGTGGGTCAATTGTCTTTCAGCCCAACGCGAAAGCGCCGAAGCTAATCACGCTAGAGGGACTAAATCGCAGGGCTACGAGGGTCTGGAGTCTCCTTGACACACTAAAACAGCACCGCCACAGCAGTCTAATCGGAAGGCATTCGTCATCCACGTCGACACGTAAGTACACCATGGACGAAAACGTTGAGCCCAGCTAAGGAAGACCCCTTCACAAGACAGGGGTTTGCGGCGCTGAGTAAACGACTGTTTCCAGGAGATAGTTTGTCTGTTTGCATTGGATTGTCGCCCTTCGCCTTCGGCTCACTCGATGGGTCGAATAGCCTGATGGAGATATGGATGGTTAAATCCCTGTTTGACAATGCACAAACGTTTTTTAAAACCCATATGCATGGCTACTGGAGTGCAGCTATTAAACAATCATTGTTCGAAACCAATGAAGGCGTGCTCTGGTGCCTGGTGCTGTCCGGGTTGGACGGCTACAGAGCATACGTATGCCCCAGAAAACCCTGATATTGCCAAGGCCAATTAGACCCTTAGCATCTTCATCAGCCCTGGAGGGTCCAGATCAGTGCATTATATTGGGCCATGCATGATACCTCATCTTGGCTTGAATATTTGCATCCTAAAAGCAGGGTGTCAAAACGAACTCAGTTTACTCATACCCAACAACTAAAATGCGAACACATCACACGCTGTAAAAGATGCCACATACCAGGTACAATTCTGTCTCCTATAATCCAAACCCCGCGCTGCTTTCTTGCGAACCGCTCATTCGTGGCGTACGCGCTAACTCATGGCTGCATTGCGTAAGCGGTCCACAGAGGATGTCTGGCATCCATATCAGCACATCTCTACCGTCTGAAAGTGCACGTATTATGCTTAATGGCGATGATTTTGGCGGGTCCATCCATGCACGAGTCAGGTTGTGAAACCTGCTGATACGGACGCAATTTACCCATTCAAGCTTGCAGATCCCGTCCAGCCGCAGCAGGTTCACTCACTTGGAAGACTCCCTTGCTATTATGGTCGAATCCCTTGGTCTGCCGGCTGTAACGGCTGGGTTCCCTGCCATGGGCCGGATAAGCGCTTACGTATGCCTTCATTATCCTGACAGGACCCCTAGGGGTCGATCAACTTATCGCGGCAGCTGGGCTACGTGGTAGCCCGGTGCAGAGCTCGATAGATAAACTATGATATGGTTCTTTATGGTTTTTTCATGCACCGACTGACCCTCGAATTCTTTCAATAGAGGGTCCATAGTACCCTGCCGATCCGATAGCACCGTCGCTATCGCTATTCAGTTGTCCCAACAGGAAAGACACGACACCTAGCCCTGGAGCCTCTGTGGCATTGAAATAGTTTCTATGCACTTGACGAATCACACAAAATGTCCTACAGGAACCTGTCAAGTATAGATGTCGGAGATCGAACAGCCATCCCCGACTATGAGTTACACAATGTCCCCGTCGCACCACCGTATTCGGCCACCGACCCGGGACCTGCAGTTGCAGCTGCACCTGCAGCGGAGAAAGCCAGCGTTGCGAAAGGCACCGGGGGCGCATGGTATAATCCGCGATCATGGTCACTGTTGACAAAATTGATCGTTGCGGGCGGAGTTGTTGTTGTCATTGTTGCGCTGATCGTAGGAATCTACGAGGGCACAAAATCATCATCATATCCAGATTACTCTGCATTGAGTTACAAGCTCGCAGATACATACTCCGGGTCGTCGTTTTTCGATGAGTTCGAGTACTATACCGCTACTGATCCCACGGACGGATTTGTAGAGTACGTGCATGGCCCTTCCCATTACATCTCTGACACGCAGAAATGATGATTAACCCTATTCTAGCTACGTCGACAGCTCAACCGCTTCAGAGATGAACTTGACCTACGCATCCAGCTCCCGGGCTGTCTTACGAGTGGACACCAGCACCTCGAACCAAACCAGCGGCCGCAAATCCGTCCGCATCACCTCGAAGAAAACCTACAACGACGGGCTCTTCATCTTCGACATCACCCACACCCCCTTCGGATGCGCAACATGGCCAGCCCTCTGGCTCACCGACCCCGACAATTGGCCCGAGCACGGAGAGATCGACGTTCTCGAGTCCAACAACAAGGGCACCCACGGAAACGCCATGACACTGCACACAACCAAGGACTGCAAAATGAACGTGAAGCGCAAGGAAACCGGCACCGCGTCCTACACCAACTGCCTGAACACCGCCAACGACAACGCCGGCTGCAGCGTGTCAGGCGGAAAAGCCACCTACGGCGAGAGCTTCAACTCCAACGGCGGTGGCGTAAGTCAACCCATCCCCATCCCCATCCATCCCACCAAGCTAACCCACCACCAAAACACAGGTCTACGCCATGGAACTCCGCAACGCCGGCATCCGCGTCTGGATGTTCAGCCGCGACGACATCCCCACCGACATCTCCAACAGCAGCGACACCCCCGACCCCTCAACCTGGGGCGAAGCACTCGCCGACTTCCCCAACACGCACTGCGACATCGCCTCGCACTTCAAAAACCAAAGCATCATCGTCAACATCGACATCTGCGGTGACCTCGCCGGCGCAACAACCTACTACACCGACCTGTACGATTGCCCCTCCACCTGCACGAAATGGGCCGCCGAGAACGGAGCCAACTTTACAAATGCGTACTGGGAATTCAAGAGCTTCAAGGTCTATCAGACCTCTTCTTCTTCTTCGTCATCGTCGAGCAGCTCAGCGGTAGCTTCGTCGTCGACGGCAGCAGGATACGGGGCTTCGACCTCTACGACTACAACGGCGGGTGGTGCTGCTACTGCTACTTCGGGAAGTTCGGGTCAAGGACAATCGGGATCTCAGTCCGGAAATGGACAACAGGGGGGAGGAAGTCAGAGCGGAGGACAGAGTCAGGAACAGAGTACCAGTCAAGAGGAGAGTACGAGTCAAGGACAAGGGGGGCAACAGGGCGGACAACGATGATATCTTGATACATTCATATCGCCTGATTAATGTTCTTTTTCTCTTCTCTTCATACTTGGCTTTGTTTTCAGTCCCCTTTCATTTTCTTTCTCTGTCCAGGGTTTCACTCACTTGACACATAATTTATCCTTAATGATGTTGGTTTTAAGAACGAGGTGTCGGAAATAATGACAGGACGCATTGGTACTATCTTATAGATAATGAGTGATGGTGATAAATAAAGGTGATTTGGAGTCCTATATGCTTGTGCTTGATTTATCGTATGTGCTACAATGTCTACAGATTCTTCTTCAAATTACAATTATAATACTTCAATGCAAATTTTGTACTCCTTACAAAACATTCGTCCTACATTCAACCCGTACAACTTGCTTTTTCCAATCGCTCATTCGTTACTTACACGACACGCTGCTAAACAATCGCTAAGGGAACGCTCCTGGCTTTCACCGTTCATGGGGATGGGGACAGAACGGGCAGAGAAGAGAGGAGATATGATAAGACATGAAATAAAGAAAGCGTAGGTAGGTAAAAGTAGAATAAAGTGAATTACACAGAAGGAAAATAAACAACCCGGACGGAGTCCAGGGCTGGTAACACGGTTATCACGCAAGAAACCAATACCCGTGTAAACTGGTTTCTGTCTTCATAAGGCAAAAAGATCTGGACATGTCGGTAGGGATGGCGTAGGAGGAATAGAAAGGTTGGAGTCAGACAATGACTCGTGGATGCAAATAGGAAACTAAAGGATCACGCAATGTAAATAGATCAAATGCTAGTCTTTGCTTTCGCAGATCTAACCAGGAGCATGCGCTGATGCAAGATGTGAATGCAATGCGATGCAATAGTCTATGCATGGCGAGTGATTTAGGCCTGGTCCTCGATGGTGGCCTTTTCAAGCTCTTCGGAAACGTCGGCAGCAGCGTCGGTCTCCTGCTTCAACTCTGCGTCAGCGGAGACCTTGCCATTAACACCGCTGTTCTTGATGGCGGGCTTCTTGGCAGCGTCGGTAGCACGGTCGCCGTTGGCAGCAGCGGTCTCTTCCGCCTCGAGGCGAGCAATCTCCTCCTGGGCCTTCTTGATGTTCTGGAATAGTTCATTAGCATTGATCCCGGCACGACAGGATGCTTCTCAACTCACCTCCTCGGTCTTGGAAGCCTGGTTCTTCTTCCACTCGGTGATCTTAGCAGCAAGCTTCTCGATCACAGCAGGGACATCGGACTGGTTCATGGGAGGGTCGATCTTGACCTTGGCAAAGTCCTCAATGACACCGACGTTGAGGTTGAACTTGGTCTCAGCCTGAGCGCTAGGGGAGGGGGTGCCGTTGGCGCCCTTCTTGCCCTTCTTACCCTTCTTGCCACCAGTGCCGACGAAGTAGTCCTCCTCGCGGTCATCCTTCTTGAGGACCTTCATGCCCTTGATGGACGAATCCTCCACAGTACGGCCGATCTCGGCGCGGAAGTTGGAACCCTGGTCCTTCTTGTCATCCAGACCCAGAGAGGCGAAGTCGTAAGAGGGGTTGAAGTGGCGGATGAGACCCTGACCGGTGAGGATCTCGTCGGTGTAAGCAAGGCGGGAGGCCTCCTCCAGCTTCTTGTCCGCGATCTTCTTGCGCTTCTCGCGCTCGAAAGCGTCGCGCTGGGCCTTCTGCTTCTCGCGGCGGACTCTCCAGGCTTCATCCTCGTACTCCTTGTAAGCCTTGCGGGCCTTGTAATAGGTGTCCTTGATTTCGCGGATAGCAGTCCACTTCTGCTGCTGCTCGCCGTGGAGCTTAGTGCGCTCGTCCCTCAGGGCGTTCAGGTTCTTGAAGGCGCTATCCTGTTCGGCCTTGATTCCATCAAGCTCCTTCTGGATCTCGGCGTACTTGTCGCTGAGAGCCTTGGCCTCGGGGTTGTCGAGGGTCTTCTTAAGAGAAGCGATCTGGGTCTTGAGGTCATTGATGACCTTCTGGGCTTCGTCCAAGCCGGCGAAGTTCTTGCGCTGCTTGCGCAGGTTCGAGATATCGGAGAGGATCTTGCGCTCGTCGACCAAGCGGAGAGTACCGGAGTCGACCTGCTTCTCGAGACGGGCAATTTCGCGGTCGAGTTCCTCGACATTCTTGAAAGACATGCGCGTGCGGGAGTTGTTCTGCTCGGAAATGCGAGCCTTGAGCGTAGCATCGAGGGCATTGATCTTCTCCTGGGTGCTGGAGCGGGAAGCCTTGAATCCCTGCTGCTTCTGACGGATCGAGGACAGTTCAGCGCGGAGCTCCTGCTGTCTCTTCGCGGCGGGCGAATCCTGGTTGTTAGGCTTGGCGGTCTCGATCTTGGCCTTGACTTCGGTCTTGGAGAAAGTTAGTCGACTGAGACCTCCAGTGGGTAGCAAATGGCATTCGAATTGCGATTGAGTGGGAAAAGGGACAGCAAGAGATGCATTGCAGGGTTAGGCCATTCAAGGCCAGTTAGGCACAAAAGGCCACGATGCGGGAATCCGGGACCGCATCGAGGGAATCAATCGCAATGGAATCACGCCAATTAAACCGCAAAGACCTCACATACCAATTTCGCCTGGACCGCAGCATGTTCCTTCTCGGCCTGGGCCAGATCGGCCTTAAAAGTCTCCTCGTTGGGCTTAGTAGGCTTCACCTTGGGCTCCGTAGCAGGAGCGGATTTGGCGTCAGCGGCCATGGCGAAAGGTGGTGGGAGAGCAAAAGAGGAGACACTCGACAAGAGAGAACGGATTGACCGAAATCAACCGGGGAGAGAAAGCTCAAACGAGCGGGAGGGAGAAGCACAGGGAGGGGGATGAGGCGGGAAAGAAGACGCTGGGGGGGGAAGAAAGTCGTGCTCTTTTTCTTGGTCTGGCCTTTCTGCTCGTCGGCGGCGCTTACCATTGGCGCTTTTAGCGCTGGCCCGCCGATTTTTCGAGAACCGCATTTTGCTTCCATCATCGACTCTCCCCCTCCAGCCTTGACAGCTTCCTGCTCCGCGTTCCCCGGGCGAATTCGCTTCCTCTGCCGGATCGTCGCTCTTCTGTCTGTGTCAGACCTCATTCTTCCTTTTTTTGTGACCCGCGCCGCCGTGTGCCCCCCTCTACAACCATGGACGAAGACTACTCTGCAGGCTCCGTCGACGCCGACCGCGAGATGACCAGACTCTGGCGCACATGGAGGACAGTGTTTGAGATGCTGTTGGACCGTGTAAGGATCCCCAGCTTCGTACGACATCTTTCTTATCCTGCGATTCCACTAACGGCGTCAATCACAGGGATACGAGGTCACGGAAGAGGAAGTCCAAATGCCTCTGGCCGTGTTCAAGAGAAATTATTCCGACCCTCTTGGATACCCTGAGTACGCGCGCACCTTTCACCAATCTTACCCCCCCCCCCCCCCACCAATCTAACAAACTCCCTCCCAGCCGCAACAAGATGAAAGTCAGCGCCCGCCCCACGGAAGCCATGCAGGCGAAATACACTCCATTGCCCAGCAAATCCAACCCGGACCCCCAGCCGGACTGCGGCACCATCTACGTTGAATTCTGCCCGGACGCGACCGGCGTCGGTACCAAGCAAGTGCGTACCTTCAACCACTTCGTCGACGAGAACAACTTCCACACCGGCATCTTCATCACCCAGACTCCCATCTCCCCCTCCGCTGTGCGCCTGCTGAGCAGCATGCCCGGCCGCATCTGCGAGCACTTCCAGGAGCAGGATCTGCTGGTCAACATCACTCGTCACGAACTGGTCCCGAAACACGTCCTGCTGAGCCCGGATGAGAAGGCTCGTCTGTTGGAGCGCTACCGTCTCAAGGAGTCGCAATTGCCCCGTATACAGGTCTCCGATCCTGTCGCTAGATACTTGGGTCTGCGCAGAGGTCAGGTCGTCAAGATTATTCGGAAGAGTGAGACCGCTGGTCGCTATGCCAGTTATCGCTGGGTTATATAATCGAACCGATTTCGGTGGCCAGTGCGGGTGGTTTTGGTTACAATCGAAGAGTACGCGTTATGTCCTGACCTGGCCTGGCCTCTGGCTCAGCCCAACGACCAGCGCATTCGCAGAGTATTCACCAAAGAATCGGAGGGGACGAGTTCGCAGAAGCAGTGACGCGGAAAAAAACAAGGGGATGGATGGAAGGATGGAATTAAAACGGAAAAAGAAAAACTTGTCTAATTACAGGCATCGGGCAGCATGGCGTAAGGGCGAAAAATCTCGATGTTGTTTCTTCACGGCTGGTGTATGAATGTCTTTTGTCTTCCGGTTGGCTAAGGTGCTTTCACCTCCAATTATCTATCTACTAACTCAAACAATGGCTGTATAAGAGTGAATGAAACCAGTTTTTGTATCGCTGGAGTTCTTGTTCTTGAGCTATACAATTAGACGGTGACACGCGTTAAAAGGTATCAAAGGTTAGGTTCGTGAACCAATCAAGTAGCCGTTACAGTGCCATACATATCATATCCTACAGCCCAACTCAGCGCTCAGCGTGCCTGCGCAAGCGCTATCCAAAGACTCCGGGGCTTTCTATACATATCATAATACCAGGAATTTATACCCTGCATCAGCTGAATAGCTGCCAAAACCACCCAAGAATCGCCAAAACCAAGTCATCCATTCGTACATGTACGTAGTGCGTCGTGATCAGTCGTTCAAACATCATGAGGCTTCAACGTCTTGACAGCAACCCACCCACATCCTGCAGTTCAACCTCGTTTCCCTCGATTATAGGTGCCGACACGTCCGCTTGGGAACGATAAGAAGGAACTGGGGAGTCGGGAAGGTCGCTGAAGTGAACACTGGAGCCACGACGGCGACTGGAGGAGGACTGGGAGCCGGTTCGCAATCCTCCCGAGCGCGGAACGTTGGATGCTGATAGAGATGGGCGGGGTATTGTGGGCGAGGTATTGAGATTTATTGTTCGAGGAGGGTCCGGGTTGGATGTCAATTCCCCGACATCTTGGAGAGAAGGCCTGCTTCCTCCGCTGGGATGACGAGGTTGCTCTGCATATCGTGGGAGTTGTACAGTGCTGGTCGGAGGCTGACGGCTTAAGAGACTGCCGACATCGAAGATGTGAAGATTGGTGGGAGGTGACGGCATCACTGCATCTGCGGATTTCTTGCGAGGGGTCTTGTTGGTCTCAATGTACTCGTGCGGACTGACTTTGACATCTAAACTGCCTATGCTGGACGCCCGGTCGTCTTCAATGCCACCGGGGCGCTGATTGAAGGACCAGTTGGGGTTCAAGGTTCCTGTGCGGGCTGTCAATGGATGAACAGGCACCGCAATAGGCGCAGGGCGAGGTGTGGTCTTGTCAGCATAGCACAGCTCCGGGTCCAAGCGGATACCCAAATCAGCAGCCAGATCTGAGTCACTTCCCCATTGGTGGTGCGTGATAGTTTGACGGCGGACGGAACTGTGATCCATGCTTTCACTAACAGAGGCCGACCCTTGATCCTTCTTGAATTTGACTTTCTTGACGCCCTTGTCACGCACAAATGAGCCGATAATGACCGCATTGGAAACTGCGGTCGCCGCCAGGATCTCAAGTGATGCCACGAGCGATCGATATTGTTGCGAGCCGTCATTCCAGATGACCGAGGGCACTCGATAGCATGTGATGCCGACCAGAATCAAGGACAGAGCGAACAGGACCACAAGTGATACTTTGCGTTTCAGCGGCATGTGAGTCATCACGATGAAGGGAATCGGAAAAGAGACCAGAAGCAGGTCGGTTACCACATCACAAGACCCCATCGTGATCAGATTGCCATAGCCGAGGCGACACCTTGGCCCTGGATCAGGCACAACTTGCCAGTAGTGGTCGAATGGTTGACACTCGGCGAGAGTAGCGACTATCACTGCGAACAACGTCGAGGCCAGAAAGTAGTATAGGAACTGAAGAAATATCCGGAGGGACCGTCGCCAGATCTTCCCTGCTACCCGCTTGAGAAACTCACATACTGTGAACTTTGCTGTCCAGATGCTATCCGGATCAGTACATCAGTACATACTCGAAAATTATAAACTCAGGGAGAGAACTCACAAGATAGCGTAGAAGATACGTGCAACGAGGACTAGTTTGCTGCCGATTTCTCTGTGCCGAATATCTTCGGCAGTCAAACCATCTGTTTTCGTATTGTTGGTACCCCAGATCAGGATGACATGCACACATGCCATACGGATCAACAGCGGGATAACACTGGCCATCATCACCTTATCTTCACGGAAGAAACGCTCGATTCGAACATAGCGACCGCATACTCGAACAACGATGATGGCTACCGAGAAGCCTGTGGCCCACCAACTGACGAGGAGTGTAGGGTTGTTCTGCAACTTTGTCCGAGCATCAGGTGGGATACTGGTAAAGAGCCCACGAGAATCAAGCATCCATTGTATACTCATGGCAGTTGTGCCGCCTCCGAAGAGGGGCCAGTGAATAAGTGAGAACGACTCCCGCGATTATACAGCGGTCTATTGGTGATCAATTCAGTAAAAAATGGAGATGGCGCGGTTTTGCCTTTTTGTATGTTCGCATAACTCGATTGGGATCGGTACAAGATAGGCACGTGCCTTACTCCGTAGTCGGTGTGGGGAAGGCCGCTTAGAGGAGCCGGAGAGTCTCAGTATCGATCTTGACGAGACCCGAGGCAGGTGTGGATGGCGATCGGAAGGTGTCCTGCTGCAGGTGGTTGCCCTTCAGTAAGCGCCAATATCACCGCGATGGTGAGTGCAGCATTAGTGACAGCAGTGACAACCGGAAAGGAGCGTATTCGCGCAATTATGGGCGGCACTTCGGGCTTCCCCCAAGCTGTCCACTTTAGACCGTGTATCAGAGTAAAAGATGAGGTAAAACCAAGTACACCGCCGTTCTGACGTATAAGTTAATATAGCAAGCCAGTCTCAAACAGTAGGTCGATGGTGTGGGATGGATTTTGCGACCAGGTCGCGCGATGAGCGCCGCAACAAACAGCGGTAGAGATAACACGCGGAGGCATCTGTCACCGGCACTATGATCCTAACGGTAAACCATAATATATTAAGGCTCATGGTAGCGAGGGTACGCTGAACTAAGGATGGGCCTACGGGTCATGGCGCCCGATAAACTTCGCTGGGAAACGGAAGATAACGTCGACGGGAACGGTGGGCGCCGGAAGTGGTCATTGAGCCTTGGGTCTGGTGCGTGAAATAATGGGGGTGAGCACCGGAGAAGATGGGAAGACAATTTGAGCGTGGACCAGCCAGAAAGAGGCGATAGAGTAAGGGAAAGAGCTAGTGACTGGTGCCTAGATCAACCAGGGCGTCTAAAACGGCCAATGAGTTGGCATGACGGGATGAACGGATACGAAGCCATCGTTGCGCTCACGAGATTGCTTGTGATATGGGGTTTGCCACCAAATTTGCAGCTGACTCGAGCCTAGTACCCCGAGTCGTGGACAGTCTTCCAGCGTCATCAGTCATCGGGGTAAGGTCGAACCATCGAGACAAGCTGACTGTTGGTGAGTGGAGTGGTTATCCGCGGCGACAGGCCGACGATCAGTCGATGCTCCCCGGTCAACGCCAATCATGGCATCCCTGGGAAATCGAATGGACGTGAGAGCAGCAGCGGAGAAAGATAAGCTCCTGATAGGGCGTCTGGCCAGGCCAGGATGATAGTGAGAGTCTGACAGCGTACGTTAGCTGGGCCGAGCTACAACAGTAACATGGGGAAGAGGGGGCGCACGAACCTTGGGTTAGTTCACACTACAACCGATCTGGGCAAGGGAAAGGGGGACAAAGCCGGAGAAAACGGAGCCCGTCCGAAAGTTTCATGATTGATTACCAGTTCTTACAGTTGCCCCCTCCGCTGCCTGGGGCACTTCCACGTGGTGGGCGATGGATTGATTTCCCTTTCCGTTCCTTCCCCTCCCGCCTGAGATCATAGTGACCTGTGCTGAACATCCAGTATGCTCCGTATCCAGGACGCATGGGACTGTTTGGGCACCGAATCACTCCGGCCACGTGAGCGCATATCCAAAGCGATATGCAATAGTAAGTCCACAATATGTGTGCGTACACAGTACACCGGGAAAAAGCAACAATGTCTATAGACCTTTCATCTCCGTCGCTGCCTGATTCGTTCTTCCCTGGCTTGCGTTTGACCATGGATGGTCAGATCATGGATCCCCTCAAACTCTGTACATAGATAAGCCGTATTCTCCCTACGGTCGGCGCCGACTCCATCGTAGGCGATATGTCGGCGTCCCGACCGGTCGATGCCGAAGGCACCCCCAAATGCAGGCGAGGCCAGTGGCCAGGGAGCAAAGACAGATAGTCCAGGCCCATAAGCAAGCAGATCCATGCACACTCCGGAGCATTCTCCTCCTCTAATGATAAAACGACCCGACTTTTATTATTGTCTCGATCTATGTCTAATTTACGATAACCGGTGCGCGAAATGTACAATCAAAGGCCCAGGAGGTCTAGACTAGCCAGGGTGATAAGCCTAGTTCGGGCTCATCTTAATCTCTCAGAGATTGGATGGTCTCTCCGTTGAGAATACCGTGCAGCACCACGCGCAGTTCCTGCAGGAACTTGGTGACTTCCTGCTCGGTTCCTACAGTGATACGCAGGCAGCCCTCGCATCCGAGTTCCTTTCCACGGAACCGCACCACAACACTCCTCTTCTCGGCCATGGCCTCGTAAGCGGCCAAGGCAGTCGCATTGCTAGGCTTGCCGCCCTCGTTGGTTGGCTTATCTAGTAGTTCGACCAAAAGGAAATTGGCCTCTTGGCCGCCAAGGAAACGGCCAATACCCGGGATCTTGGGCAACTCTTGCACCAAGCGGTTCCGCTGGGCAATAATCTGCTCCCGGTACTTCCTCATAACGGCCAGGTTGGTCGGGGAGAGTGCTGCCGTGGCAAGCGCACTGGTAGGACTGGAGATGTTGTAGGGCGCCTTGAGGCTGTTGAGGAGGGTCGCAATCGGAGGGCTGGTGAACGCAACACCCAATCGGATACCTGCCAAGCCAAAGGCCTTGCTCAGCGTCTGCATGACCACCAGGTTGGGCCATTCCGTGACCCATTCCGCGAGACTGGAGCCCTCCGGGGCAAAGTCAATGTACGCCTCATCCACAACCACCACTCCGTTCCATGTGGGGTGCTCAAGCACCTTCAGGATATCAGACTTCTTGATCAGGTTCGCCGTGGGGTTACCAGGTGAGCAGATATACGCCATCTTAATCGACGGGTCAGCGGCGAGCGCCTCATTGATCTTCTCCGGCTGCAGTTGAAAGTCATTGTTAACGTCCAGAGGCACCTTCACAATCTCGACATCGTTCACTTGTGCGCTGACTCCATACATGCCATATGTGGGAGGGCAGGTAAGGATCTTATCCTTGCCAGGAACACAGAAACATCTCAGTAGCGCATCGATGGCCTCGTCCGATCCGACACCAACGAAGAGGTTCTCAGGCCCAAGGTCCTTCTGGGTGTGGGTGTGGGTGTTGCGCAGTTGGCAGAAAAGCTTTTTCAACTCGATCTGGTGACTGGAAGACAACTTCACTTAGTATGAGTGATACAATTGGATACCGCAGCCCATTAAGAGGTAGGAAAAGGACGTAGTACGGGCGACACTTACGGATCGGGGTAACGGTTCAGACCCAGGAGATCAATCTCTGGCTTGGAAGCACCCGTCGAGGTTCCCGTCACTGTAGACTTCTCCAATGCACCTTCAGAGTTCAGCGCAAGACCAGGGCCGTAAGCGTTCTCGTTGGCATCGAGCAAAATGTTCGACCCATCATCTTTGTAGTCACTGACTCATTAGTTCGTTCGACCTTGGTCGGCGGGACACGGCGGGGGCACACTCACTCTCTGGCGCAACGGTAAGGCTGCAATTTGAGGATGTTAGGGCGCGCGCATTTGGAGAGATCGAAGGGGGAGTTTCTGGTAGCCATCCTGTCAGACTGGTGTGCAATGAGCGAGAGTTCGTCGTGGGGGTGGAAGAAAGAATGGGCGGGGAGTCGCCGGTGGCGGGGAAGTCTATCGGCGGAACAACCGGTGTCGGCGGGAGTGGCTCCAGGTACTGCGGAAATGCGTCCATAGGCAGGCAAATAGAGGGGTGACTCAGAACATTATCCACTAATACTATAGTACAATTTTGATTCCCTCTCTCTAGTTTTTAATGTAATGCTCCAGGCCCTTCTATATACTGCTGTGGTCCTTGATTTGATCGTAGAGGACTCTCAAGAAGATATACTAGTTACACATGTACTACCAATGCCGAAAAGAACAACGCCTCAAATGCCTTCGGACAGATGTCTAGGGTTTCCCATGCCTCCGGGGTCTGGATCGGACAAAGATGCTTCAGTCATAAGCGTGACGGCGGAACCCACCTGCAATTTTCTATTCTTGCTTGGAATCGTTCGCAGGAGCGTCGGAGGAAGTGCTGGCGTTTTTGCCCGACTTCTTGTATTTATCTTGCTTCTCTCGCAGGTAGCGCCAGGTTCGGCCTATTCCCGACGTGAGTAGTCCCTTGGCCGATTGAACGGTGCTGGGCCAGCGGATGGTCTTCGAGATTGCAGCCTGCACTTCGGTCGTGAGGTTCTTGTCATCAGCAATACGCTGTTCAAATGGCCCACCCTGTCTCCGACGTACTAAGTCGGAGGTGTCATTGTTCTCTTTCATCATTTTGTCAAACTCCGCCCGTGGAATTTGATAGCGCGTTTGGTACTGAAAGTACAGCTTCGCACGGAAAGACTCGGGAAGACGGCGAACCATATTGCCGCGCTTTACCGGGTCCATATCCTGAGTGAGGCGAACATTTGCATCGGGATCATCGATCCAATCGCCCTCGGTGCAACGCCTGTCGTTAAATGTAACATTTGGAAGGTTCTCGATAAGTGGTGCATACAGTCGCCGGAAGTTCGCCATCTGCGAAGAGACAATGTTGTTCACCTTGCGGGGGTCTTCCGCTGGCAGTGCCATGCGAAGATCACCCATGTAGCTCATACTCGCAATAGTACTGTACAGTTGAAACTCGGTGAATTCAGCTGGCAGAAGTAGTAGAGCTACTCGGACAGCGGACAGCAAGTTAATCTGGTTCGCAAGGCGCACCTTCGGGTGGTCACGCAAGATCTTGACCGGCTTTTGCAGCCGTCCTGCAAGATACAAGGTATCCCATTGGCTGAGATCCCGGCATAATGTGTCCAGGTTCACGACCCCATACTTGATAAGTGTGCCGTTCACAGTGATGTAGGGGTTGAAGTACACGCCCGCGCCAATCTTATCCTGCACTTGGGACACCATGTAAGATCCCATGGAGCCTAAACCAGAGTAATGGTCGCGATGCTGACCCAGGTTTAAGGAGTGCCAATGTTGGGAGTAGGACACTCCGAAGATGAAATCAATCATTTTGCCTTGACCCTGTTGCATGTTTTTAATGGCTGCTGGGGCCGACGGGTGGCATTGGTTGGAGCCAGGCGCACTGCCTGTCTGCTGGAAGACGCCGGATCCATAAGCAAACGCGTACCGAATCGGCGCTCGAAACTGCCATAAAATCTGACGCAAGGCTTCCTTGAATTCCTGGTTGATTATCATATGTTGGTTGACACCAAAGTCCTTTGAAGGTAACTCCGAAAAAGCGGAAATGGATAGATCCGGATTCGCATCCCAGTCGCCAGGATCCGACCGCTGTGATGAGGTAGAAAAGGACGCGGAAGACGAGGGCAAGAGGAGACCACGGTCGGCGGGATTCGATTGCGAGCTTATGACCGTGGAGGAGGATGTACGGTTCAAGTGTGAGGGTAAGCCATTGGAATCGACCGAAAATGAGCGGAAAGAAGCTGGAAGTCGCGCATGCCGTGGAAGAGACGGATGGATTGAACGCAGGCGCACGTAACCTGGGTTAGGGTTCAAAAGGAAGGTCTAGCAAGACATCCATTAGTCTCCGATGGGCGATGCAACCTCTTGGATCAAACAGTCCGGCACATCTTACAGTAGCTTGGCGCATTGTCGCAATTCCACCGAGGGAAAAGAAAGTTGAGCACAGCGAGGGCTGTAATTGTGGACCAGTTCAAGAAGCATCTGAAACCTCAAACCATAATTCCAAGGCGATAAAGATGGGGTGGGAGGTAGAGATGGGCACAGGTCTAGGGAGAAGGGGGGATGGAATTCCACTCGACGGGCAACAACAATAATGGCTCGACAATCGAGGACGGGGGAAAGAGGGTCTGACGTACTCCGTACACTTCGGCAGGTGTTCTCGGCCTGCTCCATTCGGGCATTCGGGCCCCGGATGAGGAAAGTGCCCGACTCCGCCACGATCCCGCAAAGAGTCAAGCCACATCATACGGGTCACGTGGCATCGTTTCTCCGCGGCGCGTTCCGGAGACAGACCCAAACAAGGCCGTAAACACGGAGGGCGGGCGCTCGCCTCGACTAGCAATCCCCGCGATTAGACAGATGACGGACTGATTTTTCCCCCGGTTATTGATCCTGATGCCCTGAGACTATTCCCAACCATGGCCCAGGAAATGGAGACATTTGCTGCTCGTCTTGCCAGTTTCGATCGGGTGTTATACCCGGAGAAACGCAGGTCGTCCAGCGCGAAGTCTGCGAAACCCGTTGCTTGGCCGCATAGCCGGCCATCTCCCGCTGAGGTATTTGGTTTGCGCCTGATATCCTGACAAACACGCAGTTACTGATAAAGCATGGACATAGCTTGCGCACGCCGGTTTCTTCTATAATCCTTACGAAACAAACCCCGACAATACAACATGCTTCCTATGTCGGAGAGCGCTGGATGGTTGGGAGGAAGATGACAATCCGATCACAGAGCATCTGAAGCACACCAAAGACTGTGGCTGGGCGATCATGATGGACATCCAGCAACACAGTTCCAACCCAGCCGAGATTGAGGATCCGACAGGCGAGCGGATAGCGCAAGCCAGGCAAGCCACCTTTGGCGAGTCATGGCCACATGATGGAAAACGAGGCTGGCTGTGTCAGTCAGATAAGGTAAATCCAGCCGCTTCATTGTGCCAGCTTTCAGCATTATGGATTTGGATTCTAATTGTCGCGACGCATTACAGATGGTTGAAGGTGGGTGGTACTTTTGTCCAAACGAGGAGAGCGATGACTTGGCCACCTGCCCTTATTGTAAACTGTCTTTGGATGGATGGGAGCCTAAGGATGATCCATTGTAAGTTCACGTCGCCCCTTCCGTTTCTACTATCACTGATTTGATCAGTGACGAGCACTATCGTCGCTCGTCGGATTGTTCCTTCTTCGTCTTTGCCAGACCCCCCGGCAAGAAAGGGAAAAGCTCTCGGTCCAAAAAGCCCCGGGTTTCGAAGGCTTCCCGCCTTTCCACTCAATCTACCGCATCGGAAGCACCAGTCCCTGAACTGGACGACCCAGGTGACCAAAGCATCCTGTCCCAGTCGACCACAAAAACCAAGTCTTCAAAGAAGTCTTCCAAATCAAAGTCCAAGGCAACGAAATCAAAGAAAGAAGAACCTGTGGAGAGCGAGAGTCAGATGGATGTCGATACCGCCGATTACATCCAACCTGAGCCTACGAAAACCAAACGCACCCGGGGGAAGAAGAGAACAAGCAAGGAGCTGCAGAGAGATGAGGCAGAACTGGTCGGCGCAGATACCGCCGAAAAGCCTGAACCTCCGGCAAAGAAGAGAGCCACCAAGTCACGCAACAGTACACAGCAGCAGGACTATGATCACGGATTGGAGGCCGTGACGGGAGATGCCCAAGTAGAGGAGGCTCCTGTCGAAGAAGAAAAGCCGAAGAAGAGCCGCGGAACCAAGAAGAAAACAACGTCCAAAAGCCGAAAGATATCTACAGAATCGGTCACCTCGAGGGCCCCGTCCATCACTGAAATTCCCACCAACTCTGAGCACGACGCAGCAATGGATGTCGACCCTGAACACGAGATACCCAGCCGAGCGCCAAGCGAAGAGCCCCTGCCTAAACCATTAAAAAAGTCCAAATCCAAGAAGAAGGTCAAGGCGGCCCCAGAGCCGCCAAACGCCGCGGTGGAACACAGTGCAGAGATCGAGCCACAGGAGGATCTGAACCAAGAACCCGAACAGGTTCCGGAGCCGAAGCCACCTGTCGAAGAGGCGCAGCAGCCCAGACGCACAAGCAAACGGCAAAGCGCAAGGACTTCCGACAAGGTTCAAGAGAGCAGCCCTGAAGTGACTCCTCAAGGACCACCCCAGCGTGTCACGCAGCCAGACCCTGAAATTACGGCTAGTGCTGCAAATGATTTCAATCATCATGAATCGTTCGTTTCCGTGGAAATCCCCGCCAGGGTTCCAGAGCTGGATGCCAGTGCAGGAGCGAGTGATAAGGACATTAAGAAGAAGGTGAAAAGGAAGGCTTCAACGGAAAAGCAGAGGAAGTCAAAGCAAGCAGATCAAAAAGATAATGTGGAGTCGAACAACGACAAGGCTCCCGCTAAGACTAGTGAACCAGAACATGATTCTGATATCCCGCCACAGATTGAGGAAGAAAAGCCCCAAGAGCGGACCCCCGATCAACAGTCTGCTCGACGCAGGTCATCCAGAGTGCCTCCAAAGACAGCGGAAAGATACAGCGATATCCCCAGGGAGAAGCAATACGCCAAGTCGCTTGCAGAATCACGAAGCCCTCAAGTCAACACAGCGCCGGAAGATGGCCATCAGCATGAGGAGAGACCCGAACCTGCTACAGTGTCCCCTCTTCCCTCGCCTTCTAAGAGCACTCCTTCACTGTCACCGCAATCATCCGACGCCGAAAACCAACCCCCGTCTTTGAAACCATCTGTGTCTCGGGCGCCAGTATCATCGCCTTCTAAGCGCGCAGTTCGAATCCCACTTGCGGCCAGTACTCCTTCCCCATCAAAACGAGTGCCTAATAAGGGCTCCTTCAACACATCCCATCCATGGACTCCCATCGACATTGACGGGATTCTCGTGGCTGGGACCAGTGACAAGGAAAACATCGACTTCAACGGCCTTCTGAGCAATGCCAGAGGCGAGTTGACCAGCCCCGAGAAGAAAATGACCGTTGAGGAATGGATTAAGTGGAATGCGAGGAATGGAGAAGAGAAGCTGAAGCGCGAGTGCGAGCGGGTGGTCAGCCAGTTTGAGAGGGAGGGGGCTCGAGCTATGCGTACACTAGAAGGCATTGAATGCACGGATTGAGCGGGTGATTTGGATTATCTTCTAGGAGTCTGCGGGTCGGGTAATGGGCATTGGATAGGTACTTGGTTTCATCTCGTGTTATCAGTGGTACGATATTTTCGCAGCAATCTCACTTGGCCACGGTGCGGTCGGTATATGCATATGGATTTTCTGCTCTTTTGATGTGACAATGAAATTTATACATCCGCTTGGACAGAAAGAGAACCTCCGGTTTGACAAAAATTCAAGCACCAAACGCCATGGGTATACTGCAGCTTTTAGCCATCATGAACCATCCCTCTGATGTAGACCATGCATATATCCAAGCTAGAGCGCGCTTGTCTATGCAATAATTCCTAGCCGGCCTTCCCAGCTGTCCTCCTCCTGCTTGATTCCATCGCCGCCTTTGCGGCGCTTCTCGTTTCTCTTCCTCCTCTTCTCCTCCCTTTCTTTGGCGTCCTGTTCTTCTCGCTCTTTGAGTCTCTCACCCAGATCCAGCTGCCAAGCTCGTCTTTCCTCTTCCTCTTGAACCCGTTTTCGGTGGGCCAGCATCCGTAGTCGCTCCCGCACATCTTCGACGGTGGCACGAGTAACCTCGCCGCTTTGACCGGTCGCGATCAAATGCTGTTTGCTGTTCAAATGCTCCACAAGCTGCAAGTTGTCCTTGAACGTAAGGTCACAATCTGAACAGTAGAAACCAGCCCCACGTCCTCTCTTTCCGACTGCCGATCCCGAGGTAACAATGGTGGTCTTGCCAACCATGGACGCGACATCAAGTCGCTGTTTGCGCGATGTAGTAGCCTCCAGACTGCTGTAGTCCACCGGCGCATGCCATTTCTTGCCTAACAGCTTGGCCTCATAGCGGGCCTTTGATTCCTCCTTTCTCTTGGCCTCATCATCTGCGGCCTTTTTGGCGTATTCGTCTCGATCCCATGTTTTGCGGAAGGCTGTGTCTGATGAGGGCGTTCCGTATGCGGATCCTTTGTTGCTCATGGCGTCGACGGTTGCACCTTATGGGTACTGGAAGGGGAGGAAATAGTGGGACTGATATATAGGTGGAGGATGCGCTGCGGTATCGACGGTGCTGTTAAGCTCGATGCTCGGTTCCCGATACTGGAGGCGAAAAGCCGATGGCTTAGATTCCGCCCGTGGAAACGGCAGGCGGTGGCTAAAGCGGGGACGAACTGCAGGACATCCCCGGATCAGCTGTCGGCTGCCTGGCTTATCGTCCCCCGACCCCCGACCTCCAACCCCCTCAACCATCCGCTGCTGATCGTGTGGTGATTCTTGCCTGCCACGGGCTGAGACAAACCAATTCACAATATAGAGTTTTTTTACGAGCTTTGGATCTTCTTGATGGATTGTTCAGCTCACTCTGGCAGGACACAGGCGGTTCTCTAACGTCCCTCATCTTAGATCTCCCATCTAGGACGCCGGCAACCGAAACACTTCGCCTAGTCTCGTATTAGCCACGCCGTCTGATTCACAATCTATTTCGAGCGCCTAGGCAGCAATTAAGCTCAACTAGCGCAACATAACAATCACCTGAGCACTTGATCTACCTTACTTAGAAGTGGCTGGCTGCCATCAGGCACCTCAACTATCTCTCGGCGTTCATTCATTGATAGCTTCCTTGCCCCCAATAGACTGTTTTTGGATTCTGTTACTTCTGCATATACATCATTTACCAACAGGGATATACAATGGAGTCTGCTCTGCTCCAGCAGACCTCACGGGCGCCTCAGCATAAGCTGATGAATCTACCTACGGAGCTACACCTGCATATCGCCAGATTTCTCACTTATCCAGATGCTCTGGCATTGAAACATACCTGTCGCCACTTTTACTCCCTCGTTTACACGGGTGTCCACTTGAAGGTTGATTGGTTTGTCGAGCGCTTCGAACGGAAACTGGAATGTCCAATGGAGAAATGCTCGTTTCGGACGGACGAGGCGTTCTGCAATAAGAGGATCCGGGGAATCATGGAGCGCAGAAGACGGCACCTTGAGTGCACTCAGTTACCGGGTGGCTGCTTGGTCATAGAAGGCCGAACTTGTCACAAGGACCCGTTTCCTATCTGGCTGAAGAAACGAGGCCGCTTGGAGTTGATGAGATCTTTGGGGATGGAAGGTCTGTTGGAGTCCAACTTTTTATCTCCGCCTATAATGAATGGCTTCCTGCACTGTGAATTGTGTTCATGAAAGCTGGTAAGCTGACCTACGTGCAGTCTTGATCCATGGCCTGATCTTTCTCTGCATCAACTTGCTTTGGATTTTGGGTGCAAGGTGCGCTGCCTTGGGGGATCGGACACCATACTTGGGCTGACTGTGGCAGATTATTTCACCATGAAGTTGTAGTGATATAAAGACGTTTTGGTTCGCACGTATCTACACCATCTACACCATCTACACCATCTACACCACCATTATCGCATGGGCTTGTGCTTGTGCTGCCTACGCATGCCTGACTTCGCCTTTTGCCGCGCATTCCCTCGCCCTGTTAGTGATGGGCTAGATACGATCTCTTTTATCTCAGTAGCAGCGGGCTGCTACTACGTTCTACAAATTCGTTTTATGCGGTGTGCTGGGTTTACTCCCTAGTACCCACGACGACCTCCAAACCCATGGACTTCTCCCCTGCACACCTAGATGTAACGGCTCCCGTCACATCATGGAAATGCGCGCTCGAAGGCAGGACTCCCTTAGAAGCCTTAGGTACGGGGAGGGCTATATGATCTTTAATATATAATCGGACATGCTTCACCTAAGGCATGAAATCAAATACTGGCACTGCTTCGCTTAGCTTCGCATTGAGTCAAATTAGACACCCCACTCCTTCCTCAGCAAGTTCTTCCAAGCCTCAAAATCCATTTCTTCGCCATCCACCAGCATTGATCCCTTGCCGACCTTCTTCGGCCGTGGAGGTACATAGACAAAGCTCTTGGCATGGTTAGAATTGCACCGATTGATGGCCATGGTCCCGTCGGCTACCATTGTCACACAGTCCTGGCAGAATGTATCGAAGCAGATGGTGCAGAGCGAAAAGCCATCGCCATTTGGCCAGTCTCGATGGCATGGTCCATCGCACGACCACATCTCGAGTTCGTCCGGCTCCTCTCCCTCATATGAGCCCATGGCATAGGCGACGGCAATAATGTTTTTCGTGTCATTGGCAGCGAGTAGTGCAGTCAAGAGATCCAACAGACCCACTAGGTCGTTTTCAGGATCATCATCGGACAATATGTGGATGCCATGTTTGATGGATGGCCTAACGAGAGCGCGGGCTTCCGTTTGTTGTCCTTTTAAGCGGTGGTATACAGCGAGAGAGAGGGCCGCTGCGGTCTGCAGGACGAATGTTAGGGGGTTACTGCCACCCTTGGCTTGCATCACAAGCTTTTCTAATTTTGTCGCCGCCTCTTCAGCCTCTGGCGTACCGACCCCGGCATTCACAGCTTCTGAGAGGTAGTGTTGGGCGAGCCGGTATGAAGCCTGCAGCTTGATGATACCGATCTCGGTCTCATCCTTGGACGAGGCATAGGTATTTATGATGCTTTCCCACCGTTTCACAGCCTTTTCCTGGTCATGCATGAACTCGCTGTAGATGCGAGCAAGGCCCAGCTCGATATTGGCCGCAGTCACCGTTTTCAACGCTTTGCGAGCCGCTTTTGCTGCAAGCCGCCAAGACTCAACCATCAGGCTGAGGGTCCCTGTGGCCAATGCGGCATCCAGGGCAAAGCTGAAAAAATGACTTTCACAGTCGGAGTTTAACCAGACCGTCTGGGTCAACCGCGAGTAGTCCTCATCTGGTACCATGGTGTCCGCCAGCTGAGCAAGCAAATCAATTGTGGCTTGGTGATCCTGGTGGCTATTATGATGTTCGAGAAGCGCATTGATACACGTGTTGCAGTATGGCATGCACTCGTACGCCTTGACAAAACTCTTGAACCGTTTCTCCAGATCACCTAGCTGCTTGTAGCTGTCGCCCATACGCTCGAGAATAGTATGGAGGCCCAGCTGGAGGTCGTCATTCTCCGGATCTAGTTGGATCTCTTCTGAAATCTTCTTTGCGGCTTCCTCGTCCACTTCGATCGCCTTTTGGTATTGGCCTTGCAGTGTATACGTGATCGCCATGCCGCTTTTAGTAATCCACTCGTCTGGATCCAGCTCCAATGCCTTCGTGAAATACTCCAGAGCCGTATCGTAGTGCCCGACCTCCCGAAGAGCGATTGCGCATCGTCGATACAGCAGAGCGGTCTTCTCCAAATCGCCAAACTCAGCAGCTTCGATAAGCTCTTCAGCACTGGGGTTGAAGGTTTCCAAGAAGTTAACCTCTTTGCCCTTGTTCAGGCTCTGGTAGCTCCAGACCACGGCAGCTAATGGAGAGACATTCCACCTCTTTTCGCACAACCATTGCTTGGCACAAAACATGACCACTGGCTTGAATGTCGTTATCGGGTCTTCTTCAGTAGATGATATGAATTCTCGTTCATCATCGGAGAGGGCCATGACAACCTCGTCATGTTTCCACCACTGCCGGACGGCTTGGATGCTGGCATTTGTTGAAACCCAGCTGCGATAACCGTTCCACCCTGAGATTACTTCTTCGGACCTGAAAACTATTAGCAGCAGCTTTGCAATCTCTGTCCTGTCCTCAAGCGAGCAATCGGATGGGGAGGTGGTAAGAAGATGATGGACCCAGGTCACCGCAGCATAGATGAGCATCTTTCTTGAATCACCAGCCTTTTCCGAAAACTCGCTGTCAGCAAAAATTCGTAGTAAGGTCTTGAGGACGTGAGCTTTGGCTTCGCGATAGTTCACACCAACTGCAAGATGACCTTGCCCGGCGGACACTTTGCTCTCTGTTTCGTCACGGAAGAAATCGCCAATGGAGGCATGGCAGAAGGTGACTGTAGTAGTCTGCAAGTCGGAGTTGAAATCGGTGAAATTCTCAACATCTTCAAAGGCCTCCTCATCCCCATCCGCTTCGTCATCAGACCCATCGAAAATGGCAGGTTTCGTCGACATGTTCTGCAACTCCGCCGTCGTGAGGCCATCCTCCCGGTCGAGAGTGAAGAAAGAAGCGAACTGTCGACGAAGAGCACCTTCGAGGTAGATCATTCCATCCCCTTCTGGCGATTTCAACTTGAGTATTGCGTCGATCAGGCCGAGTGTTAACGGCTGCTGGGAGCAAGTGACCCATGGTAGTATCTCGTTGAGATACTCGAGTTCCTCCTCACTGGAGCTCATGGAGAAGTTGGAAAGAACATGGCGAAGGATCTCCTTGAGGCCTTTGGGAGGATCGTCCAGAGCTCTCCGAATACTGCTCTCATTTCGCTTTTTCACCAACTCTTGCAACATGAGATTGACCCAAAGAAACATACCCTCAGCCCCGGCAGACAATTTCTCAACTACTTCTTGGCGCAATTTCGTCGATACCCTTCGAAGGACAACTGACTTTTTGATGCTCGCATGGATGTACTGGTTGATGTCGCTGGAGTTCTTCTGCGTCGTAACATGGATGGTTGGGACCTCTATTTCAAGACCTTCCAACAACTGGTCACTGATATGGGGACGACCCACGACAGCCAGCTGCAGACGAGCTTTTTCCGGGGCATCGTAAAGATCTTTTGCTAGGTTGAGAAAGATTTTTCGTTCTTCATCCGAGGCTTCATCCACACCATCCAGGAGTATGTAGACACTGCTGTCAACGCCAGGCTTCTTCAGGAAGTAATCCACAAATAGCAGGCGCCATGCACTCTCCAGGCTGCTGATCCTCTCGTATTGCTCGATCGTCACAATATGTTTCCGGTACACGGGGTCACTCTTGCTGATTTGGAAGGCGAGATCCCGCAATGCCAAATGAATCGAGCGCGTGTCGGGATTGTCATCCTTGAAGAAGAAGTACCCCACGGAGATTAGTGATGTACTCTCAGACCCCTGCGGATACTGTTCGCGAAGCAAGCTGATGATGTTTGTCGAGAGGTACGACTTGCCTGCGCCAGGGTTACCGGAAACAAAGATAATGGGCGTTTCCCTATCAAGCCAGCCCTGGAAGATATCCTCGTTCCTTACCCAGTCGCCTGTCCCTGGGATCCGAGCCTTGTTAATCTTCTCATACCAGTCCTGAGCGGAATCAGTCTTTGATGGCCGGAGGATCTTGTTGATTAATGTTTGAAGCGACTTTTCGCGATCTTCCGGACTTTCTGGCATACCCTCGTTTGCTGAAACAACAAGCGTACTCAGCATTTCGTGAACCTCGTTGACCTGATAGCTCATCTGGTTGACTGTCATCCCGGTCTCCATCACGGTGGTGTTGGTGCTAGTAACAGTCACTGAGATATCGTCGACGACGCGACCGGTCCGTTTCGACTCAGTCAACGTCTCAGCGCCGACAAGACGAGCCTCTACACTTGTAAGCTTGTCCAGCTTACCCATCGCTGCTTGTAGAGCATCGCTGTTTCCGAGGAGAAAGTTGCGTGTGAATTTGAGCAGCCGACCGCGGCGAATTGTCTTGGTCGACAGAGCAAAGATTTCGATGAGCGTCACAAGGATGTCGCTGAGCTTGTCGCTCAGGGCGTCAGAGATGAACTCCTGACTGTATGCCTTGAGTCGGATCGTGAAGTCCTATACTGTTCAGAATCCACCCTACTTTATTTGCTGGTAGCAATAAGATGGTGTACCTTCAACGTCGCCATCAAATCCTGAATGGCATCATACGAGGTGGAAACACCCTTTGCAGCACTCATCAAGTACGTGACCGCACCAAAAACCAAACTGCTCGGAGGAAATACCATGGAAGCGCCTCCCGCGGCAAGATTCCCAAACAGTTCCACGGGAATTAGGGCTGTCTTGAGAACATCAAACAAAACCCCGCGCTTCTCACGAAACTCGCTGAATTTCGCATTTCTGGCATCGATCTCGCTCATCAGATCGTCGACATTTTGGATTTTTGCCAGGAACTCGACGTCGAGAGACTCGTCGGTGATGTCGCGGTACTTTTTGATTGCCCGGTCGTAGATGGCGGGGATTTGATTCTTCGGACCAGCCATGATGATCACTAATTTTCTGGATCCCCACTAGCCCATACTATACGGAGTAGTTTGTTTGATATGGAGGGACAGCCATCCTATTTAAAGCAAAGCTGACATTAACCACATGGTCCGACAAGGCTACTTTAGTGTCCTGGATAGTGTCATTTCCAACGAATCAGCCGGCACCGAACCGACTGATCCCATCTCGATCTTACTTCTCTTCAGCTAGGGCGGGATGAATACGAACCAGACCCTTGAAGGAGGGGCCGATTATCTCTCTCGGTCGATCCGCTCCACCCAGCTGAAAGCCGGACCGCAGTCGGGCGTGTTTGATTGGTGCGTCGTCCAAGCCAGGGCCACGATTGGGCCCATTGGGCTGCAATCGATCCTAGGCCATGCGGATGTCATTTCCTTCAGCCTCAGGATGTCTTGGTGCGGTATGTTTAGCCGAGGATGATTGGCCCGCGGAATGATTAGTTGGGGTGGATTTTTGGAATTAGGTCAAACGGATATAGTCTGGCAGCTGTTGGATATAACCTTCAACGATCGAAATGATTAACGAGCCTGGTATCTCTACCGCAGACACTCCGTAGCGAAAACGCTCAGATACCCTCCCTACAGTAAACCAAAAGTGACCCCTAATTCCCTCACCTAATCAACAAAATCACCAAAGCATCTTCCCAACGCCTAGTACCCCAAAGCACTCCAATTCAACTCCAAACCACAATCAAAGATGAACTACAACAACGCCCACACCCCAATAGCACAAGAATCAACCTCAAACCCCATCTCCCCTCCCCTTCCTCCACTCCATCCCTAACCCCTCACATCTATCCTCATCAGAAAATCTCCACTCAACTGACTCCTGACTTGCACTTTCACTTTCACTCTCACTCTCACTCTCACTGCAGCTGTAGCTGTAGCTGTAGCTGTAACCGCCACTCCCATCTCCACACCCCCTTGCACTTGCACTTGTACCTGCACTAGTACTTATACATGTACGTTCCACATCCCGTCTACTCCCCCGCCTACCACTTCTCTCCCTCCCCGAAGGAAAAGTAGGGACCGGGTTCGAACCTAGTTCCGAGATCATGGCTTCGAGGGTCGCGATATCGGTGTCGAAGCTTCTTTGGGAGCGGGGGAGGGTGGTTCTTGGTGGTCTTGTTGTTGTTGTTGTTGTTGTTGTTGGCATTATTGGTATGGTCATTGTGAAGGTCATTGTGTTGGGGTTGGTTTGTTGGGCTGTATTGTTGTGGTCATTTAGATGGAGATGGGATGGGGAAGAGGAAGATGGAAGGAGGTGTAGTGTAGTGCTTGGGATCGGATGGGGGTGAGTATTTAGGGGGATTTGCTTATTTATTTGTTCGTGGAATACGGGTTGAGGAAGAATTGAGTCATTGTGTCACGATGCGCCGGCGGGCCGGGGTCACGCTGACGCTGACGCTGACGCTGCCGTTGCCGCGATGGTTACCTAGTTTGGGATTGTCTTGGCTGCCTAACCGTCGCGCTTCCCGGGGACCCGAATGTGAGGCTGGAGATCCATCACCACTTCACCTGACTAAGTTCCTCCGCGTGACCCTTCTCCCATGGGTATTGGGTCTCCACGGCCCGAATCAGCGCCTCATGTTGCGCACTTCGAGGCTTGATGTCCACTTCGTAAGGCGCTACGTGACTGATCACGCCCGGCAGGATGTCCAGCCTCAAGTCGACCTCCTTGCCGTCTTTGATGGGTTTGGTGATGCGGAATACGGCCAGCGACTGTACGAGGCTTAGGTAGATGTTTGAATCTGCTAGTGTTCGGCCGGGACAGACGCGACGGCCGAACCCGAAGGCTAGCAGGTGAGGATCGCGCTCGGGAACGTGATCGTCGTAAGCTAGGAAGCGTTCGGGCTTGAAGGCCATTGGATCGGAATAGACGGTTGGGTCGTGGGTGAACGCCCTGGGGGTGCTGTTTAGGATGGGGTTGGTGAAGAGAAAAGGAGGGGGCTCACCACTGGTTGGGTAGGATTTGAGATCCCTTCGGGATGAAGTAGCCCTCGCATATGTCGTCTTGCATCGATGCGTGGGCAACTCCCATCGGGATCACCGAGTGCCAGCGGACGGACTCCTTGACCATGGCGTTGATGTACGGAAGGTTGTCCCGGTCGGCATAGCCAGGAAGACGCCCCGTTCCGACGACACGATCAATCTCTTCCTGTGCTTTGCGCTGCACATCCGGGTAGATGGCCATTGCGAGGAAGAGAGCGCCCATCGTAGAGATGGTCTAGTAGGTGTTAAAAATATGATTGTAACGGTCGCGTGGTACTCACCGTGTCAGATCCCCCACCGAATATCGCCGATGCAGACCACTTGAGGACATTTTCCTCCCGTGAGCCCGGCACGGGGAACCCATTCTGCTCAACGAGACCAGAAACGTACGATGGCGTGTAGTTTTTCTGGGACATCTGCTGCCTAACGAATTCGTATGGCTGGCTGCCCCAGGCTCGAGCGACTTTTCTGAAGGCTTCTGCTGTGCGTGCGAATGTGGCGCCTGGAAACCAGACCGGAAGGTATTGCACTACTCGTCGTGTTAGCGTCTGCTTGTATTGGGGTTCAGGACATTGCATACGACTGGGGAGGAAATCCACGAGCCAAGTCCCCGGGAGAATGGACTCAGCAAAGTCCGCCATCGCCTGGTTCACAAGGTCAACCAATGGGTCGCGCCCATGTGGCTCAACAGTGTATCCGTATGCGAGCTTCAGGATGATGGCACCGGCTTCCCTGGATGCAGTCAGTTGCTACTGGTATCACTGAGAGACTTGTGGCGCGATCTTACTTCCGTATGTGGTCTCGTAGGTCCCCGGGGTTATCAAGCACCCGAACCAGAAAGCGGCCCACCTCGGCCTCTTGAATAGGATTGAAACGCGCAACGGAGGCGTTCGAACCAATTTGTTGGCGGAATAGCTTCCGCTGAGCCCGAACACGGTAATCATTGTTGTTCTTCGTGGTGAGAACATTTCCGAAGCCAGCCCTAGACTACTGTCAGCGACGGCCTGGGCTTGGGTAGTGTCATGCCAACATTTCAGTAAAATGTCCGCTCGGACGGTCCGAGTATATAACAGAACGCTTCTCCAACAACTCGACTGCAATCTGTGCATCGTTGACAATAATGAGAGTCTCTCCAAAGACGCTTAGTGAGCTGATGGGACCTAGGAGGATTAGATTAGCCTGTATCACCGGACATCGTGTTAGGGCTACGAACCATAAAGTTCCTTGTGCTTGTACCAATGCAACCAGTCGTGCTCGCCTGAAGGTGGGAGGTCCCGCAAGTTCCCAATGATCGGCTTTGGTTTAGGGCCGGGAGGAAGGGGCGCAGGAAACTTCTTGCGAGTCAAGAAAGTTTTGAGAACGTAAAGGCCAGCGAGGGCCACGATGGCTCTCACTAGAAAGGACATGATGTTTGGTACTCCGTCAGTAGATTCGTTTCGGATGAAAATAGCAGACGGTGAACCCCGAGGAAAGCTCTCGCCCTAAGTACCATGGGAGACCACGGCATGGACTCGTCTCAGTGATGTTGGAAGCATGTATCTTGCGGGGTCGAGAGGGGCTTGTGCATCACACTATCGCCCCCTGCAAGCCGTGTAGGTCAGAGGTGCAGCGATAACACCGCTGAGCGTCAGAAGGATACACCATGGTGGCAGGACGTATCCAGTAGCAGGGTATCCATTGGTCGAATAGTTCGCAATGGCGAAAGACGATTCTGATCAGAGGCCATAATTCGACATTCAGCTGGGCGAGTGGCGGGGACGAGCCGTCTCAATACGCACGCTAGCAATGCACGATACTGTATCCTTGTCCGGTGCCGGTGAACAGTGGCAAGCGGTGATCTCGCAGTGCTTCACATGGGGAGGCTGCCCCTCGAATCTGACTGACGAGTTCTAAATGATAGCATGTTGAAATAGGATCCATACTGGCTGTTGTAGCATGGATACTTCCTGTTAAGACTTGGAGGGAGGATAAAGGGGGGGCACTTGGGGCACATCCTCAGCTGTCCTCAGCAGCAGCTATGGGAGCGGGGTCAATTGGACTCAACCCAGTGAGGATCAGCATACTTGTGGACTGATGCAGGAGGTCTCTGCGGACAAATCAGACGTGCTCCATACTAATCAGCTGCAAAACACGGTAGCGTAATGGGCTGCCACCTAGATTGGTACGGGATTGAGATGCAGAGATGAGAGAGGATGGCAGAAGATGGGGAGATGATGGGAGATGATGGGAGATGATTGGGGTGTCACATGATGGGATCTCTTGGTCGCCTCAGGCACTGCCTGCACTGCGGAAGAAACACTCTTATTCCCGGGATAGAACTCTTCCACGCGATCGCGGTAGAACATGGCTGTGCCTCCCGATACTTTTCTCCAGAATACTATGGGAGAGGAGAGCTCGACAGCCTTCAACGAGGCTGCGTTACGGAAACTGAGCAGGCAAAAGCATTCCCATCACACTCACTTCGCTCTCAGTATCATACACAGAGCTCCAGAGAATGAGACGCGGATTCTCGGCCAATTGATAAGAGGATCTGTCCCAGGATAGAGAATAGAATGTTAGGTTCGATATATAAGATCACAAACAAGCCGGTCTGATCGCATATCGACTTAACAGAAGAAGAGAGATGCAGGCTATTCAACCAAACTCTGTCCGACCGTTTGCGACCCACGTGTGCTCAATAACGACGGCGGATGCGAAAGGGCACCGGTGCCACTGGCTTCCGGACCCCGAATCCAAATCGACCGGACTGGAAGCGCAGGGTTGACGCTGGAGTCAGAAGCTCCACATCAAACATAGTGACCATCATGGCACTGGTGAGCAACATAATCCGCTTGGCTAGCAGCCGGCCTGGACACGCATGCTGTCCTCCTAGGAGCACATTAGTTGGGTTCAGGATGTATCCGATAGCTCGTATGCCATTGCGATGCGCTGATTTTGCACATTAACATACCTCCGTAAGGTATCTAGATACCTTCCAGTCCTTGTACGGTGAAATCCTCCCGGGATGTCTTTGAATCGGTTGGTTGTCGATCCTTGGCAAAAGACGATGAAGAAGAGGAAGGTTTCAGGGGTCCGCTACCTGGGTCAGCCGGATCGATGAGAAATCGCCGTGCCCAAAACGTATCCAGCGGATACTGTCCGTCTTTGGTGTTCCAGACCTCCTCGTCAGTGTGCGCCAGCGCTGTGTTGATGAGAACCAGTTTGTTAGACTGGATGGTCTCACCCCCCAATGCTAAGGGTTGATGAGGCGAGCACCGGGGGATATGAATTTGAACCCCAAATCGTAGGGTTTCCGCATACATGGAGAGTAACAGCGGTTGCTTGCCAATCTTTTCCATGTCAAGCTGCAATGATTCAGTTCCTGGCTGGAGGCAATGACGCAGAACGGAACGAAGTTCCTCCACAAGGGAACTGTCACTGTACATGTGGGTGCAAAGAGTCATAGTGGATGGGACGACATTTGTGATGGAGCTGAGTCAACAAAGACAGTGATACGCATGTCAGCATGAGCTTCACTGGTAACGGATGGAAAACGGTAAACGGTCGCACATACGCCCAGATAAAGCCCAGATCGGTGGAAGCCACCGACTGAAGGTCTTGCCCGTCGATCCTCAACAGCATCCGATTTCGTTCGCGCATCATGGCCGAGCCCCAGTGAGGGTCAGCCTCACCCTGGCTGGCTTTGGGCCTGTCTGGCGTTGCGGTTGAAAGCTCAGTGGCCCTTTGGTGCCACTTCATGATTGCACGAAGCAGTTCATCCCGCAGCCGATAGGCGCCCGGGATCAGCCAGGCCGGCAAGCGTTTGGCCAGAGCCATAATATGCTTATCATACTGCCACAGCTTTCGATTGAAGTCCGGGTTCTCTGCCAATAAGAGCGGACCGTATAGGGCGTTCAATATAGCTGCTCCCAGATGGTCCTCAAAGAACTGCGTCAGATCATCCTTATAAGTCCAGCTGGGAGATATCGGAACGGCCTTGTCCAGTGATGCATATAGGGATGCATCCAACCGCTCCATGGTCGGACCAAGTCCGCTTCCAAGGAGGCCTTGGATAAGGTTCTCGTGGGTGTGATAGCTTACGCGGCGATTGAGTGGTATGTTACTCCCGGGTATGGGTCGTGGCCGCGAGCCCGAAGTGTCAGAAACGTAGACATCCACGGCCTTCTGGTCCATTCCGAAGCAGTGCTTGAGGACAAGGCCATAGGCTCTGGTCACGGTGAGCCCTGGGTTGCTGAAGACGGACAAGATGTTTTTCTGCCCTTGCACGAGGTAAACCTCATCGTTTACCAGGTTCACGCGGAGGGGCCACCGGTTCTGACAGAATCGGCTGTCTGCTGTTCAGCATGAGGCTCCAATGGGAGGTGAATAGACAACTTACGAGGCCTGGCGGAAAAATTTAGGTCCATCAAACACGAATGATAAGGTGCTTTTGATGAAAGGTATCGAGTAGGGCACGGTGCGTGGGCCCGCAGAGAGGGTCTTGTCCGCGATGCAGGCACGCAGGATGAAGAACATTAACGCAGTTGCAGCTGCAACACCGAAAAAGAATACCGCCAACATTATGTTTCTTGTCGAAGTCCCAGTCAGTCTCGCCAGTGATCTCGTCACTGGCTGCAGGAGCTATTTAGCCAGCCCGTTCCCGCCCGCTAAGCCTGGCCCTCATTGTCTCGGACTTGAGGCGGCTCGGCCGCACACAACGGTATGGGCAGACTCGGAGGGCCAACTTTCAGCAAGGCAGAATGGAAACAGATTGCTTCATGCATGCATGGCGGCCGCTCATGTCCATGGTGGCCAGGGCTCCACGGGGGCTGTGAACTTTAGTTTGACACCCTCTCACCCGACTGACTAGTCTCCAATGAACCCCGGTCCTCCCTGTAGAATCATGGGAATGGTAGAAGTCGGAAGATATTAGTCGCAGTAAGAGTTTGTCCCCGGGGTTTCTATCACTGGCTCCAGGGTAAAGTACCTACCGACCTCCAGGATAGTACTACATAGTACTAGTCTAACATGACCTTCTACCCGCCTTGTTTGCCCGATAGTCCAATGGGATCTGGTCCTGGGCTGCAGATGACAGTTGCAGGCGTCCCTAGCCGAAGGAATGGCGAAGCACCCACCATGTATGTAGTACTACATATCACTCAGCCGCCTTGTCAGGCACCCGAAAGCAATCTAATCAACCACTAGAACCCTGGCGAACCAACCACGTCAGTACCTTTGGAAATTGGGATCTCCAAGGCGCATGCATCGATGATGGAACGGCGGCCTTCGCTAAGCCTTCCCAACTCAACTACGCGGGATCGCCGCGGTCGCCGCGGTGGAGGCCCTCCCGGTAAATTACCCTTACCGGTTGTTACCTTCTGCAGACGTCTGTCATACGATACTCACAGCCGGTATGGGCATTGGTACCTGGGTATGGAGTATGGAGTACTAGACTACTAGTCGCAGGGAGAAGAACAGTGATAGAGGGAACCCCAGGATCCTGAGAACATATAACTCTCCAGCATTGGCTCACTCCATGAACAGCACGTTACGTTAGGGTTCCCTACAATGGCATGCCGGCTTCTTTCTTCGCGGGGCTTTCCCGCTCGGCTCGCCCCGCTCCGGCCACTTTATCGGCCTAAAGCATACTCTCTCGCCTTCAGCACCTCTACCACGGACGGTGTCACGCAGTTACTCCAAAAGGTCCAAGTAACCACCAAGATCTACCTGGATTTTATAAAAGCGCAGGGTCTTCCAGAACCCTTCTACCAGCACGGAGATGGCCTCCATCCCGCTCTCGCACTTCCTCCACAGGTACAGGAGGCGAAGGAGGGGGCGATTGAGGCGACCTACGAGCTCCATCACCTGCTTCTCGGTCCACTAGGGCTTCTATTTAGCTGCCCTGGAGAGGTTCGTACCCTTCACACTCTGCCAAGCTACCTTTACTCACGTTGTTGGTGCACAGCAATTGCTGCTTCTGAGCTTACAATACATCTACCGCTATCAAATCGCCACATATGTGCCTGTGGACGGCACCATCACCTTCGAAGAGCTGTCCATGGCAACGAACCTCAATACCAAAGACCTCACCCGCTTCTTGCGTGTAGCCATCAGCCGTCATGTCTTTCATGAGCCCACGAAAGGGGTTATCGCACATACCGCTGCATCCAGGCTTCTCCTCAACAACCCCATGGTCGAAGCCTGGCTTCAGAACATTGCCCAGGAGTTCTGGCCCGCCTTTACACGTACTGTCGAGGCAACAGAAAAGTGGCCCGGATCCGAAGAGCCGAATGAAACCGTAAGAGATTCTTCCCCCATTGCACCCACCATGTACTCAAGCCGGAGTCTCTCTTGTAGGGTTACGCACTCGCCCATGGCACGAGCTCGCATCCATTCGACGAGATCCGCAAAGACCCGCACCGTCACCAACAATTCATCACCGCCATGCGGTTCTCCCACCTCCATCCAGCTTACCATCTCTCCCACCTTCTGAATAACTACAACTTCGACCGCAGCAGCAGCAGCAGCAGCAGCAGCAGCAGCAGCAGCGCTACCACCACGATCGTCGATGTCGGCGGCTCCAACGGCGAAGTCAGTATCGAGATCGCCTCCCGATACCCCCACGTCCACTGCATTGTGCAAGACCTCCCCGACACCATCGCCGGGTTAGCCACCAACGTCCCGTCCACACTCGCCGCGCGGGTAACAGGCATGGCGCACGACTTCCTAACCCCCCAGCCCGTTCACGGGGCGGATGTCTATCTCCTGCGCTGGATCCTACACGACTGGTCGGATAAATACGCCGTACAAATTCTCCGGAACCTAACCCCGGCCTTGAAGAAAGGTGCTCGGGTAGTAGTCAATGATATTTGCATTCCCGAACCGGGTCAGTTAGGCCCCAAGGCGGAACGGGATCTCCGGTAAATCTTCTTCCCCCTCTGCCTGCTCTCCCTCTCCCTCTTACTTCTTCCATCTTCTGGTACCTGCCCTAATCACTAACCCACCCTTCTCACTCGATAGATACATGGATATCTCCATGAAGGCCTTCAACAATGCCCGCGAACGAGACGTCGAGACATGGGAGGGTCTATTCGCTACAGCGGACCCCCGGTTTCGCTTCCGGGGTGTCACGGTGCCTCCTGGGGCACGAATGGCGATTATTGAGGCGGAATGGATGGGGGAAGAAGTCTGCTAAAAACCGAGGGGGGGTCGGAATGTGTTTGCTAGTAGTAGGGAACTAAATCGTTGCGTAGTATTGTTGCTTGGTTCCTTTTTGCTTCTTTTTTTCTTTCTTTTTTTTGTTCTTTTTTTTGTTCTTTTTGTAGCATGTGGACAGTCTCATTGTATGGTGGTATTGCACGGGGTTGATGGGGACAATTACAACTATGTATGGGAGAAATGCCGTATTTCAAGGAGGAGTTTTGGTGCAGAGATTACCCTTGGTGAGATGATGTTGTGTTGAGTTCTCTACATCTCGAGTAAGCCCCCCACCTCTCTCACAAGATGAGAATTCACACATGGTACTAGTATTACACATCTACAGAGAACTCTTCAATTCTTATGTGATACAGCATCCTCCCCCCCCCCCTTCCCCGACCCGAGCACCCTGAGAAACGAATGCTGTCCCGCCAACCCACAGCACCTTTTCAATCCTATACACACGCCAGTCCTCAACCCACCCGACGACATCTCATACGCACGCGATCAGCATGCTTCATCCGCAGCAGCAACTGCATATCGACATCCTGCGTGGTCGCCAAAACCCGTGCCTGCGTCGCCTGGGGAGATTCCCCGGGGAGGGGAATCGCGTCGATGCGATGACCCTGGAAAAGAGTGGCCATGACCGCAACGAACTCGACCTGGGAGAATTTGTTCCCGGGGCAGTTCTGGGGTCCGTCGGACCAGGGGAAATAGCTGGATCGTGGAGGGGTGATGATTTGCTCTGTTGCCTGCTCCGCGGGGCCGGATGTGGTGATCCACCGGGAGGGTTTCCAGGTCATCGCATCGTCCCAGTATTGGGGGTGGATTTGCATGTCGAGGAGGCTCGGGTGCACGCCTGTGTGGGGAGGGATGATGATGGTTCGGTCGCCGAGTTGGAGTGGTTTGGGCTCGTTGGGGGTCCACTTGGGTAGTGATTGGATGGGGGGGAAGAGGCGGAGGGTTTCGAGCTGGAGCACGCACGCACGGTCAATCGTTAGTGGGAGTCTTGTGGGGTGGGGCGCAAAGGCAACGCAGAGGAAGAAATACCATAATGGCCCGACAGCGACTCAGTTGGGGGAATAGATCCGCATACTGGGACTTGATCTCTTGCTCGCCAAGCTCCTGCAGCTCCTCGGCCACCCAGTCCTGAATCTCGGGATATGCCCCCAGCAGAAGCAACGCGAAGCTTAATGTATTGGCGGTGGTATCATGGCCTGCAAAGTTGATCACAAAGAGATTCCCAAAGATCTCCTCGACGGTAAGACCCTTGGGTGGGGAGCTACTGGTTGCTTTGGGTTTCTCCTGCGCGTCCTCCTTCTGTTTCAGATCCATGGCACGAACAAACGAAGTCATCAGCCCCCCGCTGCCCGCATTGCCAGAGTTCAATGCTTTGGTCTCTTCATCCAGCATGCGCACCATGTACTTCTGGAAATCAGTGGCTGCTTTCGCGATCTGCCGCCACGACTGCGGTGCGAATGGAAGGGTGAGCCATCTCCGAGGCAGGACCATGAGTAGAATACAGTTATCCAACACCGTCTGGAGTGCATCCCGGTAGCCGACTGGTCCATCCTCGGCAACAAGGTCACCTTCCGTGGTGGCCGACAGCCCGTGGGTGGCCCCGCGGTCGCTGGCACTGCGAAACGGGAATGACTTGCGAAATCCTGTGGCGGCAAGAACGTTCAGCGAGAGGGTACGTGTATCCTTTGCCACACTGGGAATGCGGCCGTCTGCGGCAGACCCCCAGACCCCCAGCATCTGGCAGGTCTGCTCGACACTCTCATCCCATACAAAGGACATGACACTTTCGTTGAACGGGGTGGCCAGGACCTTTCGGTGCCGGGGCCAGTCCGTCCAGCTAGCGGTCGAGATGCATGGGCCGTAGACTTCGAGCACCTCTAAATCACACTGGGTCAGCTAGTCCCGACCGGAGGTCAATGGTTCCGCACAGGGTGATTGGGACGTACTATACATTTCACTGGGGCGGATAAAATCCGTGCGTCTCTGGAAGATATCATGGACGGCCTCCGGGTCGGCGACGTTGATCCAGATATCGCGGGGGGTGACAATCGCCCAGATGGGCCCGTAGCGCCGATGGGACTCGCCACGATCGGCAAAGTACCATCCCCGGCGGGAGTAGCGACCGAAGCTGTAGTTGCGCCAATTGATGGGGAGCCGGTCAAGCCATGGCCAGACAATGGGATCGAATATCATCCAGAGGGGATTTTGCGGGTCAATATAGAGACGCACGAGGGGGATGTCCATGGTTGAGGCACGACGGTAATTGATCTCCATCGTTACCAGGCTCCAACCCAGGTAAACAAGGGCGAGCAAGCCCAGCAGCTCAAGGATCATGGTGTGGTGATTGGCAGTATGTAATGGACTGCAGGAGCTTGGAAAGGACTTTGGTGAGGGGACGGAGGGTCAAGTTGGGGGAGGAGGCTGCGGGAAAGATGGAGTGAGCTAGACGAGAGAGAGGGAGAAATTGGGGGGGGAGGAGAAATGTCTCCGGAGTGAAAAAAAAAAAAAAGCCTTGCTTACATCCTTGTCGACTTGCCTGCTGGTTAGGTGACATATCCCCTACAAGGGTAGGGCTATGGTACTATACTCCGTACGATCAACCATGACTCGCCATCGCAACCATCCCGCCAGTGAGTGGGGGAGTACATAGTACTAGTACGGAGTACGGAGTACTAGGTTGGGGACTTAGTACTTTACCACTCCATTACTAGCGGATACCTGGCCCGCACCAGGTATTACGGGTTCCCCAACTCAGCACTAAACACTGATGCATGCAGTAGTTTCCGAGCCTTGTCCACGCTTGTTCTTCTTACTGGTGGCCCCCTATTGATTTGTTTGCTCCGAGACATTATGCAGCAGCACTGCCAGCCAGCATCATGCATGCATCAAATGAGCGTGTTGCATGTTTCTCTCCCGCTCGGCTATCCGCCAGCGTTTGGAGGGCATGGTCCAAAGTTGGATTTCCCAAGCGGACCATGTGTTGGGACGGTCTTGGTAGAAGCGCACCCATATACCCGAAAAAACCAACTTGAGGCTGCTATATCAGTCAGTCAGGTCTCCGCATTGCTGCGTAACCCTGGCCTACAGGCGCAGGCCCTAGAAGCAAACTCAACTCTTTGATCTTCTCTAGCAATGTCCACCCAGTCACCGTTGGACATCTTTGCCCCCCAGCCACGGAATGAAACATCTTCCAGTGACAGGCACTGTCATATGTTGGCCGCTTTCTCACTCCTTCTCTGGCTAGCATGGCGGTTTTGGGTCTTCTCGGTATGCCCTCGGTTGTATCGCAACCAGCTGGAGTACTTACCATACTGGATCCCATGTAAGCCGATGACTATCTTGGCCACACCTAATGAATGCTCATTCCACCAGTCTTAGGTATGTTGCAAAGAATTGTCCTACCTAGGTGGGCAGCATTGACCAACACCGGGCACCCTCTCCTTGGCTGATAGGACATGCTATACCCTTTCTCCGCAACACCAATGACCTGTTTGCCCGAGCAAAGAAAGAGTTTGGCCACCGGCTTTGCACCCTGCGTATCGCCGGGGAGGATATTGTGTTGGTCACGACAGCAGCACAAATATCGGTGATTGATAAGGATCGTCGCACATACGCCTTCGAGCCCTTTGTGGACCTCATGTACGATGAGGTGGCCAAGGTCTCACGAGAGAGAAAGCTCATTCTGTGGCGGACTCCAGCCGAGGGCTATGTCTCGATCTTTCCAAATCCCAAACAATTGTCATGTGCTCACACCGGCATCGCTCTTCTGCATAAGCAGTTCTCGCAGCCCGATGCATTGCGGTCCTTTATGGTCAACTCGTTGGCCTTGGTCAATCAGACACTTCAGTGGGACTCGTTTTACGAGACGAGCATGCTCCGCTCGACCTCAGATGTCAAGGTTGTATCCCTCGACTCCTTATGCAGGGATGTCATCATGGATGCTCAGGTCGCCTCATTCTTTGGGACCCGCCTTCTTGAGCTGGAACCTAACCTCCGCTCCATCCTCAAGGAATGGGACTTTGAAAGCTGGAGGGTTTCCTATAAGCTCCCCTGGGTGCTGACCAAGCGGGCAACGCGGTTCCGCGACCGACTGGTCGATGTACTCACACACTACTACTCCTTGCCCGCGGCGCAGCGGTCAGGATCCGTCGCTTTTGTCAATGAGGTCTACGATGACTACAAGCATGCAGGGCTCTCGGATCGAGATACTGCCGGGATCGTGTTTACAATTCTTTGGGGGTAAGTTTCTGGTCGTTTCCCGTCCCTCCGTTTACCGACCATGAATTCACCTGGTACAGGCTCAACTCGAATGTTACCGTCATAGCCTACTGGATGCTAGCCCATCTGGCGGGGAATCTGACTGTTGTCGACCAGATCCGAGAAGAAATTGCACCGATCATGCAAGAGATCGATACCCATCCCGACATTGACGGCGCCTCCCTCTTCGAAATTACCAAGAACCCCCTCCTCACCCAATGCCCCATTTTCAATTCCACATTCCACGAGACGTTGCGCTACACTGGCACTGGCAGTAGCTTCCGCAAGACCACCCGAGATACAACCATTGAGGGTCGTCGCATCCCTCAAGGTACTATAGTGGCCATTCCCCAGCGAGTGCAGATGATGAGCGAAGAGGCCTTCGGCCCGGACCCGGCTTCCTTCGATTACTATCGATTCCAGCGGGACAAGTCGCTGCTTCGCAAGGTGGAGTTTCGCGGGTTCGGGGGCGGCACCACCTTGTGCAGCGGCCGAATTGCGGGCCGACACCAGGTGCTTGCCTTTGCAGCTATCTTGCTGTGGCGATATGATCTGGAGATCATCGGCCCCGATCAGGAGGTGCTGGGGGTTCGCGGGAAGCCTTTTCCCAGGTTGGATGAAGCGAAGCCAAGTCTTGGTCCGGGGCGAACGAGGGAGGGTGACGACTTGATTCTGAAGGTTACGCAGAGGAAATTATAGGCTTGATGGGGCTGTCTCGCACGCAATAGCATACTCCAAGTCTCATCGTACCCTCCTTCGGCCAATAACCCGAGATTGACTGGGCGTAATTTGTATAGTACCTGATGCTCACGTGCCGGGGAAGATTCGGGCAATGCGGTGACTAACCACGCCCACCTTATCTTCCCGATAACTGACCTCCCTTTCCCCCAACAAACGTGACACCATTAAGAAATTTGTACTGCGAACACGTCTCGGATTCCATTTCAGCTGCCGTGGCATAATGCCGGGTGCTCTCGGTCCCCGATCTTGCAAAAAGTCTTGGATCCGCCCCGAATAAGCCCATTCCACTAAATGTCGCTGGCACAGACGGATCCACTGAGCATCCCGATATGCAATACTCAGTACCATGCCACGCCCGAAAGTCCATCCAGCCAATCGCCGGCGAGCCTACGAGGCTTGTCTAGCCTGCAGGGCGACGAAGAAACGATGCAGCGGGACCTTTCCATGCTCCAAGTGCGTCCGGCTGGGACGCGCAGAGACCTGTGTTCCGAGCCCACGGTCGACTGCTCAACGACCGGCCGGTAGCACCCACCCCTTGGAAAATGGCAGTGTTGTCTCGGACTCTGCGACTCGGCCAGCCACCACGCTCAGCGTTAATCCCCCGGCCGATCGAGCGGATTTCGATTCTCATTCCCAGCTTTCTGCGCCCGGCCACTCGACCCGTCCGGTGTCCCCGGAGACGCTGCATAGAACCCATCCGCGGATGCTGCGCAATCTACACGGAGAACGAGGTAATCAATCCACTTTGGCTAAATCAGCGACTGCAGCTAATGGCGCGCTATGAACAGTCTACGTGGGAAAGGCTGCGTCCTTGTCTTTCTTGCAGCTGGTCCGCGACACCGTCTCACAGTATCTTGGGCCGTCGCAATTCTCCCATAATGGGAAAAGCGAAGATATGCTGGAGACGGAAACCCCGCGAGACATTCCACCGGCTCTAGACATCACTCTCGACTCTTATCAGCTGCTGGAATATCATCGGGCCTACGGCTCGGCCACCAGTGGCTTCATCTACGTTTTGACGGATACAGAAGCGATAGACTTACTTGACGGGCTAATTGAGCCTAACACCCGTCAAGGCAAGACAAAGTCCGCACTGGCCGATATGATCATTGCCATCGGGGCCCAATCTACCAAACGGACTCCGTCAATGGAGCAAGCCGAGCGCTTTTTCTTTTCGCGCGCGCAGCGCAGCGCTTTCGAAAGGATGCTGGAGAATCCAAGCCTAGAGCTGATCCGTCTATTCCTGTTAATGTCCTTTTATATGCTGGGGGCTTGTCGTCGGAATACCGCCTTCATGTACCTGGGCGTGGCCGTCCGAGCTGCCGTGGCATTAGGTCTCCATCTCACCGAGCTAGCGGATGCCGTCCCCAGCCCCGAGCAGCATCAAAGAGCACGGGTATGGATGAGTGTTTATATCTTGGACCTTCTGGTCAGCTCTATTCTTGGTAGACCGGCTGCGACCGGCGCTTTACGTTCCGATGCGGAGCATAGTTCTATTCGCTACCCACAGCCAGAGAGCCATATGGCGATGAGCTTGCTCGCTTCCTACAAAGTTTCGGGGATTCTAGAAGAGATTATTGCCCGCATGTACAGCAAGGAAGGGGCCTCGGCCGAGGTCGCAGAGTCGCTTCTGGCCAAGCTCAAGCAATGGAGCAATGGCCTACCGGGACCGTTGGTGGAACCTCCAGACCTCAACTTTGACGACCCTGCTGCCCGCAGGCACATAATCGGCAATCTGCACATCGCGTGCACCTACCATTTTGCGGTGATCATCGTGACGCGGCCATTTCTGATATCTGTATTGGGTGTTCGGCTCGCACGGTTGCATGGCGGTTCTGTAGACCGGTTGTCGGACGATTCATTACACGAAGAACCAGCACATTCCAACTTGGCAATCGCTTGCACCGATTCGGCCCTGTACATGATACAGACATGCTCTGAGGTGCATCGCTCTGGCTTATTGCTGGGTAATATGTGCATTCTAAAGGCGTTTGTGTTCGCTGCTGGCTTGGTTTTAGGGTTTTCCATGTTTTCTCGGAGAGAAGCAGACCCGCCACTAGACCAGGCCTACAAAGAAGCTCTTGAGATCCTGCGTGTGCTTTCTGATCAATCCGCCCAGGCAGCACATTACGCTGAGATTCTCAGTTACCTTGGGAATGCCGTTGCCGAACAGCGTCAGCAACTGATGCACCATTCTCAGCAGAATCAAAGTCGCTATGTCAGTAAACTTTTCAGTCTGGATGATCGCAGACCTTCGACGGAGATTCCGGGGCTTGCTGCAGCAACGGATATCGCTGGCATGCCACCTGATGGCGGCATCGCCGAGTCGTGGGGTGATCTTCAGCGCCCAACCTTTATGGACTCCCTGGACATCGGTGCATTTCCCGGTCTTGACGGGATGCAGTTGCCGGTATGGGACAGCTTCCCATTCCTCGGCGAACCGTTTCAACTACACGGCCGAGTTAACGAGACAAATTGATGCTACATGGATAAGCTGTACGGTGCTTGTAACGTCGCTTTTGACTGTAGATAGCGGAAGGCTTTCGGGCTGCTTCTTTATCCGATAACGGAAGGATCCGCGTCTAGCCGGGGGAGGTTAGCGCCGAGTGACTCCCCTCTTTGCCGCTCAGCAGTCACTCCCTGCTCCAAGATCATCGTTCGGTCGGGTTGTTTTGGTCGAAAGAAAGTCAACCGGCAGCCTCGAAACAACCCATCACATAGATGGCGGAGCTACCGAGGGGACCCCCGGGTGTTACGCGTAGGGGGTATATGGGAAAGTCCCGATCGGGCTGTCTGACATGCAAGTAAGCGGCCCGTTGGTGTCTATCACAAGCCAACTAATGTATTCCAGGAGTAGGTGCATGCCAAGTTGGCTGTGAATACATGCGTGTTAACTGCACTCCATAGAGCGACGAGTCAAATGTGATGAAACCAGGCCCAACTGCTTGAGATGCTCCTCCACAGGTCGCAAGTGCGATGGCTACGGGCCCGGTTTGCGCTCCTTTGACAAGGCTCGGCCAAGCCTCCCGCTGCTCCCACTTACATGCCTCAATCATGGCGCGACTGAACGGGAAGTTCGATCGCTTCAATTCTTCTACGAAAAGACGGTTCTGTCATTGGCGGGATACTGTGGCTCGGAGTTTTGGGGCCGCCTCGTCATGCAAGTGAGCCAGCACGAGAGGCCGGTTTGGCATGCGCTGGTCGCATTGGGCTCGCTACACGAGAAGTTCGAGAAGATGCCCGGCTTCGGGATGGTCCGGGCGGGATATGACACCTTTGCCTTGCAGGAATATCTCAAGGCAATACGGGCTCTTCTGGGGCCAACGGGGTCACCTCCCGCTTCTATTGTCAGTGCTGCCAGACCAGACGGGCTAACGGTAGATGTTTGCTTGATATCATGCATCTTGTTTGTTTGTTTCGAGGTTGGTACGCTTCGAGTCCAACCGTCGGATTCTCGTTGATTCGGTCCAGATTTTGTCCAGTCATTATGTGGCGGCACTCGGCCATATCCAAAGTGGGATGAATATCCTTGGGGAGGTCTCCTACGACCCGAACACCGGGGCATACCATCATCCTTTTCTCAGGCCGTCGACAGTGTCGGCCCTCGAAATGGGGAACTTGCGAAAGATCTTTATTCGCCTCCGTAGCCAGGTTTGGGCTCTAGTATGTTGGTCGGGGTATGGTATGTGGTCAAGTACTGACATCTATAGACTCGTTCCGGAATGGATCAACCTTTGATGGATACAGTGCCGTTGGAGGGTAGCTTTTCACTTGAAGTGCCCGAGTGCTTCTCTTCCCTTGCCGAGGCGCGTGACTTGTTCGAATACTACAGCTATGTATTCCGGCATGAATACCATAAACTGAGCAACCTAGACGTTACGTCGCTTGAACTTGGCGCGTTTATTCAAACTTGTGTCTCGCTGTTTCAGAAATGGTCCGGGGCCTTGGACCAGTTCGAGAAGACTCGTGGTCCGTCTTTGACCACCAGGGAGCATGTGGGTCTGAAGATCCTTCAGATCCAGCGATGCATACAGACCATGCTTTTCCAACATCACCTATCGGGAACGACCGACCCAAGTGGCTGGGACATGTATAACCCGATCTTCCAGGAAATCGTCTCCTTGGCAGCCTCTGTCGTCGAGCTTTCAGGCGATCGCTCTCCGTCCACCCCGGAAGCAGATCCCTCGGGCCAGAGAAGATTCAAGCCTAGCTTCACCCTTGACATGGGGATTATTGGGCCCCTTTACGATGTGGCCACGCTCTGTCGGGATCCGCTTATCCGTCGCAGAGCGGTGGATATCCTGCGCTCGGCCTCGCGGCAAGAAGGTGTTTTCAATAGCTATGTGTGTGCGGTCGCTGCCGAGAGGGTCATTGCTCTAGAAGAGGGTGTTGCTTTGGAGAGTACGGGAGGGTTTTCACCTACTCTTGCAGGGCAGCGGCCCCAATACATCAGCCGGTGTTCCGAGGTACCTGGCACCGCACGATTATTATATGCATACCCAAAACTGGATATTGCCCGGGGTGAGGGATTTCTGAAGGTAGGTCGGGGAGAGGGTATAGAGATGGATCTTCCATTACCAGCGATGGCTGCGATGCTGGATGCGGAGGATTAGGCAGTAGTCAGAGAGATGTATAGATATATATTTACATTGGCCTCTGCAAACCAAGAATATTTCGGTCATGCATTCCCACCCGTTTCCATGCTAAGGTGGATAAACATATACCTTAACCAAGGAAATCATCAATTAAAACCCCATACCCATCTCCACAACAAGCACGACCGATATGAACGTGCCCAACCATCGGCGCAACTGATTATGGAGCAAGGCTAAACATAGCTTTATAAATCAAACTCCTGGCAATACTTTCAACAACTGGCCTGCTGGCCCAATGGTAAGGCGCTTGACTACGGATCAAGAGATTGCAGGTTCGAGTCCTGCGTAGGTCATTTTTTTCCCACCCGTACTGTGGGAGTACTATCCGCTATCGCTATCTCCATCTAGCTACCTGTTTGCGGGGTTGTTTTTTGGTCTTCTAGGGAATGTGAATCCATCGGGGGTGTCCAATTGCGTTCACTTATACACAAGACGGAAAACCAATCCATGCATATGGTCCCCACCCCAGGTAAACCTACGAAGCATCAACACTGAACCCTACACATCCTAACCAAAGACCAAACTCGAATAAGGCAAAGAATCAGACCTTATCACTAAAAGTCCAACCAAGACCAAGTGCAGCAAACTACAATCTACAATAATTTCCAGCCTATAGTCCAAAGGATATTTTGTATTTCTTCAACAGTAATCCATACTAAAAACACAAAAGTCAAACTCAATTTCAATACTGCGAATACTCGAGACGCGATCCAAAGGAGTGATAGCGAGCATCCAGATGCTGCTACATACGTCAACCAACTGTCAACAGAAATCCAAAAAAAAATATCAGAAACAGAAACAAAGTGGCAAGATCCCGATCTTCCATCTTCCTCCACTATACGACCTGCGACATAGCAGGCATGATTCCCATCCTATCATGGGACGTGGTGAAAGAACCCTGCGTGACCCGTTAGCCCTAACCACCAGCACAAGAGATTCCAAAGGACATACCTAATTCTAATTCTTCTCACTCTCACAAATCTGCTCAAACCGATCCACATACCCGGGCAAAGTCTTCTCCCACACCGTGGCATCGGAATCAATACTCTTAATCTTCTGACAATCCGCATCCGTAATATTCACCGAGCTCTTCAACTCCCCAATACTCTTGAGGATAATCGGCTGCGTGGCCTTCAACACACACAGCCCGTAATCCGCCAATCCCTCCAGATCATTACACAGCTGCTTATTGCCCTCGGTGTAGCAATCCTTCTTAATGGCGGCTTCGACCTGCGTTTGGATCTTCTGGAACGACGCCTGTTCGGTGGTGGAGATGTCGAGCTTCGTGTCGAGATCTTTCATGATCTGCGGGAACACGGACTGTTGCAGGTATTGGTTGTGTTGGTTGATGGTTGCGGTGCAGTTCTTTTCGCACACTTCTTTGTGGAAGTAGCTTAGCAGTTGGAGGGGTTTATTGCCCAGGACTTGGGGGATTTCGAGACAGGTTTGCGGGATGTTGGGGATGGAGAATTGGGCACTCGAGAGGGTGAGGAGGGAGGTCGTGGCCATGAGGGTTGAGGTGAGGGTGAGCTTCATTTTGGTGGTGGTGGTGGTGCTTGCTTGGAGAAAGCTGGGGTTTGAGAAGGGAAGTAGTTGATTGACTGAGTGATGGGAGACTGATGATGATGCTGTTGATGAGGAGACAACTCGATGGATATTCATGGGGTTTATATACTTGAGGACGCTGCATCTGATGCCTACCGACTAGGCATAGTATTCAAGTCATACTCAGCACAGCTGAACCCTAGGCATCCGAAGCACGAACAAACTTTGCCTTGGCCGTCTCACTATCCAAACCGTTTCATACTCCCCTACCCCGAGATAACAGTAGACACAGCGATAGATGCCTCCCGTTCGTCCATCCGCCGATCATCCGGTCCACACCCAAGAATCAGTCACCCGCGGCTGGGGAGTGGACCAAGCCCTGGCGATCCCTCCGCCCAATGCTTAATCTACAGATTTACATCGGCGGGCTAATTTCCCGCCAACGGGATGAAGTCATCTCGTGTTTTGACTGAATTATCAGCCGTTTGGAATATTCAAGAAGAGTTGTTAGGGTTTTAATGTTGCTGGTTGTGATGTTTCATGGAGCTTTCACCGACTGTTTCTAGATGAATTTGTTGGATCCATTGTTAATATGGTATAGTTAGGGCATGCGGAATGAGGAGCCGAGGTGCGGACTTTGAGTTTGCTCCCAGTGAGTTGGGTGGGATTTCGCTCGTTGGAGTGGTTCGGGGAGTTGTCGGAGTTGGAAGCTGGAACATGGCGGCAGGGTCCATCTTGCTAGTTGCTGCTGGTTCAGGGTCTACCCCGGGCTATACTTGTCGTTGTTAAGGCTAGGTGCTAGGTGCTACTTGCTAGGTGCTAACTACTTGTTTCGCGCTACTGTACTTAGGAAGGCTAGTGTAGGTCAGCTGTGTATGCAGCGTCAGGAATAATGAACATAACCCCCAGAGTTCGTGTAGACAAGAGTAGCTCGGAAACCCCAAACAGCATACAACCTACACACACACACATAGAACCCCTTTCTAAACCATTCCAGAAAACCTTACAATGACAATAAGCACGGTAACCACATCCCGAGCCGCACCTACTCAGCACCGGAAACCGGATCCAGACTCAGACCCTTCCTGCAACCCTAGTTCGTACCGAGGAATAAGAAACTCAACGGCAACAGGGTCCGAGCCGTCTCCCGATCATCTATCTCAAACGGTCAAGCTGCAAGGGGTCCAGGAATCTGATACATTTCATCCGAGACTGAAAATTGAGCCATATCGGGCATTGAACCGGGCAGATGTCTGCCACTCTGCCTATGTACTTAGCTAGTTAAAGTTACGGAGACGGGTCGGCTGTCTGGATGAATTCATATCCGATATCTCAGATATATGATTATTTTGTGTCTGCTGTTTGGAATGGTGTCTCAAGATCTTGGAGGGGAGTTGGTCGGGTTCAGGTGACTGGCTGATTTTTGAGTTGAGGTAGTATGTATGGAGTATTCCGTAGAGATGGGGCAGTTGGTCAAAGTAGTTAGTTCTGGTATTGGAGATATTCTGTCTAGCTGATGATGTCTATCTCCTGTGTAGGTACTCTGTAGGTGCCGTGATGCCGTGAGGTTGTACATTGTATCCCCGCTTAAACTTTAGTTATGAACCGTATGCCGTCTGCTCACCTAGCGGGACACGGCAAGTCACGGCATCAGGCAAGTCTGTCCGATGGGAATCTGTTAGTCAAGGAAATCCTATGGAAGGCCAAGAAGGTTGCATGTGAAGCTGGTGAAGAATTTTCGCGGGCGGTGATTGGCCAATCCAACTTAGCGAGCACCAAACACGGGACCTCGCTTACGGCTAGCGCACACCGCCCCCCTCAGCAATTCTATAAGAAGGGCGTCTCCCCCCATCATTCAGAAAAGTAAGCGACTCTACGTGAGTTTCCCTCCCCCCCTACATTGGAGTCTCTGGAGACTCCAATCATGGCATCACTAACAACCTCGCAGTTCAAAGAATCACTTTAGAGTAGACGTCCCACCTCTGAGCTCTTCTAAAGAGCCACAGAATCTCCACCCTTGCTGATGACTTCCATGTCCTCGATGCCCTAAAGTGAAGCCGTTTTACTTCCGACTCGACCTTGCATTTGCGCGCTTTGTTACGATCCTCACGGACTTGTTTCGGGTGCCGGTGCGATGGTCCAGGGAGTGGTGATGATCTTTACCTTGCCATGATGTCTTGACTTCGGTCGGTCGGGCTTGGTGGGTGTCGAGGAGGTCTGAAAGGTGCCTACACTTGATGTTGTGTTTGGAGTTGCTCAATCTTAGATAATGATACCCTTTTGCATCGAATACTTTCATCGTAGCCGAATGGCATTTCTTGGTAGAATAAGATCGCATAACCCTATCTTGTGAAAGATTGCAAATCTCGATAAGCGCGTTATCTCTGGACCATGTGTCGGCCCTCGGAACATTTACCCATCGGGCGACCGGTCTACTGTCATGTGATATTTATCTCACCGTCGTGATCCGACCACTCCGATCTCCGATGGAGAGATGCGATACTCATCGCCATGGCGGTGGCTTCTACAGGGACACATGCCACTACGGCTTTATTCAACTATGATACCTTTCCACCTCGAACCCTCAAGCAGCACGCCCAGACCCATCTGCGAACCATACCGCCACCAAACCATAAACCCAACCTTACAACAACAGCGGCCATTCCCCTTCCTATCTCTCCCCCCAGAACTCCGCATCCAAATCTACGACCTGCTTCTCAGCCGTACTACCCCAAACACCATCCCTTCAACTCCCCTCTCCCCCAAATCACCCACCCACACCCACACCCAGATCCACCCCGCCATCCTCCTCACCAACAAACAAATCCACACCGAATCCCTCCCCATCCTCTACACCCACAACCACTTCACCGCCTCCACCCCGGACCACCTCTCCCACTTCATCACCCAAATCGGCCCCCACAACATCCAACTCCTCCGCTCCCTCTCCCTCTTCATCCCCTGGCGCGGCAGCGAAGTCTGGCCCTGGGTGATCCTCCTCACCTACCTTTCTCAGAAAGCCACGGGCTTACGATGGCTGGAAGTCGGATGGGGCGCGAATTGCGAAGACCCGTGGAATTTGAAGCCGGGGGCGGAGGAGCGCGGGTTGGGGGATAATGTGCTGTTTGTGCAGGCGTTGGCGAGGATTAAGCAGGTGGAACGGTTGAGGATTTATGGGTTTTTTGGGGTTAGGTGGCCGGAGTTTTTGAGGGGGGAGTTGGGGGGTTGTGGGAAGGGGAGGGTGGAGGTCGTCTTGGGGTATCCGGTTCCCCGTGGTGGGGGGAGAGGTGGAGGGGGTGGGAAGGAGTTTGAGGAGTGGGTGAGGGTCGTGGAGAGGGAGAATTCGAGGAGGGTGAGGGCGTATCAGGCGGGAACGGAGGGGTTGGTTCCGTAGTACATAGACTTGATAATTATGGTGGTGGTGGTTGATATGTCAGTCTTGAATTGGTTTATGCGTTGAATTAGCGTTATATACATACCCTGTTGGCTGGAGATACATGTTCTCGCTCATTACGCTCTTTAATATTACATTCGCGTTCCATTGTCATAATTATATCTTAAATCACAACCAGCACACCACAAAATCAAGTACAGGAAGACCAAACACCCATGTAACTAAACCAGAAAGGTCACGCCGTGAGACGCTACCGGGCAATGCAACCTTAATTGTTACCAGTACTGGTGTCACTTTCCCTAGAGTTATCAAAGAATGATAAGTACTGGGGAATCGGATACGAGAAATAATTTATATCCTAGTATCCACCCACCATAGGAGTGGAAATGGCGCGGGATGATAAAGAAAGAGGGAAAGGAAGAAAGAAAAGGGTTCCCGCTAATCTGGTGGGACAACGCAACAAGGGGGTTGGTGTTACCTAAGCTCTGATGTAATTCTCACCGTCAAAGAAATACCAATGGTGAGAGGCTTGTGCTGAATCTCCGAAAGCCTAACTTCTCTGTATGAGGTTGTTGTTTACAAGTGAAATAGTACGAATAATGGGATTGGATACTCTGGGAGACTTGGACCCACGGATTACAGTACTTGTGGCTGCATTAGGGAGGGGACAGGGGTGTAATATGGGAGCTAAAGCTAATGCAGAGTAGATCATGGCAGTTTGAACATGAATTATAATCTTATTGGCGTATTCAATACAATCCCTGCTGCGTTTGGTGACCCCGCAGTTCGTACCCATCCCATAACAACAGGAGGTTGATGTTCCCTATATATGGGCGACTTGGTCAGAGTTTAACATGGAGATAATTGGAACATCCAATTTCGAATTCGTCCTAAAGGTATCTTAAAAATGGCGAGAAAAGCAAACCTACCATGTAATTGCCTTTCTCTGCCCTGATTGGAAGCACCTGGTTCTTGGACGCAGCACACAACACAATGAGTCTCGCACAGGCAGCGGAATGGTTCGCCACCAATACATACATTGCAGACTCTCGAAAGTTAAGCCACCACCAAATTCACATGGAATCACGCACCTAACCGACACCCCAGATTCTGTGTCCTCATCTTCAGCCACTACTCCACCGTCCGCGACGGCGCCGCTCTCGTCGAAGACCTCACCGACGCTCTATCCAAACACAACACAATCCCAGACCGTATTATCATAACCACCGATCAACCTCGAGAAGACGGGACTACTAGAATCGGCAAGTTCACTACATCCCTCCACCCATCCAAAACCAACCCCATAATGACCTATCATTAGATAAGATCCTCAGATTACCTCCGATCCCATTCTCACAATTCTACTCCGCTTACACCTCGCGTTGGAAAAGACTCAGCATGGATACGTTGATCTCAGGGGAACCGTCGGTAGAGGGTGCCATCAGACTCGCTAGGGAGATAAGTAATCAGAGACGCGGGGCTCAGATACTAGTCACGGGGAGTATTCATTTAATTGGGGGCGCTTTGGACATTTTGCGGCCTTTGCCTTAGTTCGATTATCGATGTGTTGTTGGATTGGTTTGTTGGGATATGGGACGAGGTGTGTAACTTGGGCTGTTTGGCTTGGGGGTGAATTTTACTCCTAGTTTTGGCTCATATTTTAGAGGATGTTGATGTATTTGTTTTCGCTTTATCTTTAGAGTCATGTATTGCTCGTTACTTCGCTACGGCAATCGGCTATAAAAAAAATTTGGACATGGCTTCTCGCCTAACATTGTCAAGTTTTCAGGTTTAGTACTGAACTGGATGGGAGTTCTGTGAACGGTCTGGTCTGGGTTTGGTCTGCGGGAGGGCAGAGGTGACGATCACCTGTATACGCAGCACTGGTATAATTGGGGGTTGTTTGGTATTATCGTGGGATACATGATTCGTAACGGCTCATCTACTATCCGAATTTCCCTTGCTCTCCGGCGGATTGCTATTGGTATTTCCAGCATTTCCTCCACTGTTTCCTCCTCCGCCTCCCTTGGGGCCGCCCTTGCTCTTGGACCCTCGTCCACCGCGAGGCCCTCGGGATGAGTTGCCTCCAGAACCCCCTCCTTCGTTGGACTTGCTGCCCCGATTGTTGCCGCCGCCGCCGCCGCCGCCGCCGCCTCCTCCTCCAGCAGACGATTGCGCCTCACCACGCCCTTTGCCGCGGCCTTTTTCTCCACCGGGGTTGGCTTTCCGCTCCAGTACGACAACCTGACTCTGGGCGACCGAGACAGGGCTCGCAGCAATGGCTTTTTGAAGCCCGTCTGGCTCTGCAAAGTCAATGTAACCGAACCCTTTCTTCTTGTCAATCTCCACTTTCACGATCTTGCCGAATGGCGCGAATGCTGTTTCTAGTAGTGGTTCGGTAACTCCCTGAGATGGGTTTGCGTGCTTGAGGAAGGCTTGGGTAGCGGTAGCTGTCGGTCCGGCCGATGCTTGCTTTCCCTTGGCGGGTTTGGCGGGTTTAGGTGTAGTGCTGGTCGGAGGGGTATTTGCTTCGGATGGCTCACTAGGTTGTTGTGTGTTGTTGCCTTTGGCTTTATTCTGCGTCGATGCCCCCTTGGGTGGTCTGGAAGGCGTATCCTTCTTGCCTGTATCCGGGGTTGCAGTGCCGCTTTGATCAGACTTCGAGGCATCTCCATCCGTGGCAGCCGCTTTGCCACCTTTTCGGCGACCAGACGGAGCAAGCCCGAGGTCGCGCTGGAGGATTTTGGCGGCAGCGGCCACACTCCCGCGCTCTCGTTTCCGCTCCGTTGCTGGTGGGGGCGTATCCTTGGGGGAGTTCTGAGCCGGAGACGACTTTGCGGCTTGCTTGGCTGCGACATTGGCGGCCTGCTTGCTTGCCGATTTCACAGCCTCCTTGGTAGCCTTGTCCGACTTGGATTTCCTCTCTGGCTTCTCTGTAGCGGCGGGCTGATTTGCCTCCTTATCAGGCCGTTGTAGCAGCTTCTTGGCCTGCACCTTCTCCGCCTTTGAGTCTTTGTCGGACTTGTGCTTGGAAGATTTGCTGGACTCCTTGGCCTTGTTGGCTTTCTTCTCCTTGATGTATTGTACCAATGGTGTGACAGTCACTGTCTCCTTCTTATCCTCGCCATCCGCAGCAGATTCAACAGTGGCTGGCTTGGCGATTGGCTGGGTGAGGCTCTCGAGGAAGGCGATAAACTCGGGGTCCTGGTCGATGGTTCCCTGACGAGCATCTTTGCGCGAACGACTTCCGGCGATCTTGGCATAAGGCGCAAATTCCAAAGAAGGGGGTCCCAGAAGCACGGGGTCGTTGGAGGTATTCCGGGCGTCCAAAAAAGGCGTTTGACGGACCTTGTTCGAGAGGGGGATGCTGTGATCGCTGGACATGACATGGATATAGGCACGTGAGGGTCGGGAAGGTTTGGCTGGACTGACAGTGCGGAGTTAGTGAGGGGACTTCCGAGAGGAGTGACATGTTTACTCTTTGGAGACCTTGCCCGGCTTGTATTGGAACCAGTCGACCTTTCCACCCCCAATCTTCCATTCCGGACCCAGCGCTGTCTCAAATTCCGCCTGTGTCAATCCGGGTGGGAGACGCCTGACGACGAGTTTTAACCGAGGGGCCGCTGGCTTCGCAGCTTTCTTCGGTGTCGCAGAGGTGTTCTTCTGAGTTGCAGCCACGGGGATCTGGAGAACGCCTCCGGTAGACTTGCCCGCAGGGATCTGCGTCATGATGTAGACTGGTGAGGGTCTCCGCCCCGGCAAAGGTTAACAAGTCGCCGAGGGGAAGGGAAACAAGGAGGGGCGGGGAAGCTGTTATAAGGTAGGAGCCGATGCGTGAATATGTGAAGGATGAAAGTCCCCAATCACTTCAGCACCCGGATTCACCTGGAAGTTGAGATGTGAATCATGGGTGAAGCTGTTATCGAGGAGATTCCGCCCGCGCCACGTGACCGGGCCCGGGAAGTGCATACCCAACATCCCCTGCGGGGAAGAACCGCCGGCGCGCATTCCGTTCAGCAACTCATGTGCTCTGACGTTCGTGAGAGGACTTCTCTTTGGACCCCGGTACCCTCATTAGTCTCTTTGGTAACGCCTGTTTCTTCCGGCTTCAGCGCGTCTTGCCCATCCAGTCCCTCCAGATCGCGCCATTCTCATCATGGTGGATAGTAAGGTCCCTCAGCCGGGACCGGCCAAGTTGAAGCGCAATGCAGGCCCCGATGAATGGCTGGAGGCGGCCAAGGACTGCAAATATCTTTCGGAGTCACACATGAAACAGCTTTGTGAGATTGTGAAGGAGTTCATGATGGAAGGTGCGCTTCCGGCGAGATCCTGTGGCGACTGACTTCACGGACACTGACGAGTCGCATTCCCTAGAATCGAACATTCAGCCAGTGTCGACGCCAGTGACAATTTGTGGAGATATTCACGGCCAATTTTATGACCTGCTGGAGCTGTTCCGGGTCTCCGGAGGAATGCCCGATGAATCAGAGGTCGAGCCGCCCAAGACGTCACCGTCTGTGATTACCTCTGAGGATATCGAACCCCCGTCCACCATTACCGATCCTAAATTACGGAAGAAATTGAGGAACTCCGGACACTCGGATGACTTTGCAGATGAGAATAACAGCCAGCGGGGCCGGTCTTCCAGCGCAGGCTCAAAGGAGGTGACATTGAATCGGAACTTTGTGTTCCTCGGTGACTACGTTGACAGAGGATATTTCAGCTTGGAGACTCTGACGTTGCTCTTGTGTCTCAAGGCCAAGTGAGTATGCCCATGTGCAGTCCTTCACTGATTCTAATCTTGTGCTCTAGATATCCCGATCGGGTCACATTGGTGCGTGGTAACCACGAGTCTCGCCAGATTACTCAGGTCTACGGCTTCTACGAGGAGTGCTTGCAGAAGTATGGCAATGCCTCGGTATGGAAAGCTTGTTGCCAGGTTTTCGATTTTATGACGTTGGGCGCCATCATCGACGGCAGGGTGTTGTGTGTGCATGGCGGGCTGAGCCCCGAAATCAGAACCCTGGACCAAGTTCGTGTGGTTGCGAGAGCCCAGGAGATTCCGCATGAAGGTGCTTTCTGTGATCTGGTCTGGTCTGATCCCGATGAGGTAGAAACATGGGCCGTGAGTCCCAGAGGCGCTGGTAAGTGCCCTTCCGTCGCGTGTACTTCTTCTCCCTAACGTAGTCTAGGTTGGTTATTCGGAGACAAAGTTGCGGACGAGTTCTGCCACGTCAATGACCTGACCCTTATCGCGCGCGCGCATCAATTGGTCAACGAGGGCTACAAGTACCACTTCGCCAACCAAAACGTGGTCACCGTGTGGAGCGCCCCCAACTACTGTTACCGATGCGGCAACCTCGCCTCCGTATGCGAGATCGGGGATGACCTGAAACCGACGTTCAAGCTCTTCAGTGCTGTCAGCGACGATCAACGACACGTTCCGACATCGCGGCCGGGCCGCAGTGAGTACTTTCTGTAACATATCGCATGGCTACACTTTTATTCTCGTCCGCTTGCATTTGCAAGCCATGAGGCGTTACTGCACCGGCGCTGGCGTTGGGAGTGGATACAGATGGGGCCCACGCATTGTGGGTAGGACAGGTTATGAGCATCATATATTACGATTTGGGACACAGTTAATGAAGTTTCTTCTTATGCATACTGGACTTTGGCCCGGGTGTTAGTTTACTGTCACATTATCATGAATCGGATGATCGTTATGATACATAGCACCGTGCGGCTTTGTAGGCATCCTGCGCGATGGGTATATCGCCTATTTGACGAGACCTCCGCCGGAGGTCTTGATGAAATTCGAAGGGGGTTTAACGAAGGCTTCGATGGGTCACCACGACCCAGAGAAACAGGGAAAATACCGAACCGTTTGAAATCCGGTTGTCTTATGGGCTCTGTGCCAAAGGACGAATCCGAATCCACGCTGGGAGTCGAATACCGACGTCTCTTTCTGACGCGTCGGCGGCGGCGTTCTTCGCGTTCGCGCTCTTCTCGTTCCTCTTCCGACATTCCGGCATCGATATCAATGGCTATCAAAGCAAGCAATGCAGCTATCTAGATGAAGCAATTGCGCTCATGTTGAGACAGAGACCACAGTGTGATAGCCATATTGAGTAAAGAGGCACTGAGGTAGTACCAGAGACGGTCCTCTGAACAATGCGTCGATGAGCATCCACTCGATGTGACTTTCGCGTACTTTGCCTGGTCGGGTCTAGCGCGTATACCCCGCGACTTGATCGGTCACCGTCTTTGTTAGATGTTGATTGACCCAACAGTGACCACAGTCAGGATAAGAGGGAGTACCACGCCTCCGAATCCGAATGGCGGAGAAAACATGACTGAAGTCACTGAACGCCATTGGTGCAGATACTGGCCGAGGCACGGACGCAAATGCCGCGCAGCTGCCGACCCGGGATGGATTCCGGGGTAGTTCGGAATCCATCCCGGCGGCAAGTGAAGTATATCAGAGGGTGTTTACCAGCGCTCTCATGAGGTTTCCCGGTTTCATTTTTCGAAGCCATTTCTCAAGAAGGTATCTAGCAGACAACATAGTATCATGGCAGAAAAAGTCGACGTTCTGATCTGCGGTAGCGGCTCCGCGGGCCTTTGCGCCGCCACCTGGCTTGCTCGACATGGCATCCCTTGCAAGATCCTGGAGCGTCGGGAGGGACCTATGACAATGGGACAAGCAGATGGTGTGCAGTGCCGCACGGTCGAGATCTTTGAGAGCTTCGGAGTTGGCGAAGAGCTGTTGCGCGAGTCATACCATGTGCTGGAGGTCGTGTTCTGGGCAGATGATAGTGGTTCGGGCGTTATACGTCGCACGGGCAAGACTGCAGACACCCAACCCGGATTGTCCCATCAGCCACATGTCATTCTGAACCAGGCGCGCATCAACATGCTTCTCATCGAGCTGATGAAGAAATTCAACAACCAGGAGATTGATTACGGGTATACCGTGAAGGATGTCCAGGTTGACAGTCAGCTTTCGGGGGATCCGGAGGCGTATCCGGTTAAGGTTACTGCGGAAAAGGACGGGAAAGTAGAAAGCTTTGAAGCGAAATATGCTCTGGTGCGTGCTTCGCTTCAGCATCTTGACTGGTTACTGACGTTTTAGGCATGTGATGGTGCTCATAGCACTGTGCGCAAGGCCCTGGGATACACCATGATTGGCGATAGTACCGATGCTGTCTGGGGTGTCATGGATATGGTTCCACGAACGGACTTTCCCGACATTCGGAAGAAATCCACCATCCGTTCCCGGGCAGGCAACCTTCTGATTATACCCCGAGAAGGAGATAGCTACGGTCTGACCCGGTTCTACATTGAGCTCCCGACTGGTACGAAGGCAAAAGATGTCAGATTGGAAGATCTGCAAGGCGCCGCCAAGAAGATCCTCAGTCAGTACGAGATCGACTTCGTGGAGACCGTATGGTGGTCAGCATATGCGATCGGTCAGCGTCATGCGGACTTCTTCCACAAGGACCATCGTGTTTTCCTCGCGGGAGATGCATGTCATACGCATTCGCCGAAGGCGGGCCAAGGCATGAATGTCAGCTTGCAAGATGGGTACAATATGGGCTGGAAGCTTGCTTCGGTGCTAAAGGGCTTGGCTCGTCCCTCATTGCTAGAGACGTATGTGCTCGAACGGCAAAAGGTGGCTATCGATCTGATTAACTTTGATCGCTACTTTGCCAAGTTGTTCTCGTCTCAGGGGGATGCATCGCCCCAGGAATTCCAGGAGGGTTTCATCAAGTCCGGGAAATACACGGCAGGTTTGACCGCCAAGTATGACGAATCTCCGATCACGTCCGATACGGGGTTGTCGAAGGAACTCTCCCCGAACATCGCGATTGGAATGCGGCTGCCTAGCGCGCAGGTTGTGCGATTCTGTGACTCCAAACCGATGCAGCTGGCTGCATCGCTCAAGTCCGATGGTCGCTGGAGAGTCATTGCATTTGTGGGGGATCTCAGCGAGCCACAGAACATGGCCGCCTTGAAAGAGGTATGTTAAATGCAGCGTTCCAAAAGGATCAGTACTGACTGGGAACAGATTGGGGATTATCTTGGCTCTGACGAGAGCCCCCTCCAGACGTTCCGCCTCAAAGGCGGCGATGCCGACAGTCTTATCGAGCCAATACTGGTGGGATATGGCAACCGACATGACGTCGAGCTGGCGCAGGTTCCGGAATGCTTCTATCCAGTGACAGGCAAGAATCATATCAGAGGTGAGCATCTCCCGGCCTCCGAAATCCCAGTCTAACAAGGATAGACCTGCACAAGATCTTCTTCGACGATGAGAGCTACAACAAAGGCCATGGGCACGTTTACGAGCATCTTGGCATCCGTCCGGACAAGGGTGCTATTGTCATCGTGCGTCCGGATCAATGTAAGCTTTCGTCACCACTACTGGAAATGGATATACTGACATCCGTAGACGTATCTGCTGTGTTCAGTCTCGATGGATATAGTCGAATCGGTGCATTCTTTGAGGGATTTATGATCCCACAAGAGAGGCCGGAGCCGCTGGCGGGAAGCAAGTTGTAATCGCAGACACGCGTGCTCTGCAATACTGATGACAAACAATTTCAGCCACGCTCACCATGTCGGAGTGAGACGAGTGAGCAAAGTTTAAACAAGGATAATGCCATTGAGCGGGTTGAATGAGGTGGTATGGATGAGCAGCTCCTTGCTGTTGAAGAAATATTTATAGTACCATTGCGAACACGTCGACTCTAATCAGCAATAAACTTGGCAATTCCGGTATACCATCTATTTTCTTTCCGCACACCCAAACTGAAGATGGCTCCCCATGTCATTGAGGCCAACTCCCAAACACCCGGACCAGAGTTGAAGGAATTTGCTGCAAAGGGCGTACCGGCGACCTCCAGCGAGTCCGGAGACACGGTTCAGAACCTAGCCCAACTCCTTGCCAGAGCATCCGCGTCCACAGCCGGACTGACCTTCTACACATCTGGGGCTGAGGCTACTCGTGTTTCGTACGCCAACCTCCAAAGAGATGCAGAAGAAAAAGCCCGTGTCTTGCGCAGGATCAATGGTCTGTCTCCCTCGTCCATCATTCTCCTCCACTTCGAAACCAACCATGACACACTGCCGTGGTTCTGGGCTGCGACGCTGGCGGGTTTCCTCCCGGCCATCTCCACCCCGTTCGTGCATGATCCGGCGCAGCGCAAGAAACACTTGCATCATCTGCAGACCTTGCTGCAAGAGCCCGTGATCCTTACCACCGAACGGCTTGTTCCGGAGTTTTTGGAGATGGACGAGCTCCGTCTGCACCCAGTTGAATCACTAAGCAACGTGAATGCGGACTCAAATGGCGCGACTTGTGCCCACCCCCTCACTGGGACCGAAAAGAAGGCAGAAGATGCGGCGGTTCTCATGTTGACGTCCGGAAGCACGGGAAGCGCCAAGGCGGTTCCTCTCCGCCACGGCCAGCTTTTGACGGCGCTGCAGGGCAAGAAAGACCACCACGGGACCGAGTCTGACGATGTGTTCCTGACCTGGGTCGGGCTCGACCATGTTGCGAGTCTGTGTGAGGTTCATCTGCATGCAAGTATGCTCTCACCACCCTCTTTTACCTCAGGAGCATCGTTGACATATAGTAGTGAGCCTGGGCGCCGATCAAGTACACGTTCCGGCTGTCGAACTCCTGCGCAACCCGTTGCGCTTCATTCAGCTGCTTGATTCGCACCAGGTTGCCTATACCTTTGCCCCCAACTTCTTCCTCACGCAGGTACGGGACGCTCTCACAGATAATCCAGCCGTCCAGGCGGATCTGTCCCGCCTCAAGAGCATCAACTCTGGTGGTGAGGCCAACGTCGTTGCGACAATCGACGGGTTGACCCGTGAGTTGCGTCGGTTCAATATCCAGCGTGAAGTGATCAGTCCTGGATTCGGGATGACGGAGACGTGTGCAGGATGTGTGCACGCGCCGGCATCCCCATCATACGATCTCGCACAGGGCCTCGAATTTGCCAGTCTCGGCCCGTGTGTTCCGGGGGTGGAGATGCGAGTGATGCGTCTGACGGCCAAAGACGAACCTGCTGCGCGGGGTGAGGTCGGAGAGCTGCAGCTCTCGGGGCCCGCCGTGTTCGCCGGGTACTTCAACAATCCGGATGCCACGGCGGCTGCTTTCACGGACGATGGATGGTTCATCACGGGAGATCTAGCCTGGCTGGACGAGTCTGGATATCTGAATCTGGCTGGACGGACCCGAGACACGATCATCGTCAACGGGGTCAAATGGAGCGCGACGGAGATCGAAATGGCGATCGAAGAAGAGCGCATCCCGGGTGTTGTGCCCTCGTATACCGTGGCCTTTCCCTGCCGTGCACCTGGCTCTGCCAGTGAGGACATTGCCATTGTCTACTCCCCGACATACGCGGCAGACGACTCTGCGACGCGGTTCGAGACAGCCACGGCGATCGCCAAGACCGTCGCCCTTCTGACGGGGCGGAAACCCGCTCACTTAATTCCGCTCCCGGCGGAAATGCTGGACAAGTCGTCGCTGGGTAAGATCTCGCGCACTAAAGTGCGTACTGCATTCGAGAAGGGCGAGTATGCGTCGATGGAGGCGGAGGATACGGAGGCCGTGCAGCGATATCGTGAGGCTACGCAGCGGCCGGCGAAGACGGAGACGGAGAAGAGAGTGCAGAGCACAGTAGCAGGACTGCTCCAGCTTCCAGTCGAGGAGATCAACGTTGACATGTCGATCTTTGATCTGGGTATCACCTCGTTCAATCTGATCCTCCTCAAGGCTATGATCCAGGAAGCCGTCGATGCCCCGGTGGAGATTCCCATGTCAGTGTTAATGACCGAGTAAGTCACTTGCCCCTAACATCTAACTCCTCTTAACGTTGTCGCAGTCCAACCACCGTCGCCATCTCGGCCGCCATCGACAAGCTCCTGTCCCAGCCCCCGGTGTACAACCCCATCGTTCCCCTCCAGCCTCACGGCACCAAGATCCCCCTCTTCCTCATCCACCCGGGCAGCGGAGACATCCTCGTCTTCATTGCCCTGGCAGCCCAGTTCCCAACCCGGCCCGTCTACGCGCTCCGCACCCGCGGCTACAACACCAACGAGCCCTTCTTCCCTTCCATCCAGAATACCGCCGAGACGTACGCGCACCACATCCGCCAAACCCAGCCCGAAGGCCCATACGCTATAGCCGGCTACTCCCTCGGGTCCACGCTGGCCTTTGAAGTCGGCAAGGTCCTGGAAGCCCAGGGGCAGGAAGTGCGCTTCCTCGCCAGCATCGACTACCCGCCGCATATCCGACAGTACGTGCGCGGGCAGAACTGGATCGACGTACTCCTGCACATTGCCTTCTTCCTGGAGCTGATCGACCAGAACATCATGGCTGAGGCGGGGAAGTACCTCCACGGACAGGAGATCGCACGCCAGGACGCCCTCGTCCATGTCCTCTCGATCAGTGACCAGGAGCGTGTGCGTGCCCTGGCTCTCAACCCCGAGCGACTGGAGCGAATCACCGACATCGGGGAGAACTTCCGAGTGCACGGAGAGTCGTACGAGCCTGAGGGTACGGTAGAGCGACTGGACGTGTTTGTGGCGGATCCGCCGAGCTACGCGGCGCTGAACCGACAGGACTGGGAGGAGAATAAGCTGGGCGCGTGGCGGAACTTTTCCCGAACGGAGGTGGGCTTTTACAATTGTCCGGGCATCCACGCGACGATGCTGAACCCGGTGTATGTGCCGGAGTTTGTGCGGAGCTTCAAGTTGGCGATGAAGCGGAGAGGTGTGTAGTGATATACAGTGATGAGTCGCTAGATGGTAGTCTGAAGGTAGCGTAGAAGGAAAGACGAGGATGGAGTATACTTCAACAGTACATCTCCCCCTTAACCATCCCATATTCCCTATACTAGTACAATCCATCCCGTAAATCATAACGAATACACCCTCTTATAAACCTCAAACGCCTTGAGTAAATTCCTCCCCTGATCCCCAATAAACTTCAACCTATTCCCATCCCCAATCCCACCCCCAGCATCCACCCCCATAACCCCCCCCTCAACAGCCCCTCTCACCTCCCCCTCCCCCACCCACCTCCACGCACAATGTTCCTCCGGTGCCAACTTGATCCTCCTTTCTCCCTCCCCATCCAACGCATCCCCCACCTCCACCAAAAAACTCCACTTCATCGCCCTCACCTCCCGTCCAGCCTTCATCCTACTCCACGCATCCACAGCCACTAACTCCACGACCTTGGTGACGGTCAACCCTGTTTCTTCATACACTTCTCGGGCTAGAGAGGCCAGGAGGGTGGTGTCGGTGGGGTCGCTGGACCCGCCGGGGGTTTCCCAGTGGAGGGGGTAGCTGTCTGTTGGGGAGCGGAGGAGGAGGAGGGTTTGGATTTGGGGGTGGGGGTTGGTGGGGGATGAGGAGGGGGTGGTGGAGGGGGAGGGAGAAGGGGGAGGGGTGAAGATGTAGGCGCCTACGATGAAGGTTGTGCAGTCGGGGTGGTGGGCTGTGAAGGTGGGGAGGGGGAGGGTGTAGGGGTGAAGGTGGTGGGATATTTCCATTGTAGATTTGGGCTGGACTTGGGTGGTGGTTGTGATGCTGATTGAAGGAGGGTGTCACGGGGCATACTGGGTGCACATTCCAGGTACTTCCCGCTGCACTATCAGCAAAAGGACTAGGATGTAAAGCCAATGGCTTTACACTGTGCACGCTATATAAAGGGTATTCAGGAACAGGATTCAGGCAGGATTCAGGCAACCACACGGGTTCAGGTAGGCAGGCAGGCAGGCAGGCACCGTGACAAGAACATGATTTTAAAGATATTCCAGACGATGACTTACAAGAGTAGTACAATTGCCGATTGCCAATACAACGCCCAGAACGGCCACGCATCACGTGACCACAACAGCATGTCACCGCCAAGCTACAACATGTCAAACGCTACGACCAGGACATGGCAGTGACATAAGATAACATACCAGTAACATAACATATCATGACGACGGCATAGGGGATAAGGATATATAAGAACACTCTCTTATGTACTTAGCTAGTTCTGTTCTTCGTGCTCAATACAACTGTCTTTAAGTAACCATATGTTTGGAAGCTTAACTACAGAACGCTCGTCCGCACTTACTTACGGATAACTGCGCGGCACTATTCAGCCCTACTTCTCCTCTCTTGTCCACGACCTAGTTGTCTCTCAGATAGTCATCAGTCGATACCTCCTCGACGTAGTTCGACGGTACGTATACCAACGGGGCTAAGCTAACTGGGACAGGGGAGCGATCCTAGGGTTTGACAGTTGGGTCTTGATCGGTGACTCACCTCCAGGAGCTGGTTCCAGTCCTCTTTTGAACCTGCATCCTGTGTATCCCACTTAAGGCCAGAATCATTCCTTCCACCTTCACCAAACAGCCGATCCACTTGACAGGACTTCAAGAGCTAAAGCCGTCAAAAAAGTGACTGGGAGCTCAAGGCCTCCTGGAGCCCTATATATACCCATGACAAAAGATAGCGCTGATACACTTAAACAAATTATTAGGTCCTCACTACAGAGCTAAATTCATATTCAAGGACTGGCTGTATAGCCAAGAAGCCTTAATTTAACTACCAGGGCTTAGACAGATATATTCAGCTTTCCGACAGGAATTTTCCAAAGGAGGACGGCCTTATTTAGCCAATTATGTCTAGCTTCTACCCTCGGTTCTCTAAACGGTAGCACCGATGATATAAAGGAGACCGTCCCAAAGTATTTTCGACCGCTACTGACGGAAGAATCATTGATAATTCTAAGCTTCCAAGGTTGAACATCTGAGATAAACTGCAGATAGTATGTCGCAGTGTGAACTGCGGATACAATACATCTCGTGCGGGTTGTGTAAAGATTCATGTAAATTACCCTCCTGTGTATTTTTCGGAAACCTTGGCGTTTCCGCAAAAACGCCCGTGGACCCTGTGAGACCTGCGTTTGTCGCGTATTCCAAGGTTGTACTAGGGCCAATAGCTTGAAAACCATGCATGGGTAGTATAAAGACTGGTCGCATCCGCATATATTCCACGCTTTGGTTTCATAGGACCAACCTCGGAAATCCAGCCGTGGACGTGAACAACAACTTTGGAGACGTTGGCAAAGCTATCCCTTTCTGCCCACCATGGCCAAAACACTAGAAGAATTTGCTCAATTAGAGCCTCTCTGGGACAAAGCAATCCAGCATCCAGCGGAAATTTCACCTGATGAAAAACACCAGCTGATGCAATGGCCGCCTTTAGAAGAGATGCAGGCCAACACAACCAAATACTTGGATATGTCACTTGAAAACTTGCTTCAAAAGGCAGCTACGGACCGTCAATCCCTCACATACGCGGAATGTCGTCTAATTCGCGATCATTTCCGCATTACGCCAACTCTTGACAAGGGTGATCAATTCGCGTGGCTGCAGATGCGTCCTGATCTTTACGATAAGCTGAAACAGGCACAAGAAGCAGCTCTTTCACCAATAGAGCTTCAGGCCGTTCAAGCTGTGAATGAGGTATTTCCTCAGAAAAAGTATGATGACTTGAAGGCAAGGCATGAAAAGCGAAAACAAGAACCATTCCCAGATCTGCAAGACTGGGTGCGAAGGATTGTCGTTCGAGAAGATGATAAGAGCTGGGGCTATGTCTTTTACCATCAGAAAGGAATGGCCAGACTGGATGAGTTTAGGGCGCTATTTGCCGAGGTCCTTGAGATGTCTTTCGGTTTCAAGGGATATGAAGAGATACACGATCACAAATTCGCTCAATTTGTCCCATTTGAGGCCGATGAGAGTAACATCAGCCATTTACAGCAGTGAGTTGTCCTACATAATATTAAAGACATTTCTAACAATCAGCCAGAGACTTTCGTGATCGCCGCGAGAGGGGTGACTTAAAGCCCGGTGTTCTCAAAAATGTGTTCTTCTTGTTGACAGATGAGGCCCTTTCAGCTTGTGGCACATATGGCCCAGATATGTACTATGGATGGATATGGGCAATTGATCCGGACTGGCCTCTGTCGCGGCCAGATGAGGATGGCTATGATGGCCGCCTCAAAATCAGCATCACCCAGATCTTTTACCGTTTCTACGAATTCATGTCTGATGGTTTCTCGCTCAAAGAAATTTGGCAGGATTTCCATTACGTCAATGCTAACAAGTTGTACCCAAGCTCTTGGCGGGAGCCAATTTCCTGGGCCATTACCCGACTTGAGAAATCCAAATGGCCATACAATTGATTTGATGCATGTGTGTCCTTGATGATTTTTATGTACATAGTACTAGATAGTGAGCATCATATAAACATTGAAAATGTGTGATCATCCGGTGAAAATGTATTCTTCCTTCCGCCCATCTTTTCTAGTCATATCATTGGAAAATACTCCACTTCCCTCCTTTTTGTCAGCTAAAAACCAACTTGAAGCAACTAGCTACCTGGTGTCTGCATATAAACGAAGATTGATTCGTCAAAAATCACTCTTAGTCGAACCAACTCTCTGAACTCCATCAGATCAGCCATGTAGGTTGTTGCGACCTGATATGCGTGCGATCCCGGGGTAGCTGCATTTTGCACCGCTTGCCATGTGACAAATAGCTCATCAATACGCGAATTAAGCCAATTGGAGGCCCACTGAGCCATTCGTCGCATGAAATTTATCATGAAAGTTCTGAACAGATTAGGCGCACTGAAGTCTCTTTGCCCGAAAACACTGTTGACTGCTTTCTGGAACACACCCAATTCGTAAATAGCCGCGCCATATGTGTCAACAAGGTGACGGTTAACAAGCTGCTGGTTCAAGTACGCAAAACACAGATATAACCTGAATTTAACGAATGAAGTTAGCACATAAATAAATGATTGAAGGAGACTTCGCGTACCATTCGTATTTCATTCATCCCAGCCCGTCCAGCTCTCTCATCTGCCACGTTTAGATTCCTCCAAGTATCATCACCAAGCGGCTGCTTCCCTGCGAACAGCTATATGCAACCATTTAGCAATTTTCTCTTTACTGCATCAAAATTGCAAAGAGAAGGCTTATCATAGTAACGTAACCTTCCTTTCATCGAGTTCAAGTGAGTTTCAGTATTAACTAATCGAGCGGGGTTAATCTTTGAGCCTAGACTGTTAAATATCCGAATAATTGGAGTTCCAGTTGCTGTGGTGTGACCGCTGGCCCATGTCGAATAATCCTGATTCAGTAGTTGTGCAATGTCCCAGGGCATACGTTTGCTCCCAGTGCTGAAGTCTGGCAAGCCCTGCACAGCAGGTAAAGTTCCAGTAACCATAAATTCAATTGAGCGAGGAATCAATTGAAGCTCGAAAATATGCTCAGCTATGAAGAAGTAGAAGGGTTAATATATGCACCATATCGCCCCATGGGAATAATTCAATGCATCATGATTTGGGAGCACTTACTGACCCACGTCCAAAGATTGTTGGGCGCGTTAGGATCAATAGAGGTATCAGTGCATACACGTTGATTTGCGACCGCAAATCGCACTGTTAGTCCATTGGCATTTGCAAGGTTGTCACCATTGCCACCATTTGGATAGGCCACTGATGTAATAATCATGATTCGCTGCTGTCCAGTAATTGGGTCAGTACCGCAATCAACGGTGAAATCCCGGGGAGCTCCATCACGTTTGTCCAGACTGTGAAGAGCTCGTTTGGTTGATGCACTATTCGTTCCGTAGGTATCGGGGTCAATCGAGTATTCATCATCAAAACCGTCAAGATCGCTGATAGCGCAGACTTCATCTAAAGTACTGGGAGCTGTACAATCCTTGATCATCCGGTTCCAGTACTCTAGGTTGCAAATGATGCGACCTGCAAGATCCTCTGCAATTACAGAAAACAGTTCACCTGTAACATCTCTCAAAAATGGTATAAGGGTGGAAGTCGCTAGATAAGTGTACCGAGCGGCAATTACGTCGTTCCACACCTTGATTTCCTTGACGGCTTTGTTTGTCCTGCTCGTCATGCGATAGGTGTAGATGATATCAGTCGCAACAATTAGAATGGAATTGCTTGTGAAGAATGATTGTTGATCTTGACGTTTCTCCAAAGATATTCCCGAGGTGCCGGCATACCGAGGTGCATATTCTATAGGCAACATGTCTGTGAAGCCTCTTTTGTCGTAGCCTACACCAAAGGTATCATCGTAGCCGTACCCATAGCCGGTAGAGCATGTAGGATTTTTCAACCAGTCTTTAAGATCAGCCGTCCAAAGCTCCACCATAGGGTCTACCTTTTTTTGGGTCGTGGTGTAGTTGGGAGAACAGCACTTTGCACGGGAGCCAGTCTTTTTGTTACAAGTATTGTAGTGCTCCATAGCTACTCGTACTTTGTCCTTGGGACAGCTTGAGAAGCAGTAGCCACTCCCACCACTTCCACTACCACCATCGGCAGGAATGACTTGGTATCCTGTTTCGCTATAGTCGTCAAGCCACTCGCAGTCGTCGAAAGTCATGTTTTCATCAGAGCTGTCACAGCAATATTTGCGCTCCTCATTCAGGTTGGTTCTCCAGTCGCCACCGCAAGCCGATCCTCCATTGCCATTGCATGACTTGAGGAGAACATCGGTCTTTTCTGCTGGGCATTTCCATGAATCGCATTCGAATGAAGCAGCCCATTCGCATTTCTCATAGAGCGCAGTACTCTTTTGACCACTCGTACAGCAGGCAGCTTGGTAATTACCAAATGCAGTTGAACATCCACGGTTGGTTCCGCCAAGTTCAAAACTACCATCTGGACACTTGCCTTCACAGTCACCGTTGTTGAAAGTGTACCAGCCGCAAGTCGGAGCATCTTGATCAGGAGGGCAGCACAGACGATGGTCCTGATTTTTGAAGATACAGCCTCCATCATCAAGCATCCACTCACCATCATGATGTCTATCATCGTCATGACGGCGGAGCAGAACCCATCCATCTGGGCAGAGGTCTCCACAGTTTGTCCATTTGCACTGATCATGTTTGATTTTGATTGTGTCGTCTGTTTTGATTGTGTCGGGCAGAGCTTTAAACTTGCGTTGGGCTGCTTCTCCCAGGGCAAGGGAGTAAGTCCCATTGGTATGGTCATGGCTTACTGCCCATACCATAAGGCCTCCTAAGCATTTCCCTCGGGCAAAGTCGGCTTTGAGCTTGAAGGTGTCGATATCATCATAGGATACCCATTGATTATCGTCCCATGTGATCATCTTCACTGCAGCATCTTTATCGTATGTGATTCTGGGGCGTTTTCCCGCGATAACCTCGTCAATCTCGGAGTTCATCAGAATCCCAACCTCATGACTGCAGTCTCCAGCCTCCGCCCCGGATGCAAAAAGGCAGCCAGGCTTAGTACATGATGGGTCTGCAATCGTATATGCTCTGCCGTAAAATGCTATTCCAAGAACTACCTGATCCGGTGGAATATTGTTTCGCCATAGTAGATCCAGAGAAGCTTTAATCTCAGTGAGATTGGTATGCGCGTCGAGGAATTCACCAGTCCATTTGTTTCCTTTGTCCCAAGTTCCATGAAGATCGTAGGTCATGATATTGAAGAAGTCCACACTTTTCTTCATATTTCCGATGTCAAAGTGTTGCAAGTACCAGAAAGAGGCAGGCAGAGTTATACTAAGACCATCTCGACCACCAGTTCTTTTGAGTGCCGCTTTGAGATTCTTTAAGAACTTGGGGAAGTTGTCAAAGTCTTCTGGACGACCACTTCGATCGTCCGCTGCTGGATATTCCCAGTCGATGTCTACGCCATCCAAGTCATATGTGGACATGAACTTTGTGAGAGAATTGAAGAACTTGTTTTGATTAGATGTCGATGCGGCTAGGTCAGAAAATGTCGTTGCAGTTGGGCCAGGGTCATTATAGCTCCAACCTCCAATAGCGATATACACTTTGAGATCAGGATCTTCTTGCTTGAGACGGGCGACTCGCTTGAAAAGCTCAATGTCTGCAGTCAAAGAAGGTCGAACCTCGAATGTATCTGGGTCAATGACTGCAAAGGCCACATTAATATGGGTATAAACTCCCAAAGGAATTTGCTCCGGCCAGAACTGTTTGCATCGACGCCGAGTGCTCCAAGTCTCATAGTATCCAACTACACGCTCTAATGTGTGCGTTGAATTATTGCAAGAGGGCTGTTTCACTGTTTTCTTCCCGCAGAATTCTGACGTTGTTCCACAGAAGCCAAACTTTGAGCAGCATACGTTCAGAGGACAAGATGATTTTTCAGACCAATCTAACCCAAAGCCCGGGTCACATTCCGCTTTTCTTTCACAGCTAGCAACACAGTCATCTCCGCAGACTAAGAAAGGGTTTTTGTTAGATATTGAAAACCAAAAATGTAGCGATCCAAAAACTTCTCATTGAGTACTTACACTCTGGTCCAAGTCCACAGAATCCAAATTTGTTACAACAGCCTTGTGCACATGGATTGTTGGCATCACAACCCAGCTTGTAGTTGCAGGTATCAACACAGTCTGCACCACAGAACTCATCACCAGTGCCGCAGTAACCATGCTTCGAACAGCATCCAGTTGCACAGGGGTTCTCTTTGCTACAGTTCTGTCCTGCGGTCTGAGCAATGAGGAAGCACAGGAAAAATAAAAGATACACCAGCCGGGGGCGTGAAAGGAAGCCCATGGTTCCCAGATCAGAAATATAAGCACCAAATGGCTCCTAAAACTAACTCTTGATGAGCTTCCAAGATATGATGGGACTATACTAATGGTAAACGACGAAAGGCATCCCTAAGTATGTTTCCAGGACTACTGGTACCATTTGTAAGCTCTAAGAAAGACTAGCTTAAGCGAACCACTGTGTACTAAGATATTGTCGTTATTTTCATCTTAGCTTCGATGCTTTTTCGGGATTGAACAGAAACGTGCGAGGAGTTAGCTAGCGTAGAAATCACGCAGTTAGCTTCAAAAGTGGCAGCGCTGTACGGAGTACCTTGCCATCTGGAGCGGAAATTGCTATGCATGGTCCCACTACTCCAAGTTAGCTCTAGAAGAAGTTGAACGCGATCAAAAACATTAGTCGATGTAACATAGCAATCTTATTAGCGTCGTTAATGGGCCAAATGAAAATGTACAGAAATTTCAGACCGACTCATACTCGTCCGCTCGCTTAACCAAAACAAAGAGCTAGTAAGTTTGCCTAGTTGAAGCCCCTGACCGGCACTTCTTCTCCTTGGCGCCAAAATGAGTACCTGCCTAGTATTCGTAGTTCTAGATACAATCTCAGTGATAATCACAATATTCTTCCAAGTTTCTCATGAGGGAAATTATTGTAAGAGACAACTAAGTTCACGATTGTCAAAAATTTCAATCGTATTCATTGCTTATAGTGATTATCTTTGCTTTTTCCTCCCAGGATCTGCCTCACCCGCATCTAAATCTAAGGGTTTTCAGGGTCCGAACCCATTTCTCTTGGCGTGTGTTTTACCGGAACTACCGGACCCCGGGGGACGCGGAAAGCTTGGCGTAATTCAATAAACCCGAAGAACAAAAAAGCGTGGCTCATTTCAGGGGTAGGCGAGTTCCGTGGTAACTCACTCCTCTAGTCACGAATAGGCCTTGACAAGTCCCGCAGCACCGGCCAATTACTGGTTCCGGTGCTGTGGTGCTGCGACCATACCTATTTAGACTAGATAATTACCTATATAGGAAAGTGTTCGGCATGGTAATGCCAAGAACGGGGCCAAATCGGCGTGACTTGTCAAGGCCTAGTCACGAAGCTCTCTACGGAGTAGTCAAGCCACATATTTTTGAACCTTGGCCCTGAGAACGGAGTAGGCTTGGCAGTTCACTATTTTAGCGGCTTGGTATTCATGATAGAACCGAGACCACCGCACGAAGTATACTAGTATGATACTAATTGACTTATGTGGACGAATCATGACAACTAATGCTACCTTCAGGGCACCTTCTGCGGCCTCGTCGACGGAAATTGCACCTCGCCTAGACAACCCACATCGCCGGGACCTGACCGACATGAGAAATGAGCCGTGGAGAATATACTTGACTTACTCGGAGTGCATGAAAACAAACTAGCGTCCTTGGGATGTCTTAGAGGTGTTGTGCAGGGTCGCATTAGCCACCTATGATTAGTGCGAACTAAAGGCTATTCGGTTGTGTTTCTTCGATAAGTTACACATAGAGCCAGGCAATCCCAACGCAGACTTTCCAGTGACCAACGACACAGTTTTCCCCGTGTTGGACAAACTGAAGAGCTGCCGCCGAGATGCTTCGACCACTTGTCGGGGTCTTGTGTCTCTTTTTCTTGTTCGGGTGGCCGCCTGGCATATCAGCTTCTCAGCATGGACATCACACCCACCACCATCTTTACCGACGACATAATGGAACCGAGAGTGCCGAGTCTGACGGCTCTGCCAAACATGTTGTTGAAGAAGCTCTGAAAGCTTTGAGAATTGCCAACAAGCTTCGTGTGGAGAATTCTCAATTCAACAAATGGGAATTCCAAGATAATACTTCCCAGGACAAAGAATTGACCGATGTCCCGCTTTCAGACTACTCAGACTCTACGAAGAATGTATCACTGGCTCAGCTGAATAGACGCTCATCTACCAATGATTCAAGCTCACTGGAGTCGAACCCAAAATACGGCTACACCTTATCACCCGCAATTGTCAAGGCTGCAAAGGAGGTTGCGGAATCTGAGAAGCCAACCCCTTCTGACATTGACTATGCCTCTATTGCATCAAAAATTCGCGCGAAATGGAGTGCAGGCACAAATGACACGAACGCAATGGTCCAGAAGCTATCTCGCTCGAACGGATTGGATCAATACACTTCCTTCGGACAGCCAGACGGTCTTCAAGAACCAACTGAAGAAGGCGTCAGTAAAAGAGACACTTCATCGTATTGGATGGCAAGTGTAGAGAAGAATGGTGCTAGCCCCTATGCAGCATTCGGCTACAAGGTACCATACATTCCATACCTGGAATTGACTTCTCTAACAATACGAACAGATCTGGAGAAATGTGATGGACTATGGAGCTAAAGGTACGTAACATAATCCAGGCCGAAATTTTATTATGGGATAATCGGTTTAACCATTCATTCAGGAGATGGTGTTACTGATGATACTGCTGCCATTAATCGAGCAATCTCTGACGGTAACCGATGCGGTGCCGATTGCAAATCTAGTACCAGATACCCAGCTGTGGTCTGGTTTCCTTCTGGTACTTATCTTGTCAGTAGTCCTGTAATTCAGTATTACAACACACAGTTGTTAGGAGATGTATGTATCCATTCTCTTGACCAGCCTTTGGTAGAGACTAACTTGTCTTCTTTTCTCTAACTTAGCCTACCAATCTCCCTACAATTTTGGCTGCTTCGAGTTTCGTTGGCCTTGGTGTGATTACCTCCGATGTCTATGTTGGTGATTCGGAAGAATGGTACTAGTTTTGTCACTCTGCATTTGCATGAGTATGCATAATGGGTGCTGATTTGCTAATATTTGTACAGGTATCTCAACACTAATAACTTCTTACGAAGTATCAGGAATTTCAAAATGGATATCACGCGCACTGACCAATCAGCGTACATCTGCGCCATTCACTGGCAAGTCGCACAGGGTACCTCTCTTGAGAACATTGAATTCTATATGCTGCAAAATGTCGAAGGAAATACCCAACAGGTATGAACAGAGAATCTACTTCTTGAATTCTTCGTTGGCTGACTTTGATACTAGGGTGTTTACATGGAGAATGGCAGTGGTGGGTTTCTAGCTGACCTTACATTCGTTGGAGGTAACTTTGGGTATGTAGAGCACTTGAATGATCTACCACCACTATTTTATTTATCACAAAGCTGACTATATTTTTAGCGCATATTTTGGTAATCAGCAATTCACCACAAGTCATTTAGTGTTTGTGAATTGCAAGACGGCTCTCCAAATTCACTGGGATTGGGCTTGGACAATGCAAGATGTGGTCATCGAGTCCTGTGGAACCGGAATACTTTTGACTGGAGGTGTAAGCTCTCTCTCTCCTCCCTAAGGCACATTACACTCTATCACATCCTATCTCGTACACTAGATATACTCGAACCATAAGCTAACGAAATTTCACCAGGCGGGCGGAGCTGCAAGCACCGGACAGTCTCTCGGTTCATTCATTCTCGTGGACGCTATCATAGCCAACACACCAACGGGCATTGTCACCTCTTTATTGGCCGAGAATTCAACATCTCTTCTTTTGCAAAACGTCGGATTTTTTAATGTGCAAAATTCTGTCACTGATAGTGTCTTGTCAAAGGTTCTCCTCGCGGGTGGCAATGAAGTTCCAGTTGACAACTGGGGCTTTGGCCGAGTTACCAACGCAAATGGGGAAAGTTCTTTCATCAATGGAGCCAACATCTCCCCCATGAATCGTACTGATTCTCTTCTATCAACTGAGCTGGCATATGTCAAGCCCAACTTTTATACTCGTCGTCGTCCCAAATACATCAATATCGGACAGAGTCAAATTATCAACCTCAAGACCGCCGGTGCTAAAGGCGACGGTATGACTGATGACACCACAGCTTTAAACAGTATTTTCGCTGCAGCTGCAAATATGTCATCTATTGTTTACGTTCCATATGGTGTCTATATTGTTACTAATACCGTCAAAATCCCTGTTGGGTCTCGAATCATCGGACAGGCTTGGCCACAGATTATGGGGAAGGGCAAGAATTTCCAAGATCAGTTACATGCCCGACCGGTCGTTCAGGTCGGTGAGGTAGATGAGTCGGGAGTAGTTGAGATTCAGGACATGATGTTTACTGTGTCGGGAGCTACCGCAGGTGCCATCTTGGTTCAATGGAACGTTCATGAGATTACACGCGGCTCAGCTGGTCTTTGGGGTATGAAAAAATCCAGGGATACAAATTTTTTCCAACTGGAGTGCTGACAATATTTACTTAGATTCCCATTTCAGGGTTGGTGGAGCTGTAGGTTCAGAGCTACAGGGTGACAAATGTCCGAAGGGCGGCGGTATCAACACCGACTGTATTGGTGCATCTGCCCTCCTTCATGTCACTTCTAAAGCCTCCGCTTATATCGAGAATTCCTGGGCTTGGGTTGCCGATCACGACTTGGATGCTGCGGATGAGGCTCAGATTGACATCTTCTCTGGTCGCGGCATTCTTATTGAAAGTCAAGGTCCCACCTGGCTTTATGGGACTGCTTCTGAACACAACGTTCTATACCAATACCAGTTTTCTAATTCCAAAAATGTGATTGCTGGTATGATTCAAACCGAGTCACCATATTTTCAGTCCCATCCTGGAGCGCCATCGCCCATTGTGACTGGTGGATTTCCAAATGATCCTCACTTTGACAACTGCACAATCTCTTCACCAGCTACGTGTGCGGTCTCGTGGGCCGTCCGAATCGTGGACTCCTCCAGTGTCTATATACTTGGCGCAGGTTTGTATAGCTGGTTCTCTAAATACTCACAGGACTGTCTTGCTACTGAGAGCTGTCAAGATCGAGCCTTTGAGATCGAAGAAAGCCAAGATCTCTGGATCTATAACTTGGTTACCAAGGCTATTGTCGAAATGATCAGTCCTGTAAACGAGAAGCCCACTCTCGCCAATGATAACAAAAATGGGTTTATGTCGTCGATTCTTGCTTGGCTGAAAGGATCGACTGACACAACTGGGCAGCGGGTTTTCGAAGGTTTCACTATCTATGACAGTAATATGCTGCCTTCAACCTTTTCGGATGCCTGTATCACTGCTCTCACCGCTACTATCAAGTGTGATCTCCAGGTATTCCAATTTGGAGAGCCTCAATACCATGGCACATTGGGTAACGATACTTTGACCGACTTGGTTTGTGATCAAAGTTGCGGCGATTCACTAGCGAGATGGTTTACCAACGCGGAGGCAAATTGTAATGGTGCCGTGCTTCTTGACCACCCAGCCACAATTCTGGGTGGAAACATGTGGGAGGGATGGAATGAGACTTGTTACAAGGATCCGACGACAGGCAAATACTGCAATGGTAAGATTGACGTTCTTGGGTTCATTGTTGGGTGCCGCTAACCTCTTGAAAGATATTATAAGCCAGTTCACGCGTGTTGCAAGCGTGGACCTCATGCCCAAGGATGAGATGTGCTCCTATTGCTACAAAACTAAGCTTCAAATGATGCAATCAAGCCCCTATTCCTATTACAACCAGCGATACAAGTACAATCTTGAAACTGTTATAAAGAATTGTGGTGTCACTTCCAACACTACAATTCCTGATGATCTTTCTGTCACTCAACCGGAAGACAAACCGTTTTGCCCAGATGACAGCTCATATACTACCAAGGATGGCGATACTTGCACATCTATTGCCCTGGACTACTCTGTTGCGTCCGCAGCATTGTACATGGGTAATCAGGATCAGATACGCGATTGCAATCAGGTCGTTGTTGGGCAAGAATTGTGTCTGCCCCTATCATGCGATCACACATATGTCCTCAAATCGAACGACACATGTCGTAGTATTGAAGAGGCCAACGCAGAAATAATGTTCGACAATAGCACGAAGCGAATCATTTCTCTTCGCCAAGTCAATCCCTGGATTGATACATACTGTTCCAATCTTCAAAGTACTTCTTGGGCCTATGGAAAAGTCTTGTGTCTAACCCCTCAGTCGGGGCTTTTCAACGCGACAGATCCAGTGTCTACGTCCTACAATCCTTGGGGTACGGAAAGTTCTGGCTATGGCTCATGGGTGGTTCTCCCTCCAGATAATGCCACTGTTGCAGCCGGAACCACCAAGCATTGTGGGAAATGGCATACAGCCACTACTGGGGATTCTTGTACACAGATTTGTGTCCAAGACAGGATCACAAGCAATTTGTTCTTGCAGGTTAATCCTTCCCTGCAGTCTGCAAACTGTACGGGTCTTCTCATCCCAGGAAATGCGTACTGCACTGGTCCTATGCGCGGTTGGAATTATACTGTGGCAACCTAATCGTGGAAAGAGGCTACCTAGACTCATGGGCGCAGGCGTATACTAGGTTTCTCGCTGCTCTGTGTGTATTCCAGGGTTTGCTATTGGCACAGACATGAATAGACACCTGTGTAGCAACTCAATAACAAAAAGTACCATATGTTCTCCCTAAATACAAGATTCACGCTTCTCATACGCATTTCACGTGTACATATTCAGTCACAGGTTGTTTTGCTTCTTGCCAGGGTACCAAAACTTGAAGTATTCCCGCTTTTCTATACGCGTATCAACCTCAATACCTATTACAGCACTTCGATAAAACGGCAATGGACGGGGCCTGCCATTAGCCAATCTCCGTGCTGCTAATTAAGGGCAGGGCCAAGGCCAGGGCATGGCATGTATGGTATGGTATTCAGTACTGTATGCAATCTATCTACTGACCCTCAACCACTTCCCAACCTCATCCCACCATCATACTCGACAACACCGCACCATCTCTCGAGCCATCTCCATCGGATTCCAGACCGACTTCTCCTCCCTCTCCGTTTCCCTCACCACCATCCCCTCTTTACACATCCCTTGCGCCTCCCCGCACCCGCGACTCTGCCGCACCTTCCACCCCCGCACCACCCACAGACACAATCCCCCAGCAACAAACACCATCCCCGAGAAGATCTGCACCTGCTGATAGGCCTCCGCCCCCAGGGCCGGCCGTCGCAGTGCCTGTGCAACCGCCTCGCCGGCTGCTCCCGGCCCCACCAGCACCAGCCAAAGGATGCTCAGCGCCCCTGGGAGATCATGCAGCCCGATGATTTCCACGAACACAGGGGCTACCGTCGCAAAGAACGTCCCCGACACCATGCCCCCCAACACCGCGAACACGCTCACCACCGCCATGCTGCGCGCGGGGATCCAAAGCGCGAAGCAGAACACCGCACACACAAACGACAACACCGTTGCGACATTCAACCGGCCTAGGCGGTCGCTGAAGAGCCCGATCAATGGTCGTCCCATTCCCTGGCCTAGGTTGTGCAGCGCACCGACTACACTGCTTTGATGGGCGGTTAGTCCGATCGAAATGGCAAAGTTGGGCAGACTGAAGTTGATCGTGACGAAGCCGAACGTGCCGAAAATGGCCCACCCAAGCAGGAGCAAGAACTCAACTTTGCGCAGCAGGGGAAAGTTGAAGGACATGTGGCGGCTGGCGGTGGCTTTGTTGCGGTCCCGGAGAAAGGCAGCGCTGACCAGGTTGGCCACGAGCGAGACAAATGCCAGGGTCCGGAAGGTCCAGGGTAGTCCGAGGTTCTCGATCATCGCTTCAATGGCGAGGGAATAGATCACACCGCCAATGCCTGCACCGGCGGCGGGGATGGCGTTGGCAATGCTGCGTTTCTTGTCGAACCATTGGGCGGGAATGCCGAGATACGTCATGTAGATGATCCCCATGCCGACACCGAAGCAGACACCCTCGGTGAGGAACAGTTGGTACACGTGAGTCGTGAAGGAGGCCAGGATCAGGCCGGCTGTCTGGATGAGAATCCCTCCGATCAGGGTGACGTGCGTGCCGTATGTTCGGATCAGATACACGGTAACCGGGGCCATGAGGTAAGCGCAGCCGATGGCTATCCCGCCGATGAAGGCGTATGCCAGCGAGCTAGTCCCGGGGTATACATTGTTGTCCATATAGTAGGACAGGAACACGCCATAACTCTGCTTTGGTTAGAAAAGGACTTGCGAGAGCGAGTCGACTTACCCCGTTGATTCCCCAGGTGTGAACTTGCAACCAGAACACACACGCAACAATCACCCATCCATAACCACCATCCGGAGCGACGTCGGTCTCGATGCTGAGCTTCTGATTGGCGGTCGAATCGTGGCTCTCGCGGTCGCCATTGTCGGCGGATATACAGTCTTCGGACGACTTGGTGGTCTCTTGCTGAATCGAATCCATCGAGCTGGAATAGGGTAATATTCGTCACCCATCCTGGACACACCGAGACCACGCGGAGAATATATAGCACGTTCAAAGCAATCGGGGAGCAGCTGCACGCAGGACATTCTGGCTATCCAATTCTCCGAAGAAAATAGAAACCCTACCAGCGGGGCTGGAATGCTGCGATCCCCAACTGGGAAGAGCGCCACGCTGGGAAAAAGCTTCCCCCAACTCCGCTCCAACCTTGAGCCAGTGAATCCCTGATTTTCTTCTCCAATGGCAAGGGAGAACGCGGTGCTTGCGCAATGACCCGGAGGCCGGATTTTTAGCGGTCTATCTTGCCCCTGTTGGTTGTGCGGTATGGGAAGCGAAGAATGCAGCTACCTGAGGCGTGCACATCCTCTATCTGGAGTAGCGGTATCCCTTGCGTGCTTCTGTCCTGATCGTCTGTGGAACGACCATGGTTGAGTTTGAAACGGGGATCGACTGGACCTTGCTGAGAGGTACGTATTGTTGTGGGTGATCGTTCCTAGGCCGGGGACCTGCCTCTCAGAGCCCGACGGGTTTCCGACCATCAAGTTCTGTCCATGTTTGGGTGCTTATCCTGCAGCCCCGTTGATCCATGAAGTCATCTTGCTGCTTGGGCTGGGGTGAAAAATGCGGCGATCTCAGTTGCTCACCCGCGACAGAGAGGCGACCTCATGGCTGCTATAAGTCCCTGTATCGCAGGAATGAAGCCGTGATGTCGGTGGCGGTGGACAAGCTATAGATAGCCCATGTGGTCCTGACGCTCTGGATTAGAAACAAGTATGACCGGGCCTCCTCGGCCAAGTCGCATGACAAATATCCGGCTAGGGATTGCCCCAAGATGCAGAAGCTTCGTCAAGGGTAGATCAGCCGGTGCTTGAATCCTTGGGTGCGACGCCGAGGAGCTGTCGATCTGGTGCGGCGATCGGACTTTGGTCATGTGTCTTAGATTGGATGGGTACATTTTTCCGGACATTCTAGGCGACGCCTTTACCCCGATGGCTGCGAAGTTGCTTCATCTCTGCACAGCCCTTGTGCTGGACTCGGCACTATTACATGGGTATTACATAGGGCTTGCGCGTCACCTATGGGGTAGACAGATGCTACATGCCCGTTAACCCTATGAGCTCTAGTGCGCATCAATCAGAATAGGAGTGTCTAACCATTTTCAGATAGTGTTGGACCTCGGCACATCAAGGCCCAATTCAGAGCCATGATGATCACGGACAGGTGCACCTGTATGGCGGTGAGGATAGCCGATGGCTATGAGAGTAACTTCACATATATTGCTACCTGATGTCTAACAGATATGATAGAATTCTATGCCCTGTTGCAGAGTACGGTGTATTGATACAACTTTGCATGGCCTCTCCTGGACTATGTGGAAAATTCGCAGCGCAAGACTTCGCGTATTCACCACATAGGATCAAATATCTCCACTCGTCAAATCAGCTACTCGTTATACTTTTATAGTGGAACCAGTCCAGCGCCGCTGTCTGTATTTCTCGCTTTCAGTGAATAGTCGTGGCAGGCTATAATTGTTCTCATGTCAGTCACGGAATAGCAGTGAGCCGCTCCAGATCGAACTCCAGCGAAATCAAGGCCGAAGGCTCTCGCGGGATGATGCGTTCGATAAAAACTATCAACATAGAATACCAAGGGATGAGAGTATGTAGCCCGATTTTTCTCGATATAAGACCCCAATTACATTTCTATATTCTATCCGTTCATCTCACGAGCTTGAAGGACATTACTTATATCCACAAGAACTATCACGGTAGGTTATACAGTCCAACAGAAATAGCAAGATACCTGCTCCAGTCTATCCTGTGCAGATGTTGTGTTTACCATGAATAGAAGGAACGGATGTAGGTTTGTCAATCAGCAAATACCCCATATGGTCCCCTTAGAAATATTAGGGGTTACAAATGGCAGAAGAAGAGCATCCATGCTTATATCGTGACTGCATATGAATGCACACAGACATCAGCTACACTTACACGGCAGTTGAACTAGGTCCATTCTGATTGAATGCAGTCACACGCTTCTCTATACCTATGCTAGCATCCAAAAATCGGCGAGACATGTGGCTTAAAGGGCATCACGCTGGGATCAAACCCACCGTTAGCCGCTCTACTGTCATGATGACCCTACTACTTAGGGAAACAACACACATCGTGGCTTTCATACACAATGTCGCTGACAAAAGAGCATGTGTATCCTCAATCCTCAAACGCCAGTTTAATTCTTGATTGCCTCAGGCCCTAGAAGATGGTAGGACTAGATGTAGACTCGATCAAGCCATTTCCAACGCTACGGCTGCACCTAACCAGCCGAAGCACGCAAATCACCGCATCAGCTTGGGAGTTTCAGGCCCAGAACCTCCAGCTATGGCCTGAGACGGGTAATGTCTCTAGGAGCCATCCGGATTTCTGGCCGATAAGCGCGACACTTATCAGTAGCCGATGGTAAGGCACAGGGAAAAGCATCTAAGACGCAGTGAATCCCCAGTCACACGGCCCAGTTACATTAGGCAAATTCTCCCGTGAGAAGGCGGTGGATTGCTGCATGTGATGTGAGATGCAGAGCAATCCCTGTTACTAAATAATCCGCTGTCTCTGTGCTATTGCCTTGACATCTGATCCTCGTCATCCGCCAATTATGTCTCCCCGTAAAGAGAAGACCGATCCCGAGCCCGTCCGCATCAGCCAAGTCTTGCATGATAGATACGAAATCATCAAGAAGTTGGGATCTGGGCGTTACTCGACTGTCTGGCTAGTGAGAGACCAAGAGTACGTTATGATAGGGGAACAGGGAATATATGCTTACTCGTGCTCATAGAGAAGTATCCTATAAGGCAGTGAAAATACTAACCCCAGACTGCTACGATGGCAACCATGACCTGTTCGAGTTGGAGATTTTGAAGCACCTCCGTACAGCAGACCCACACCATCTGGGCTATCAGCATATTCCGATTCTGCTGGATGATTTTGTTAATGAGGGGCAACAGGGACGTCATGTATGTCTTGTGATGGAATTGATGGCGGTTGATATGAATGGGTTTGCTCTTTTCTTTGATGATATCAAGAATCCTAATCACATTATGAAGATTATTACGAAGCAGCTGCTGTTGGCTTTGGAATATGCACATCGCTCGGGGGTGATTTATGCGGGCACGTGAACCTGTGCGATTCGTGATCACGATAACCATGCTAATTTCTCCCCCCTAGACATCAAACAAGATATCATCATGATAAAAGTCCGAGATCCCACAATCGTCAACCAATACCTAAAAGGTATTCAATCCAAGACAAACCCATCCCTAGGCGTGCACAACTTCGACACCCGCTCCGAGCTATCCGACATCACCATCGTGCTTTGCGACTGGGGATCTGCCAGCTGGGAAGACAAGCATCTCACCCCCCTAATACAACCTCTACTTGCTCCGTGCCCCGGAAGTGATCCTCCAGGCGCCATGGGGCAAAGAAGTCGACATCTGGAATCCGAGTGCCCTTCTTCCGGAGCTGTTAGATGCGGTTCGCATGTTTGATGGTAGGGCTGATGTGACCGGGGGAAAGTATTACACGAAGCATCATCTTGAAGAGATTGATGCTTTGTTTGGGCCCTTTCCCTCTGGGATGTTGGAAGATGGTGACCAGGTTGTTGTGCAGCAGTTTTCTGATGGGAAGTGTCAGAAACCATCTTAGTACATTGGTATATTCCCATCTCTTTCATAATTAGCTTAACGCCTGAAAAACCGTATACTCACAGCCGTGAAACCCACTTGACACAAGGCCGAGATATGCGCTATCAACATGTCACTGATGGGTAACTCCGGAACATTGCTCCGACTGTAGAGCTTAGATCAGCATAACCATAGTAATCGGAAAAGCAAAGTCTGCAACTAGTTGCAAGTTGGAGAAGAGGTGCATCAGGCATTGGATGCCGTGGAAGTGAGTATGAAGCGCAGCTGTCATGTGCCTTTCACTGTGGCGTGTAGTAAACAGCGCAAAGGTATACCCGTGAGTAATTCTTTTGTTCGACTCACTCACATGGCCAGGTTGTTACGGATCATGATGACAGCTCTTGCGTGGTGGCTGGGCTAAGGGCTTATAGGAGCAAATAATGTGTTGGCCGGACGGGTCTAGGAAGTTGATGTTCCTTTGGCGACATTGATGCAGGGTTACCGCTGCTTTTCTGCAGTATGATGCGCAGGCTACGACTATCCAGGGGAGTCCGCGGTAGGCTGCTTCCAGATAAAACTATACTTCGAATTTAGCATAGTTATGGACATGGTCTTCAGAAGGTGGAATCTCCAGCACTACAACTCATCTTCCACTGGAAGTGCCCCCCCAGCCTGTAACTGGCGCGCAACCTGGTCGACTTCCTTCCACACCCGCAGTAAGTTACCTCCGGCGACTTTGCTCGCATCCTCGTCACTGACTCCTCGTCTCAACAGCTCGGCAATCAAGTCAGGATATTTAGACACATCGTCGAGCCCGCGCGGAACAGTGGGAATGCCGTCGAAATCACTCCCCAGCCCGACATAATCGAATCCGATCAGGTTGCCGATATGAATAATGTGGTCTACCACATGCTCGAGAGTTGCGTGCTCCGGATCAAACTCCGGCAGGCTGTTCGGATTGTCTGAAGCAGTACACGAGACGAAGTCGGGAGAAAAGTTGATCATCACAATGGAGTTCCGTTCTTTGACCAGTTGCAAGACATCGTCTGGGACATTGCGGGGATGGGGACAAACTGCGTACGCGGAGCTGTGACTGAACATCACCGGCGCGCGACTGCCGGCCCAGTCATCTTTGCCAGCTCCCAGGACGTCCCGCATCGTATCGACACTGACGTGGGACAAGTCGACAATCATACCAAGTCGGTTCATCTCGAAGACAAGATCCTTACCCGCCTTGCTCACACCGTGCCAAAGAGGGTCTGCTTTCTTAATACCCCCGGGAATCTCGACGAGCGCCGCATCCGCATAGCGATTGTGACAATTATGGGTGAGAGTGGCATATGCTACGCCGCGATCATAAAAGGCCCGCAACTGGGCCAAAGAGTTTCCGATGGAATGAAGACCTTCCATGCCCAGTGGGGAGATGATCTTTCCCTCTTTAAAGGCCCGAAGGGCTGTAGTGCCATTGGGGGGCGCAGAAAAGACATCAGGATAGGCCTGCTGCAGGCGCAACATAACATCTACCTGTTCGGTCGTTTGACGGACACCTAGCAAAGGGTGAGTGAGGAATAACAACAGACATTGCACCTTACTTGTGGCATAGGTTGCGTCGGACAAGTCGCTCCAGTTTTTGGGACACTCCACATAGACGCTCCAGAAGGTGCCGCCCACTTTGCCCTCGGCGAGTCGGGGCAGATCGACATGGCCTATCAGACCCCCCTCCGTGAAGGGGATCTTGAACTCGTCGCTGTAAATATGATTGTGGAAAGCCTCGCGGATAAGAATAGGCAGATCATCATGGCCGTCTGTGATCGGTTAGTCCTGACTAGGTACGTCTTGAGCCACTATACCTATCAATGGCGTCTCTGACAAGATTTTGTCTACTCTTTCTTCCAGGGAGAGTGGGCCGCGGCATCGGCGAAAAGTCGTCATACCGACCAACATACACGCAAGAAGAAGACTCAGAAGCACACGTCCCATGTTGCGTGCCAAAGACCGCGGCTTCTGGTCTGCTCCCGACGTGTTTGTCAGGTATACGCGCGATGACTCTAAATCAAGCTTGGAACCCATTGTGAGAGAGGGGGTGGTGTAACCCACACTTTCCAACTTTCGTGGAGACAGACGGACGGAGTGGACGAGCTGCCGTCCGGGGAGTCCCTGGTTTATCAAGGATGTCCGTCGGCGATAGTAGGATTACCGAGCAGCGGCAGGATCACGATTGGACCCGGCTTGATAAGCGGTCGGACTAATAACTAGTTATTGAACAAAAGTCACACAACTGGTCCGGAAGAGCGGTATGGCTCGACGATGGTGGGACAAGCCGATGGTCTTCCAGCACACAACTATCAACTATCTACAGCTGAGTATGGTGATCCCAAAGCTTCAAGGCCAGGACGCCCGTTGAGAGCCATTACAAATGCGGCCCTTCGATAGGCCCCGTCTTGCCTTCCCGATATGGCAACACAGTGCGGGAGCCAATCACAGCCCTCGCCGCAGGGCCAGAAAAATTCTCGGAAATCCCCAAGGCTGGGTCCCTCCGCATTCACCACCGATGCCTCCTTGTCCTCTTGCAAGAGACGGATCTGGCCTCTTTGATCAGATCCTGTTCGATACTAGACTGCTCTTGTCGAGTGCCGCTTAGTCGGTTCCTGCGATGCGTCCTCAGGGCTCCATCACCCCCTCTTAATAACAAGTGACCCCGCCCACTTGATCGACCCACGAGGGTCCGATTCACGGTGATTCAGAAATAGTATTTCTCGATCATCATCACGATGGCTGAGAGCTCTGCCACCGAAGGTAGACTTAGGATTTTCCTCTGCAGCCCATCGATTTGCTAATCGCCCGTATTGCTAGGTCTGTTGGCCTTTTGGCACTCATACCGCCTGCCTATCCTCCTCGCCCTTGCTACCGTTGTCGTCCTTCTGAGAGCTTATGGAAAGGCTCAGCCCAAGTCGAAAACCGCCACTGCATCCTCGATCCCGTCATCGCCTCGCAGCCATTCCCCGGAAAAAAGCGAAAAGATCGCTAGCAACCATGACGAGGAGCCGATTGTGAAGGAATCCAACACCCAGGTCGTGGAGAAGGAGTCAGCGAAGCCTGGTCCAAAGCGCGTCACCGGAAAGAAACCTGCCAAGGTCGCCGGCCGACGCAGAGGATCTGACCAAGAACCTGCCGTCTCGTTTATTCAGCCCATCATCTTCTTCGCTTCGTTGACTGGAAACACCGAGAGATATGCGCAGGCCTTGCTGGAGGATTTGCGTGCTGCTGCGCGCGATCGCGCCGATCCTGAGAACCGCGATCGCGCCCTTCTTCCCCCTCAGATTCATGATTTGTCGTACATCGACTTTGATGACTTTTTCATCACCGCACCGAAGCCCCCGTCGACCTCGCCAGGAACGCGTTACGTTTATTGCATGCTGGTCCCGACCTACAACATTGACACCGTCCTGAACACCTTCCTTGGCCACCTCGATGAAACCCACAATGACTTCCGCATTGACACCGCACCTCTCGCTGGTCTGGCGGGTTACTCCGTCTTTGGATTTGGAGATAAGGAAGGGTGGCCCACCGAAGAGGAAGGTTTCTGCTCGCAAGCTAAAGAACTGGACCGCTGGATGGCCAAGCTTACCGGCAAGAAGAGAGCCTACCCGCTAGGGTTCGCTGATGTCAAGAGTGATCCGGAATCGGCCTTGAAGGAATGGTCTCATGGTCTGCAGGACATTCTCGGTGAAATTGTCGACAATGGCGGCTTGGGTGAAGGTGTTCCTGGGAGCGGTGACGCGCTCGAGAGTGACGAGGAGGACCTGGATGATGATGAATCGGACTCCAAGGCAAACGGCCGGAAAAAGAACAAGGCTCAATTGGTCGTCGACTTGGAGGATATCAAGTTCAGCTCCGAGACTGGATCCAGCGCCCCTATCCCCGTGGACTTCACCACGGGAGGAAAGCCGGCTGCGCCCGCAACTGAAAAGGAAATGGTTCCGAAGACCTCGCCTACTTATGCCGCACTCACGAAGCAAGGATACACGATTGTTGGTTCGCATTCCGGTGTCAAGATCTGTCGCTGGACTAAGTCTGCCCTGCGTGGTCGCGGCTCATGCTACAAGTACTCTTTCTATGGTATTCGCTCTCACCTTTGCATGGAGGCCACTCCTTCCCTTTCCTGCAGCAACAAATGTATCTTCTGCTGGCGACACGGCACCAACCCTGTCGGTACCACCTGGCGCTGGAAGGTTGATGACCCGGAACTCATCTTCAATGGAGTCAAGGAGGGCCATTACAAGAAGATTAAGATGATGCGGGGTGTTCCTGGTGTGCGTGCGGAGCGGTTTGCGGAAGCCATGCGTATCCGTCACTGCGCCCTCAGCTTGGTCGGCGAGCCCATCTTCTATCCCCATATCAACCGGTTCCTGGACATGCTGCACAGCGAGCATATCTCCAGTTTCCTTGTCTGTAACGCCCAACACCCTGACCAACTCGAAACCCTGCATCGTGTGACCCAACTGTATGTCTCCATCGACGCGAGTAACCGCGAGAGTCTGCGGAAGATCGATCGGCCCCTCCACCGCGACTTCTGGGAGCGCTTCCAGCGCTGTCTCGATATTCTGCGGGAGAAGCGCCACGTCCAGCGGACGGTTTTCCGTCTTACGCTCGTCAAGGGATTCAACGTCGATGACGAGGTGATTGGATATGCAAACCTGGTTGAAAAGGCTTTGCCGTGCTTTGTCGAGATCAAGGGCGTGACCTACTGTGGTACGAGCACCAGTGCAGGAGCTGGACTGACCATGCAGAACGTTCCTTTCTATGAGGAAGTTCAGCAGTTTGTTACGTCCCTTAACAAAGAATTGGAGCGCCGTGGACTGAAGTATGGCATTGCGGCCGAACACGCCCACAGTTGCTGTGCACTCATCGCATCAGAGCGTTTCCACGTCAATGGAAAATGGCACTCTCGGATTGATTACGATCGTTTCTTCCAGCTTCTGGAGAAGGAGAAGGCCGATGGCACCTCGTTCACCCCCGAGGATTACATGAAGGAAACCGAGGAATGGGCCATGTGGGGCAACGGAGGCTTCGACCCGAACGACGAGCGTGTCTACAAGAAAGGCAAGAAGAAGGCCATCCAGGCTGCAGCAGAAGCTCAGGGATGATAGCTCCACGGGTCTATGCCTATGACGGGGCTCCAACAAGCCGATTGAAGGACCTGATCCCTGTACTCGGCTCAAAGCTACAGCTTGCTCAACGCCGTTCAGCGAGCCTATCAGGTCTGCAGTCTACTGGATAGGATTGCGTTAGACGATATGATTATCGCTCCGATGTTGGACTGGCATCGCCGTGGGAAATTGACAGTGCGTCAGGCTTTCTAGCAACAGCATCGTTCCAAGCAATTTAGTTCACTGGCAGAACGTTCGGATTGCCATGGCCTACGTGCCTGCATGATATTCGACAGGCCGGTAGATTTCACCTCATGACTTCTTGTATCTAGTTCAGATTACGAAATGACATATACTATGATATCTAATGTTGCTCGTGGACCATGTGGTTCGTTTAACCGACATCAACCCAGCGGTGATTGACTAATTATGTTTGTCATTGATATGGTTGACTTTCTCTCATAATGTTCATGACTTTCATATTGTTTCACATATTGTCAGGCCACTGTGATAACTAACACTCAAGTTGCTCATTCAACATGACCTGGCCTGCTTCGTCATTAATTCGGGTCTTAAGAGAAGTCTTTGTTTTCTTGTTGCTTTTCGCAATTGCTGCCGGCTTTTCTCATGCTCACCCATCCTGGATTAACTAGACAAATCTTCCACACCAGGACGCTGTGAAGGCTCGCAGCACACGTGTCATTGATGTGGAGACTGCTCTGAAAACAGCTGATCGTCTCGAATCCACTTTTTGAACTGCCGCGCAGGCAAAGCCGCTTCAAACATGTCATCGATTTCGCTGGGCGTCCGATCTTTCATCTCCGGCACGAAGAACCATGTCCCTGCTAGTGCGATGATACAAAGTGCTGCGAACATAAATCCTGTCTTCCCGCGCAATGCCCCCTCATCCGGATTGAAGATATACGGCAAGGTGAGGTTGAATACGGCGCTGGATAGTCCGATGACGAACCAGCCCAATCCTTGTGTCTTGGCACGCAGTCGCAAAGATGATGTTTCTCCCCCAACAGCGTAGGATGCGGGCCACGCGCCAATACCGCAGACTGCAATTATCACGACTAGTGTGACGCCGATATACCTTCAGAAAGATTGGCGTTAGTCGGTCCATAGATCATTTAGGGAGACCTACCATGCGCTAACCGTACCCGGGAAGCAGCCAGCAATTCCCATCCCCGTCCACGCGAGAGCTGAAGCCCCCAGGCTGCCAATGATGAGAGGCACGCGGCCAAATTTTGTCAGTGTCTGCATACTGATGATGTTAGCCACCAGCCCCATCCCAAGGCCAACCTGCAGAAACACAAAACTTCGACGGTGCTCCATGCCGACAATCTGCAGGAAGTAGCTGCTCTTCGATAGGAGCGGCAGACCGAAGAACGACGAGATGAGATTTGCAAACATGACGATCATGGTCCGACGACGGTCGACGCCTCGGAAGCAGTCACGGTACCCCGTCGCGTTGCTAGCAGCGTCTTGGTCTTCCTTTTCAATAAACAAGCAGAGTTGCTCCAGATTCTTTTCCGATTCAACGTCGTTAGAATCCAGCCGTCGTTGTGATTTTCGAGCAGCGGTGATCTGGTTCTTCCGAATGAGGTACGTCGGGCTCTCAGGAAGGATCACTGCAACGAGCAGCGGCAATGCCGAGAACGGCCACTGTGAGATGAAGCAGTTTCGATATCCTCTACTCCCAATAATATCCAAAGACTTATAGACCACTATACTTCCCACCAGCTGCCCCAGAAGGATGAATATTGGGAAAAAGGCAAGAATCGGGCCTCGCAGCACGGCAGGCAAAACCTCTGACATGTATGTTTGCGTCGTGCACGAGATTATATGGATGGCAAGGCCTTGCACAAGCTTCGCCGTGAAGAAGACTGCCCTGCGGGCGTCTATATCATCTGGGAGGTTCGAAACGTATGCGACCGCGACTGCAGCTGCTGATAAGATACCCGCAAAGGCTAAGCAGAAGCGACGTCCGACACGGTCCTGCATGAAGCCCGCAGTTAAAGCCCCAAACAGACCTCCAAGAGGACTTGCTACATCCCATAGACCTAACCATAGGGACGGAATGATCAACTTCCCGTCTAGTCGACGGCCGAAATCGCGTCTCTCCAGGTCAGATAAGGCCGCAGAAAGGCGTCGAGACAATGCTTACTGGAACTCCGGCATGGCGGAAACATTTCCCACAATGACCAGGTCATATCCGAAAAGTAGGATACCAGAAGCCAGAGCTAGGCAATATCCCAGGATCTTCGGAGATTGTCTGATAGCTGCCAACGGCGACGGGGGAGCCGTTTCCTGCGGCGGCGAAGACACATGTTGCCTGAGCGAGACTTTACTCTCTCCTGAGAGGGGCATCCTGACTGTGTATAGCGGTGCCGCCATCATACGGTGCTTGCGTGACCTCTCGAATAAGTATCAGAGCCGCGGTATGGATTTACTCCGAACTGGACGGCTGACCGAGGAAACATGGCCGTGCTCATGTGCAGTTTACACAAGGTTGTACAATGAAGCTGGGAAGCTGGCATGTTGCGATCCTGTCGCGCTTGTTGGCTGCGTTATCAACGATTGCAAGCTGCGTAACAGGAGCCCGGATCTCATTGGTATATAAGAGCATGTAGCACTACGGTGTCAGTTAGAGATCCGAGTCTGATGATCTGGACTCGGCTGGTTGCCATTCGGACTGCCACCGCTGGGACACAATTTGGTTGTCAGCACCGAGTCATGAGTAGTGATACCCAAGGATCAGATACGAGGTGTGGTCATAAATTCGGACTACCCGACTGTTTCCCAACGCGGGTTCAGCTCAAGCAACAAGGTGATGCTGTCCGGGTTGGATGATACATCCCACGGATCTCGTCGAACGCGACACTTGTTCAGAGTGCGCTCATGGGCATGATGCGCCCATCGATTTCAAGCCGAGTTGCAGATGATTGTCGTATACGAAGCTGCCACAATATGGCATTTTCCGAGGGTGCATGAAGCCGTGCCTATTTTCTGGCCTTACATGGGCAGAGGAAACTCCTCAATCCTCTTCAGCACAATGGCAATGCTGCAGGTTCTCCTGAGAGATGACAGAACATAGTCTAGACTAACGAGGACCTACCCCTAGCAGGATGCTGACAGGGATGCGATGTTGGGGGTTGGATGATACCCAGTCGCATGGACAACACCACCACCAAGCTAGTCTCCAAAGCAGAAAAAGCAACCCGCACGCTAGCCGATCAGGAATCTTCTAGGCGCCATTCGTCCAGCCAGTCCCTGTCTCTCTGCACAGGCCGAGATGAGACGGGCAGCTTGTGACGAAGATCAAAAAAGCAAATTTCGCAGGCCATTTCAGGGGGTCTGCCAGCCGCCAGCTTGCTCTGGTACTGGGCTGGTGGCTGGTCTACTTTTGTTCCTGGAAACGATTTCCGATCGACACAGTGTGGGACCGGTCAGGGCAACCGACACTCGGCAACCGACTTTGGCCTCGCCAAGGTGAAATGGAAGGAATCGCGAATTGGCGACAGAACCCGAACGCAATTTGATCAGTCTGATTGCTGGTGATGGGGAGTGTTTGATTTCGCCACGTGCTGCGGATGCGCTCGGACTATTTGCGCCCATGTGGCAAGATGGCCGTGAGGCCGAGGTTTACGTTTGTCACCGACGGAGTCATGGCCTGTCGATGGTGAAACGGCGACAGCCTTGAGCCTTCCATGGATGTGACGGGCTTTGCTTTGTCGGAGAGGCGTCAGCCGTGGTCCCATTCTGATAAGACCCGTTATTATTACAGTGATTACGATTAACTTGGGTTATCAGCCATGGTCGGACTGACGGATTCACATGCCATGGTGTAATGCTAGCAGGGACCGATCTGCTGTGGCAGTTCTATAATTAACCGATGCAAATTAAACGTCGGGACGCGGGCCTCTCCCAGCACGGCAGCAGCACGACGAGTTGTCGGAGCCTGGCACTGGCCGCGACTAGCGCCTTCAAGTTAACCTGCAAACGGGAAAAGAAACTCTGGCGCTACCATCCGCCTGGGACGGGCTCAGGAGCAGTAAGATTGCTCCCCGAGATGATCCTGCATCCTGCCACGCTAAGGCATGGCTGCGAAATGGTTGCTGTTCCTCATGTCAAATCACCAGGGTTGACTCGTCCCCGGATCCACCGGGGGCGCTCGCCGTCATTCGAGAAGCGGCCTACTGACGCATGCTGAGGTGATTGACTCAATGGTCCGCAATAGTCATCTTTGCTTTCGGTGCCAGTCGCCTTTGCAAATTGCAATTAATGGGTGCCATCCGTGCCTCGGGCATCCCCACCCCGGATGGGTTTCCGTCCCCGGCGAAGGCGAGCCGGCGACGTCCAGTCTCCTAAATCCAGGAGGATCTGCTCCGAGTCGTGAGGCTGTCAATCTCTGACAGGCGTTGTTACGTTGCTGTCGAGCACATCCATGGTGTCTCGTGAAGGATGCTTCAGTGGCTGGTTCGGAGAATCCCGAGTTGGCTGGTTCCTGCAGCGGTACCGTGAATACGACCGTCGCCCATTATGGATCAACCTAAACCGGTCGCATCCATGGTTCTCGCACTCCTGGGGGAGCAGGTGTCTATGACAGATGGCCGGCCCCTGTCCCAATGGAGTATAAAATTTCTGCACCGTTCCTGACTCGCCCATCGGGGATGATGCCCCTTCTGGAGGCATCCCCGACCGTCGTGGAGCCAGGCTGCCCACCACCAATAACCGCCCGCCGATGTGCTGAAACTACCGACAGATGGGGCAGCCCCGGCCTCCACCTTGCATCCAACACGACCAGCACTAATCGCAGGCACACACGCGCACCTCGGGGATCAGATTTCCATAAATCCATAAATCATGGCCCTGACGCGAAGGTGTCCGCTCCCCCCCCCCTCCCCCCTCAGTGACCCAACAACGGCCTGCCAACCCTGAACCCACCGCAATTATACACCCACCACTGTCCACCCCCAGTGGACACGATCCAACGTCTTCCAATCCCAAACAGGATCGCAGTGCTCGCATCTCCACGGAGTGACTGCTGAACGACGGTCCGGCTAAGCGAATCCCAAACGCCCTGCTGCGGTTAGCTTGCGTAGATCGCCTTCTCCTTTGGGGGTGCGCACAAGCCCATCACCTCTCCTGGTGGAGGACGGATGAACATCTGCGACCCGGCTCGACGAGTCCCGTTGCTGTCCAACGCGATTAGCTTCCTGTCGACTGCTGGGCCCGGTACTGGTTCTGGACCTCCCCGGCATTTCCGCCCCTTCATATATTGGGTCCTCCCCACCCCGCCGAGCTCAGCTTTCTCGAATATGTCTGGTCTGCGTCAGTAGCATGGCTAAGGATGACCGCAGCCCCGAGGTCAAGGCGGTTGCGGCCGCCTTTATGTCGGTGGCATGTGTGACTGTGATTCTACGATGTTATGTGCGCGGATGGATTGTCCGGGCGTTTGGATGGGATGACTGGGCCATGGTGGTTGCCATGGTACGTTCCTTGGACTCTGTGCATGACCTCCCTCCGCTAACGAGATAGTTGTTCTATGGGATGTTCTCAGGCTGCATGATCGGGGGCGCGATATACGGCACGGGACGACGATTCAAGGACTTGGAGCCACATGAACGCGTCACCGCCATGGAGGTTGGTCTCTCCCCTCATCCCTACATCCCTGCATACCCAGCCTAACAAGGGATAGTACTGGTGGTTCTGTGAGATCGCCTACTGCTTCTCGGCCGTGGCCTGCAAGATCTCCGTCTGCATTTTCTTGATGCGCATTACGGTGCGGCGCATCCACATCTGGATTCTGTGGACCGTCATGGTCATGACGGTCGTCGCAGGCATGGTCTTTATGTTTATTATGTTGCTCCAATGCAAGCCGCTCACGTACTTCTGGACGCGCAAGGCGTTCAGCTCGACATATACCGGCCACTGCATGGATATCCAGATTGTCATCGCCATGACCTACGTGTACAGCGGGTTTGCCGCGCTGTGCGATTTCACCGTGGGCATTCTGCCCATCTTCCTGGTGCGGAAGCTGCATATGAAACAAAAGACCAAAATGGCGGTGGTGGGGATTTTGAGTATGGCATGCATGTAGGTATCCCTCGCGTGTGGCTGACAACCAACTAATCCTCCCAGCGCCTCCTCTGCCACCATTATTCGTATCCCGTGGGTGCATACCTTTGCGGACTGGGACTTTCTCTGTATGCCCCCCCACCCAATCCCCATCTTCCAACCCCATTATCTTCCCATCTAACCATGCACCAGACGCGACCGTCGAAATCGCCCTCTGGTCCAACATTGAAATCGGCCTGGGCATCACCGCTGGTAGTCTCGCCACCCTCCGTCCTCTACTTCGCAAATGGCTCGGTTCGAGTGCCGACCACAACTACGACGCCTCCCCCTTTCCCGGCCCCTCCGGCTCGCGACCCCTCGGCATCAACAAAAGCGGCGGCGTCGGTCGCAGTCACGATCGGCCCTACCCCCTCGGCTCCCTCGATGACACCGGCGTGCAGGGACGTCTCCGCCCGGACAAACTCGCCGTAACGGTGACCACCATCCAAAGCCAAGTGGACCCGGACACGCGACCGTGGCGCGGTGGGACGACGAATAGCAGCGAGGAACGACTGACCGGGTCCGCCGGGAGCGGAGGCCGCAGTCACGGCACGATCAGGGAGAATGGGGATGTCGAATTAGGCCTGGGCATGGGATTGGGCATTCATCGGACGTTCGAAGTGACCCAGACGTCGTCGTCGGGGGGGACGGGACGGACAGTAGGAGTGACGGAACATGTCTAATTTGTGGTGCATTGGGTGGAGTGTTTTTTTTCCTTTGTATGGGTAATGAAGCATAGCATGACGATTAATGGTGTTTGTGGTACTTAGTAGCGTACTCTGTATGGATGCACTCATCGAAGTGATACCATGCAGATGCTGGTAATGTATGCACTCAAAGCTTATTCACAACACCATGCACCTAACCAATCTAAACGCCACGCCACAATCGACCAATTCAATCGATCGGTGACTCGTCACTTGCCAATTGCCACTAAGAGCAACCTTGGTTGGTAGGGTAGTGGTAGATAGATTATCTGCATCTGCATAACCATGCATGAACTCCTCCACCGAGGTGCTTTAGTTCCCATCGTGCAGGAATCCGGTTGGTAGGGTTGATTTTCCGGATTATAAGCTGTTACTCCTTGCTTTGCTTAGTATTGGACTGGTTTTTGTGTTTGGTTGTTGTTTGGATCAAGCTACGGGGTAGATAGGATGCGCTACGCGGCATTCCAAATTCCCTTCGATTCTATTCTTCTACGAGGTACTTTTGAGACGAGCTAGATAGGGAAGTAGAATCGGCATTGTTCACTTCCCAGCACAGCACCTATTCCAATTCCAACCGCCAAGAAAATAAATAGACATCCTAGGGGGAGATAGTAGCCTAAGCCTCGTTTCACTCACGTGATCTCGTATCCTATCCTATCTATTCCTTCTACTTGGCTTCCAACCGCCTAGACAATATAGATATAGACTCCCGCTAAGTAAATCAATCTGAACTACGAAGGTACGATGGCGGAATCAATAGCAGCAGAAATCTAGAACCAGGACTCCCGATCTCAATAACACTGATAGGTACCCCACACCAAGAAACTAAGCGATCGTATTCAATCTTAAAGCAACTGCCAAGTGTAATAGACAGGTATGAATGGGCTGTGCTGGGTCGGATCAGATCCATGACGAGGCGATATACGAAGTGTGGGGCTGATACTACCCTACTACCATACTACTACTATTCGTACTATTAGGTTAGGGTAGGTTAAGTTTGAATCCTTCTGTCGCCTCCTTTTCTTATTTATCTTTGCATTGAGTTTGAGAATGGGCATCTAGCTTGGAGTGTAGATCTATCATTCTAGAGACAGTTGTTTGAGGGAAAGATCTGGATGAGATAGGTAAGAAAGTAGATAGATTGATGTTCTGTTCCTTGTTCTCAGTTCCCGAGAACCGGGTTAGATATCGGCATCGGGAATTGTTTCGGGATTTGCAGATCTGATATATCCATTTCTCTATCTGCTATATCCCTATATTCTCTGCTCTGGAAATTACGCATGTTGAAGGTTTCCACTGTACATCACTCTACATTGCCATCACAGCAAAGTTTAGTCCATGTGGATAGGAGTACCCCGTACGCCATCGTATTCCCCGAAAGACACTACCATGATTCTATACATAGTCCCGGGCTAGATGGTGGGGTTCAGCTTGCGATGAGGGATTTTCCGGTCTATGACTCTGTAGTTTCATTTGAGAATATTATATGCCATTGTGGAATGGATGGGCTCGTCTTTAGCCTTTGTCTGTGTCTTCACTCTTAGAGTTCAACCTTTCGAGTCGGTATTCTTTTTATTTTTTTTTAATTTCGGTCAATGTCGCAGTGGTGGGGACTGTCAGTCAGTGTCAGTCAGGGGATCTGCATCTTACTGGTATTCCCTGCCAGACTCGTATTCGATCGATCTATATACAATCTCCCCACCAGCTAATCATACCAAATAGCATTCATACCAAATCCCTGTTCCGGAATATCCACCCTAGCCACCCGGGCCAGCGTCTCATCCTTGAAGCGATAAATCTCCACAAATCCCAGCTGATCATCACACAGCGCCAACCACTCATCGCTAAAGTCACAGGGGCTGACGGCGTTGGAGTGTCCGCCGCTGGTGGACGTCGGGTGGATGAAGAGCTGACGCTCGATGGTACCATTCGGACCCAGCTTAAAGGCCGTGATGTAGCCGGTGATGTCGAAGGAGTTGCCGCGCGTCGTGGCGAAGAGGTATTCCCCGCTGCGGGTGGTGAAGGTTACGTCGCCGCGGTATTTGTTGCGGGGGGGCAGACCTATCCCATTACTTTGCTGTTTCTTTTTTTCCTCCTAGGAGGGAGGGAGGGGAGGAATTGACATACCAACTGGGAGCAAGGGGTAGGTAATATGAGTAAAGACAGGCTTATGCGTACGCTCATCGATGACATACACGGCCAGTCGATTGCCCGCCTCCATCAACACATAGAGATATTTCCCGCTCGGATGCATCTCCACCCATCGGGGGTGATCACCAGGCGCCGGGGCCTCAATGCAATCCACCAGCGTCAACTTGCCCGTCTCTGCATCCTTGAGGTGTGTCCAGATCTTGTTGGCCTGGAGATCCGCCGAGTAGAGGTAGGTTTCTGTGGGATCGAACACCATGCCGTGAATCCCGGTGTTGGGCTCGTACTCGTAGTTCTGGATGTTTTCGAGCAGTTGGCCATCGGCGCCGGCGGAGAAGACGTTGCCGTAGCCGGCGTATTTGTAGAAGGGGTTGCCGTAGACGTTGTAGGGGGGTTTGTGGGCGGCGAGGACGAAGATGGCGCGCGTGTTGGTGTCGGCGCTGGGGGCGAGTTCTGATCAGTTTAGCGAGTGCTAAAAAAAAAATAGTGACAGAAAGGGGGAAGGGTACCGTGACCGGCAACAGGGTGGGAGGCTTGGTGGACGATTTCAGTCGGGCTGTGGACGGCGAAGCTGTTCCATTTCTTCATGGCAGCGCCGTAGATGGCTTTCTTGTCGTGCTGCTGGGGGTCAGCGTGGGTATGCTGCATGCGGGGATATAGCGTACCGAAAAAGTCATCCAGGAGATGGGTTCCGCCTCGGGAATGTCGGTCTTCTTGACCAGGTCGAGGGTGAGGGCCTCATCGTCAAAGGCGACGGTGTAGATGCGGCCTGGAGGGGTCCAGGTGCCGACCATCAGGTGGTGCTTCATGTTGGCGGGTGCGGTGGGAGTGAAGAGGGAGGCAATTGGGGTGTAGGGGAGATGATTCCTCGAGGTAGAGCGTAGTGAAGAGAATCGAGAATGAAGAGTGCGAAACATGGTATGGCGGGGAAAATGGCGGAGAAGAAGGGAGCCGATCGGGAAGAGACCAGAACAGCTGCCGACGCCTTTCCCCGACCCGGCAATGCGGGGAGCCGGCCGGCATATTCCATAATATCCCTCCTATTGATTCATCATCCACCTCAATTAAAATGTTCACCATTCTATTGTCAGTGTCCATTCAACCCTCTTACCTATACCTGTACAATGTCTCCATCTGAATAAAGTCTGATGGCCCCTGCCATGTCTTATTCTAATAGAGGCACGTGCATGACCCTCCACAGGGTCTTCATTCCCTATCTAAACGGAGTACTCTGCAACGGTTCCCCTCACTACCCCTTCATCAAGGTTACTGCATAATAAACAATTATACCCGTACTCTGACAACATTAATCACAATCATACCATCCCCGATAACAGCCACCATCAGTGGAGCAGATGGAATGGAGGATATCCGGCAATTCCCACTGCCGGGCGGCAACGCCTTTAGCCGAGCACATCGGGACGAGCTTCGGGAGACATGCCGATATCTTATCTTGATCTGATCCAGATCCCATGCATTTTTTTGCTAGCTAAGTAGAGTGTAGGCAACGCTACAAACACTGCCAATACCACTCATTCATCTCCGTACAAGTATACCCAGCCGCGCAGGTCGTCGGCCCTGTCCATCCATCACCACCACATTGCGCGTAGTGGGCAGCTGTTCCGGTTGCCGTAGCAGCAGCAGTAGTACTCACACTCGTAGTACTAGTCTTCGTAGCAGTCGCCGTCGCCGTCGCCGTCGCACTCGTACTACTCCCAGTAGCAACAGCACCAGGAGTATACCCCTCCAACACCCCCAAATAATACTCATACGCGGTCCCCCCCGTCTCCAACGAAAAGATATAATCCCCCCACCACGGCCCCGCAGACCACCACATGCCCCCCAACCAAACATCACTCCCCTCCTCGAGGGCATCCAACATGCCCACCACCGCCTCCTCACAAACATCATTCGCCCCGCCCGCAAACTCCCCCAACACCCCCAGTTTCCCATTCTCCCTCAACCAAGTCGTCGCGGACGCGATCCGCTCCGCGCCAATCGTCGAACTCACGCAGGTAGAACTCGTCCCGGACCCGTCACTGTCCAGGTACTGGTGCATTTCGTAGATGAGTTTGTCACTTGGGTCGGTGAGATTGGCCAGGTTGGTGTTGGTGGTGGTCCAGGTCCAGGCGCCGCTGTACGAGTTGCCTTCGATGAAGATGTATTGGCTTGTGGCGGAGGTGGCGCGGATGGCGTTGATGGCGGCTTGGTTGAGGTTGAGGACCAGGGTTTGGTCCATATCGTGGTATTCGTTGTCTATCCTTCCTTTAGTATGGTGGAAGAGGGGAGGGGAAGGGGGGGGGAGGTACTGGTATCGAAGATCACGAGATCGTTATCGGTGAATTCACTCGCCACGGTGGTCCAGAAGGCCCCGAAGTCACTGGTTGAAGTGATGATGTTCCCATAACTAACTCATCAGCCATGCATGTCACCAACCACCTAGGAAAGGGTACCATACTATCTCCCAAAATTATGCGGATCCACCACCGCATACGCCCCGTAATCCGTAATCGTCTTCACAGTCTGCAGTAAATATACGTCAGCTAAAATCCCCACTATAGGATAGGATATACACACCGCTTTTAAATCCGCCATATAAGTCTCATCCGCCGCGCCCGTCAAATTATCCGGGACCAAGCGTTCCATAAGAAACGGCACGCGAAAGATATTCATCCCCGCGTTCACCAACGGCTCGATATCCGCTGCCGCAGGCCAGATGTAATCCGTGCCCAGGGTGCCGGGGATATTGGTCTGGCCAAATTCGGCGCCGGATTCGTTGCTTCCGAACCCTAGTTTTATTGGTATTCATCTATGGGATGGGGGGGTGGAGGTGGGGACATACATAGGAAGGAAGATCGTTTGGCCCGGGGACTAGCCCAGGCTTGGGTGAGGAGGATGGCGAGGAGGGGGAGTTTCATTTTGTGGATGTGGTGTGCTCGTTGGGATATTCTGCCACAGAAGAAGAAGGTTATATACTAGAATCATTGTGAGTCCACTGCTTCCAAGACGGCATTCGGTCCGTCACAGACGGACTTCCTAAAAGGAAACGGATGACGGATTCGTCACGGATCAGCAGCTCATCGGAACCGCCCGGATCGTCTGGCCAAGCTTCTCTCTGCCGAGTTGCATTGGATGCGGAGATTATCCCGTCCATCCATGTGGCATGATGCGGAGTGGTTCGTGTGCGGTCAGTGTCAGCAGTCGACAGTCAGCGCTATTTTAGCTCGTGACGGGCGGATGAGGAACGGGTTCTGCAGGGGGGAGGGGTGTGATTGGATGGAGCTATATAGTAGGTCGGTAATTGAATTCTAGGTTGGGTTAGACTAGAATAGTGTTTAATCTACGAGGTAGAGTAGTGGGTTCCAAAGCAATTGATCGTATTCCTAGTACGGCTAACTACATCACTATATTCTGCAGCCTAAACCTGCAACCTTCCCTGCAATCACCCTCTGCAGATAACCCCTGCACGCTTAATCTTCTGCAGGCTGCAGCATCACAAACACTGCGAGTAGTACGCATTCTGGTATGTGCAAGTGTATCCACTCACGCACTGCGTCGCTCCCGTCCATCCCTGTCCACCACACTGCGCATACGCGGATGCCACCGCGGTCGAAGTGCCAGTGCTAGTGGTGGTAGTGGCCTTGCTGGTAGTCGAAGTGGCCTTGGCAGTAGTCGAACTGGAGCTGGAGCTTGAGCTCGATCCCGATCCACTCGTGTAGGTCGACCCAAGCGGTCCGACCTTGATGTTCGAGTATTTGACATACGCGTTCGGGTATTCCGCCTCCACGTCGGACGGCACACCAGAGTCAACGCTGCATGTACCGCGGGCCACTCCAGGGGTAGTGGAGGACTTGTTGGTCGGGTAGTTGCTGTCCAGCCAGAGCATGTCGGCCGCATAGTCATCCCACAGACTCAGAACCAGAACCATACCCTGGGCCATGGCGGCGCTCATGCCCTCGAGTCCACCGTGGGTGTCAAACACGTTGTCGTCGCCAAACAGCGTCTTCTCCGCATCACAGAAATCAGACGTGATGGAGTTTCCGCTCGCGGCCGAGTACGACGACTCGCCGTTGGCAATCACCACGCCGTTCTGCACGTACAGACGCCGGATCTCAGACAGCGTGCCGGACGAGGTGCCGTCATCGGTGATGAACTGCGTCACCACGGTAAAAGGACTGTTGGTGTCAACGGTCAGGCCGGGGCCGTAGAAGCTGGTGTTGCCAAGACGGTAAGTGTTAAAGTCACAGCCGTCGGGGTCGCAGGTACCGCTGTAACGGTCAGACGTGGAGCTGTATGTTCCGCCACAGTCGTCACCGTCGCACATGACCTGGCCGGGAGTGTCGCAGGGGTGTGCGGTGAACGCCGTCGAGATGCTGTTCGCTTCCCAAACGTCCATCTCGGCGCAGCAGGAGCCGTGGTCACCAACACCAGTGTTGACGTTGTTGGTCGACGGCACCCAGCCGTCACAGTTGGCTTCACCGTCGATGAACTTCAAGTCTCTCGGACACTGCGAGTCACAGTAGCCAGTGCCGTATTTGGCGCCGGCCTTGTTGCCCGAGTACTTGGAGGTACCGCCGTCGGCGTCCATGGCAACAAAGTACAGCGCTCCGTTGAGACCGCAAGGAAGTTGAGAGACGTCGACATCAAAGGTAAACTCCTGGTTCAAGAGCTTGAACAGCTCATAGTTGCTGTCGTCGCTCATGAGGTACAGACGAGACCCGATGTTCTTGCTGGAGGACGAGGTGACAAAGTTCAGGCGCAGCTCGTCGCCGTCCGTGGTGACACCGTAAGTGGACTCGTAAGAGGCACCCTCGAGCGCGCAGTTCTCGGCGCAAGTCTCATCGCTGGTACAGATGGAGGAATCCCAGCTGTTGCCGGTGTAGCAATTGGTGGAGCTGCTGGTCTGGTGGACCCAGCGCCAATTGGCGTCGATGACAACCTCACCGTCGTTGGTGGTGCAGCCGCTGCTGGTGCAGGTCTGCCAGGTCAATGACGGGTGCGTCTCGGTCTGGTAGGTGCCGACCTGCTGAGCCTGGCTGGTAGCGAGGATGGAGAGCAGCAGAGCTGCCCGGTAGACATGGAAGGAAGACATTCTGCGTGCTGCTGGCTGTTGATGAAGGTGATGCAGGATGTGCTGATGAACAGGAAGGGCAGGACGAGGAATTTATACCTCCATCAATGCTGCTGCCTTCGCTGCTGCGTTCCATGCTGCCTTTCGTCATGCCAGATGTGATACGGCTATGCGGACCGCATCCCGGCCAAGCTCGTATTGTTGATTAATACGACGCCGCACAATCTCGAGCACTATCACACCGTGCTGGAAGGGACGACTTCCTTGACCAAAGCGGCAATGCCGACTTGTGGCGCCACATAAGCAGGAGTTATAGCCGTTGTGCATCCGGTAATCCGACCCGATCGATATGCCGTGATAAACAATAGAGCATGTGACGAGCGCGCGAACCCTACCGCGCAGCCCTAATCTTATCAATCACCACCCCGCCCGAGTCAGCCACGCAAACCGGCAAGGATCCTCGCCGCAACCGGCGGGGCGCGAAATCTGCTGTCACCGTCACTCGAGCTCATCCCTTGATTCAACATCACCACCATACCTCCCCTCACCAAAACTTCCAACCCACCCAAAATGAGCTACATCCTCACCCTTTCTTGCCCGGATCGTCCGGGCATCGTCCACGCCGTGACCGCCTACCTGGTGCAGCAGAACCTCAACATCATCGACAGCAGTCAATACGGCGACCTGACCAGCCAGCGCTTCTTCATGCGCGTGCACTTCAAAGATGAATCCACCCCCGGCCAATCCCTCAGCGAGCTGCGCTCCGCCTTCGAGTCCACCGCCCAGGCCCTCTCCATGGACTTTTCCCTCGTGTCCGCCACCACCAAGCCCCGCGTCCTGATCATGGTCTCGAAGATCGGCCACTGCCTTAACGACCTCCTCTTCCGGGCCTCGACCGGCCAACTCGCCATCGAAATCCCTCTCATCGTCTCCAACCACCCCGACTTTGCCACCCTGGCTGCCACATACAACATCCCGTTCATCCACCTCCCCGTCACCGCCGCTACCAAGCCCCAGCAGGAGGGACAGATCTTGGAGCTGATCCGCGAACATAACATCGATTTGGTCGTGTTGGCCCGGTACATGCAGGTGCTGTCGCCGACGCTGTGCGAGGCCATGTCCGGCAAGATCATCAACATTCATCACAGTTTCTTGCCCAGCTTCAAGGGCGCTAAGCCCTATCACCAGGCGTTCGATCGTGGTGTCAAGATTGTGGGTGCCACGGCGCATTTCGTCACTAGTGATCTGGATGAGGGCCCGATTATCGAGCAGAATGTGGTCCGTGTGAACCATGCGATGAGCCCTAAGGAGCTGACTCATGCCGGTTCCAACGTGGAGAGCAATGTGCTCGCTACGGCGGTCAAGTACTTTGCCGAGAGGCGGGTGTTGCTTAATGGACACAAGACTGTTGTTTTCAACTAGTTTGGGTTGATATATAGATGTGAAATTGTCACTGACTGGTCGGTATATTGATTGAGCCTGAATGCTATGCTGCTACAAGCGGATTCCTTCAAAGGGATGGTAATCCTCCTCTCCGGCCCATTGGGCTTCGTGCAGAGACTCGTCCATTTGGGATTTGTCCATGCCGGCGATCACGTCCCTGTATATGTTAGTTAGGTTCAGAGGTTAAAAGCGGTGACATACTCATCGGTCGCGAGTACCTCGAAGCCGGGTACGCAGTCCACCAAGGCATAGAGGATATAACTTCCTCCAAAGCTCCATACAAAACCGATCAGCGCTTCGACAATTTGTATTCCTAGCTGTCGCCAGTTCCCGTCGAAGAAACATCCGCCCGCAATCTCCGTAACCCCGTCATAGGCCGCGACCGAGCGTTGCGCGAATAATCCTGTGACGATCGTGCCCAAGAACCCGCCCAGACAATGCGTAGCAAAGGTATCTCCGTTGTCGACCCAGCGGTACAGCTTCGCGCGCTTCGTGAACTTGATTTTCAAAGCTTGGTACCCACACACAGCCCCAAGGATGCCGAAGCCCATGGCCGTGCTCATATCGATAAAGCCAGCGCTGGGCGTGATGAGGACGAGGCCTGCAATGGCGCCGAGGAATGTGCTGTCGAGACTCCATTTTCCGGTCTCCCAGTAGGTGAGACTCGCCCAGGTGAGGGCTCCGGATGAGGCACAGAGATTCGTCACGCAGGCGGCCATGACGCTTTTGAAGTTCAGGGCGAGGGTAGTGCCGGCGTCGAAAGCGAGCCAGGCGTTCCAGATGATGATGAGTGCAAGCAGCTGGCAGAGGGTGTTATGCGGCCGGTGGAGGGTTAGGTGCTGCGGAGTGCGGATCTGGGAACGGCGCGATCGGAACAGAGGGTACGAGAGGTAGACACTCATCGCGGTAGCAGTAGCACCGCTGCAGATGTGCACCGGAGTGCCGCCAGCAAAGTCAAGGGCGCCCAGGTTGGCGAGGAATCCGTTCTCCGACCAGACCATATGGGCCAGAGGGGCGTAGATAAAGGTGCACCAGAGCTGAGGATATGAGTGATTGCTAGGAGAAAGAGACAGGGGATCTTACGAAAATGAAAGGAATCAATGGGAGGAGCCGGCCTCGCTCGCAGGCACCTCCGATCGCAATGGCACACACGGTCGCGCAGAAGATGAGCTGAAACTCCGAGAAGAGGATCTCGGGAATTGTACCGACCGGGTCAGCGAGAACGCCGATGTGAAAGACCTTGCTGAAGCCCCCAAAGAATCCGTTGCCTTCGTCGTAGGCGAGCGAGTATCCGAGCATCCACCATTGGATCGAGCAGACGGCGACAGCTAGTAGCCCGGGGTAAAATGAAGCGATACTATTAGAGCGCGTCGAGTAGCCCGAGTAGGCCAGGCCGACAGCAGGAATGATGAGCCAGCAAAAGACGGAACACACGAGGATGAAAAGGGTGTCCGTTTTGGAGCAGGCCTCCCAGGCTGCTTGTATAGACATGGTGCGATACGTTGGTCGTGATCATTGCGATGGTCGGGACGAGTGTCTTATATCGCAGTCATTGCTTCTGCTGGGCTGCAGTGCTTCTGCAGTGCTGAGCAATGGGCGAATCACGCCTGCATGGCTTATCGTAGCTGTGATTGAGACTGCTATTGGTTGAGCAAGCCCATCAGGACGATCTCGAGCTCAGCTCCTGCAAGGCGATACTCAGATAGGGAGGTGCAGCCAGCCTATGCAGCGGGCGAGTTAGTGCAATATGCAGGCTGACACTGAAATCCCTGCAGTCTGCGACAGTGTGTTCATTAGCAGAGCAGCGATTGGGTCAGTCTGATGTCCCTGAGATTGCGATGCAGATTCTCAACTGGAGTGAAACTGTCTCAAACTTCACAATTTTCACTTCCAGTGATCTGTTTGTCTTTAGCATTCTATATGGCTTTTGGCAGAACTGTCTGGACGAGTCATTATGATAAATCATATGCGCATCCAGCAGCCGTGTCATGTCGAGACTATCGTTAGTATCATGGTTAGCGAAGTGGTTAGCAAAGTGGCAGCCCAATTTGTGCAGCACATGATCCGTTGGCTCAGCCAGCCTGAAGCCAGCAAATATATCATCAACTGTGAGCTCTGTTGATTCATATATGGTTCCTGAAAGTGACTTGAACCCTTTTTCATCCTCATGAAATAGCCTAAATCCTCTGTAGATTAGTAGAATGATCAGCTGTAGACTCGGCGATGGCAAAACCAACACAACGACGTGAGAAACATCGATGAGTTGCTCACAAGAACCCCTCCTCTAGCCTCCTAGCGGCTAGGAACAACTCGGGATAAATCCGGGGTAACCCGGATCCCCAGCCACCGTGGCTGGTATATACACCGCCACACCCGTGACAACTGCTACGTGGCCAGTGACCCCCGGAAGGGAGATAATCCGCCCCTTTCAAGCCCGACCGGCCGCCATTATTCGCCGACCAGCAAAGCACAGCTGGCTCGTTCGCGTCCATCCTCCAACTCTCACCTCTCCCATTGACACACCAATCCACTTCGCCTTAACATGTCTGATCAGGTGCAAGAACTCCTCAACGTCCCTCGGGAGTTTCTCCGGGATGGCATGCAGTTTGTCAACCGCAGCCAGAAGCGTGAGTGTGGTGCCTGGGTTGCTCCTGGATTCGACTCAGCTAATGTTGTGGATAGCCGATAAGCGCGAGTTCATCAAGATTAGCCAGGCGGTTGGTACTGGGTTCTTGATTATGGGGTTCATTGGATATATTGTGAAGCTGAGTATGTTTGCTGTCTCCATTGCTGCGATGTGGGTATTAACGGTCTGGTAGTCCACATCCCCGTCAACAACGTCCTCGTCGGTGGCGCGTAAACAATTGATCGATATCGGTGTCAAAGCAACGAATGGGCCATTGATCAACTGCGATGCAAGAATAAACCGCGATGCTGGCATGCACGCGGTCACGCGTGTAACATTATACCGCCGTGGGAGCTGGATCGGCTCTTGAGACCAGTGGTAACTGGCATATGTGCATAATTAGTCTGGGTAGGCGTTCGGTGTGTATAGGAATACCATTGCTTGATTCCATGCTGCTTGTGATGGTGCGTAGCAGTCATTGATTGAGCACAAACATGAGAATACCCGGCTAGCCTTGTCTGCATTATACCTGTGTTAGCATCGAGCCATGCCAACATTCACGTAGTCTATATATCATCAATTACGGAGACTTATTCCGCGCCTCCTCTACTATTATCACTACTATGTAGGACACATTCTTTTATACTCCGACGATCCCAAGCACCCATGATGTCACGACCCAACCACCACCCAAATCACTCATTTCTCAACCTCTACCTACAATGGAACACTCCAACCAGGAATATTACCTATGCATCGACCCCACACACCACTGCCGACATCCGACCCGATTCATCATCTCCATACTCCACCTTCCCTCCCCTCCCCTCTTCACTTCCGCCACTCATCCAAGTTATATACCAAGCACTGGCAGTACATACCTAGTTCCCCTCCCCCCCTCCCCCCCCCCCCCCCCCTTCCTCTCCCCCCCCACCCAAATTTTAAACCCAAGCCTGGGGGCACACTCCCCTTTTCCCCCCCCCCCCCCCCCCCTCCCCTCTTGATCATCTCCCAAACCATAAACCCCAACCCCATCCTCACATTGAACCAACCCACAAACACCCCCCCAAACAATGGACCCAATACTCCCACCACCAAACCTAACCCCCCTCTTCACCCTAACCTGCACCGTCGCCCCACCCCTCGAAATCGGCCCCGGGCCATACGGTCGTCGTCGCTGCGTGCGTGCCCATCACAGCCGGGACCGTGCGCGGCAAATATCTCTCCGGGGAGGTCGTTCCGGGGGGGGCGGATTTCATGTATCCCTCCCATACCCTAACCCCATTTCCTTGTATATGGATATGAATGTTGATAGGTACGAACGTGTTGTACAGGCTCGTCGAAGACAACCAAACCACGCATGTGAATACCAATTACGTGATTAGGAGTGAGGATGGGGCGTACGTTTATGTTCGGTGCGTATTATCTCCTCCTACTTAATATAAGGATTGATACTAATAGAAGGCTGGATAGAACGGAAGGAACCTGTTCCGGCCCTCCCGAAGTTTTAAAAGCCCTGATGGAAGGTGACGGGGTCGATCCCGATCAATACTGGTTTCATTTACATATCAAGTTGGAGACCGGGCATGAGAAGTATCGGTGGATGAATAATCGGGTGATTGTGGGACGGGCGACGAGGGCGAAAGGGGAGGTGGCGTATGATGCGTATTTTTTTGGAGAATTAATTAAATAGGTTTTTTTTTCTATATTATTTTCGGCTTCGTGGTTTACAGGTGATGAAGGGGTTGGGATTATATATGTGGTGTTTATAGAACGCTAATCTGGTGATTGCGCAGCATTTCGGCCAGATTCGCATACTCGCCTGCACTCGCGTCCTGGCGAGCGAGCACGTCCTCGGCGATTTCAAACGCCCACATGTGTTCGGAGTGAAAGGCGCGCATGTCGTAGAGTCGTTCGCGGAGCCATTCGCGTTGGATGGGGTCGTCGGTCTCGATGATCGCCATGAGTAGGGGCCAGTGCAGCCGGCGCAGGAGGCGCGGATCCGCAGTGTATTGCTTGTGGGCGTTGTCGAGGATGTTGGTGAGGGCTTGGCGGTGCAACGCACTGGGAGGCTGCAACGGATCGAACAGACGCCGGTGGAAGAGAATCTGCGCGTAAAAGTTGTTGACGGCCATGTAGATGGTGTTGAGGGTGCGTCGGGTGGAGCTCGGGCTGGCGAATTTGGCCGTGAGAAGAAGGTCGGAGTATTTCTGTAAAATTAGTGAGAACGCTGCGGTGGACATGGAAATGTACATACATCGCGGATAGTCATCATCTCGGCAAAAAGTTCATCGCCCGTGTGGGTGCTCGTATCGTCGAGGCACTTCCACAGCTTATGCCACAGGGTGTAGCCGACGTGCAAAAACTCCAATCCCCGGTAATTCTCCATGTCGTCTGACACCTCCTGGTCCGGATATTGCTTCCCCCAGAAGCATCGGCTCCAGAGTCGCGCGCAGCGGTACAGATGGTCGGGATGGAGCGCTTCGTTGTCGGAGTTGAGCACGTAGTCGTAGAGCGAGTCCGTCGTTCCGATGGATCGTCGGTTGACATCGATGTACCTGACCGGTTAGCGACGGCTACCAACCCGAGGAAGAAGCTCACAGCATCCACAGCAAGAACTGATCCGAGATGAACGATGCCCGGGACACCGTATCGCTCGGCTGGTCCGCCTCCATCGCCAACAACACCTCGTTGACGTCCCGGATATGGAACAATTCCGGATGGGTCTCCAGCAACGATCGCACCCCCTGCAGATGCAGGTGCAGATGGCGCACGCAATGACCGAACTGCCACTCGTACGCGACCATCAGGAACATGGTGGCGAAGATCATCTCGAGCTCCATAAACGACACCTGCGGTTTCGGCGTTTCCAGCAATTGCCGGAATTCCTTGACGGCCATGCCGTAATGGTATCGACCGTGATCCTCCGCTGTCGGACGACCTGGCGATCGCACCACCAGGCCATTGCGATGCATGTCACTCGCTGACAAGGCCAGGATCATCCGCATAATCACCTTGCTGGTGGTGGCGGGCCCCTCGTACAAGTACCGAAAGCTGCTCCATTGCCAATTTTTCATATAGTAAAACACGACCGACGACGAGGGGAAATACTGAAAGTATTTCTGGTCATGTTCGGTCAAGACGAGCGAGTTGGCGCAGGTCAGGCCGGGGTCCGACAAGGGTCGGTATAGGGGCGACGGTTGGTAGGGCGGAAACGGCCAGCCCGTGGGGAAGATGACGTCTGGGGAAACCGGGGTCAAATCTGGGGCTGCGGGGGACTGCCGATGCCACAGGGTCACCAAGGGGGTGGCATACTGAGGGTGCAGGATGCCGTTGGAGACGTCGGTGCAAGACGATACCGGTGTAGGAGCCGTGGGGAGGACGCTGCTGGGCCAGCGAGGTTGCGCCGGCTGCAGGTGCCGGACGGGGGCATGCGCCTTGCCGCGCTTGACAGGAATCCCCCACTCGCAGGTCAATCGCAGATTGCAACACCGCTTGCACACTGGCCGTTCTTCACCGCATTTCACTTTACGACGGCGGCAGGTGCTGCAGCCTGCCACGCGAGTCAGCTGGGTGATTTCCCGGACTTTCCGCCGAGGCCGGGAAACTCGGGCAAGCATACCATTCTTCGAGCGAGGCGCGTTCCGACCCGACATGGAATGAATGGCCCACTTGGTCAGAGATCGATCAGCCGGCAGGCATCAGTGAAGGCACGAGGGGGGTTCAATTCCACACCGTCGAGGGAGGGAGGTGGAAGTGGGCAGCGGGAAAGTTCATCGGGAAAAATTGAGGCAAAGGAAAAGGAAAGGAAAGGCCGTGAAGGTTTCCCTGCTTAGTCAGCGGAAAAGCAGACTGACTCGTAAGGCAGAGGCAGAGACAGAGAATAAGAGAGAGAGAGAAAGCATCTAAAGGGATCATCGAAGCAGAATGGCTTTCTAGATGCAGAAGGGTGGCTCAGCCCTATCTGGGGGATTCCCCGGTCGCAGGGCTGGCTTACTCCAACCCTTGTCTCACGCCATTGGGGTAGTGGCTGGGCCAACACGGTACTCCGTACTTAGATGAGGGATCGTCCGTAGGCTTCAATTGTCCTGGTGAGAAATACCGTTCTCTCAGTATACAAGAAGGATGGCAGTTTAGTCTCACTGACACATATCGCCGAGGAAATTCCGAGATTCATCCTGGCTGCAGGAAGAAAACATTGCCGCATGATTGATATAGGGAGAATAGGTGTGCCGATCTCGAGGCTTCAACTACTCCTGACTACACTCCTTCCATTGCCTCTGCGCAACCCCAAACAACTCATCACTCGTCACCATCTCCCAGCCAATCAGTGCCAGGGACTTGCCCACAATCACTGCTTCTTCATGAGCAAAGTCCGTTCCAGCAGCTGCAGCAAAGCTGGGATGATGGGGAAATGAGCCCTCTTCGGACGTGATTCCAAACATCGTGTGCAGCGTCGGTACGAGGTAGCTGACGTTGCCTGAAAAGTCAGAAGGGTCTGTGATGAAAGAATGGATACTTACCAATATCTGACGACCCCGTCAAGACCTTCTCGTGTCGCTTGAGGACGTTCCGATCGTACTTGGCCATGTGCGCTTGATACCGGTCGCACAGGGTATCGTTGATCTTGATGTCGGTATACAGCTCGTTTCTGGTCCGTTAGCGCAGTCCCCAATCTTACAGGGCCACATACTCGATAATCTTAACTTCACACCCCGTCGCCAATGCCCCAGCTTCGATGCAGTTCCGGACCTTGACCATTAACCGGTTCAACCCTTTCAATGTCGGACTCCGAACCTGCCAGTACGCTTTGGTGTAGGAGGGAATCACGTTGGCCACCTTAGGGGTATCCAGGAAGGCACAGTGGATACGCTCATCCGGACGGAGTTGTTGGCGTAACACGGCCACATTGTTGTAGGATGTCACCAGGGCATCAAGAGCATTAACTCCTTCCCAGGGATTGCCGCCGGCGTGGGCACTCCGGCCGGTGAACTCGCAATGGATTTCTTTCCGAGCATTCATAAGCACTCCGCCGACACCGTCCGTTACGACGCCAGGAAAGAGCTCTTTAGGCCCGGCGTGGCTGAAAGGTCAGCACGAAGATGTAGTTAGATGAAGTGTTGTCACAAAGAGGGAACATACGCCATCAATGACACGTCTACATCCTTGTATGCACCCGCATCAATCAGCTTGGCCTTGCCACCACCATTCTCCTCAGCAGGTGTGCCCAGAAGCTGAGTACGACCGGGGATCCCGTAGTGTTTTAGAATGGCAGATAGGGCCAGGAAAGCCGCCATGCTGCTTGTGGTGATGAGGTTATGGCCACAGGCATGACCAATATCAGGCAAAGCATCGTATTCGGCATTGAAATTGATCATTCGCCCCCCAGAACCACTGATGGCCTCGAACGAGGTGTCCAATCCGTATGCATGGCGGGTGACGGTGAAGCCTTGCTTCTCAAGAAAGTCGCAGATGGTGTCATGGGCTCGATGCTCTTGGTAGGCCGTTTCTGGGTTGGACCAGATCTGTGATAATCAGTCAGATCGGTCATCTAATGGCGAGGTAGGTGAATATTGTGTACCTCTCTGTTGAGCTCTCGAAGTGATGTTTGTAAAGACTTCAACGCCGTATCTACTGATGCCTTGACCTCCGCAATACTGGGCACAGGCTGAGTAATAGTTTGCGTAACGGTCATGGTGATGGTTCCTACTTGCTTGCTGAAAACTAGGCCAAACCCGAGATATCTGCCGGCGTCATATATGCTCACGCAGACATCGTCACCGTGGCACGCATAAGCGAGAACAACCTCGGCCGACGACGAACAAATCCCGAATACGATCGAGTCGATTGATAGGATCCACCGGATGCTACGTCGGCTCATCCCCGCATCGTGGAAGATTGCCGTTATCAGCGTCCCAAGCTCAGGGACGCGGAGAGAGGCGATAATTAATAATCTAGTCTATCGATACTATCAGGTTATCAGCATTGGTTCGGCAGATAACAGCAGCAGGAAGTGGATCGGGCCCTCTTCCTGGCCAACACAGGCGCCTTCTCCGCACGATCGAATCTGTGGGGGAGGCGCAGCAGCTCCTCTCGTGATATGTCGCAGCATCAGGGCCAGTGGAATCGCAAGGATAAGCCCGGTGGAGAGGACGGATCAGATGCCGGCATGCCATGAACGGGTTGAGGCGATAACCTGCGGCGTCGTTGCCGAGCGGCGCACCGCATTGGCGCATCTGCCGACCGGATTCGCGCTGACCATCTCCATATCGCGCCCTGGAGATGTCATTATACTCGATCAAGTATCAGTTCTACCTCTTTTCCAATCGGGCCTGGGAATCCTCAAAGGTTCCCGTTTCGATCCGGGTGAGCTAGATAGGGAAACTGACCGACGGGCCTCAATTTCCGTGCAGTCCTTGGAATCGCTATTATCTCGAGCGACTGACAAGACGATCAACCGCTAGAATATGCTCGCGACCTTTGCCGGTGGAGTGCATGGGCTGGTTTGTACCGAGTGTCGGCCGTGATCGCGGAAACTTTGCGCTTTTCCGTGAGGACGGATTCGCCTGGGAATCTTATAAGCGATGGCTTGGCGCGCCTCCTGTATATAAGCCTAAAAGTCTGTCCCTCATGCTGTGGTTCTATCAGAGCCATCACCATGGAAAAGCCACATACAAACCCACCTTCCGAGACACCAGAGCTAGACGATCTAAAACTGAAAGAAGAAGCCACATTAGCCCGAGATGTCGGAATTGGTCAGGTGTTGGAGGTGGAGGCCACGCCAGAGCAGGAGCGGAAGGTCTTGCGGAAGCTAGATATGATGTATGTCCATAGTATGCTATTGAGAATGGTGCTCACAAACCAAGATTGATTCCCTTGATGGGAGTGTGTTATATGATGCAATACATGGACAAGCTGGCTCTAAGCCAGGCGACCATGTTTAACCTGCGACAAGACCTGGTATGTTAGCCAACGTACCAGCAATGTGTATATGCTGATCAGTATAGCACCTCGAAGGTCAGGAATATACCTGGACGTCCGCCGTCTTTTACTTTGGATACTTTGCCTGGAGCTGGCCCAGTTCGTACCTCATCGTCCGGCTGCCCATTGGCAAGTATATTAGTGTCTCAGTGTGCGTTTCCATGTGCCGGCAGAGGCAAAGCTAATGCCATGTAGGCTACTATGGGGAGGCGTCCTAATGTGCCACGCGGCAGCAAAGAATTTTGGGGGCCTGGTTGCTGCGAGATTCTTCCTTGGTGTCGGTGAAGCTGCCATTGCCCCTGGCTTCTCGCTCATCACCGGGATGTTCTATAAACGAGAAGAACAGCCAGCACGGTATGTCCACCACAAACCTGATCGTAGCACCGAGCTAACAAGCCAGCCAATCCGCCTGGTTCTTGGGCAACTGTATCTCGACCGTCATTGGCGGCGTCGTCGCATATGGTATCGGTAGCATCGAAACACACGCCATCGCCAGCTGGCAGCTCCTCTTCCTCTTCCTGGGTGCCATCACCGCATTCATTTCGTTCTTCCTCGTTGTCCTTCTCCCCGACTCTCCCAAGAAAACCATCTTCCTCACCAAGACCGAACGCGCCATCGCTGTACAACGAACCCTCGCAAACAAAACCGGTGTCATGGACGAAGGATCCTTCCGATGGGACCAAGCCTGGCTCGCCGTCCGAGACCCCCAAACCTGGTTCCTAGTGCTGTACACCTTTTCCGTCAACCTCTGCAACGGCGGCATCACCAGCGTAACTCCCCTCCACACGTACCTCAACCCACCAACTAACAGCCAATACCCAGTTCTCTTCCATCATCATCAACGGCTTCGGCTTCTCTGAAGTCCGCTCACTACTCATGCAAATGCCCCTCGGCGCCGCACAGGTCGTCTTCCTCCTCCTAACCGCCGGCCTCGCCACGCTCATCCCCAACACGCGGATCCTGATGATGATCCTCAACACCATCGTGTCCATGATCGGCATGATCCTCGTCTGGAAACTCGACGAAGATAACCGCAAAGGCCGACTCACGGGCCTCGCCCTCGGCGCCGTCTTCGCCGTCAATATCCCCCTGTCATTGAGTATCATCAGCTCCAATGTAGCGGGGTTCACGAAGCGAAGCACCACCAGCGCGTTACTGTTTGTGGCGTACTGTGTCGGGAATATTGTTGGGCCGCAGTTCTTTTATTCGTCCGAGGAGCCTTATTATCCGGTACGTCATCTTCTTGGGTTGCTGTGAATGTACGTGATTGCTGATGGAGTGAGTAAATGTGTAGACAGGCATGAAAGCGGCCATCTCGGGGCTAGCGTTGGGGGCGTTCTTCCTGGTGTGTCTGCTGGCATATTATGTGTGGGAGAATAAGCGCCGGGATCGGGTGTATGGGTTGCCGGCGCAGATGACGGAGAGTCAGGAGTTGGCGTTGGGGTTGTCGAGTAAGACGGACCTGGAGATAGAGGACTTTCGATATGTTTTGTAAATTGTTGGGAATGTGAGAACTTGACTATCGCTTTGGGGTTGTGGTGTCTGGTTCGGTGGGAACGGGTTGATGTGCGGGGTGAAGAGAGAGGGGTGGGATGCTGTTGTTCAATGGTCTGGTAGAGAAACTGAAGTAAGATGATAAGGTAGGATGAATGAACCGGGTGAATAGGAGGGGATTGAGAAGAGAAGAGATGAAAGAGAGATGGGAGAAGGGGAGGGGAAGGGGAGGGGAAGAGGGACCGGGATTCACCGGCGCAGAGGAGGTATTATTGACGATGGACGCCGGTCACATACATATGTTCTGTACTATTCCTAGCCCAGGTAGTGGCCCCATTCCTTCGTAGTCGTCTGAGTACCACCACGTTCTATATAATTCCCAAACAAACAAACAAGCAAACAAACAGGGGGTTGAACAGGCCGTTCAACAAGAGAAGCTGCGGAGAAAAGACAACAATACATATATAACCCAATCGGTTAAAAAAAAAGGAAGTTCCCTTAGCCAGACGGCTCAGGGGATGGGACAGTGTATTGATTGGCGCCATCATGGACCCATAGGGGATAGTCATCGGCTAGCATAGGCGTTGCCCAGTCTCTCAGTCTTTCATCCTCCCACAGAGCATACCCCCACAGCCGGTAGAAGTTCTCTGACCCACATTCAAACATATCATGGAAGAGTATGGGGGATCTGCTCTCAGCCCTCAACCAAATCCGCTCCCAGGCTATGCTAGGCCGTTCAGAGGGTGGCAATGTTCTCAGGAGCTCCCTGAAGCCATGCATGTCCGTGCCAAAGTCAAATCTATCTGCAGGGTAGAGGAAGTGCACTTTGTCCCTAGACGAATCCGGGAATGGCCACAGACCGATGTCGTAGAACTGGTATCTAAATCCTCGAGCATTAACGAGCACCAGGTTGCGGCGAGCCAAGAATTGCTGCTGTCGAAGGATTTGGCCGAGGAGTGCTGGACCTATCGAGGACATCTGTTCTGGGACCTCGTCTGCGTATCTGAGATCATCACAGTCGCTGATAAAAGTAGCCGTAGGGACACGCAGGTCTTCGGGGAGCTCGCTGAGGAAGGTGTAGCCGGTCTGTATCAGGTTGTCTGATACTTCCCGGATGATTCCTTGGTATTTATGACAGTAATGCTGGAACAGACAGGCAAACTCCTCAATTTCCCATGGTGCCATGGTGCTAAAGAAGAGTTGCCACGACTCCTCGCTGGTGAACGTCTTCTCCTGGTTAAACTATTTATTATCCTGTAGAGAATGTTCCGCATCCACCGCGCGTTCGACACTACCGAAGATATTTCTATAGATTTGGAGCCGATAAAAGGCGCGAAAGACACGGCGCTTCTCTATTTCTGATAGAGCTAGGGGTAGATGGTCATTGGCCCACGTGTTGTGCTCTATCCAGAAAGGTTGCTTTGTAGTTCTACTGTAATCCTCCAAAACCCTGATTGCCATATCATGCAACTGTAGTAACTGAATTATTTCTTTGATAGTTGCTGGTTCATCTGGGAGGGGTCCTGATGATACTTCCCGTTGACGAATCTCATCACTGCGATGTTGACTGTCTAGAAGGGCGATGATCTTCTCCTTGTTGGCTATGTTATAAGCGTATAGTCCTTTGGAGCGAATAGCGGTGATTGCATCTGCGATATTTATGAGGCCGGCATAGTGCTCCTGCAGCAAGTTCTGGAGGAGCTCCTCTTTCACCAACTGATATGTATCATAGTAAGCGGGAGATGCAAGGATAAGCGACCCTAGAGAGCCCAGATCAGGTACGGTGAACAGGATGGAGATGTGTAGTTCCACGGGTAAACCTTCCAGGGTTGCCTAGGATGTCAGTGAGCGAGTCTACCGTCAAAAACGATTGGGACAGATTTACCATTTCCTCGAAACCCTTTGGTGGGGGGAGTTGATACATCTATGGGATTGCGGCTGACAGATGAGGAAGAAGTGTGCGACGACGGGAGAAAAGAGGGGAAGGGAGGGGAAGGGGGGAAGGGGGCAATCTCCGACACTTCAGTCACAACTTGGGACTTACGATTGGAGCCTGTCTAGTACTACTAGTCCAAGTAGTACTGGTTGCCCACCTTACCTAGGGTCTCCCGGGTTAGGCGCCCTTTGCCTTCCCGATCCCGCCTGGTTCCGACTCCTGCAGGGGCTATCGGTACCACCACCACTAAGTCATGTTCAATCCAGGTCGAACCCACTCCCGACTTATCCATGATACTTGCACGGATTTGGTGCACCCACCACGGTCACAATGGGGCAACTCGTGTTATCGGTGTGAAACCCATTGAACATACCCCCAATCCAATGGATTAGAAACGGCAACGATCGCAATCATTGCCACTGGCCGGGCCCCTGCCAAACAATGCAGGTCTCTGGCCTCGGGATCAGCGCCTGCATGCCAAGTTGAAGCATGTCCCCCATCTTGGCGAGGCCGGGGCGTCCAGGATGAAGCTCTATCTATAGACACCACCCAGAACATGGGTCTGCTGGGTGGACATATAGGCGCGCTCTTTCCACCTCTTTGCGGTGTCCCCCTTCCCCCCCCCCCCCCCCGACAATTCAACCCATCTCATTCATTACTATCTTCCTGCACTTGAACATGAGTCAAGGCAGCTGGAACCCCAACGAAAGGGTCATCAGGGACCGGCGAGGGTCCGATGCGAATTACGATGTTCGCTCCCCTCGAAGCTCCCATGTTGGAGCTCAACCTGAAAGCTACTATGGATGATTCTTATACCAAGAATCCGCAGCCATACACGTCCCCCGTAATGGAGGACTATCAGAGATACAAGGCCGCGGAACGTCGGTACACCGCCGCAAGAACAACCCTCGCCCGTGCAGAGCCGACTTCTATCGGTAATGATGAACCGGACGCCCTTCCACGTCTACGAGCGGGCGAGCAACTAGCTACCGATACGTTGCTCGCTTCCAACTCGTGAGTCTACTAGATGAGCTTCTATCTATCCTGCAACGATGCGGCCTGCTGACGGGTGACTTGGTTCCACAGGGTCGCGGCCGCTCGGAGTGGCTTTGACCACAAATATTCCACGGCCTACGAGGACCGAGAGGACAAGGCCAACCATCGGAAAGTTGCCCAAAACTTCCTCCGGAGGTCATCCGGTACACGGAAGCACCGGGAAACGATCCGCCAGAAAATCAAGGACATTCAGCGCAAACGGCCAGATGATGCTGGCTTTTGAGTGCCCGACAGGGGAAGGCTCTCCCTTGTCAGTTCAGCCCTGTATTAGCGGTGAATGCTTTAGATTGCTTTGAGAATCGAGAATAAAATTGACGATTGGGATGGCTGGGTGTCTGGTTGATGTGCTGGGTGTAGGAGCATTCGGACAGAGGAATGAAGAGGTGCGTGTTGAATGGCGTAGAAGAAGGAGAGTAAGACAGACCATCACAAGCACACATAGGAGGAGACATTGACATGGATAGATGAGACAGAAGGAACGGTAAGAGGAGCATGAAAATGAAAGTGAGGGAGGGAGAAAAACAAAGCGCAAGAAGGAGGAAGTTTCAAGTAGAGCGGGAGAGGCCAGGCATGTCATGTGCTCTCAGTATCCAAATGCATTCTCCATACAGGGCTCGTCGTCTACAGTATTTATGGGGTTTTCCGCGCGGGGTCAAAACAATGCAGCCCATCGGATGGGGTTCAAGACAGCAACCAACTTCCTACGTACAGCAGACGAAGGAAGACACCAACGTTAATGCAAAACGTATCACTCATTATGTACTGGGTCCCGGAACGGATAGTCATCGGCCAGCAGTGGCGTCTTCCACTCGATGATTCTCTCGTCGTCCCAAAACGCATATCCCCACGGCCAATGCTTATTTTCTCCCCCATATTCGAACATATCCCAGAAAACCACGGGGAAATCATTGTCATCCCGCAGCCATCGTCGCTTCCAGGCTAGGTTAGGCCGCTCAGCCGGTGGTAATGTTTCCAGGAATTTTCTGAGCCCATTGAGGTCAGTGCCAAAGTCGAACCTGTTGGCAGGTTCAATAAGATACACCTCATCTCCACTATCTGGTCTTGGCCACATCTCATCGTCGCACCAATAATACACTAATCGTCGAGCGTTGATGAGGACCAAGTCGCGGTGAGCCATAAAGCGCTTTTCCCGCAGAATCTTGTAGAGGAGTGTCGGACCTACGGAGGCCATATGTTCGGGAACATCCGTGGCATACACGAGATCATCCTTGTCTAGAATGGCCGTTGCAGGAGGCACACGCAATTCTTCGGGGAATTTGCTGACAAAGATAACTCCACTTCTAGTTGATCTCAAGTTGTCTGAGATTTCAGGAAGGATTGCCAATTCGTACCTCAGACAGCAATGCCGCTAAATACAACCGATTTCTTCAATTTCCCATGGAGTTATGGTGTGAAAAAACAGGCGCTATATCTCCTCTTTACTGAAAGTCTTCTCCTGCTGATACCACTCATTATTCTGAGGGTTATTCTCTGAATCGGCTGATTGTTCAATGGGACCGAATATATTACCGTAGATCTGCAGTCGATAAAAGGCGCGGAGAATGCGTTGCTTCTCGGTATCTGATAGGACCAGTGGTAACATCTCATCATTCTATGTAGCTTTGTTAATTCAGGCTGGTCGCCTAGTACTTCGGCGATAATCATTGAGGAAGAATAATGCGTGATTATGTAGCTGTAATAACTGCATGAGTTCTTGGTCATCAGCCGGTTCATCTGGTAGAGGTCTAGATGATAGTTTCAGCCGCCGGATCTCCTCGCTGCGGTGTCGGCCATTGAGAAGGGCAATGATTTTTTCCTTGTTCGCTATATCATGAGCGTATAATCCTCTGGAATGAATGACAGTGATAGCATTGGTGATATCCACGAGGCCGGCATAGTGTTTCTTTAACAGGCTTGAGAGAAGCTCCTTTTTCACTCGCTGATATGCACCGTAGTATGTGGGAGATGTAAGGATGAGCGACCACACAGACGCCGTATCGGGGAGGGTGAAGAGGATGGAAATATGCAGTTCCACGGGTAAGCCTTCCAAGGTGGGCTGCGCCTGATGGATGTTAGCAGCGCTACCCTCAAAGGGAGTGAAGGGGACTTACCATATTCTGGATTTCCGTCCCTTTCCTGCCTCGTAATCTGTCTTAATTTTTTTTGTTCCCCTCTGCGTGTGTAGGTGAGAGACGTGGTGGTGAGGAAGAAGTGGGCGACAGTGGGGGAACGGGAGAAGTGAGGGGGAACATCCGGCCCCTCGAGATTTGAGTCACTATCAGCCTTGTCCAGGTAGTATTCTTAGCAACTCACCAACAACTGAAATTCTTAGTAGTACAGCCCTACCCTCCGGAAGTGGAGAGCCAATACAATGCCTACAAAGGTCATGAGCGAAACATCAAGTCTGCAAATGCGGCGCTTCGGGACGCAAAGCCGGCCAATATCAGCAAAAATAGTCCAAACGCCCTTCCGCTTTTGAGAGAGGGCGACAGGCTAGCTACGGACGTGATAGTTGCGAATAACTCGTAAGTGCCTACGAGCCCATCTTCTACCATCCTGCCTTGGCTGACTGACCACCTCAGGTACGCGGCTGCTCGAAGCGGCTTTAGTCACAAATTCCCCACCGCCTACGAGAACCTAGAGAAAAAGAAATCCCACGAAGAGGCGGCTCAACACTATCTGAACACATCTAAGAAGGTCCGGGTAACACGGGAAAAGCTTCGTGGAAAGATTGAGGATTTAGACCGCCAGGGGTAAGGGATTCCTCTTGGCTCCGTGAGCAATGACTTTCTTGGACAAGGGGCCTGCGTTAACCCTGCACTGTTCCGCCGACTTGTTCATGCATTGCTATGAATGCTCGTACTCTGCCGCTGTGTTCTTCTGCTCTGTATTTCATTGTCTTCCGAGTCGTTTCCTGCCAGTTGTGGCTTCCATGACCTGCGTTCTTGGTTATTGTATACGGATTGGTTTGAAATCAACGAGTTCTTTTGTTTGGTTCTATATAGTGGAATAAATGTTATGGCTTGTTTTGCGACATGCAATCTCCATTGCGCCCTTCAGGGCATCAGGGCTCCACGTGCCTGATATACGGTGTGCCAAAAGCGGCAATTCGCCTGACGTCATGATTCGTATCTCAATCGTATGTTCCGAATCTCATTTCTGTTCATTTGCAATAGCTCTCCCCGTTCCCAGCACCCCCAATTGGCAATCGTGATGTCGACCAACACTTCCCGCAAGAGAATCGCTGTCGTGGGCGCCGGGGCAGCAGGCATGGTAACTCCCCACCCCCCACCCGTCGCGTCCAGTGACTGCACTAAGCTAAGCCCGTAATGCAGTCCTGCGCCTCCACCCTGGCCAACCACCCCGATCAATTCCAAGTCCACCTGTTCGATTCCGCCTCTCAACCCGGCGGCCAGGCCACCTCCATTCCACTGGATGCCCGCTACGGCGCCCCCTGGCTCAATGACGGGGTGCAAGGCGGATCGCCCATCTTCCGACACACCTTCCACTTCTTCCGCCGCTATGGCTATGAGCCACAGGCCGTCAAACTGCAGGTCTCGTTCGGGAAAGGGCCGGAGAGCTTCTTCACGAACATATTCCCCAGTCCGCTGGTCGACCAGTTCTCCGGAGAGATCCGGAAGTTGGGTCGCGTGCTCACGTGGATTCAACGGTTGATGCCGGTGTTAGGCATCTTCCCCGTCAAGCTCATTCTGCGGCTGTTTCGGTTCAGTCACGACTTTGGCAGTAAGATGGTCCTCCCATTGATTGCGTTGTTCTTGGGCACGGGCAACCAGACCCCGAATGTGTCGAGTGTGCTGCTGGAGCGATTGTTCGATGATCCCCAGATGAAATTGTGGGATTATGATCCCGACATGCTGTTGCCGAATCAACCGACCATGTATACGTTTCCCAATTTAGGCGACTTCTACCGCGACTGGGCTGGTGATCTTGCCGCCAAAGGGGTGAACGTGCGCCTCCAGACGGGAGTGGAGATCCAGAAGCGAGACAGGATGAACGGCGTCGATCTCCGTATCTGGGATAACGCAACCCATGGCTCTGAACGCCGATGGGAAGGCATCGTGCACGATGAACACTTTGACGAGCTCGTCCTCTGCGTGCCTGCCGACGAGGCTAAGAAGCTCCTCGGAAAGCACGCCACCTGGCGCGAAAGGTATGTGCTCGGGGGGGTGAAATTCTACGACGACGTGACCATCACCCACCACGACGCCGAATACTTCAATAGTATCTTCGAAACGCGGTACAAGACCGAGCTCTGCGGGAAGGCTACAAGCGAGACACGGAGCGAGCAGATCGCGTTCGCGAAACAGCCGCCCCGCTGTCGGAAGGATGGATGGGAGGGATTTGCGCCGATGTATTACACACATTCGTTGGCGCAGGATCCGCAGAAGATTGAGATGGGGTTTGATTGCACGAACTATCAGCATCAGTTTCGGGAGCAGTTAGGGGAGAATGCATTGTCTCCGGAGCCGGATCGACATGTTTATCAGACGATTTTCTTGAATAAAGAGAACTCGGACCTGTGGACATGGGAGAGTATCGACAAGGAGAAGATCATTGGCGAGAAATGGTGGCATCAATTTGGACATAATTGGCAGCATTATCTGCGCGTGGTGCCGGGGATGATGTTTATTAATGGGAAGAATCGGACCTTGTATGCGGGGAGCTGGACGATGGTGGTAGGTACTCGTTTGGCTTTGTATTTGCAGTCACTGACACCGGACAGAATATGCATGAGATCGCTTGCATCTCGGGCATTGCGGCAGCGTATCGCCTCGGGGCGGTCTATGAGCCGTTTGATGACTTTGCGGAGGATTGCTTTGCCAAGTATTTGCTGGTGAGCCATGGGAAGAGATATCAGGGGGCGGAATAATTGGTCTAGTATCCGATCCATTTGTTATGTCGTTCCTATTGGTGTGATTGAGAAAGCAATGATGGGATCTTCAAGCGGAGGGTTAGTATGATCATAATCTCTTAGTGTCAAATAGTAACTAGAAGTAGCGATGTACAGCGGTCATAAAAAACGACTTGTAACTTCTGACTATAATATCTAAGAAGTACCAAAATCTGCCAAGGGGTAACAATAAGACAACGGGAATCGGAATCCCCCTTTAGCATCACGATAGTGGGTCATGATAGTGGGTCTCCCCGTGTTTTAAGGTCCGAATAGTGAGCACACCCTGTATCTCTTATTCGGACCATATGTATTGCGGTACCTACCGCGGCTTAAGCTGTTCAAGGCTAGATGGCCCACTGTTATATCCGCTAAGCTGTAAATGTGATGGCCTTGTCCCATGTGTTGAGAGTTTTTTGGTTGGGGAAGTGTATGTTGTGTTGCTTGTCTTGCCCATGAACCCTGATTCACTTGGAATATGAGCACAAGATGTCTATTTATTACTCTGAAACTGATACTCCTACTATAACGCCCCCAGATCATAATCAGAGGGCCAACACCTGTACAAATCCTGATCAACTCAGGACAAGCTGTGGATGCAGTCCACAAGGAAGTTTTAGATACAGTGTAGCAGTAACAGATACCGCCTTCCCAGCTGCATCTAGCGTACCACCTTGCCGTTTGCGGTAGTGGGCCCCGGTGTCTTTGGACACTCGTGCTGTCTGACAATGAAACCAACCATCTCGCAGTTGTCACCTCCATACCGTCGTGAAAGAAATCGCCTCGGTTGAGGCACACGGGACGCGCTGGTGGGTCGGCACGCGGATTATATTTCCCTCATCTCCCTACTTCTTTTCAACTCTGCATATTTCCAAAACACTTCTCGCCATGGCAAACAGACTACCGTTGGAACTCGTCACCCACATCGCGTTCTACGCATCCGAAGCTGGGCACCCTTAGATGAGGACTGCAATCCCGCTCCCAGTACCACAGACTATCATTGGCCGAATCTAGAGATTCTATCCCTAGAAGATGTCCCGGAATTTCTCCCATCAGGTACGCCCTCCACATGAAGCACCACACCTATACCTACTAAACCGCTATCACCGAAACAGGCGAGTACCTCTTCCGGTATACCACTATGACAGAGGCACGATTCGCGGGGGTCGACGACTGGGACGAAGACATCACCGACACGGAGTTCCCTAGTAGATTGCAAGAGCCGAGAACGTGGCCTGGCCGGGATAAGATGAACTACGAAGCTTTTTCACCGGATGTTCATCTCCTTGGGTCATGCGTTCCAGCGTATGCCGCGACTTCATGGGGTCACGCATCTACTGGTCGAGGACGGAAGGGGCAAATGGACCACTTGCTAGGGGATTAGCTGAGCTGTCAGTTATCTCGGATGGTCTTTCGATAGATATGAGATAAATACCAGCTGAGAATATATACATAAGTCACGCGCCTTTCATTGGCGTACTTTGGTTAGGTCCTTGTATACAAATATAGCTTAAGGCATGATCATGGGTCCTGTTCATCATTAAGCTTCTTTATCAACCATGCCCAGTCTACTGCAAGACACGCTTATACTCACACAACCACTTAAATATTTCCATCACCAGCTACAACTCAGCTACCATCGACCCAAAGCACAGAAGCCCAGACTTTCCGTCATTTGTTAAACAAATCCTACTTTACATGTACGTGCATCCACGCCCCAACTTATCTACTCATGGATTCAATCCCCATATTGTATACACCAAACCCATGCAGGAACTCATAGCTTCGTACTTCACAGAAGAGCTTATCCCCACGACGCATGATTAATTAATCCCTGCAATGTATAGATTTACCCTAGATACAACCCCGCGATGTACCCCGTACTCAGCCAGCAAGCAGTCACATGGTTCCCCCACTAGACTAAAGCCAAAACAAACCCATCTTCAACCTGATATCACCAAGCAATCTTCCCAGACATTGCACGATACCCTGTTTAACTCGGACTCACTCTATTCATCATTTGAAGTAACCAGTATGATATTGTTATCATAGATCATACTTCACGTGATCATTTTCTACACTCGCGCAGAATGAGGTGATCCTTGTCATGCTGCTGGTCAGTGTCATGTCTGGTCTGTGCTGTAGTTGTTCAAATGCTTCTTTGGGAGGCTGTAAAAGGTCAGAGATTGTCTTGAATTCATGCGCGTGACTGAGATGTCTTCATCGTGACTCATTGATAGAGTATGTGGTATCTGATCACGATTTTTAATCTTGCGATGATACCGGTATTCCTAGTTAATGCTAATACAGAAGTATTAATACTGAGTGATATTCCTACTTAGCCCAATCCCGATTTATCATAAGAGAGCCCAGAAATCCAGATAGAAGTCATGAATTCCAAGCAACATCATTAGACACGTCAGATACAGTCACCCATTCAGCTTCTTGCGTTGATCAAGCGACGATAATTGTCATTTTGAAGCATACACGATGCTTGACTCAGATCATACCATCCACATCTACACTTTTGACGCCTGCCATCCTTCCACTCAGAAACCCTCCCTAAAACTCCATTAAACAACCACATGAACCACCCTTCACCATCTCACTGCTCCTTCTCACCCACCATACAGATGCAACTCTGGGCAGAGAAAGACCGGTAGCGGTAAGGATGAATGAGAACGAGAGGATAGTTCTCTTTCTTGGAAGGCCGGATATATACCCAGTGATAAGAACCGCATATTGGAGGTATTCTTGTAATTGCCTGTGCTCACTGCATCTAGCACAGCAGTATATTTATGTTCGACGTGGAGAAGAAGAAGAAGTGCTAGGAGTGAATAGGATGGACTGTACGGTTAGGTCCTTAGGTGGGTAGATTGTCCATCCAGACCAACCTCAACCGATCTTGACAACCAATCTGAGGTTTCTCGGAAACCGCGCCACAGAGACGCACTTCTCGAGATCCTCCGACTCCGCGTAGCTCAGGACTGGGGGTTTGGATTGAGAACCAGTCCGTTAGGATGTTGTGTAATGTTTTCATATTCAGTAGACTGATATGCCATTCCCGGGTAAAGCGGGTACCAGTTCTAGTTATGTCGATATGGGGTATTCGGTACGTTTTGCTGGGCACAGACCATGGACAGGATTCAGGTGAGATGTTGGGTAATAACCAGACGAATTGGATATTCCATCTGACAGTGTGATGAAGTGCTTGAAGTATTCAGCTATTGTTGCAGACGGTAGGATGTCCTCATGAAAAGGTAGTGTATACACGAAGCGGATGATACTGAGGTCGATGGCTGGAGGGGTCTGTCTACATATGATGATGGATTGCCATGCTTGTAGTTGAGTACGTGTATACTATCCAGTTTGACGTGAAGAGCCATAGACGCTCCATGAGAATATACCTTATGGCGTATAACGTTGCTGAGGTTATGCCAATATGTGGTCCGGATGAGGTATACCTAATTCGCATTGAACCCTCGAGACTCGTCGTTGGGTCCAATATGCGGTGGCTCGTTTCAGTGTATCGGCCGGTGGGTTCTGAGACCGTTTGATGGTCGTGTTCATGTGAATATCCTGGATCTGGGATATCGTGTACAGCATTGAACTTCTTTGTCAGGAGGACTCTTGGGGTTCCATATGTGGTTTTGTGTTGCATGCTGATCAGGTGTTGGGTTGTGGTTGAGACAGCTCGGTGATTCTCATGAAGCGCTGGACTCCTGCTGTAGCAGACTTCTTCAGAGAAGGTTGACCAGACCGGACGATTAATGATCATCGATATGTTTTCCATGGAGGTCTGGTGAATGTGGAGATGGGGGAATTGGCGAGTGCCTTCGCTGTCATTAGAGACCCCGGAACTCGGGTGGATTGTCGTCCTCTGAGTTTGAGGGCAGAGCATTGTCTATTACATCAGATCTCAATGCCAAGCCTATGAAAAAGAAGTATCATTTGGTGAAGGAGTCTTTTCTTGGGCCTTTTTATTGTATCGAGACAGGTGATATATTCATCGTTCAACATGGATGGCCTTGCAGTCTTGTGCACAAGGGCATCGCAACCGCAGTTCTCACCCCCCATATCGCTGAGATCTCACGAGCCATCGTTCAATTCGTATATAACGAGGTCAACGCCGTCATGGCTTGGTTGAGGCTACCTATACTAGCACAGAGAAGTTGCAAGTTGGTATGAGTTGGCACGTTCCCTGTTAACCATCCTTTTGTTTGAGCTCCTCTTGCTCCTCATTCAGTGAATTCATATACCGAACCCAAGAACTTGTATTTCTGATAGTCCTCTTGATTTTGGGAGTATGATTGTAGTTGCTAGTATATAGTCCAGGAGAGTAAAGAGCGGTCGTTCTTGGGTTTCATGGAATTAGGCCGTTCTCTGGATTAGATGCCACAACATGTGAACAGGAGCAGGTTCTTATCTCACCCGGGGTCTCGTCTTATGCATCTCTTGAAAGTGGCTTACTTTGCCTTCCTAGTCGCTTAGATGTTGGAAGTGCACAATTGGATATAGTCTTGATGTATTCATCGATCTGGTTGAGCGACGGCCCCGTGCATATTCCTCCATGTCGATGTTGGTAATCGGCAGAGTTTGGAACAGACTTGTAATCGCTGCGCAAAACGCCGAGACACACAGGTGTATCCGACAGATGCCAGGGCCTCGATAAGGCGACTAGGATGTCTGGAAAGCCACTGGCAGGAAGATATGTGCATGATGAGTTGGAGTATGCTCAGTGGCTTGATGTCTACCTCTCAAGGAGAGAGGCTTCTTATAGGCAGGATCCTATCGGGGTCGGCAGAGCTACGGACTAAGAATGGTCAGCTGCTGCTTTAAATCGGATGATGTGGTGGAGAGTAGCTGAAAAGGAGCAATCTTGTAGACTCACCATTCTATATACCATTCTCCTCATCAGAGAGGTTGGATCTGATGGTTCTTATTGACTAGCAGATGCACAGGTTCAGGGCTCATTAAATAGACAAATCTACTGTCAAGAATACATAACTTGATTAGGCTATCTCCTACATATCAAGTACAAGATCCGAGGCAGAGTCCG